AAAAATGTGAAATTTTGTGAAAATGCGTGAATTATAGTCTTTGTGTGAGAAAATGTGAAAATTTGTGAAAATGCATGAACTATAGTCTTTGTGTGAAAAATGTGAAATTTTGTGAAAATGCGTGAATTATAGTCTTTGTGTGAGAAAATGTGAAAATTTGTGAAAATGCATGAACTATAGTCTTTGTGTGAAAAATAATGATATTTTGTGAAAATGCGTGAATTATAGTCTTTGTGTGAGAAAATGAAAATTTGTGAAAATGCATGAATTATAGTCTTTGTGTGTGAGAAAATGTAAAATTTGTGAAAATGCATGAGAATTATATAGTCTTTGTGTGAGAAAATGTGAAAATTTGAAATGCATGAATTATATCTTTGTGTGAAAATGTGAAAATTGTGAAATGCATGATTATAGTCTTTGTGTGAAAAATGTGAAATTTTAAATTACTGAACTATAGTCTTTGTGTGAGAAAATGTGAAAATTTGTAGAAAATGCATGATTATAGTCTTTATGTGAGAAAAATATGAAAATTTGAAAATGTGAATTATAGTCTTTGTGTGAGAAAATGTGAAAATTTGTGAAAATGCATGAATTATAGTCTTTGTGTGAAAAAATGAAAATTTGTGAAAATGCATGAATTATATCTTTTATTATGTGAGAAATGGTGAAAATTTGTGAAAATGCGTGAATTATAGTATTGGTGTGAGAAAATGTGAAAATTTGTGAAAATGCATGAACTATAGTCTTTGTGTGAAAAAATGTGAAATTTTATGAAAATGCGTGAATTATAGTCTTTGTGTGAAAAATGTGAAAATTTGTGAAAATGCATGAATTATAGTCTTTGTGTGAGAAAATGTGAAAATTTGTGAAAATGCATGAACTATAGTCTTTGTGTGAAAAATTGTGATATTTTATGAAAATGCATGAATTATATCTTTGTGTGAGAAATGGTGAAAATTTGTGAAAATGCATGAACTATAGTCTTTGTTAGATAAAATGTAATGAAAATTTATGATTATAGATTATTGTCTGTGAGAAAATCATGAAAATTTGTGAAAATCGTGTGAATTATAGTCTTTGTGTGAGAAAATGTGAAAATTTGTGAAAATGCGTGAATTATAGTCTTTGTGTGAGAAAATGTGAAAATTTGTGAAAATGCATGAACTATATTCTTTGTGTGAAAAAGTGTGAAATTTTGTGAAAATGCGTGAATTATAGTCTTTGTGTGAGAAAATGTGAAAATTTGTGAAAATGCATGAACTATAGTCTTTGTGTGAAAAAATGTGATATTTTGTGAAAATGCGTGAATTATAGTCTTTGTGTGAGAAAATGTGAAAATTTGTGAAAATGCATGAACTATAGTCTTTGTGTGAGAAAATATGAAAATTTGTGAAAATGCATGAATTATATCTTTGTGTGAGAAATGGTGAAAATTTGTGAAAATGCGTGAATTATAGTAATGGTGTGAAAAAATGTGAAAATTTGTGAAAATGCATGAACTATAGTCTTTGTGTGAAAAAATGTGAAATTTTATGAAAATGCGTGAATTATAGTCTTTGTGTGAGAAAATGTGAAAATTTGTGAAAATGCATGAATTATAGTCTTTGTGTGAGAAAATGTGAAAATTTGTGAAAATGCATGAACTATAGTCTTTGTGTGAAAAATGTGAAATTTATGAAAATGCATAAATTATATCTTTGTGTGAGAAATGGTGAAAATTTGTGAAAATGCATGAATTATAGTCTTTGTTGAAAAATGAAGAAATTTTGTGAAAATCACGTGAATTATAGTCTGTGTGAAAATGTGAAAATTTGTGAAAATCGTGAACTTATAGTCTTTGTGTGAAAAAATGTGAAAAGAATTGTAATCGTGAATTATAGTGTTTGTGTGAGAAAATGTGAAAATTTGTGAAAATGCATGAACTATATTCTTTGTGTGAAAAAGTGTGAAATTTTGTGAAAATGCGTGAATTATAGAGTCTTTGTGTGAGAAAATGTGAAAATTTGTGAAAATGCATGAACTATAGTCTTTATGTGATAAAATGTGAAATTTTGTGAAAATGCGTGAATTATTGTCTTTGTGTGAGAAAATGTGAAAATTGTGAAAATGCATGAATTATAGTCTTTGTGTGTGAAAAAATGTGTGAAATTTGTGAAAATGGATTATAGTCTGTGTGAGAAATGTGAAAATTTGTGAAAATGCATGAATTATAGTCTTTGTGTGAGAAAATGTGAAAATTTGTGAAAATGCATGAATTATATCTTTGTGTGAGAAAATGTGAAAATTTGTGAAAATGCGTGAATTATAGTGTTTGTGTGAGAAAATGTGAAAATTTTGAAAATGCATGAACTATAGTCTATGTGTGAAAAAATGTGAAATTTTGTGAAAATGCGTGAATTATAGTCTTTGTGTGAAAAAATGTGAAAATTTGTGAAAATGCGTGAATTATAGTCTTTGTGTGAGAAAAATGTGAAAATTTGTGAAAATGCATGAACTATAGTCTTTGTGTGAAAAAAAGTGAAATATTGTGAAAATGCGTGAATTATAGTCTTTGTGTGAGAAAATGTGAAAATTTGTGAAATGCGTGAATTATAGTCTTTGGTGTGAAATTTGCTGATATGTGTGAATTATAGTCTTTTGTGTGAAAATTTGTAAAATGCGTGAATTATAGTCTTTTGAATGTTATATGCAGTGCGGTGTTTGAAATTAAATGAAGATATGATCTTCACACTTTGCTGGACAATTTAAGCAATCATCTCAGGACCTGAAAAAATCAGGTGACTCAACGGGATTCGAACCCATGACCTCTGCGGTGACGGTGCAGTGCTCTGACCAACTGAGCTATGATGTCACACAGTGGTGAGCAGGTCAATATTGTTGGGCTCATGTTTTCTCATAAAAAGAAATTGTGTGCAATGGCATGAAAATGTGTGCAAATGTATGAACTATAGTCTTCGGCATGAAAATATGTGCAAAAGCATGAACTACAGTCTTTGGCATTAAAATGTGTACAAATGCATGAAGTATAGTCTTTGGCATGAAAATGTGTACAAATGCATGAACTATAGTCTTCGGCATGAAAATATGTGCAAGTGCATGAACTATCGTCTTTGGCATTAAAATGTGTACAAATGCATGAACTATGGCCTTTGGCATGAAAATATGTGCAAAAGCATGAACAATAGTCTTTGGCATGAAAATGTGTTAAAATGCATGAACTTTACTCTTCGGCATGAAAATTTGTACAAAAGCATGAACTGTAGTCTTTGGGATGAAAATGTGTGCAAATGCATGAACTATAGTCTTTGGCATGAAATGTGTGAAAATGTAAAGACTATAGTCTTTGGCACTAAAGAGTGTAAAAATGCAAAGACTATAGTTGGTACTGATGTTGAATGACGTTTCGACAACCTTAGCGGTAGTCATCATCAGTCATTGGAGTGATGTCACTGATAGTTGCTCAGAAACACCAATAGTGTTCTCATGACTCTACTAACCTGTACGATCTACTGTACAAACATGTAACGATACTCCCATGTTCAAACCATTCTCTTTAGCAATGAATGTCTTAAAAATTAGCATTTTTATTAAATTTTGAGGTTTGCACATGTGACTACACCCCAACCATGATATCTCAAGAATCATTTTCACTATACAATTAAAAATTCAGGATACGCTCAGAATATTGTGATCTCAAATTGTAGTAAGAGATTAAGCTAAGTCAAGACTATATTTTAAAAAATCTATAATATGCAAGACAACTAATATTAGCAAAAAGTGCATCTTAAATTTAACTGCCGTCTACAGCATCACCTTCCAGGATGCACTGATTGATATATCATATGGATATTTCCAGAAAATCACAAGCACATTATTCAACGATAATGCATGGTGCCATGATTATAATTGCTAATAATAGCGATATGCGGATGTAACTCAAAAAACTTGTGTTCTTTAAAATATGTTTCAGTTATTTTGCCAACTTATAAATACGATGGATCTTGTTTTGAATGCTCGAATTTAAAATTAAAGTCTGTGGAGTGTTTAACTAACGATTTTCTATGAGTTGGATTCATTTGTGTCGTTCCCATATCTACATCACGATCAAAAGGCCTTCGCTCAAGTTTTTTTTTATTTTTCTAAAAATATAAAATATAAGTCCAAGTCAATTGCATGTGAAAAACAATTTTGTCAATAAAGCGAACATCAACAAAGATCACGAATAAGTTTCTAAGCCTGCTCTCTATGTAGAGGCATGCCCCCTAGCAACCATGGAGGTATATATTTGTATTTATAGCATACTGTTCGTGAAATTTATTACAATATGTTATATCCAATACATGTTGCAGTGTTTTATATTGTTGTGCTTTGAGCACACAAATAACATATTTCTGTCATGTAATTGTTGGTAGAATTAATAAACATTGACTTTTTGGTATATAGATCTTTAAAAACATATAATTAAGCAACAATTTAACAAAGTTTAGTAATCCAAAAAACATTTGCATCACATAAAAAGCTAAAAGCTATTTGTAAAACATGGCACTTAAAAAATGAATGATTTGCATTGTTTTTCTTTGCATATTGATTCAACTTTTTACTTGGATATTCAAGTATTGCAAGTCATATAGGCAAAACATATTTAGAAAAGGTCTCATTGCAGTTAAGTACACTATTAAATTGATTTCTGGGGCCGGTTGTTCAAAAGTCGATTAACTTAACCTAGAGTTAACAAATATAAACTATGGTTAAATCATAGGCAGCCCACAACTACGGGTTTTTTATTATTAATATAAATGAATAAAGAATTTGTCTCGCATTGATCGCTCAATCTCGCACAACAATCTCGCGCGACGTTCGTATGACGTTTAGTGTTATCGATTTATTAATTACCCAAGGTAGGCAACTAAAGTAAACAAATCACTGACCGTTAACATAAACACTTTAAAAACTCACAAAAAAAAATTATTAACAAACAACAATAATGAAACAAAAACTACAGCCAATTAAACACGAATGAATTTACTACATTCTTACTAGTGTTCAAGATTCAAATCCTTTCCGAAGCATGTGAGAAAAAGCGAGCGCTTTTGGCCTTTCTATCATTTTATCGTGGAAACCTATGCTAGGGTCACCGTATCAGTCCCCTCGTCCTCTATTTTTAATTTTATCGTTCCTTCATTGGTTAAATATTTCATAAGCAAACTTCAGTCTTTCCTTGATTGGATAAACATTTTACAAGCAAACTTTTTATAAACATTTTATAAGAGGTATCGCAGCATAGAAAAAACTTTCCTAAATTCATAGTATTGTATGGAGAATGTATTTTCATTTAAGACTGTGTTCGATGTAAATTCAAGTAACCAAAATTAAAACATTACCTTTTCCTTTTTCCTGTTTTTTTGATGAAGATCGAGCAAAGATTCAGACCGATATTGTTTCTGAAATCGTGGATTATTTATACAAACGTTATATTATATGACACAACATCATTCCATATTAAGTAACAAGCAAACATATTTTTTGACATACAAATAGTCCAATACACAACACAGAAAATGTCATATTATATAAGGCATACATACATTATGCTCACAGACATATTTTTCAATGTCATGCTGCCGCTTTTTTGCTTCGCTATTTTGAACAAGTGGTTTCATCTGATTGCTCTACAATCCAACAAGAATAGATCCTTGTTAATTTATATTTCTCGAGCTTAAGGATTAATTAGGGAGATTTGAATTAAATAAAGAGCTACAACTTTTTAATAAAAATAAAGAATAAAGGACATAGAACAACTATATTTACCCACAGTACAAAGGTAAAAATATAAAAAAAATTGAAAGCAATTATACAAAAAACGGAAATGGAATAAAAAATATCTTAGAATAATTCTGCATGCACAAATTAAAACCTAATCATAAATTACACGAAGTACGTACTATTCGTTTTTAAATAATTTTTAAAACACTTTAAAGATTTAAAACTTTTTTGATCGGAGGTTAAAGTTAAAGTATTCCAAACCACTGCATCTCTACAAGAAAAAGATTTTTTTACCAAAGTTCAGGACAACTAGGTTGTTCTATCAACATTGTATATTAAATGGTTGATTATTCCTTCTTACAATGAGGTTTTGTATCTATATTTCACTATATATTTCAATGACTTATTGTCAAAACCACGCTTTGTAATAATAAATTTGCAGGCCTTGCAAATTATTTTGTAGGACAATTCCCAAGCAGCCCCAAATTTGTAAACGATAATCAAAGTGTGGTTGGACCAAGGTTTTAAAAGTAGTAAAGAGTCTTCAAGTCTGCAAACTTTCATAATCGTCTTAAAATATGAAAAACCCCATTCACTTTGTTCCACTAGAGAATGCCAAGACAGAGTCATGTCAAGCATCACACAGAGTAATATAAGGACATTAACTCGCTTATTTTATACATTATTTGGTGTCTCACGTCCCCTGCATATTTACAGATTGGTGAGGTCTACATAAGTCTAACAGATAGGTACGCAATGCGTACATGTGGGTAGCCTGTCAAGTGCAGGGCTAGTAAATGAAGTAGATTTCATGAATATACTTCAAATAGGATTGCATATTTAATATTATTTACGTCAAACTTGTTCACGATTTGAAATAGTTTTTTAGTTGAACGACCCATGTATTTGTTTCACTCTTTCTGCTTTTTTCGACGCTCTAGCTTAGCTTAAATGTCACGTGACTGGGCTCACGAGATTCGCTTCACAAACACAAATTTTCACAGTGGCTACTTTAAAAATCTTTTTTGAAACTTACATTGCCTTTTTTACCACTTTGTGATGGAGTATTAGTCCAAACAGATCTATCACCAACATTGACTTCCTTACTTCTAAACTTTCTTGCACCAAGACCTTAAATGTCAACGATAGTTAAATTGTATTGAGGTTTGCTTCGATTCGTTTACCACCAAAACATATAGCTATTGCGTTGAACTTTAAATTTAGAAACAAAGTTGTATAGATGTTTATTAAAGCCGCGAGTGGTATAGAGACTGGAAAATTGATTTGAAATTTGGCTTTTGGCATATGCTGCAAGAAAATATTTTGGTTTGCTCCATAGAGATGGTTTATGATTTAATAACAGATCAAGGTTTTAAAAAAATGGAATAAAGAAAAACGCAAAATAATCCACGATTCGGATGCCTAGTGCTTGTGTACGCTTTAGCCAAATTTTTAAAAATCTTGGATATGATAAACTATTTATAAAAAAATGTGAACGAAATGTGTTTAGCGTGCTAATATACTACATGAACAATACATATTTTTATATGCCGTACATATATTATCATTTTCAGATATCATCATCTCGTTTTCATTTGTAAATGTTCGAAATACGTACAATGGAATATCATTAAATAAAGTGAAATACACAGCAAATCTGAGTAGGACTTGGAGCTTTATTTAAATCCTTAAGCTATATTTTCTGAATTTGACAAATAAAGGATGAACACAAGGGCAAAACACTTTTCCAATATATGTATGTAAAATACTTGTGCTTTTTCAATAAGTGAAAAATTTAGCTGTATCACGATATTAAGTCCAATAGGTTCGATTTATAACAATATTAATTATAATTTGGAGTTAAATGTCACAAAAACTTATTATCCTTTTATTACTTTACTGAAGTGCAAAAATGTGTTCTCTGCTCTCTAGTCTAAACGCCCAGTAATTGTATTAACCTTCCGTACACTCTGGTAAAAATTACACAGAATGTGTTTGTGTTCACGGGCTTAAAGTGGAAATACTGCAACGTCCTCACGATTTTTTATAAATTTTAGCGTTAAATTTATCGCTACGTAACACGTATTTTTAATGAAAATAATTTGGAGTCAAATACTACGATATCTATAATACGTCAGTCCCTCAAACATTTAATCAAAGCATGTTTACTTCTCCTGAAAAGATAAAGTTCACAAGACAATATTACAAAACTGTTTTACATTTTTATGTTTTTTTTTGGTCAATGAACTATAAATACTTTTGGTTTAGTATTATCTAAGTAACATTTTGATGAAAATGTTCAGTGAATTGAGAAAAACATTCTATTCACCAAAAAAAGATTGAATTGGGTTGACTTTTTCTGTTTCAAAGCAATTTACAAGTAGCACTAACGCATTTTGGCAACATAAAATTTATTTACCAAAGTTCTTTCCCAATTCTGGTGGAAGTTGCGTCATCCATTCTTCACGAACAATTTCACCATCCTTGTTGTCCTGAAATTTATAACAATAATTGCTACAGATAATTCATCATGTTAAATATTATAAACTTTTAACATATCATAGAAACATATTTAACATCATGAAAAATTGATCGTTAAGGTATTACATCATGTGTTGTCAGTTTCAATTTCTTTTCTTTAGCCCGAGCTTCAATATCTGCTTTACATCTTGTGATAAAGGAATCATCCTCCTGTAAAACAAAACATTCAATGAAATAATTAGTTTTAGCTTTCTTGCTACAACATGAGAAAACATTTCTCTGTACATTTAGACAAGGTAACTGTGGTCCAATGATATCTTGCTCCAATATTTCCTCACATAAAGCATTTTTTTCTTAAGAAATAACAAAAAAAAGTATTTTCTTTGAATTTGTAACAATTCATTAGAAATTCGTTTGAATTTGTTAGATAAAATATGTTATGCAACATCTAATGTCAATCAGAACTAAATTACACAGTGAAAAGAGTAAAACGACAAAATCAATTTGTTATTTGAATAAATGACATGTAAGAAAACTGTGGCAAATTGATGAACATAGTAAAATTTATGTCTACTGCCATAGTGACATGAATAAAAGAAATATTGAAAAATTAAACAAAAATATAAATTCATAAAGGAAGAAATTCACCATGCTTATATGGAACAATGACACTTTACATTACCATAAATAAAAAATAGTCTAGGTCATAGAAAAGTATGATTTCAATCACAATTACAATGGTGTTGCTTTGTACTTCTGGTCTTTAAAAATTTTAATTTGTAAAATTTTGCCATTTTTGTGAAGTTATTAAAATCACACAACAATATATTCACAAAATGCAAATATTTTTAAGGCAAATTCTATATAACACACTTCTTTTGGAAACAATTCCTCTAAAATGAAATAGCAGTTGAGAATGCTTCAATTATTAACATGATAATTGTTTGCTGATTAAAGAAACATACTTCGAAATGTTAAATACGTCACATAAAGTTTCGCCATGAAAAAAATTATAATAAAATCTATTATATAGTAATTCTAAATGATTTATTAAAACATGTCATTTAATGCAATATTTTGTACAAAAATACAAACTGATATGAGCTATTGGACAGAAGTCAACACGAAAGAAAGATCAGAAGTCAACATGTTGCTTGAAATTCAAAACCCATAGAATTACTTTAGCATGGTTTTTAACTCCATGTTAAGAAACGTTGTTTAACAAAAACAGTGGACAAATATTCCAACATATATATAACAAACCTGTCGGGTATTTTAAAGGTAACGAAGGTCCAATTACTGACCTATTCATTAAGTTAGGCGGTAACTTAGGACCAAAAAAATCTTTGTCGGGAGAAGCATTATCTACTGTCTTCTCTTGTTCATCGCGATGTTTATCAACCTCAGCGTTTTGTGTTTTTAAATGTTCACTTACGAACGGACCAAACTCCATTTTGAAATGACCGTGAGCGGTAGCGGCAGTAGCGGTACGACTGTAGATAACAAACATATATACCACTATAACACTATCTATCCATTTGAATCCTATGGTATCATTGTTGATTACGAGTGAATTTTATATTCAATGGTCGATACGAAAGTGGCGAAACTGATGGTTAATGGTACGAAAGTAGCTAAATTACCAAATCCCAAATGCCTCCGAAAAAAAAGAACACTGAGAAAGTGAAGGGTATTTATTTTCTTTAGTTATTATATAATTACTAGCCAAACATAATCTCACACGTGAAGATTAACTAATGGGGTCCTGCAAAAAAAGTACACTTGTGTTTGTCAGAGACAAGTGCTGCTTTGGGTCTTTAAAAAAAATGAAATTTTAATTTGGCAAAATTTAACTGTGACTAAATATAACTTCCTCTGCAGACAATTTGTTTTAAAATTTGTTCTATTGCTACAGATTTTCTAAAACCAACTAATCACAGTCAATTTGTTTCCATAAATTGAAAGTAGATTGTACATGGAAGAGAATCTGTGTATAAGTCTATGTTAATTTTTATGTTAGATGTTGCCTCCCCTGATGGAAAATCCAAGAAAGGTGGTAACTCCGTAAAGGTTACTATTTTTTGGTAAATTAAATTAAGTGATTGAAGTCAATAAAAGTTTTCATAAAGAAATTTGATGAATCCTACAGGTTCGCCATATTCTTTGTGAAAAACATTCAAAAGTGATGGAAGCCATGGAAAAATTAAAGAATGGAGAAAAGTTTGACAATGTTGCTAGAACATTCAGTGAGGATAAAGCTAGACAAGGGGTAACTTGAAAGGCTACAATAAAATGTTAAAGAAGTACAGTTTTGTGTTAAAATTGCACAATTTCATTTTGGAGTCTTTTTGTTTAATGTTGTGAAAATGAACTTATTTTATTATTTGATTTTTGTGACATTGTTTAAAAAGGAGAAGTTAAACAGGTCATTTATTACCACTTGATTATTTGAAGTTTGTTACTTAATTAGGAATATAACTTTCTCAGTTAGGCAAAGAAGCGATCTGTGTATAATGGCACCAGGTATCTTGGCCATAACTTTTGTACATTTTTCTTAAAGACAGCTTTAATTTAAAAGCTAGAACACATGCTTGTCAACAATGGTAGTTCATCTTGCCTCACTAGTAACTGTCTTGCTTATGCAACTAAGTTCCCATGTGAGATGATGAGTTTTTCTGTAGTATATATGGTGTAAAAGGAGAGGCACTGGCATAGCGAGTAGCTTAGCTACCTGAGTAGCTTGGCTTCATATAAACTAGGCTGTTGTGTTTTTAAATATATCAGCATTAATGAATGAAAGTGTATTGACTGTATAACATTAACTTGTGTTGTTTTAAAAATGGCATAAGTGAAAAGTGTTTAATAAATAGTGAGGTTTAAAAATTGCATTGACCAAGTATTTTTTTAGGGTGATCTTGGTTGGATGACTAGAGGATCCATGGTAATTTTCAATGATTATTTTTTTCATTTTTACAGTAAATTATGACAGGAAGATAATTATGTCTGTTTCCTATGTGACACAATGCTGAAAGCCATGATGCAGTTAATGTAGTTTTTAAAGTTTATCAACTGCAAAGAATTGTGGTGTTATTGCAGCTCCAACTTATTATGATGCTTCAACATTGACTGGGTTATTGACCAAAGTATTTATGTCTGTAATTATAATTTCTATTAGGTTGGACCATTTCAAGATGCTGCTTTTTCTCTTGATGCAAGTACACCTACTAAACCTATCTACACAGATCCTCCTATAAAAACTAAATTTGGATATCATATTATAATGATTGAAGGAAAGAAATAACCAAATAAAATATATTCAACAAGTTATTTAGCTTCATTGAATTTATTGGTTTTTCCAGTGAAAATCTGTATTCTTTGATTTTTCGCAAAATGCACTAGTTTAAATAACGATTTAAACAATATCTAGACTTTAACGTAGTTTTTTCTATTAAAATTTAACAATCAGAAGTAGTATGATTTAATGAACAATACGTAAAGAAAATTGAGTTAACCAAAATAGTAAATAGCACAATTAAAAGAAAACCCTTTTACATTTTTGATTGAATTTTTTTCATTTTCATTGATTTACCAATATTTTCATGATTATAAGAAAAAGTGTTTTAAAGAATCTCAGTTCTGATATTTTACGCTACAGCTTTTGAAATAGGAAGAAAAACTAACGTCGTGAATTGTACATCAGCTCAACTAAGGCAAATTCAAAACTTGTAACTTTTAAAGGTTTATTAGGTTATTAACATAAATATATATTTACGTGGTTTGCCTATTAGAAAGACCTAATATGTTTATATATAAGTCAATATTTTCATAATTAGTGCTCATTTTTGAGAGTTCAAACGTCTTTGTACGAAGAATTCTAGCGGCTTCATGACAGTTTCAAGTGAGTAGTTATAAGGAGGCTTTTATGTAATTAACGATGAATGTTTCGCCTACATTAAGAAATCTTTGTTGATTTTATCAAGCAAGTGATGCATATTAAAATTAAATTATAATTTCTCTAATAACAAAATTCAAACAAAAAACTTCAGTGGAAAAAGTTTGATTCTTGTCACATTCAATAATTTTCTTGCATCACTATACATGGGTAAGTTTTTAACTTCTAAAAAGTTTTTATCTTACCTTCCAGTTCATGGTAAATTGCAAACAAATATCACAATTATGATACATTCGCCATAGTAAGGATGATATAACGCGTATATTGATTTTAACTAGTTTATCTCTATTTAAATTCAAATGATATGTTTCTTCTTATCCAAGGAAGATCACATCGATTTTGGAGCGATTATAGAATACCCGTCCATTTTCAAAGGCACCTTTACAAATTCAAGGAACCGCATACATAGTAAAACGTAATTGTTAATTCAAACCAAAATATCGTTTAGTTCTCAATTATTATTTATCCAGTATCATTTAGTATCATTTAATGGTCAATATAAAGAACGAAGTATAAAGAACGAGGCATATATATGTGGATAGTGAGTGGACGGGTATTCTATAATCTAGCCTCGATTTTCACCGAGAATTTTCACCGAAGAGATTTTTCACAAATCATTGCCAACTAACAAAGACACGCGTCATCTTTCATCTTTACAATTTGGTTTTAACGCCAAAACGAGACGATTTTAAACGCTAACACAACTTAGACGATTTAAATAAAACGGATAAACAGCTCTATGCCTATTCCTGAATTGAATACGAGATCATATTATCAAACAATTTCAATTTTTCTGTTTTATTGTTTACTCGATCATACAGGAAGTAGCTAATACGGTAGCCGACAACAAACAAGGCTTCATGTTGTGTTAAAACAAACTTCAGCTTCGATCTAAACGTAAAAATGAAACAGCATATATGCCAAGCCACCGGATAGATACTATCATAGAAAGTAGCTAACATCATGTCTTCAAAATCAGAAGAAGCTTTCCCCATAGAAATCGAGGTTCAATATATACAATAAACAGTATGGCAGTTTGGTTCAGAATGATGACATACGACTTTGCATATTTCTCAACACAGAATTATCAGTTTGCTTCAGACATTAGCAAAACTTTTGTACAAACTGAAAGATTCAATCTAACCCTCCTTTGTCCTACATATTTTTATTAACTAACTCTATTTTGTAGTGTATTGCTCGGCTGTGCCTGTCTGTGTACTGGGAGGTAAAACCCAGATAAAATCCTCCCCCGTTTACAACTGCCAAAGAGTATTCTAGTAAACGCAAGACAATAGACACTCTATATAAAGTAAACATTATTTAATCTAAACTAAACGTTTGGAAAAGTGTTGCATGTCATCATCAGTAGAAAAATGTTAGCTTTTCAAAAATTACAAATTTGAAATTATATTACAAATTATCTAATTATATATAGTTGGAAATATTTGAAAAGCTAACATTTTTCTACTGATGATGACATGCAACATCTGTCTACTGTCTTGTGTTTTACTGAAGCCTCCCGTTTGATTTGCGAGTTTTATTCAACATTCATACAATTTTTCTTCACAGATTTTCCGGAAATGAAATCAATAAATACTACAGTTATCTTGTGGTCTTCAACATGTTTAATTGTTGCTACTGCAATACTAATTACTTGCATAACTTGTAGAAAAAAAAGTGAGTATTCGTTTGATACACGTAACAGAAACTTATGGTTCAAGCAAGTAACATTCGACTTTCGAGTTAGTTCAGTATTTTAACATAACATGATCACAATTCCATTACCTATAAAACTTATTATAAGAAATGGTTGGAGCATCAAAAATTGGCGAAGACGGGTGACACTTGTGTGCGATATTTGTTTCAGAACAAATTTACACAAGATATTTTTGCCAGTTTGGTCTTGCACGATTTTTTTGAGGTAATTACTGTTTACATCAGGGATGGGCAACATACGGCCCGCGGGCCGGGTCCGGCCCCTGAAGGGATTTTGACTGGCCCGCTGACTGTATCCGACCATTGAATATTGAATATTATTCATGTAATAATCCGGCCCACCAATAACTTCATTTTCCTAAATGGAGAAGTTGCCCACCCCTGGTTTACATGCTCATGCATTAGATGTTTTTATTTGTATTTATTACTATGCAATACGTTCTCAATTAAATCAGGACCTGGGATACATATTGAAACAACGTACGTGTGTATAATTCTTATTGTTTGACTAATTACCACATCTGAGAGAGAAATGAGCACAACGCGGCCCTTGCGGAGTGTCTGTCCGCTTCATCCCAAGCAGATCTTAATAAAAATTACTTAAAAACCCACTATACCAACCGCTTAAAGGTTCTTTTTCTGTTAAATGTGAAACCGCCATCCTAACGCGCTTTCAAATCGCTACCATTTTGTTGCTCAAAAAACAGCCTCCTCCAATCTTTAGCGATTTATACTTTTGTGTGTAGATCCAAGTGTCAATACAACGATAATGCAGAAATTAAGTTGCATTTAGGCTAAAATTAAGCAAGCCTTAGGCAGTTTATCTTTTCCCAAGCTTTTTTCTGCAGGATAAATATTTTCCTATTACACTTCTTGCTTATTTTTTCATGGAATTGCCACCCGTCACATTACGGATGGCAATTCCACGAGTTATTCTACAGGATTTAATTTAATCCAAAGTAAAATAACTACTCTATGAATGTGGCAGTTTCAACAACTGTCATACGAAACAAATTTGTAGTACACGTCATATGTAACATTTACATCATGTCATATGTAACATTTACATTACGTCATATGTAACATTTACATTACGTCATATGTAATATATACATTACAAAAAAACCAAAATATATGGAAATTCAAATTTTTGTTGAATACGATGTGTGTCTTTGTATTTGTGTATTGATTTTGTAATATTTATTGCAGGAAGAGGAGGTCACAGAGAAAGGTATCTTTAATTGTTCAACACACAACCCTAGCCAATTAAATTAATAAGCTTATATTTTAAACGACTTTCAATAAAGTTCTTTGGAAACAAATATCAATCTTATTTTGCTTAATGTGCTGCATCCTTTGTTGATGAAAAATAACAAGAACGAGGACATGTCTTATTAAAAAATGGTTTTTTTTATAGAGGTGGACCAACTGAGAATGAATATCATACACCAGAAGATGTAAATATTCAACATGAAGGTTTAGGCAGCGATAATGTTTATGCACTTCCGCAGGTAAACAATCTTTTTGTGACACAACTAAAAAGTTGAAGTTTTTTTAGTGCATTCAGTCACAAAACTGGAAAAAAAACAACTGTCACGACGAGTGATAGGATTTGTCGTTGCAAAATTTAAAATTTCCTTTTGTTTCGTATAAAGTGTTACAAGAAATGCTAAGGACAAATTTCAAAAAAGAAACTCCAATATCTGTAGAATAAAAAGAAATGTGCATAGGTTACAAGGATTCAGTCTGTATCACTAAAACTTGATCCATCGCCATCGGTTTAATACTTCAGCATTTGATTTGACAATCATATCTCTGTTTTTCAGCCCAACATAGTATACACAGACTTGGATTTACTTGCATTGAAATCTGGGCGAAAGCGTTTACCTAGTGAACCAGCAACACAATATGCAGAAATTGACGAAGAAAAATTGAATGCTGCAAGACGAGAAAGAGAAGAAAGAATTTATCAAAACGTAGACAAAGAAGTAAAATCCAGTCCAATTTACGATAATGTAAATGAAATCACAGTTTGAAAGCCCTTATAATAAACATTGTCAGTTTTCATATAATCACTGAATGCAATGTTTAGTGATAGATTAAGAATATCAACATATGAGTCAAAATCATTCTTTAATGGGGATTTCTTAGTTGTAAAATAACTTGACACAATCTTATCGTGAGATAGATATTAACATAATCTCCTTCCAAAAAAACACTAATCCAGTTTCTTTATTTTAGCGCGAGTTTTAACCAGAGAATTTTTTGTGAGTAGAAACTGATTAACACTTGCTTTGGCAATCAACTGTCTCTCAACTTTTAATAACAACAAGTCACATTTCTTTCGTAGCGAAATTTTTATTAACTCCGTCTTCTTGTCTTTCACAGGAATAAGTAAGAAGAGTTGTCTTTCCAAGCGATCTTTAATAAACTTCTGGGTATTTCGTTCATGTTCTTCCCAGTTTTGACCTGATGATTCCATTATTTTCTTTAAATCTTTCATTGAAGTATCTTCACAAAATGCAAGTAGTGATGCAATATTTGATTTTATCTGATATTTGTTACAAATATGCAAGCATTCCAAGCCAGACTGTTTGAGAGCAAGAAAAGTACAGTTTATTGTTTGACAATCAACATGAAATTGCACATTCTCCAAAATTCTGTATCCCACTATATGATCAAGGCTTCTTTGCAAATCACGGAATGCGTAAAAATATTTTGAGTAATAATCATGCGAGGCTTTGACAATTGACTTAACAAGTCGAACTTGACAAATTGTTCTCGGTCGCGTCGTTTTGAAATTTTGCATATCAATAGCAAACTGAATAAACATATCTGACGTATCAGAATTATATTTGGCGAGTACTTTGGTTGCACTTTCTCCTTTTGCTAAAATGGCATTTAGATCATTTTCTTCTTTTATCGCAGAAACAATTTTTTCATAACTACTGAAAGCTTTGAGTAAATCCGGTTTTATTGTGTTGAGTCTTTCGTAACTTTTGACAATATTATTTAACCCCTCCATCTCATATTGCCTTCTTTCTTTCATGCGATTCTCAACTTGAATATGAACTGCATGACTGTGACAACTTGCGCAAATTCTCAAACACTCGCGTGTATCAGGTGGCAACGGTGGACAGCCCACAATACATAAAATAGCCCAGTAAGCAACGCTTGACAATTGATCATAGTACAGAAGTAGTTCTTCATTGGAGCAATTCAAACATACAGCCTCTCCACATATTCTAAAGAAAGCAACAATGTTCCCATTTAAATAGAGAGATGGTCAAAGTTATACCTTCAGTTTGGTGACTTACCCGTAAAGAAATAACACATACTTTCACGACGTAATCTTACTCGAAAGAGCATTTTAATTTATAAGGGTAAAAAATGGTTTATCAAACACGTTTTTACAATTCGCGCATAGTAGAATAAAATATTAAAAAAAACTACACAACTACTAAGTACGTATCCCAAACATGTAGGTAACCAGTGAAATGATCTATTGTCTGCCAAACATCTTTAGTAAAGGTCATTTTTTTCGTAGTAAAAAAATGTTTTGGCTCTCATAATAACAATTGTACAATTGTGCAATATTGTACAATTTGGGCTTAGAATGCGGATTGTTTTGTAGTTATTAATTTACTGTTAACTAAAACATTTTAAAGTCGATAATTCCCACATTTTATGTGGATAACAATAATCTTAAGCCTAATCTCTGAATCGTGAGCAGGCTTCATCCATTGCACGTATTTTATCGTATTTATTGCACAAAATTTGACGAAAATACAAGTACGGTTCTTCAAGTTCCGTAGTAAAACTCGCCCAAACCAAATATAATTGATGTTTGTAATTCGCCTGATAACTCGAGATTTATTAGTCTAACTAATGTCATTCAAATAGAGGGTTCATTTTACGCGCTAACGAAAAAATTTCGTGTTTAGTTTAAGCTAAATAATAGATGATATCATACGTCAAAAATAATTACAAAGATTACCAAAAAACGATATTAAAAATCTGCAGTTTCAAGCTTCCCTATTATTTTATGGAATGAATCATCACCAATAATAATGAAAAATCCAACCATTCTAAAAATTGTTGATTTGGACGTCAAAAACAATTTATCAATGAAGACAAAGTTTTTTAACGTTGTAGAAGTTTCAACATAGCTGCTAATACAAGTGAAAGGTCATGGAAGGCCAATGATGAACTATTGTTGCTTATTATTCACAGTTTCACACAAATGAAGATGGACAGACAAACGAAAAGATTAATGTCTTCAACAAATGCTTTGATTAGAAAATAGCCACTAAAACTTTTTTGAAAATAGTTTCAAAACTACAGTCTGCATAAAAGTAATGTTTTTCTGCTACAAAGCAAAATCTAAGCAAGAAATTCTCCATATTATCAACTCAGCATGTCATATTATCTGAGCTCTGCAGATCACAAAAAAGGCATTTTGTTCTCCGTTCTACCATAAGATTTTTCTCCACGTTTTTCCTGTCAATAATTTCTACTGCGTTACATTATGATTAATTATAAAATACTAAATTTATTATTAAACATCGTGACACAAGTTACTCGTAAACATGAAATAATGCACACTAAAATCTTACCGACAATGATGTAGAGAACAAAAAATGGTAAATTTTCTCGCGCAAAGACTACAGCAACGTGAATTTTTCTGCAAAAACATTAGCTCACATGTTAGACAAGGTGCAAAATGTGAGAAAATTGGACATGAGATGAAAATAATATGTGAAAGAAGATGCAAAATGTTAACTGGTTTAATAATGATTATAAGATGTCACATTATGAACAAAATTTTACATGAAATAGAGCTCTTATAGATACACTGAAAACAAAAAATATATTAAAGAAAACGTAAAATATTTATTGAACATACCAAGCCACCTTGGGGTATTTGCCAAGTTGGTACAGTAAATGATAATTTCACAAAACTTGCCACGTTTAATTTATTGCTGTTAACATATTCGTCAAATTTGCTCGTAAGTATGGCTAATCTGTGAGATATAAGTGATGTAATATCTACTTCATCAGCAGAGTCTTCCAATTTTTTATGCCAGACTTTGAATTTCTTAAATGCAGCAAAATGAGAGCGTGTTATTCCCAATGTCTGGTCTTCTTTATTGAAACATAACACACAAACCTAAAATATAAAATAATTACCATGATATAACTTTTGCATACAGGGAATAACAAAGTATTTTCAAATAAAAATGATATTCACCTTGTACAAGTATCCATTTTGATCACGTTGAGCAAGAAAAGACAATCTCTGAGTGAAGGCAGAGCAATCAAAACAAAAAATTTCACCACATCTAAAAAATAGTTCATAGTTGACAAAACAAAGTCTTATTATTGTTGTACAGGTTAAATAACTCTAAATAAAAGATTGTCAAATAAGATAAACATGCTATTGCAAAAAAAGAAAGACACTACAAACTATGTATGAGAAGCAAAAATAACTAATGATACTTAATGTATTAAACAGATGAGAAAGGAAAGATGTGAAGATATTATTAAAACAAAGACAAACATATTTTCACAGCTTTATGACCTAAAGTTAATTAGTTGCTTGAAAACCTACTGAACTACCAATTACTGTCTATTGGTTTTAACACCTTCAAAATTTGGTATTAAACCTTCACTTAACCTCACCTAAGCTCACATCAACTTCACAATCCATTTCATTACCAATACACAGTATGTAAATATTGGCATATGACAACATAACCTGTCATTAAACAAATTCAAATTTTAAAGAATTTACAGGGACCATGGCTCAAAAAGTGCTTTTTTTCTTTGAGTTAAATTTTTTTTCTTTGTAAAAAGATTTTTCACTGAGCAGTATGTTGAGAAAAGTTGCTTCAGTAATTTTATCATTCTATGTCAATACAGCAATTTAATTCAACTATAAATCAAGATAAAATATTTGGAAAACTGGCACTTGCCACTAAAATTATATTAATGTTAGTGTAATCAACAACACAATGACTGAAGTAAATATAATTTTGTAAGATAAGGTATTACCCTCATGTTAAAATTTTCCATTAGTGATCACTTGCAATATTATTAAAAAGAACAAAACTGATAAATCAACACACAATAAGACATAACTCAGTTAGGGAGCGAGAAACCCTTTTCCCGTACTTGCCAGCAAATGGACGAGAGGGGGTATAAACAAAAGCAAAAGACCAATATCTTGAACTATCAAGAAAAACTTTTTATGTGCCATTAGCCTGGTAAGGCATTTTTAACATTAGAAAATAATATATGTCAGCATTAAATATCGTTTTTACAAAGCAAGAAACGTAGAACTTTATGGTATTCATACAAAATATATTCATATATATATATTCACAGAATAACTGAGATAGTCCAGATCAAATTCTACAAAAATCTATTTTTTGCGTGCCTGAAAAGCAACTTTTGCACCACATTTTCGCTATTTGTTTCTTGCAGTTGCTACAAGTCTACGACTAATATCATAAAAGGATAAAGGAAGAAATAGAATCACTCTTATAATTAAGGTATCGTTCAAATAACTTTAATTACCTTCGACAGTGATGTTTTCTTTCAGTGAACGAAAAACTTTTTGCACAATTTACGTTTGAGCATTGACTTCTGTCTTTATCAGCAACCCAATGTGATTTTGTTATCTTTATCAACTTTTCACCTCCATGTTGTTTTTCATGTTCATAAAGAAACATTTCGATTGAAGCTGAAACATGTTTCCAAAGCAAATCGACATTTTTCTCACTTTCAAAGTTGCTACTTTCCTTGTTACTATTCAAATCGAAATTGTCATTCGCCATCTTGGCTGTCATGCATTGGTCATTGATGATTAAACAAAGTAAGCCCCGGATGTCCGTAGGATAGCAAGATGGTGATTTTTATTTTCGGTGTATATCTTGCCTCCAACCATGCAACTAATCTATTCTTAGACAACACAAAATCGTCTGTGTTCACTCCCTGAAAAAACAACAGATTTATAAAATAAATAACGATGAATTAATGAAATAACATACAGGACTCAAACTTGCAGGCTTGCTGTTGCCACTTGTCTTAATTCAGCATCTTTACGAGCCAAAATCCAATATGGCTCATTTGCCCTTTTTCAAGTCATCATTTTATCAATTTTACCAAAATTACAATTTACAAGTGTAGATTATTGAAACAAATCTGCTAACGCGTGTATACATATGTTCATCATGCTGTCAGTCACTTAATTCACTCTGAAGACACCTACTACTGAAGGATGACGAAATTTTATTCAGCGTCAACACAAACAGTACTTTTCTGGACTACCCTAACCTGATAGATCCACAATTACAAACATACGGCGATACTTTCTGAGTTCAAATCATTTTATTCATTTCTTTTATTTAAAATTTCGTTATATGAGTAAATACTTTGGTTGTTCCAAAGCAGTTGAATAAACTTTATACTAACTAAATTTATGATAAATGAATCGCTACAAAAACATTTACATGAAAGTTATGTTTCCAAAAAATTATAATATTTAATCAGGAAATATTTTCTTGTATTTAAATAATTTGTAAACAAAAATATGTGATAAATTATAAAAATATTCGATGGATTTTAAAACCTGCATGCTAACGAAGACACACCATAGTTGGATAAGATATTTCGGAAAAAAACAAAATATGGAAAGAATAGAACTTAAAGACACATTCTACTCACAGCCATATAGCAATAGCCATTAAAACAAAATTGAAAAATGAGACAACAATTTTCTTTCGAAAGATTGCAGAGTTACTATCGAACGAGTTTATTGTTGTAGTGGACTTAGTATAGACTTGCTGATAGCTTCGTGTATCTGCTTCCCTCTCTAAAATATAAATATTATTTTAACTTTTATCTTAGGTAAATATATATTTTCAAGTGAGTAAAAAAGTTTTATTGTGTGTCAAGCACATGTTGTTGGCTATCCACAGACATTTTACATTGACCTCGAGCTGTGAACTCTTCAAAAACAAGATTTCGAACATACTAACTACATCAAAAATGTTTCATATGTTTAGAAACAATCTTATGATTTCATCACTTTATCAGTTTTATGGTCTGTGGACACATATCGCCAATATTTACCTTTTTTGCTTGTAACGGGAAATTGCGTAGTTCCTGTAAATTTTGTGTTTGAATAACCAGAAATAAGAAAGACTTGGTAACACATCAAGTTATTGAAATGGGAAGGCGTAAATTGGTCTTACCTTTCACTTTCAAAACGAGGGTCTTCTTTGCTCTTAAACCAGCCTTGTTAATTGGCACACAACTATATTCACCGTTGTTTTTAACTTTTACTTGTTTAACAGTGTACTTGCCACTAATACTTTCGCTGAATATATATTTTTTTCAGATGAAAGTTTTATCTTTTTGAAAATAAATTTATTTTAATTACAACCAACTTAAACATCCATAAATTACAAAGTTCAAGAAGCCACTTTTTTCTTCTGCTAATACTACACAAGAGTTTCATCTTTTTCATAAAAAGTGTTTAATTGCTGCGTTTTTCTCGTTCTAAAGCGGTGGTTAGGAGGCGGAGGTAATATAGCTACAGGAATCAAAAATGGTCGACCGATGGATAATTCAGAAGAGAAATGACAGATGCCATCTTTTTCACTACCACCAGTAGTCTCACCAGAGCTTGAAGCTGACTCCAAAGTTGGTCTGCCATAATGATCGTCCAGATGATGCAATTTGCCAAATTCATAAGCTTGAGCTAATTCATCTCTTGATGAACTGTATTCAGAAGATGTAGAATCATAACATCGGGGAGGCCTGTATGCTAAGATATGATCAACATCCGGACCAACAATAAAATGCCCATCTTCATATTTTGGCCGAACGGGCAACATGTTCAAGGAAACGCAAGGTGCCCAAGATTGAAAATAAACCTTTTCCTTGCCTTTGGGAGTGAAAGTTGGAGACGAATTTTCCATAATCTTTGTGTTTTCACAACAGACTTTCAAATTAGATGTTTGGCTGTTTTCCGTTGTATTTATTTCTTCATCATATTCTTCTGGATCAATATATTCTCTACACAAAATTATAGTAAATTGTGAAAGAAAGTATTTCATGAATCCTACAAACTACACATCATGCAACACTAAACGAACCTTGAATTCATCATCAATGTAGTTGGCGCTGGAGTACCATTGGAGCCGGATCTACAAGGGATTGATGAAGTCTGACGAGTTTCTGTTACACTACATGATTTGATATCACCACATGTCTCCGGGCCAATTCCTTCATCTGAAGAACCACTAGCACGAGGTCCACCATTTGGACCTAAACAATCCATACGGAGCGTTAAAATAAAACTGACACCTACAACTACGCATTTCAGATTATTTTGATGTATAATATATGTAAATAAAAATTCAACTCGTACATTGTGAACCTTGGTACAATACCCCTGCATTCCATCTTTGACAAGCAAGGACACAAAAGAAAACAAAGTCATTAGCAAACGTTTACCTTCGTCCGAAGCCTACTTAAATCGATGCGACCATGACTAGGTCAAGGGAAAGTGTATTTTTAACTCGCAGACCTTCCCTTTATTTTGGATTGCACTGAGCTTAATATTGTCATTTGTGAAAACAAACATTTTTTTACCAGCGGCACTATAAACTAAGATTTCAAAATAACTATGTATAATGTCTATAAGTTTTTGCAGCTGTCTAGTTCATGAGAGGGCGTTGAATTTTCTACAGAACTAAGAATTTGGTGAAATACAAACAAATTTAAAGTATCATTTGAAGAAATTGAACTTAAGTTAAAGCTTGTCTATTTTACCTGGGGTAAAGTTACCAAATGGAATTGGAGGATAACCGCCAGTAGCATAACCTGACTCAGTAATACGGCTTGATGTTCGTGGTAAACTGAATGTAGAACTATTATAGGAAGCTGGACCTTGACTTAACGATGAAGATGAGCCACCAAGATGACCATCAGTTGACGAACCATCTGATCTCCGTTTTAAATTTCCTCTAAAAACAACATGATCGATGGAATCGAAAAATCAAGAAGTTAGAAACATAATAAGCAAAATAGAAGAAGCAGCAAAATATCGTAATTACCGTCGATCAGTTTTTGAGATTCCTTTAGTGACAAACCATCTCCAAATTTTTACTGACCCTAAATATCCACACCAACAATATTTAATTTACATTTATTCATCATTGATACATTAAATGTTTCTCACTTTGTTGCAATTTTGTCATAGGATTGAGACCTAGTTTTGTAAGCAAAGCCAAAATGATAACAACAAGAATGAGAAAAACGCTGACTCCAATTAAGGTTCCAATAACCGCAGAATCTTTGAAAATAGTTGATCGAGAAAGTGCAGTTTCTTCTTTGTTTGGATCATCTTTCTCTTCAACGGGTTCTAAAACTCCACCTAAAAATTAATCTTAAGTTACTACACTATACTCATGTTTTTTTTTGGCACAAAATTACATTTTGGTTACACCATCAACGATAGTTTCAATATTATTTTACCATTTATTTTAAATCTTAGTCTTTGTATTCCACTGAAATTTCCTTCTCCAATTTCATTAACTGCCTTCATTCGAAAAAAGTATGATCTCGCAGATTTTATATTCTTTACAATACACTCAGTGACATTGTGATGAATAGAAATGTTAACCCAGTTGGGGATTTCTTTTTGTTTATAATTGAGTATGATGTTCGTTAAATCTGCATTCCATTTGAAACCGTTGATCCAAGTTAATTTTACAGATGTCATGCTCACTCCAGAAAATCTAATGGACTTTGGTGGATCAGGAGGCGCTAAAACATAGAAATATCTGTGATAATTTGTATCATAAATATGTACAGATCGCAAGAAAAACGAACCTTGTACTTTCAAAATGATACTTTTATTTATTGATCCCCACTTGTTCTTCACTTTACAATAATAACGGGTAGAATCTCTTCGATCAACATTTTTCACAACTAAATGATTATCTTTATTAATGTGATATTTGTGAGAAAGGACAATGGGTTTTCCATTTATATCGAGCCAAGATATAGTGGGTATAGGATAACCCGAGAAGTGACATTTCAAGACAGCTGTATGTTTCCAACGCACAATTATATGTCCATTGTCGTCATTAATAAACGATGGAGGACCTTTAACAGAAAAATTTGCTAAAATTTATTATAATACTTCGATATTTCGTTTTAATACTTCAATATCATATATATTTCCCATTCTCGCGTAAAGATTTTCCGTAGACATAAAGAAAATAAAAATTAAATCATTTTTACCAGGTAATGGTAGTTGCGTTAAACTGTGATCATACGGAATACAAGCTTTGAAAATAGGAATATGTTTTTTTGTTACCTCTGCTAGTGCTAGCAATCCCTTTCTTTGTACAATTTCCTTCACCTTTACTCGTTTTCGCACACACCCAAAAATAATACGTTCGATTCTCAGATAAATTCTCGAATTCGTGCTCTATTTTTGTGCCCTCAACATAATGAATATTGTATGAATGTTTCCTTTCCAAGTTTTTAACGTTGTTTACAAAGTATATTTTGTAATTTGTAATTCGCCCGTTTGGTTTATTGGGTTGTGACCAACTTAATTTAATACTCTGTAATGATGTTGTGGTTGCACGAAGATCTGTTGGAGGGCCTGGAACTGATTAAGAAAAAATTAAAACATTTTGAAATTGCTAACAAGTGCTGGTAAGTATGGCAGTTGCCAAAGCTTTCAAACGAAACAAATTGGTAATAAAATAAAGTTTTATAACGTAACACGTGTTTTATCTGAATATATTGTCTTAATAAACACGCATATGGCAGGGGTGGTGTCAGGAATTCCTCGACGGAGGGCTAAGGTCGCCGACGGGGTGGGGATGACTTACTTGGCTGATGACAATGCGCTTTCGATGCAAATCCTTTTTTCAGACAAATTTTTTAAAAATTATTATCAATCCTCGCTAAATCGTTGGAACATATAGTTTGTTTTGGAAATAATAATTTACATCTACATAAAAAATTAACACTACGTATTCGACTAGTTGTGAGAGCCGCAACTAGAAAGCTAATTTTGGAGATGGGTTGTTTTTTTCATATATTCGGTTGGGCCCAATTGGTTTTTTCGAAAAGAAAATTTAATTTAAAAGAAGTCAGTCTGGCACAACTGAATATATGAATATCTCCACCAAGCATCGTTGTACTAACAGCCCTCCTAGTCGTGCATGCATCCATGGATTTACATATGATTGGCTATAACAAACCTATACAGCCTATACAGTAAGTAAAAAGAATGTCCTGGGTTTTCTAGTAATGTTGGATAGTAATAATCAAATAATAATTATCTCCGTCAAAGCTTTATAAACATGTTGAACATTTTCTTTAACTTATACAAAGTTGTAATCAAAGTAAGACGAGGATTCATTGGTTATTAGGTATACTATATTATTTTTTTCTTGTTTAACTTAAATCTTATGTTTTGGCACTTTATCTCAATGTTACCCTGTTAAACTTTTTTTCTGGTGAGCAGTTCTTTTTGACTGCATGTATATAATGAATCAGTTATGTACTAGGAAATAATTTATAAACATTAGAAGCAATATTAAAAATGCACGAGAAAGTTATAACTTCGATGAATCATTCGATTTGATTGTTTAATGTTCAGAAAACAATTTACACTAGGAAAACCTAGCGTTGAACTTGCTCACTGCGGTAACCAAATCCAGTTTGCTCCCTAGACCACAATGAATTCCTAACATCATTAGCTGTCCAGACGCTTCATGGTGATTTATCAAAGGCAATAGCCGCAATACATGTAAAACTGGCAGAATCTGATGCTCATTGCTGATTTGAAACTCAAGCAGCAGAGCTTTTTAGCTTTTTTAAAAAAATTTCCTTTCAAAGTCGAATTGCAAAAAACAACCGACAGAAAACTTATAGCGGGCAAGCTTCGTGGCGATTGCATATGCAAACAATCTCATGTGGCATTTGCATATCTGTTTGCGTGTGAAGATTTTTGCCAATGCTGAGTGCTCACATTACTTTAACATTGAAAATTATATTTTGTCGTTATTCATTCCCCGACAAATCGTCAAATTTTCCCCGACGGCGGGGGGCTAGAATTCTCGACAGGGGGAGGGCTGTATAGTACAGCTAAGTTGAAAATGTGTACTACTTATGACGTTAATTTAGCAAACATGGCAGCCAAAAAAGTTCCCACAAAAAGAACAAAAACCGATAATTTCAACTCTGTTTCCATAAAAATGATGTTGAGAGCAAGTACTTTTGAATAAGCAAATAAAACAATGTAAGGAGATTTCACTGCATAAGCACTTTAAGATGGCGGACTTACTGTCTTCATCTGTACGAGCATTGAGTCGAGAACTTTGTTTACCAGGACCTTGCGAAGTTAATGCAGACACTTGGATGGTGTAATTGCTAAATATTTCAAGATTCGCAATTGCTACGCTTGTTTCATTTTCTAACACATCAATCCAGCTCTTCGGTCCTTTTGGTTTACGAAAGTAATAAACACGGTAACCAGTGAGAATGCCATTTATGCTTTTTTCTGGTGGTTTATTCCATTGTACTGTTAATTTTGTCGATGTTCTCCCAATAATCATAACATTTTTTGGTGATTGTGAAGGAACTGAAAGATATATACTATTTTTATGAGACCCGTATATCACAAGTATATATTCATTTCAAAAACATACCTCCTTCTAGAGTACGTTGAATAACAACGCTTGAGTTTGGTCCAGGACCTACTTTAGTGAATGCCTGAATCTTCATTGCATAGTGTGTATAAGGTTTGAGTGAAAGTAATGTAGTTTCAGGTCTATTTATATGTCGAATGATTTTCATTTTAAATGACTCGGTCATTCTAAACTTTTCTTTCCACCAAATAACATACTTCGTGATAATGCCATTAGCATCATTCACGCTGAGTCTCTACAAAAGAAAACAATTGTCGCATCAAATGCAATATTAAGGAAACTAAATTCTCGTGCTCATAATTTGTTACCGTCCATTTTATCCTCAAACTTTTTGTAAAACGAGAAAAGAACATCTTTGGAGCTGCAGATGGAACTGACAAAAAGTAAAACAATAGAAATACACATTAAACATATTGCTCTTCGCAGTTCGCACGCATATCACTGGTTAATATTACCATCTTGAGCAGTTTGAACATAAATTGCATTTGAAGATTTACTCAATCCTATGTCATTCTTAGCTTTGATCCACACTTTGTATTCCGTATACGGTTCAAGTTTAGCAATTTTACACGAATTAGTCGCAGCAATAGCAATATATTTTCTTATAAAAGGATAAGTTGTTCCCTCGTAAACAATTGTATAACCGGTTATAGGACTTTCGCCATCGAATGGTGGTGTCCAATAAATGGTAACACTTCTTTTTTCATTTTTATACTTATCAAGTATTGGTGGATTAGGTTTATCTGAAATAAAAATTAGTTTTAAATAAAGAAGCGTTATCATCAAATAAACAAATCAAGATTAATACATAGTAATAACTAACCACGTATTCTTAATTCCAAAGATTTTTCATCTTTTCCAAACGAGTTGAAAATTTTACAAATATATTTTCCTGCGTCTTTGCGAGCAACACGTAAAAGAGTTAAAACAGAAATTTCTCCCACTCTACTGATCATTAAATTCGTACTTTCAAATAACTTTTGCTGATTTTTAAACCAAGTAATTTCTAAGCGTTTTTCTCCTATTCCTTCGCAATATAAATTCGTTTTATTCCCAGCAATTGCAAACTCGGTGTACCTCCAATTAATTATCTTTGCAGGAACTGTAAAAAGGATAAAAACAGAATTATTATTATTAACTCACAACGTTCCTCTATAGAAAGGACTGAATGTATATTACTGTTGACATTCAACGTGATGGTTAAATCAGCTCTTGAACGATGAGAGTTTGATATTTCACATGAATAATCTCTCTCGTCTTGTAACGTCACGTTACTTATTTTAAGAGAACCATCATCGATCAATTGAAAACGAGACGATTCTACAATTTCTTCAAAATTTCCTCCAATCTGACGTCGCCAAGTTGTCCTCGGACGAGGAAAGCCACTACCACCGCAGCGCAATGTAATGTCATTATTTTCAACAACGCTCGTAAAATTAGGACTGTGGTCTCTTGTGAAACGGGGAATGGCTAAAAAATTTTGAATTTGATCATAAATAAATTTTTATGAAAACTTTGTTCACCATTTATTTACACTTACTTATTACAAATATTTCTGTCACTTCTTTGCTAACTTCATCATCGACTTTTTTATAACAAGTGTATTTCCCTGCATCGTTTTTAATGATATAGTCAAGGTTTAAAATACACATATCCAAGACTTTCTTCACACTAATTCTGGTTTTGTCAATCACGTTGTTGAATGTCCATTTTATGCATTGATGACAAACAAAAGTTTTTCTAGTACCTTCTTCCAGAATTATCAGTTCATAAGTTTCAATCGATCCTACAAATGATGAAAAAATCTTGTTCTAAAACAATGGCATAAAAGATTTTCTCAAAAATGTCATAAATCTTGTTCTCAAAAAATGAAATACAATTACATCTTTTGATATACGCTATGAAGGTTGATGACAGATTTGTGAATGATTTTGTAAATAATTGCATAAATGTTGCCACAATCCTTGCTAATGTAAAACTAAAATACAACTGAAATTCAGGGATAAAGCAAAGTTTCGAAAAAACGTTTTAGAAAACGTGAGACTACTACATTACTGTTGAACTGTCAATTTACTATCTGGAATCAACATTCAAATTGCAACAAAAACGTAGAGTGCAGATATAAAAAGAACAACCAAAATCATCAAATGTTCTAAGGGAGGGAGTGTCACAAGATAATAGAAACTATAGTGCCTGCCTATTTTTCTGTAAAGATCATTTTTTCGTGTGATAAAGCTAAAAACATAGAGCAAACTAGCAAAAGAAGTTTAAAAGCTAGGGCAGTCAATAAAGGGGATATAATGTGTAAAGAGATGATCACACAGAGCATCTTTGGTAAATATCATTGTCGTGCACGTGTGCCAAGAAAGCCAAAAAAAAGGAGTTTATAACAGAAGATGATTGCAGCCAATAGCAGCTTGCAAAATTCAGATTTTCGTTTTCATCACAATACTGCAAAATCATGATGATCATAATCTAGTCGAACTAAAAATGTGATGTTTATAAAAAACTAAACTTAAATGCAAGTTTACGTTTTTTCCAAAAGTAATGTTATCAAGTTCTTGTGTCAACTTGACCAAAATCACCATCATGAAGATAATAAGCTACTAACCCTGCAGTTTCATGGCAACAATTAGTACCTTCTTTACCTTGAAAATCAAAGTAATGAAAACTTACGATTGACAGATAGTTTGACAAAAGCTTCATCAGTAAAACCCAGCTGACCTCGCGCATCACATTTATATCGTCCAGCGTCAGCTTCAGTCATCTTTTAATAATTAAAGTACTTTTGCCTTTACTATTTAAAACTTTATGGCGATAACCAGATGGCGCTCGCAAACCGTTGTTGTCATACCACGTGATTTGTGCTTGTGGAAGCCTTGGGCTTTGCACGTAATCTTCACGTGTTTTCCTAAACGCCCACTGATTTTTTTGGGAAGACTAGTAATTATTGCCGGTCCTGCAAACAAAATTTTTTTTTCATGCGTTATAAATTGAAAAAATTGGCATTTAAATTTTACCTTTTACCAAAATCGCTGCTTCAACATGGTTTGAGCCAGCGCGATTCAGAACTTCACAACGATATAAACCACTATCAGCTGCTGTTAAATTTTTAATTTGCAATGTCCATAAGTCATGATAATGTTTAAGATTAATCCTCAAATCATTAGTTTTTTCAATGATCATTCCATCTTTATACCATATTAAACTAAGTTGTTCCTTTCCTACCGCCTTACAAGAGATGTCAAGTTTGGAAGAAAAGGAAAGATTTTGCTGCTTGAACGCTTCAACAATGATTGGAGCCTTAGCTGCAACATAATAACGTACAAATTACTGAAAATAAAAGAGAACAAGAAAATCAAAATATTTACGCCAGTATTTTATAAAAATTTTCCTTACTTCCAACAATGAGTGATGCTGCTTGATGAATAGTTTCAAAACCATTACTTGCTATACATTGATAAATTCCTTTATCTCGTCCCCAGGTTGATGTAATGATCAAACGAGTCCCATTTCGTATAATTTTGGTATTGTTCTTTATCTCTTTTGCATTCTTATACCAAATAATTCGGGGAGAAGGATAACCGCTAACATCACAGGAGAATGTTGCATTGACGTGGTAAGTCGTACAGATCTTTGTAAGGTTAGTGACAAATTTTAAGGGAACTAAAAGAAAATATCGTGTTATAAATAAACTTCATGTTCTTCTAAAATTAAAATATTACAAATTAAATGTAGGATACACAAGTCCTTGTGCGGGCATGCCTCTCGGTTAGGGCACCTTTCAAAGCCCTACAATCTAGCCGAAGTGTAAACGGTGCTATGGCAACTTAACACAACTGGAAATAATGTGATGTTTACACTAAGTTTTAAAATGAAATCTTTGACTTATTGCTGGTATTCACTAACTACATTTGCAGTTGTTTTACGGAATAAAAAGATTTGTATGAACTATTTCAAATATACCTCGAACAACCAGAGTAGCAGAAGATGAGATTTCTTCCTGTGTTGTTTGATCTCGAACAATGCAAAAATACTGTCCAGTATCTGCTAAAGAAGCTTTTAATATTTTTAAGCGACCATTGATCAATCGGTAACGATTACTGACACGTAATGTTATGTTGTTGTGATTCCAAGTATACAGCACGTTTGTTTTGGAAACAAGACATTCAAACTCAGTTTGTTCTCCTTCGACAACGGTGCGATTTTCAGGTACAAGCTTGAATTTTAAAGGCACTTTTGCGATGTCTAAAAAATTATACTTTGATTACGAAAACTGTGATAAAAAAAAGTAAATTGCAAGCAAATTATGAAAGACGGTATCTCTTATTGACATGCATTTCCTTATTTTGCTTAGTTTCAAACTCATACCCTCAAACAACTAAGAACCGACAACATGCAGGCATAAAAATTTGAATGAGAGCCACCAACTTCAGACGTATTTCAACGCTTTCTTTAACAAAACTTCCTTAAACTATCATTGTAAAAACGTAACTATGTGGCGGTGCATGTAAGTAATGTAACTTGCAATATTAGGTCTCTGGTAGTCGCTGTAATAAATGCACAAAGTTCCAACGTGCCAAAACGTTGCATCTTTTCTATAAAATATATGAAAATAGATACCTGCAGAATTTCTTATGAAAATCTTGGCTACATTGCTAGCTACCATTTCATCGGTGAGAATGTTAACAACAACACAAAAATAAAGTTTGTCAGAGTCGCTTTTCTGTACATCCTTTACAACAAGGTTATCCTTTGGTGCAACTTTTAGAGGTTCTTTGTTAACAAACCATTTGGCAACCTTAACATATGATTTCACTTTGTCTGGATAAATACAACGAAATGAGACCGAAAATCCACTTCTTTGCACATATTGATCTCTTAACATGACGTCGAACTGTGTCAGAACAACTAAAAAGGGTTAACATAACGTCAAATCTATTTGCATGTGCAAGATTGGTTTTTCTCCATGTATATCATTTTGTTAATACATCAATGTCGACAATATTAATTATATGTATTCAAATTTTCCTACCAGCTTTAACTGAAGCAGGTTTGCTCAGTATTGCTTGGTTATGTAATGTAAGATTTGCTATACACTGGTATTTGCTGTTATGTATGTCTTCAACATATTCATGAAACGGTTTAAACCAAAGAGAACCATTGGGCAAACTAACGATAAGACTGGAAACGTTTCGAACAACTGAACCATTTAAGAAACGCCAGGTTATCGTAATTTGCTGGTCATTGTTGTCATTTGAAGTTGCTTTCGCAACACAATGAAGATATCCTGAATTTTGACTTGAAAATAGCAAATCAGATGGTTCTTCGACAAATCGGAGAGGCGTTGAGTATTTGCCTAAGAAAGAAAAAAGTCATCATGAAAGATAACATCATAAACTATTCAATTATTTCATAACAAAAATTACGAATCGTGTCGAAAAAAGACAGTTCAGCAATTGCTATTAAACAGTTTGCCAATGATGAGACCTTCGAATTGTCGTATTTGTTGATAATTTTGATAAGCTTCAAATATGAAGACGTTTAATGGCAGCTGATGATTAGACTGAGAAGGTTTTGTGGTTTATAAATATATTCTAGCTAGTGCAAAAGTTTCATTAAAATTTTACGAGATTCCATTTACGGTCCACAAAAGTCATGAAGCGAGTTGAACATTTCAACAATAAATAACACAAACATTCAACTCTAATGACAATATTTCAATAGTTTAATAGCAGAAATATGCGCATTTAATGAAAAAATGTCAGTGAGTTTTTAACGGTGACAAGAATTAAACAAAAGTGATGAAAACAATCCTATGTATAGTTCAGCTCAACAACTTTTGATAGTGCAGCAATAAGAAAAATACAATGGCTTATGGCATCAGCGATGGTTTTAATTTAATGGTTAATTTTTTAGCCTAAGTTTCTTTTCTTTTTCTTTCTCTTACTGCTCGCACACATATGCCTTAAGAATTAGCAATGAATCATATCAACGCGACAATAAAAAATGCAACTTCAATCATTGAATACGTTTATATTGTTACTCTATCAATAGATTTTTTTTATTTTACTGAAAAGAATAAGCTATAGCAAGAAATAAAATCGTAGCAATTGAAGCTACTTTTCGTAACACTGTTTTATCAGAGATTAACATTGTCGTTATAACTACGCCAGGCAATACAAGAAAATGGAATAAAGACAAAACTTACTTGAATACACAAAAGCATTTGTAAACAGTATGAAAAATATTATAGAAATCATTCTATCATCCTCTCAGGGTATATCATCTGTTTTCACATCGTTCATTTCGCAGGCATCTCTTCATTACATTTAGTGGTTAAACGCAACCTGTTTAAATATGAATATAGATAGTAGTTCTTTCAATTCATTGGAAAATATAGGTTACAGGTGGCTGTATGGCTTTTTGAAATAATCGCAGTTGCATATAAGCATGCCTCAAGTTTAAAATTTTACATGCAAAAAAGGTTTATATTACATATGAAAAATTAACATCAGATTTCCGCAATTTCCCACAGTTAATGTCGACTAACGCTGGATGTGGTAGTCATCGACACTCGACGAGCCTTTAGGTAACGGTTAACAAAAAATTGCCATATTATTTTTATACGTAATATTGACATCGAGATATATCAGATGTCATGATTATGTTTTCGGAAAACTTGTAATGAAAACTTGAATTTTCTGATACCTCTTTAAAGCATTTGTATTTAGGCCAACATAATCCATGGTTAGCATACAACAAGAGTTAAGTTTTTCTTTTCTAGATAAGACGTAAACATGACATGTAACTGTTCATTGAAAATTGTACATTATTTTCTGTTTTTTAATACCCTACAAGTTGTTTTTCTAATTCTAAATTCAATATTGCTCTTAGATTTCTAACACCAAAATATTGTCTTGTGTTCGTTTAAAAACTACGATAATTACGTTCACATGGTCGATAGGATATGACAGGCGTTGTATGATTAGCACATTAACCAAAGATAATTCTAGAGGGTCTTCTCAAGTCTAAGAAGACACAATACATATAAATATTGGATAAATGTAATTGTAATATATTTTAAATTATGTTTATCGCCTTGATAACTGTATGTATAATGAATGTTGGACCTCTAAGCCATAATTTCATAATTCTTTTCCAAAATCTTTTATTCAATACTTGTGCTAGTTAAAATAAACAGCAACCGTGTTATATAAAGACTTAAGTGACAGCATGCAGTTCTCAACTTCTCAAATAATCGTTCTAAACTTCCCTTTAGATTACATTACTTGGTACGACAATATATGTTCTGCGGGATTTATAATCTTTCCGCCCTTGTCCAACCATAGGTGATCTTTTCTTATCGTCCCAATGTCCATACAAAATACAGCTGCATTAAAACCACCCGGATGAGCACGCGTAGCCAGCCCGTTAAATTTTTGACACGCACAACTATTGCCGGCCTCGCAAGTTTTAAATAATTTAATAAAAACATTTCGCTTCTTATAAAAGCTGGCAAGCACGGAATACCGATGCCAGATCTTACTCTAAACATGGCCACTGAGAAAATTAAAAGCTAGCAAAAGAATTTATTAAGAAAAATTTCCACGTATGTTTCAAAGTGAATTCATATTCTTTAAATACAACGTATTTTCAATATAATCTTTCAGCAAGCAAAAATTGTTGACGATCAAAAACCTAACAAACATGACCGTAGTTTGAAACATCAAAGCCAATACACTCACGAATATGCTCCATTGCTTGCTCGACTTCCCTATCGATTGATGTAAATATTGCTATTGAACGAACCCCGAACAACCTTAGTACATTAGAAATTTCATGAAATTCGCTGAACAGTGTAAAATACGGTCAAGAACAAAATCATCGATATAAATAAACAATTTTAAAACACGAATAAGTACATAGATAATCTACATAAAAATAAATGACAATAAAACATACATTAATGTGAAACATAATACGATAATATGAATAATGCGCTTTACCTTGTGAAAAATCTTCATCATACAGAGTATCATATCAAACTATGACCAAAAACGATGTAAGCTTAAATAACTGGTAGCATGACGATCATTAATGAATGAAAAATCACTAACAATAAGCGCGAGTTTCCGTTGACTGTCATTGTTATTCAAAGTTTACTGCAGCCAAATAGGTGGAACAAAATTGATTATTTTGCATATTCATAAATAATACTTGGTATAACAGTTTGATAGTTATAAATAGTAAAGTTCGGGATGGGTTTATAGTAATAGACTGATATCTTACAAACTGGTTACTCATTTCGTCTTTATTAAAACAGAGCAAGAAAATAGAACACCAACATACTTAGTTAAATAAGACCAAAAAAGATCGTTAAATGATCTCGCCCATACAATATGAGGTTACCCAAATTTATTATTATCTTATCCAGGTATTTCTACACAAGTATTAAAGTACGCTAATTACATTTTGAATTAATAATACAGTGATAAATCTCTTGAACTCAATTGTAAAAATATGTTCAATGAAATTGATGAAAAAAGTCATTTTGTAAAACGTATGTACGCTATAAGCCTGACTAATCGTATAATAACATTTGAAATAGATGCTGGCAAAACTTCTGTGAACAAAAACATGCCAATGTTAACATTTTGTAAAACATTTTTACCTAATGCTGTAGCTACATTGCAGAAAAATATCTCTGGATTTTATTACTCCCAATAATTAGAATTTTTTTCTCTATGCATGTCAAAATAAGTAACAGGGCAAAAAACCTTCAATTATTACTTATCGAGAAACGTTATTCGTCATCAGTTTCTTCGTAACTTCCAACATTAACATACTCATCTTCACCAAATTGATCCATATTTACGAAACTCTAAAGACAAAATTTGAAATTCGACAAAAACAAAACAATGTTAAACGTTTTGAAATTATTTTGATATGCCATTAATGAACCTGTTGAAGAGAGATAAAACGAAGAAATTTTGCAGTAAGTTCAGCAAATGTAGGACGTTTGTCGGGATTCTGTTGCCAACATTCCCACATTACAGAGTAACTAGAAAACAAGATGTCATAATTAAAATAAGAAGAGATCATATGATCTCCTAATGACGTAAAAACTCACACTTCATCAGAACAATGTGTTGGTTTGGGCATCCTGTAGCCACGCTGTAAACTATCAATGACGTCATCACGATTCATATTTGGGTAAGGATTTCCACCTGCAATGTTCGTATCAACGATGAGAAGCGAACAGATATAAAATATAGTTATAATATCTGCACCTAAAGTAACAATTTCCCAGAGAACAACACCAAACGACCACCTGAAACAAAAACAGGTTTGTAAACAAAATATACAAATTAAAACATGAAACATGAACTCAAAAGACATACGCATCACTTTGATTTGTAGTAATTCCATTAAATATAGACTCATAAGCCATCCATCTTAAAGGTAAACGACCCTAATTAAAAGAAATTCAAACTTTAGAAGATTTATTAGTATACAGACTTCGCATGCTTTTCATAACTCTTGCTTTGTTTACGCGTGTTTAGCTTGGACCATTGAAACACATGAAAACATTGTTTTATCCAAGAAACAACAAATCGTCCTTATACGCTGACATGTTTTATATTCTCGCTACAGCAGTTGAAGTTTCCATATTTTGATAACTTGATCCAAACATGGACATGGACCAAAAAGAGAAAGCGTTATACTCATGTTACATTAACCTCAGCTGAAACGGTGATGAAATTGACAAATTTTGAAACATTCCTGGGTGACTGATCGTCACTATGATCAACTTTAGAAAATCAACCTTTCATTTACTCTCGATAATTTTAACTGTCACCAATTCTTACCAACTGTCACCAATTATTACCAACTGTCACCAATTACCACCGACTGTCACCAATTATTACCAACTGTCACCAATTACCACCGACTGTCAGTAATTAGAGAGCTTTAGCAAAGACTACGAGTACGAGTGCAAATTACGTCATTTTGGCGCGAAAACATTGTTGCGACAACAACAACACGTAGCCGTCATCAATTTGAGTACGATGTTTTGTAAAAAATTCGTAGTCGCGACTACGATTTTTTTTTAAGCAAAGAAAGTAGGTATATTTTTTCATTATGTAAGAAATTAGTTTACAGTACTATTGCCGAGCATCCAGGCTTTACTTTAGAACCTTTTTTGAGCGTAGATGTACATTTGAAAGGAAAATATGATCTTGAAAACTTTCATGTATTTCGTACAAAAAGTGAACGGTAAACAAACAATAAAATTGTGAAAATAAAATACATCGTTCCTAAAATTTAAAATAGTGAAGATTTTTCACTCTAAAGAGTCCTATGTTCTCGCGAAATCAGTATTACCGATTAGTTGATATCATTATTGACAAATGAAGCCGTAGCTGCTTCGCAAACGTCGGTGTTTTCACAATAAAAAGGCTCGTTCTGTTGTTTATAGCTAAAACTACATTTTGACGAAGCGACAACGACAACAAACTTCCTCGTGCCATTCCCTTACACGGTCAAACTTCGTACTCGTTGTCGTAGTCGTACTCTTGCTAAAGCTCTCTATTATCACCAACTCTCACAAATTACTACCTAATGTCCCCAACTGTCTTTAATTGTGATTACAACTATGACTATGTGTTATCATCAATAACTACCGCTAACTATCAATAAATGTCTCCCATCAACGAAGACAAACTAGACACTACCAATTGCTAAGATTATTGTCATGGTAACCTGGGTTAAGACAATATCAAAAAAAATCGATCTGAAAAAATTGGGAGCACAACATACACGTTACAATTTAATGAACACCAAGAAACGAAATTTCATTTGCACGAAATATTGTATTTAAAATTTAACTTACACCAGTTGTCTTGCGGTAGTAATTTTCAGCGTAAATATCCCGGGCTAGGCCAAAATCTCCAATTTTGCATGATTTATCATTGCTGACCAAAACATTTCTTGCAGCCAAATCTCGATGAACACACTGCAAAATTTATATTATAAAAAATCAAATTAAAACTTGTGACTTATCGTTATCAAATGGACAATAAAAGTACCTTGATTTGTTCGAGATAGCTCATGCCTCTTGCAATTTGATAAGCAAATGTTAGCAAATCATTGGATGAAAAATGGCTGCTAAATGGAGCAAGATTTGAGTAAGTATCTTTGTTTTTTCCACGACTGTTTAAAAGAACGTCTTTTAAATTTCCTCCTGCAACATATTCCACAAGAATCATAACGTTTTCTAGATAAAAATATAAAAAAGTTAGAAACAGTAGAAAGCAGAGTTTACAAAAAAACATATTTACTCCAGTTGATTATTAAATAATGCAATTCGGACATACAAATTTTTTAGGTATTAATGACACCATCTACAATTTTAAAATGAATAACCTGATCGAGTACAGCAACCAACTAAAGCAACAATGTTTGGATGAGGAGACATTGTTTTCATAAATTCCAACTCGTTAATAAAATCTTTACGTTCTTTGGTCGACGAACGTTCTATAATGGAAGGATCGTTCTTCTCAAAATACTTTATTAGAAATGGCAAAATCTTAATAATACATTGACAGAGAAACTAATTCAAAACAAAAAAACTAAAACAGTGACAAACCTCTTAACATTTTAACAGCAACAGTGCGCGTTCCTTTTCGTCCTAAAATGTCACCTTTCCAAACCTGACCAAATTGACCTTCTCCAAGTTTTCTTTCCAATCTCATGCATTCTTCAGGAACTTCCCATTCTCCACGAGAACGAGGTTTTAAACTCTGATATTTTGCTTTTATTCCAAAACTTTTTGATTCATATGCATGAGGATTTTTAGGTTTGAACTCAATACGAGATTTTGTACCCCCATCATTAACCGTGGCGTATTCGGATGAGGAGACTGGGTGAGACGTTAACTGGCCAGGCTAAAATACAAGTATAAAAAACTACAGGAAATCATAGATAATTATAGTAAACACCAAATCATTTCTAACATGTTAATAAACGATTCTTGTCAATTTCGCTTACCGCGGCTGTATAACGAACAGTTGTATATACTCCTTCGTAATTGTTATTCACAATCTCTTTTCTTCTTCGACGATAACAATAAATACACAATATAATTATAGCTACAACCACCAAGGCGCCAACCACACATAAGATGATTATCAACATTGATGAATCTTCACCATTGATTTTTTTTCCTAGAAATTTAATTCCATAAAAAAGATTAAAAGATCCAGGCAGTTTTTGACAAGGTGAAGGTACGTACTGCTGGTGACTGACGTTTCGAGAGCTTTTGTAGTAATAATGTTCAAAAAAACATCAGTTTTACCGTATTCATGCAGTTTTTGTCTTGTTCATACACCACAAAATTATTTGTGAAAGTTATTTAAGTCTTGTTAAGTCTCATCTCGTTGTCATTATAGTTTGTGGATTAGTCCAACGAAGTATATAGATGCCTCGCGAATCGTATGTAAGGTGCCCGTGTCACAGTGAGTTGCGTTACCCCGAGAAATCTCTTAGCACACTAAAAAATGGAAGTACAACGCACTATTGAAGGAGCCTTATCCTTTACCATCATATATCCCTTAGGACCCCTACTGTAGTTAGTTTATGTAATAACAATAGCATTTAATCGCCTAACTTTTTTTCAGAAGTTTAACTTCGATGTAGAATTTGTATGGCGATGGAGATAGAAGCATTGTCCGTTTTAGCTATGGTAGCTATCTAAAGTAAAATTTTAGAATTCTGAGTGAGCGTAGATTTTGTTTAATCTCATACCGTCATAACGCTCATCAAACTTTAATATAGGCCAACTAGACAATCTTTAAAGCACAATTCATCGCATAAATTTGTATGAGAATTGAAAATGCTGTATGGTCGACTGTATTAGTAAAATATTAGTAATACATTGGTAAACAGTCTTTCATCTAAATGGTTCATTTGTACCTCTATTAGCTACAATATTTACTGAACAAACTTTTTAAATATGTCTTCGATCATCTTCAAAGATATTTTAACGGTGGAAGCAGATTACACGAGAGGACACAAATCGTTGTGTTGAGCATAGTGACGTATAGTGCAGGAAATTTGAAATTGTCAAAATGTAGTGAAATACTGATGAAACTTTTAGAAATTATTTAATACAAAATAGATAACAAAATTGACAATTTACAAGTGTTCACTTGTACTAGTAGTAAAATGTGAAATATTGGAGTGTCAACATTGACTGTGATACAGGTATTTGTTGTGTTCGGTAAAACTTAAACGGTATAACAGGCATTTAAGTTGGTAGCAGTTCGTTTGGTTTGTAAAGAATTAAGTCGAGGCCTTCGTATGAGTTCTTCCAATTTCATCTGTATGTTAGTCGCATGGCAGTCGAGCAAATTATTTTGTAAACAGTACCATGTCGCTTGTCTTATAATCCTCATAAAAACTAGTTCATCAATGTTATAGTTTTCATTTTTACAAAAAATATTACGATTAAAAGAAAGAAACAAGAGTATTATTAGCATAAAACATTGCAAGAATTAATTCACTTAAGAAATAAAAGATGTTTATTGTGTTTGCACGGGCTTATGCAAACCGAGGAGACCTTTGGGAGAACTCGAGAGCAGATCAGTGCAAGTCTGAGACCGAAGGTCGAGGGTTGCATATGCTCGAGAGTTCTCACCAACGTCTCCGAGGTTTGTTTATTTTATTTTTACTCAGATTGATTGTTTTGATTGCTTTGCACTGGCTAATGCAAACTCAGCTCTTGAGCAATCAGCGCACGCGTTTCATTGTGTTTACTTTATAATATACATTGATGTATTTTTTAATTTTTCTACCTTGAATGCTCGTCTTTGATGAGATTCCTAAAATGTTGGAAGCGACACATGTTAAATTTCCGTCTACTTTTTCAATTGTTAGAGAGATTTCTTCATTTGCACTTTCTTTTAATACATTACTGTCTTTGTACCAAGTGATACGAGGAATAGGAAAACCAGAAACATTACAGATTAACGTGTTACCAGTTTCATAGATGTCAGCTTCTGGTTTCGCTAAAAGTATCAGCAAAATAACAAAATGGAAAATAACTAAAGCAGCAACAACAATAATATAAGCAAAATAAAGCAATAACAAATAAAAAACTAAAAAGAGGAATACTATTTACGCGTAACAAAAATCCATGGGTTCCAATTTCAACAGTCACTTTATTGTAAAAATTACTAAGGCAACAAGGAGAACATCAAACAACAATATGAACAATAACAAAGAGCAACAACAACAATAATGGTAACAACAACAGGAACAAAACAAAAGTAAAATCAACAGAAACATACAATGACAACATCAATAAAAGCATTAGTAGAAATTACTAGGGCAACAACATCATCAAATAGTCTTACTTAAAATTTTACAACTTACCAAAAACTTCAATTTTGCCCTCAAGGCGATGTTTTCCAATTGTTGAATTAATTTCACATGAATACAACCCACTGTCTTCAATGTTAACAGATTTTATACATAGTTTTGTAGAAATTTTGTTTAAATGAAAACTTTTCTTCACAATAGAGTATTTCTGATTTCCTGACGAAATTGGATCATCAAACTTAGCCCAGATGATTTTGTAGTCAAAATTACTAGAAAACATTACACACGAGAGACAAACATCATTACCAAATGCAACTTGATGACTCAACGAATGATTAATAACTGAAGGATCTAGAAATATTTAAACAAAATGTTATTTATAAAAAATTCATTGACATTTTAAAAAAAGGAATATGAGTGCCAAGGTATTTATACAGACAAAAATAATCTTCAATTCAATTTAAACTCCAGGCATAATACTACGATACATTCCTGATTTGATAATTACCTTCATAAATTTCAATGTAAGTAAAAGCAGCTGCTGTTCCCCAATTGTCCCTTGCTATGCATGTATAATTCCCAGAACTTTCTTTTTTCGCAAATGCCATGAATATTACATTATTGTCAATATGCAATGATGAACCACTAATGCCACTAACAGTTTTGCCATTTTTGACCCAAGAATAAGTTGGTAAATAAAAATTGATAGCAAGACAAACCACTTTGACAGATTTGCTCTCTGCTTCAACAATATGCGGAGAATTGATAGTAACTAAAAAGTCAATAATCAAATAAAAGAAATTAATTGCAGTAATATGTCACACATATAACCAACGACAAATTAAAATAAAATGTAAAAATTATGCTCTAGTTAGTGAAAATTCACAACAGCATGTTCTAAATTAATTTTAAATATTAGAATAAAAACTTGCAACTTTCTGCCCTAAAATACAGATGTTAGTAAGAGCTATCATCAACATATAATGTATATATCAACAACAATAATAAAATACCTTTCTTATTACTGGCACAAATACTATCCTTTGTGGCATGGTTCAACCATTGATTACTACCAATATTATAAGGAAGTAACTTGATTTCAATTCCATCATTATCAGTACTCAAATATAGTTGGTGACCTTTCAGTTTAACAGCAACATCAATACATTCCCAAGTTAGTGATGTTTGAGAACAATTCTTGACATAAAGACTAGAGTTCAACAGTCCTTCTCCAGAAATGCACTTTTCATTTTTGAGATTGAGAATGCTGGAAAGTTTACTATCTTTTGTCCACATCCACTTCTGTTGACAAGCATTCAAATCGCAATTTTCCGCATGCACTTGATCGCTCAATACACTCAGGCACTTCTTATTTTGACTGTTGTACACATGAAAGAATTCTCTCTTTTCTAGACAAAGACGAACTTATAATTTGTCTTCATTACATTGTGGTGGCAATATATAACATAGCAAAAATCATTCAACAATAATTTCAACATTATTTTTATCTCTTTTTGTGAGGTAATTAATAACAGACCTGGGTTATTTACGTTCACGTAAAATTTGTTGCCATTACCACATTCATAGACACCATTATCAGATAATTCAAGGCAATAAATATGAAGAAAAGAGTCACTTATTTGTAGTCGAGTTGAAGTCTTTATTACTGAGTTATTCTTCTGCCACTCAGCTTTTGCAAATTTATCGCAAGAAAGAGTTAATTTATCACCAACATTTTTAACAAGTTCAAATTGAGAGAGAGATCGAACACCTGTGAAAAATTTTTATAAAATGTTTGTCAAAAACTGTATGGTTATGACCGTTATGTATGGTTTTCAAGTAAATGAATTTCAAATGCTCAACATTACAATGTGATTACGGAAATACGTTATTTCAACACCATACAGTTCGACATTCAAGTTGATTGACTGACTATTAAATTGCATCACACCATGCAATGATTTAATTGTTAAATTTCAAAAGTAAAAATTTTAAACTCCCCCATATGGCTTGAGAACCCATTTTATACACACCTTTGAACAATAAAATAATGAGAATGACAGGAAAGACACGTTGCATGGCCCACAGTGTGCACAACTCCATTTGAACTGTACAATCTACGCAAGAAAAAATGTTTTAATAGTATATCCGTCACATTCGCTAATGAGCGAGAAGACGCTGATTAAAAAAACCCCATACTATTTGTATTAACTCATCGGAATTTACTCCTCTTAAACATCATTTCCAAAATAGTCAATGAATATATTTTAGTAGCTTATATTACTTATTAATATCGTTGGATAACTCTACTTGGTTAGGTCTCTAGGTAAAGACTTACTTATTTCACACAAGGTGTGAATCTCAATGTTTATTTCCAGTAAAAACGTCGTTTGAACTGCATTCTCTGCAGTCTCCTGTAATTTTATTATGGTTCTTTTTGTTTACGGAAGTCATAAAAGAATAATAGGAACGCCCTATTAACTACAGCAATATAATATATTGATTATCAATGGGATAGTTCATTGTACAGCAATCCATCGCCATTTTTCAAACTTATAGCAAATCACATAAGATACATTGACTTCATTGTTAAATTTTTCAGTTTATTTACAGACCGTGGGCAGTCGCGGCAATAGAAGCGTTCCGAAAATTTTTGATCAATTTATTTGCTCACGTTTATCAGTTGGTTGATCTAACTTCCTGCCATTCATGTTTTGAATTGACCAATCATACCATGTGCTTTTTTTAATTAACCAATGACGTCAAAGCTTTGTGAACACTCCGTAACAGAAAGAAATTGGATTGAATTTTCCCTAGTATAAATGACTTTAAATGCTGAAATTCTTAAAATGGAAAAGCTTTTGATGAACTTGTGAACTGGCAATCACCAGAAGCTATGTTTATTTGGGATTTATCGTGATGACAGCTGAATATGGTTTTCGATTTCAGCCAGCTCCAATCACCTTAATTCCATCTTAGTTTTCTGGTGGTTGCAACTTCTCAATTTTGAAAAAATTTTTCCTTTTAAAAAATTGCAACATTTTTACCGAGTTCAACGAGATGCCTGGATAGCGTTATTCATTAAATAGCGAAAATTTTCAAACTTGTAAAAAGTGTGTATTTTTCTTACGACAGAGAAATTTCGTAATCTTCGAAACAATGTTTTATTTCAGTGATTGTTCAGTTTGAATCTTATACTTTTTGCTTTTTTGAAGGTTTTATAAAAGTTTAAAAAACTTGCTATCCAATGATTTAAAAATTGCATTTTGTATGATTGGTCAATTCAATACAGGAAGTTACGAGTTTTTCAAAGAGTTTCGTTGAGGAACTATTTAGATCAATTTATAAACGTGAGCTAATGTGTTGATATATTTTCGGAACGCTTCTATTCCCACGAGTGTAAATAAGTTTTTGCTCCTAAGTTGAAGTTGTTTTTTTGCTTTTCAAGACTTTCTTAATCCTATCGAAATAAATAGCCAACGGAGAATTTGTCCGCGACATTAAAAATACTTATTCATGCCACTGTAAAAATAAAAAATACTTATTCATTTCGGGAGTCTTTGTGCCACTGTTATTGACTTATTTTACCAAGAAAGTTTCCCAGCCAATTTTTAAAACGTCTGTGTATCAGTGTATGTAACAATGACATAACACCGTAAACTGTCAATAATGGTCATTACTATGGCAACGCTCAGACATTTGGGGCTGGTTGCACGAAGCCTGGATAGTGTTATCCACTGGATAGCAAATTTTTGATTTGTCGTTAACCGCTGTATATAAACGTATCTTTACCGTACATCAAGATGTATAAAAAAACTACAACCATTTGAAATAACCGAACGTTTGGAATTTTCATGATTCAGCAATATTGCAATGTGCAGTAGCCTCAATTTGTAGGTCATACTCCGCACCACGAGTAAATTACAAAAATGCATAGCAGTATCCATTACGTAGTGGTAATTATTTCGATTATGAATGGCTCGACCAATCAGAAACGACGAGTGTTAATTGGGCGAAATTAGCGTATTAAAACCACTGGTTACAACGCACAACTTGCACGTCGACTAAATAGAAATAGTATAATTATTTACCAAACATATAAATGAAACTCCTTTCAATTGCCTTTACGCCTCCTTGGTGAATATTGCTGAATCATGCAAATTCTAAATACATGCAAAAGAAATGATTAAGAATGTTTCAGCAAAAGCGTTGTTTAAAAAAAACATTTTACTATGACTTTCTTGTAATGACGAGTCAAACATTTCTAATGATCTATGTACCGAATATTCTACGTAACAAAGTGCTACATGCAATGCACTGTTGCCCTTATATGGAATGAGTGCTTCTGGGCTCGGAGGAAACGAAGGCAATGACATAGACATAGATAATGTTGAAATGACAACATTATACAAGTACAACTGTAGTTTTGTTGCCACTTTATAACATAGAACCTTATTGCCGATGATTCAATGCAATTGCAATTAAAAAATCTTTAATCTTTGAACGCAGAGTCATCGCCATTAGCAAATGAATAAAAGTATTAATTGTCCAAGGCTAGACTCGCATCATACGTTTAAATACTTCGTTACTATTGACGTTCTGTTAAATCCACAACAATAATCAGTAAGTAATCATAAAAACTCGTGTCGAAAATAAACAAAATAACCACATGCTTACATACGGGCGATTATGGTATCTACTGTATTATATTGTTTATGCTTTATTTATTCGGATTCCATTTCCAGACATGAAAATCAAACGTTTCGAAAGGAATTGTTACACAGACAGACTTACAACCTTGCAACACGAAAGCGATATCTCTATTGTAAATATTTCCTTTGAGCGCACCCCCCGGCGATCGGCCAAAAGTCCTGCCGTTGATCCAGACGCGATTTGGCATCCGAAGCATAGATCTAAAGTATCTAACTAAAAATTCTGTACTGTCATTTATAGTATAGTTTATACGTATAATAAAAGATGTGAATTCTGTAGTGGTTTAAAAAATAAAAAATCCCTTAAGGATTATACAGAGAACAATAAAAAAGGAAAAGCGATGAATGAAAGTGTAGAAAATTGTCCTTATAAATTTTGACATTGTCTGTGTGTGATCTTTTAAACCAGATAGCTCACCAAAGTACTTTCATCATTACTCATATCAAATGATTCTCTCGTTGGAGTCTCCCTTTCTGTCAATTGCTGTCCAGACTCAGATAAACTATGACGTGATGACGGTCGCCGTAATTTGCCTTTTGCGTTTTTGGCATTTTCTGAGCCAAGGCTGTTTCGAGACTGGTACAACGAAAAACGAACAGTTTAAACTTACAGATGAATTTTGCCTCTATTTACAACATGTTATCTTTAAGAATGACACAATTTTTTTTTGTTTTACCTGCGATTTCTCTCTTTCCAACAACGTTTCTTTTAAACGTCGCGGAGAATCTCCATAACGATCACTCCAAGCGTCTTCTGCAAAAAGTAGTTTAAATAATTATAACACGTTTAAATAATTACAATCGGTTCTAAATATTTAATAGAAATATACAATTATTGCAAACAACAACATATTGAATCGTACCTGGTATAGTACTTGAGTGAGGTAAAACTGGCATTGGAGGAGGAAGAGGATCGTCGCCTGAAGCATCATCAAGATCAAAATTGTCTTCATGATAAGGTGGAAGAGAGTTATCACCAAACGTTCGAGGTTTGTAAGGGGGAGGCGCACCTCCTGAATAGACAATAAACCCCTTCACTTTAACTTTATGACAAAATTTTGTTATTTATATTATTAAAACTTACGTCTGTTCTGTCGCTGATTATTATTGCTTTTATCGTTTGTAGCGTTCTCATCATTAGAACGAGATACATCCCTGGTTTCATTGCGTGATGATTTTCCATTATTATAGACCCTTCTGTGATCAGGTTCCGACGATAATTTATTGTCCAGTAGTCGTTGTTTATGAGAGTCATCGGAATCATCTTCACTATCATTATCTATCGATGGAGATTTTTTTATTGATTTATGTGGTTGGTGAGGTTTGCTATTTTCATCTGGAATTGAGCGTTTCTCATCCTCATGAATCGTAAACGTATTCATATCTTCAGAATTTGGTAAATAATAACTGTCTAAATAAAGACACCAAAAGACAATTGTTGGAATAATTAATGACAAAATCATACAAAAAATACGTACGCATCATGAAATAATGTAGATTGATGACCATTATGTACATCAAAATAATAATATTATTCATATATTTTCGTCAATTATTTAAAACTCTTCTTTTTTGCAAGTGTTTACTATTCTCGTTATAAAATAAAAACAATATAACGCATGCGCTGATTGGTCTTTAGCTGTGTTTGCATCATTGAACTAAAATACATGGAACGCCCTTAAGCAAATAATTGAAGCCAAATCTTACACCCAGACATGCGAGTGTAGTGTTTCGAGATTCTCTCGAGGAGTGATAATTGATCGACTATACACGCGTGTCTGGAGTAAAATCGCAGCTTCAAAAACTTATTAGGGTTTTGTATTAAAGGTATCGTTCCATGTATTTTAGTTCAATGGCTTGCATTAGCCTGCATAAAACAGATATGAGCTCACTCAATTAAAGCAATCAAACGGAATTTGCAAATCAACCATGAATACATTTTATAAGAAAAATTAAAACGTTTGTTTTAAATTTTACTGTTTCGCATTGTTCTTATTTTATAGAAGAAATAAAAGATGTTTCTCGTGTTTGCATTGATCGGCTCTGGAGTTCTCTCAAAAGTCTCCTCGGTTAGCATAAACCTGTGCAAGCAAAGTAAACATCTTTTATTTCTTAACTAACATGACCCACTATCATAATTCAATCATTGTAATACATGTCACGAGAATAGCCACAAGTTACTCTCATAAATGCATTAAACCAAGGAAATCCCCAAAGGATTCTGGAGTTTATTTTAACAAATCTATTCAGTGGGGAGGGCATTTGCTTCCTACATACTGAAAATGACCTTCTTATTTTAATAATTGGTGCCAAACAGCAACTTCTAACATGTTGTGAAAACATTTTTGCAACATCATGTTAAAACAAATATGACTCAAAATTGTCCTATTGATAATATACTTTCATTTAACATTAAACATTGTATGTTCTAAAATTGTTTATTCAATAACTTTTCATTTTCAAGATATTGTAGTTTATGTAATGGATGCTTTTACACAGCTTTTTACGGTATTTTGCATCATGAGAATTTGAAAGGGCAGGTATATTTGCTGAGATGTTACTTCAATCGAGCAGAATTCCTTCGTTGTGAATAATCAATGGGTATTGAAAGTGAACAATGCAGAAACTTTGAAGCGACTCATTATGCAAAATGACGCTGTAGATTAAGTAAAGCAGATAGTATAAAATCTTCAATATCTTAACAATGAAAAGAGATATATGTAAACTGTTTTAGAAAGTCTCATCTTCAAAATTCTATTGAATAAAAATATAATTCAAATAGTAAAATTTTCGAGTCATACAAACTTTAAGCTCACAAACTTGCTGACAAAATGTGCGTTAGTATACGTGTGAATCTGAAATATCAGCCTCTTCAATGAACATGTGAACGATAGAAATTATTAAAACCATCTTTTGAGATATCATTGCTTAACAAAAATAATGTCATACGTAATGTAAAACATTGAAAATTAAACAACAACATAACTTACCACGGCCTTTTTTTTTCTTGTTTTTATTTCCAGAATTAGAAGATTCATATGAATCATCATAAACTGAACCACCAATCAGACTTCGTCGATTAATCATGTCAACACTCTCAGGCTGCCTGAAAAAATAACGAGTTCACCTATAAGCATAATTTTTCAACTCTACAAAGAAAAAAATTGACATAAAAGTCGTTTTCAGTTTTGTAATAATACTAGCTACCAATATCCACCATAGTCCATACATAGCTATCAATATCTACTATAGACGTGATAGCTAGCTATCAATATCCACCATGGTCCATACATAGCTATCAATATCTACTATAGACGTGATAGCTAGCTATCAATATCCACCATGGTCCATACATAGCTATCAATATCTACTATAGACGTGATAGCTAGCTATCAATATCCAACATGGTCCATACATAGCTATCAATATCTACTATAGACGTGATAGCTAGCTATCAATATCCAACATGGTCCATACATAGCTATCAATATCTACTATAGACGTGATAGCTAGCTATCAATATCCAACATGGTCCATACATAGCTATCAATATCGACTATAGACGTGATAGCTAGCTATCAACATCCAACATGGTCCATACTAAACTATCAACATCTCTTAGACGCTATAGCTATCAATATCCACCATGGTCCTTACAATGCTTACATGGCTATCAATATCCACCATAACCCCTAATAAAATTTAAATTAAAAAATGGCGAATCGAACTTTTATAGGTAATTGTGCATATGATGTTGTGTTTAATGCTTACATTTTTATACAGCAGGAAAGAAGATCGCTTTAAATTTCAATTTATATGTTTATGATTTTATAACAAAGATTTTTCTCATATAAAAATTACAAATCGAAATTGTATTTTTCCACCGTTGGGAATGGTGAACAGTTGGAGGTTTCACTGCCATTCCAAACAAAACCAATTAAACCTTGGGTTTATCCTTGGGTGGTAACACAAGCAAGAGAATCTACATTCAATTCCCAAAAGTGGAAAAGCTATTAATATTCAACATAATTCTTACATCTAGCTATATGTTAATAAGAATAATTGACCTTATATATTTATCATTATAACCAGCGTATCATACACTAACATCAACACACATAGCAAGTATTTAATCTGATCAAAATTAATTTACCTTCGCATAACGACGACGTTCTCATCTAAAATGTAAAATGATAAAAATAAAAAAGTAAGATAATGCTTGAAAATTAAAAAAATCATATTTTCACTCTCGACATTATTACTTTAAATACAGACGAAATTATGTGTAGCCAATTCAAACAATACCTCGTTTTGGCTTTTGTCGTTTTCGAATAAGACAAAGAAAGAGGATAAGTACTATAACAAGAAGAAATCCACCGACGCCAGCAATAATCGCAATTATTTCTTCTTTTGTCAATGTTTCTTTTGATCGACCACTAGCTGTTGGAGATTTCCATGCTAGCACTGGTAAAAAAAAACATTACAAAATACATAATTCTCAATGATAGAAACGTGTCATAAGGTCAGTTCCTACTAAAAGTGAGGGATAGGATATAGCTACCAGGATAAAAATCAAAAGTGAATGAAGTTGCTATATACCTTCACCAGCATATGTGATTTGAATGACTCCTTGTGAATACCATAAAACTTCGAATACATAATGTGTATTCGGATCCAAATCTTTAATAAGAAACGGCGCTTCATTATCAAAACTCGTTTTTCTTGTATCCCATACATCTTTCTCTGAATTCTTACGAAACCTAACTTCTTTCGTCAAATTTTCTTTTGTATTAATTATAAACTGTACTCTAATAATTTTGCCATCATCAAACCTTTCCACATAAGCTAAATAAAAAAGAAATAATTAATAAGTAAATATTGAAATTTTACTCAAACTTATCATACCAAACTCTCAACTTACCTGATCCAAAAAATGCTAAATAAAAAAGCAAGAGTTTTAACATTTTGTCGTAGCGACGTACATAAATTTCATCATTAAGAAGGTAAATAAAAGAGTAGACAAACCTTGAGTTCTTTGTCTGACATGATTGCTTGTATTTTTACTTGGTCCATAATTATTAGTAGCTTTAACGTAAAATACATAGTCTTCGTCTGCTTTTAAATTCTCTTTAATAGTAAAATGATTTTCATAAATAATTCGAGATTGTTGTGGACCATAATAAACAACAAACCAAACATCATCTCCACCATCATAACCAGGTATCCACTCGACATCAGCATACACCTTGGAAACGTCGCCATTCGGGAAATTTTTGATGTAAGTTTTCACATTCTTAAGATAAGGCGCTTCAGGGATTCCTAAAAATGTAAAAGAAACAATGAAGACAACAACTTTTACGATATTACTGTAATAATGCATTGTACGATATAACTATTATCTATATATATATACATAAAGGATTTTTGAACTCATGCCTTAATACATGTAAAACTCGTATATTAATGCAGGGGCGACGGATTTGAGCTAAAATACAAAATTAAACTAAAAGAAAATGTTACCTTTGGGACGTATTTCATAAACCTGGGTGGCATTTCCAAGATTGTTATATGCCTGACATACATATTTAACGCCATATCTAGCCTTTACCCGCAGTGTAGAACTTCCATCGTTTTTAATAATCATTAAGACATCCTTGGAGCTTTCGTTTAAATTGATCATGGAAGGATATGAAAGCCAATTGAAATGAGCAGGAGGAAAAGCTACTGCAGTACAAACTAAAGAGACTTCTCTTCCAGATTCTTCTCCAACAATTGTATTAGCAGAAGACGTAGTTTCAATCACTGGACGAACTGTAAAAGGGGTTAAAAATGGTTTAGAAAAATGTTAATAATCACGTTAAGTGGTTACATGTTATGGAAGATCTCCCTAAATTGTAGAAAATTTCTTATGAGTAATATTGTCAGCATGCTTATTTTTAGAACCAATATTTTTTGTGATATGTGTACCACAAGTGATCAATTTCCATAAAATTCAACAATTTTATGTAAAATCCACCAGGTTTTCAGCGCAACAACAAAAGAAATAAAGAAAAAGTTGACGAAGAAACGATCAAAACAAAAATTGATAAAGAAACGACCGATCATAATTGGTACATCACAAGAAAGCAAACATAATAGTTTATTAGCTAAGAAAGTTCATTATACAGAGTGTATAAAAAAACTGAACAATCATGAAAACGTCGTTAAAGATTGCAAACATTTAAAGAAACATTTGGTGGAAATAGTTGTTGAACTTCCTATGTTTCATTTGATAGTTAAATTGTCGTAAATAATAAAAATTTTAAAGGTAAAAATTGTGTTACCGAGAAATAACTTACGCACGAAATGGTCAAAGCTAAAAAAGAATTGGAACACACAGCGTTAAACATGGGCAGATGTTGTTTACGCAAAGAATGTTTTAAAAATTTCGCTAATGCGTATATGCGAATGCCCAGCTTTCAAGTCGCTGGTTATTTTTGAGTTTACGTTTTCCCATTTTTTTACAATCCTCCTCAATTATGCATAAATGTGAGCTTAAATTAATGCAAACCTGAATAATTGATTAAGGCTTTTGAAAAAATTGGCAATTAACAACGAAAAACGCAAATTCATCTGCGATTTGGATGCGTAGAGTTTAGGCACGGTTTGGCCAAATTTCTCGAAAAGTTGTAAGCTAGAGCAACAAACGCCATGTTTTAACCATATGTGCTACAATTCCTTTTTAGCTTTATCATTTTTGTGCGCAAGCTATTTTAAAAGTGCTTCTTGGTAACACAATTCTCATTCTAAAAACGATGATTTGAGCAATTTTGATCTCAGGTGAGCAATTGGAAGTCTAACGACATATTTCCACGAAACGTTTTTGCAGATCTTGCGCGTTGATGAGTTCAGTGACAATTTCCCAATTGTTCAGTTTTTTATACATCCTGTTGTTTAGCGACAATGAAACTTCCGTGAAATATGCACTTTAATTGGTAGGCACACAAAAATTAAATTATTCATAGTAGGTATCAACAAAAAAGTGCTCACAGTAGATGATTACGTCAGTGGAAGAAGAAGAATTTGGAAAAACTCCATTGCCAGCAATACATATATATTCTCCTCTGTCGCGATACGTTACAGAATCAATACTGAGACGTTCCCCAATAAAATTAAGCAATTTGCCATCTTTCCTCCAGTATATCCAAGGTACGGGAATGCCAGTTGCGTTGCAAATCATTAGAAGTCGTTGAGATTCGTTGAGGAAAATATTTTGTGGAGGAGAGATGATAATTTTGGGCGGAACTAAAAACGACAATTTCAATTTTAAAAATATATTTCAATTGCAATCCATTAACTGTTTTTATACATTACACCCAAAAATACACGATCTACATGATGCACCGGGAACAGTAAATTGAGATGGAGAACATGTTATGATAATAATGGTTATAAATATGAAAAATGTGCAAATACCGATGACAAAAACTTCGACAAATTGCTTTTTTCCTTCTCCAACATAAGATAAAGGAGCACAAGACATTTTTCCAGCTTGATGAATTTGAATCGAATCAAATGTAAGTACTCCAACAGTTTTATTTTGAATGACAGTTCCATTACTATATCTCCAAATATAGTACATAACCGGAGGATTACCCCGCGCTGTACATTTCAATTCAACTCTTTCACCTTCACGTACTTCACGTCGATAAAAATCGTTCTTATTTGTGACGTCAGGTAAAACTATAAAATAAGTAAAATCGTTCCATTGTAAAGATTTTTTATCAAATCTAAACCAGCTCTTGAATTCATACTTTTTCTAAAATGTATCATAAAAATTGTGCACTTCTTTCATGTAACACATGATAAATACTTTTTTTAAGATTTTCTTTAAGATTCAAAATAGAAACATTTTTGGACAATTTAGTGTGAACAATTTTGAAATTTTAATAAATTTTACAATGAACTTACATAATAGATTTAATCGAACAGTTTTTACATCACGACCATAAAGATTACGAGCTTCGCATCCATAATCACCATTGTCATTTCTCCTTGCTGGTGATAGTCTGAATGTTGAAATAGCTTCAGCAACTCGACCACTTTGATCAGTACGAATATATGTACCAGGATTATCTCTAACAGGTGCACCATTTTTCAACCATGTTACAACAGGTGCAGGTTTGCCTGTAACTTTACACAATACTGAGTAGTTACGATTTTCAATGGCATCCATTGTTGTGGGTAATTCAGATACTTTAGCTGGAACTAAAGTTATACAAGATATGAGTCAAATAATTCTCAAGAAAAGGTTGACACATTGCTAAATTTTAAAAGCCAATAAACAAAGAAGAATAAAATACCTTTGACATTAATTTTGAATGAAGCTGTTGGCCCATTTCCAAGTCTGTTTGATGGAACACATTTCAATGTTTTACCATCTTTGGTAAGATCTAATTTTATTGTATATCGCCCATTCTGAACATTATTTACTGGAGCAAGAGAATCACCAAAGAAACTAAATGTGGCAGGAGGTTTTGCTTCAGCAGAACATTTGAAATCCACATTACTGCCAGTCAATTGTACCACTGTTGTATTTAGTAGAGTATTGACAGGTTTATCTGTCATACAAACAAAAATAATATTTTATTATTAATTTGTAAATAATAACTTAATAAAAAATGTCAATATTCATTCAAATAATACTTTCTTTAACAGTAAAACATATTATGCAATACACAACATTTTTTGAATATTACAATGAAATAACATAAAATTAATGGTTTGAACATGGGATTATCATAAGATGTTTCTTGATGTAGATTGGCCAGGTTAGTAGAGTCCTGAGAAGGACTGTTGGTGTTGATGTTGATTGATATTTGATAAATTTAGGGGTATTCATTGTCCTTAAAGGCTGTTGAAAGGTCAGTCAACATCAACACAAACAGTCCTTCTCAGGACTCTACCAACCTACACAATCTACATGTACAAAGTACAAAACATGTAAAATAAAATTAGATAATTGGTTGAATTGAAAAAAATTAATACAGAAGCAAATATGTTTTCTCAAGAATTTCATCGTTTATCAACATGACATTACAAAGATGTAAAAGAAACTTACAATTTATAACCAAAGTTGTTGTAGGAAAAACTGTCGCAGTTCCAGCTTGATTGCTTGCTTTACAAACATATTTTCCACCATCATTTCTTGTCAAATTGTCGAATACAAGATTTGAATTAAATGAATCTGTTTCTTTATATCGATCTAGATTCTTTTCCCAAATAATTTTAATTGGTTTTGGGCTTCCTTCTGGTTCACACTTAATTGTGAATGCTTTTCCTTCATCCAAAATTTGTTCACCACTATTAAAACTCCCAGAAGGAAAAAAAGGCTTCACTACACAACACAAAAATTTCAAAATAAGTTTGTTTAAAGTTTTTGCATTACTTCAAGGTAATGTCAAGGTAATGTCAGAGTACATGTATGTAATGTCAAAGTACATGTATGTAATGTCAAAGTACATGTATGTAATGTCAAAGTACATGTATGTAATGTCAAAGTACATGTATGTAATGTCAAAGTACATGTATGTGGTGAATAATGCTTTAAAATATTAAGAAAATCATCTCTGTTTAATAACTTACCAAGAACATTTAACTTGATGCTAGATGATTTTTTTACAATTCTCTGGCCAAAAAAATATGATAACTTTAAAGTATAATTTCCATCATCTGCAGATTTTGTGCTTATAATGCTAAGAGTAATTGTATTCAAATTTGTATCATGTTTAACTGACCAGCCCCTTCGTATATAAGGCTCAAAGGGAACAAAAGTTGTGCCATCAGGACGAAATTCTCCAACATCAACATCTATTGATTCTTCAATTTTTCTCAAAACAATTGAACCAGAGTTGAAGCTTTCCCCTGATGCTATAGTTAAATCCCACACTAGCTGTACATTTTCCCCTTCCAAAACATCCACTTTTGATTTTTTCCCAATTAATGTAAGACAATCTACAAAACAAAACACATCATCAGATAAAATAAAGTAAGACAAGAAAAAGGGTCATGTATACAACTCATTCACAATTTGAATGCAATAATAGCAGGCATTTGAAAGTAAAATAACTGTGTTCTTGTCAGATGTGCATAGAGATAGACAAAATAAATCTGAGTTGAAGGGATACTGCAATATGGCACAAAAATTTACCACAAAAAAATGAGAATGAACATATTGGCATCTATCACCACATAAAATTATAGATTAATTGACATTAAAGAGGTTTTTATTAAAATTTTAAACAATCATGGAATTATAACTATATAAAAATCATAAACACTTTGCTTTCTCAGTAATGATGAAAAAAATGTCCAGTGTAATTCATTGTTGTTCATTTGCTTTCTTATGTCAAGGGTCTAATCATTATTTAAGTCATGGCGTAAAAATAACTGCTAACAAAGTACGAAATCAATATCCACAATTACAAACTTTAAAGTATACCACTCAAAACAAATTAAAATTATGCTTAGATGATTTAGGCTAACAAATACAATATTTTTCTATCTTTTCCTCAATAATGTAAGAAACGTCAACAATATGACATGACAGCTTTGTGGTGAACAAATAGAATGGTTTGTTTCATAAATCATACAACAATGATAACTTATTACTACTCGTCATAAGTACAAACTACAAATTTAAAAAATAAGAAATTTTAAATCCAACCAGCACCAAAAGACAAATATTAACATGCAATAGTCAACCAACACATGATATAAAAGTAATAATTCAGTTGCAAACATGAATTCAATAAACAGTAAAATTCAATGTAATAAGGTGTTGTGTCATTTTTTAACAACGATCTAAACATTCTTTATAACAACACCAATACTGTGTAATGGTGTTGTTAGTACAAGCATTTATTTATATAGATTTAACGTGATATGAAAATACTACACTTAATTCTATAGTCAAGTTTGAACCATACTACACTTAATTCTATAGTCAATAGTTCGCAGTGAAAGTAAATCAATATGAATGTCTTACATTACCTGCAATGTTAAAACAAAACAAAAATATTATCCAGCGCATAGCGTCCACAAATTCGTTTTAATAATTTTCAAATAACTATCATATTTTAATTCAATAATGACGTTTCAAAAAAACATGTAAAAATCAAATGTAATACACAGTTGTTCCACAGGTTTGTCGCAGTGTTAACTATTTATGGCGAGGAATTCAAAGTTTATTCACAAAAAAGTTCACATATTTTAACAGTGAATATTCACTGTAATTAATTATTCAGCCAATGAAAACCCAATTCTCAAGCACGTGCTTCCTGCATTTAACAATTTGATATAAGAAGGTATTCATCGTCGTACGTCGTCATCCATCGTCAATCGATCTTCAGGCCTGTGTGTATAGTTGTGGCAATTCGTCTTTGCAATAAATAAATGTTGTTTTAATATTGTATACACATTTAACCATTAAATTCGATTGAAATGACACTAAATTGATCGCGACAATTTCACAAAATTTTGTTAAGAGAAATTTGACAACATGCCAAATTGCATAGAGTTTTCTTTTCTTGCAAGTGGGCAGTCAACGATGACGGTTCTACAACTACATCAGAATGTCATAAAACCATTATTTTCAACGTAAAGTTAAAGAATTATATAAATTTACCACATGTCAACACGCATCTTATAAACAGAAAATAAGAACAATTGAACAATGACATGCGTAGATATATTTCTTTCGTAAACTGAATGATATGGATTAAAACAAAAGTATTCAAAATTCATCGTTTTAATTGGTTAAAAAATTATTTATTGCAACAATACAATGCTAGAAATGATTTATTTTTAATGATAACAGGGTGAATAGCAACAGTTTAAAAACGATATCAGCAAATAATCAATCATCTGTAGGATTGCTTTGAAGTTACCCCAATTATAAACAAAATACCATTTAGGTATTTTTGTTAATGTGACATTAAGTTAGAAAAGAAAAATAACCAAACGACGCTGTAATATAAGTTCTGAACCTACTGGAACAACCTTATTAACAATCAGAGGGTGATTTTCTACCCCTATCGTGTTGAATACCTAAACGTTATGATACATGAAGTCCGATTTTTTCTTCGCTAAGTCGTGACATCACAGAACGTCACAGTGACATCACAGTAACGTCTCATCAAGTGTGCACAATCATACAAGATATAAACTTCACTGTATTAAAATGTGAAGTTTATTTATCTTTTCATTTTCGTGGTGGTTATTCTTTGAAAAGTTCCTTTACAAGAGGCGGCATATCTATTTTACCAAACATTTCAAACGCAGTGTAGTTTTCAAATGCTTTAGCACTGTAAGATTTCAACGTTGGTAAACATAATAACACCTTGGCAAGACGATTTGGTTTGTCACGATATTGACTTCTAACGTATTCCGAAAGAACTGACGATATTTGCGATTGAAGAAAGCCAACTTTTGCTTTGTTCACGACATCCGGAGAGTCTAAAAACAAAAGATGTTTTATTGAAAGGATACGAACGTCAGAAATAAAAAACAGATGATACCAACAACAGATAAACAATCAAGCGAAATAAAATGGTAGTTATTTTAATCTTACCCGAAGTAAGAAGAACAAGAGCACATAAACAAGCAAACTCTTTTCGATCAGGATGTAACATTCTCAATTTATCCGTAAATTCATCATGATCATCCAACATACTTTGGGTCCATCCCATCTTCTTCACTTCAGTATGATTCATGATTAGATTTTCACCAAAAATTGTAGTACCCTTTGGTAAAGTAAGAGATCGATATGACAATTTCAACAGTATTAATTCCATCCAAGAAGCACGAATCAAACAAACTTTATCGTTCCAAGACAAATCATTAAACCCTGGTACATTTTTTGTCCATCGTACAGCGTTCTTGAGATCTTCCAGACCAGAAGCAAGGAAGACATTTAAATTATAACTGCCATCGTTCTCATATATATGAGAACAGTCTGCAGCAGGAATTTCATCAGGAGGTATGGCAGTAAGTTGATCTAAAAATACCATTAATTTAAAAAAAGGTGTCTGTACTTTTGCACTTCTTCATTTCGTTTCTTCATTTCGTTTCCAATTGTATTAGATAATAAGCAACTTACTCATATCATCTCTATGATTGTCATACACAACTAAGAATAAAGTCTATTAGATTCAAGTCACTCGAAACATTTACATCATGCACATGAAATACTTACTCAATATTCCTATGACGTCAACGTCATCATTGAAAGATGGTGATGAATCACCAGATAATGAACTTGGACTAGGGGAACAAGTTACATCTTTACTAGGTCTTCTTTTCTTGCCATTTTTTTCTTTGCTGTCTTGTGTTTGTGATTTATGACGATGTCGTCCTCCAGGCATTCTATCTTCACGCACAGCTGTATTGAATAAATAATACATTAATGTGTTTTTATGAAGAGATAGAACATGCTTTTATAATTCATTCAACTTTAGCAATGCAAAACGTTTTTGAGATTCAGATATGTACAAAGGAAAAATAGAAAATGGCATGAAGTTTTATCAGTTATTAACTTGTTTATCCAGATAACACAAATACGTAGTTTGTTTAAATATCACAAAAGAATAAAAACTAAAATGTTTCTAACCGGTATTGTTGAAGACAGTAATTTTACAATGAAAGACTTCCAAACATTTCTCTAGCTCTACTTGCAATTAGAACTTGACCTGTTATCACTAACCATCACAAAATGCATGACCAAACAAAATCATAGTCAACAATTGACCTCCAAAAGTCATTAGAAAACGTGGACTGTTGAAAGATCTCTACTTGTTGTTGAAAGACCTCTAGTTGTCACTAAAGATATCAAGCGGTCTTTGAATACGTCTAGTTGTCATTAAAAGACTTCTACCTGTCACTGGAAAACGTCTACCTGTCATTGGAAAACGTCTACCTGTCATTATTGGAAGACGTATACCTGTCATTATTGGAAGATGCCTAACAGTCATTGGAAGACGTCTACCTGTCATTGGAAGACGTCTACCTGTCATTATTGGAATACGTCTAGTTGTCATTAAAAGACTTCTACCTGTCACTGGAAGACGTCTACCTGTCATTGGAAGACGTCTACTTGTCATTATTGGAAGACGTCTACCTGTCATTGGAAGACGTCTACCTGTCATTATTGGAATACGTCTAGTTGTCATTAAAAGAATTCTACCTGTCAGTGGAAGACGTCTACCTGTCATTGGAAGACGTCTACCTATCATTGGAAGACGTCTATCTGTCATTATTGAAAGACGCTTACCTGTCATTGAAAGACGTCTACCTGTCATTAAAAGACCTCTAGCTACCATTAAAAGACCTCTAGCTACCATTGGAAGACGTCTACCTGTCATTGGAAGACGCCTACCTGTCATTGAAAGACGTCTACCTGTCATTAAACGACCTCTAGCTACCATTAAAAGACCTCTAGCTACCATTGGAAGACATCAAGCTGTCATTGGAAGACGTCTACCTGTCATTTGATTTGAAGAGTCTACCTGTCGTCAGTAGACGTCGCCATGACAGTAAATACTGTCATTATATATTAGACTGCAATATTGAATTGGTAATGAGAAAGAAATTGTACCTTCTTTAAGCATACCAGTTGCCACACACTTTTCATAACGACAAGCTTGACATTTGTTGCGAGTGTATTGATTAATATCACATGATCTATTCTCTTTACAATTGTAAGCAAGTTGCTTCTGTACTGTTCTTTTAAAAAAGCCTTTACATCCTTCACAAGTAAACACTCCATAATGATAACCAGAAGCTCTGTCTGAACAAACTACGCAAGCAGGTCCAATATCGTTCTCACATGAAAATGACTGAAGGTTATATGTCTCCATAAATACATCATTTTGAACAATGTGTTGATTGCTGTTTTCCCCTTGACTAGTTAAAACAGATCTTGAATACGATTCAAATTTCCCATTTCTTTCCATATTTTACTATATAATTGTTAATAAATTTATGATAAAAAAGTCGAATTTAATAAAGGACTAGCGAAATCAACATTGCGATGGATCTGTATAAAAAAATCAAGTCAATAAGTTGAAAAAGCTGGATATTCAATAATTTACAGATGCATTTATTACCTAGAACTACATGTATCTCAGTAAAATACCCTAGTACAAAATTCATATCAGAATTTAAATGAAAATTTCGGCGAAAAGCTTTTTTTAATTTCTTGGTATGATTATTTGTTAAAAGTAGGTAGTTTGTGGAAAGAATCTTATCGTGGAAAGAATCCGTCATTTTGGGGGATCAACTCAATATTTTCATTGATATTCACGATGAAGTTAAAAGCTTCTACAGTCCGTTTCAAAAAAAATTACAAATTCTCGTTCTTGCATCGTTCAAACTTTATTATGCCTATAATCATTATGTCATCCGTGTTATGTGAAAAGTGAAGATCCTCAAAAGTCAAATATTTGAGGATATATTTGTCTTGATTATATAAGTCAAGAACAGATATAATTTATATGGATCGTAAATAGCAAGAATATGTCACATAGTTAAAATAATACAGTTGATTAATAAATAGAAAATAATGAAGATCACAGCATCAAATGAAACATTACACCAGTAAATGGGAAGTCTTGTGTTTTACAGAATACCATCGTCTTATGAAATATGAACATTTACTTTTACCTTGTTTGATATGAGTATGAACAAAGAACAAATATAAAGCAACGCCTGTTTGTGATTGATTGCAGACAGAACTATTTTGTCCTGAATTTTTATACCTTTGAATTAAACGATGACGCATGGTTTAAATTAATTGCATGAGAAATAGTCTCTGAATCGTAACACAGCAAGACTTTGTTTGACAAAACAACGTGTGCAATAATCAACCAATCGTTAAAAAGATTGGATTAAACATGAGAAAAGTTTATGAAGAAGTTCATTTGTTTTGTTTTGCAAAAATAACAATGATCATTGAAGCAGTACATGTCTATTGTGTATTATGTACAGCTGTTTTATGATATGTGCATGTTCATGTCTATTTACAGCTGCCTACGATTCATTTTGATGACAAGCTCAATGCAAAAGACAAATATTGTTAAAATCAATTTTCCAGGATATAATATTTTCAAAGTGCAAATTTGTAATAAAGTTAAGTAAATAAGGCAAAGTAAATTATGAAAAATCGTCATACATATAATTGGCTGTTTCAAAGAGCTTTGCGCTTTGCAATATTTAACATAACATTTACTCATCTTGTCTGTAAGATCAAAAAAAAGTTCGTCTGCTTCAACATCTTTCACTAGAAATTTGAGTATATCAATTTCCTAACAAGCTTTAGATAGATATTTAAAATTGAAAAAGCGGGAATCAACAACCGTTCAATATTTCGACCACAGCAATGAATATTTACATAAATCTTCGCTGATGTGCTCAAAAAATGCAAATCATAATAGCGAAATCCCAGATAATGGTGGAACAATGGCTGATTAATGACAAACTACAATATCACTAAGATAGAGAATAGAAATATACAACGAAAAGCAACACATTCAACGCAATTCTAGTTATTTGAGTAAAAATTAAATAAATCACATAAAGCTTCCACGGGTATCTTGGATTGATTGCAGCATTAAAAGAACAAATCTTGCGAAGAAGAGTTTGTCAATATTTACAGCATAGACAAAATCATTGATACACAATAAAGCCCTCCACGTTTTAATCAAAAGCGCAAAAGAAAAATCAAGCATATTAACATTATTTACTCAGTAAATATCGAACATTGTTGACATCTGCAGCGATGTACTATGGTGAGCCCGAACGAAGATATGATGGACGAATAAAGACCTCTAAAATACGGTCAAAATGCAGACCAACCACACAATTTTCAACATGAAATGAAAAAGAACATACCATTCAGCATAGTTTTTCCATAATCGTATGCCAAAAAGACTTCAGATTTGAAACAAAGTGAAGACACGACGCTTTTGCAACAACGCAAGTCGTTGCTTCAATGGTTCCCAGCAGGGGTCCCCCTAGTACTCAGGTAATTTCCGCTAAAACACGGAAGAAATTTAGAATAAAATTACATCGCTCAATCGACGATATTTACAGATAGAACTCAAGGATAGAAAGTTAGTTTGCAAGACACGTTCAATCTACAACAAAAATTTTAAAAATATGACGAGTTGTCACCGGAAGACAAAATAATTTAAAAAAATGCCCAAATGACGTCCCTGAAGGGGATTGAACAGCTGCACGTGTTACATGACGTCAACATAATAACAGCGGTAGACCAAAGCTTGAGTACACCTTCAGTGCTCTAATGAGTAACATAAGAGCTGTATTTATAAAAATACATGCGTTGTATTAATTTGTGAAATAGAAATAATAAATGTCATTCTTTATTAAAAGGAGGGAAGAATTCTAAAATATATATCTCTTGACATATCAAACATCCGACCTCCATTAAAAATCGGATATAGCATTCTTTTACATTTGATTACATTTCTGTTAGTAGAGTTCTCCCTCTGAAATAGTCAGAAAATTTCTACTCAACAGGCTCAAAAGCGCTGTTGTCATCAGTTGCCATAGTATATTGAGTATAAAACATGTTTAAAACGAGCAGCCATTTTGTGTTCTTACCAATCTTGGATCACCACAAAGAACACCAAAGCCTTCAACTAAGGTTACAGATTACTGTATATATAATACAACTAGAATATCTAAATGGTAGTTAGTGCTGCCTGTGTGAGTGTAAAGTGCATTAGTTTTACTTGCACGACAAGAGCCAATGGCTTACAATTTTGCAAAAATACACGAATTGTAATGTTGTTGACCCGAGACTAAAACTAATGAAAACTGAGTTATTTAATATCAGCACCACATGTACAAAACTCATTTCCCAATAGACGGTTGCAGAAATAATCATTTAAAGATGTAAGGTGTGGATATAACAATTGCTCAATCACTCTCATGTTATTTACAATTTCTTCGTTAATTGAAGAATGATATATTTGTTGTCGGCTAGTTATTACATAAGACAATGCACGAAACAAATGAGTTGCCATCAACCTGAATATATAATGTATTTTGGTAGGGAATGCGTCTTCCAGCATTCTACATTGTTGGGTTTTATACAAAGAAATCAAACGTAGATCAAAGAGCACTTGAAAATTTGAAAGTTTTTATTTACTGACAGGAAGACGAAAACAAAGCTGTTCAATATAGATGACATTTTTGAAAAAGCCAAATGTTCACACCTTCAGCAATATATATAACAGATGACACAACACAAGCTTACCATGCAGTTTTAAAAGTTCACCATAAACTCAAAGCAATTGATTTAGAAAAGGTATGTTAAACTTTTCAATCTTAAAATACGTATTGAAAAAAAGGGAAATGTACAACAGTAAAAATGATGCACGTTTAAGCCTGCTTTAGAACTGTAGACTACAAAAAAAACAGCACACAACAACCAAAGTATCAAAATGTGAGTCACGGCAGAAACCAAACACGTTTATTGCCGCATCGAAAGAAGGAATTAAATCACAGAATAAAGGCCGATGGATTTGTGTTAGAAAAGAGTGTATTGAATAAGTATGTTTAAATTTTCCATTGTTGTGAAAGTCGAATTGGAAGCTGATCACAAAATAATGTAGTGATAGAATATATAATATGTCGAATTTATTTCAAAGATTTTGTCAGATCATTTTAAACGTCTATTTTCGTACTGTTTTCTCATAGCCAGCCCACAAAGCTGTTCAAATCTATTTACATAAATCGATAGAATACAAAATTAAATAGATTTCTGCACCGCCTATGATTTTCCTGTAGTGAAGTTGTCATTTAAATTGATTTTTGAAACTAAAATATTATATGTAGTTTATTGAGGAAATTTTTTTTGGAAAACATAGAGAAGACGACAAAGTAAAAGAACTTTATTTAACTATTTCAGAAATAATATACACATAAATCTATACTTCAATAAAATACGCTATATTCTAGCTTGTCAACGATAAAAAAAACTATGAAAAAGTTTTTCTACAATAAACATTCGTCTAAGTGAGCTAATCTCTGCATTTCCCTATCACCAATGACATAAAGAATGAAAGATTATATCTGAAAGCGTAAATAAAAAAAAAAGGAATAAGACAGGATATGCGTGACACTTACGAAAAATTTTTTCACATGAGTTAGGTGATTTTTTGCTATATAAACAAATTAGCTACTTCATTTTTTTCTACACGATAGAACTGGAAAAGCATAGAAAGATTTGAATTTGTTAATAATGAAAGTGTTTGTTTTGTGCAGAAATTTAACATGAATACATAAACAACCTTTCACCCAAGTTATATAGAGATGATGAGACGCCAGCTTTTACGAAATGTTTCTTACTCAAAAACAAATGCCTACTTCCGATCTCATATTTTGATGGCACAATTAAACGATTTTTTTTATTAATTAGAATCTACTTACAATATCTTCATTATCTTCATCTGATAGTACCACGGCAGGACATGAACTGCTACGAACCGTACTTGCATTACTTGTGCTTGAGCTAAGACTATTACTTGGATAGTTACATGGGGGATAGTCAGGATCAACTTGAGGTAATGTTTTCACAACAGCATACTTTTTCTTCACGGGTTCCGACTTCCCCAGAGCGGAAGTGCGTGTCAATGCAGGTACATAACATGTATTCCCGTAATTTGACCTGCAGGTGAGAACCTGTAAGCTTTCACCTGGCGATAACTATCTTTACAAACGTTACATCAAGTTTTTCTAAGGCAGTAACTATGCTAACATGAAGAATGCCATTAAACATGCAGTTTTATGATGTATGTACTTCCAGAAAAATAATCAAACTCAATACATAAAATCAATGAAATGAAAGAACGGCAAAGAGAATTACTTACATATCCCTAACATTGCGTTGTTTTACAGCAACATTCATTTCACACCTATTCGATGGCTTCTCTGTAACAGAGGGAGCTTATGATCACGTGTCTCATTTCTCGAGCGACGTCCACGCGACGAATCCCGCATTAAATCCCCATCTTTGTGAGGTTTCTTACCAGAAAGCCTCATACTTAAATATAATAATTTTATTGTTATGATATTATGTTAAAATTAATTACTTTTAACGAAAGGGTTTGTCAGAGTCTAACGTATTCATCAATTGTAGTTAAAAAATGACGCGACTTTGACGACTTCTTAGACTTGTCAGATTTATTAACGGGAAATTTCTTTACTAAAGTTTAAATGTCATCGTGAGAGAAAAATAACATTCGTTCAAATAAAATTCAGATGCCCGAAGTATTTCCTTACTTGCACAGAAATGCCCGAAGTATTTCTATACTTCCGCAGAAATGCCGAAGTATTTCCTTACTTTTGCAGAAATGCCGAAGTATTTCCTTACTTCCGCAGAAATGCCCGACTATATCCTTACTAAAGTAAATGGTTTGAGCCCGGGAGTATCGTTACATGTTTGTAAATGTAGATCGTCCAGGTTGGTATAGTCCTGAGAAGGACTGTTTTTGTTGTTGTTGACTGACGTTTCGACAACCTTAGCGGTAGTCATCTTCAGAGTCAAATGTTTTGACTACCGCTAAGGTTGTCGAAACGTCAGTCAACAACAACAAAAACAGTCTTTCTCAGGACTATACCAACCTGGACGATCGACATTTACAAACATATTTCCTTACTTGCGCAGAAATGCCGAAGTATTTTTTTACTTGCGCAGAAATGCCCGAAGTATTTCCTTGCTTCCGCAGAAATGCCGAAGTATTTCCTTGCTTCCGCAGAAATGCAGAAGTATTTCCTTACTTGCGCAGAAATGCCCAAAGTATTTCCTTACTTGCGCAGAAATACCCGAAGTATTTCCTTACTTCCGCAGAAATGCCCGAGTATTTCCTTACTTCCGCAGAAATGCCTGAAGTATTTCCTTACTTGCGCAGAAATGCCCCAGTATTTCCTTACTTGCGCAGGTGCTCGACTATTTTCTTACTTTCGAGAAAGACCTGTATAGACGACCAATTTTTGTACGTAACAATTTTTATGTGCCACAAAATAGTTGACACTTCAGTTTTTTATCAAATGTATTTTTCATATAAAAACTGTCAAATTTCTCTCGTTTACACAAGCGAAATAAATGTTGTAATGTAAAAATTTTTACATATAAGTTACTCATGTATGAAGATTTTAATATACACACCTGTTGTTGCTTTCAGGATTGTACGTAGATAAACTTCCAGCAAATGGTTGAAAACTTATAGGATCGACAGCTTTATACATATTAAGATCGATATCAATATTAAATCCACCACATTCTGCAGCAGCTTTTACAGCGTTGGCAAAATCAGTATCAGTAAGAAATGAACCATCGCTACTTATACCACTTTTTCTGTCTGGACTTGAACAAGGTGAATCTTCTCCTGATCCACTTGTATTTGTCACCGAATCAGCCCATTGCATAATTATATCACTAGTTATTCCAGCTAAGTCAAATGGTAACTTATTTTCTGATTTTCCTTTCGATTTTCCACTTCTTACTGATTCAGCTTTCTCGACATCCGAAGTTACATCTCCAGATAACACTGAGCCAGAACGACGAGGACGAAACGAGGAAGCATGGGAACGACCATATGTTGTTTCACTACACATGGAAGTGCCTGTTGGTGAGGGAGGAGGAGATCGTGTAGCTACACTAGAAGGTGGAGGATGTGAAGGAGGAGGAGGTAACATATCTGCCCAGTTTACACTTGCTATCGTTAACTTTGGAGGAGGTTTAAGTCCTTTCCTTCGCCCAGCAATAGAGCTACAAGCATTTGAAACTTCGCTTCCTGGGCTACATGAAGATTGACGTTTGTCACAAAAGCGATCTTGTTTATATGCCACAAACCTATCATGCGTGTTCTGCGTTTCTTTAATTGCATCTCGATCTAAGTCATTTTCAGCGATAGCAGTTTCATAATCAGGTGGTGCATCACTGGGATAAGATAAATTGTTTGTTGGAGATTTTCCACGTTTTCTTTCTGACTGAACATTATCACGTTCACGAATTGCGTCAATATTCAAACATGACGGTCTAGGAGCTGGCGAGTACGGATTTCGTGATCTTTCATTCCTTTGAACAGTTGGATTATCATTCTTGGAATACTTAGGGATCGAACGATTACTGAAGTCAACTATAAAAGTATTTATTATTATCGTTTCTGTGTTGTTTTTTTTCTTCGAAACTTGTTAAAAATCTGTACTCCTATCTTCTAATCACCAGTCTCTCAACGCTTTCGTTCTCTAATCACCAGTCTCTCAACGCTTTCGTCCTCTAATCACCAGTCTCTCCCCACTCCCATTCTTAAATCACCAGTCTCTCAACGCTTTCGTTCTCTAATCACCAGTCTCTCACTGCTTTCGTTTTCTAACCACCAGTCTCTCACCACTCCCATTCTTAAATCACCAGTCTCTCAACGCTTTCGTTCTCTAATCACCAGTCTCTCACTGCTTTCGTTATCTAATCACCAGTCTCTCACCACTCCCATTCTAAATCACCAGTCTCTCAACGCTTTGTTCTCTAATCACCAGTCTCTCAACGCTTTCGTTCTCTAATCACCAGTCTCTCAACGCTTTCGTTCTCTAATCACCAGTCTCTCACCACACCCATTCTTAAATCACCAGTCTCTCAACGCTTTCGTTCTCTAATCACCAGTCTCTCAACGCTTTCGTTCTCTGATCACCAGTCTCTCACCACTCCCAATCTTAAATCACCAGTCTCTCAACGCTTTCGTTTTCTAATCACCAGTCTCTCACTGCTTTCGTTTTCTAATCACCAGTCTCTCACTGCCCTGATTATCTTATCACCAGTCCCTTACCGCTCTCATTTTCCCTGCTGTCTTGTGAACAATACATTCTTTCGTATTTGTTTGGTGCTACAGAAATGCCCGAGAAATCCAAATTATGACGAGTGGATTTGGGAGAGCCATCTACCAACAAAATAAAACACGTTAACACAAGGAAATGACAAAATATCTTCAACAAATGCTAACTACAAGTCTTGTATTTTCATTTCACAAAGAGAATAGACCCAGTAGCAAATACCCACTTAAATATGCTATAAAAATTTTAAACAACAAATGATAAGGCAAAGATTTAGTAAACAGAACGTGAGATAGTTGGGGTTTTTTTAATGAACCAAGATTCAAAATAAACATTATATCACACTGATGTCGCAACCTGGTGAAATAACAATTTTTCATCAAATGGGAAGGAGAACAATTCTTGAAAAAATAAAATGAACTTACTGTTAAAATTATATACGACACAAGTAGATGTCGCATTATCATCAACACATTCTGAAAAACTTTCTGTACGAAGGTGACAACTTTCAGACATTACATCACTTTCATTGTCTCTTCTCTCACTAAAACAAATACATTCAAATTGCAGCAGAGCCACGTTCTTCGTTAACCAACTGCCTGCATACTATCGGGGAGGCTGTAAAAACGCGGTGATGCAGAGTTAAAGAAACTCATAGCATTCATTCCCGTGTTTTATGCAGTCTTTTGAGCGGGCCAAATAACTTGCAATGAAAGTATAGTGAGTAATACTGTTATGTGATACAATAAGAATGCTGTTTTTTTTATATAGTAGATAAACCAAATTATACTGAATTCCCGTCCGATAACACATTTACAGATTCGAATGGCAGTATAAACGCCGGGAATTCTTCGAGGCGGGACTTTACATTGTGGATGTTTAACTTTATTACAATGCTTCACTGGGAAAGAAAAATGATCATATTATGATGTAGGTGATGTATTATCGAGATCCCAGTAAGGCTGGATATCGCTATTGTAAAAATACACTTCATTGAAACTATACATTTTAAAGTTACAAAGCATACCTTTCCGGTTTTCGGACTGAATTTGGATGATTCATATTTTGTAATTCATGGCAAGAAACATCTTTTTTGTTTGACGAACGTTTACACAAACAGCATAGCATAATAAGAACAAAAACCAAGAGAATACAACCACCAGCAATACCCAAAAACCAAGGTCGAATAACAAATTCTTTTATTTGTTGCCATGTTGATTTCTCACTGAGAGCAACTGGGCTCTGTAACAAAACACTCTTTGCATGAGAAAAGTATGTACGACCAAGTCTTGTGGTCACTCTCATAAACACGTTATATTTTCTCCAGGATGAAGATCACCAATTACGTGATAATAATGTTCTGGAAAAGCCGGGATCGTGATTACTCCAACAACGTTTCTTTTATGACGATCGTTTCCTTTGTCACTTGTCGAAGAATAGAAGATCTTAAGATAGAAATGAACATTAGTGTGTATGAAAAATGGACAGAAATGAACATAAGTATGTATGACCAATGGACAGAAATGAACATTAGTATGTATGAGCAATGTATAGAAATGAACATTGGTGTCAAAAATAGCATGCAAATAGTTCATAAATATTCAATACCACATTGTTCCATGTAATCATTTCAATTGAGAATACTTACGATGTATGTTTTCAGTGTATCATTTCCACTCATTTTCTTCCAAAGTCGTTTCCATGTCACCTTTATACTATCAGTATCATTTTGCATTATTCCCATTTGTAATGTCACTGGTTCAGATGATGTCCATTGTTCAATAGTTTCACTAACTGGACCTTCACCTGCTTTATTAAATACTTTAACATACACGCTATATTTAGTTGAATTTTGCAAATCTGAAATCATGTATCCACTAGAACGAACATTTTGGAGAGTTTCATTTTGAAAAGGCAGACTTTCAGCTTGCCAATAAATATAAAATCCATCAATTTTAACATTTTCTTTTATTGGAGCCCATCTCACATAAAGTTGTCCAGCAATGCCCGAGGTAACGTTGATTTTTAAGATGGGAAGTGGAATTTCTTCAGGAATTTCTTCTATTGGATCTATAATTTTGACATCAAGAAAATTACATCCAGAAAGGATAAAGAATTTAAAAAACTAAATTAAGGATGTACATACTGGTTGGTAACGATGATAAAGTCTTTATCTCATACGAAAGTAAACTCGGCTCTCCATAACCTTTTCCATTAAATCCTCGAACAAAAAACATATATCGTGTCTTTGGTAATAAATTTGTCACAACATACTCCTGAGTATTTGGTGAAATGTTATCTGCAACTATAACTTCGTCGTTTTTTATATCAATATTAACATAGCCGACAGCATAAACCATCACTGGATCTTTGCTTTCTTTCCATGTTATACGTGCTGAATTATCATTAAATTCAACAACTGTCACATTGTTTGGTTTTCTAGGTGAACCAATTTTCACAGATTCACGTAAATGTAATTTTCCTAAAAATTGAGAAAAATTTATAACCATACGTATAATATAGTTACCAACATTATAAAAAATACAATCGTGACCATCATTACTACCATTTCTACCATCATTACTACCATTTTTACCATCATTACTACTATTTTTACCATCATTACTACCATTTTTACCATCATTACTACTATTATTACCATCATTACTACCATTTTACCATCATTACTACAATTATTACCATCATTACTAACAATATTACCATCATTACTACCATTATTACCATCATTACTAACAATAGCACCACAAGTTACGTACTTAGCTATAAGTAACGAGAACAAGTACTACAACAAACTGTTAATAAAATTAGAAAATAAACTATAGAGATGATGGTAAGTATTTTCAAAGGTTTACGAAACAAAACTTACGTGTTACTTGAAGTGTCATATATTTGGACACAGTTGAGATTGTATTACTAGCCACACAACGAAAAATTCCACCATTTCTTTTCCTGACTTTCGTGATGGTAAGAATATGGCGATATATTTTACTTAACATTTCCTCTCTCAACATCACATCAGCATCATTGATAAAATCATATTTTCCATCTTTCTCCCATTTAACAGCTGGTTTAGGATTTCCACGCACATCACAAACAATGTTTACATCTTCATTGATATCAGCAATAACATGACGGTTTGGAGTCTTAATAAATGCTGGAAATTCGCTCTTCCTGTGCACATAAACACTGACCAAACGTGAGTTACTGCCTATTTTGTTACTTGCTCTACAAGAGTAATTTCCAGCATCAGAAAGACTCAACGGTTTGAAACTAAGTTGTATTGATCCATTGACTAGTTTTGCTTGTTTGTTATCATAAATAATATCTGGAACAAATTCAGTTTTACCCTTATACCAAAGAACAGTGGGGTAAGGTTCAGATCTTGCCAAACATTTTAATGTAAAGTTTGAACCTTCAACAGCATTAACATTGGATGATATGAATTTAAATTCAGGAACATCTATGAAATATAAAATAAAGTATTTTTCAATATTATTAAAAGAAAAAACAGAAACTAATGGAATAAAATTACATACTTACATTGTAAAATAAGTTGAACATTTGCTGATACATTTCTTACTTTATTAAAGGCAATGCATTGATAACTTCCAGCATCATTTGATTTTAATTTGGTCAATTTTAAAGTGCCGTTAAAACTAGGCAATATTGTGCTGTTTCCAAGTTTTTTCCAAATAATTTTTGGTTTTGGTATACCACTTGCAACACATGTTAACGTAGTTTGACTTTGTAATCGAATGTTAATAGTCTTTTCTTTAGATATTGACAAAATTGTAGGAGGAACTAAAAAAAAGTAACATCAATCCAGTATGGTAACAGATTTTCAAATACGTTGCTGAAAAAAAAACAAACCTGTTGTCCTGACAACAGCAATTTTACTGAGTCGTCTACCAGCAACATTAACTGCTTCACATTGATAATTTCCCTCATCTTCCTTTTTCACATTTTTTATAGTAAGAATTTGTTTGTTATTTTTGAATGAAACACGTCCATTAACATTAAATAATTCTTGATTATTTTTTAACCAACCAATTTTTGGTTTAGGTTTTGAGCGAGGTGAACGACATGATAAAACCAGCCGTCCGCCAAGAGCCACAACCTGACTTTGTGGTTCTTCTCTAAAATCTTTACGAATATCTATGATAGGGAAATGTACAAAAAATGAGAATATTTCAGTTTCTGACTTGTCTTAATTGTTTACATTGCTAAAATAGACAATAAGTAATGTAAATGAAGAGACTGTCTTCTTTGCAAAGTTTGTTCATACTTACATCCTATGGTAAGATTCACAATTCTACTTTTGATATTTGACCATTATTATCCGTCACAGTACAATAATATCTTCCAGTATCTGAATATCCTTTCCGCTTTCTATGTATCACCCGTTTAATGTACAAATGACCATTACGTAAAATACGTTTTCTGGCAAAACTCTCAACACGTTTACCATTATGGTACCATTTATACTTGAGTGGTTCTATCCCAGTGGCTTCACACATCAGTTCTGCCATACCATTTTTAATAACAAATGTATGTGAAGGTTGGCGAGTAAAAACAGGACCTATAAACATATACCACAATTATCATATATTATCATTACTTGTATTTTAACAATCTTTAATATCAATCTTAAAATCACAGGCGCATGATTTTGAAAATATAACAAGGATGACACCTATAAAAAGAATAGATGTTAAACACGTCAACTGATATTCAGTGAAATTTTTCCTGAATTTTTTTATCACAATATATCAAACAGAAGAATTTATCATAAATGAACATTAAATAGTTTAGTACCTTTTGCTGTATAAAGTAAGACTGTCCAACTTAACATCAACACAATATAAAGCAACATCCTCTGCACAAGTACCATAGTCATAATTATCTAAAAAACAAATACATGTTTTTAAATATGTTCAATCTGCTTCAATAAACAAGCATAACAGTTTTTACAACAGCTTCATTTATGTATGCGTAATGTGTATAATATACTTAATAAGACTGTCATGATGTCACAACCATTGCATCATCATCTAAAACCAACAAAATTAATTATCTAGTACTCAGAACACACAAATATTTGTCACAGCATTAGCACTAAAACCCATGGTTTGTATAAACCACCAATCCCAGAACATAAATACATTGTTAGATGTCGAGTAATCTCAAGGATTGTACTGAGCACTCTTTTTATTCACAGTTAACAATTTATGAAAGAAGAAATTATATACAAATATGATATTGTTTGAAGTAAATAAAATGCTCAATACAAGTGTAGAGCATATATTTATAATAAAATTAAATCACAAGTCTTAAAATGCTGCTACTTGGAGTTTCATATCTTTGGATATAAACGACAAATGCTTGAATACAATATAAGAACAAAGTAGAACACTCAATTCACAGGCCCTTAGAAGTATTTCTGGAGTAATCATGAAACTGTTGGTTAGTACAAAAATAAAGCACTGGTAGTGGAAGATTTATAATTGTGGGGGGTATAATCACAATTAATTTCATGAGAAACTAATCAAAACAAAGAACAACATGAATCAATGAATCTAACCCCCAAAAACTCCATCATTTATAAATATTCAGTCACACTAGAATGAAGTCATTCAACTGTTTCTTTTTAACACATAATAAGCTTTTAACAAAAATGTTTTTCAATTTCCAAGTAAAGATATCTTAAATGAGATGTCAATAAAAACATCAAAAAAGCATTCTCAGTCAAGTACTAAAGATAATTTTTTAAAATACATACTGTTTATCTTTATCATCAAACATGATTAAAAAACTAATTGTTCAATATTTTTGAACATAAGAAAGTCCACTATGTTTTAATTCCACAATGAAAATGTTAATGAAAATGTTAATAAAAATATACTTGACCACACAACAAGATGTTAGTTTCAGTTATTTCTTGACAATAACAGTGACCAGAATAAATACTTTAACTCTTCATAAATTTACATAATCCTCTTAGTTTTTTGAAATTTGATATTGAGCGAATAAAAAAATAAACATTACACACAATTAAAATACATGAAAGAAACAAAAGTTATAAATGGTTAACCTTTGCAATAACATGAACATAACCTCTATGGATACACCATAAAAGTAAGAAAGAGAAGAAAGAACAAAATTCAACAAAAACAAAACATAGGAACAAACAAAGTCTACATAAGTAAATTGTGTGCATATGAAGAAGAGTTTGAATCACTAAGGTCATTGGAGATATGACACGTAACTTAATACTATAAAAATACAAAAGATTAGTAAGAGGGATTTCCTGGTGAAATTGAATATTTACCTAAAACTACGGTAAAATACATTATAAAATCTTCAGATGTTTGTTATGTAAAAAGCTAATCATTGTTCTGTCGCACTCTTCACAGCAGCCAGTAAATGTTTTATTTAAACTTTTTAGTTTAATGCTGCAAACACACCGTTAAAAACAAGAGTCATGCAATAATTTATCGGTTCTGTTTTCTTAAGAATACTGATATTTTCATTCCATTTGTCATTAGAAACAAACACACGAACACACGAACAGAATTTTCAATGAATTTGGACATGTTATATAAAGAGCGAAAGCAAGATTATACTTGCAGTCTAAAATATTTCTGATATAATTCCTTTTTATCTAAATAGCAAATATAGATAAAATCAATTTTATAATTTTGATATGTTGGCCAAAAAATTCATTTCTTTACATATAAAGTTACAAACATAAAAAAGACGCCATAAATCGACAGTAATATGACATGAAATTGAAAAGCTATCTCAAAATAATATTTCAATCTTTTAACAAAGCAACAGCAATTTCTACATATGTACAGGCGTGAATGTTTAGTTTTCGTTTCGCTAATATATTTCACACGAGACACTAAAAACAGCGTACTAAACGCGCCGTTATTATTGTAAATACAAAGCATGGAGATTTTTTTTTACACTTCTCGAGGCAATTGGTGTCTCAAAGTTAAGAAATGAACCTCTTCAAACGATTAATTTCTTTTGCCACGTTTAAAGGAAACTATTATAGAGTGCACCAAAACCACAATCTCAACTCCTCAAGTAAAACGTTAAAGACTTCTTTCACAGATTTTATAAATTGTGCTTCTGCTGTACACATAATACTGTTCATTTAACTAAGCATGACAAATATACATTTCCCATATTCCCAGGTATTTTTAGGTTTATGAAATACGCAGAGAGGCACCATTATGGACAACAAATAGAAACTTACCAATACAACGCTTTACGAATTGCTCTCGAGTTCACTTTCACAACAACCATATTACATCATAGTCTTTCGTGATTGATTTTAAGATGACATTGCGAGCACATTTGATTCCAAATTTCAAAAGGACAATGCAATAAGTTGGTTATATATTGTCACTAAGGATATTGAACATTCATTGTTCCTCAACAATTAAAATGTAACCAATCAGGACAGGGGCATATTTAAATTATTAACTCTCCTTTTCCGCTTAAGTAATTTGATCACAGAGATGACAGAAATCACAATTTATCGTTTGCTATTGAAAACACTTATAAATATTATTTTGTAAATTGAAACTATTATTTAATACCTAGTTGATGATTTCCTCTATCATCGACAAAAAAATGAATCGTGAGTAAGTTTGCCGTTTTGCCACAAGAGAACGCAGTTTTACAACTCCTTTGTCAAAAGGAAGATTTTGAAGAAATTACAATGTTTTAAGGCCCACACTTGTACGCTTGCGAACTAAATAATCCTACATAGATAATGAACGACATTTATGGATAATCTCCAGCAATTATTTGTTGTTTTGTTGACATACGTAAAATTTGGACATGACTGCATGACATGACGATCCATATCAGCTTTGAGGGGTGTGTACACTGAATGGAATGCACTTGTCCTGTGTCCACTGGAATGACTGCTTGTGAGGGGGGAAGTATTTACATAAATGTGATGTGCAGAAGACATAACGATGCAAAATACAAATGACGTAACGTGACGCAACGTCATCCATATTGCGGTTGAACATTATATTGGTGCGGTTGGTCATCAAAGTGAAGTTTCAAGTGCGTTGTTAAACCATATTTTGATATTTTCCTGTTTTAAATGTTCTCATATGATTTAATCATTCATGGTGAATTGTGATGATACTTTTGACATAAATGTAAACAGTTATGGTTGCAGATTGGGTTAAGAATTGCGATGTGGAAAAAATAATCAATGAAATTTTACCTGCATTGAAAAAAGATATTAATGCTTTTCAAGCTGGGAATCTTCCTTCCAATCTTTGTATTACAATTCCTAAACCTTATCGTCCTTATGGCAAGGTTCAGGGATTGATTGCAGGTTTAGTATTTGGTGGTAATGTGCATGAACAAATAGAAGAACTCCGTTGCAAGCTAGAAAGAAAGAGGGCAAAAATTAAAGAGAAGGAAAAAGAAAAAAGCAAATTAGACAATAAAATTACAACAGTAGATTACGAAGATGAGAACTGTACTATTTACAGTAATGAAGATTTAATGAGTCGTTTGCAAGCAAAATGGAGCTGCTCTCTTGAACATTTGATGACAAAAATGCGTAATGCTGTTGCAAATGCCCAGGCTGAACATAAACATAAATTAAAGAAAGCATCTAATCCTACAAAAGCCATAGAACAACCAGAAGCTTTGCCAATTTCTAAATACCCATCTGCAGAAGATTTCAAAGATATAATCAACTTTCTCAAACATCATAATTTATCCAACAAGACTTGTGAGAATGGTACATTGAACAGCAATGGTCGACTTGATTTGTGTAAACAGGGTATTACAAATGCTTTTTATGAAACATCTGATGCAGTTGTGAAAGATGGAGAACAATTATCTCAAGATGTTCATTTCAAATATGGTACAATGAACAGCGATGGTCGACTTGATTTGTGTAAACAAGGTTTCACAAATGCTTTTTATGAAACATCTGATGCAGTTGTGAAAGATGGAGAACAATTATCTCAAGATGTTCATTTCAAATATGGTACAATGAACAGCGATGGTCAACTTGATTTTTGTAAACAAGGTTTCACAAATGCTTTTTATGAAACATCTGATGCAGTTGTTGCAGACTTAAGGGGACAGACGTCCATCTGTAAAGTGAGTCAACACTTGGATGATGTGTCTATCACTCAAAAACCTTTTGTTAAGCATTTTTTGATTGGAAATAATAGGATTGGTGAGGATGGAGACCATGTTGGTGAAGGCAAGAAGAGAGTTATTGAGTTATCGCGCTTAATACAACTTCGACCTGACATTGTTACATGGTATTTGGCTGGAAATTCACTGGATCATCTTCTCATTAGATATGTTGCAGAAGCTCTACAGAAAACTGATGCAAAATATATTTGGTTAAAGATGAATCCTGTTAAAACTGGTTCATACTACCTTGGTAAAATGTTGATGAGAACACCAAGTATATTACTTCTTGATCTCTTTAATTGTGGCTTATGTAATGATGGAATACGAGAGTTTGTTAGAGGTCTCAGTGAAGTAGGCCAGCAAAGTCCATCTTTAGTTTGTAATCTTCAACATCTCTATCTTTCAATTAATGCCATCAGTTCAACAGAATGGTTTGAACCAATGTTGATGTATTTATCTCAACTACATTCCTTGTTTATTGGAATGAATTCATTTGGAGATGAGGGATTTGAAATACTATCAAATGTTATAATAAACAAGTCAAGTTGTTGCAAAACCCTCCAGCGTCTTACAATCGATTCGTTGGCTCTCAGTGATGTATCTCTTCCTTTCGTTGCAAATATTGCCAATGCTTGTTCCAAACTTGTCTGTCTTGAGCTTGGATCTTATAAATCTACTAATTATTTTGATCTAATACACAATCAGTTTGATGTAAAGCAAGCCTCTTCTCAATCAGCTTTGGTGGCAATTGCTCAATCCCTTGTCTATAATGCTAAAAATAGGGCTGTTGAAAGTGGTGATTCAGAGTTATTTCATCTGCATTATTTAGGTCTTCAACATGCATTGATTGTTGAACTAAATCCAGCCAACAGAACATTAAAAATGTTAGAAGTGAAGAATATCATTGATGACTTCGTTTACAACAAATTACATAAAGAAACTGGAGTTAATGTGAATGGAATAACGAACTTGTACATTAGCAAAGATAGTCAATCGTGCAAATTTATCAGTGATTTAAGAGAAAAAAGAGGACACAAAAACTTATTTAGTATAAAAGTTGCAGGTGGTATATTCTATTGTCAAGGAGTCACTCAAGAAGTTCTTCGAACCTCTATAAGAAATCCATGGCCAGCTCTTGATCATATCAAATCCATTTATAGAAATATAATGAAATCTTGATGAAAACAAAAAAGCTTGGTATATGTTTCATCATAAGTTTTTTGCTTGTATTATTTGCATTATGTGATGAACTGTCCATTGTTGTCGTTTGAATGTAAAAAACTGAATTGTTTTTGTATAATATTTCAAAGTAAAGCTTTTACACATTCTATGCCTAATAAATAACAATTATTGAAAATCAGGTGAAATTATATGTGCTACTTTCTAAAGAGTGTTTTTTTTTGTTGTCCACCCTTAGCAAGTTTAGTTGTCAATTAAAATTTTCATGTTTAGCTAGACGTTATAGAAACAACAAAGATTGTAAGATTTGTATTGTTAACAGATAATCTTCAAGGTGTAGACGATAACAGTAGATCCTCCATGTAAATTTATTATTATAAGTCGTACTCATCGTTCTTTGAGAAATGTTATCAAAATAAAGTCTTACTGTTCAACAATTGTAATATTGTAATAGTAATATTGACAGTATTGGTAAACAATAATTTTAATCACACAATTGTAAAATAAAAAATAAAATTTAAACACCAGGAATAAAATGCTATTGGTTTACTGCAAAATTATCTATCAAATTTTACAATCATACTAAAGAAACGGGTGTTTTATACTTTCTAGCAAAATGCAATCGTTTTAATGCACGCATCCCGCAATTCTTCTAGTTCTACATCTACTGTCGGTCAAAACACAGTTAACGAAAAAGTTTTTCAGTTCTTTGCTGGCAACCCATTAGATTTCATGGAAGCTTTGAAACGAGCACAAACAGAAAATTGCTACCCTTATAAATTACCAGATTTTTGAGTCTTCCAACTACCACAAAGACGGAATTGCTTGATTATTTTTAGCAATAACATGTTTTCTGTGAGGTCTTATTTCTAAAGATTAAGTGCAGATTAAAATAAATCAGTTTTTAATCCGATCACGTTCATCAATTGATGTTTTTATGTCAATTATGTAAACATGTATTTTTTCATAAGGGTTCACTTTTTTTATCAATATACTTTCTGTATAAATGGGAAAAAGTGGATACATGATTGGTTTGCACATTTCAGTTGATCCTTCGCTTTCTGCTTGATTGCGAGCCTCATTTGCAAAATATCTTGTTATGTTTTTAATTTTTTCACTTGACGTTGACTTAATGACTTTAAGTTTCAATACCCGTTGAATAAATTCGATTGATTTTTCTTGGTGAGAACAAACTGAATAATACTAAAGATTATACAGTATAGAAAAATATATTCTCACATATTAATGATTTATAAAGATGCATTTGCCGATGTATTGTACGATAACAACATTACGTGTCACAGAAAAATTACCAATTTTTGCATCTAGAGAATTTAAATGATAAACTGGGAGTTAAAATTTAATATTATGTATTTTGAAAAACCCTGTTATTTTGCGTTAAGGACTTTATTTTGAATCTGATATTGACGTAACCTTGCACTCTACTTTTTTTTAAGATTACTTCTGATAGATAAAATACCTCGGGCCCTTTTTGAGACCTCGGGAAAATAATTTTCCATCCGGAGCACCCAGCTGGTAAATAACATATCCTTCTTCTTTTCTGTATTTATTTGTATTTTTCTAAACGCAAGTACAGCTAGCATAATTTTAGCATTAGAATGGAATACTTAGAACACAGGGAAATAGAGTTGTGTACTTCACTTACTTGAACACTGATTTCAAAAATTTTCCACGTACCTCCTCAACGATTAACGTTTCTTTGTTACGCCAGGGAAAGTTCTCATCCTACAAATGCTCCTAAAACGGAATTCCATAAAAATGACCCTGTTGTCAATGTCCATCCTTAGAAGATATAGTAATATGTCAGACAATCTGATAATGATTGGTAATGATTCCTTGTTGTACATATACCGATGGAGAAACGGACTTTTGATTATTTATTACTGATATTACCATCATCACTCTCTGTAACCAACTGTCAACTACCACCATCCATTGTTCTCTAAAATTTGTCGTATTCAGTAACCTTAAGTTGTACAGTGTATACCTTCATCCACCTTACCCAATCGATGCAAATTTCTGCACGCCTGGCGCATCTATTTTTTGGTCTCCTCTCCAAAGGAGACGAAGATCAATAGGGAGATCTCTGAGATGGGACTTTAACATATTTTTGAAATGAATGCAAGTCTTCATTGTCTTGTTATTATTTTGATACTTTCAAATGTCAACGTATCACTCCAATTTGTTGTTGATTACATGTCCGGCAATTTGGGAGAGAAATACGAAGGTGCAGTCTCAATTCGCAAGAAAAATATTTATGTCTTTACAAATCCTGTATATTTCAACCATAGCGAGGTATTGAATTAAGTTTTGTTAGACGTGAATATTATATTTATAGCAGTAATTTAACATTTTCATCAAATTATTGTGTTTGATATTTGTCTTAGGCTGTGATTGTTGAAGTCCGTGGAAATGCGAGTTTAGCATTTCCTTTGGTTGTTGTTATTCAACAGCAAAAAACAGTATCTTCCTTGACTCTTCCTATCAAAAGTGAAGACAGGTTATTGAAAAATTCTACAATGCTCATTTCTAGTTTTATCATGTGATTCAGGAGAGTATTGAGGAAGTTTGTCTGAAATTTTAGTAAAATTGGGCAAATTTATAAAAAAAATAGCAAAAATAGTCAATCAAGGATTTGTTATGCCAAATCCCTCATTAATAAGCAATGCACTTCAAAATTAATGTTGATTAATGACCAAAAGTTTTTCCTTGTGTACAAATGCAGATTGCATTGTGCATAATTAGAGTATGAATCTTTGTAGCCAAAATGGTCTTGTTTATATATACATTTATAAAATAAAAACAATTAAGAATTGAAAGATGTTTACTGTGTTTGCACAGTTTTATGCAAATTGAGGAGACCTTTGGGAGAACTCTAGAACAGATCAGTGCAAGTCTGATTCATCTAATGTGTATTCATGATTGATTTGCAAATTCTCTTTGATTGATTGATTGATTTGATTTGTTGATCTCAGATTGTTTTACACAGACTAATGCAAACTCAGCTCTAGACCAATCAGCACACATGTTTCATTGTTTTTATTTTATAATGAAATTTACTGCACTCATTGCTCTTTAGCTGTGTTTGCATTGTCTGTGCAAACTGATCTAAGCTCAACCAATCAAATTAGTTAATCAATGAATGAGAATTTGCAAATCAATAATGAATATATTTTAAAGGAAAAATAACAACTTTTGTTTTAAATTTATCTGTTTTGCATTAGTGTTGTTTTAAAAAATAACTAAATAATTTTTTCAATTTTGTACTGGCTTATGCAAACCTAAGAGATGTTTGTGTGAAGTCTCCAAGCAAGTTCAACCTTTGACCTTTGGTCTTGGGCTTACACTGATCTGCTCTCGAATTTTCCCAAAGGTGTCCTCGGTTTGTATAAGCCTGTGCTAACACAGTAAACATCTTTTATTTCTTATAAGCTTTTTGAAAACTATTAATTAGAGTTTTATGTGTTGTAGACAAAAGATTTATGCAATTGCATCAAACTTTCTATGCTATGATGACCAATCTTTATCAAACTTCTCAGTTTCATTGCTTACATCATCCCTTACTCCTGTTAATTATACTCTTTATCCAAAGATTTTACATGGCTTCCTGTTAAGGTATGATACTCAAAATATCATTGAGCTTTTATAAAATTACTTTGCTGAATAAACAATGATTGTTGTACATTTATTATAGATTGGACAAAGATCAAAGACTTTTAGCATCACCAACACAACCAGCAGTGAGTTTAGTAACATCACAGTGTACTGCTCAACTTTTGAGTCATACTTGTTAAATCTTGTCATTAGGTATACTCATTTCAATTTCCCACAAATGTTGATACTGTACTTGTCAAAGCTGAATCAAAAATGTCTGCATGTAGTATTGTATCTATCCAAGGGACTAAGGTAAAGACTTTATTGGCCAAGAAACTAAATGCTTGGTGTATTTTTGTTTTGTTTGTTTATTTTGCAGATAAATGGATGGCTATGTAGGTTATTGGTTGACAAGTGTGTAAAGTGATAGTTGTTTGATAAGTTCCTTGTTGACCTTGTTGGTAAGATAGTATTTGGTTGTTGAGTCAGTTAGATAGTCATTTGATAAGTTCCTTGTTGACCTTGTTGGTAAGATAGTATTTGGTTGTTGAGTCAGTTAGATAGTCATTTTATAAGTTGCTTGTTGACCTTGTTGGTAAGATAGTATTTGGTTGTTGAATTCATCATTTGGTGATCAGTTGTTGCATAAGTTTATATATAAAATTGGTTGTTGCGTTGTTTAGAGGTTTAGTTGATCTGTTCATTATTTTTTTGGTTAATTTGTGTAACTAGTTAGTTTTATTTCATTGTCCAAGTCACTAGTTGTTTACATCATTTGTGTCTTATTGTTAATTAACTTTTAGTTAAGAATCAAGCTCCAATATTGCTGAAGACTTTTTTTGTCCAAACCAATAATTCTCTTCATCTGCTTTCTCATGTTCTACTTAGAACACAACCATTCCAGTACTTGCTGTTCCCTTCAATTCCAACATCAGATTTTACTCTTTTTGCTTGACAATGTTTCTGTAAGTATTGATTTCTTTCCAAACTCATTGACACCATGTTTACAACCATGTATTTTATCGCCAACTATACACAACTCTCATAAACTATTCCTTTCATCGTTCTTCAGAATGTTGCATTCTGTGTCTTTGTTGCTCCGTTCATCAAATCTCATCTAGTCATGTTATTTCACAAATTAACCATGATCGCAAGACGCAAATTTTCTGTGACTAGTGACAAGTGTCAGCTATCTAAACCTTTATCTCTTTGCTATCATTTCGAAACTTATTTCCGATTGTCAAGAAGTCTCATTTTTCATTATCATGATTGCCTTGTAAAAAAATTTCGTTATTTCTCTAGAAATTTTTCTGGTATTTATTTCAATTGTTAGTGTCCCGTCTTTGACTTGGAGAGCAATGTTGAATTTACCGGCCATTTCCAAACAATGCGACACAAATCAGGAATAGTGGTTAAAGTAATGAATTTGCTACAACTTCAACATCTTTAGCATTTTCAACATTATTTTTATTGAATTGTTGTAGAAAGAGAATTTCCCGATAAATAAGTTTTATATTGTCGTGGTTGTGCTTTTCACCAATCAAAGATGTAGATCTGGGAAAAATAATCAAAATCCATTCAGGGATGATGTGTTCCGAGGTTGTTATGATTTGAATTTTTTCAAATATTTCAATTATTAATGCTGTAAATGTATTATTGCTGTGTTTAAAGGTGCAAACTCACATGGTTACAGCTCATCTCGTAATACACAACGATTAAAAGAAGTTAAATTAAAAGTCGTCAAAATTCCATCCGGTAAATTTCTTTCTTTACAAAATTACAAGTAAAGTAAAGAGTTTATTTTTCAAAAAATATCGAGTTGTGATCAATGCTTGAAGCCTTTTCTGTTATTAATCATTGACTTTCTTTTTAAAGGTAAATTTGTATTTTAATTTAGAAAATGAATATTTCACACCTATTCTTGTGCCAATTTTTGTCTTTCTTTCATTTTATTTTATTGCTGCTGTCGTTATCTTATTTCAGTAAGTTTTCAGTTAGTTGAAAATATGTCATGTTTTAATTCCAAAGAATTCAGTGTCATGTTTTGAATGCTTTAGAAAAAAATTTCTGAAGAAACAAATCTATTCTGGCAGTACAAGCACTTCTGCACAAGAAGGTTGAAGAAATATCTTTATAATTCATTTCATACAGAATTGTCTAAAGGAATGCAAAATGTTCACTCTCGGAAGATAAGCTGCATAAAATTGTATAGGAATGGCTTGCTTTGTTTCAGGTGAAAACCTTGTGACTACAGAAAATTTAACGTCATCAAACTACGGCAGTGTTGTTGTTTCAGGTTGTGAAATTATTATTTGTTCCCCTTAACCGTATACCTTTTGTATTGCAGCAATGGATTATTCTGAATTACGTATCTTTAATAATGAAATCAGTTTATTGTTTTAGAAGGAAAGACTGAACAATTATCAACTGCTGTTGAACAAAATGTTGATGATATCAACGAAGAAGATGCTGTTGACTTTGATTTTCTTGCCGATGTTGAACAGGACAAAGATGTTTATCGCCTAAAGGTGATGACTATAAAAACTCGTGTTAAATAAGTCATAAATAAAGCTGTAATTGTTTGATATATGTATATTTTGTAGAAATACCTATTTTTGTCAGATTTATCACGAAAAACAAGAAAACGATTGCACAAAAAATACAATCTTTATCAATGGTCAGCTTTTGTTTATATTTAATTTGAGAATTCTTAATTATAGAATGATTATTTTTCCCTTTTACCCTAGGTATTTGATGATCATTGCAGTTTTTTATACCTTACCAGTAGTCCAGTTGGTTTTTACGTATCAGAGAGTATGTATGAATGTGATACATTGTTTAAGTCGTCTATGATTGTTCTCAAAATTGATCGTAAAATGCTCTCACATAATTTTTATAAAGTACATATCTTTATATTTAGGTTTTAAATGCAAGTGGTGATCAAGACATTTGTTATTACAATTTTTACTGTAGTCGACCTCTTGGTGCACTATCGTACGTCCTACTATAGATTGTCAGCTACTTTTTTGTCAAAAATAACTTTTAAGTCATATTTCTTTGTAATTATTAGATCATTTAATAATGTTTACAGTAACATTGGCTACATTATGCTTGGAGTTCTATTTTTTATTTTGGTCTGGCGAAGGTATCTATTTTGCAACTAACAACAAAACACTGATATCGTTGTCTTCACTCACATTAAAAGTTTCATGACTAACAACAAAACACTGATATCGTTATGTCTTCACCTTACAGTACGGATTATTTAGTCAATTTTTTTCATATAGGGATGGTCTACATCCTATAGAGAATGTCGAACAGGTATTTTGTTTTTAAATACAATCCAACTTTGCAATACATTGACTTTGCTAAACTTTAATTATCCTTCATTGTTGTAGCGTACTGGTATTCCCCATCATTATGGTATTTTTTACGCTCTAGGTATGATAAAATATTTGATCTATTTCACATTATTGACAGTTACCTCAATCCTTATATAAATATAGGGCTTTCGTTAATTATGGAAGGAATCTTGAGTGCCTGCTACCATGTCTGTCCTAGTTATACAAACTTCCAATTTGGTAAGTTACCTTTAAGAAGTTTGTGCGATTTTTTACATAAATTGAATGATGACATTTAATATCTATGGTTATTTAGATACATCTTTCATGTACATCATTGCCAGTCTTATAATTATTCAACTCTATTCTACTCGTCATCCTGACCTTGCAGCTAAACCACATGTTGTATTCGCCATTTTAGCTGCAATAATTATAATTGCAGTCTCAGGCGTTGTAAGTTTATCAACAATTATTGTGTCAAGTTGTTTGAACTTTAAAATAAAATGAATTTGATCACATTAAATAATTATCATTGTGTAGGTGTTTAAATCATATGTTTTTTGGGCGATCTTTTGCTTTGTTTTAATATCATTCAGTGTTTATACAACCACGCAAATGTATTACATGGGAAGGATTCGATTTTGTAAGTGATTTTTTAAAACGTTTTTTTATCATGTCGCTACGAATAAAACATTCAAGATAATTCTAAAAAATTCCTCTACTGCATTTGGTCATTTATTTCAGCTTTTCAAGAGATGAGGAGATTGATTTTATTTCTCAAACTTGATCTATTTTCTTGTCCAATGTACAAGGTATGCCCAAATGCTAATGATTTTATTTGGTTACGCATGTTTTTAGTTCGACCATCGCAATTTTAGAATATGTTAGACCGTAATAGTTTGAACGTATTTATGGATAATATTAGAACTTAATATTATGAAAATAAGAGAAACAAAACATTTTACCTTAATGTTTGAAAAGAATTGAAATTTGATGTTGTAAACCATTTTTTTAGGACCGAATGGTTCTGCTTTTGCTGGCTAATACTGTCAACTGGGGACTGTACGTCTTACAGATTTTATAATTGCAAGCAATAATTAAATCGTTTAAAGGTTTTGTGTATTTTAGAGCCATCAATGGGATTGTAAACGAACCTAAAGATTTTGCATCATATTTACTCGCAATATTGATTGTCAATGGGTTGATCTATTTGCTGTTTTATGTTTTTATGAAGGTATTCTTCATAAATTCTAATGATATATCTTGGTCTAGAAATTTAACAATGATTTAAATGCATACCTTAACTTGGGACAGTCGATATTTTAGCAAGTTTGTGACTGTAATTAGCACCTTTATGGATCTCTGTAATCGATCTACTGAGCATGATAACAAACATGTTTTCTTATGTTTGTAAAGGTCTACTTTATGTTTTAGTTAAGGAATAAAGAAAGAATTTCTTGCCTTGTTGCTGTTTGTTCATTTTTCACCCTTGCCTGTTGGATTGCCTCTCTTTCATTTTTCATGCAAGGATTGACATCATGGAGGGTTAGTTTTCACTCTATTTCATCAAACTGTTGTAGGCTATTTTCTATGACAGTTTAGTCTTCACTTTATTTCGTCAAACTATTTATTTAAACCTTTCAATTTATTTAGAAAAGTCCTGCATACTCAAGAGAAAACAACAAAGATTGTTTTATACTCAGTTTTTACGACTACCACGATATTTGGCATTTTCTCTCGGCTATCAGTCTTTTTTGCTCTTTAATGGTAAGATAACATCAAATATTTAATAAAGGTCACATTTTATTGTACAAGGTTCCCCAAGAAATGTTACTCTATAAAAGGTGTAACCTATAGATCATAATCTATTGTTATTCTTCAATTCCTGATCACTCTGGATGCTTATATTGCATTACATATGTTAAATATCTTTATAACAAGCAAGAAAGATGGTGTTGAACATAATTTCTAACAGCAGTTTTGCACTGTATGCACCCGTGGGATTAGCATGGTGATCAGCTATTGAAATTTTAACAATTGGTTAACCGAAATGTCTTTGGTCAAGATTAACGATCAACTTTATACGCCCTGTTGAAATCATTTCATTGTTCACAAACCGCTGTTAAACGCGAAATTATTCAAAAGGGAATTTATGATGATTTTCCATAGTGTCACGTGACGTAAATATCTTACATTTTGTCTGTGAGACTGAAGTGCATGCCATCATATGATGAAAGTCACCCAATTTATAAAAATGCGAAGATTTGGTCCCATAACTAATTACTTCACACATTCAAACATCTGTTACTTTCATCAAATAATTAATTCTTGACTTGCAACCATTCTCTTGCGATTTGCCAAACAATGTTGCTCGCCCACGTCGGCGGGTGCCAACAATAACACTGATAAAATATTCTTTTGTATCAGACCACCAACATGTCTGAATTGCAAGTCAAGAATTTTCATCCCATACACTGTCATTAAAAATTTACAACTAGAGATATTTTGCTAAATTTTCATTAATTTTTAACTTTCTAGATCTTGTTAACTTTAAATGATGATCTTGAAGATACTCCAAGAGAAAAATACGCGTATTTTAGTGTTGAAAGAAATATGTTCAAATGTCAGTATATCATAATGTTTGTTATCAAATTTAGTTGAAAGAGATTAAGGGTGCTTGTTGCATTGACAAACTAAACCTTACTACGTGTTCGTTGGTCATTCATATTCATGGCAAAAGCATACTGAAATTAAAGACGAAAGCGCCGCAATATTTGATAAAGTATATTAATAATTTATCAACTCCGACCAACTCTTTTGACAATCTTCAAAACTGGTTAAGAAAGTTTAAAAAATATTCTAAACGATCACCAATTAAATAGGTTTTATAAGAAAAACAAAGGTGTAACGTTAGCCCCAGTCCCTTCTCACCAGAAAACGTCAGTCCCAGTTCCTTCTCGCCATCAACGCCCAGTCAAGTTCTTATGTGTAATCAAGGACCAACGTCAAATGTAATCTAACTAAATATATGCTTATGAGACAAAATGACATAGTGTTGAAATATTTATTCACTTGCCTTCAATCATCTTCTGAATCAGATCTAATAAAAGACAAAACAAATAAACAAACATAAAAATTGATATTTAGGGTAAAAGACACCAATTAATCATATCATAAAAATTTAATTTTGTAACATACGAGCTTTCAATTTGTTTGGACTTTTTCTTTGGTGTTAAAACAGTTTCTTCTTCATTCGACTGTACTCTTTTCCTTTTTGTATATTCGTCAACTTCAGATTCATTGTTAAGTTTTTCATCGTCGGATTCCTGACCGACTAAATTATCAACTTTAGTTACAAAATTTTCCTCATTTTCCCCTTCTTCGCCATTATCACTGTCGCTGTTTTCTTTTCCATCTGATTCTTCATCTTTATTTTCTTTCAAAGATTCATCAGCATCCCTATTCTCCACCCCAGATTCATAATCATCCTTACTATCAACTCCGGATTCACCGTCTCCATTGCGAGAAGCGTTTCCTTCAGATTCATCACTTCTTCCACCACCAGTTTCGTTGCGTTCATCTGTTTTAATCAATAAATCGTTATTGAAAAACATTTATCAACAACAAGAACAAGAAATTTTTTTGTATATGTTAAGATATCTAATTTAACGTAAAAGACTATAGCAATAATGAAAATAAAGACTATAGAAACTACACAAAAGGCATAACAGGATTTGCCGTTTATATAGACAATGAATAATTTGCGTAAAATTTTCAATGACGTAGATGAAAATACAACAGGGCATAATGATGGTTATAAATCTATAAACCTTCGCTGTTGTCATCATTTTCTTTCTCACTTCCTGACTTTTCAAATCTAAACAAGAAAAATAATTCTGTACCCAGCGTTTTCATCAATGCATATGTTAGTTCTGATGTAATTAAAAAGAGAAATGTAATGACAGTACATACACGAATAAAAACTATAATGACATACTAATAGATGTAATAGATATAAGGAACAACAAAACTTAAATGTAAAAACTGATCACATAACTACTGTGTGAAAGAAAATTGACCACACAACAACCACGTGACAGTTAAAAAAATTGACCACACAACTACTGTGTGACAGTTAAAGAAAATTGACCACACAACTACTGTGTGACAGTTAAAGAAAATTGACCACACAACTACTGTGTGACAGTTAAAGAAAATTGACCACACAACAACCACGTGACAGTTAAAAAAAATTGACAACACAACTACTGTGTGGCAGTTAAAGAAAATTGACCACACAACAACCACGTGACAGTTAAAAAATTGACCACAACTACTGTGTGCAGTTAAAGAAAATTGACCACACAACAACCACGTGACAGTTAAAAAATTGACAACACAACTACTGTGTGGCAGTTAAAGAAAATTGACCACACAACAACCACGTGACAGTTAAAGAAAATTGACAACACAACTACTGTGTGACAGTTAAAGAAAATTGACCACACAACTACTGTGTGACAGTTAAAAAATTGACCACACAACTACTGTGTGACAGTTAAAGAAAATTGACCACACAACTACTGTGTGACAATTAAAGAAAATTGACCACACAACTACTGTGTGACAGTTAAAGAAAATTGACCACACAACTACTGTGTGGCAGTTAGAAAAATTGACCACACAACTACTGTGTGACAGTTAAAAAAAATTGACAATACAACAATGGGTTGACAGAGTTAAAGAAAACTTACTTAATTTCAAGTTTGTCAACATCTGAATCTGAATCTTCATCAGAAGAGGTGATAATGGCTTTTGATTTGATTTTTCGTCGTTGTTTCGCCGAAAGATGAGCGTCTGGATCAAGTTTTCGTTTTTCTTTCTTGCTCCGATCGCCAGAAGGAACTCGTTGCCTGCACAACAATTTATGATCTTATTGCCATGAATAAAATAAAATTTATTTCAACAAGAAAATACTTTTTTTCTTTAGATTCGGCATCATTTTGTTTTTTCCTCCTAAAAACAAAACCAGAGAGCGTATTAGTGACCTCATGATAACTACTATTGTTACATTCAGTAAGGTACCATGATGCAAACAATAAGGTACCATGATGTTTACAGTAAGGTACCATGATGTATTCAGTAAGGTACCATGATGTATTCAGTAAGGTACCATGATGCAAACAGCAAGTTACCATGATGTATTCAGTAAGGTACCATGATGAATACAGTAAGGTACCATGATGAATACAGTAAGGTACCATGATGTATATAGTAAGTTACCATGATGCAAGCAGTAAGGTACCATGATGTATACAGTAATGTTACGTTTATCGGTATAATAAGTCATATGTACAGTTAAATGTATTTCATTAGAATAAAGTAAAATAAAAAACACATTATACAAATTATAGCATACTTTTTCTTTGTTTCTTTCTTTGTGACATGTTCTGTCTCACTAGCACTTCCACTTGAATAAATTTCACCAGTTTCCCTTCCTCTCTAAGGATAGTATAGAACACAATTAACACCAATGATTAATAGCACGAATGTAAAAAATGTCAACAATACATGTCAACAATACAATGTCAATAAATGTCATCAAATGAAGATAAATAAGTCGTATTACTTTTTTCTTTGGTTTTTTCTCTTCCATATCTTCTTGCGTAAACACCAACAAATTTTTTGTAGCCTCACGGAAATTCGCTCGTTTTTCAAGCATTTCTTTTTGTTGTTTTTCATTTTCTTCTTTCTTTAGGCGCTGATTAAAAAAAGAAAAAATGTTATCAAAAAACAAGTCTGTTTATTCTATTTAACCGTGAAAACAAATCTTTTCATCAGTTCATGAAATAAATAATTAAATCTTTTTTAACCTCTTCTTCTTCCTTTTTTTTCCTCAATAATTCCTTTTCTTCCTCTTGTTTACGCCTTATTTCTTGTTGTTCCTCGTCAATTTTTCTCGCTCTCATAACGTGATACTGCGCCTGACTTAATAAATCCTGACATTGCCTAGCCTCGCTTTGAGCCCAAGCGAGATCATACTTCATACGATCACCGTGACGACTTAACCATTGAAAAGACCTATGTTATAAACGTCATTTCTTACATTATTGTTTGTAACTATGAACAATAATCAAACCACAGTGATAATAGTAAAACAAATTATAGTGACAGTTGTAAAACAAACTACAATCAGAGAGCGGTTATTCCGCTATTTCAATGTACTTTTTATTAGTTTATAGGATTTTTCTGTACCTTTGAGCATTTTCAAGTTCACCAACAGCAGATAAAACAACTTTCAATGAACTTTTCTCGGCTTTTAAAATCACTGTAGCCAGTTTTTGTTGCACAAGTGACGCATTAAACAGCAAAACGGTATCATTGGGAGCAATATGTCGAGCCTGAAATAAAAATAGGCACGCATTGGATGCAAAGAGTAGCCTCGCTTTTGAATGGTATGAGAAAACAAAATGACCCAATACATACAGTTATATGCCTGCAAAAATAGAACTTCGAATAAAAGAATTCGCAGTGCAGCATTACAGCATATATCATTTTGAAATTATCATGTGAGACGAGTTTTCTTAAGTTTGAATGAGAACACTGGCGAGCGCTTGCAACATTCAACATGTTTTCTTTTGACAAGCAATTGTTTAATAAGTACTTGAGTAAATTAAATTAAATATTTAAACAAATTTTTTTCATAGGTAAATCTATTCATAAATTTGTATCAATTAAGTATGTATACACAGATCAAATTTTATTTCATATACATCAAACTTTAGAAAAATCATTTAAAAATTCGAAGGAAAAATATTATTCATTTTTTTCTGAGATGCTAAGATACTTGCAGTTACAGATATGTGATTACCTTGATGAGAACATGACGACATTGATGAAGTTTTCCACTTAAATAATAAGCTCTTGCTAAATACGACAACACTTCAACATTATGATGACGATAAAATTTCTTTAGACAGTTTTCGTACTACAAAAGTATAAAATTAAATCAGAAACAAAGTCACCATTAAAATACTAAAAATAAAACAAAAACAAATGATTAACATGAATTAAAAAATGAGCTAAAAAAGCTAAAATGATCGCACTAATTTTGATTGTACGAGAGAAAAGGTTTATTTGGTAAAATATAAGTTAAACAACACCTCAAGGTGAACTGTTACTTTGAACAATTACAAGACCTGCTTTTATGAAGTATTACGTAGATTATTTTACATGATACATTCACTGACCATCTGTATAGCAGCCACATATTGTTTTTGTTCCACATAACTATGAGCAAGATTCAACCAAACATCAGCTACATCAGCAGTAGCTTCACGAACCTAAAAAAAAAACAAAATCAGCATTTACTGAGATGCTAAAAATGTTTAAATCTTGTTTCAGTATTTACCTGCGAAAAAATATCTCTGGCTTCCCTTTGAAATCCTTTATGAGCTAAAATACAACCTACAAAAAGATTGAAAAATTTGAAAAAATGAAAACACGGCATATATAGCCAACTCTTTGCCTTTAAACCCCTACATCTTCCAGAACATAGTCAACCTTTTGTTCAATTCTCATAGCTTCACTTTTGTCCAATTTTATGTCATGACCATTTACGACCATCTACTGTATGTAGTGACCATCTACTGTATGTCATAACCATCTACTGTATGTCGTGACCATCTACTATATGTAGTGACCATCTACTGTATGTAGTGACCATCTACTGTATGTAGTGACCATCTACTGTATGTAGTGACCATCTACTGTATGTAGTGACCATCTACTGTATGTAGTGACCATCTACTGTATGTAGTGACCATCTACTATATGTAGTGACCATCTACTGTATGTAGTGACCATCTACTGTATGTAGTGAGCATCTACTGTATGTAGTGACCATCTACTGTATGTAGTGACCATCTACTGTATGTAGTGACCATCTACTGTATGTAGTGACCATCTACTGTATGTAGTGACCATCTACTATATGTCGTGACCATCTAACGCTACTTACCTATTCCGTTAGCAGCATAAAGGTTTCTGGCATCTTGTCGTAAAACTTGTTTATACAAGGAGAGTGCTCTATCTTGATGGCGTTTTTCTTTTGACTTATCTTTTGTAGGTTGATGTAACGTTTGCAACCACACATTACCAAGAGCAAGCAAGGAATACGAATCATTTTGTGTGGAAGCCTGTTTCAAGATTCTTTCAAACTTTTTTTGTCCAGGTCCCCATTCTTGCTTAGCAAGATGAAGATTGCCAATCAGGGACCAAGCGTCAGGGTGATCCTTAAATAGTAAATAAACAATCAAATCCAGCAGATCTTTACATTTTATAACACATGCCGTTTGCAAAGACACATAAACATCAACTTTAGCAATACTAAAACTTATATGAAGTACTTGATTGATCTGCAATGCTTCTTTGAACCAATCAGACGCTTCATAAATCTGACCTCGATCTCGTGCCATGCAACCCAAACGGAGATAACCTGCAAAATAAAAGCTGACGTAATTGACATTAGAAATTATGACGTATTGAATACAATTTAAACATGACGCAATGTGCAAAAGCAAAACATAAGTTAGATTTGCGGTAAACCATGTAGGAGTTCTATAAATTTTACGGACGAGAAATGTCAATTATAGAATAAACACATACAATCAACATAGTTCGGATGTTCTCGAAGAATATTTTTGTATAATTTATCGGCCAGATCAAATTCTGAAGTTGCTTCATGCAATCTTGCTAGATTGTAATTTGTCGTTACTGATATTGCATTGTAATAACTTTCATCATTATCGCCTTCAGTTTTCGCTCGTTTCAATGATGCTTCGTAAAATTTCTAAATAGTATTGATATAATATTTATTAAACATTTATTGTTATAGCTATGAAAAAGTTGGTTTACTACAGAAAATTTTACCTTAGCTTCGTTAAGATTTCCCAATCGAAAATGTAATGCACCAACATTATTTAAAATTTCCGGTGGAACATCAGCTCCAACCTTTTCTTTAAGTAAACGGGAAGCCGTACCATAAGCAGACAATGCTGATTGTACATCGGTCTGTTCAAGAATTCCCGCCAATTCTATCCAAGCTTCAACATCATCCGGGTATTGTTCAGTTACTTTTTTCAAATGACTCTAAATAATCCACATCATAATTTAAGAGAATTAAAATTAATAATCTCTAGATTCTCTACAATTGAAATGAGTGATCCCTAGATTCTCAACAATTGAAATGAGTGATCCCTAGATTCTCTACAATTGAAATGAGTGATCCCTAGATTCTCTACAATTGAAATGAGTGATCCCTAGATTCTCAACAATTGAAATGATTCTCTACAATTGAAATGAGTGATCCCTAGATTCTCTACAATTGAAATGAGTGATCCCTAGATTCCTACAATTGAAATGAGTGATCCCTAGATTCTTTACAATTGAAATGAGTGATCCCTAGATTCTCTACAATTGAAATGAGTGATCCCTAGATTCTCTACAATTGAAATGAGTGATACCTAGATTCCTACAATTGAAATGAGTGATCCCTAGATTCTTTACAATTGAAATGAGTGATCCGTAGATTCCCTACAATTGAAATGAGTGATCCGTAGATTCTTTACAATTGAAATGAGTGATCCCTAGATTCCTACAATTGAAATGAGTGATCCCTAGATTCTCTACAATTGAAATGAGTGATCCCTGGATTCTTTACAATTGAAATGAGTGATCCCTAGATTCTTTACAATTGAAATGAGTGATCCCTAGATTCTTTACAATTGAAATGAGTGATACCTAGATTCCCTACAATTGAAATGAGTGATCCCTAGATTCTTTACAATTGAAATGAGTGATCCGTAGATTCCCTACAATTGAAATGAGTGATCCCTAGATTCTTTACAATTGAAATGAGTGATCCCTAGATTCTCTACAATTGAAATGAGTGATCCCTAGATTCCTTACAAAATTATAAATGGAATATTTTACTTTTGCCGTCTCCTTCTTTTCCATGTCATCAGAGCTACTGTAGAGGGAACCCAAGATTTTCATGGTTTCATAGTTACCAGGCATCATTTTTAACACTTTTTCAAAACATTGCGCAGCCTTAATAAACAAAAAGAGAAATAAAGATCAAACAAAACATAACAAGAGACAAAACGTCGATCAAACAAAATATGACTTTGTAAATACACAATTCGTTATCGAAGCACAGATAAAAAGATAATCAAAAATCGTCAGAAAGCACTTTAAGTACGATCTACCGAAACAAATTAAAACCAATTCATAATTGAAAATTGCAGCTAGTGGTTATTAGTTCATAATGTTGAACAAGTCAGTTAAGGTTAAAGTGTTAGGTTATCAAGAAATACGCATTCGAATGTCATACATTGTTTGTATCCCCACGAGCTATGTACATTTGTCCTAGTCCAAAATATGGCAAGATAAATCCAGCAGAAGCAAACTGTGTGGCTTGGTAATAATATTGAAAAGCCTGATCGTAGTCGTTCTAAATAATCAAAAGTATAAACGAAAAACAGTGGCCACATGTTAAACTATCTTTATACATTCATAAATACTTATGGTTCATTTATATTTAATACCTGAGAATGAAAAGCTCTTGCCATTTGATAACAGCTTTCTGCTTGCATTGACTCAACCTCAGTACCATGAAAAGCATGTAAAGCAAGATGCTGAACTTTTGTGTAATCCTGGTAATAAGATAAAAGGTAAGTATGATTTCTCATGAGAATTTAGGTCAGATTTCACAAGAGACCAGGAAAAACTAATGAAAATAACAAAAGAAGAGAGACGGCTTCTTCTAATGATAGTATTCGTTACACGTCATCGTCTACTAAATAAAAATTGAAAATACAAACCTTTTTAAAAAAGAAATGGTTTGACAAGTGATTCAAAACCATTGGATTGGAGTTGTCAATTGAGTAGGCTTTAGAAAGCAATTGAACACCAGTTTTGATGGCATCAGGCTAAATATAAAGTTGGCAAACATGTACCATTTGGGAGAAGTTTGGTTTGGGAGAAGTTTGACAAACATAAATGTGTTTTTGAATTTAACAATAAACATTTTGTTTCTCTAGAAATTAGAAAAGTATTTATATAAACATAGCAAGATGGTTAAAACAACGCGCTAATTTATATAAGATTTAATTCATACCTCTGGCAAGTCTAAGACAATACGTAAAGCTAATAAATGAGTAAAATTTATGTCCAAATGATTATCTCACTTTTTTTGAGCTCAGTTCCATAATAGCAAGACCAACCATCGCTCCAGTACAATATGGATCGAGTTGTAAGGCTCTTTCAAATGCAAGCTTTGCTTTTTCATCCTTTCCAAGTTTTGCAAAACAATGACCCATACCAAGACGGACAGCAGCTATAAAGTATATATGTATAAGATTATCAGAAATAACATTTAAATTTCTAAATAAAAACTTAAGGGTAATGTGAACATGAAAAAAGTTATTCGGCGTTACAATTTGTCTTTAAAACCAAAAAGAAAATGAATCAATTAATGCCATGCATAACAATACAAATGTTTGTTGCATCAAATCCATCGTTCGATGAACAGGGGGGTTGTCCCCATGCATAACAATACAAATGCTTGTTGCATCAAATCCATAGTTCGATGAACAGGGGGGTTGTCTCCAAAAAACTTCTAGGTCAAAATGTAATTTAAGGAGAAATACCTGGACAGTTAGAATTTGTTCTCAACGCTTTTTTATAATATGCTAACGCTCCTTTAAAATCTTTTTTATTAAACGAAATACAAGCCTTTCCTAAAAGAAAACGACAATAAAAGTTTCATGGAAATAAAACCAAAGTGTACAGAAAACGTGTAAATACTTTACCCAACAGCGCTGGAATATTGTTGCCAGACTAAAAACAAACCAGAGAAATATAAAAACTACAAAAGAGTCTTTTTGCAAACTATGGGCCTTTATCCTTTATATAGTGTATAATATTTTAAAAACACATTTGCAATAAATTGATAATTCCAAAATTTATTTTTGTAATTTTTCTGCAGCCCAAAGTCGTTTTTTTAACATGACCGTAATTGTAAAAAAACTATTCAAAAAACCTCATCAAAAGTAAACATGCGTATCGAATGTGATTATACTCTGTTTATCTTTTTACTTTTGGTAAAATTTTGACAAACTTCATAGAAGTCTAGTACAAAAATGTTTAGTAATTTTTTGGTACAATTTTTCGAAATTCAAGAATTTGGGATATTTCCTATAAGAGAGTTTGACGAGGATTAGAAAACTTGGTATTCAGACTATGATGACAATTTAGCCAGCAAAATCAAATGTAATCCTTGTAAAACAGTTTGCAACCAACATGTTCATTCAAGTTTAATGTTTCAAGCATTCTCAGGGGTAACCATTCTCCCATGCTACATAAAATCGGGGGTAACCATTCTCCCAGGCTACATAAAATCGGGGGTAACCATTCTCCCATGCTACATAAAATCGGGGGGGTAACCATCCTCCCATGCTACATAAAATCGGGGGGTAACCATTCTCCCAGGCTACATAAAATCGGGGGGGGTAAAGCGCGAGAAATCATAACCTAGTAAAATTTTGGCCCATTTAGTAAAATTTGAGCAAAGGTTGAGCAAAACCTGCTAACGAACATATGGTCACACTGTGCGTAATATTTTACACCTTTGCAACATCTTGTATCGTAGACATTCAGTAAAATCTCTCTCGTAATAAAATACACAGACCATTTCCAAAACTGACAAATTAGTTGGGCGAAAAATGGTCGAAATTTCCAACTTCAAGCCTCAAAACATTAAAAAAATCACAGTTCTAAATTATCAAATTTTTATATTACATATATTTACCATAAAATCATAATCATTTGATTCAAATATTGTTTAAATATAATTCAGTAAAGTTAACCTAACGCATGCGTAAACTTAACCTAACGCATACGAAACAACGGTAATTGGTTTTAAAATTTTCCTCTGTCAAAATGAAGTTAAATAAAAAACTTGGGGATTATAACGTAAAATCACGTTCTAAAATTTGGATAAAAATGAGTTTTCAATTTGTATTATTTTTTATGATATTTCATTATTTTCAAATGCTTTAGAAAAGAAAAGCTGAAAGTTGTCAAACTTACCTGCGCTAAAACAAAATTAAACTGTGCGTCAGCTTGATCTATTTTATCTCCTTCTAACAAACAAAAATATGCCCGACCAAGAAGATGTTTCTAAAAAAGAAATATGTTGTTTTAAACAATAATAAAAAATGGTTTGCAAACAGTCATAAAATATTTTACAGCTTTGGCTACTGTCATGGTAATGCATTTACATTGTTAAAATTCAAATACATGTACAAGTACTAGACTCTAATACTCAACTTTACATTAAAACACAAACACAGACATCATTCTTTATCAACTTACAAACAACTTCTTTATAAAACAAGACTTTATCAGCAAGCATTAATTAAATTTATGTACCGTAAATCATCTAATAGATGCACTGGGGCATTATAAACAAAATCTAACAATTCTGGGGCATTGAATAAATGATTTCTTGGCCACTACAAAGGCAACCACTAGAGATGGATGTCCAACACAAACTCATGCTTCAAGAGGGAAATGGCATTCAATAAATATAAGGCATATCAATTAAGCACCCCACTAAAGAATGAGTTTATACTCATAAAATCCTCTTTAAAGCAATCTTTCTCATAAACCAAACACATCTTCATTTTTGTGCTCTTTCTAATTAGAAATCCAAACATCATATTAAGGTATATTGCTTGTAAGGGACTCGACCCTGAGATTACAAAAACATTGACAGACATTTAAAATTCCAAGATGAAATCATTTTGTTAAAATTGATAGTTTACTCTATAAATATTATACAAATATTGTACGTAAACTTCAGCAACTTTGTAAGGTCTCGCATATGCTTGAAGGCAAGAATAAAAATAGCATCAAATACATTGTTAATGTCCCATGCGTGATGGGAGAAATGCCATATATACCTGATCATACATAATAATTTTGTCAGCAGTAGTGAAAAGTTGTGTTGCCTGTTGAAAATAAAAAATAAATTATGAAAAATATTTGACAAAAGAAAAATACAAAAGTCCAAGAAATATAAAGAATGAATATTCTTTAATGTTTCAAAGAGTTTAACCTTAGTAAACATTTCCTTCTTTTTTTCTTTGTTTTTTTCTTTTTTCGCTTCTTGAACATAATATGCAGCCAATGTGTCCAAACATATCATTCTGTCACGATCACTGTTTGTGTAATTGATGTTTCCTTCTGTGAGTAAAGAATGCAAGACAAATCATTACAGTATGAACCATTATCAAAATAAAAATCATTTGGTAACAATCCAATTGGACAATAATACTTTCATATGGACACAAACTATAGATTTTTGACAACATTTATAGTTGGAAATTGAAACTACAGATGAAATATATTGTATAGGTTGTGTAATGTGTATTATTTTTCAACAGCTCAATATAATCATGGTTGGAGCAAAAACAAGATAAAAATGAAACCAACATACATACAAGATATTTTTTGGTATACAACCTGCAGCAGTAACTTTAGTTAAAATGCAAAATTTTTAATCTTCTTAGTCTAATACTAGTTTAAGAATCAATAATTTCGCATTGTGTTTTTTGTTAAAGTTTAGAAAAAAATTATTGTGATTTGTGAAAAGCCAACTTAATTGTGACATACTTTAACATATAAAAATTTGTGTTTACACAAATCATAATTTGGTTGAAACTTATTTGATCAATGTTTAATGAGCTCTTCAAATTAAACAATCTCTAACTTCACCTTAACTTATATTATCTATTCAAACTAAGAAAAATAACCTGTCTTAGCTGCTTCCAACAACTGAACAAAATCACTTGTTCTGCCTTCTTTGAAATACTGAATCTAAACAGAAAATTATTACAGATACACTTTACATAAAAAGCCTTGTAACACACCTTCAACATGCTTGTAACAAATAAGTAAGTAACACATGTAACACACATGTAACACACATGTAACACACATGAAACACACATGTAACACACATGAAACAAGCATGTAACACACATGTAACACACATGAAACAAGCATGTAACACACATGTAACACACATGAAACAAGCATGTAACACACATGTAACACACATGAAACAAGCATGTAACACACATGAAACACACATGTAACACACATGAAACAAGCATGTAACACCCATGTAATATGCCCAAAAAAGAAAACTAGAAACATTGAAAAAAAACACAAAAGTTCTTACTGCAAGAACATTCCATATTTTCAACTGAGCATTTTCTTGTTTTAATATATTCAAAACTTCATCGCCTTCTGGTAACTGATCAAATTGTAATTCTATCACCTAATGAAGAATTATCATTTAGATGCCTTAAGTATCTGTAACAACACCAATATCTCATTCAGAGATCATTTGAATATCTAGACCACTCTATGGATCAAAGATGTCTAAAGTTAATAAGCCCACACTCAATCATAATATTGACATACTTAAACCCAACCCACAATTAAAAATACCTACAACATGTATATTATGCAACTAAGCAAAATTAGATTTAGGGGAGAGAAAAAAAGTGCCAATTCCCAATTAGAAAAAGCAATTTTGAATAATGTTTCAATGGATCACACTTTCAAAAATTTCTGACATGGTATGACAACTAGAAACGACTAAACTACAATACCATTTCTCTATAAATCAATCAAGGATCTATCCTTATAATTTGGAAACAGCCAAGTTGTTTTAAAGTTGCATTTTGATTAGAGGTTACATTCACACACTTTTGAAACATTGCACAACTGTCTTTAAAAACCTAATCCACCCTTCTAAACCCAGCAGCAAGTTGTCTCCAACAGCTCCCTTTTTGAATTTAACATTTGTAAAAAAGTTTAGAAAACTACTCAAACGTTAACTTATGCTTCTCGCAAATAGGTAAACAAAAATACAGCATAACGACAATTCTCTGAGTACGAATTCGAACAAGATCATGTTTCAAAATTACAAATCAAAATCATTTCTAGTCGTATTTGTTATTTTATACCGTGCTACTGCACAAACCACGACTGAAAATTGTTAGTAAATAAAAAACTCTCTGCTTCTCTCCGTAAATACGTAGGAATTATATTTATTTATAAAACATCAGTTTCTTTATAAAGCTTCGGTGATAGACAGTCGAGAACTTGAGTTGAGAGAAGTTGACAAGAATTGAAAAAATGTTTCATGTAACATGTACCAAAGACTAGCAAATTTACTGTTCATATTATAAAATACACCAGTTAAATAATATAAGTATGACAATTCCATCAACAAGTGATGACTTACTTCGTCAGTATCTCTTAAAGGAATTTCTACTGAAGTCGCCATGTTGAAAAGATAATATTGTGAACATTGATTATGAAAAAGAAATACTGTGGGATAATTGGTGATAATGAGACTTAGGAATATTTTTGATCCTCATCCCACCACTGCTATCCATTTATGATAACACTATTAATAGAATGTCTTATTAATAGAAGACATTTGTCATGTTTGGAGGGGAGGAGACGATTGATCGATGCAGATCAGCGCGAGAGTTCTCCGACGTTTGAATAATTCAGTGGAAACACGACAATGCGAAACACATAAAGAAAAGCTATAAATCCAGTTTTGCTTTACCAAGTTCTTGTTGAGGCAAGATAAATTTAAATCAAACGTTTACAATTTTTCCTCTATCATGATTGATTTGAAAATTCTCATTGATGACGTCAGTCATCATCATGGAATTCATCTAGTCATACTCATGACAGGCTTCACAGCACGAACTAGAACGATCAATCATTCTCATCTGTCATCCTTTTTCCCAGTAAAATCACTTTCTCTCAATTATCGATATTTTCTCAGGTTTTGAATACAGTTTTCGACATTGTTATGAAATATTAGATACGGCAATGTGAAGAAGACATCCGCTGCCAAGCCAAGGCTTTGTGGACTTTCCTTACTTCAACGTTTTCATTGGTTTATTGGTCTAAAGCATGCTTGATGATTTGAATCTTACTGGTCATTGATTACCATGATGACAGTGTCATTTTCATTCTTTAACCAATAGGAACGATGAACCGCGGATAGTAATCTAATAAAGTATTGCCAATATGATAATGAACTAAATTACATAGCCGATTGTATATTTCTTCAATTGAGCGTTTGTCATTGTTTCTATTCACAGTCACAGGTTCGTATTTTTCTTCCTTTCTAGAACATAAAAAAAGTTATTGAACAAAACTATAATAGAGTAGTTCGAGTTATTCAGAGTAAATTACTTTAAAAATGAAAATGTAATATCAAATCCAGTGAAGAATGAGATCACTTCCAGTTACCGAAGGTTCTGTTAAGCGAGCGATGGAGGTTCGACCGTAGTTCTTAGTGTGTTTTGCTTCATACTTCTGTATATAATACGTTTTTTTGTTACGAATTTCGTTAAAATAAAGTAATATATTGTGCCAACATCTCACTGAAATTTTCTCTTCCATGCAGTAATCCTCGTAATAAATAACGTAAGGGAAAACTGACTTTATTACGCTTTGTCAAGATTATTATTCTTGTACCACACGTGGTTTGACCTAAACCAACTCGTTGTAAAAAAACAAAAACTTATTGTATATCGTTTAAGTGCCTGTTTTGAAGCATTCATTTTGTGAGAGATGAAGAAACATATTATGAGATACCTAGCAGCAGACATATATTTTCTTATCCGTGTAAGAATAAGAGTATTCTGATGTTGAATATACGTTAAATATTTGACTTGTAAAGTCATTCATCGTGGAAGGTTTAATACTCTGCGTTATTACTTGATCATAAAAACGTGACCGTATGTTGAGTGTATATTCTTTTCTTTATGTGAGGTATGAAATTGACCTCAAAACGACACTCACTCTGTGTATCATTTCTAAGTTTACTCTGATCTTGTTTACGACCAATCGAAAGATGATTCGATAAGCAAAATAATTTGTTCAAATATTTCATGTAAATATGTTGAGCGTTATAATATATTTACGAAGCCATCTCGTTCAAATTTCAACTTTTAAGCAATTATCTAATTTTAATTTCAACAAAATTGGTCATACAAGATGCGATACGCCCATATACACATCAAGTATTTCATTTTGGTCATTTTCAATTGAATCAAATGGTGTAGGTTACCGAGTCGTTTTTTATATGTCTCTGTAGTTCTATTTTTAAAATAATGTTAAAAAATACTATGAAAAATAGTAGAGCGAGTTAAACCAGCTCAGTTTTCGTCAAGCACTCATTGATGAAATTTGAAATGCAAATATAATTGTTGATCAAACTGATAAGAAAACACAATAAATTATTAATATGTGATTTAAACTCAGCTGTTGGATAATTTAAACAATCTACTTTTTGTTTTAGTTAAAATTGAGTAAGATGTCATCAATAGAAGATCAGACGCGAGTTTTTTTATGGACTGCTCCACGTTGCATATCAACAGCATTTCAACGAGCAATAATAAATCTTTACAATGGTAAAATATTTCATGAGCCTTTTTCCCAATTCTATTATTTCGCTCCTAACCGTAAAAGTGACCGCTACAGAAATATTCCTGATCAACTTGATGGTACTTTGGATGCTATCAGTAAAAGTCTTTCGGCCAAACACGAAGGAAAGAAATTTGTCTTCTCCAAAGATATGGCTTATTATCTGAAGGATAATTTTGAAATTCTTCGACAGAAAGGTCTTAGAAATTTCAAACATTCCTTTCTCATTCGTAATCCAAAGAAAGCTGTTCCTTCTCTTTATCATGCATCAATAAATTCAAAGAAGACCGGTTGGGATTATTTCGATCCACAAGAAGCTGGATTTCGCGAATTGTTGGACTTGTATGAATTTGTTGTTAAAGAGTTAGACCAAAGTCCTATTGTCGTCGACGCCGATGATCTTCTTGAAAATCCTGAAGCAATGCTGAAAAAATATTGTGATGCGTCAGGTTTGGAGTACATGGAAAATATGACTAGTTGGGAACCAGGGGTTGCAATACCAGAGTGGAACCTATGGACCGGCTGGCATGATGCTGTTGCTAAGAGCTCAGGAATAAAGAAGAAAGATAAAATGACCTCATCAAAAGAAAAAGAAAGCGATGAAATAGATGAGATTCTGTCTTGTGTCAACGAAAGTTTAAAATGTTATGAAGTTTTGTACGAAAAACGTTTAAGACTTGATTCTTAAGTTATTTATACTAGACTTTAACATAATTAAAGACGATCATTTGTGGAACTATTATTCCATTATAGGAAACACTCCATTTTATTTTAAAGATGTTATGAAACTGTCACGTAAAAAATCAAGTAAACTAGTCCAGAATGACTGAACTTATGTAAATTATTTTGTTTATGTAGATTAGCTAAAGAACATTCAATATAATATCAGTTACAGATTCTTAGCGAAATATACGGTAAAAATCTCGGTATAAAGTGAATAGGTTATGAATTTGGAATTATTTTATGTTACATTAAAAAACGACAGATAGCCGCTTTGGTTCGAAATTTGTTAAGAACATTCTTTAAATGTATACACTGCACCAACTCATATGTGTAATGGTGAATCAATTTCGAACTGCGCCTGACAACACAGAGAAATTTTACATAGATGTAACCATTTTTATTATTAAATAATCGCGGTAATACACCAAGATTTCTTAATTATGAAACAATAAATATGACGTTCATTTCGTATGGGAAATTAAAGTGTACTTGTAAAGGAGGAAATTGAATAGCAATATTATTGGCAATAAAACAAAAAATATATTCTTTACACAACGTAAAAAAGTTTAAGGGTTTCCCTCTTTTTTTGACGCAGAACATGGAAGCTTTGTGACACAGAAAAACATTTAGCACTTATGCCTGTTTGGTCGTTACACTACAGAACACACTATTGTGTAACGTCGTTGTAATGGCCTCGAATTTTCTTATCAATAGTAAACATATGTTGATGAGAAAAAAATATTTTACCTGTCTTAGAAATTAGTCTGCAGATGTCAATAAAATTGTGTCTTCTTCGCTACTTGAACAAGACATGTCCCCTAAAGAATTCATGTGGCTATTTCATCAACATTAAACAGAGAACAAAAAGACTAAGTAATTGATAAAGTAGTGCAAATAAAAGCGTATAGTTGGTGACGAAAATGAGAAAGAGAACATTGCAACTGCACGATAAATCTATAAAACGATCAATGCAAACCAAACAATAAATACTTTTCAAAATACCTGTAAACAACCGTTTCTTATTCGTATCATCAGATACTAATTGATCACTATCAAATTCCATTGTGTCATCATTTATCCATGTATTCCAGCCGCCATGACCAATCTCCGCAGTATTAAATCCCTAAAAAGCACAAAGTTTCTAAACTGAACGGCTCAAACTTTAAACAGAGTCAGATGTACATTACCTTTAATCTGACAACAAATTGCATGAAAGTAGTAAAGAAAAAATCTATACAATGACTTCTTTTATAGTTTCATAAAATAACCCTAACAAGTCATAGTTCTAGTGCTATAACAGAACAATAATAGAGAAATATTTATAAAAGTAATGTTTAAAAAAGGATACGACTCTTTCGTGTTCTCTTTTTCTATTTGTGTATCTAAAATGTGCATATATGCATGAGAATTTCAGTAAAAAAAGGTTAATTACCTGATGAAGACGTCCACATACAAGAAACATGCATTTATGTTAACACATTCAAAAAATTTCCCACATCGTTTGTATGAGTATCTAAACAGTCTTATGCTGGAAACGTTTAAGTTTAATCCTTAACCTTTTGATGTATCCATTTTAAGCACTTTCTTTGAATTAATATGTGAAGAATCTTTATTTATTTCGCTGATTTTTTCATAAGTATTAGTTAGTTGTACTCGTCGTTTACCGTTCTTTCTAAACAAAAATCGAGTCATCTCAAACATTGACAGTCAAATTTCCAATATAATCATAACCACAAATTCTCATTAAAATCTTTAAGCTTTCTATGAAAAAACAAACCTCGTCTCTTCATCATTTCTTAACGCTTTCTGTATTAGTTCCGTAATTTCAGCCACTTTGACGCGAGCAATCTGCGAACATCTGAGAATCTGAAAGGAATGAAGAAACTTCTGAAATGTTAAAACATAATTTATAAAACTAGAAGTTACTATCGCAAGGGGAAGTGATGCTCCGCCCCTTGTCAGCAAAAACTGCTAGGCGCAGTGAGACACCCTTAGGACTACGAGTTCGTGTACAAGATGGTTTCGTGTTCTAGCATATATTGCAAATTAGCTCGGATAAAAATACTTCAAGACAGGTCTGGTTTTGTACAACATGATTGCGCGATAAAAGGTTTAGCGCTTTGCCATGTTTACAGCTTTAATTTCCCGCATAAATATCTCGCGTGCTTTACATCTTATTTCATTTTACAAATTAAAAGATGAATTCATTGCCATTTCGAATGAAAACATTTTTTTAACATTTTCCTCATCCGGTAACTACCGAACTGGCTAAATACGGCAACGGTGAATCAAGCGTCAAACGAAATAAAATAGATGTTGGTGATCACTCAAGCGATTTTAGGATTTATTGTATTGAAAATTCCTTTGTTTATGGTACATCTTTTCGGATTACAGACGTTTAAAACCAAACAGACATCACGATGCAGGAGCGTAGCAGCGATAAGTATATCTTATCTTGTACGTCAAATTATACCAGAAGAAAAATCATCTTAAAATATAATTAACACGATATTTTTCAAACGATTAATATATGTATTTAGAAAAAAACTTTCTGCTAAAGAAAAAAATTCTTGAGGCAAAACGCTACTTTTATACATTTTCACACAATATACACTAAACAAACGCTGTAATTTTATATGAATGTAAAAAACTATTCAAGAAAACTTTGTCTTTAGTATTTACTGACCAATAGGAATAATGAACAGCAGGTAGCAATGTAATAAAATATTTCACAGGTTTACTGGTAACTGACACCAAAACAAAGCGTCAGGGAAAACACAATCACTCGTGTATCATTGGAAAGATTTTGAAAATCTACTTTTTGTAACAGTTTTAGCTACTAAATTTTTTTTTAATTATGTATCTCAAATTTGCAACAATTTTTTCAAAGTGTCCTCAGTGACAACTTGCATATAGGAGTTCCATTCAAAATACCAAAGTTGGCACAACTATAGAAAGTAATATTAAAATATTTGACTTAAGTAAAATATTCTCATTAACCTGATCTTTTTCAAGACACAATCCTCCATTCATTTGAATTGTGCAAATTTCGCGGTTAATATTCATCGCTATCATCATTTGTCCTTCCATCACCCTCTCTTCTCTATCTGTCGCATCAACCAATAAAAATTCCCTTGAAATAACCATGAAAAAATATTGTATTTTATAAAAATGTTCAACAGTTATAAAATAATGAAATTCTACATAAAAACCTACTATGCTACAAATCACCGACTAACCCAATCACTTAAAGACATTAGGAAATTGATATGATTTTGTAATGTATTTAATTGTTTATCGGAAGTGAATATTCCAATGGAAAAAAAAACACCGAATGATATCCTCTACAAAGTTCATACTAAGCATCACACATACTATATAATTGACATAATGATTTAGAAATGCTATCTTTCACCATGATTATACATCTGATAAATTTACTTGTAAAGTTTGTACCTTATAACAACATCGATAAATTATAAGTAGAGATGAAAATAATTTACCATACCCATTGTGAAAAAATGAGAAGGAGATGTAAATGGGTGTGTGATGGATACCCAGGGATACTGGATGTCGTTCTGTTACTGGCAACTACAACAAAATTATTTCAACACGTTAATTAACTAGATAATATATGAAAACATAAATAGATTGTCAATTGTCATTTTTTAGCAACTCACAATGGTGAAATCCTGATCAGATATTTCAACATCAGGATGCCTAAAAGATTTCATCAAAAGAATGTACAACAGTGTCAGCAAATTCTGTTCTTAAACATATCAATAATGCAACTAATTTATTCAACTTCTACTGTAGGCTTGGGTCTTACCTAAAATGAGATAATGCAGTAATTGCAGCAATTGAAGCACAATCAGCAATATTTCCACCATCATCCATGATTGTAATATCAACTCTGATTGACCAAACCTAAAAAGTCATGTTTATCCAATAATTTTGCAACAAAAGTGTTATTAATATATAGTCTAACATTCACAAAACTTGACTAAAAAATCATTAAGTCACCCAATTTATTTTTTCTGTTTATTTTTATCTATTTCTTGTAATCATCAAACATTACAAAATCAATTAATAAAAAAACTTACCTTTTCTCCTGCTATAATACACAAGGCTTCAACATCAACACATTCACAATGCTTATACACTCTTTCCAATAGTCTGTTTAACTCAACCATCTGCCCAGACATTCTAAAAACCATTACATATGTAAATCATCCAACAAAATATAGAAATAAAAAGAATGGTATTTACCTTCCAACTTCATAAGCAGGAGATGCCATTGGTGAAAGTTCCACATTGAAAAACAATTGTCCTTCTGATGGACGGTTAACAGTGGGGCTGACAACTTCACTTGAAACCTGGGCAAGAACTCTATATTAAAAAACTTGAATGTCATTGTTTCAAATAATTCCTTTGAATGCCAGATAAACATATAAGAAATAGTGAAAATTGGACTGAACATTGGACCAAATCACAAGTAAATAATATATTATCTCGAAAGACACACTGGTATTTTTCATTTGATCACTAAACCTTGTCTTCCCCAACAATACTTCACAATGACCATATTCCAAGCCAAGAGATATTTTCAACTCTCTATAATCATATGTATTACGTCCATCTAAACGCTACAGCAATGAAAAGAAAACATACTATTTACCTTCTCAAAACATACTGAAGTACATCCACTCATGATGTATTGGACAAGGGCAGATCAATGTTCATTTTACTAGATGGGTGAAGGACAGTGAATGGTTGTTCTAACTTAAAGGCCATGTGTGTGTAGATTTTTAGGTTTACAATATATGTGAACCTTGCAATAAGTTTTAAAATATTTTAATAAAATCAAGTAAATTATAAATCCTAGCTAATGTAGGGGAAATTCTTCCAGAATTTATGTATCCACGCATTCCCCTGCACCCCTGCCCTCAAAAAAATCTGCCTTGGTAATGAAGAGGTATTCACAGGTATATTTTTATTATCAAAATACACAACTTGATATTCTATTTCGTATGATTTTGTGCCCCATTTAAATGACTTCATACCTTACAAGGTAATTCAATGACTATAGGGATTGCTGATGTTATCATTATACAGACAATGAATAGCATTTCATCATATACAAGCCCTTTATCATGGATATTTTAAACATTGATTTTAGTTAACATTTTTATATTTGTATGCTGTAGTTATAAAAGTTGTACCATTTTATCATTAAATAAAATTTCATCATATACAAACACAGACTACCATTTGATCATATACAAACGCTGTCTTATTTGTTTGATTTTACTGTATAATTAACAAAGAGAAAACTGGATAAGTATGAAATTTTTTTGAATATTGATAATCTGATGAGATGATTTAGTGCACTGATGCAAAATAATATTTCATTTCCACACCATGATCTGACAGAAAAATGACATATGTTTGAAGGTATTGATCGTCAAGGTTGTTCAAAACATCTCTCAACATCAAGATAAACATAAACAGTCCTTCTCATCAGGACTTTACTAAACTGGACGATCTATATATACAAACATCTAACAATACTCCCCAGGGTCTAAGCTACCATGAGGCAAACAAGGCACTAGCCCCAGAAGAAAATTTGTCAATTTTTTTCAAGTTGGGTGCTAAAATTTAGAAAAATGAATTTTTTAAAATGGAATATTATATATTGAATTAATAAAAGCCTGTTGCACGATCTTTGCCTCCGTAACAACTTAGGTCTGGCTAGGGCCAGACTATCACAGTCCCAGCTGGGTTTGAAGCATTAACTTTAAAAATGACATATTGTCGTAACTGACCAAAGATCGCTCACCTTTCCTTTACGAATACATGAAAGAATAAAATCTTTCTCACAAGAAGAAATTACAGCTTTATTACTCTTCATTATGATACCAACTTCTACGTAACTGTTTCACAGATGTTCACCCAATGGTTCACACCAGTGACCACACACCTGATAGCACTCACTGCGCATGTGCTAATTATTAGTACTGAATAGGAGGGGATGTCCATGAAGGAACAATGCCAATGGTCAAACATTGGGATAGGCAATCTCAGCTTTTTCATTCGATACCATATCGTTTATTTGATATCGTTATCGATATTTTCCCAACTCATACTACCAAAACAAAAAGAATATTTTGTAATGATTATTAGGGGCAACAACGGCTAACATTACAATATGACTATACCACACTATACTTTAATTGTGTACTTAATAGTGCCAAATTACAAAATAATACTAACATTTAAATAAACTTAAGTTTAATACTTCAAACGTATCTTGTAAGCACTACTTTTCCTTTCAAGAAGTCAATCGTTAATTTCGATTTCATACAAGTATCGATATTTTTTTCTAAACCGTGGTAAAAAAAACGGGCATCGATAGTATTGAGCATTTGGTACCGGTATCGGGCTATCGGCCCATCCTTAGTAAACCATAAATGAATTTCTCTCGAACGTAGTGCTTTTTCATTGTTTCAATATTTTCCTTACACAGTTTTCTATTTTTTCACAGAATTCTGGATCTCACTAAAATTAGAGACGTTAAGAAAACTACAGCATGCCATCGTAATTCATTAATTTCGATATTTTAATTGGGAAAATATCGGACTTTTTTTTAAAAAAGATTGAGTTCTAAGAACATGACAAGGGATTCCAAGAAAAGACCCCAAGAATTTCCTGTTCACGTGACACAATTATGTCATATAAAGACAAAGAAGACAACTATTTCATTACCAGTCAGGGCAAATAAGCAACGCCTTTTAGAAAAACAATGTAAAGCAATGGGGAATAGCAAAAGTTCATCAGCAAAGGATAAGCCAGCCCCGAGAGAACAACGTCGTCCATCTGTTGTATGCAAAGACTCACCGCGGCGCTCAGATGCTGTAGTCTTACACAAAGGAACGGATGAACTTGAGTGGGGTCAACAAACAGAATATTGGTTTTTGTTGAATAAGGAATCGTTTGTAGCAGCGAATGTTGTTCTTAAATTTATTTCAAGTTCAATTGATGAAGGAAACTCGCATATTGTAGGCCTTGCATATTTAGATAAGGATGTCAAACAGGGATATTTACAAATCATGGTTTACTGCAAAAATTATAATAGTAAGATACTTGCATGGAACCGTTTGTTAGATGAAAAACTAAGATCTTACGGTTTGTATAAGGTGTCACTTTGTATGTTCGATGTGAATGAATCAAATTCAAGTCAAAAAAATGAACATCTTCCGCGCAAAGTAAGAATCAAATTTCTACCTTTGTCTGCTAACCTTTAATCTTATAAATATGCATTGACTTTCTGATTGTTCAATCATTTTGTTATCATAATTACCACTTTTTGCATATATTCAAACGAATAAAAACAATGTGATGTCTATTAGTATAAAATCTTCTCGATGTTGCGTTTTGTTAGAAGAACTGAAATATTTACTCATATTTGAAAATGACAAAAATTTTTCTCAATATTGGTGTTGAATGTTATTATTAGTACTAGACTATAAAGCTTTTTATGTCTGTTTAGAATGTTTGCAGTCATCATTCAACTGTTGAAACTTGGCAAAGGAAGTATCTCACAGAGAGAAAATTGAAAACTGTTTCCTTTGATAGTCCTGTTCCCTCCAATAATGATAAATTTTTGCCTGTGTCTATAGATGACACAAGTCAGTCAAGTTATCACACTTTTAATGATGGTGGATTCAGTTCCAAATTTAATGAATCTTATCTAGGGTTTAAAGGTGACTTGGGTCTGTCACATGATCACACTTTTAATGATGGTGGCTTCAGTTCCAATTTTAATGAATCTTTTCTAGAGTCTAAAGGTGACTTGGGTCTGTCACATGACCACACTGTCGATGATGGTGGCTTCAGATCCAATTTTGATAAATCCTTGCTAGTGTCTGAAAATAACATGGCTCAGTCAAGTTACCACACAACCAATGACTTCGATGTCAGCACCAACACTAATGAATTATCAACACAAGACATTCAAAGAATCCATGAAAATGAAAAGCCACAAGCTAAATATTCAGTTGTCAAAGAGAGTGAAATTTTCTGCACTGACTTTCCACAATACACAGGCAACGTGGAAAATTTGTCAAGGGATATGCAATCTTTTGGTGAACAAGTTGATAAAGAGGAAGACAATAGAAGTACAGATACTACAACTACACAACAAAATGAAAGTCTTTTTCGACTGTTACCTAGCAAAGACGAACAAAAGGAAGAGCTTGGTGATAATCAACAGCAACTTTTGAATACGCAGCTGGCTTTTCAAGAATTTTGCCGAAACATAAGTGATGTTAACATTGAACGTGTTGAAAATATCCATACTTTATGGCTGGGTGGTTTCTCTGTCGACACAAGCAAAGATGATGTTCGCATGTTTATATTAAGAAATTGTAAAAACATAGAGATTTTAAATCTCGTTAAAATTCACGATGCTTGGATGGTGAAGGTGTTTTCACAAAAACAACGCCAGAATTTGTATCAAAATTTGAAGAAAAATGTTGACAACAAAGAAATAAAAGCCAAATATTCAAAAAACGTTGTATCACTTTTGAGCAACTTGTATATAGTATTGGAGAACGTAGGCAAAAATATCGAAACAAAGCACATTATTGATGTTTTAAAGTTTTGTCGTGGCATTGTTGATGTACAAAAAATCAAAGATATTCATGCACGAGTTTGGTTTGAATCATTTGAAACTGTTCAAGAAGCAATTGCGAAAAAAAAGAAAGTTTGTATCTGTGGAAAAAAAATCACCTTAAAGCCTTGTATAGCCGTCAAAGAAGAATTAGAGCGGCAAAATCTGAACGCTAAACTACAAAATTTCTTGAACAATTTACAACGACGGTGTGATGCACTTCTTTTACTGAACGAAAATAAAATTAAAGATCTTGAAAAAATATTACAAAATTCACGACCAAGAAAAAAGAAAATGTCTTTGGATGATTTGGAGCGATTTAAAATCATAAAGACAACCCACAAAGGAAAACTACAAGAATTGGTCGAACAGGGACATGAATTTAAAAAGAAGTATATTCAACTTATGGAAATATTTTTTCGTAAAATACAAGATTACTGTGATATGGGACTCCAACATGAGATAGAGAATATTTTAGAGTCTCACAAGGTCGTTATGGAAAGGGAATTTAAAAAATTCGAAGCAAGTTTACCAATCTATGCTAAACGTTCGATGATTTTGGAGGCTGTTGCATCAACTCAAGTAGTTATTCTCGTTGGAGAAACAGGTTCTGGAAAGAGCACGCAACTAGCTCAATATCTGGCTGAAGAATATGGAAATAATGGAAAAATTGTTGTGACTCAACCTCGCAAAATTGCGGCAGTTAGCTTAGCAAAACGTGTTTCTGATGAATTTTGTTGTCGCCTTGGCAGTGAAGTTGGGTACCATGTTGGTTTGGATAAGAAAATGAATAAAAAAACAAGAATTAAGTTTGTTACAGATCGTATCTTATTAAATGAAGTTCTAAAAAATGGCAATTTAATTGAACAATATTCTTGTGTTATTATTGATGAAGCTCATGAAAGATCCATTCATACAGATTTGCTTGTGGCAATGCTGAAGCAGTTACTGCCTCGTTGTCCAACTCTTAAACTGATTGTAACATCTGCTACTCTAAACACAGCTGTTTTCCAAAACTATTTTCATGTTTCTAAGCTGGTGTCAGTTCCAGGTAGAACATTTCCTGTTGATATTTTTTATGATAGAGAACGACCCTCTGATTACGTTGAAGGAGTATGTGACAAAGTTGTTAATGTTTGTCATTCTGGGGAGCAAGGAGATATTTTGGTATTTTTAACTCAACAAAATGAAATTGAAAAGACATGTGACAAGTTGGAACAAAGGCTCAAAAGAGAGCATTATGTTATCCTTCCACTTCATGGAAAGTTACAAACAGATGAACAACAAAAGGTATTACGAAATAAAATCTTTTTTTCTGTTTGCACATGCTCGTACAAACCGAGGAGATGTTTGGAAGAGATAAAGATCAGATCGATTCAAACGTGACACAGAACAGACAATAGTGTGAAACAGATAAATTACAAACAGTTATTTTTTTCCTGTAACATGTATTCATGATTGATTTGCAGATTCTCTTTTGAATTTATTTAATTAGTTGAGCTCAGTTCGGTTTTCCAAATTTGCCAAGGCTAATGCAAACTCAGCTTCAGACAAATCATTCTGCGCGTTATATTGTTATTTTATACATAACGTCTTCTTTTACCTCGAATTAAAGCCGTATTTCCTAGAGATTTTATTAATGTTTAGGTGTTTGCGACGACGCCAAGCAATAAAAGAAAGATCGTTGTCGCCACAAACAGTGCTGAAACGTCTTTAACAATTCCAGGTATTCAAATTGTTATCGATTCTGGAATGGTAAAAGAACCTTCTTTTGATCCAACTAAGAATATGACAACATTGGATATAAAATTTGTAAGTCGAAGTTCTGCTAAACAACGAGCTGGGAGAGCTGGTAGGTTTTTTTCACTCTTTACACCTTTATATTTAATCATTGCAAAAATTTTATCATTTTTAGTAACCATCACTAAATTAGATTGAATTTGATTGCTTTGTAGGTCGAACTGGCCCAGGAAAGTGTTACCGCCTTTATTCAGAACATGATTATAGTAATATGGAAGAAAGTACAAAACCAGAAATTTTGAAAATGCACCTTGGATTGGCTGTACTTCAGTTGTTAAGTTTAGGAGTTTCAGATGTTGAAAAGTTTGATTTTGTTGAAAGTCCCCCTCGTTCGTCTCTGATGAAATCATTTGAAAGCTTACAGTTATTGCGTGCTGTCGAGCAAGACGGAACGTTGAATTATTTGGGCAGAGAAATGCTACAACTTCCTACTGAACCACAACTATCTAAGGCGTTACTTGAGGGTCTTTCTCGAGGCTGTGGAAGGGACGTAATCATTGTTGCTTCATTGATGTCGTGTGGACATGATGTATTTTATAGAGGAACAGTTGAAAAAAGAAACGAATGCGACATACAAAAACAGCAATTTTGTCAAACAAGCGGAGATCTCTTGAGTGCAGTTGATGTTTACAAGAAGTGGATAGATATACCTTCTTCAAAACAAAGCAATTGGTGCAAAGCAAATGCTATAAATTCCAAACTTCTCCGCTCTGTTCGTGAAAGTTACAAAGAGATAGAAAACGCTTTAAAAACCATAAAACCTGATGCTAACCTTGATGTGACTTCTAGTGATGTTAAAGAATCGCTTGTTAAAAGTTTATTGGCTGGATTTTTTGAAAACATTGCATGGTCACATGGTCATGAGAAGCTTGGGTACACTTCTGTGTTGTCACGTGAAAATGCCAAGTTACATCCCTCGTCTGTATTATCATGTCTGGGCGATCAACCAGATTGGGTGATGTATCAGCAACTCAAAAGAACAGGAGATCAAGTATATTTGGAAAACGTCACGCCATTTGAGTTTGACTGGATAGCAGAAAACGCAATTTATATGTTACAGTTTATTGATGAAGATGAAATCTCGAAATGTCGAGTTGAACGAAAACAAATTTTGTGTAGTCCAGAACTTGTAAAGGCAGTAATCGGTTCAAAAGGATCAACTATTAAACATATTGAATCATCCATATCAACACGTGCAGCATCATTTTCACCATCTAATTTGTGTGCCATAGAATGTAACGTTGACAAGGGAACTGTTGATGTTTATGCAAGTAAACATTGCCTTGATGACGCTTGCAAACTTGTTAATGATGTCATTAAGTCGAAACAAAACGATCTTCAGGGTTATTCAGAAATATCAATCTGTAATGGTGGTCTTAAGTCACTTATGTGCAACGACTTACAGACAAAATTGATACTTCAAAAAGGAACGAGTTGCAAGTTTAACGTTTTTTTGGAGATATATGATCTGACAAAAGAGGTTTGTTGATGAAAATTTTATTCAATTTAAACTTGCATTTGAAGCAAAGTCATTTTTATAAGTTGGAAAATTTTTTCTTGCGATAAAGGATTTTATTTTTTAAAACCCGAAATAACTTGCATAAAACGTGAAAGTCAGATATTTCCAAAGAAATTCTCTGAATATGTGTTTAAACCGTGTTTATGTTTTGTTGTAGATCGATGACAGTAAGATCAAAAATATTTTACAAGATTATGGAAAAGTTCTTCACATATCTCAGTACTGTAATCATAAAAATGAGATTATTTTCGTTGGGGGAATGTCACATATTGTAACAGCAATGATGGATCAAAAGCTAGTTTATCCATAAATCGTGAACGAGATTTTTCCATTGACAACGTGAAAAACCTAACGTTAAAACCATTTCCTGTTGAATCATTGATATCTGAAAATAGTTCTTATTCTTCGCTTGGCACCAAAGTTATCATTAGCTGGTTTCCGCTGCCTGCGAACAAGTTTGCCTACATTAAATGTGAGAAATTCTTCACCCAAAATACAGGAAAACCTTTTGCAAAATAAATTATGTCCTTCGATTACAAATAAAGGTGATATACGTTTACCTATTAATGAATATCAGATGAAATGACGGTTCGGAACACTCTAAAAACATGCTGCGATGCTAACTTAATGCGTGCTGTAATCAAAGTTACAGTTCCATCTAAACGTTTGAAAGATGTTGACACGGACGTTGAAAAAGAAAAACTTTTAACGCTGATGAAGAACTACCCTAATTCTAAATTCAAAAATATTTGGATTGCAAATTGCCAGAAAGTTATGGCGTCCGTCGAGTTTGAGAACATGAGCATTGCTGAAAGTTTTATTGATCATTTCGACGCAACGATTGGTGTTTTAGGTGTTCGTGCGATGTACGCAGAATTTGACAGCAAACGAGATTTCTTTTGTGATATGAAACTTTACAAAAAAATACAACAAGATATAGCAGATTTACGCAGGAGTTGTTCCATAAATGTGGACGTGGAACAATATAAGAATCGAATGAAAATCACTGTGTCTAGTTACAACTGTCAACCAACGGTATGGTTTTGATCATCTACTTTTTAAATTTACTTTATTTGTGATCACAATAAGAGATTAAATTTCAAAATGTTAAATTTTTAATGAGAAAAATATTCACCTCACGAATATCTAATATGGACTTCATTATCATAGTGTTGATCTGTATCCTGTTCGTACAAATAACCAAAAGCAACGTGTTTTTTTGTCTATATTAAAAAACTCTAAATCATTATAGTTTTTTACGATTCTAAAATGAAGTTTCTTGATAAGTGATGTTTATCATTTAGTTGATTTTCATGGCGTAGCATGAGTCTCTCAGTTTGTACGATAGAGAAATTTTAGAATTTATAAATTATGGAACTTTCTTTTTCTTTCTTTAGTTGGTTCAAGCTACTGGTGCAAAAGTTGCTGAGTTAATCAGACCAGAGGTAATTGTCATTGATGATCCAGCAATATCTAGACGTTTATCTACTGGTAATGGTCGATCGAAACTCGGACAGATACAGAAGAAATATGATGCTGCTGTTTTCACCTGTAGTTTTGGACGTCGTCTTGAAATTACTGCTTCAATTGAATCGAAGATCCGTGCCCGTCTTGAAATCGAGAGATTAATTGAAGAATTTAAATACGCAAGTAAAGTGGAGATTTCGTTGCGCAACAGTGAGCAACCCGTAGGTGCCATAAGGGAAATATTGAAGCATTTCGGTAAGGATCTCGGAAAACTTGTGGAAGGGGAAGATTGTGAAGCATCGCTGGACATACGAAGACGAAAGCTCGTTCTTAATGGGAGCAAAGAGTCCGTTCATAACGTCAACATGAAACTTGAAGAGCATTTAAAAACTTTGCCCAACACGTTGAAAAGTTCTACAAACAGAGAAATATGTTGTCCAGTATGTTTAGCTGATGTTGAAGATCGTTATGTTCTAACGTTATGTGGACATCCATATTGTTCAACTTGTATCACACAATATCTTTCTGATGCGTTGGATTCACCAAAAGTTAAAAACAAGTTCCCTCTTCAATGTCTCAACGAAGATTGCACATCTTCCGTGATTAAAGAAGATTACGTTGCTATTTTGAATACAGATGATATCGCAAAGTTGTATAAAGTATCCGTGGAATGTTTTTTGATTGCTAACTCCGCCTTCAAACCTTGTCCTACTCCAGATTGCTCTTGGATTTACGAAGTTTCAGGTAGTCCTAGTGTTTTCCTATGTCCAGAATGCAATAATCAATATTGCCAGAAATGCGGTGATGTTGCTCATAAGATGTTTGATACATGTGAAGCATTTAAAGCCAGTAAAGAAATGCCAACGTCTGAGCAGAAGCTTAAAACTTGGGCGCAGAATGCAGATACTCGTCAATGTCCAAAATGCTCAATTTTGATTGAAAAAAATGAGGGATGTTTTCATGTCGAATGCACACAATGTCATGCACATATATGTTGGAAATGTGGCAAGTTTTTCGAAAAAAGTGAGGATTGTTACAAACACAAGAATTGTCAGCAATTGTAGAGGAAAATGATTGTTGAACATAGTAAATTACAAATTGATTGAGTTTTTTTTCATTATTTAGTTTAAAGTTCGTCTTAGTAGGTTTTATCGACAGGGCCGGATTAAGATTTTCGGAGGCCCTGGGCAGCAAAAATACGTAGTAAAGTCCTCCTTTCCCTTACTCTAAAGGCCATAGGTTGCCTATTTTTCCAACAGCAAAATTCAAATACAAATTTCATAAAGCATCTGATAAAAGCATAAACTTAGAACATAGCGTGTAAATTATTTGCATACGATGATTGAATGCTACTTGAGATAGAGTAGTTAGTGCGATTTGATTCTGATAGTCTTTGATAAGTTCGTCCAAGTTAATTTTTCCTAGAATATCGTCCTCAACACTCATCAAAGCAAAATGTCAGAGTTTACTGTGTTTCATTGTCAGAGGTAGTCTGTTCTTCATCAACTGAAATTGACCTAACGAGTAAACAAAATATTTTTCCTTGTTCTGTAAAGCTACAATGTTTAATTTTTCCTTAAATAAGGAAACAAACTTCCCTTGTTTGAGGAGGCCTTAGGCAGCTGCCCAGTCTTGCCTTTTGGTTAATCTGACCCTGTTTATTGAGAAGGGTTCTCTCCGTACTTTTACATCTGTTCAATGTTTTATATAAAATAAACATTTAGAAATGAACCTGCTGTGAAATTTCAATGTCTGAGATCACTATGCTAATCCCTCTGATGCATTCCTGTCAGCAGGGCGGATCTAGGATTTTTCAAATGTGAGTCAAGAAATGCCATAGACGTTAGTCATCTAGAGGAGTCTGGGGGCATGCTCCCTGGAAAATTTTAATTTCTAGGGTCTCGGAAATGGACAAGTCTAATTTTATTTGACAGTCTGATTCTGACATGGACAGCCCCACACCATCACAAACAGCAAGGTGTACTTACTAATCTAGAACTTCTAGAACATTTTGAAGGGTAAAGGTCCCCAAGAATTAAACAAGATAAACGATATGCACCATTCTCTGAAGGGAAATAACAAAACCATTGAAAATCTTCAAATCACTCATATCTAAAAGCTCTCTAGTTCTTATCACTGAAGGGAAGGAAAAGATAATTCTTTGGTAACCTAAAAACTTTCCTAATAAGATTGCAGATCTCATAGCTAGGTAAACCTTTAACCATTTCTCTATGAAGGGCTGCATTGAATTGATTAGTAGGTGCATGCATTGGTTTGCAATCAAATTGTTTTGAGCTTTGTCATAAATGCATAGAGTCAGGGAAATATTCAGGCAAAATACAACTAATAGAGATGCCATTGGATTGAGCACTAACTTCATTCGATACATTTACGGCAATGGTTGCTGCTTTAGCAGAAGTCCTAACCATTGTTTCTTCTTTTGAAAAAAACAATTAAAATAATACCTTTCTCATTCATTTGCTAAAATTTTTTGTCTCTGAGAAATATGTGAGGTAGGATTGCTATAATTTGAATCTTTCCTCTTACACTAATGCCAACTGGTGTACCTTCATAGCTAAATAAGATGTGCATATGATTAGAATTTTTTAGGGTGGATTAAGGGCTCAATGACCACATTATATTTTGTGCTTCTCCAGATCAGGACAATATGAGTGAATTGATCTTTCAATGACAAAAGACAAGCCTTAAATGCCAAAAAATGATGACTTCTATTTGTCATGGTAGTTCAATCACAGGTAGTTGAATCGCGACTGAAACCTAAAATTTAAGCTGTGCAAAGGCTTCCTTACACTTAAATAAACCTCATCATACAAATCTCTACTTAATATCTTCATGTTATATAAACAAATCTGCAAGCTGGTCGTTCGACTAACTCGACGACTCACTCAACATACCTTTTACGAAAAGACGATTTTAATTCGCACTGAATCTCTGCCTTTGTTCAAAATTGAACATTTAATGCTTACGAGAATACCATTGTCATAGCCATCATTACTAAATTTACTATTCAAATCGACGATCCCCCCCGGTAATACGCTTTGGCCAATCAAATAAATGGATATAGTCATCAAATGGTGCGAAATTTGTAGATTTGTGTGACTCGAACTTTGCAAAAAAGAACATACGGTAACCTTAGTATTCAAAATGGCATAATTATTTTTTAGCAAATATACGTGAGTCGCATTACTCTTTTGACATCTGCCCCTGCCTGTCAGTGCTGTTAGTAATTTCGTTACTCCTTACTTGTTAAGGTAACTAGTTACTATTTCTAGTACATAACTTATATGAACTTTACTAGTTACAGTAGAAGTAACATGTAACGATAAGTAGTTACATTTGCATCATCAACACATTTACCCATCTGACAATAATTTTTGTTATTGATTTGAAACTTTGAAAAACAAACGTGAAAATGTTACAGTCTGTTACTTTATGTAAGACATGTTAAAGGCTAAGAACTCTTGCGTTATTGCGTGCATGGTTTCGTTCACTGGTTGTACCTAGCTTAAAGTTTGAAAGTTGAAGCACGAGCGATGATGACTGTCGGCTTGTCAACGAAATATAAAATTTTACGTAATATTTGCTTATCTATGGAAAGTGGGTCATTCAGGTATTCATTAAAACATTACAAATTCCTCTACATATCTTGTCGAAATTACGCCCCATGCATTGATGATAATAAGTTTTCACGTTCAATTGAAATGCATTTGAAACTTGAGAATGGATTAGAATTAGCAAAAGAATTGAAAAGTGCAGAGAAATTACAATTGAAATCTCTTCCTAAACGGACTTGGGGAAGTGTTTTTTATATTTTAAATCAAACAAAAGAGTTTAAAGCCCTTGATGAATTAAAACAACGAGCTTTTGATCTTAAAATTGACTGTGGAGAAGGAGCATTATCTACAATGATTAAATCATATACAGAAAGAAATCAACCTCTAAATGCTGAAAATTTATTGCATGAATTGAAGTCTTCTGGTCTTTTAAGACACACCAGATCTTATATATCAGTCATTACAAGTCTAGCAAAAAATGGTTATTGCAACAGAGCATTTGAACTGTTTCATGAAATGAACAAGCAAACGTTTAAGTCCAATCAAACAATTAGTCTTAAAATTCCATCTAAAATGGCTAGTGCTTTAATATTGTCATGCATAGGATGTGAGTTATCTGGTTATGGTAAAGCTACCGATGTATTGGAATGGTATAATGTCAGTGGTCAGCAAATTGATAAAGATGTATTTAAAGCTATTTCTCAATGGTTGCAAAATGATCCAATAAATACATGGGCTATAAAAGAATGTGAGATTTCTAAGCATGGATTATGCAATCATTGTGGTAAAAGTTTACATTTTGGATCTTTGTCCATTTCTGAAAAAGATAATTTAAAGAAAAATATCTTGAAAGCCATTAAAGAATTATTTGCTTTAAATGAGAAGACACAAAAAAAACTGTTGAAATATGATGAATTTCTTGAGCAATCTTGTCAATGTGATGTTATAATTGATGGCATGAGTATAGGTTTGTCAACAAATGCTAAAAAGAAAGAAAGGAAAAAAAGATTTAATTTTGATGCTTTACAAAAACTGTCCAGTCATTTTGTCAACCAAGGACATAATGTTCTACTTGTGTTGAATAATTCAGTAAAGAAAAATTTTGCTGAGGGTTGTTTGTTTCAATTTTGTGATGAAGGTGATGATGATTTGTTTATAATTTATGCCAGTGCTTTTTGGAACTTGGAACCTTTCATAGTAACTCGAGATAAATATAGAGAACACAGATTTCTACTGGAGACTCCTAATGTTTTCACTTACTTAAAATGGCTGAGATTACATTCTATTAAAGTTGGTGTTGAAGGAAACATCAAGTTTTATAAAAGGAACTTTGATAATGTCTTACAGTATAATAATAGCTCTTGGCATTTTCCTTTGTTAAATGGTGAATGGTTTTGTGCCACAAAATCATAGATTCAATCTGTAAATAAGTCAAAAGTACAACAGTGTGTTAAATATTGGAGTCAATCAGACTCAGAACCCTCTATTGACTTATGTGTCAGGATTCATTTTTGCTGAAAAGTCACTTTAAATTATATGAACAATAAAAAGGTTTTGTTTCCGCAAGGTTTACTAGTTTATTGGGAATAATTCAACGACTTTCACTTATTTACATTTATAATTGTATTTTCTGGTATAACAAAAATTGTTCGTCTTTTTACAGGAATTTATAATAACAAAATGATTTAACAATAGAACTGGTTTAAACGCAGCTTAGCTTATACAACAATGAATTCTTAATTGTTCAGGAAAAATATCAAATTTTAAATGCCTCGCGATTATTTCTGCTTCTTTACATTTGCCATTCCATCGTATGCTAACTCACTCTTTTTGTACTCAGACATTTCCTTTGCATATCTTTGCTTATCTTCATCTGCCATTTTATTATACACGTCTTTTTCCTTGCTTTCTAGTTTTCTCCATTTCTTGCCTAAAACTTGTAAAATTTCTTTCATCGCCAACTCTGGCTGAGCTTTACGTGTTTTTGGTCGTTCGTCATCGCAGAAAAACATATAGGCTGATCTAAAATTCATAATAGTAAAAAAACTTGCCGTTTTAATAAAGCGATTACGATAATATGAACAAAAGCCTCAAAAACGTCATGAATTGTTTTGGTTTTCGCTATTGTTGATTATTTTTCCTTTGGATTTGAACACAATAAAGTACTTGTAAGACAATTATTACCATATCAAAACACAGTATAGAAACATACTTGTTTCTTTTAGGAAGATTTTCGTCATTTTGTCGTTTTCTCTTTCGAGATTTCTTTGGTGTTGATTCATCTTCACTCTGAGTGTACAAAGACATTTCTTGTTCAAATCTGGCCTTATCATCTTCGGCTAATTTAAAAAACGGAGCTTTTTTGGCTTCGTCCAGGCATTTCCATTTCTCGCTACAAAATTTTGAAAGCTCGCTGAAACTGAGATTGTCTTCATGACCGTTTTGCTTGCTTCGAAGTCTCATGGCTTCCCTTTCGCTTTGCATAAAGAAAAGATACGCTGACATTTTCCCTTTGGGCTTATTGGGGTCTTTCTTAGTTCGAGGCATTTTTTCTTCAAAATATTATTTGAGAGAGTAAGCTGTTTGACTGCATTGATGATAAATATTCGCCGTACGTTTGTACACTTGACCACACTTGACCATAGACACGTATTTCAAGGACACTGCTTTACACATCAAGTCTTTGCGTTTATTGGTTGACTTTCCCGCCTTACCATTGACATATGCAAAAGAGGGTAGGGTCGGGTGGGAGGACAACACGTTTAAATTACAAAGTCACGAAAAGTAATTGAACTTAATATTAATTATAACACTAAATTTTCTATTCGTTTGACACGTTGAAATGTAATATCAGGAAAAAGCGTCTTTTCCTTGAGGCTCATGTAATGTTATTTTGTTATTCCGGTAAGGTAAAGGCTGGACTGGAGGGCGAGAGTACTTTCTGTAACAAAAAGACTTACAGTCTTTGAACCAATCATAAGAAAGAGTTCAAGTCATATGTGTAAACGGAAGTAAATATTACACGGAGGAAGAAAACTTATGCATAAATCAATACAGCAATTCCGAAAATGTCGACATGAATGGTTATCAGAGTGAGAGTGAGGATAATTCTCCGAAACCTCATCTTGTATGCTGTTTAATAGAAGAAACCGAAAGATGTAAGAAATTGGCTGGGAATGCTTGTTATGCCAAAAGAATTCAAAGAACTGTAGCTCAAAAGAAACTTAAACTTGTCGCCGCGGAAAACGTATGTTTAACTTTTTATAACATACATTTTTAATATCATGGTTGCAGTGCTTTTCAGCTTTTCAAATTTTCCTCGCCTTTAGGCTGGTCACATTTACATTTGTAACTTTCACAAAAACATGATTCAAAGCGCAAGAAGTAAGAGAAGACGTAAGGATTCTGACGACGAAAACGATTCTCAAGAGGTAGTAGATATTTCAGATTTGTTTACTGTTATGGCTTCAGAAGAAAGTGCATTTTGAGGGTAGCTGGGTATTTATCTCAATCATTTCTTATTTATGCAAAGATCGATGTCAGCCTCTTACAAACGAGCACATTGAGAAGATATAAGCGCCATTTCAAACTTCAAGCAAGACCTGGTCTTAACAAAACGCAATTAGTCGAAGTAAGACTTTCGTCGATATATCGTTATTTTATTCGTCTCGTTTTATTTTTACTACCAGAAATGCAGTTGTAACTTATAAATACAATGTAGTTCATATCCTTACGAGTGGTAAGTGTATCATTTCATGAGTTAACTCCAAGGGTTGCCATAGTTCAAAAGTTGAGATGGTTTAAAAGTTGAGATGGTTTAAAGGTTGAGATGGTTCAAAAGTTGAGATGGTCTAAAGGTTTAGATGGTTCAATTGTTTCCTTTTTCATAAGAATGTGAGTCAAAAAAGCAAGCCAATTGTTGGCCATTGTTGTACCATTTGTATTTCAATGTTGTCAATTCAGCCAAGATATCTTAATAATCCTTCGGGCAAATATTTAAAAATTTGATGTTGAATTTGGTATCATAAACTTAACAATATTCCAGATATCTGTAAGTCAGGTTTGTCTTTCAACATTAACCTTTCTTTAAATAATCTATTTAAGTGATATAAGTCATTCTTGCCTTACTTCCACATAGCAGAAAGCCTCAAATTGAGTTATTTTTATGTTGAAACATTATGTAAGCTCATCATATAATAAAAATTAACATATTTTTGTCATTTCTTGACAATGCTAAATTAATTTTCAATTGTTGAGCTTTGTAAGAAAATGTGTCTAAATGTAGAAAATAAATGATAAAGCAAAATTAATTGAAATTGACTTTTTTACAGATGGTAAGCCGACATTTTAAGACAATTCAGGTACCAGAAAAGGAAACTATATCATTATTCATCTACATGGTGAAAACGAGGAAAAGTAAACTGGATCAAAAAGTAGATAATGCTTGATATAGCTGTCAATTGCCTGTAAATAAACTATTTTAAACATGTGTGTAAAAATTAAAAGTTAGAATTTTACTATATTCAGAGAGTACTTTAGATAAAATATTCTTTTCTTTAAAATTTTTATCAAAAACACATATTTTATACATGACGAACATGACAAAAAATTTTGACCAAAACATAACACTACAACACAGAAAATTGAACAAGAATGAATTAGTGGTGATGAAGATTTGTAGACAGTTGTATCAAATTTGAACATTTCACAAAGATAGAGGTGTCAACTCCCCCCTCCACCACCACACAATGCATCAAATTTGAACATTTCACAAAGATAGAGGTGTCAACTCCCCTCCACCACCACACAATGCATCAAATTTGAACATTTCACAAAGATAGAGGTGTCAACTCCTCCCCCACCACACACAATGCATCAAATTTGAACATTTCACAAAGATAGAGGTGTCAACTCCCCTCCACCACCACACAATGCATCAAATTTGAACATTTCACAAAGATAGAGGTTTCAACTCCCCTCCACCACCACACAATGCATCAAATTTGAACATTTCACAAAGATAGAGGTGTCAACTCCCCCCTCCACCACACACAATGCATCACATTTGAACATTTCACAAAGATTGAGGTGTCAACTCCCCCCTCCCCACCACTCACAATGCATCAAATTTGAACATTTCACAAAGATAGAGGTTTCAACTCCCCACCACTCACAATGCATCAAATTTGAACATTTCACAAAGATAGAGGTTTCAACTCCCCCCCCACCACTCACAATGCATCAAATTTGAACATTTCACAAAGATAGAGGTGTCAACTCCCCCCTCCACCACTCACAATGCATCAAATTTGAACATTTCACAAAGATAGAGGTTTCAACTCCCCCCCCACCACACAATGCATCAAATTTGAACATTTCACAAAGATAGAGGTGTCAACTCCCCCTCCACCACCACACAATGCATCAAATTTGAACATTTCACAAAGATAGAGGTTTCAACTCCCCTCCCACCACTCACAATGCATCAAATTTGAACATTTCACAAAGATAGAGGTTTCAACTCCCCCCTCCCCACCACTCACAATGCATCAAATTTGAACATTTCACAAAATTTTTTGTAAAGTGTTTGCTGTGTTTGCTTGCTATATAATTGGAAATTATCGTAAGACAATAAAAAAGTAAGATAAGAAAACAGAACAATTTAGTGTCATATCCCTTAATACTATTCTACAGTTCCAAATATTGTCAACTCCCCCGGCCCCCTTCTTTACAATATAATAACACTAACACTGCTATGGATCATGGATTTCGAAAAGTTTTCAAACTTCCACATTTTTACATCTTCACAACACAAGTCACATTCGCAGGGCGTTAAATCTTCAAAATAATATGAATGTTTACATTTACAAAACAGCCATACACACACTATTTTGAAAAAAGTGTTGTTTCAACTTTTTAAAGTGTGTATGTATAAAGTGTTTTCCAGAGCATTCACTCAAGTCGACATGAATTTAGTCGAGCTTGGTATGGAGTTAAATTATCGTTCAAGAACTAGTCATATTTTCGTCCAATTGAATGTTATCAACATATCTCATTCCTTGTCCCATAATTCCGGCTATTACTCATACTGATCAACGAGGAACGAAATAAGAGTTCCCCAATGTCCCTAAATAACCACCCCAGGCCTGCTTTTCCATGGGAAGAAAATAGCTACAAACCTGTGAGTTCTCAATCTTGGAGCATTCACACTTCAGTCGAAAACGGTAAACTGTCAAATTTCCAAACCTTTGAGATTTATGCTTATAATTTTCCTGACTGGTGTGAAAAGTTTCCTTACTTTGGCGTTGTTCTAAACATAGATTTGTAGCAGCATCACCTTCATCATAATGACCCTGTTGCATATTTGCCGAAATATTTACACGATTCACAAACTTTCCTGCAAATAAACAAAATTCTATAATAAGCTTTATGATACATTTTTAAAGTGAAGCGATTGAGTAATGCACACAGAACCTCCTTTGTATTACATTTCTAAGATTTACCGTGTTTGCTGAGATTTCTGTATTTTTCAATGCATTCCTTTTCTATTTGCGTAATTACACGAACTTTAGAAGGGTACATCCAATACGTGGCAACGATGACGTCAACACTTTTTGCACTAGAAGACGATTGGTTAGAAAAAGATGACGCGATACTTCCTGTTTGAATCAATCTTTGAAACCCTCCATGATCTGGGGGCCCAATGTGTCGACGCTGTTTTTTTGATTGATGAATACGTTGTGAAGTATGTTCTAACCATTCATTGACCACTAAAACGTATTAAAAAAATTTAATATTTCATTTTACTGATTTTAAAGAGAATAATTGCAAAAGCAGACAAGAAAATCAGACGACAACTATAAATCAATGATCTAATGGATTAAACAACAATAAGTCACATTTTCAAGACAGATGACATGTCCACGATTTATCTTATGAAAATATATAATGAAAGTTTCAATGAAAGGTTTATACACTCTACTCACAGGAGTCATAAATAGTGTGACCTGGAAATCCAATATGACGGTTCATAACAGACAAACGACTAAAACTCTTCGTTCCATAACGCAATTTACAAGTGTCAGCGCGACTTTGTTCATGTTCATTAGTTCCATCGACAAAATCAAACCAGTCTCCTTGTCCTTCATGATCAACACAGTCGGCAATCCAATAAACAAAAGCATCGTTACCACGACCAGTCATACTGATAGACAAAGGTGATCCATTTGACATAACAGGCTTTTAAAATATGGTTTATAAATTGGTCTGCCAGTCACACCGTCCAAAATTGTAATCTGCAAAATTGTAAAGTGACATACGAAATTGATGTTATTATTGCATGAGTGGAGAAGAAGTTCAAAGTGCTCCAATGAGCAAAAATTTGCGATATCAAATCTACATGTGATTTTTAACACATCAATGAAAAAGTTTTTAATTTGGGCCAATCGTTCCATTTTCATCGTGGTTAAATAGTTGCCTTTCAATGGACCTTATCCGTCGCATCATGAAGTTTTGGTCTAGCCGAATTATGACGTCATCCAAAGTAGTTGGTATATATATTTTGTATTGAGGAGTACTCTGTGAGAGTACCTTGCATTAATCACAAATGTAAGTCGTTCTCGATTTTTCTGACGACGGACAAAGTTCATCAAATTTTGGCCAACTTTAAACCATTATAAAAACGATTGGGCCAAATTAAAAACTTTTTTCCATTTATATGTTAGAAATCACACCTAGATTTAGTATCACAAATAAAAAATTCTTGCTGAGAGGGGAACTTTAAGGCAATTAAGGCACAAAAGTAAAAATTTCACATACACCTCTCGGTAGCGTACATACTTGGGTAAAGTTGCTATATTCAACAAACCTCTGAATAATAATAAACAGGAAATCCTTTCCCATGATTATAACGAACAAAAATATCGGGTGTATCGTCATCATTAAAGTAAGCCGCAGCTGGAGTACTAAGAAACAATAAATAAAAAAAAAGTAAATAAAACGAAGAAGGACTAAATTAAATGAATTATAAGGAAGTGAAAATACTTTTTCAAAATAAAAACGTACGAGTATGTTTCGCTGCCTGTGAAGGAATATTGCCAAATTATGTTGAATGTTTCACCATCAAAAGCAAAAACAGTTGCATTAAACATGGCTATAATTATATCAACAGTACCATCTTTATTAATATCAACCAGCACAGGAGGAACCATGACACCTATAAGAATATTTTAATTTTTTTTACAATCGAATTTTAATCTGTAAATTATGAAACTTTCCAAAATCACAGAGTTTTCGACTTTCTGGGCAACTTTTATAGGAAATGCTTGATATTTTATATCATTAACACTTTTCAAGTAATTCAACAAAGGCATTCTTGTCCAGTTGAAGTAAAATATCATCAAATATTCTGGATTATTCAAATTCTCAAAATGCAAATTGACGTCACTATTTGAACAAATCGGGAACATGTCAAACAAAACAAAAACGTGAATAACTTTAAAATGAAAAGTGATATTCATAAACTGTTTAAAAGAAAGTCTATTGTCATTTCAAAAGCTCTGCTTAATAAGACTATCATTTAAAAAGTAAAATTTCTCTGCCTTTGAAACAGGAAGTTTCTGTGTCCTTCCCAGTCCTTTCCCTTGTTTTAACACTTGTTGTTAAATACTTAGTATAGAAAGAACAAGGAAGAAATCTTTAGTAGAAAAATGTATATGAATAAAAATGTCTGTTCCTAAATGATCAACCATCAAGAAACAAATTCAAAGAATCTACCTTTAAAATTATCCGTGTAAACAGCGTAAGCTGTATTGATTTCTCCGTTATAAAGACGCATTATGTCAACAGCCCAAAGAGATCCCGGATGCGTTTCGCCTCCAGTCCCAAACAACGCTACCTCCGTCCCATTTCTCGTTGAGTAAACGACAGGAGAGAAATATGTTTCACGTTTATCTGGAACATTTTGCCATCGCAATACTTGACCATTTTTACCAGAAAATAAAATGATTCTTCCCACTAATCGCTTCTCGCTGTTTGGTTCACTAAAAAAATATAATAGTAACAAAAGTCAAAAGTGCTTTCCCACGATGTGAAACAGTAATTACTGTATATTATTGATGAAACGGTGTTACTGTTTAACTTTGTAAATGATAAATAAAATACATTTAAATACTTCAAAAACCTGAGAGGGTCTCCGCCATGAGACACAAGGATATCAGGGACACTATCACCATCAAGATCACGTATAAACTGAGGAGTGTATATCCCCATAATCCCTTTATATCCCGGTTGATCCTTTTCAAACCTCCACAATAAAGAACCATGTTTAGCACTTACAGCCTCAAAAACACCCGCTCTACCAGCAATCAAACAATCATGAATACCATCAATATCTATATCTGCATTACAATTGATTGCAAATACTTCGTGTAAGGTGTAATGGCGCCACAATTCATGCCCAGTTCGACCATCTAGAGCCAATATCCCCCCAAAACATGGAAATGTTCCATTGAAATACATGTCACATGCTTTTCGAGGTATTCCACCAACAAAGTAACCATCTAAAACAGTCAGAAATCCCACCAATACATCTACAACTCCATCATTATTCACATCATTCATTCGTATTGCAGTTTCTGTCATAAGCTTTGGTATCGTTTGATGCCATACTTCATTTGATGAAAAATTTGAGCAAGGTTTGATATTCAACTGTAGGACAGACACATTATGATAAGAAATTTGAGTTCTATGATTGGTAGCATTATTTATAGTGCTGTCAGTTTTATCTAATACCCAATCAATGAATATTAGCAATAATGCAACAACACAAACCAAAGTCAATGCAAAGCATAAAATCCATGTAAAATTTTTTGAGTTTCTTCTCACTTTACCACGAACATGATAAATTTTATGATTTTTTCTTGTTGGTATTAGTGGTTCATCAAGGTTGGACAGGTGTGATGCATCAATTGACTCTGATGTAATTCCATCATCCTCTGAGCTACTACCATCTTCATTAAGATCAAATTGTTTTGTTTGAGCACGATAAATGTTGCTCAATGTCATTTCCTAGCAGCAATTTTACAATATTCTACAAACAAGAAAAAAATTTCAAATCAACCATGTTATAAAGTATGTATGATTAAAAATGCAATAAAAAAAATAGAAAATACACAAAAGAAATAAAAACCCCAAACAATGTTCCCCTTATCCCATCTTATCCCACCTTTAAATGATGACAATAACAAAATTTTAAAATGAATTCTAAGTTTTCTTTTAAAAACCAGATGTAAAAAATATACAATTTTAAACTTTCTAAGATATAAGATCTTTTTTAAAAAGATAATATCAACTCATGGTAATACTTTTAATTGACATGAAATAAACATGAGAAAATGGTAGTAAAATATAAGAAAATTTGTCGTTCTTACTGTTGAAATAAAATCAGAAATCAGTCTTCTGTATTTATAACAACAATAAATCCATTTGAAATGTATGATGCCTAAAAGCCTTACATAAACTATGAACATCATCACAGACAAAGAAAGTTATATGGGATCATACAGACTTGACCATGTACATTATATTTTATGAATATAAATGTAACACATAATCATAAACATAATAAATAAATATACACATAACTTGTGTATTGGAGTATTGTGACCATGTACTATAGTTGTGATCATATAAATTAAATATATACAGCATGGCTATACCCTATCCTGTCTTAAAACATTGTGCAAATTTTTGTCTATATAACATTTATTATACAAAATAAAATATTCTACAGTGCAACACAACACAAATTTTCTTGTTTATAAACATAAAATAGAGGTTGAAAAGGTTGTTTTGTACAAAAATTCTCAATAACTAACACGTCAGCACACATACAACATAAATAATTATTTACACATTTTATGAAAGAAAAAATCTACTTTACGCTTAACTTACACACCTTACCTTGCAATTTAATACCAATTTCACATTCGCTTCAAATCACAAATGGAGAAGTCACAGTCAATATTAAACTCGAAAAAGGAAAAGATCATGATGGACTACAAACTAGACCATTGAGTGCATTGACTCGTAATCTGTATTAATCTTGCTGTGGACTCGAATATCAAAGTTCTACAATATTTTTATGGCTACATTAAAAGCAAGGTAAAAAGAAAATGGCTACTATCGTTTATTTCATGCATTATGTTACTTTATACATGTCGTATAAAAATAATCACTATATCACTAAATCCAACGGAAATATTTCTCCCGACCAGAACTCCCCTTGCAGTTTTCTAATTCTTTTCGAAATATAAGGTAAAAAAAGTAATTTGTCTCATTTTTTAAAGAGAATTTATGATTTTTAGTTTTCCAAAGCAATTAAAGCAAACTTTTGATTATGCCTTTTGACTCGTAATTTCACGGATTATTTCATTTCTCCATTAACTCCAATTTAATTTTGATTTGTGAACAATTCAGCATCTGCGGTTGACATCATAGCGAATAAAAGCGTTTTTAAATCATTTATTATTTCTCAAGGGTGGAATTAAGGGTGTGATGTCGAAGGGTAGGGCTGCTAATTAAAAAAATTAATAAAACAATTAAAAAATCCTTCTTTTCATGGATGATGGTTTGTAGTCATCATCTCCTTTTGACGGATGTTTATTTGCAGACAATATGAGTCATCATTAATGATGACCTTCTTTTGACGGATGTTTATTTGCAGACAATGAATAGTCAATCATAAAATAAACTTTACATTTCATGGCCACCAGAGTTGTTGCGACGTTTGATCAATAGTTATGTCTGATTCTGAATTTGATTTGAACATGACAACATCAACAGAGTTGAATGGAGAATATCAACTTCAGTTGAACACACTACCTGTTGAAGTTCTAGTGCAAATATTCTCATATCTTCGTACCCGGCAAGATTTGATATCATGTACTCGTGTATCAAGATCTTTCTATGCAGCTGCTGTCAACCCATCTTTATGGAAATCACTTTGTCATAAAGTATGGAAAATAAAAGATAATGGCGACGAAAGCTGGATATCAATATACAAAAAGATGTTTATGGATTTTGGCAGATATGAGCGTTGCTACTCAGAAATCCGCGAAGCATGGGACCTTATAGAGAATTATTTGAAAGAGAACTGTCCTAATATCTTAGCTGGATTACAAGAAGGAGCTTCAGAAGATGAGTTGCAAGATTCTGAAACACAATTCCTTGATGGTAACTACATTGCATTTGTTTTTTGGTTGTGAAACTTCTCTAACTGTTTTCTCTGGATTATTTTCAATTTTTTAGGAAAGAGTCTACCAAATGACTATCGATGTTTTCTGCGCATCCATAATGGTGAAAAATTCAAAAGTTGTGGCATATTGGGAGAAACGACAATTTCAAATCATTTTAAGCAAGAAGCAATACTTGATATCAATAGTTCAGCTAAGGGTTACTCTTCAATGGTAAGTGGCTTACGTGGCTGTATACCAATCACGTTTTGTAGGGAAAAAAACTGTGGACATTTCATGGCTGTAACAGAAGAAGCTGGCCATACACAAGGAAGAGTATTTTGGCCCTCTTTAGAAAACGAAAATGCAACTTTTGTTGGCAATATGATGCATTGTTTTGTCATTGCAAACAGTTTTACCGAATGGTTTACATCTCATGCTTATAATATGGTAAAAGAGAAATATCCAATTGTAAATGGTAAAATACATCCATACAAGTTTGCATCACAACATACTAGTGATAATGGTATAACAGTCAGGACGGCTACCTGCTTTTTACCAGAGTTGAGCTGTATCAATCCACCTCGCTTTTTTTTTACTTACCGAATCACCATTTCAATGGATGCAAACTGTTCAAAGGTGAGATTGTGATGTTTCGTCAATATTATACTGTCAAAGTTCAGCAGCATGTAACAACTCGAGGATATGATTAGGTGATAAATAGGGACAATGTAGGGGTTTGTGGGTAATTTTGTATTATATAGGGACTATGTAGGTGTATCTGTGTATAATATGTGTTACTATAAATATGTAGTAGTAATTATATGGTTTAATTATTGTTATATCTTTTTAAAGTCTGCTAGTTGTACACTAGCAACACGTCACTGGTATATTACAAATGCAGGAAGTAAAAAAGAAGAAGTTCATGGTAATGCTGTTGTTGGTAAATATCCTATAATGACACCATCAGCACGACATGACTATGTCAGCTGCACAACCTTCTCAACACCAACTGGAACTATGGAAGGATACTACACTTTTAAATTTAATTATAAAAAAGGAACAACAAATGCAATTATTGCTCCTATACATTTTGAAGCCCCTTTGTTTGAATTAGCCTCAGAACGTCTCCGAAGAAAAAAAGAAACATTTTCTAACTTATAAAGTTATCATAGACAATATATTATAATTGTTACAAGCTTATTTGAGTGCAGACAAGTATTATAATCATCATGTTTTTACCATAAATAATGAAGACGTGTATCTAGCTTAGCACAAAATATTTCATTTAAAACACTGTTATATGTTACAATGTTGGCTATTTTTCCTATTCAAGATGACAATTACAGTTAAATACACTTACAAACTTGTTTCTCATATTCGTATGTGTTTCAAATCTTGTTTGACTACAATATTTGGACAAAATTACTTATTCTGAATATTTCATTCTCAAAAAATGAGATTAAACATGCTGCTAGGTTATACACTATTATGTGATAGCGTTATCAAGGTTAGAGTTTTGTGACCATCGTTTTGAATCAAAAAATTTGTTCGTGTGAGTGTAGTCTAGTATTAGACGTGCTACTAAAATTTATATTCAACGAACTGAACAACAGATTATGGAAATAGTAGATATGTCCGTTTCACAAATGCCTATAATTTTCATTTATGAAACTAACACACCTGACTTCTTTCCTTCAAACCAGCATAAGTAGAATAAGAACTTTTAAAGTTCTAAGTTTAATTCTGATTGGAGGCCTGTTTATCACTATCCAATGGAAAACAACGATTTAGACGTTCTTGTTTTTAAGACACATTCTGGCCAGAGAAGCTTTAAATTTCGAGCAACAAAATTATGGTATGAACTGGATGATAGATTAAAAGACATTGATAGTTTTGCCTCTTAAGAAACAACTGAAAGAGAATATGCTTTTAAATAGTTTTTTATCAATTCGTATGTAATGTAATTAAATACTCTATTTAAAACATGTAAATATAGTTTAGTATGAGCTAAAAAAAATTTTATATAAAGATTGGTAAATAGATCTGAAAAGCCCATTTAAGGGAGATCTCATTAAATTAAAAATAAAATGTATAATGAAGTACTCAACACAAACCGTTGTACTCTTACACAAAGTCACAAACAGAAGTCTACTATGCGAACACAACTAGAAGCACACGGACACAAACCAAAGTACACGAACACAAACAGAAGTACACGACCACAAATAGAAGTACACGAACACAAATCGAGGCTTTGTCGTGGTGACAAATCTGTAAATAGTTTTAAAGATAGCAAATACCATAGTTAATGGTAAAAGTAATATAATAAGTTGATAGTTCTTAAAAGAACTGTTTCAAGTAAAAAGCACTTATTATATTACTTTTACCATTCACTATGGTATTTGCTATCTTTGGAACTATTTACAAATAGAGGCACGCGTACACAAACAGAATCACATGAACACAAAGAGATGTATACAAACTCAAATCGAAATACACTAACGCCAGTCCGTATTCTGCTTACTTTAACAATAACGAAACAGTAAGTATACAGTTTACATCACAATTGCTAGCGATTTAATACTACGACCCTACATTCTCAAGATCGAAGAAGCAATACGATAGTATCTTAGTACGAATTATCAAAACAAAACTACACGCATTGTTATACTTTACAATACTGTCAAGGAAGTGATGAAAAAATCCTACATGGTTGTTGCCAAAATTCAATGACGTTACCTCTACTAGATTTAATGAATTAGGTCAAGTGGTGTGTCGTTACGTGCTCAGCATCATTTTGCGGAGATGCATCAAGCATTTTAATGTCTTTCTTTAGTGTAGGTTTTTTTCATCATAAAACAAGAAAATATTTGAGATATTCAGGAATTCTGTATATTTGATCTTTAACAATTGTAGTATCGGATTCCAGCTGTTGCAATTACTTGGTTGTATCGGATTTGAGGGTTAGCAAATTACTTGGTCATATTACTAAAGAGCATTTTCAAATTTGGAACGAGTTTGACGTAAATAATATTAAATTTAATTTTAACTATGTTGATTAACTCTATTTCATTCAGTAGCTATAAACTTGCAGGCTACCGACATGTACGCATTACGTACCTACATTTTTACAATGTATGCCATTGTATTTAATAAACGCAGTGTTTTGGGAGATGTACCCAAAAGCCAAGAAATGAAAAAGAAACGTGAATATTCGTGATAACTAATATTATGCGAACTCATAAATAATGTTATGACAAATGACATCACTTGGCCCCAAATGTGGACACTGTTTTTTGAAAACAAAACGAAATGGGAGGGAAAACCGGTGGATCCGGTAAAAAACCCTCCAATAAAAGAAAAGATCAAAAAATTTAGAAAAATTTCCTTAAATTTTCGTAATTTTAAAATGCTTCATATCTTTGTTGTTTTCAATGATCCCGATGATCTACTTTTAACATGCAGCGTAGTCTGTTCGTACAACGTAAAATTTTCAGAGCGACAAAGCGGGCTGACTACCCTATCAGCAAATATTTTGAGTTTAAACAAAAGAAACGAAAACTTTGGTAGAGAACAAAAAATGAAAGAGGCAGAATGTTTACAAAAACTTAATACATAGACAAAAATGAAAACTAGTAGCAGCACATACACAAATCATGTGAAATTATTCAGTACGTACGACCTCATCATTCATCTGTCAATAACAATGAAAAATGAAATGACCAAAGTGACGTCATGACTTGCATAAAAATCATTTTTGATGTCTACTAGACGTAATTCGATTCAAAATTTCTATGTTGCTTTATTAAGACCTTCATTAATAGCTGGCTTTCACTCGTGTGTCTTGTCAGAAAAATTAACAATTGTGAAAATTTAGTTTTACGAAATTTTGTAACTGTTGAAATTGAAAATGCGTTATACTGATAAACATTATGCATAACTAAGCTCGCAAGGGTGAATCTTTCAATAAGGACGCTTGTTTCTTGGTGCTTCTGTGCGACTTGGTCGTCATTCATTGCCCACTTAATAGACCTACGGACATAGCTACTCTACAAAAAACACGTTATAAATGTCAGCATAATGAATGAACAAAAAAAGAAATTGAATATATTGAAAAGAACAAAATTTTAATACCTGATTTCCAAGCGTTGTCCTGGTCAATCCTGATCCAGGCGACTTAGTCGGTCTCTTTCTCTTTTCTTTATTGCGCAGTTTTTACGTGTATCGTTTAAATTTTTATTGTAACATTTTATGTTAGAAATTCAATGAACCCTACACTTAGAGGGGTTCATTGAATTTCTAACATAAAATGTTACAATTTTCCTTATAAACGTTAAATAAATTAGTAAAAAATAGCGAGTGAAAGCCAGCTATTTTCTCACATCAAGTGAACTCTTCCATTGATATTTTGTCTTCAATTTGCGCGTTTTTCATGATTATGGTTCAAATTGTAAAAATAGACCATCAGGATCCTTTTTAGCCGACTATCTCATGCAGTTACTCATATAAGTTAATTTTAACACTTATCTACTAAACTTACAGACCACCAGACATGAGTCGTGTTTTTCCACTCGCTCGTTTTCCACCTGCGTAGAATATAGTCCGTTTTTATCGTCCACTCACACATATGCCGTCATGCGATGTCCATTCAATATGAAGTTACCAGGATCATTAACCAGTAAGTAGCTACTGATAGCATGCATGAATCACCATTTCGATAGATTACACTCCACACTCCACTTTTATGATAACTTCAATCGAAGGAGAAGGGACCACTTCAATACCCCAGTTATATCATCACTCAAAGAATGCTTAGTGCAGAGTTGATCTTCTGTGAGTATCAGCTGACCACCTTTAGGTGGGTTCATATAACAATGGGGCCCATCATCATTATATGAACAAACTGACATCAACAGAGAATCCAAACTACAAATAACCATTCTTGGCCATGAATCACCATGACACATGAGTAATGAAAAACTAGTAAGAGTAATTGAAGTGAATGACACAGGTGGCAAAGGGACTTTCACAACTCCATCCATGTGGGATCTACAATATAAGAAATTATAGAACAAGTATATACAGAATGGGCAAATTACAATATTTTTAATGTTTAAATATCTAAATGGTAGAATATTCACCAACATTGCAATTTGCAGGAGTAGCTTTAGAGAGTTTGAAAATTGAACGATGCAACAAGAATTTTCAAACAATCAAAGGCTTAACATCGTGGCCAAAGCATTTTACAGTGAAAGCTTTCATATTACAAGGACTACACTAAGACTAGCTGATTATTCCATGAAACTCATACTTTAGTACTTCGTCAGTAAAGACAGAATTTACAAAAGTTTAAGTGTTAATATTCCTTCATTGACGTCATGACTAAAATTTTTTATTGTGATTGGCTCTTAAGGAGCATGTCACCTTTACAAAGACAATAAGTAATCCTTCAATGCGTCTCAATAAAAAAATTCATTAGAATTTCCTGATTTTATTCGTTTTAATTTCGTTATGCATACTATTTATGCATGATATGGTAGGTTATGATTCATGAGAGGATAATGAATGTAGAAACTAGACTTTAATTTTATTCAAATTAAGGTTAGGAGAGGGTTTAGGCGTTCTGTTTGCCTTGAGTTTTCTCGACTGCTAAAAATATTGTTAGAAATTCAAGGAAAAGACAATTACGGCTATCGTTCATTACAAGTCTACTGTACCTCTATGCACTTAAACACATAGTGCGCTGGAGGATAAATTTAGTGTAGTTGTCACCGCACATATTCAGTAATGACTAATGTGATATTGAAGATGTAAATTAAAAATCAGTAGCAACTTAAAAAAACCTTCGAGATTTTATGAAGAACAATAGAGATGAACCAAGAAGCAAATAATCATTTATCGTCAGCGTAGTCACTTACATTCTTAGTTTCCAGCCGTGGATCTATTGTCATACATGATATCGAAGCAATTACGTGTGGAAAACAATTAAAAAGAGTTTTCCTCGCTCAACACGTTCAAACATATCTGCAATAAAACGAGACGTCTTTCGGTAACTTGTCATCATTGCAGTTGAAAGCAACAATTTTATTTTGCTTTGCACCATCACAAATCTTTATACTGGTCGTCTATGGTATAGTCTTGTTCCATCTCATGTGGACATCTGCTTTCCATGACACCTCGTAGTATGTATGTGGCAACACTTGAAGTGAATCACTTCAGCATGTGAATAGTATTTTTATGCATGGTGCTAAGCATGTCATATGTATTGTTCCACATGATTGTTTAACATTCATTGTTTGTACTTGAACAAATTACCGGATATCTATCAAATCTAATTTTTAAAAACTAAACGTATTGTTGCCAAACTAAAGAATTCTGCTCTCCCTTCATCAATATACGTAAAATGACAATTGACCATTTTTCTGTGATATGACGCAAATCATTAATTAATGAAATTTATTCAGCCAATTAAATAACGCAAATATTATGGTTTGGGGCATTAAGACGATGGTGACGTCAACCAAAACGCCCTTAAACCCTCTCCTAACGTTAACATAGGAAGATATGACTGCAAGATCAATGAATATTTGGACAAAATTAAAGTCTAGTTTAATTTTGTCGAAATGTTTAGGCAGTTTAGCATAAGTGCATTGTTTGCCAGAGGTCGCTTCACAACTACAAGTTGACAAAATTGTCTTGAAAGAGTTAGTGAGAGGGAAATTTAGGAAACTTTTATGAGCCTATAATGACAGTACAGCATCTTCTTTTATTTGGGAAGCTCACCAATCCTTGCAAAGGCATCCCAATTAGTTGTTTGAGACGTTTACCTCAGTTTGAGAGCGCAGTGTCTTTCATTGATGAGGCGTTTTGTATTTTGATGTTTTATTTCATGCCAAAGCAATGGTATACACGTCGAAAGAAGTGTGTTCGATTTAAGCAAGCCGTTTGGAATAATGAAAGACAGCAAAATTCAGTTTTTTTGTGGATGCAGCCAATTACATTACACGTAAGTTAAACGTTTTCTTCGATAAAACATTCGTGTAGGAGGAAAGCAATACGCATGTTAAGTTAAAAAATCAGGGGAAAGTACCGCAAGCTTCGCAGAAAAACAAACCTACGGTAAGAGCCAAAAATAGTGAATTTAAGAAAAGACTTCTGATTTTACTTAGATCAAACAACAAAGGATTTAGGAGTCTTCAAGTGTACCTCCTTACAGTCCTTACAAAATGATGTGGAAACAAACAAACTCGGCATCTTTAGCTGCTGAAAAGCCAGATATATCATCGCTAATAGACTAAGTCTATTACAATCTCATTCAAAATCATCTGCTGCAGACTGAACACTGATATAAAGCAAATAACAAATTCCGAATATGTATTAATGCAATACGAAATTAAATCCTCTGACAGAATATAACTTCCAACACATACATAACTCAAACAAAAAACATTTCCATAGAATGTCTTTGAGAGAAACTATATCTTCATACACGTCCAATGGCATTCTGTTCATAGTGTCCAAATAGTTTATAAATCAGAGCTGAGAACATTTGACCTAAGAACTTTCAAGTGTGTATATGACTGCGAAACTTTTGGAACTGTCACCATATAGTTGCTTTATGCTGTTTATCTTCCATTATCTGTTTTATTTCTAAGTATCATCTTTTGCAATTCGTGAAGGAGCTAGAGTTTCACTAAGTTTCTTATATATGTATAACTTTATCCTGTATATTTTGTAGAACCCTGTTATTGGAGACTGTCTTCAATTCTATCTACTCAGATAATGTACTGCAAAACAGAAAATACAATGACACAACAATTTTTATTCATTAAATCGCACATAAAGTTACAACTAAGTAAATATTAGTAAAAATCAACAGAGAGCAATCACGACTATAGTTGTTCAATGTTGACAAAATTTACTAAAAAAATTCTACATAATAACATGACATAAATAGAAGAGTTCACTGCATTTAATGTTGCCTTTGTAAATATGTTTGAAGAATAAAAATTTTCGGTTTACTCACGAGAGAACAACAAGGCATACAAAATAAGGAGAACCTTTCACACTTAGTTACGTTATGTTATATTTCATGATACGTTAACAAAACCTTCGTGCTTGTGAAAAATATTGATATAATACATGAACATAGCTGATAATATTTTATGTATCTTTTCGGTTAGCATAGTGATTAAGAATTAAAACTTTAACGACAAACATATTTCTAAAGGTTTCCTTTTTCATACACCCTGTATGTAACTGAGAAAAACAACAATAATGTAAATATAAATTAAACATTTCAAAAAAATGACAACATCCATGTTTTAAACAAAATTGACGTAAATGTAAAAAGACAACATTAGCAAGCAATGAATGCACAAATTTACGTTAAAATACATTTCAACACACAAATAATTTGCAACTCAAACAATTATAATCATTTAGCGAACTTTTGCAGAAAAACTGCAACAAATTGGCTAAATTATAACTGCAATTTAACTTTCTTGACTGTAGGTAAGGGTAGTTCAAATTGATTATGGTTGATTAAAGGACCTACAGTCAATCCAAACTTGTTGCAACAATCTGGATATTTAAAGATAAGCGGCGAAAAGATTAAACGAACCATAGAACCTTAAGTACGAAGTGAAAAGACAACATTAACAAGATTAATGCAACAGTTTGGATCGTTGATTGATAATGTTGAGGTTTTATCCTCTTATAAAGATAACGATGAGGTTCTCTTCCATACAGAAGTTTAACTGCATCATTATTTTTATGTGATACGAAACGCAGAGACTAGCATGTCTTGCATCGCTCATAGTTGCTAATGCAAAACATTTAATCCCCAATCACGAAAATTTTTAACCGCGAGGAACGATATCGCTTATTACGACATGCGTTTTGAAAATTCCAAGTCGCTTAAAAACATTGACTGTTCTTTAATTCATGAAACACTAGCGACTGATGGAATTCTTATGCTTATGATGTTATTCATTTTAATGACTGCCCTTAAATGTGCAGTCATTGTAGTTTCAAGAATCTTAGATTTACTTTAATTTTATTGAAAATGGTAGCAATATAACAGCTACTCCTTGCTACGATTGTCTAAGGTTTTTAATATAGACAAATAAGTAGCACAATTTGTTTAACGAGAATGTTTACTTGGAAAAATAAAATGTTTTCACAGTGCAATATCACAACCAGTGAAGACATTTTATTTAAAATCTGATCATTTTTGTATCAGATAATAACGACGTTATGTGGTGGACACCACTTTTCATTTAAGTGAACATTTCTCACGTGATTTAAAATGTAACGAAAAAAACTTATTCTTCATATTTGACTTCATAAATCTGTGAAAAAAAACGCTTTCGTTTCTTCTTTTTCAACCAAAGATCGTGTTCACAGTAATGAAAAATCGGGGTCTTATATGGTTTTCTATTTAGAAAATAGAGCTCTGCTTATTTACAACTATTTACAAATAACGCACTTCCTACGATTTCAAAATGTAAGTGCAGACAGTGCAGTTTCTGTTGGTTTTACATGGTCGAAAAAACCAACAGTAAGTTTACACAATGAACAAAATTTATTTTTAAACCACACCGAAAGTTGTTTTAAAGTTTTGGTTTTCAAAATTAAAATAGATCATCCAAGTCTTAGACTTTTACAAATTCATCACACCACGTAAACACAACAAACTCGTAAGCTTTTGAAATGGATTTTCCCCACCTCACACATCAACTTATGAGAATGGAGGATTAATGTACAATAATTTACACAATGGCCTCATCAAATTTATAAACTGTACAATATGTCGATTTATGCAAACGTAACCTTGTTAAATTGAAGTGAAGAAAGTGTGACATAATTCAATGATTCCTCAAAAACAAGAGAAAAAACACACCAACCTCGAGTCAGCCATTTCATCTCATATGTACAATATAATCATTCTATGTATAAGAATTGAACACAAATAAAACCATGTTAGTTTTCATCTTGGACTTGTTGATACTCAGCGACGTATAAACTCTTGTCAATAGTTGATGGAATGGCTTTAATGTCGGTATTAAGTTGTTGTTCAATTCTAAAGAGATCAAACCGATCTTCATATGTTATAAGATTAACTGCCAAACCAAGATGACCATAACGACCGGAACGACCAATACGATGAAGATATGTTTCTGAAAGCTTGGGGAAATCAAAGTTGATGACGACATTCACTGATTGAATATCAATGCCACGAGTGAACAAATCTAAAGATGAAAAGCTTAAATAAACAGGCAATATAAATTCTTAACATTCAAAATTGAAATAAAACCATTCAAGTTGACAATCTTAATATCGTCACGGTAATTTTTACGTAAGCTCTTGTTTACTGGAACTTCTTCACCATAACGAGAAAATTTTACCTGAGCAAACCAAATTTCGACATTCTCCTTTACGAAAGTCATGAAATACGCGGTTGCGATGAGGTTGAGGCATTTTGGAATGAATATAAAAACATGAATATCCAAGATCTGTAATGCGTCTTGCTAATAACTCTACTCTTTGAACGGAATTGCAGAAAATTATGGATTGATTGATTTGTAACTAAAAGAAATACAATTAAATTAAACATTTCTTCAACTACACAGAGTTAAACATCCCTCATTAAAATGTAAAATGTACAAAAAAATGTAAGCACAATGACATTTAAGAAAGGATCAAATAAAAGGAATTCACAATACCTTTGAAAATAAAGTGTTCAAGCAGTGAACTTTTTGTTTTTCCTCAACAAATGCATAATACTACAAAAATAATAATGAAAACTTATTGAAAAAGTGTAAAAGTAAAGGAAATAAAAATAAAGAACAGATTATTTTACCTGTGTGATACCCTTTAAGGTTAGCTCATCCATTAAATTTATTTCATACGGTTTCTCAAGATACTTTTCCTTATAATTAGCACAATTTTATGTAAACGTTTGGAGAAAAATAAAGTATAAATGGAAACCAGTAATTTTTTTAAAATTGTACAACATTTCAATAAATTGCAGAAAATAAAAGGAACCTAACTTGAACAAAACTGTTATAACTAAACTTTGTTAATTCTAATTTGTTTAGTAGTTTTACCAAAAGTCATTGTCAACTAAGGGTATAAATTAAGTAAAAACTTTCACTTCACAAAATGTGAATAACTTGGATTTGTATAGTCATTTGGCTTCGACTTAGCTTTATTTTTGTCATATGATTTTCATAAACTTTGAAATGCCTCACTAAAATAAGTTCAATTTTTTCATGATTCTGAGGTGACTTTAGAATTAGGCAGAATTTAAATATTTACAAAAGCAAATGCAAAGCTGCTTTAACACTGTACTTTGTAGTACCATGCATGTTTAACCCATCCAAACATTATAAAATTTTAAAAAAGAGTTTGATCTAAGCCTACATAAGTACAATAGCATAACCATGCACATGTAAATTCTACGTATCTCAAATTAAAGCTAAACAAAAAATAAAAAATGAAGGAAATTACCTTAAATTCTTTGACTGTGACAGGGAAGGTGGCAGAAAACAATAAAATCTGTTTAGATGATGGCATGTGCTCAAATATTTGTTCCAAAACTCCTTTGAAATCCATAGACAAAAGTTTATCTGCCTACAATAAAGTTTATATGGTGGCTTACCAGAATTTACAAAACAGAATACTTTACTTTAATAGCTACTATAGTGTAGAAATTAATGTATAAAATACCTCATCCATGACAATCATTTGGCAATCTTTAGTTTTAGCCAACTCCTTTTTGATTAAATCACATATTCTTCCAGGTGTTGCAATTATCACATGCACTAAAATTGAACAAGAGAAAAAGTTTTGTATATTTGAATATTTGAGATATAATAATTTCTTTATTTTACCAGGATTGTAAAGCCTCATAATATCATCTTTTAAACTAGTCCCACCAGTTGTTACCATCACCTGTAAACCAGTTAAATGTTTGCCAAGTTCTTTACAAATCTGTGATGTTTGTAAAGCAAGTTCACGTGTTGGCACCAAAATCAATGCTACAGAAGTGTAAAAAACATTTATTCAGTTGGCTAAACAAATGATCTGAAATGTCATTTATATTGTTACAAGTATATCAGTATTTTAAACTTTTCAAAACACTAGTGTGACAATCAAGTACTGCTAAAATTACTTATGAAACTCATCAAAATTAGGAATTTTTTCAAGAAAATGCCACTAACCTTGAATGACATTTTTACCAACATCAACTTTTTCAAGTACTGGAATCAAGTATGCAGCTGTTTTTCCTGTTCCATTTTTGGCACGTGCTAAAACATCTCTACCTGCCAGAGCAATAGGAATACTTTCTTCTTGTATAGGTGAAGGTTTCTCAAAACCTTTCTCAAATATACCCATTAATAATTCACGTTTTAAGCAGTAATCTTCAAAATCATTTCCTTTTGTTGATGTCACATCCTACAAAAAGCCATAGATAAGTTTAAACCTTTTTTGTGACTTGGCAAAATATCAGGAAACGTTGATCACTACTTAATTACAAGCATAGTAACTTTTTACACCATTCTGTTAACACTAGGTAGAAATCATAATTAAAGATATGTGATCTGGTTTGAGCTATACTTATGTCTTAGTAAACTATATCACAATCTTTTTTTATCCACATTGTATTTAATTCATCAATCAATCTCTAAAATCTATGTTTCTCAGTACAAATTCAGACAACTTTTGTTAGTTTTTATGTAAGAACAAAATCAGGTTTGGTTTGGCAGTTACCTTGGGCAGTCAGTCATCTAAAAATAACCTAACTATACTAATGCTTAAAACAACATGATTCTGTTAACCCAACATAAAACGTTAGTGTGGGTTCTTATAAGTAATGCTTATGAAAGCATTGAAATAGGGATATTGTATTATAAACCAACAGAAATTTTTGTTTTTGAATATAAAACATGTATCTTGTTCACTTCAGTGCTGAACTTTGCCATCATTGTTTTTGAAGAGGTATTTTTTCTTTGCTCAGTAAACAATTGGTTTCAAACAACTGTTTTTCAAAAACATCACTCTTTACTTTTTTTGCCCAAATATCAGGGAACAAAGAATGTTTTCAAGCACTCAAAATCCTCTTTTACATAAGCTACAACGTTACAACAACATTTGACCGGTAACTAGAAAGAATAAATCCAAAAATACCAATAATAGGTTTGTCTATTAAGTAAGAATATTGAGATAATGATATAATGTTTATGGCTAACAAGGGTTTTTTTTTAAGTGCTAACAATTGTTACTTAAATTCTATCTTAATTAAACAGAACAGTAATCTATCCCCTTTTTCATTTTAGAGATATTAACACAAGGTTCTACTTGATGCAAAATGCTGCATATTTTATGGAAAAGATAAATTAAGTGAAATAATGCGAGTAATTCTTAACAGATGCATAAAGATATTTACTCTATTGATTTGAATTTTCCACTTGTTTGTTGGTCTTCCAAAAGCATTTACAAGATGTTTTTTATCAAGTCTATTATCTGGACAGAATAAATAAATATTTTTACATGTTTTTCACTGGCAGTATAATCTAGACATTAAAATATCACATGATCTTAAAAATTTAAAGAGATGCAAACAAAAGTATAAGAAAGACCATTGTTATTTTATATTCTCTTCAATAAAAAATCGCTTTGTTGCATTTGCACTTTAAGCAGCAAAGATGAAATATGAAACAGAGAAAAGACAAAACACATACATAAAATTAGATAAAAACTACAACCATATTTTTATAGTACGTCATAACCTTGATGGAAAGGAAACAGGAAATATTAAAGATCTGCAAAAATCATTTAACCGAAGTAAAAACTTACACAATTTCAATTGTTAAATCTTACAACATCAAAATAATAAACAAATATAAAAACAAACAATTTGAATTACAAAAACATCGTCAAATACGACGGCTGTCTCGTTCAGTAGATTGTTATTTGCTTACTGTAGTTTTCACCCGTCTATCTTTAGCTGGCAAGTTTAGTTTAGTTTTCCACCCATCTCCACCATCTCTAAAAAATGAATTTATTTCAACTTTAAAATGATATCGCAAACCATTTAAAAATGAAATATAAGAGCAGTACCTTATATTTGTCTGATTCGACATATTTTCAGTCGTCGCAGTAGCCATATTAATGTTACCAAACTCTCTTAAAGTCAATAAACAAACTCAGTTTTATTTAGACTTAAAATACGCTCTTTTTCCTGCGATGTACCCCAGGATTAAAGAAAAATTTATGGATTGAAATTCGCAGCGACGTTATCGTTTTGAAGTGAACGATTATCTCCTTCTGACTCCAGCGCGCGGGTTGACGTGGGAATATTTTAATCGCGACAGGTGTATGCAGGTGATAAGGGTGGGGTGTCCACATCATTGGTGCACATATACTATGACATATATCTAAGTTTTTTAAGCACTTATCTAAATGTCCTTATAAGGGAGGGTTGAGAAGAGCAATTTGTGACGGGAAAGATGGTAAAATTGGGAGAGGCTAGTTTGAGAAGGAAAGATTTTTCTCTTCATCCAGTGTAAACTATTAATTCATTGCAACATATTAGAGTATTTAAACTATTTTCAGTAATTTTCAATGCTTAAGTAGGACTGAAAAATGAAAATATGAACATATAAGAAGCCGCAAAAAACCTAAAATTCAAACAATGAAAAAAATTGAAAAATAAAGATTATTGAAAAGTAGGAAAATTATTTTTATTTAGCCCCAAGAATTCTACTGAGATCAAAAAGTGCTTGTACTAAAATTTCAACATATTGATCTATTTGCATGGCCAGATTAAACTTCACTAAAATTCTTTGCTAGTGATAACTAATTGTGATATGATGGAAAAATAAATACTGAAGTATTTGGGGATATAGAGGGCATATTTGGCATTCTTGAATCAAAAATTGTGTATTTTATAGTATGTACAAGATTAATAGAAAAATATATTTTAGGCAACCTAAACATTTAAGAACACTGACTCTTATTCCATATTCTTTTCTTGTCTATGTCATGTATTAATGCTTAATGACATCTGAGGAAATAACTGCACGAACATTTGACTGTGGCTACCAAATTGTGGAATAATTATGTACATTACACCATAGAAGCAGGGTGCATCTTCATCATTTTCTCAGTTCGAACATAGGACAGCTCACAATTACTTGTAGTTTCAACTGGTGTAACATCAGCAACACAACTGTCTTCAGTACGTGGAAGAGCTAAATAAAGAACAACATAATTAGAATTTACAAGTGGTTGTTTTTGAAATATCAACTAGCTGAACAAAATAAGACATAAATTAACCTTGATTTTCTTGACTTCTTTCTATGCGACTCTCATGTGACAAGCCATCATTGAGAACACCAGAGTCAACATCATTTGGTGTAATTGAAAAAGTTTCTTGGTAATCTTCATCCACAGAATGTAACTAAACATGACAGAACATAAAATATTGTGAATTAGAGAACAAAACAGATCATTATATTTATAAATTACAACAAATATAATAAAACATCATAACATTTGATCAAAGTAAATTGAGTCATAAAATAATCTCACCATTCCCAATTGTTTCAAAATATTTGTTTTGCACATTGGACATGTTCTATGTTCAATTAACCATGGATCAACACAATGCTTGTGAAACTCATGACTACAAAAAATTTTTTAAAGTGTATAGGACAATTCTGGAAAAGAAACATTTGATTTGAGACATAAGAATTGCATATACCTGCAAGGTAAGGTTCGAAGGGTATCACCATATTTATACTCCTCCAAACAGACAGCACAAGACTTGTCATTACCATCCTCTTCATCCTGTAAAACAGAAAATGTGGATACTTGAAGTTGCCAAAAATTCATATGAACAGCATATTGACCAACCTTTTTACTGATAGTTCTTGAGCTTAACTTTGCTATAGCCTTCTTTGCTGCAGATGTGAGTCGTCTCTATGAAATCATGACACAAAATGAATATAAAAAACTTTCACCAACTTCCATACAGATTATTTAGAGCTACACAGTCAAAGTTTAGAAGATAAGAAGATTACAGTTTGTGTACACCAATTATTTAGATGCTGTTTTAATATTCTTTCAAGGAATTTTTTAAATACAAAATGGTTAAAAATTGTTGGATTCATCTAATATCTTGCAACACAATAATTAACCTTCTGTTGGTTACTAAAAAACCTGTTTTATATAAATCAATCATAACTTACTTCAGATTTATCCCTGGCATATAAGAATCTGAATCTTTGTATGTAGTAAAAAACAAGCCAAGCAAGGGAAATCACCATAAGAACAATAAATGAGATAGAAACAAATAAAACTGAGATAGTATTTCTTTGCTTTCCTTCGATAATTCGGTCAAAAGAAATCTTCACATGAACATCGGATCTATTCATTGCCATCCTTAATTCATTTCCTCGTTCAAATGTAATGCTAACAGCAACAATAGTTGTTTCTCCAAGGAGCATTCCAAAAGTATTCCCAGGTTTTTCACCATAAATTATAACGCCACTAGCGTTATGATTAATGGCTTTTTCGATCTTTTTAGCAAATCGACAGCTTCCTCTTTGGATCAAAGCAATCCACGGACGTTTTGGGACAGGAAAGTCAAACTTTTTACAACCATAGCCATGCGCATACATAAGATATCCCTTAACCATTTTGTAAGAGCTACCAGATCCATAAAATGCTTCTATTTCCCGTGAATTACAACGACGTACATGATCCTGTGTCTCACAAGCAGAAACATTCACACATGCTACATAAGTGTCAGACTCTCTTTTCTCGCTATACAAAGCCATAACGCCTTCTAACATTATTTCAATTACAAGAAGATAAAACCAAAAATGGCAAAATAATTTCGTAAAAAAGAACAAAGCCATTGCTAAATTCCTTCTCTATAACATAGGTCCGTTCTGTCTTTACTAAGGATATATTAAATTATCCATCATGACACGTGATCAAACGTCATGACGCATTACACCCTCTAGGATATCATACTACGTCATTTCAGTTTGATATACCAACAACTGGCCTACTTTATCCTGTAGAAGCTTTGGAAATTTGGAAAACAAACAAAAAGCTATTGAAATTTGTTTGAAATTTGGATATGAGTAAATAAATATCTCTATGTAGGAAAAGACTAGAAAATCGCAAATAGACGCTTATTTATTTTACATTAAATACGTTATTTCAATTTGAATTACATCACTCATTTAAAATTCTAGAAAAGCATTAATAAATCGACATCAACAAACATCAATATGAGGTAGCTGAAACATTCATTTTTTTTTAATTGTTGTAAATATAACATCTTTGATTTTAAAACTATAGCTATTGACACAAGTTTTTTTGACAATGAAGGCTTACCACTAGGCAACACCTTTTACTGTCCATTTTACTGTTCATTATTAAATAAAGAAAAAAACAGATATTAGTAAGAATAGTTTAACTTGGAATTAAAACTGATTCCAAGTTCTTAAATCTACCGTCTTGTAAGCTACCATCAATAGAAATGTCATTATGTGAATATAATGTCATGTTTGAAGTAATCATTATTGAATGATTTACATCGTCAGCTTTTTTCCAGGATATTCGACTATTTTTATCATGATCTTTGCTGTGATAACGAGACCAGGATGGTAGAAAACGATTGATGGTTTTATAGCAAGTATTTTGATGATTTGAACAAGTTTTATGTTTGTTTCTTTGTAGATCATTTTCCTCACCATGTACGAAGCATTTTTGTGTAGTTATGAGAGACTCAGCAGCTGCCATAGTTAAACAAAGTGGTTTTTCTTCATTTATTATCTCATTGCCTTCAATTGTTGTGGGAATGGTATTCCGTTGACTTTGTTCGTAGTCGCAAGTATTGTCAACATTCCAACGTTTGGTATTTCCCATAGGCAATAATTGTCTTCTACCAAAAGGTTTTGTCAAACAGTTCCGATTAACAAATTTTGCTGGACTAAAATTATGTTTATTCCATTTTCGTGGAGTATTCGGTAAAAAAGCTCGATCGAAATGGTGTGAAGAAATTGCTCGCTTTTTTATCATGTTGATTTCCTTCTCTAAAGTTTTCATGGTCAAACATTGTTGATTGTTGATATATTCCAGTTTAGCAGACAATACTTTCTCTTCTGTTGCATTTTGTTTTTTAACCAATTCGGAGCTGTTTTGATTTTCTTGATATTTCTTGGCAAAAGCATACAAGCTCAAATCTTCGCCACGCTTTAAGCGTAGAGTCATTGCTGAAACGAATAAAAACAGGCTTTGATTTTATTGGCAATCAGCAATCTCCCATTTTCCGATCACATATGCTTTACAATCCACACATTCAGGTGCAGCAAGATGCAAGCCCATAAATTTTTATCTTGTCTTTTAAATGCTGCAGTAAAACTTGAATTGTTTCATTTGTCTGAACTTAAATAATCAGAAAAGAATAAAGTCAAATAAAAAATGAATTCAACTATATCAATGAAATACCATACTTCAAGGTCAAGTGGTAACTTTATCCCTTTTTTACGTATTAACTTATTGAAATGGAGTGTCTCAGTGCGATATCAGACTATATAAGGTATCAAGCATTACAGCTTGAAGTTTACTTAGCAATGCACGGTTGATTGTACAAACTCCTGTACTAAATTAGTTGATGTCCAAGCCAAACTTTAACATGCAATAATCTACAAAAATCAGAAAAAAATTGAAAAACGACAACTACATTACCCAGCCAAGCATCGAAATCACCATATCAAACTATTCATGAACCAAGTAATGTTCTCTGAGTGTTGTAATTTCGTTGCAGTCGTTTATACACAATCAGTTTTATTACACAGTCATTGACCGTTGTTTATCGGATTGAGATGGTGATCATGGAGTAAAAATTTAGAAAATATTGCAGACGAAATTGAGGCAAAATGTAAGAATGGAATTGAAGATTTCGAAAAGTTAATCCCTCCAAATAGCAAGAAAAATTTATACAAAATCATTATACTACTAGAATATACTAATTTTTCAAATACTTTTTCCAAGCCGGAGGTGTGTCAAGTGCTTTCTTTCTTTCCCATTAACTACAACCTTCGCTTACGGTTCTTTCGCAGGGAAAAAATCATTGCCATCAGCTAAAATTTGTTTCATCATCATCCAGAATTATATCTTTCCATTATCGATCTGGATGATTTTCTTTTTGCTGGAAAAACGTTTTGAAAAACTGACTGTAACATTTGCAATGCTTCCAAATTTCCGAAACTTCAATCAAAGATCTTCAAACACAGTGGTCAAAACTCATCTTTAACTCAGTGACTAAGTTTGATTGAAAAATCAATAATTTTGCTGCATGTAGATGGTTTTCACTTGGTAACATGGCATTAACTGGATTCTTCATACAGATGCAGAACCTTGGTAGACTCTGAAGATGACTAACGCTAAGGTCATTGAAATGTCAGTCAACATCAACAACAGTCCTTCTCAGGACTCTTCTAACCTGGACGATCTACATCTACAAACATGTAATAAACAATCTACAAACAATGATTTTCAATCATTTTATTTCAATATGTTTCAGTCCATTGATACAACTGTAGTTTTTTCTGAGACATAAATACCATCAAGGAACTTGCGAATGTCTTTATTTTTCACTTTTGTTGACTGTTGGATCAAAGCAGCTACAAAAAAGAACTTTATTAAATACACTAAACACTTGACTGTCACCAAAAATATACGAGAAAAAATTTGAAGATTTTCAACTTCAACAAAATGGTTTCTTACAATATTGACAAGGAAAATATATGTCTGTACGTGTACCTGAGTTGGAAACAAGTTCAATGTCATTTCCTTCCAAAATGATTTCATCTTTGGTGCTAGAATTAACACACGTTACACCGGGTCGCAACTGAACCTTCCGAATGTACTTTTCACCGAGAAAGTTCCGAATCTCAACAAGATTTCCATCATTGGTGCAAGTTATATTGATTGGAAAATGAGCATAAACTGCACGCATCTTATATCGAAATCCCTGACAAGAAAGAAAATGAACTTTAACATATTTTGGATTGACAGATTTGAGTATTTCTAATAATCCTGAACAAAATGTTCACACATATAACAGCACATGCCACTTTCACATTTTCATCCCACCATTTAATTTAATATTATGTAAATAGCTATTATATATATATATATCCCTCAATACTTGTAATTTAATACTATCTGATGATGTCTTGAGAGTCAAGACGAAATGTTACGCTTCTAAATAATTATTTCTTTTTATATGTCATTTTTGTATTGAATGGCTCTTTTAAAAGCACTTTGCTGGGCTTAAATATTTATATTAAGAATTCGCTTCCTGTCCGGTATATCCCTGGTCACATTAAAATAAGTAAAAATTTTCCTCATGTGTTAACTTACGTAAGTAACACCTTTAAACATGTTTTCTATATGACTACATATGGTACGGACACATGCTAATTCCTTCCTTGATGCAAACCAAACATCAACTTTTAGTTTCTTTTTAGACAAAAGCCGTAATTCCAAACGAAGATGTTTAAATGTTCTTTTTAATGTTCCTCGAGCTCCTTTAACTGTTACTGTTCTACTCTTGACATGAACATCAACTAAAATTGACAAGCAAACAAAATTTTGTTAAAACTATGAGGGAGAGTACTTTAAAAGCTAGAAGACATGTAGACCACTTTTCATAATTTGACAAACTAAATTTAAGACTGTTTTTCTCACTTATTCTAACCCTAGCAGTACTTGTTTGTAAGCAGTACTGCCAGTACACAGAGAAATATGACAGACTTGGAGAAGAGAAGAATATGTTTATTGAAGAGAAATAAGCACAAAAAACCTGAGTATTATCATTTCATTTGCCTTTACATTGTATTACATATTCCATCGTTAGAATTTGTGTGAGTTAACTTGCAAAACCAAAAAAAAAATGTGAATCATACGAAAATTCTATTTTGCCTTGAATTTCAATAACGTACCATTTTCTGGAATGATAACTTCTCTGGATGCCAAAATTGTCTTCATGGCTGTAATTTCAAAACAAAAAATAATTCATAAAAATTACACATAAAATTCATCGAAACAGAAGATACAGATGAAATCAAATAATTTAGTTTAACGGAAGGCTCTTTCCATAATAATTCTAAAGGAACATATGTGAAAATCATCAAACAAAAAAACAAGTCAATAAAGCACAACGCGATGTATGATTCTTTATAAAACTTAAGGATTGCACAAACATCAGCAAGAACATTTTACCTGATCAATCGTGATCATAAGGAAAAGAGTAAGCATTATATGTAACCAGGCCTTTGTTCTCTACTACTAAAGCACATTATCCCATCATGTACAAACATATCCTATTTCATACATTAGAATGATTAGAAATATGACCAGAATAACCATTCGATACCTAAATCAAAATGAGTTATGCCACGTAAAGCAATAAAGTGTGTATTTGACGGTGCAAGATAGAATTTTTTCGCCAAAATTTTGTTTTTGTGGAACTTGTCGACTACATATTTTTGTTAACACCAATGTTCACTACTGTTCAAAGATATCCAATTATATCCATATGATTGATACAATTACATTTTTGTATAAAAGGCAACAACACGAAGTAAACTGTGGAAAAGTAACTTGATCTGTTAACAACGGTTATATTATTTTTCTAAGTTAATATTGATTTTGCTGAAAACTGGATGTGGTATACATAATGACTTTGGCTCGCTGGTGAATTCACGTTTTTGGTTTCTTCGCTGTTCTCGTTTTGTTAAAACTAAAGGAAACGAATTTGGTAGAAATTGTTTTAAAAAAAATGCACGATGGAACAAAGAGTATTCCTAAAATATTTGCAAATATATTTATATCGTTTATTGGTGCGGGAGTCTTAGGAGTTCCTTATGCATTTAAAGAGGTTTGTATAACATGACTATAGACACTTAAGATGACAATACTTCAAGGCATCTTCTTTTTTGTTAGAAAGCGCAAAAACATTCTTCTTTTGAAAAAAATTATAATCAATTTCAACTAATATTAAATATGATTTCTAAATAATATAGATGACTTTGTTTATTAAAGCATGATTACAATTACAACGTAAAAATAAAGTGTTAAGATGTAACTATATTTCTTACTAAAACTTAATCTTTCTCTTTTTACCATCAGGCAGGAATTATTGAAGGAACTGTAATACTGGCTTTTACTGGTTTTATTAGGTTTGTTTGTATTTTAGTATTTTCTTAGTCTGGACATTTTTTTATTGAGTTTAACAAAAGTTTTATGATTTAAATTTAATCTAGCACGCAAGCAATGTTGCTTTTGATTGATTGTAAATATAAAATAATAATGAAACATGCACAGTATGAAAAACTTCTTCCTGTTCCTGATGAAAAACCAGCTATAAAAAGTAATGAAAATTCACCTGACAAAGAAGACAAACAATTAAAACAAAAGGTGTGTTACTTTTTTATATAAATTCATAAATTTATTAAAGAATACTTGAGCAAAATATTTCCATCTATTTATAGGTTGGAGTAAATCATCATGAGCTTGAGTTTGGTGATCTAGGTAACTTTTTTTATTTTGTGTATGACACCAGTTTATTAGATGTATATATTTTATGGTTAACATTGTTTTGACAAGTTATGTAATTTGGTGGTTCATAGTAAAACATTAGTTTCTATATTAATGTGCTATTCTTGGCCTTTGCATAGATGTGGAAAATTTTTATTAGTTGTTTTTTCATGAAGATTTTGCCTTATAATTAACACAAATCTAGTTTATCTTGTCTCATATAGTTTAATCGATAAATTGTTTTTAGGAAATTACGCATTAGGGAAATGTGGAAATGTTTTAGTAGATGGTCTTGTTGTCTTTTCTCAAATTGGTAAAATTTTTACCTTCTCTGATTGTTTTAAAGTCAACAAAGTTTTTGTACAAATTTTTAACTTCCATATGATTTTCTTCTCTATTAGGATTTTGTTGTGGATATTTGATATTTATTTCTGAGAATTTAGTAGATTTTATGCCAAAGTATTCTCGGTAAGACAAAACATGAATAATTGACTGATGTTATGACATATTGATCTGTTGTTTTTTTCTTGTTATGTAGAAATCAATATTTGCTGTTTATGCTGTTACCATTGATAATCCTTGCAAATATTCGTCATTTGAAAAATCTTAGTATTTTCAGGTAGTGATTGCATTAATATTAAATTTTAATATTATAAACTTAGTCACTTTTATTTCTCTAAAAACAGTGAAGTGTAAAACAGTTCTTTTTTACTATCGCTGGTATTTTGTTACTTGGGAATATGGGGAAATCAATTTTATATCCAGATCGTTATTGAAAGAATTTCCAATACATCTTGCAGTTTAAACAAACAATATCTGATAAGATTTTGTCATTTGTTTGATAAGTTATGTCAGTCTTGTCTGAGCTGATTTCATGGCCATTCGCTCAATAATATGTATGATACAATGTACATACTTTTTCTGTTATCCTCTATTTTCCCCCCTCCTAGTTTGTTGAATCATTTGAATTTCACTAAATAGGGTGTTCTTGTCATTTCAGCTTATTTGCGGATTTTGCAAACATATTTGCATACTGTGTGGTATTTTGGTTTGATTTTGAACATTTTGAAAAAGTTCGGTTAGTGTCAACTTTTTCCATGTAATATTGATTAATTGTATCGAAATTTAGACTTGTCACCATTTTTTACGAATATTTTATGATTTTCAAGAAACAATGTTCACAAATATTCATTTGAAGGCTTACCATTTTTTATTGGTATATCCGTCTATTGTTATGAGGTATGAATGATATTTTGCTTAAGCCCAATTCACACAACATAAACTAACCTTGGTTCAACCCAGGCTCAAATAAACCCAGGTTATTTTGTTCCATGTGTAACCCTGGTTTAACCTGGTTTTAATTCAACCTACCTCTTGAAAAAGTCTAAGTTAAACAAGGTTAAACCTGGGTCAGTGGTTTTTATTTGTCAAAAAATTAGCTTGAGATAATTTGAACTTGAACCCATGTTAGTTTGTCGTGTGAATTGGGCATAAGACTTAAACTTTTCATATGAGCTCTTTACAAGTATTGGTGAATATAGTCTTTGTTACCTTTAGGGTGCTGGAATGATCCTTTCTTTGGAAGCATCAGTTGATAAGGACCATCGTGGAAAATTTAATGGGTTTGTGAACAGATTGTAGGAAGGCGTTGTATATGCAATATAATCACGTCATTTATTGATGCTATCAAGACAACGGTTCTTGTAAAATATAATTTAGTTTTTCTTGAAAAAAATATTCATTTAATTTGTAGATTATTCAAACTGGTCATGTTTGTCATCACAACCCTCTATATAACATTCGGTGTATGTGGATATTTGGTAAAATATTTTGTTCCTGTCAAAAAAATTGACTTTTTCGATAATACAATACAATACTATTTCTTTTTTCAGTCATTTGGTGAAAATACTAAAAACATAATTACGTTGAACCTACCAAATGGTGAGCAACAATTATGAAAAATAACATATTTTGTTAAAGTTATGTTTATATAACTTAAAGTAATTAGCCAGTAAGTTTATTATTGTTATGAAAATTCATTTTTTTTTTACATTTCATTCATACAGTACTTTATACTTCTCATTTTTATGTCTAGGGAAATTTCCTGTGATTGTAAAAAGCTGTTTGATGTTTTCTTTATTTTTTACATATCCAAGTATGTTTTATAAATTATATACAAGAGAATTAACAAAAAGTCTTGAAATTTCAGTGATCATGTGTAAACTCCTTTGCAGTAATGATGTTTCCCGTGTCAAGAATATTAGAAATGCGACTCTTTAAAAATGCAAATGAAATGGATTATTATAAATGTGTAAGATTCTCTCGTATTGAAGTATTTATTATGAGTTGGCTTTACCATATATTCTTTATAAATAAAACATAATATCATGTTGAGATACTTATGGTTAAATTTTTCATTTTTCTTATGTAGATGATAATTCGTAGCAGTTTAGTACTAATAACGTTGGCTATAGTCGTATGTATTCCAAGCTTTTCAACGTTAATGGCGCTCATCGGTTCTACGTGTTGTATACTATTAGCGTTTATATTACCTGCATCGTTTCACTTGCAAGTTTTTAAAGGGTAAAAAATATATTTTTGTACAAGCTCAAATATGTTTTACTTCTACTTTGATCCTCTTTTTGTTTATACGACATTGCATATTTTGTTTTTAGGGAACTAAATTTATGTCAAAGAATGTTTGATTATTTGCTCATATTTTTGGGAGTTGTGACGTAAGTTTCGGTTTAAAACGCTTTTTTCGTTATCATGAGGTAGTAAAAATAGTGAAATACCTTATCCATACCTGAGGCCACAATCTTCAACGTACACTTCACCTTCCCAGGCACTTCATTTCCATAGATCTTTTTCTTATATTTTTTTTCAGAGGATGTGTGGGAACTCGAGATGCTGTTTCCAGACTTTGGCACGAAAATCTTGAAGCTCAACCTTAATAATCACTGTTCAAAATATATTCAGCAATTTTCTACTGGTGATTTTATAGGAGATATTTAAAATTTAGATTGAAAAAAGTTAACACATTCTATTTTAAGAGCAATTCTATTTTCACGCGGAAATATTATGTGATATTGAAAATAAGTTGATATTATCAGTCCATAAAGTTGTGGTTTGATAGTAAAGTAAGAATTTATTTTATTTAGAATTTTGTATGATGAATCTCACAATTAGTTGTACGTGTATCTTTGGAAGGGATGTATAAAATACGCATACTTTGAAAACACATATAGACCAAATGAAATGTCAATACAAATATTGTCAACAACTACAGTGTGTAGTTGAAATATATATAAATATACAAGAATTATGCAAGTTGAACATTGAGTATTTTATCATTGTTCTGTAATGTTTCAATATCTGCTAATTAATACTGTTTATAGTAACGACTTACCGACATATATTTGTAAAAGGAGCCTGAAAAGTTGGTTAATAAATTTTAAAATATTTTTCATTTGGTTACATAATTTTTCTCTGTGACACCCAATTCACCTTCACATTATAAACAAATGTAGTAGAAGCTTAAACCAACGTATTGCTCTATAATTTAAAAAGCTATAACTCCATAAGTGACGTAGTCACTATACAACTTTGAGTCATATTCATCACATCTTATATCACTGCTCAAGCTATAAAATTAACAATAACTTAAAACATTTTTGAGAGTCAAAAACCGATGTTGACGATTAACAATGTTAACGAAAACAAAATTGAGAAAGTTCCATCACGCGCGCGGCTACAACAGTAATTATTACACAAAATTTGTATTATAGTAAGGAATTACTAGTTTTGATAAGAGAAACTGCAGTTTAGATTAGAGCATTGCAACCAATTCAATAACAACTGCATCTTGTAATATAAAGAAACAGGACTTTATCACTATGAAAAGTGAAAATACATTTGTCACAAAGATTGAATGTAACTGATCTGTTGGTGTCATAATCATGCTAGGTTTTTTGCATGTACTACATACCATCTTTCTAGGTTTGTTCATTTTATAAACTTGCTGTTTTTCTGCAGACCGATTACTTCTTAATAACGTTTACGTTTTACAATTTCTGGTCGCCAATTTATTGGATGGCTTTCTTCGGTCTAAAAAAATTCAAAATGAAATGTAATGAAGCAACAAACAACAAAAATGACTTTTCGTACTTATATGTCAAAAAAAACTATCTTACAGCTGAATCATCTTCCTTATAAATCTTCACAGTTTTGTCAGCTTCACAAGTAATCAATCGACTCTGACTTTGATCAAAAGTCATGGCAAATACACCAGCCTCGCTATCGAGTGAGCCCGGTTGAACGGTTGCTTGAAATCGTTGGAAATTATAACCAGTTTTCCAGTCCCAGAAATACATCGTACCATTATCACCTAAGAGAAAACAAGAACACTTTAATTTAAAATTTAGGCATTGCTTGTTTTTAAAGAGCATGCACTAAAAAGGAAATAATCTTTTTAACTTTGAGAAAGTCAAAATATTACAAGCATAAAAATAGCACGAACGAAGAGCCTAGACAGTTAATTGAATAATACGATTAATTACCTCCTGTAACAAGGACATTATCAGAGTTGACAGTCATACAGTTGATAATCGAATTATGTCCAGGAAGGTTTTGAAGAAAATTACCATCTGGAAACTTCCATTGTTTGATATTATCAGGAGATGCAGAGGCAAACGCATATCTAATAATGAACAATTTCAATAGTTTAACAAAGAAATTTTAACACAGGATATAGTTCTATAGCTTCTATAAACACAACATCGACTTATAACCTAAAGAAGAACTCACTGTGTCGGATGCAATGTCATCGCTCGTATGCTTTTCTTATGATTTGTCAAAGTCGCTTTAGTTTTTCCTGCAGCTAAATCCCACAAACGGATGGTACAGTCGTGACTTCCTGTGATCACCTAACAAACACACAATCATGTGATTAATGAATAACTATTACAAACAAATATCATTCTCAGAAGATATTAGGTGATATTATGATTTAAATTCGCCTACAAAGTGTTTACATAAATTGAGTCATTTTACTATTCTCTCATACATGGTGGCAAATGGTGGAAACTAAGGAGATTGTTGAGGATTTCTTTTCAAAACCAGGATGTCTACATATTTGCATTTAATGTGTGAGAAGGATAAAAGTAGGATATTAGTGTGTGAGAAGGATAAAAGTAGGATATTAGTGTGAGAAGGATAAAAGTAGGATATTAGTGTATGAGAAGGATAAAAGTAGGATATTAGTGTATGAGAAGAATAAAAGTAGGATATTAGTGTATGAGAAGGATAGTAGGATATTAGTGAAGGATAAAAGTAGGATATTAGTGTATGAGAAGGATAAAAGTAGGATATTAGTGTATGAGAAGGATAAAAGTAGGATATTAGTGTATGAGAAGGATAAAAGTAGGATATTAGTGTATGAGAAGGATAAAAGTAGGATATTAGTGTATGAGTAAGATAAAGTAAGATGAAATGAAAACCAAACACTGGGATGAACCTCACTTCGTTTAAAAGAAAGCATTTCAATCTTTTTGGAAATAAAATGCAAACTGTATTTGATGATTTTCAGATTATTTCAGTTTAGAGTATAAACCATGGCAGGCAGATGAAATGGAGGTTTGTGAAAAGTGAATGTTTGGCAGTTGAGCATGGAATCAAAAGCATTATGTATCTCCATATGATTACGTAGCTCTTACCTGAGGCTCAGCGGCTTGAGTCCGTACAACAGCAACAGTGTTCGTATGTCCAGCAAATGTATGAATACATGCTTTAGTGCGCATGTCCCAAACCTACTAGAAACAACGATGAATAAATTTCTCGAAAAAGTCACGTGCTCAAATACAACATTTGATTGGTTAAACACGTCGCTCGCAAACCCATTATTTAGGTCTACCAACAATATGTTGCAATATTGCATCACATTTAAAGAATCTATCAAGTATATTTAATCTACTGCTAATGACATAAATAGTAAAAAAAACATCAATATTCGCAATTATCATCGTTTTATAGTTATGAAAATATTCGTTGATTCCCGCATTTAATGTTTATAGATCCACTTTAGAATTTGCAATCAAATTTTATTGTAAAGTTATGTTCACGTTTAAAAATTTCAATAAGGAAATAATGATTCATGTAGTGGTCTTTTAAAACAAGCTAAAGAAACAGAAAATGTAATATACCCTAGCTGTTGAATCACGACCACAAGTAACTAAAACGTCAATTGTAGGATGAAGTGAAATATCATGAACAGCACTTAAATGTCCATGATAATGACGAATAACCTGAATAAGAAAAAAAATTAAAAACGTAGTGGTATTTAATTTTAATGTCTTCATATAATGACATTAAAAATTTTATGTTATAATTAACTCACCTTATTATACTCAAGATCCCAACATTTCACTTGTTTATCTTCACCACAAGAGAAAAGATACGGATGGCGTGGACTTACTACTAATCCACGCACTGTACTAATGTGACCTGTCAATGAAAGTTTAAGTCGACCGCTGGCCAAGTCCCAAATCTAAAAAACCAATTATAATATTGATCAAGTAATTCATAATTGGACAATTTAGAAAAATGCTAAAAATCAAAACTGCATGTAGCACTGCTTTTAAACACCTGCTTGAGTAAAATAATTCCGTATGTTTAGTAACAATACGTTTCTAAAATTACATTTTTACATACCTTGATTGTTCTATCAGCCGATCCTGTAGCAAACCATTTGTTTGCAGGCTCAACTGCTACTGATCTAACCCATCCTGTATGACCACTGATAACCTGGTAAAACACATAAAACTTTCTCTTATTGACCAACATTACATTTTTACGTCAAGTTAAAATTCATGGCCATGCTTCATCATAATTACCATTTTTTTAGGACCTGGTGTGGTGTTGCAGTTGTGACAGACTTACGTCTTTTGTTATGACAGACTATTGCTGAGCAAAATACAATCCAAAGTCTGATATTTGTAAATGCGATCAAACATCAGCTTAATTCTCACTGGGCATGAATGAATGTATGAAAGTGTGCTGACACTACCTCACCATTCATACCACCCACCCCCTCCTTCACAATTCACATCACTCACCTCCACACCATCTCATCATTCATACCACCCACCTCCATACCATCTCACCATTCACACCACCCACCTTCACACTATCTCATCATTCACACCACCCACCTCCACACCATCTCATCATTCATACCACCCACCTCAACACCATCTCACTATTGACACCACCCACCTTCACCATTTAGACCACTCACCTCCACATCACCTCACCATTCACACTATCCACCTCCACACTACCTCACCATTCAAACCACCCACCTCACCATTCACACAACTCACCTCCGCAACACCTCCTTCACCATTTCCCAAAGAAAGTTCTAAAATGTCACATACCCTCATTAATTTCCATGGGGCATGCCAATCTGGTTTTGGCATAGTTAGAGCTCGTTTCTGTACAATTGCATTGGAAGACATTTTTTCTGCAGGAACCAAAGACTTACTAGGACCTGTCAATCTTTCACTACCACCGGATAGTAATGCATGTTTCCTGATATCGGAGATACTTGAACTTTGTTTATTTCCTTCAATTCTAAAACAGACCATAAAAAAATTATTTATAAAGAAATTAAACACATTTATTAGATGAACTTTAGCATAAAAAACTACTATATAATACTAATAATAGTTAAGTTGCAGTTTGTTTGTATTATCTAAGGACATCCAAGGTACAAACAAATCTTTACAAAAATGGTTCTGGAAACAGAGTGTTAATAAAATATGCATAATGAACAACTTACTGTGTTTTACTAGGTGGTAATGTCTTCAAAATATGTTGAATAGTCGCTGGTGATGGTTGTTGAGATTTCACAGCATTTTGTTCATTGAGAGATGTTCCTTTTGATAAAAACCATTCAAATAACTATCTAATACTGCACAAAAGTTGTCATTCGTCAAGTTACATAAATAAATTTTGATATTTTAAAGTAGAACATTTTTCATCTGTAGCTTTTAACTGTTGTTGCCTTTCCAGTTTTCTCTGAATGTTTTTGTACAAAGTTTTACCTGGAATTGATGGATAAGGATGAACTCCTAAAACTACTGTTTGTTTATCATTTTCATCTAAATGAAAATACAAATTATTAAAGATTATGCATACTGTGAATAAATTCAAGTTATTTAAGAAACATAATCTTAAGATAAGAATCATCATAACTACGAAAGAAAAATACCATTGCCAAATTCAGTTGTTTTGATTTCTTCATTAGAAAATGGTACAGTTGATTCTTTATTGATAGGGACATCTTTAACAGCATTATACTCATCTCTTATTTTACATTGAATCCTTAATTTATCACTAAAAATTGAAAGGCAGTAACCTGCAAATCAGCAATACTTCAAAGACTAAGAAAAGTAAAAACAGTGAAAATTTGAAGTTCAATAAAGATGCAGTTTTTAAACTATGTTTTAAACTTTTAACTCACTTTCAAAATATGAAATTTCGTTAAAAATAGCACATACTGATGTCTTTACAATGAAATAACGACGAAGTCGTATTTAATAGATAAACTATAAAGTAAACCTTAATCTTAAATCTCATAGTCGATGTGCAATAAAATGGGAAAGCCACTAACCTTGTTAAATCTCTTGCTACAGGAAACGTATGATCATGAAGAAACATGTCGTGCGTTCTTTTTAAAGAACGAAACACTAACGTGTGAACAGAATGCTTTACAATATCCTAAAGAAATTAAATAAAAACGTGATAAAATGGCAGCTATTAAAATAAATGCAAACTAACAATATTAACAACAACGAACCTCGGCAGCCATATTGTTAACGTGCTGACCCTGACCTATGACCTTATCATCATCCAATGAGAGGAGGAATGACATAGCCTCGGCTGGACAGTATTATGAATTGAAAGTCATTCCCCCCTTTTTTGATTACATTCATGTTCGAAGTTGAAAATTTCCTTTGACTTCTTAATGTAGTTAACTACAAAACATAATCTGTGTTTTAATTTGACGGTATGGTAGTAATTTTTAAAACAAACAGTTAATAATCTTGCAATCTTCATCACTTTTTAATTTCTATACCGGGTGTACTAATACATTTTGACACATTTGAATTACGAGATGAATATTAAATAAGGAGAAAATAGCGGGAATGTCAAAGTAGTGCGAACTTTGTAAAGATATTCACGAGTATTTTTGTTCGTTTTGTTTTTCTCTGTACTGTGAAATGTTTTCAAGAACAGGAATCAGTAATGAGGAGATTAATAAATTTCTCTATAAACAATTGGTCGTAGATAAAGACAAGTACGTATATGTCATTATTAGGTAGCATTGCACTCGTGGCCCTCGTCACTTATATCAGAAAGTAGCTTATCATCCAGAATTTACCCACAAACTCTCATAAAAATCTCTGCATTTTATTTCTTCTTTTTTTTGTTTAATTCTGGCAAAGTTACTATCATTTGAATATTTTTTCATAGTATTTCAAAGTATAAGTTTGATACGTTCATTGTTGCACCTAAAACCAGTGCTACATTTAATCCTTGTTGACGATACTTAAAAATAGTAACTAGGTTTTTGATAAGCAGCACTTGTTTATTTAGATCCATCACTATGAGAATTGTGTTTGATAAATTCAAAAAGAAGTTTCGAGTAAAAGAAATTGATAAAGAATTGAAAGCATACCTCAGAAAAATGGCCAGCAACATAGTTGAAGACGAAAATATTTGTGGTAATTTAACATATAACACAATTCTTAAGATAATAAAATTGTCAGTTTATGGCACATAGCAAAATGTATGTAATGTTGTTATGTAGTTAATGGAGAGAGACAACAATTCAATCAGACAACATTTAAAAGAAAACGAAAAGAACACAAGAAAGATAATTTGAATGAAGATGTTGAGAAAAAAAAGAAAAAGATTTGCATTTCAACTGATGACAGTTCATCAAAAGAAGAACTACCCAGAAATGGTTTTAATGAAGATGATGCCGATGAAGTTGCTAAGTCCAGCCCTGAAGATAGTCACACTTGCAATGGAAATGATGAATCTGGTAATGGGAAAAAGGGATCTGATGATGAAAATGAGAGGTCTAGTTATGAAAATGAGGGGTCTGGTGATAAACATGAGGAATGTGGTGATGAAAATGAGGGGTCTGGTGATGAAAATGAGGGGGACGATGATGAAAACAATGATGATGATAGCGAGTTTGAAATGGTTCTAAAGACATACAAAACAAAACAAAAAATTACTACCAAGAAGAGGCTTTCTGACATAGTTATGAATGACGGAAGTAATTCAGAAGAAGAAAAATCTCAATATTGTTCATCAGATGAAGATAAAACTTTATCAACATTAAAAAAGAAATTAAAGAATTATGAAAACTCCCTTGAGACTGGTAGACATAATAACGCAGATATAAGTAAAGATATTGAAGTAAATAATGAAAATGGCAGTTCTCCTGCACAGGAAAAGAAAAAAGGAAAGAAAAAAAATGGCGATAAACATTTGAGCTTCAAACAAACGAATAAAGATTCAATTGAAACAGTAAGAAATGGCTATTGTTTGTCAAAAACCAGTGATGGCAGTGAAAGTAGTTATGAAGAGGATCCTACCTTAGATGGCGATGAAAAGAAGAAAAAACATAAGTCTTCTAACGTCGTTTGTATTTACCATATTGTTAATCTTGTTTCAACTTTCAAGTAATCAATTTCCTATCGCTGTCTTCTTTAAAAGACATTTGGAAATCAATGACTGATTATGTATCATGTTTTTTTTTCATTTTTTCTTTTTCATCAGCAAAATTCGTTGTCCTACCAAAAAGAAAAAGATGACAGTACAAAATTAAAGAAATTAAAACGTTATTTGCGACAGTGTGGAACGCGACTGAATTATCAAAAGTTTTTCTCAGATTGTCGTTCAATGAAAGGAAAGGAACGTAAACTAGAGACTTACATAAAAGAATTGACTGACATTGAAGGTGTCTTAACTTGTCTAATTATTATTGTACTCTACCAATTATTACCAAACTCTACGAATTATCATCAGACCATGCTAAATTGATTACCACAAAATACTAATCACACAATGTATATATATATATATTTTGCAAGCTTTTTTAATTGCTATTATAATGTGTTTAATTTAGGTCGAATTACATTGGAGAAATGCAAAAAGTACAAACTAAAGAAAGAGAAGGAAGACGAAATGGCAGAACTTGATGTAAGCAAGATCATTACCACTTCAGGTATACAATGTCTGAATTAAAATTTATTTAATAAATCAATAAGATTAATTTTATTTTTTTCAGTGAAAGGTAAAAGAGTAACACGACAATCAAGCATTAATAATAACATTTCAAAATCAAGTTCTTCTGCTTGCGATAAAATGTTTAACAATGTGAGAGATCTTCTCGATAGCGATGAAAGTGATAATGAAAAACGTCCAAGAAAAAATATTGCCATTAGTGATGAAGATGAGTAGAAAACATCGTAACATATTATTTCAAACATTGCGTTTTAAGAGTCAAACAGGATCAAAAACTGGTGTATTTACAGTAGCTGACAAATATTTATTTTCTTATAAAGATCAGCGACCGATCTTCATAAGATTGAGCGCGATAAAAAGCTAATTTTTGATGGCTTGTAATATTATTTTAAATGGTAAAAAAATGCTAATGTGTTTGAAAGCGGACTTTAATTTGAAAAGTATCATAAAAATCGTCAACTCTTTTTTGAAATATTATTATCAATATTTTCTCTGTGATTTTGGTGACGTTATTTCAGTAGAAGAAAAATCAAAATTCCAAATTTCACACTTAACTTATTTGTCCAAAAGATGAATTAATGTAAAGTTTGTGAATTATGAATGAGGTGAGCTTTCTCTAGATGCACGTTTACTGCCCACACGTGAGGAGGATTTTGAGCCTGCAGGTGATATAGGTTTTGAGCCTGCGGATAACGTAGGTTTTGAGCCTGCGGATAACGTACGTTTTGAGCCTGCGGGTGATGTACGTTTTGAGCCTGCGGGTGATGTACGTTTTGAGCCTGCGGGTGACGTAGGTTTTGAGCCTGTGGGAGATGCAGGCTTTGAGCCTGCGGGCGATGTATGTTTTGAGCCTGCGGGTGACGTAGGTTTTGAGCCTGTGGGAGATGCAGGTTTTGAGCCTGCGGGTGACGTACGTTTTGAGGCTGTAGGTGAGACTAGCAAACGTTTTGATACAATACTTGATTTAAAACCACTCTTTTGAGCTTCACACTGACAAGAGATGGGCCATAATGTAATACAGAGTAAATATTCTTTAAAACGACTACAACATTCTAATTGCAACGATTCAACAAGAAATTTCGACCGAAATGTAATAACTGACCCGTGAAGAGGAAAAAAAGACATACCTAACCCTGATTTTTCATCATTGTTGAAAGAAATATTCACTGAAGCAACACTACATTGACTTTCATCACTGCGGACAGATGCTAAAGATCTAAAATTGAAATGTTAACAAAACTAAGGTAGATAACATGAAACAATCATGACATTAAATGCTTACCTATTGGAAGCAATAGAGGAACTACGAGAAGAATGGATTGATGAAGGTCGTGATCTTAGACGACTTGATGTAGATGGTACAGGTAATCCTGCCTGGGTAAAATACAGTTGAGCAGCTGTTGACATATCCTGGTCAGTTTGTACAGCTGTTCCTATCTGTTTCATAATATCAATATTAAAATCACGTATTTCTCTCAGGTCAATATCCTTTTCTTCATGTGTTTCTTCTTTTATTTTCTTAGCATTACGAATGATACGTACAACACGACTATTGTGTTTCCTTGTTCTCTCGTATTTTTCTTTCTGCTCGTTCAACTCCTCCTTAGATGCGCAACTTTCATTTTTCTTTCATGAAGTAGCGCAGATAAATCCTGCTCATCCTTTGTCAGTGAACCTAAGGAACTGTTCATGGTCTCTATATCTTCTTGTATCTCACGTATTTGTCTTCGTTTGAATTTATATTTCTCCATAACAGTACGTCGTTGTTCTTCAAGCTTATTTTTCTCTTCGAATTCACTACTATTAGCATCGACTTTGTTGAAACTTTTACGATAATTTTCATTACGATTATTCATGAGACGTAAAGTGTTTTCCAACGCTCTATACAACAGAAAATTTGTTAATTTTTATTTAACTTTATTCATCAATTTTTCTCAGCATCCTCAACCTTTGTTTACCTTATTTCTTTCTCTGCTTTTCTTATCTTAGCATCAGTTCATCACCTTCTTGTTGCATTTCTTCTTTCTCTTGAGCAGCTTTGATGACGTAATATGCCTGTGATTTCTCTTCCTCTCCCTCTGGAGGCGCCATTGTTACCATTAATATTTCATATCTAAAACACAATATTCCAAATGAATAACTTCAGTATAAAATGTGGTCATTTAGTCAATACATTACCATTACATACGGAGGAAAAAAATACGTGATGTATTTTCTAAGTAGCTTAAATACGTGATGTAGTAAGATTAAACGATGTTAAGAATTGACGCATCAAGCATGCGTACTACAGTGAAGCAAGTTAAATTTTGAGTAAAAACGTAAATTAAAGTGACAAATGTTGTTATTGTACCTTTTCCGTAACTTTTCAATTTTTGAAATCCGATCATGAAGTTCTGCACTGCAAAAAAAAGAAAGAGAAACACCACATTTAATGTATAACATTGCTGAAGTTCTGCACTGCAAAAAAGAAAGAGAAACACCACATTTAATGTATAACATTGCTGAAGTTCTGCACTGCAAAAAAAAGAAAGAGAAACACCACATTTAATGTATAACATTGCTGAAGTTCTGCACTGCAAAACACATTTAATGTATAACATTGAAGTTCTGCACTTTTAATGTATAACATTGCTGAAGTTCTGCACTGCAATTTAATGTATAACACTGCTGAAGTTCTGCACTGCAAAAGAAAGAGAACACCACATTTAATGTATAACATTGCTGAAGTTCTGCACTGCAAAAGAAAGAGAAACACATTTAATGTATAACATTGCTGAAGTTCTGCACTGCAAAAAGAAGAAACACCACATTTAATGTATAACATTGCTGAAGTTCTGCACTGCAAAAAAGAAAGAGAAACACCACATTTAATGTATAACATTGCTGAAGTTCTGAAATGCAAAAAAGAAAGAGAAACACCACATTTAATGTATAACACTGCTGAAGTTCTGCACTGCAAAAAAGAAAGAGAAACACCACATTCAATGTATAACATTGCTGAAGTTCTGCACTGCAAAAAAGAAAGAGAAACACCACATTTAATGTATAACATTGCTGAAGTTCTGAAATGCAAAAAAGAAAGAGAAACACCACATTTAATGTATAACATTGCTGAAGTTCTGCAAAAGAAAGAAAGAGAAACACCACATTTAATGCCTAACATTGCTGAAGGCTTTATGGAACAAGTCAATTTTTAACGCGCCTATAATTTACAGAAAGTTGATAATTCATCTAAACGATGTGATGATTACCTTACTGTTTGTCTCTCTTCATTTGTCAGTTTTATTTGAGCATGTAATACATCTTTATGATCTTTAATTTCTTGTCGTCTTTGGGTCATTGACTGAAATCATAATGAGTGCATATAACCAATCGTGATCATTTTACATAAACAACAAACAATCATGATTTTATATTACATCAAATGATTATAATAATTTTAAATGACATAATCAATCATATGATCAACAACTAAATTAACAATAACTCATTTCCGTCAAAACATGTCGTGTAAACAAATCTAACCTATTTAATAATTTACTTTCGTTTCATTGACATAGAAAGAAAATGTACACTGTTTGGTGGAAACAACGCCTTTTATGTTAATTTAATCAAGAGGAGATCATCTTTACACAGTAAAACCCATGAATTATAGAAAGAATGTCAATTAGTAACTTTAAAAAAGCGCTTATCGAATTCTTTAACTATAAATACCCATACTAATGTACGGTGTTTTATGTTGCACACTGTTCAAAAGAAATCAAGTAATTTCGTACAAAAGTAATAAATTTGCCAATTCTCTGTTGACAAAGACTGAAGTTGAATTAAACAAGCACAAATTTTCAGACATATGGCAAAATGTCTGACAGCTGACACTGAAAGTGTTAGTGTAATTGTCAGATGCACAGTTTTCATACCAGTCGTTATAAATATATGTATTCAGCACATAAGAGATGTACTTACAGCTTGAAGTCTTATCTTTCTTTTCTCCAAGTTTAAAACATCGTCTGCTTTAATGCTCAAGGATTCCCGTAATCTTTTTACCTCTAACTTTAAAATATTTTCATCAACCATCGTTTCCTAAACACAACGGCAATGAAACTCAATGACGCGTTAAAAATAAGAATTTAGAATAAAACAATTTGAAGTTGGTCTAGAATGAAAGAGCTGAGAAAAAACTTGATTAAATGAAAAACCCCAAATAACAAAATAACATAGAATGCCTGCAAACTTGTGTAAAAAAAAACGCTTGTAAAAAATATCGTCTCTGTGCAATCTACCTCCTTGTTTTTAATAATTTTCTTCAATTCCCGTTGAGAACTATCGTTGTAAAGATTCAACTCCTCTGTAAAAAACAAAAATTCTAAATCTACAATATACCGCATTCATTATTGTATTTTTGCATGATTTGTGCAATCTCGCAACATGACCGGAAAATCCAAACGCATTTTCCAAGTAGTTAAAAATCAAACATACATTCTATGCACAAAAAATTCAATCATATCACCAACAAATTAGATTTATTTACCAATTTTAGAGGTAAGATCTGACTTTTCTTCATTGCCTGTACGTAAAGAGCGTTTCTCTCTTCTCAAATCATCCTAAATTTGATGTTTGTAATTATTTAACAATATATAGATCAGAGATAATGAAAACTTCAATGATTATAGACAACACTACGTAAATAATGAAAATTACAGCATAAATACTTACAACTAGTTTCTTCATCTGTGCAGTCAACAAAGAGTGAACAGCGTTCTGTTCGTCCATTTGTCGTGAAAGTTCCTGAGAAAAATTTTCAATACTCAAATGCGTAAAACTAACTCAAGTAAAACGTTACGACAGAAAATTGTTAAAATTTTTGAGTTTCAGAACATAATCCATACTTTAATTTTCTCATCTAAAATTTGTTTCTCTTCATTACTTCTTTCTCCTTGCATTCGCAAAAATTTTCTTTCCAACTGTTGAAGCTGGAAATCCTACAATACAACAACAGTCAACACACTTTTTAAATTTTATTTAAAATGAACTTTTGTGAAAAGTCATAGTGACGTAATGCGAAGGGTCATAGTGACGTAACGTAAAGGGTCATAGTGACGTATGTGAAGGGTCATAGTGACGTAACGTAAAGGGTCATAGTGACGTATGTGAAGGGTCATAATGACGTATGTGAAGGGTCATGGCGATGTAAATTTAATTAGATTACTTCTACTATGATCTGAATAAAATTCTTAAAATAAAAACTATTTCTACCTGCATATAAAGTATTTCTTGTTGTTTAAGTGAGTCTTGATCTAATTTGTGAAGTTTACTATTTAAATTTCTTGATGCAGCACGAGAACCCTGTAAAGTGGAAACTAAACATCAAAAGAAAAGCTACCAAATAACAACAAAAACTATGTTTTTTCATACCTGAATCTCAGCAGCAGTATTTTGTTCCATTATTTTACAACTGTGTAACTCTTCGTTTTTACGAAACTAAAATTAAAGTATTTACTATGTTTTCACTTCAATATAACAAACTACGATATAAAAATCCCCATTTTTACTGTCGTTAGCTCAAGCAAAACATCTTAAAATGCACCTGTATCTCACGAAGTCTCCCCAGTTCCTTCTCAACTTCACAAATTCTCGTTTCTTCTATTTTCAGTAACTCTTCCATAGCGCTTGCTCTTTCTTCTGTTGTCATTGTTGAATGAATTGTTTCCTTATACCGAGTATTGAGAATTTCCCGTTCATTTTGAACTTCAGAAAATCTGCAAAATGAAAACCGCTCTTTCATTAAAAACAGTTTTTGGTCAAAAACTTCGTTGAGGTGATAAATTACGTTGTATAACGTATTTGCAACGGTAAATAAAAACTAGGCAGTAATTAAAACTGTTGAAAAACAAAAATTATTATAGCTATAAACTAAATGACAAAATATAGCTCATCAAACATCAAATCAGGAGCCATGTCTACTTTGATGGAAACCATAAATCTATTTCTAGTTCTCATTTTTCTTTTCCAAGAGAAAAAAAATTTAAAGGAAATATTTCTTCAGTGAAAGATTTCAGCTTTTATCAAAAATAATTAAGAAAGCGATTAAGCTCTTGTTTCATTCAGACTATGAAAGACAAGGACAGCGATTAAGCAAGAAATAATTTACAAAAATTCGACTTAAATTAATATATTTTAATCATGATACTTTTCTTCTCTTATCTTCACTTCTTTTCTTAAGTTGGTCGACTTTTCTCTGGCATTTATGAGATCTTTACTTGTTCTGTCAACTGAATACTTCAATGTCTCGAGCTTAACAAAAACAATCAATGAAATAAAGAGACAAAGAGAGCACGTTTAAAGTGATAGGGTTAAATCTACAAAGTAAGATGACAGTCGTACCTCATCTTGAAATTGAACTCTGTCATTCTCGACATTTTGATGTTGTAGACGTAACTTTGCTGACTGTCGTTCAAAATTTGAAACCTTTTTTTCTTTTTCGGCATTGTTATTTAACTCGTTTTCAAGAAAATTCTACAGAGTAAGATTAAACGTAAACAAAATGAAAAAAGTGAAAGTAGTCACAATAAAGGTAAAAAAATATAACCTGTCTGTCTTTTACAAGATCTTCTTTTGACTGAACGTCTAGACGAAGCTCAGCCAGTCTCTAAAATAAAGTTATAATATAGCTGCTGTAGTTTCTCGAGGATTAGTAATGACAGATCGTCAATAGAAAACATTTTTACATACGATAGTAAGTTCGTTCATATCGTCATCACGTTTTTGCATTTGTTCTATGCTTTTTTCCCACTGCTTAAGTAAATTTTGACGTTCATCGTGAAGTTTACGAAATTCCTCTGCTGTTTTATCCACTTCTACCTATAGATATTTATGCATTACTTCAAATCCATGAAATAAAGGAAATAACACGATAATGACATCATAACACGATAATGACATTATAACACGATAATGACATCATAACACGATAATGACATCATAACACGATAATGACATCATAACACGATAATGACAACATAACACGATAATGACATCATAACACGATAATGACATCATAACACGATAATGACATCATAACACGATAATGACATCATAACACGATAATGACATCATAACACGATAATGACATCATAACACGATAATGACATCATAACACGATAATGACATCATAACACGGCACCTGTGCTGTTAATGTACGACTTAATTCTTGTTCCAAGTCCCGTCGCTTCTTTTCACTTTCAACCGTCATTTTTTCCATTTTTAACGAAAGAGACTATCGACAAAAGTTACAATAAAAATCAACGATAAATACTGACATATTCCTGCCACTCATTTACTGTTGAGATCGTGAGTTGAATGAAATCAATGAAAGTTGAAACTTTTCTACATGCTACATTGTTTTAAGGGGAAAACGTTTTTTTTCCACTGGTACCTCTCCCTAAAATTCAAAGTTAATTTGCAGATAAGTTGAATGATACAAATACCTTAACTTTGCTTTCATCAGATCGAGTGTATTTTTCGAGAATCAAAGCATCTTCATCTCGCCTTGCTGATTCCTCTAACCAAGCTTCTAAAGCTTTTTGATCCCAGTTCATATGAGATTTCAATTCCTCCAGTTGTTTAGTCTTATTGAATATGTTGTTCTATTTGAAGAAAGCAACATAACATAAAAATAATAAACTTTATTATAAAACAATTTGTTGTGAAGGCAAATCTAAATATGCCTTGAAAACAGCAATTACCATGGTGAATGGCAGAGAAAATAACAAAAAAGGTCTGAAAAGAACAATTTTACAACTATAAAAAGATTATGTATTCCCGCAAAAAATTCTCACGTCAGCTAGCTGTTGAAAGAATACTTACAATATGAACATAGATATATCTAATGAAACATACTGTAAAGTAACTAACATCGCTGTGAAAAAATGATAATACAATACGATAACAAACATAAATAGAAGTGTACATACCTCAGCATTGTTGCGTCTGTTGTCCAATTCATTCAAATTGTTTTCAATTCGTTTTATTTCGCCACGCAGCCTTCCTTCTTCGCGTTCAGCTATAAATATTGTACAAAATAGTATCACAATAAAATGATGAAATAAATATTCAGAAAATTTTGCTCTAAAAACTTTTAGTAAATTCTTCCACAAAATCTCTGCTTAAAATAAATTTTACCAATTTGTCGAAAATGATCTTCGCTGTTCGTTTCGCGTTTTCGTGCATTAAGAAGTTCCTAAAACAGCAATAGTCAATTAATCAAAAGGATTATAATAAATGGAAAATAATATAGAAAACGAGAAAAAAATGTTGTTGACACTGCTAAAGATCTTAATGTACCATATACATATAACACAAACCTTAACACCAAAACCCTTACTTGTGTATGATGTAGTTCCTGTAAAACATTCTTTAAATGTCCATTTATAGCCTCGATTCTTTCATGATGTTCATCAACTTTATATTTGTAGTTGTTGACTTCCTTTTGTTTATCAGTAAGCTACAAAATAATTTTGTAAAAATAATTAATGGTTCAAATAGAAAATAATACAATGTACACAAAAGATGTATTGTTGTATAATTATAATCACATTTGATCGTCCAGGTTAATAAAGTCCTGAGAAGGACTTTCCTCTCAGGACCTTATTAACCTGGACGATCATCATTCTCACGTCCTTCTCAGGACTTTATTAACCTGGACGATCATCATTTACAAACATATAACGATACTCCCGGGTTCAAACCATTTACTTTAATCACATTTGACTTAATGTTTCAAGAGGAAAATATTTTGAGAGTTGGTTGGAAAATATGAGGGAATATTAGTACTTTCATGCTAGTACTTTAATGTAGTTAGCCTGGGGTGTACTAGCAAGGATGAGACAACAAGTACTAGTAAATACTAGTGGCAGGCCACATTCATGGATCATATAATTTGTTGAAAACAATGGATTTCAAAAGAATTCAACACAGCATTTCATGCACATGTGAATATAAGCTCTCCCCTTCCCAACTATCAACCTTCCTATGCCAATGGCCCCTTACACGATAAATATCTTGTGAGGATGACCATAGCCATCATGTGGTGATGATCATAGCCATCATGTGGTGATGATCATAGCCATCATGTGGTGATGATCATAGCCATCATGTGGTGATGACCATAGCCATCATGTGGTGATGACCATAGCCATCATGTGGTGATGACCACAGCCATCATGTGGTGATGATCATAGCCATCATGTGGTGATGACCATAGCCATCATGTGGTGATGACCACAGCCATCATGTGGTGATGATCATAGCCATCATGTGGTGATGATCATAGCCATCATGTGGTGATGACCATAGCCATCATGTGGTGATGACCATAGCCATCATGTGGTAATGACCATAGCCATCATGTGGTGATGACCATAGCTATCATGTGGTGATGACCATAGCCATCATATGGTGATGACCATAGCCATCATGTGGTGATGACCACAGCCATCATGTGGTGATGACCACAGCCATCATGTGGTGATGACCATAGCCATCATATGGTGATGTTCATAGCCATCATGTGGTGATAACCATAGCCATCGTATGGTTATAACTATAACCATCCTGTCATTATTACTATAACCATCCAGTGGAAATGACTTCAGCCACTCTCATATATTGTCAATATGAAAACTACACTAAAACATAAACTGAATATCATAGAAACATGTGCATGATGCCATGATGCCCCAGCACAATAAAAATTCGAGAAATTCTTTTGTGCCCACAATATTTCAAGGTAAACTTTTCAAGTTATTAACCTCAAGTTTTAATAATTTTAACTATAATATATATCTAAATTAAAACTTTGACAATAAAATTACCTCAACCTCTAACTGTTTATTTTCAGTATTTGCAACAGGAACGGCTATTCCTTCATCCAAAGGAAAATTATTTAATATAGTCTCCATCGTTTAAAGTAAAACAATTCAGACGAAATTTTAGTTTTAATTTTTAGTTCAATCAATCGACCCGAGAAAGCAGCTGTTTGACGTCGCCATGGCAACAACAACAACTGGAGCCCAGGCCCACGTTTGATAACCGAGTCAGCAGAAAAATTGAATAACGAATGAGGCAAAAAATGCCGAGAAATCTAAAATTTTCTTCACTTTTTTCAATCGACGAGGCAATCACTTATTGAAAATGCGAAACAAATAAACCCGTCAAACCTCTAAAAACATCTGCTATTAATAAATACGTTTAAGCAGTAGGATGGCGAAGATAAAAGACGATAGTGAACAAGCTGTCGATAGTGAAGAAGGCACGACCAGTGAAGACGAACCACATAAAGTGTCATGGAATGTAAACAAAAGGTTCTTTTTACATGATAATAACCTCGGAAAAAATGCCGCTAGCTTAGCTAAATGTTTTGACAAACAGAAGAGGAAGAATTTTGAAATGCTTTCATCGATATCAAAGGAAGCAAAGCTTATTAAACTTCCATTAGAGATAGTTGAAGCTGCTGCTAAGAGTAAAGTTAAGAAAAAACAATTAGATAATGAAGAAACATTATGTAATGCCTATACTAAAGTACTTAGACAAAAGAAAAAGAGCGAAAAGAAGAAAAGTGTTTCTACATCTCATTTTCAATTAGTTTTTCTGGATGAAGCAATGAATGGAAACAAGAAAGTTCCAGAAAAAGCAAATATGTTTCTACAATCTCATTTTTATGGTGGAAGATTTGACAGATTGCCAGGTTTAAACGAATCAACTGTTCAATGTAAGAATAGTGGGATTATTAGGCCTGCTTTAAAGTTTAGAAAATCCTAATGCTTGTATTAATATCTTTAATTGTCAAATCTAAGGAGATATACCATTATGAACAAGTGTTTTCTTACAAAATTTTGAAACAACTATCAATTAAAATTTAAAATTATTTAAGTTGTTCTTGAATGTAAACCTTTCAATAATATCATTGTAATTTCTATCATTTGATGTTTTCAGGCTTTCAAACACATTTTGCAAAAAAAATAATCTCGACTAAAACCTATAAAACCTTATTATTTCCTTTGAATTTGACATTTTGACAAAGTCATGAAAATTCTGAACCTGTTAAACACTCACTTTTATGATGTAATATTTATATATAGTCCAGGTTAGTATAGTCCAGAGGACTGAATGTTTACTCATGTGAGGAGTAAAGAACCTTTATCTTTGAAAAATACTCATTAGTTTCCTTTTGTACCTGAATTTCCCATGATCTCTTTATTAAAGTAAATGGTCTCTTTATTGCAATGTTGATAATTATCCCAATGTCCCTTGCAATCCTGCAATGTCCCTATTATGGTGAGGCATGAAGAAAACTAGAAAATACTGAGTTCAAAATATGAACACTAAGTTTGGCATTTTAAGTACAATTTTAAATGATTTAGTCATGAACAATTTCTCATTGAAAAAGCTGTTTTGAAACTTTGTTCTGTCCAAACATCTCAAAAGCCTATATTTCTAATTATTAGCTGAAAACATTTGTGCAAATAACCAAAAAGTTAATACAATAATTACAAATATTACAGATATTGTTCATAGGTTTTCAAATTGCTGAAATAAATCTTAGGAGTGTTTTTTTCCTAAGTTTTATTCCTACCATTTATAATGTACAGTACACTCCACTCCAAAATGTATAGGAATAAATCAATTTGCATTAATAAAAAAAGAAACAGTCGGTGTTCAGGAAATTGGACAACAAGCATAACAATTTACAAATCAGTTAATCCCACCTTGGTAACTAAAGTTCTTTGATCTGTTTTATTAGATATGTCTTTTCTTCCGTAAACTGTTCATCTTCTATGTATAAAATACAAATTTTGATTTAATAAAAATAAAGATTTCTATTTGACGAAAACTTGACATTGAATGACAATTGTTATTGTGTGCAATTAAACCCACACCCAAGAAAGTTGATCAAAGGGAAATGATAAACCGGAAATTTGATATAAACAATGCTAAGTTAACCAAAGTAAATAAGTATGAAATCGAAGGGGAAATTTGATTTAGTTTGCTCTGGCAGTTGTTATCAAAGTTTTACTGTAGTGGCACAAATTATTCTTTCCTATCTCAATGTTGAACTTCCCTGTATTTCACACACTTTATTACTATCTAACACTTTTCATAAATAAAATGTACTAATCTAAATTCTCTTCATTGTACTTTCCATCAAAAATTATAATATTATGACCTCAACTACTTTTAAAAAGTTTACCTGTTCGGTCTGTGTGAAAATTTTCCAGGAACTCAACAAGTTTTTCCTTATTCTTAATTAGGATATCTCGTATCGCTTGAGTTTTGTTTGGATTGGCAACAAATATCTTTAACAAATTAGAAAATCTTTTAAAATTAGCCAATACTTCATCCACTATCCACATGTATAAATTGAACTGCCTTGTTTTGAAAGACATTCTTGGGCTAAAATTGCTTCTGTCAAATTTTTACCATCATGCAGACAAACATTATTATCATTTGGGAAAAGTTGGGAAAATGTTCACCATTGTGTATCTAAACAATGCGATCTTACAGGGAAACAATGTTAACTTTACAAGCAAGATTTTACCTTAAATACATGAAAAGCCTCAAATTGAATATTCCTGCTTTTATCTCGTAGCATGTTCATCATTAATTTGAGATTTTCTTGATTACTGATATATTTTGTCATCACTTGGAAATTATGTCGGTCCAATAACAACTCTCCAAGTAACTACAAAAAAATAGCCACAATTAGATTTGAAATTTTTCGATTTTTATGTTTTCAACATTTAATATGAAGGAGTTTCCACCTTAATTGATTGTCGTTTGGTGACATAGTTTTCAGAAAATAACAGCTTACAATAGTGCTCAAAAAACTAAAATGAAAAATTAGATAAGAGCAAATTGTTAAAAATAATACTTTAAAAAATTAAAAATTAAGCAAAAGGATTTGTAAGTTACACAAGAGATTGTCAACAAAATGAAACAGTAAACATGTTTATAACAACACAAAGCAATAGTAGAAGGCATTTAACACAATTAAGTAAATATGTTCCTTTATTATTTATTGAAGATAACCAAAATAGAAATGAAAATTAGCCATTTGTAAGGTTCTACCTTTTCGTACTCTTTCTCAAGAAATAAAGAACAACTCAATTTATGTCGAGTCAATAATTCCTGAAAAAAAGAAACAATTTATATAAGTACTTGATGAAAAAAATTATACATGTACACCTTTGCTTCTTAACAACATAGTCAGTGGTGAGATACTATAGTCAGCATTGAGGTACCATCATCAGTGCTAAAATACCAAAGTCAGAGTGGTGAAATACCATAGTCAATAGAGCACCATAGCCACAGTGACGAAATACCATAGTCAGTGGTGAGATACCACAGTTAGTTGCCAGATACCATAGACAGTAGAGATATACCATAGTCAATAGTGAAATACCATAGACAGTGGTGAAATACCATAGTAGTATACCATAATCATTGATGAAATACCATAGTATTTGGTCAGTTACATAGTTGCCACATACAATAGTAACTAGTGAAATACTAAGTTTTCATCTCAGCCACTACTGTATCAAATATGTCATTCAAGAATGCAATTAAGTTTAATATTATGATCAAGTCTTTGCTTTATAGACAGTTTTTGTCTCTAATCATTCATCAATTAGTACATTTATTCAATTCTGTACTTTCAACTTACTTTAAATGACGAAAACGCATCAGAGGCAATGTCAAATGTCGATAGTTCAACGTATTCAAAGAAATTGTAGAAATATTTTTGTCTCAAAATGTCATTAGCAAGAAGCTCATGTCTGATACATTCACGCAACATAACACCACAATTTAAAGCTATGTCAGCATTCTCGTAACTGCAATATAAAAACAAAACATTATGAAATAATGTGCAGGAAACCTTCAGTAACATAATCACAGTAAAATGGGCCATAAGAGTCAATAATCACTTTTTTTTAAAAAAAACAGTGCATAAAAGTAGAGAAAAGATGTAAACTATATTTATACAAACATCTCCACATAACGAAATGACCATTTACACAATAGGAAACAACCATATTAAGGGTATGAAATAATCATCTTTACATTATGAAACAACACTACAAAGAGCAAGAAATAACCATACAAACTCACAGAAAAAAACAATAGACTTCTAAAGAAATTAATAATATTTGGAAATTTAAGACTAGTTAAAACCTAAAATTGCCAATACTGTGTACAAGATATAAAATAACCAAATAGATGGTACAAAATAATGTTGTACCATTTTTTAAATTGCATCAATACTAACCCTTTTACTAAAATACAAAGAATGTTTACATTGGAATGTATGTATTCAACAGTGGGTGAACGAACTCCAATTTGCCGTCTTAAAATGTTGTTGAAGATCTGTGCAACATCTTTTTTTGCCTAAACAATGGTTGAATTTTTTTATTGAGATTGATTTAAGTTGCAATGAGTTCATGATACATTGTAAACATTGTTTCAACACATTGTCATTCACAACAATAAGTAATTCTATACTAATCTTTAGTACATATAAATTATACTTTGTTATTGGATGGAAAAATGATTACATAACTGTAAAGGACTTGACTACGTATATAAATATTGTTACAAGGAATCTTGCACTTTATGTTAAACAAATAAAAGTTGTCAAAATTTACCTAACATACCTCAAAATCCATTTTTGACAAATTATTCAAGAGAGTTTCAATCGTCCTGTTATTATAAAATTCTTGGGATAATTGGGCAACAAGTTCTGTTTGAGGTTCTTGCTCTGAATGTGAAGGAAAAAGAATGATCGGCTGACAAACAAAATGGTTTTATTCAAAGAAAACATAAAACAGAATACTAGAGTAATAACAAACCTGAAGTACCATAGAGCATAGCTTTCATATAAGAAAGGCTTTTATTGACATCTTCTAATGCCTAAAAAATGTAGATATAGATTGATAAACAACTTTATTTCTGTAGGATAGAGTCATTAACTAATTTAAATTTATTTTAATAAGAGACACAAGATAAGTATGTCACTGTATGTGTGTGGATTTTGTACACTAAGCCCAATGTCTCATCATAATCGTACATTTTGAATTTATCAGTAATCACCTTTTCATTCTTTTTTCCCGTATGTTCTTTGGACATAATATTCAATGCATCGTGAAGTGTTTTGACAAGTTCAACTGGACTTTTCTTACCAGAGCTAAATAATGGCATCTTCCTAAAATTGATGGAAAGAGTAGCGATGAAGGAAAATAGTAATTTATTTATCTACAGCAGTACTTTATCGGAGTACGTAATAATCATAAAATCTTGAGAAATGGATATCAAGAAATGCTTAAAAAATATCTATTCATTAACACATACCTCGATTTATGGATTTTTGCCACAATTTGAAGACAAGTTTAAAGCAATTCCTTTTGTATGAACTTGAACGAAGTAGAAATACAATCGTATTAAATTAATTTAAAAATGAGCCTGAAACTGAAGTTAATTCTAAAGCATTCTTGCACTAACATACAAAATACTCCATTTTAAAAACTACGTTAAATAATGATTTCAACTTTGTTAAATAAAAAATCAAAATAAAACATTATAAATTTCCGTAACTTCCATACAATATTTCCTTCTACCAGCGTTCCATCTGCCAGCAAAAATATGGCAAAAATTCCCAAATCATTATACCTAAACAGCCATCAAAGGTAAGTTTTATAATCGTTGATTTTCTTTTAGTGTAACATCTTAGGTAAAAAAATAAATTATTGTATACGTTACCAACAATAAAACACGAGCCCCAACACAGCCCAAACCTGCTTCAATTGTCAAGAAAAATATTCCGAAAGAAAGGAATATAAGGGAGAGTTCCGCAAGTGACACAAAGAGAACGTGACGTAAATATTCCTTTCCTTCCCAGGATCCTGTATCGTTATCACGTTTTCCTGTGGGTGGACACCACTGCTGGGAGTACTAATGGTACTAACCGTGGTACTGAGGGGTGGGGTATGGTGCGTCAGGCATGACGTCAGAATGTCAAAGAACACTGACAGAAACGTCGCTCGAGCTTTTGCCCCCTCCCACGATAAAATTACCATAAAATTTATAAAAAAACTTTAAAAATTGTTATTTGTGTCGAGGAACTTTATTGACGTCGTACTCTCAACAAATTAATTATATAGATTGTAGTTTAATCAACTATGTGCGTGAAGATTGCTTTGCTTTGTGTTACAAATCAACTTAGATCGAGTGAATACTATCGTAGGAAATAAGTATACGTATTTTTTTAAAATAACAACAAATGAAGAGTGCAAATAACATTTTTTCAAAGCGTTCAATAACAATAATCATTATTATTGTCCTGATTTTCTTCAAAAAACATGAAATCCTGAAGACAAAAATAAAAATAACTTAGAAGCTAACGGGGAATCAGAAATCAATAGAAAAAAAGCCAAAAACAGTTAACACTTACGATAAGAAAAGCAGCTCCCAACATTGTAGCTTTGGCTTTCACATCAAGATCCATTGGAACTAAAATCAATTGTTTACTTCAATAAACAATAGGCTAAAGTCCTGCAAACGACTCAACTAGTTGGGCAAGAAAGGGTCCCTTACTTCTAACTAAATTCTAGTTTTCAAACCGATATTTGCATGCATTAACTTCATGTTCAAACCACTTGTTCACCCTAATGATAAAACTTTGCAACATAAAAATAACCAACTCCTTTATTATTTATGAACAAATGAACACCATTTTTGTAAAGCAGGCTTACTTACATGTAATGCCAAAATTGTCGGTATCGGTGAAAACTTCTTTGAGCAATCCACTCCATTGTTTAGAGATCTTTCCTACTTCATCTTTGCCATCAGCAGAAAGGACCTGGCAAAAATCGAAATTGAAAACACAAAAAAAATTCCAAAACGTAAAACATTCAGTGACGGAAGATAACATATTTGTTTAAAAATTACGTACATTTAATGATTATTTTAGATGTTGAAACTAAAGGAAACATAACAGCAGTTCATTAAATGAAGAATTTCAACTCAAACCTTGTAATCAATGTCGCCACAAAGGTTACACTGGCATAATGGACCTACGATTGTTAATATTTTCTCACGAGTTGCAGAAAGGATTTCAAACCTTGGGAAACAAATCGACCACCTATACACAAATATATAAGCATGATATTTGATGTAGAAAATAATGAATATGTTGTGGTATATCAATGGCAACGAAAATCCTCTGAAATGATGCAAAAATAAGTTACGTATTAAGGTAACGAGACCAATTTTTGATATTGTATAAACTTGACTTGCCCGAAAAACCTTTGTGTCTACAATAGTAGAAATCCAACAGCCAACAAGAATAGGAAAAAAAGTACTCCATCACGAAGGCAATATTAAGAACAGGGAATATAATTACGATAGGTTTGATACACAGATAGAAAGATATATTTATCTAACCATGCTACCCACTGATGCTATCCTGTCAAATGGTGCTGATTTCCACAGTAGGTGTAAAATAAAATTTATCAACTTAGCTAATTTTTATATAGATATTGTAAAAATAAACATCAAACTACATCAGTGATTTCCAAGAACCGTCCCAGGCTAAATGTAGCACAAAATTAGACGAACATTGTAATAGAAAAAACAACCTACTTTTGGACTACATAACCAACAATGTTCCCAGGTGGTGCTTGAACCTCAAGTTCTTGTAAACAACATGGAAAACAGCAAGAAGAGCATCTCAAAGGACGAGTAAGATGAATAACTTCACGTTGCATATTGTCCAAAATTTTTATATCAAATGGACGACTTGAGCCACAACATTGACGAGTACAACAGTCAGTATCTATACGATAATTAACAATCATAAAAACATTATTATATTTCTTACATGTTATTTTTCAGCAACAAATAGACGCCAATATGTACTTATTGTATTTTATAAAACCATGTATAAAGGTACTATACTCAAAAGACTTAAATAAATAGATTAGGATATGTTTACAAAATTTTAAAAAAATCTGATTCTTTGAGAAAGCTTTTTATATAAAATTTCACCCCATCAAACAAAAATATAAGTGCTTTGTTGCCCATTTAAAAGTCATTTACCTTCAGCAGCAAAGTAAACTTGTTGTCCAAGGGAATTTTGAATCTTATACTTGTTGTTTGTTTCAAATGAAGTAAATGCTGAAAATGATGAGAAACATTGAAAATAATTATGTGATTTGGAGTACTATAACAATCATATCATAATGCAATTTAAAGTGCCTATAACATGGAAATTTTGCTATTTAAATTATGTTTGCAATGACCAGAACTTATTAAATGACAGTGTACATTCTAAAACAGTTAATGCATGTCTCTTTTCCTTTGAGAGAGATTGAAGTTTTTGTTGTTTCCATTTTATCTAACTTGTGATGTCATATTGTATAATGAGATCCCAAAATGTCTGAAATACTCTTCAGTTTCCTGATAACTTTAGTTGAGTTGATACTATAGGCAGCATTTTATACCATTAACCTTGTCACAATGAAGGAAACTATGTCCTTGTGAAGTAAAGTATCTTTAAATATACCTAAAACTCCTAGTTCTCATGATGCAAGTTAGATTAATCGGACAAAGCAAAACCTCAATATCCCAAGGAATAAAAGTGATATGCATAAACTGTTGTAGAATGTCCATTGTTATTTCAAAATATCTCTTCAATAAAAGTACAACTCAGATAGCAAAATTTTCGTGTCATGGGCACTTTAAAGATTACTAACCACTGATCATAAAATAAAGCCGTAGTTTTTAGCTAGGTGCAACCTCTTGATAAAATTTTAGTAATAAAAATTTATAATAAAAATAACATAGGTACCTTCCAAGAGCTCAACTTGCTGTTTTATCAGCAATTGATCTATTTGTGTTAAATATTCCAATCCCGGTGGACAATCTACCTGGACTACAGGTACTGGCATCCATCCACCAGGTTGAGTAGCAACAGGAGCCCCTAGAAAGATAATATTAATATTTAACATGGAAGAAATATCATGTAAATCTAAAACAATGCTAGCTGATATCAAGTATGGTGAATTTTATATAAACAATGCAACTTTTAGATCTTATTGATAAATTATAGCAAAGAAAAATTCACATACATTTACCTGGATTATTTTTTACTTTATAACATTAACTTATATGTTTTGCATCAAAAGTGTCACAGTGACACCTCTGCAATTGTAAATTTAATTGAATTGTCCTGACCAGTAGAATATTTGCTGATTATTTGTGTTTTTAATGACACTCAACCAAAACAAATAAAACAAAAATCAATTACTTATTATTGATTAGTTAAAACAATGAGAAAGTCAAATTAAATGCTTTGTAAAAGCAAATAAGTTTTCATAACAATTAACAAACTTATAGAAACTTGTCTTCTAGCTTCTATAAAGTGATAAAGATAAAATAACTAAATAGTTTGTACCATTTTTTACATTAACATGCTAGTCAAAAAGCTTGCAGTGAATTGGCATCTCAAAATGGACTTATACCTGAAAAAAGTATGTTTTTATTTGAAATCAAAATGTCACTGGTACAAGGTAGAGATTGTAAGCACTGTGGTGTCATGCAACATGCAACCAAAAGCAAGTTTTTATTCAAAATTGTACATAAACAAAGAACTTTTTGTGATATATTACTTAATAACATAGTATGGATCAGAATGAATGTTAGAAAAAAATTGTTAATTTTTCCCAGTGAAAGACATAAATATTTTAGTCAAGCCACAGGGTCAAATAGTTTTTTATGGCAAACATGCTGGAAATGCTGAATTTGCACACCACATGGCATCATGGTAGCAAAAATTTTAAAGACTTGATGTGAAAACATAAAGATCTTCTTTCATGAAATTTTTTATGCATATGTTTAAGTTTCAACGGTGAGAAGAAGAACTGCACACATAACAATAAAAAACCCAACAAAATATTCAAAATATTTCAACCTACGGCAATACATTGCATACAATAGTACAAATTGTTTAACGAAAAAGTTAAAGAAATATTTTGCCGTAAACGTTATACATTCACAATTATTACTCAATACTTGTTTGTATTTCATATTTCCACACAGACGAATAATGAAATAGATGCGTTCATGAAATAAAGCCAAACAAACCTGTGTTATACTGCTGATAACCGCCAGGTTGTTGAACTTGAGCAGAAGGCGGGTAAGTTTGTGTCAGTGGGTATGACTGATTTCCAGGATTATATCCTTGTTGTGGAGGCGAATAACCAGTTTGTGGTCCTTGTGGAGGATAACCAGGGCCACTGGCAGGAGGATAACCAGGGCCACTGGCAGGAGGATAACCAGGGCCACTGGCAGGAGGATAACCAGGGCCACTGGCAGGAGGATAGCCAGGGCCACTGGCAGGAGGATAGCCAGGCGGTGCTCCGCTATGTGCATCCATGTTATGTGAAACCTTGAACTCAAATGATTTTATAAAAACGTATAACGAAAACACTTCTTTCGTTCTCCACAAACCTTTTCCTGATATGCTTCAACGCGAATATTTTCAATGGATGAAAAGTTAGACGTAATGAAGACGTCATCACCAGTTGTCAAATAACCTTTAGTTTTATAAAATATTTGCACAGCATGAGATGAGTGACTTCGAGGCAAATAAATTGTGACGAGAAAAAAATAAGAATTTTTTTACAAAATATTTTTGTCTCAATACTGAAATACTTCATGGCTTTGCATGTTAGTATCATGTTGGATATGCTACAACTGATAAACATCAACTCTTCTCTATTCCTTTATAAACACACATGGACACAAGAAAAATTGAAAATTTAATTTCAGTGAGTTTGTATAAGTTGATTGTTTGAGGACAGCAAGCAATTGTTGCAAAATTTGTTTTCCCAATCATGAAAATGATTCTTTATAGTTTCAAAGTTTACATTTTTAAATGATTATACAATAAAGCTTTTAAACAAATTTTAAAAGAAACTTAAAAACATGCACCATAAGTAGGAGTCACTTCCTTCCTTAAACTGGAATAACGTATAAATAATAATATAACAAGTAAGAATGGCAAGAAATGTTATTTTATTATGTAATGTGTATAATTATTCTTTAATGTGTCACAATTTTTTGTGGAATTAGATGTTAACATATTTTCTCAAACATAATATATTTTCCACATTGAAAGTGAATACAATTCATACAGTTATTTGTCTATTTACAGAAAATTTTGATTGAGCATAGACTGTGTCATATTTCACCTTCCAATTCGTTGTACAACCCATTCTTTTTGACACAAAGGACAACGATTGTTTTGAACAACCCAAAGTGACATACAGCAGTTATGAAATGAGTGATTGCATTCTCCCCAAACAACTGAAGAACACATGAATTTTTATGTAATTATAAGCTGAAGATATAAAGAAATGTTCTGTTTACTGTCATTGAAAAATAATATAGACATAAAACAAAAACAATGTATAAAATAACTTTATTGCAGGAAATGCTAGCAACGTACCAACACATTCATCTTGTTTACAATTAGCTTGACATCGAAGACAGGCATCTAAATGGAAACGGCTTCATAATATGTCGTTAAAATTTCTAGTTATCTTACCCAACATAATAAAGCAAAAATTTTTCAAAACTTTACTAAAGCATACATCAAAATACTATTTTATTTGATGTAAAATCATAGATACGTGTTTGCTTTTAGTAAGACAGACAGGCAATACAAAAGATATACTGTGGCTTTTAAAAGTTTATAATGTCAATTTATCAATCATCATCAATACCCATAACTTGAACTCTACAAATTGCACAAGTATCACACTCGACATCCCAAGACCACATTGCGACTGCATTCCATTTTTTGAGAGAAAACAACTTTTCTGTTTTTGGCTTCTCGTCCATGTAACCTGTTGTTGACTTATCAGACATCCCCGTTCTTCAAACGATTCCATACGCCAAATGGAGGTACATATTACCAGACGTAATCACATCATTTTTTTCGCTCAGTCATGTCAACTAAATTTCTTGCTCAAAATAATACAATTTTTGAGCGAGGTCATGTTTTTCTCATACATTTATTTACAACAAGGCAAAAGATATGCTATGAAAGAAGGTGATGAACTATTTCTACTTTTTTTATTTAGAGCGACACATTAGTTTTATTTTAAATACAAGAAAAAAAACACCATGTTTAGCAATAGATATCACCCTTAAACGTTAAAATAATAACTGAATGAAAAACTGCGTATCATAAAAGGTCATTCTGCTTTTTTGCTTTGTCCAGTTCCTGTCTCTTGCTCATCTATCGTTTTCAAGGTCACATTTTCTTCAACTTTATCGGCCACTGGCTCAACAATCAACGTGTTCTTCTTTCCTGACATGACCTTATACAATACTACCTGTAGCCAAGTAGAAATATTATGATAAAGAATGTTTTTCAACTCAGTAAAAATTGTTTCTAAAGTAGAAAATGAGCACGAATAACTTACGATCAAGACAACAATAATAACGAATGCCAAAAAGGAACCAACAGCAATACCAGCAATATGGGCTGTAGTTAACTTTTTTTCTTTAGTGGGGGGGACTGGCATTGATGTATTTGTGATTGTTGAAGTTGGCCAGGAAGATAAAGTAAAAGTTGTAACGGTGTGGCTTGAGTAACTATATTGGAGCGAGTTGTTGAAGTTGTACCAGTGGTGCTTGACATTAATGAATTTAAATTAGAGTACATTGTACTTGATGTTTTTGTGATTGCTGAGTTGAATACAGTTGATGAAAATATACTAGCAGTTACAGTACTATTTGAGGTACCAGTTACAGTACTATTTGATGTCGATGAACTGGTTGGAGTTGATGCAGTTGCTCCGGAAATTGTAGAATTGCTGGCTAAAAAAGAAGAAATTTACAATGTAGAAATTCATAACAAAATTATTAATAAATGTCCTGTGGTATTTCATAAACAAAAACAGAAAAAAATGTCTTTCTGGGTGTTAAGTTTTTAATGCTCTAATCACACATGGTATTAACGTTTGACGGGACGTTTAGTGGCGATCGTGTTTTAACTGTTTTTCTCTAAAGGATGAACCTTGAATCGAAAATTTAATCTAAAAATTTATCACGTCAACGCAAAAACGATAAACCAAACATTGATAGAGTGAAATGCGATATACAAAAGTGATTTTACAATAACCGCATGGAAGACATGGCAACGAGTAAACAAGGCAACAACATTAAAACGAAACAAAAAGACGTTTCAGTTTTAACTATAAATGAAGCAAAAGGAAAAAAAGTCATTAATCCCTCGCCTCTGTTAAAACTTACAAGAAATACTATTATTACTCATTACGCATTATTATTGAAGCAAGTACTAAAATAATGTAGAAGCTGAGCTTATAATTGCCATTTTACTAATACAACTGATAATATTTATAAGCACTTTCTTATTATATGAGTTAAATAGCATACATACCTGCAGACAATAATGGCCAACGAATCAAGATGAAAATTGCTGTCCAAATACGCATGGTTGACATCATGAAAAAGTATTTTAAAAGAAAGTACGCGAGCGGTTTGCTTTGTGAATTCTTGTATAATGATCAAGAATATTTCCGCAATATCAAATTACACTTTTCCAAACTCCGAGAGTTTGTGCGATGCGAGTGAAAATGCAAAGCAATGAAAGCAATTCTATTTGTCCTGAAACAAAAGCAAAAAGACTTAGAAATGCAAGTTAAGCAAGAGATAATTCTTCAGGCTTTCTCCCAATAATTAAATAAATTGTTCCACACTTTTTCCTAATTCCTTGACTGAACGTCAAGATTGAAGATTGGAGAGTATATTATTTTAGACAAAAGGGCGTGGTATTTCGTACGTTTCTCCGAAAACTTTGGTAAACAATAATGTTTCACGGCAGAAATACATCAACGACAAATAAGTTCCTATAACAGATCAAAGTTCGTTGGATAAATCACGGTCATCATCCCGTCTTGCTCAGAACAGGCCACCAAAGATTGAATCTTATTTTAGTTTACAGGAATTAACAATTTAGGTTTAAGAGAATTTGGACGTTATATTGGCAACTTATAAATATATTTTACTTAAATGTAAACATATTTTTATTTTAGGTGGTATTATTAGCTATGTAATTTCCCTTAACTTATTCCAGGTATATTTACTTCGATTCACCAGCCGATCAGGATTAGACCAATCAGACACTTGAAATGACGTATGAATAAGTAAGATTTTACGTAAATTACTTGACGTATTTCAAAATATGAATACACCTTTCTGTATAGTCTCGCGGGCGTTTCCGTATTATTTTTCATAAGAAATGTAAAAATATTGACTTTCATTCTACTGTAAAAGAGACTTCATTACAGCTTAAAATCATGGTAACGTTTGAATTTTAATAAATTATAAGAATAATTGTATGATATAAAATAACATTGTACATGTTCCATTAAATTTAATAATTTATTGAGTAACAAAATCTGCAAGGCGTATAGGAATGTACGTTACCTACTAAACGATAACATACAATCCTTACCAAACCATGGTTTGTTATTTTAAATTTATTGAATTGTTTTATAGTGATATAAGATCATTTTCTTGTTTGCAGTTTCAGTACATTCTTCTGTTCAGTCGTCAAGGCAAATTACGTCTTCAAAGATGGTACACTGCTATGTCACAGAAAGACAAGAGAAAAATCACCAGAGAACTCATTTCTATTGTATTGGCTCGTAAACCTAAAATGTGCAGTTTCCTTGAGTACAGAGATCTTAAAATTGTGTATAAAAGGTTGGTATTTACATGCTATAAATTGTACACAAGTTATAAATTAAAAAGGATTGAAATTGTCTGAAAAATTGACTCTTGTTTCTATCATTCATTTTTTTCATGTTTCATCAAAATTACACAAGTAAAAAGACTCTAGACTGAACAGTTATGATTTTTGTCATGAAGATTTTTGTGTTAACAGAGAATTGCAACACAGGGATATTTGTTTTTTCACTTTTGTCAAAATGTCTTCAAAATTCTAGCAGAATGTCAATTGAATACTACCTACAAGTGCTACCTACATATTGTCATTCTAGTTAAGACAATCTTTATTGTTGTTTTTAATGCAAAATACAAAATATCAATTAACACAACTTATATTACGTTTGCATACCAGTATTGAAAATTCTGCATTGAATCATGCAAATTTCTTTTTCTTTTTTCTTGTTGAATGGCAATTTATTTTTGTCATACTGATTTTCTTGTTGTATTCCAGGTATGCAAGTTTGTACTTTGTTGCAGCGATAGAAAACAGTGATAATGAATTGATTACACTTGAAATAATCCACAGATATGTTGAACTTTTGGACAAGTACTTTGGAAGTGTAAGCTATTTATCTCGTTGTTTTTAAAAATTAGTCAAAAACAAGTCTATTTATTTGTACATTCACACAGGTGTGTGAACTGGATATAATATTCAACTTTGAAAAGGTAAAAACAGGAATATTTTATGGTGTTTTTTTGTGATAAATTGTTGATTAAAAATTTGGTTGAAACAGTATGAAGTAAATTTATAGGCTTACTATATGTTGGATGAATTAATTCTTGGTGGGGAGATTCAAGAAACAAGTAAAAAAAATGTATTGAAATCTATCCAAGCTCAAGACCTTTTGCAAGAAGTAAGAAAAAAAAGCTAAAACTTATTTTTGAGAAATAGTTGGTAATTTTACTTTATGAGTTTTGCTTTCAGGAAGGTGAAATACGAAGTGCATTGGAAGAAATGGGTTTATCGTGACATTGACAAGAGCTTTCTAGATCTCATGAAATCATGTGATTGTAAATGTTTCCTAAACTTTGAATCATTAAAGATGTTTAGGCACATGTATTATTTGGACTAGTGAAATAGAATCTAAAATTTTGGTTAACATGTTGGGTTCAGTAGTGGCATTTGCAGACTGCGAATAACACTTTAGTCAAGATTCAGTGCTAGTGAAATATAAAGCACATTTTCAGAGATATTTGACATTTATTTCAGTAGTACTTTGCAAGTCAGCGAAATATGGCTGATTATACCGAAAAGATGAAACTGGCCAATGTTTGTTAACAGAGAAGTTTCTCGATGTCTGGTTACAGTGTACTTGTTATCTGTGATAAACAGACCATGAATAACTTCCGTTCTTACGGCGTGCAATTTACCTTGAGATGACCTTATTTTGCCAAAAATAAGCTTCCCTTTACTTTTGTCATAGGTCTTGAGTGCTTGATTCAAACGTTTACTTTCGAAGGGAATCATCGTTGCGAATGTTTTAAGAACTTGTACCACGTTTTGCTTACGCCAACTCAAAACATTTGCAAAACAAAACCTAAAATGGTTCCGAAATTATTTCTCTCTTCGGGTTATTTTTCATTTATGCCAGGAAAAAGAATGTAAACACTTTAAGTACTATTTTTAGGAAGACAGACTTTGCTGAGAATTTCAGTTAGTTACATTTCAATTATTTTTTGTTGTTAAACAATACACTTTGGCTTATGTTGGCCAGAATTTTCTAATCATAATTATGTTCACTAAATAATGTTTAAAACAAAGCAATGAATCTAATTGTTGAAAAGTTTCCTTTCTTCATCAGACAGACAACATGTATTTTATCTTTTAATCTCTCAAGCGAAAGGTTTATCAACAATAAAGTCATCAAACGTGAGACGGATAAACCACATTCTTTTGGAAATATAGTCATTGATGAGTTAAATAAGTAGTAAGCACTTGCAAAAATATGTATTTCCAGTTGATATTTTAACGTCAATTATTGCAACATTTGACCCATATTGTTACTGTCTGTATAGTTTACTTTGACTTAAATAACTTTTAACTCATTATTTTAGTGCAATTTTGCCAATATCAGGAACAGCGATTCCTAGGAAATGTAATTAATTCGACTTACACTCTACATTGTTTTTCTGCATAATAATATGTTGAAGAAATTTTGTGGCGCCAACTAGACTTTATGAAGTGCCACAGAGGCAATATCTAAGAATATAATACAGAAACGACAAGACGTCAGATCAGGAGAGCTTTTTGAAGTATGTGCGTCAGTAACTTCCGCCTCAAAATACGATCTCTTTCCAATCATGAAGGACTTTTTCTATCTAGCAAACAATAATAGACAATACATTTATCACCCTTAAATGACAATAAATTTCATTGGCAAATATTGACAAATTTTATACTATTTTCTTCTTTCGCCTTCTCATATTGTTTTCAATGTTAAAGGCATGATCATTCTCGTTGATATGCTTGAATAATTTGTTCCGAGTTGAAAACGCCTTATTGCATACATTGCATCGTAAATTACCTCCATGTTCCGAACGTTCTTTTTTTGACTTGCGACGATTATTGTGTTCTTCAGAATTGAGTTTGTTTGTAATATTTAGCTGTTCGTCATCCTCTCTTTCTTGCTGCAATATCATTTCAACAATTTTTTTTTCGCATTCATCAAGACCACAGTCATCAACAACGTTCGTCATATTTTTGTCTTCACGACTTGCAACTTCTGACTGGATTTTATTGTTTGTTGTGTCTACCGATAGCTGTTCACGATGATCATGTTTATGTGCTAGCGTTTCACGATATGCTTTACAATTAGTGCTACGACGAGAATTTGATCGACTTCTACCATTGATATAAGCTGGAAGATCAAGAGAATCTCTCAGTCTTAAAGCATCCACATCAATTCGACTTTCTTCATCACCATTTTCCATCTCAATGTTTACTTTAATGACTAACTCCTCTTCATTTCTTTCTTTTTCAAGAGATTTTGTTTTCACCGTATCGTCTTCCATATGTTCTTTAATCAACGCCACTCTTTCACGATGCTTTTTCGATTTTTCATGGTTTTTCAGAGCTTTATCTGACTTGAATAATTTCTCGCATGCTACACAATAAAAGCCATGCACATGTACATCTTCGCTTTCTGATTGGCTACTTGAGTTGTCGTCCCCAAACTCCTCATTAATGTGCGCGGCAAGCTCTTTCCAATGTTTTTCCATATGGCAAGAAGAATTCCATTCCTGTTCCTGAAAATCTTTTATCTTTTTAAGTCTTTCCTTTTTCTCAACTTCACGTTTTTCTTTCAATAATAACATTCTTGCTCTCTCCTCAATTTCTCGCTTTTCTTTCTGAGCTTTAACTCGTTTGTCGCGCTTCTTAATGTGATGTACTAAATTTCTTATTTCTTCATTTCTTTCTTTCTTTGAGGCTTCACGAAGCTTCTTATTTTCTTTTTCCATAGCACGAAGAACTCTACGGTTAGCAGCTTGTCTTGTATCGTATTTCTCTTTCCAAACAAAACTTTTTAACGTACAATAACTCTGCCAATAATCGTAAAAACTTTTCACTTCTTCGAAAGGTGTATTAGAATTTCCAAACCCCGGTATTTCATTTAATGTTGATAGGTCATCCCCAAATTTCATATCTTCCTCGACTATTGTACTAAAAACAAATGAGTAAACCGCATAAAACCCTTTCTCGTCATCCCCAAAGCCTTTATAAGCAGATGGTTTAAAATAATGAATCAAATTTAGACCATCATCAACAAAGTCATCGCCATCGTTTAAAATTTGTTCACGATGACGATCGTACCACAATCTCTCTTGGCGATCAGATAGGACATCATACGCCTGCTGGATTTCTTGAAATTTTTCTTTCGCCTCTTCTGCATTTTCTACATTTTTGTCGGGGTGCCATTTCAAAGCCAACGAACGATAAGCTTTCTTTAAATCTAAATCTGTAGCATCTTTAGAAAGTCCTAAAACTTCATAATAACATCTCATTTCTTCAATCTATCCCGATAATTTTTTTCAGAAAACTAAAATGAAGCTTCTAGCTTTTGACAAATATTTTACTATGATTTCTACCGGCATTGCACACACATTGTCGGCCATCTTGGATTTGACCGAGAAGAGGACTGGAACTTGTAAAGTAAATAACGAACAGTCCAATCAGAAGTTCAGAACTAAGCTCCACAACGCACACAATTCTCCCGGTTCAACTCAATGGTTCAAACCAGTCAACTTAATATCAACTACGTATATTGTATTGTCATCGAAACTCACTTATTCCTTAGAAAAAATAAGTTGAAACTCACCTTATTCCGTAGAAAAAATAGGAAAAAACACAACCTGAACAAATAGCTTGAGTTAAAAGTGTTTTTTTAAGAAAACGCCGAAAAGGATGATGAGGAAAAGGGAAGGAAAAGGAAAATTATTCAAGTTTCCATTTCTTCAAGTTTAAAAATGTTTGTTTACCCGGAGAAATTTTTCATCTTCAGCTCATTGCCGATGACATGTCAAATAAACTAAAAAGAAACACACATATCTCACTCAGTCAATCTGTAAAGAAATACTTTGCACAGCATCCAAATTCAATTCCGCTAACACTTGTTTCACTTTACTCCAACCAACTTCGTCATTTTACGCATGAATTTCCATCCATTATCTTTTATTATCATTTTGTAACACAACACCTTGTAAAATTGTAAATAGTTTATATTCCATACGTTCATAGTATGGTAATCGCATATCATATAGTCTGATGACGTTAAGTAAAATTTCAAAAACATGTAAAAACTTACGCAATGACCTTTATGAAAATCTCGTGGTTTGGAACTCGTATTTTATTTTGGAATCAGAATTACAATCTATTAGATCCTAAGTAGCATAAATTGATGCACATCCCAGGATTCAATGCAACTTAAAAAATCATCGAGTACTGTATTTAAAAAACTGCTAATTTTTTAAAAAAAACGAAATCAAATTTGGCTGTTTAGCTTTGATGTTAAATCAAATACTTATTGAATGTCGACATTTTTCATTTCTTTCAATGCAATAATCAAAAAAAATAAATTAATAAGCTCGTTAATTAATGACTTTATGTGTCAAAGCTTCGTTCTTAATTTTTTCCATTTTTCAATTTAACGTGTTAAATTTTGAGAGGAACAGTTGCAGAAAACAAGAGACAATGAAAACTTCCGTCTGTCATCATCAAATTTAGAAATTGTTTCAGTACTGTTCATTGAAATTAGACGAATGCCAGTAGGTAAAAGTTAAGCCTGCTAACTAATACCTTCCTACTTGACAATAGAAGACTTATAATTAGTGTTTCATCTTTTTGTACATTCCAGAAAACTACAAGGGAGATTTATCAGAAATCAGGATGCACTTCATACCAAAATGAACTACGTAATAAGGAAATGTCATTTAATCAGTGATTATGACATCTCAAACAAAACACACCGACGCGTACATACGTAAAACTAGTCTGTCTAACATTTCAAATATGCGCCATTACTTTCCCTCTTTAGAGTTTAGAAGAGCTTTAAAACTGTCAATCTTCAGTCCATAACAACGGTTACTTAGCAACATCACATAATACACACTAGTTGTCATCACTAGCAACGGGAAGTATTGCTCGGGACCGGATAAAATAGGCCGTTTTGTGCTTATTCTCGACATAAGTCACGATGTATCGATCATATCAACCTATCACTCCGGCTAGTAATAAATTATTAAAGCAAAGATGGGACGATGCGTCTTTCGAAGAGCACAGAAGAAAGGTTTATGAACGCGCTTTGAATTCATCAAAATCGTCATTACGATATAGTAGTTAAATGTGATCTTTGATTTATTCTAGGTTGCTACATCAAAAGCTGTTGTTGATAATAAACCACCAAAGACATACATGCATCTTCACCTTAAATTAAAGAAACTACAGGTATTAAAATGTAGCATTTTATGTAAAGGCTTTTTCTGTGTCTTCAGACCGGAAACGAATATATAATATTGATCAGCACATAGTCATAGACACAACGTAATATTTAATTTTGGGTAGAAATATTGAAATGAGTGAAGAATAACAAATTGCTTTATTTTGTGAAGATCCAACAACAAAGTATTGTTTTGGCTGGTTCATTTGGCTGCGCATCAATCTCATATGAGAGCAAAAATCTTTTCTTCTGTATTTTCTATATTACTAGAGATTTTTATTTATAATTAATATTTTATTTCTTAAAATCGATGTGAATTTTTAGCATACGTTATATACAATTTTTAAAACGCCAATTGAACTAAAGCTTACAATAATTCGAATACTGAAAATGAAACGGTTTTTTTAGTCTTTACAAATTTTAAGTTTTGCTGTTTTTAAAACCATATATTTAGATTGAAGAAGAGCGTCTCGCTACAATAGAAAGGGATAATAGAATTTTACTTGAGAAAATGTCACAGATTATGAGGACAAAAGGACGAGTTGATAACTGGAATGATTACTCAGTAAAAAGTTTAAACAGAACAAAACGACAACAGGAGTTGCTTCGAGTTACACATGAAAACCAGGTAATTTAAGATTTTGTTATATAGTCAAATAAATTTAGTCAGACACTATAACCCGCAAAAAAGCCCCGTTAACTTCAATTTCAAATGTCAACAACTGAAATGAAAATATGCACAGTTAAATGCATAGACATGAGTTGTGATGGTTACGACAAAAAAATAATCGCGCTTTTGCAGGTTACATAATGAAAACCTTACGTAACTATTGTATTTTTAGGCGATTTTGAAACGAGTCTTAGCACAAAAACCCGTCTATAATCACGGAAAATGGGTAAGTTAACCATTTGTTCATTGTGTCAAAATTGCATTTAAGAGAAAGGAGCGATGAAAAAATGTCCTGTCTAGTTACGTTGAAAAGTATATTCGATTATATAAAGACCTCAAATCGTTTTCCATTTCAACCGGCTTGTCATGTTAACTCACTGCATGAAATCAATCCATATTAGTCATAAAATTATGATATAATGAACAGTTATACAAAGTATAAATTGCCAAAATATTTTCTGTTTCCTGTAAAGAAAATAAGGTGATATATACAATCAAAGATACTTTACTTTTTGTCTAGGAGGAGGATTATCTGGAAAAAGAAAGTTATATGGAAAGTATTTCAAAATACCCTAAAGAATGGTACAAGATAAGTTTTCAGAAGAAAAAATCAAGAAAAAATGGCGCTAATAAAAAATTGAAATTGTCATCAAAAGATGGAAGATCATCAACTGAAGATGACAAATCATCGTGTTCAACAAGTATTAACAAAGAAGAAAATGTGTTAAAAACGCCGCACCATGGAAAGACTGTTCATAAAAAGGACGGAGACAACGAAACAGCCCACGAAAATCTTACCAAATATGATGACGAGAAAGCAGAAATTGCAGACAACAAGAAGTCGGATGAAGAAAACGAGAAACAAAATGATAAAAAATCAAATGATTTTATAACAAATCCAGAACAAACGGAAGAAAAATCACACGGTAATACAGAAACAGATGAGAAAGAAAAGAAAACAGAAAATCCATTAAAACAAAATGAGAAAATAGGCAACGAGGAAAAAGCACTAGAAGCAGATGACGAATTATCTAATGAGATATAGAGATGAACAACATAGTTAAAGATGCTACATATGACCAAAAGAAAATGATATTGATTACTTATCACAAAACTTATATATACATCTTAAATTGACGCTTTGTACATTTTATGACTATTTTTTTGTATTATGCTTATGTTTATGTTTCAAATGTTGTCAATAATTTATAAAATCTTGACATAGGGTTATCGTTTCCTAATAAAAAAGCTTCATCGAAATTTTACATAGTCAGTGTCCATTGATTTTTCTATGTAGCAACGAGATCTTTAACTCTACTATCTTTAAGACAAGAACATCATGAAGCTAGATTCACAACACTAGGTAAAAAAACATGTTGATAGGATATAATGTGAACAATTTTTACACCTACATAAGATTGAGTTTCAATAAACAACGTTATCTTTTCAAACCAGAAAAAAGAATGTTTTTAGCATTGGAGTACAAAATAAACCGAGAAAAAAAATTGATGAGACAGAAGGCAAAATATAGCGCCATGTTTAAATCACGAGTTTTATGTGTTTTCCATAAAAACAGGTGCTGTGAAAAAAATTTCACAAGAATAGCATTGGCACTTTTTTTTACTAAAGATTATATCAAGAAATCTTTCTAGATTAAGCGCATTATTCTATTATCATAAAATGTATGTTCACACTGGCGCCAGTCGTCTTGGATAAGATTGGGTAATTAGCATTCCTTGTACGTGTTCATATTTTTTATGCTTACAAGAAAACTGAAAGACAGATAAAAATATGTAAATAGCAATGAAAAATACATTTGATACAAAAACTCAAAAAGAATAAAATTCTAAGAAACATTCTAAAAATCGCAAAGCAAAATTACATAGTTTGTTAGAGAAAATTAAAAACTGAAAAATGTAAAATGAAGAAAAATAAGAAAAATAATGCTTGGTCATGTAAATTGTTTGTCCTCTCTGTTCAGTCGTCACAAATAAAAATATTGTCAATTTCAATGTGAGTTCCTTAAGTTGTAATTTGTCAACTTGATCAAAAGTTTTTAGATAATTTGATACAACATTAAAGTCCAATATTTCTGAATACTTGGGTAGGACTAATCTGAAATATTTCTTTTCGCAACGTGTTACAAGGGTTATTCTACAAATTTTATACCATTTTGTAATGTAAGTACGCAAAGAAACGCTGAACGTAACATGATAACTGCTCTGTATCCGTTTCCTTTGTTGTACAGCGCTACTTATAACTAAATTGCATTCTGCAATCCTGTATTGAATACATCCAATTTCTTTTCTCTACAATAGCTCTCCCGTTTATCTAAGTATGTTTTGTATTGTTTTGAAGTGCTTAGTCTCCACGATGCCATAATGACGTGTATGGCATCTTCAAAGAGGTCATACCTGTCTAGGTTTTCCCAGATAAGAAGCAGAATATGAGCTGGACTTTCTCCCAAATGAGATGAATGTCCTGTTGACTGCTTGACAGATGACTAGATTTAGAAGTTCTTTGCAAGCTTTGATACAAATTGCTTCCCTTAATCATAATTTGGGAGGCATACCAGTACCGTTTAGGCCAGTTCGATAATATACATTTTCCCACAGTTTCTTCACTTTGAATCTTTGAGAACAAAGCAATTATAACACAAAAAGGAGGAAAAGCGTAAAATCGTATGTTTCCTCATGATAAGGTGAATGCATCAATTGTACGATCGTCTGGACGGTATGCCGCGTACTTTGGAAATTTCTTGTTGACCTGACAGGAAAATAAATTTCTAGAGTTCATCTTTCTAGGGTTCACAGTAGCTTTGCCAACGAGTGTGAGAGAACCGATTCATCAAACGTTCACTTGAATTCCCTTTCTTGTTGCCTTGATTCAAAATTGTTAACAATATTTTGTTTGCCAGAAATGTGAGCAATACCAATCCAGATCTCTAAAAAAAATAACTCCAGATGTTTTTACTTTTATACCATTCTCAAATCTTCTGCGTCATAGTATTACAAATGTCAGAATGGCTTCTATCCATATGATTTATGTTTATTGGTGTTGTGTTGTAACACAGTTTTCTGACGTACGTCTTCTCGCAAAGGTCTTTAGACTTTGTTAAATAGCTAACATTTATAGATAGTTAATGTGGTTTGTAGACTCTGATTTTATCCACGCCCCATCTGTGGATTTTTCTTGATAAACAGTCGCTCCACATTGAGAGGGAAGCATCAGTGGTAAATATACGCTGGGACTCCTCCCTTGATACATTGAGAGGGAAGCATCAGTGGTAAATATACGCTGGGACTCCTCCCTTGATACATTGAGAGGGAAGCATCAGTGGTAAATATATGCTGGGACTCCTCCCTTGATACATTGAGTGGGAAGAATCAGTAGTAAATATACGCTGGGACTCCTCCCTTGATACATTGAGAGGGAAGCATCAGTGGTAAATATACGCAGGGACTCCTCCCTTGATACATTGAGAAGGAAGCATCAGTGGTAAATATACACTGGGACTCCTCCCTTGATACATTGAGAAGGAAGCATCAGTGGTAAATATACACTGGGACTCCTCCCTTGATACATTGAGAGGGAAGCATCAGTGGTAAATATACACTTGGACTCCTCCCTTGATACATTGAGAAGGAAGCATCAGTGGTAAATATACGCAGGGACTCCTCCCTTGATACATTGAGAGGAAGCATCAGTGGTAAATATACACTGGGACTCCTCCCTGATACATTGAGAGGGAAGCATCAGTGGTAAATATACACTGACTCCTCCCTTGATACATTGAGAGGAAGCATCAGTGGTAAATATACACTTGGACTCCTCCCTTGATACAATGAGAAGGAAGCATCAGTGGTAAATATACGCAGGGACTCCTCCCTTGATACATTGAGAGGGAAGCATCAGTGGTAAATATACACTGACTCCTCCCTGATACATTGAGAAGGAAACATCAGTGGTAAATATACACTGGGACTCCTCCCTTGATACATTGAGAGGAAGCATCAGTGGTAAATATACACTTGGACTCCTCCCTTGATACATTGAGAAGGAAGCATCAGTGGTAAATATACGCAGGGACTCCTCCCTTGATACATTGAGAGGGAAGCATCAGTGGTAAATATACACTGGGACTCCTCCCTTGATACATTGAGAGGGAAGCATCAGTGGTAAATATACACTGGGACTCCTCCCTTGATACATTGAGAGGAAGCATCAGTGGTAAATATACACTTGGACTCCTCCTTGATACATTGAGAAGGAAGCATCAGTGGTAAATATACGCAGGGACTCCTCCTTGATACATTGAGAGGGAAGCATCAGTGGTAAATATACGCTGACTCCTCCTTGATACATTGAGAGGGAAGCATCAGTAGTAAATCTACGCTGGGACTCCTCCCTTGATACATTGAGAAGGAAGCATCAGTGGTAAATATACACTGGGACTCCTCCCTTGATACATTGAGAAGGAAGCATCAGTGGTAAATATACGCTGGGACTCCTCCCTTGATACATTGAGAAGGAAGCATCAGTGGTAAATATACACTGGGACTCCTCCTTGATACATTGAGAGGGAAGCATCAGTGGTAAATATACACTTGGACTCCTCCTTGATACATTGAGAAGGAAGCACCAGTGGTAAATATACACTGGGACTCTCCCTGATACATTGAGAAGGAAGCATCAGTGGTAAATATACACTTGGACTCCTCCCTTGATACATTGAGAAGGAAGCATCAGTGGTAAATATACACTGGGACTCCTCCCTTGATACATTGAGAGGGAAGCATCAGTGGTAAATATACGCAAGGACTCCTCACTTGATACATTGAGAAGGAAACATCAGTGGTAAATGCATCTACTAAGTTTGCAAATTCTTACACGGGAGTATTCTTCGATACAGCCAAAAACCACAAATTTGTTATTTGTAAAATTGCAAACATCGCCTCGAGTACTGTTTGTTGTAAGTCGAACAACCGCACATTTTACTTTTTTTGTTTGCATTTAACAATTATCATATATCCGAGTAGACGTTCTTGCACTACACATCTGGAAATTTTTCGGTCAGGTATATTTCCTTAAGATTAACTTTAATTTTTCAGTGTTTATTTGTTGGCCTTATCGTTTTTACACAATGTTCGACAACTTTCGTGTTACATCATGACGTGTGGTTTCATCATACGACAGACATTTCGCAAGGTCGTCTACGAAATCATAAACTTCCACAAAAGCTTCATCCCTCTGCGTTTTTTATATCTATCCGTGAACATTTTTCTCAGCACTGAGTACAAGATTTGCAAACACGTCTTCGCTCTCATCGGTATGAATGCTTATATAACACCAGAAGACATCAGAATGTTTATAGCATCTTGACATTATCATTTGCCTCAACTTCTTACAGAAGTCCATCGTAACTTTGTTGTATGGCTGTAGACTTATGAGTGTCTAGCATAAAATACTCTTTAGCTCCAGGCTGTCATTTGGTGGTTCAAATGTCTCTCAAATGCTTATGCGCATCTAATGGACCTTTTAGTGACATGGACTTAAATCTTATAAAGCAGGCTTTAATAGTCATATATAAATGATTTTGGTAATTTTCCGTTATATTTTATTTCTACGCAAGGAATGATTAATTTCAAAGTATTGCACGCAAAATTGCATTAAAATATTTATAATTAATTTTTGGATAAATTAGGATGTTATGATGCGAGAAAAGGCAATTAGTGTTGTAAAATACGTCACAAACAGCTAACTGTTTAGTTACTTTTAAGAAACATTTCTCAAGTGTATACAGTTGATTATAAAATGCATCGGGCATATCAACCGATTACACCAGCAAATAATATGTTATTGAAAAAACGATGGGATAATAGCAGATACAACGCACATCGTTATAAGGTCAGCAGATTTTTAAACTTAAATTAAATAAAATGAAAACACTTTATGTTAGAGTTTTTAAACCTGCAGGTTATTCATTCGCTACCAGTGATCGATAACAAACCACCGGAAACATACATTCATCTACATATCAACTTAAAGAAAATGCAGGTCAGATTATAGTTACATTTTTCACCTTGTAGATAAACAACATTGAGAACTGTTGAAAACATAGGAGGAGATGATTCTTTCAATTTTTAGCCCATATATAATAAAATTGTGCCCACAATTTTTTGTTTTTTGAAAGTGTGTTTACATAAGAGAATAAAAACAAAAAGATGGCATGCGTTTAAACCTGCGACAAAAATAAAAGTAAAGATTACTTTTTATAACGACTTTTACATAGAAACAAGAAGAAAGATCTGCTCTCATAAACAAAGAAAACCGTCTGTTACTCGAGAAGATGAGTTCAATAATGCGAACTAAAGGTTCCGTGGATCACAATAACAACTATCAATTAAGAAGTTTAAACAAAACGAAAAGACAACGTGAACTTTTGCGATTAACTCATGAAAATCAAGTAAAAAATAAAATTATACAATAACCAGCGTCATGTCGTGGCGAAACATTGTTCGATGTTGTTTTATTTTCCTCTTTAGGCTATTCTAAAAAGACTTACATCAAAGGAACCTCATTATAATCATCTGCAATGGGTTGGTAAAGAAATAAAATCATTTAATGTGATAAAGCCACAATCATGTAAATATTTTGGTTCGTATTCTTATCTTTCACAGGAAGAAGAATGGCAAATGAACAAAATTTATATGAACAATATTTGTAAATATCCTCGAAGAGAATCTGGTAGAAAAACACGACAGACAGTAAAAAGTAGTTTAGCTACTAAGTCAACGATAGAGCAACAATCAGACAAAATGATCAAACAAAAATAAAACAAGAAACACTAAGTTCAAAAATATGACTGTAAGAAAGTAGAACTTTTCTTAATGTGTAAATATTTCAATTCATTTCTCCGCGCCATTTCCGTACGAAAAAAGTTTCTACGTCTATAAATCCAAGCCGCATCGTTATAACGAGATAAATCTTATATCTATGTAACCACAATCACCAGATATATATAACTAAGAAGAAAATGTCAGTATAACAATAAAACATACACTAACCTACTATCATACTGATGAAGAAGATTGTTTTTGCTTCTTTGGAGTGCAAATATTCATCTAAAAACAAGAACATTCTTTTATAAATATTTAGAAAGCGGGACGACAACAATTTTGTTAAAGAAAAGATCTTTAACGACAAACAAACCTTATCAACTTTCTCCATGAATTTTTCATATTCGCTTTCGTAAAATTGAAAAACTTCATCACAGTCCTGAAGAAAATGAAAAATAATAAAAATGTACAGTTGCAAAGAATACATTTTATCATTGTTAAAAAATATTGATAATTAAATGATTTCAATTAAAAAATGAACGTACCTTTCTAACAATATGTCCAGTGGGATTGTATTTGCAGCAATTTGACTTGACTAACAACATGTCTTTATGAAAATCTGAAGGATCATTATACTCACCAGTCTAAAACCATGATAACATAAACGATAATGGTAATGGCCAAAAAAGAAAGCAATCCTAGTGTGTACCCAAGCTGTCCTACAGTGTATTCTAGCTATTCTAGTGTGTACCAAGCTATCCTACAGTGTATTCTAGATATTCTAGTGTGTACCCAAGCTATCCTACAGTGTATTCTAGCTATTCTAGTGTGTACCCAAGCTATCCTACAGTGTATTCTAGCTATTCTAGTGTACCCAAGCTATCCTACAGTGTATTCTAGATATTCTAGTGTGTACCCAAGCTATCCTACAGTGTATTCTAGCTATTCTAGTGTGTAACCAAGCTATCCTACAGTGTATTCTAGCTATTCTAGTGTGTATCCAAGCTATCCTAGTGTGTATCCCTGCCATTCTCACTTAAAATAATGGTGCTTTGTTCGATCGACATTTCACTTTGTTCGCAAAGTTGTAAACGACAACTTGCCTCTAACTTTGTCTTGATTGTTCCAAAGTCCATGGGAGTTTTAATCAGTTTAAAATAACCGGGCGCTTCAGCTGGAACAACTAAGAAAATAAATAATAAAGCAAAGTTCAGGACTAAATGAAATGAAAAAATTTCTGTCGCTTAATCAGTCAATAAAACAATCTTTTATATTTGACATCATTTTTTTATAAATACCATAATAAAATGTCTCGTTTTTTATCATTCAGAAACAATGACTCAACATCATTAATTGGTCAGACATATAAACTTTTTAAGTCAACTGCCAACCTTTCATCATGTTAATTAAAAACTTAAGTTAAAGAAAACCATAATCTCACACGACATAACTGTTTTAAATATATCTTACCAGGCTTTAAAAACCACGATGCAGCACTTCTGGCATTTTTTGATCGTGGGCTCCCGCGATACCGCGATACTTTGTGTAACAACCTAAAAGATATTGCAAGAAAAGGTTAATTGTGTTCACCGCAAATATGCAAAGACACGATGTCGCGTTGTCTTTGGTCGGTGGAATCTTTGTTTGCAGACGTGCTTATAACAATTACGATTCACGTCGAAACAGTTCAACGACCATATTGAACATATAAAAATTAAACTCCTAGTCGTGCAAACAGACATTACTTTAGAAAAAAATATCAAAGCCGTTTGTTCCATTTACATCCAATCAATGTAAATTCACTATTTTATCACTATTTAAGAACATGGATGTCGAGCAAAATCAACATTATACTTACTGTAGTGCTCCCCTGACCCAGCCAGGAGGATGCAAAGATATGTCACGAGGTGGGGGAGCTTTACGTTTTCTATTACTGCTACGAATGCATTCAAAAAGCTGACAACCGCTGACATCATTGCTCGAAGTAGAGTGCTGAAAACTACTGACATCAGTTTTTGAACTGGAGTGATCAACAGACGAGTCAATTGTCTGCATTGAACTCAGCGTTTTTTCAGAACTCGGCATGATATCAACATTAACCAATCCTCGTTGCGTTGAATCGCTTTCTGGTAAATTGTTTTCAAGTCTAACAACTGCAGTTCTCTTAAAACTTGTCTCTTCAGTTTGTAATGATTTCATCTGTTTATCGGAGACATTTTCCCCGGTTGATGTATCTTTCAAGCATATGGTCTCTTTATCCGAGATATTTTCCCCGGTTGATGTATCTTTCAAGCATATGGTCTCTTTATCCGAGATATTTTCCAATGTTGATGTATCTTTCAAGCATGTGGTCTCTTTATCCGAGATATTTTCTCGGGTCGATGTATCTTGTAAACACGTGGTCTGTTTATCCGAGACATTTCCCCCGGTTAATGTATCTTTCAAGCATATGGTCTCTTTATCCGAGACATTTTCTCCGGTTGAAGTATCTTGTAAACATGTGGTCTGTTTATCCGAGACATTTTCTACGGTTGAAGTATCTTGTAAACATGTAGTCTGTTTATCCGAGACATTTTCTCCGATTGATATCTCTATAGTCGGCACAGTCAAGCCCCCAGGGTATAGTATTAAGTCAGCTGATGTCTCCAAACAACCATCCTCAGTTTCAAGTGGAAGTACTTTAGTAGAATTATCATTCTTAGTCACTTTAACCACATCAATGTCTTCAACAGTCATATTTTCATTCCTGTCGACACGATTTTCTGTTAATAAGTTTATTTTCTGTGATATAGGATGATCTGTACCGCTCCGGATAATTTGTTTCTGTTCTGTCTCTTTTGCGTCATTGTACTTTGGTCGGCCATTTCACATGTCTCGTTGAGATTTTTCAAAACATTACTAAATTCAGTATTTTTCTCTTTATATTGATTGGAAAAACCGGCTTTTTGAACATGCATTTCATCATGAGTTGAATCATTTTCTCTTTCATTAATAGGAAAATAACTTTCGTTTTTAGGATAAACATTTATTGGAGAACCAAACGATAACGAAGCACGTGATATACCAATATTCTCAGAATTCTCTTTAAGTAAGTCGCAATTTTCTTTGTCCGTTTCTTTCTTATTGAAATCAAACTGAGTATTAGAAAGTAATTCATTCACCAATGGTGAGAGATCAATTGTTTTAGAAACAGTGTCACTTCTTTCATTTGAGCTACAAACACTATCGTGTTCCTTTAACGATGGTTCTGTTGCAAGATCTTGTAAGTTTTGTTCCATAAGTACAACGTTTGATGATACTAAAATATTTTTACTGGATGAGCTCGACATGCTGTTTGTTTTAAACAACTTTTCTTGGAATTCCTACAGAAGGAAAAATCAGGAATCAAAGAATAGTCCAAGAAAAATTAAAAAATACATGAGTACATTACAAAATTTTAACATCGTGCTAAACAGGTAATCAAAGCATTTTGAATTTTCAATTTTGTCCAAATTAAAAATAAAATCTCGCCATTGTTACATATAATGAAAGAAGAAATACAACGTCAGTATGTAGAACCTATATTTCTCATTTTTTTTTGTGATCAGGATTCCTTTCTATAATATTACAAACACGGTAAAATAATATAGGTTAATTTGATACTCAATTGTACATAAATACAAATGAAGTGTTGTTTTTAAATCAATCGCTGTTATTTAACAATATTTATCGTTTGTTTGATAAATGAAGATAAATTTCTTTCTTTTGGTGTAACTCGTCTCAATCATTTGTTGCATTTTATGAATATAAAGTATGTCAATTTTTTACCTCCGAGATATTTTCGTCACATTCGAGAGAAATAGGACAGGAGTCTGTTGCTTTAGAAAGAGATTTCACGGGTGATGATGGGATAAAAGGTAGACTTGAAGGTGATGTTACCAATGTTAATATATCATTAACTGGTGATAGACTTTCCCTTTGAAATAAACAAATTGTTAACATTATGCTTCTTATGCTCATATACAAATTCAAATTAATGGTTGTACAACAATATGCACCACCTGTGAAATCTACCACAACCCTCCTTCCCCAAAGAAAATACGACCGTATTAAAATAGATCCCCAAAACATGCAAAACAAAATATTTTATCAAATACTTAAATTTGGATATCAAAATTTTCTTAGAATTTAAGTTGAAACCATCAAGGAAAGAAATATAAACCTCTGGTGTATATTGTCCAAAGATTTTGAAGATATGGGACTAGAATCTTGAGAGGAAACAGGTGATTTTGAAAAATGAACAGGGGAGATAGCGGCATCTCTAAATAAAAACAAAATTGTAAAATAATAGTTTTTCATGCAGTGTTCTAATAAAATCATTTCTAAAATTTAAAAAACATTTGAATAGCACACACCGTTTCGTTTCCGTGTTTCGTTTAGTTGCCACGGAAATAGTCGAAGATGATTTTGTAACTGTGCCGGACAAACCCGATTTTAAAGACTGGGGCGGGTGAAGTGACGTAGGAATTGCAACTTGCGATGAAGTAACAAGGCCAGACACAACAGGACGGGTAATAGTTGACACCGTACACTTTACAGGAGCGGGTAATATAGAAGGAAGTTTTCTTACCGGAGATTTTTGAAGAGAAGAAACAGTTTTCGGAAGAATTGTAGGTAAAGTGCGTCTCGATACAGAAACTGTTTTACCAAATTGCATCGTAGTTGAACCAACATTTTTCGATGAGTTTGTCTAACAAAGATATCAAAATGATAAATTGTGGTATGTTAAATTATACACATCTCAAACAAACCTGACTGAGTTGTTTGGACTGAATAGTCGTTTTTAAAGTAGCAAGTGATGTCCTTGGAGCAACGGTAATGCTTGTTGCATTATGTCTTGTAATAACGTTGGCTTTACTTAATGAATTTGCTGTTTCATTACCTGAAATCAAACAATCACTTGTAATTACAAAATCCAATAAAAAAATCACAATAAACATATGTACCATTGATAAAACTTTATGTATTGAAAAACATCCAACTTTTTATTCTACACAATTGGATACATTTTCAGCATATAACAAACTTACATTTCTTGGAAATCGATAACAATGGTTGGGTTACATTTTGAGCAAAAGAAGTTACACTTTTCACTTTCATTGATGTTGAAACTGCTGTCTGAATTTTCGTTCCTTTCGTTTTGTTCAGATTTAAATTCATGCGATTGCTGTTTCCGCTGACCACTGATGCATGAGCCTTAAAAATAAGGGGAATCGTGTAATTAACAAGGAATACTAAAGGATGGTAATAAGTAACAAGGGATAACCGAGGATTTAATGTTTAAATACCTGAAGACAACTGGCAGGTAAAGGTGCAACATATTTATTTGTGGCAACTGAAACAGACGATTTATTTGGTCCCGTAATTTTCGATAGACCATTATGTTTTTGTTCTTGTTTAATTGACATTGTTGGTTTTGTTGAAATTGTTGTGCTCGTCTGACAAACTGACGTAGAAGTTACACCAATTGTATTCTGTAGCAATAATCAATAAAAAAATGCCTGAAAGTTATGCCAAGTGGGGTTGGTTATTCTGTTTTATGAAAAATTCATTACTTTTGTTATTCTACACAACTGTAATTCATTAAACTTACATAACACTTAAAACATACTGCCTCAACATACAACAACATGTTTATAGTGACTTTCTCAACATACATCTACATGTTTATAGTGACTTTCTCAACGTACATCTACATGTTTATAGTGACTTTCTCAACATACATCTACATGTTTATAGTGACTTTCTCAACATATATCTACATGTTTATAGTGACTTTCTCAACGTACATCTACATGTTTATAGTGACTTTCTCAACGTACATCTACATGTTTATAGTGACTTTCTCAACGTACATCTACATGTTTATAGTGACTTTCTCAACGTACATCTACATGTTTATAGTGACTTTCTCAACGTACATCTACATGTTTATAGTGACTTTCTCAACGTACATCTACATGTTTATAGTGACTTTCTCAAAGTACTACAACATGTTTATAGTGACTTTCTCAACATACATCTACATGTTTATAGTGACTTTCTCAACATACATCTACATGTTTATAGTGACTTTCTCAACATACATCTACATGTTTATAGTGACTTTCTCAACATACATCTACATGTTTATAGTGACTTTCTCAAAGTACATCTACATGTTTATAGTGACTTTCTCAACATACATCTACATGTTTATAGTGACTTTCTCAACGTACATCTACATGTTTATAGTGACTTTCTCAACATATATCTACATGTTTATAGTGACTTTCTCAACGTACATCTACATGTTTATAGTGACTTTCTCAACATACATCTACATGTTTATAGTGACTTTCTCAACATACAACAACATGTTTATAGTGACTTTCTCAACATACATCTACATGTTTATAGTGACTTTCTCAACATACATCTACATGTTTATAGTGACTTTCTCAACATACATCTACATGTTTATAGTGACTTTCTCAACATACATCTACATGTTTATAGTGACTTTCTCAACATACATCTACATGTTATAGTGACTTTCTCAACGTACATCTACATGTTTATAGTGACTTTCTCAAAGTACAACAACATGTTTATAGTGACTTTCTCAACATACATCTACATGTTTATAGTGACTTTCTCAACGTACATCTACATGCTTATAGTGACTTTCTCAACATACATCTACATGTTTATAGTGACTTTCTCAACGTACATCTACATGTTTATAGTGACTTTCTCAACGTACATCTACATGTTTATAGTGACTTTCTCAACATACATCTACATGTTTATAGTGACTTTCTCAACATACATCTACATGTTTATAGTGACTTTCTCAACGTACATCTACATGTTTATAGTGACTTTCTCAAAGTACTACAACATGTTTATAGTGACTTTCTCAACGTACATCTACATGTTTATAGTGACTTTCTCAAAGTACTACAACATGTTTATAGTGACTTTCTCAACGTACATCTACATGTTTATAGTGACTTTCTCAACATACAACTACATGTTTATAGTGACTTTCTCAACGTATATCTACATGTTTACAGTGACTTTCTCAACATACAACAACATGTTTATAGTGACTTTCTCAAAGTACAACAACATGTTTATAGTGACTTTCTCAACGTACATCTACATGTTTATAGTGACTTTCTCAACATACATCTACATGTTTATAGTGACTTTCTCAACATACATCTACATGTTTATAGTGACTTTCTCAACATACATCTACATGTTTATAGTGACTTTCTCAACATACATCTACATGTTTATAGTGACTTTCTCAACGTACATCTACATGTTTATAGTGACTTTCTCAACGTACATCTACATGTTTATAGTGACTTTCTCAACGTACATCTACATGTTTATAGTGACTTTCTCAACATACAACAACATGTTTATAGTGACTTTCTCAACGTACATCTACATGTTTATAGTGACTTTCTCAACATACATCTACATGTTTATAGTGACTTTCTCAACATACAACAACATGTTTATAGTGACTTTCTCAACATACATCTACATGTTTATAGTGACTTTCTCAACATACATCTACATGTTTATAGTGACTTTCTCAACATACATCTACATGTTTATAGTGACTTTCTCAACATACAACAACATGTTTATAGTGACTTTCTCAACATACATCTACATGTTTATAGTGACTTTCTCAACATACATCTACATGTTTATAGTGACTTTCTCAACATACATCTACATGTTTATAGTGACTTTCTCAACGTACATCTACATGTTTATAGTGACTTTCTCAACATACATCTACATGTTTATAGTGACTTTCTCAACATACATCTACATGTTTATAGTGACTTTCTCAACGTACATCTACATGTTTATAGTGACTTTCTCAACATACATCTACATGTTTATAGTGACTTTCTCAACGTACATCTACATGTTTATAGTGACTTTCTCAACGTACATCTACATGTTTATAGTGACTTTCTCAACGTACATCTACATGTTTATAGTGACTTTCTCAACATACATCTACATGTTTATAGTGACTTTCTCAACGTACAACAACATGTTTATAGTGACTTTCTCAACGTACATCTACATGTTTATAGTGACTTTCTCAACATACATCTACATGTTTATAGTGACTTTCTCAACATACAACAACATGTTTATAGTGACTTTCTCAACATACATCTACATGTTTATAGTGACTTTCTCAACATACATCTACATGTTTATAGTGACTTTCAACATACAACAACATGTTTGTAGTGACTTTCTCAACGTACATCTACATGTTTATAGTGACTTTCTCAACATACATCTACATGTTTATAGTGACTTTCTCAACATACATCTACATGTTTATAGTGACTTTCTCAACATACATCTACATGTTTATAGTGACTTTCTCAACATACATCTACATGTTTATAGTGACTTTCTCAACGTACATCTACATGTTTATAGTGACTTTCTCAACATACAACAACATGTTTATAGTGACTTTCTCAATACACATCTACATGTTTATAGTGACTTTCTCAACATACATCTACATGTTTATAGTGACTTTCTCAACGTACATCTACATGTTTATAGTGACTTTCTCAACGTACATCTACATGTTTATAGTGACTTTCTCAAAGTACTACAACATGTTTATAGTGACTTTCTCAACATACAACTACATGTTTATAGTGACTTTCTCAACATACATCTACATGTTTATAGTGACTTTCTCAACATACATCTACATGTTTATAGTGACTTTCTCAACGTACATCTACATGTTTATAGTGACTTTCTCAACATACATCTACATGTTTATAGTGACTTTCTCAACATACATTTACATGTTTATAGTGACTTTCTCAACATACATCTACATGTTTATAGTGACTCTCAACATACATCTACATGTTTATAGTGACTTTCTCAACGTACATCTACATGTTTATAGTGACTTTCTCAACGTACATCTACATGTTTATAGTGACTTTCTCAACATCTACATGTTTATAGTGACTTTCTCAACATACAACAACATGTTTATAGTGACTTTCTCAACGTACATCTACATGTTTATAGTGACTTTCTCAACATACATCTACATGTTTATAGTGACTTTCTCAACATACAACATGTTTATAGTGACTTTCTCAACATACATCTACATGTTTATAGTGACTTTCTCAACATACATCTACATGTTTATAGTGACTTTCTCAACGTACATCTACATGTTTATAGTGACTTTCTCAACATACATCTACATGTTTATAGTGACTTTCTCAACATACATCTACATGTTTATAGTGACTTTCTCAACGTACATCTACATGTTTATAGTGACTTTCTCAACATACATCTACATGTTTATAGTGACTTTCTCAACATACATCTACATGTTTATAGTGACTTTCTCAACGTACATCTACATGTTTATAGTGACTTTCTCAACATACATCTACATGTTTATAGTGACTTTCTCAACATACATCTACATGTTTATAGGGACTTTCTCAACGTACATCTACATGTTTATAGTGACTTTCTCAACGTACATCTACATGTTTATAGTGACTTTCTCAACATACATCTACATGTTTATAATGACTTTCTCAACATACATCTACATGTTTATAGTGACTTTCTCAACGTACATCTACATGTTTATAGTGACTTTCTCAACGTACATCTACATGTTTATAGTGACTTTCTCAACGTACATCTACATGTTTATAGTGACTTTCTAAACATACATCTACATGTTTATAGTGACTTTCTCAACGTACATCTACATGTTTATAGTGACTTTCTCAACATACATCTACATGTTTATAGTGACTTTCTCAACATACATCTACATGTTTATAGGACTTTCTCAACGTACATCTACATGTTTATAGTGACTTTCTCAACGTACATCTACATGTTTATAGTGACTTTCTAACATACATCTACATGTTTATAGTGACTTTCTCAACGTACATCTACATGTTTATAGTGACTTTCTCAACATACATCTACATGTTTATAGTGACTTTCTCAACATACATCTACATGTTTATAGTGACTTTCTCAACGTACATCTACATGTTTATAGTGACTTTCTCAACATACATCTACATGTTTATAATGACTTTCTCAACATACATCTACATGTTTATAGTGACTTTCTCAACGTACATCTACATGTTTATAGTGACTTTCTCAACGTACATCTACATGTTTATAGTGACTTTCTCAACGTACATCTACATGTTTATAGTGACTTTCTAAACATACATCTACATGTTTATAGTGACTTTCTCAACGTACATCTACATGTTTATAGTGACTTTCTCAACATACATCTACATGTTTATAGTGACTTTCTCAACACACATCTACATGTTTATAGGGACTTTCTCAACGTACATCTACATGTTTATAGTGACTTTCTCAACGTACATCTACATGTTTATAGTGACTTTCTCAACATACATCTACATGTTTATAGTGACTTTCTCAACATACAACGACATGTTTATAGTGACTTTCTCAACATACATCTACATGTTTATAGTGACTTTCTCAACATACATCTACATGTTTATAGTGACTTTCTCAACATACAACAACATGTTTATAGTGACTTTCTCAACGTACATCTAAATGTTTATAGTGACTTTCTCAACATACATCTACATGTTTATAGTGACTTTCTCAACGTACAACAACATGTTTATAGTGACTTTCTCAACGTACAACTACATGTTTATAGTGACTTTCTCAACATACATCTACATGTTTATAGTGACTTTCTCAACATACATCTACATGTTTATAGTGACTTTCTCAACGTACATCTACATGTTTATAGTGACTTTCTCAACGTACATCTACATGTTTATAGTGACTTTCTCAACATACATCTACATGTTTATAGTGACTTTCTCAACATACATCTACATGTTTATAGTGACTTTCCCAACATACATCTACATGTTTATAGTGACTTTCTCAACATACATCTACATGTTTATAGTGACTTTCTCAACATACATCTACATGTTTATAGTGACTTTCTCAACATACATCTACATGTTTATAGTGACTTTCTCAACATACATCTACATGTTTATAGTGACTTTCTCAACGTACATCTACATGTTTATAGTGACTTTCTCAACGTACATCTACATGTTTATAGTGACTTTCTCAACATACATCTACATGTTTATAGTGACTTTCTCAACATACAACAACATGTTTATAGTGACTTTCTCAACGTACATCTACATGTTTATAGTGACTTTCTCAACATACATCTACATGTTTATAGTGACTTTCTCAACATACAACAACATGTTTATAGTGACTTTCTCAACATACATCTACATGTTTATAGTGACTTTCTCAACGTACATCTACATGTTTATAGTGACTTTCTCAACATACATCTACATGTTTATAGTGACTTTCTCAACATACAACAACATGTTTATAGTGACTTTCTCAACGTACATCTACATGTTTATAGTGACTTTCTCAACATACATCTACATGTTTATAGTGACTTTCTCAACATACAACAACATGTTTATAGTGACTTTCTCAACATACATCTACATGTTTATAGTGACTTTCTCAACATACATCTACATGTTTATAGTGACTTTCTCAACATACAACAACATGTTTATAGTGACTTTCTCAACGTACATCTACATGTTTATAGTGACTTTCTCAACATACATCTACATGTTTATAGTGACTTTCTCAACATACATCTACATGTTTATAGTGACTTTCTCAACATACATCTACATGTTTATAGTGACTTTCTCAACGTACATCTACACGTTTATAGTGACTTTCTCAACATACAACAACATGTTTATAGTGACTTTCTCAACGTACATCTACATGTTTATAGTGACTTTCTAAACATACATCTACATGTTTATAGTGACTTTCTCAACATACATCTACATGTTTATAGTGACTTTCTCAACATACAACAACATGTTTATAGTGACTTTCTCAACATACAACAACATGTTTATAATGACTTTCTCAACATACATCTACATGTTTATAGTGACTTTCTCAACGTACATCTACATGTTTATAGTGACTTTCTCAACATACATCTACATGTTTATAGTGACTTTCTCAACGTACAACAACATGTTTATAGTGACTTTCTCAACGTACATCTACATGTTTATAGTGACTTTCTCAACATACATCTACATGTTTATAGTGACTTTCTCAACTTACAACAACATGTTTATAGTGACTTTCTCAACATACATCTACATGTTTATAGTGACTTTCTCAACATACATCTACATGTTTATAGTGACTTTCTCAACATACAACAACATGTTTATAGTGACTTTCTCAACATACATCTACATGTTTATAGTGACTTTCTCAACATACATCTACATGTTTATAGTGACTTTCTCAACATACATCTACATGTTTATAGTGACTTTCTCAACGTACATCTACATGTTTATAGTGACTTTCTCAACATACATCTACATGTTTATAGTGACTTTCTCAACGTACAACAAGTTGTGCAGATGATACTATAAAAGTATCAATAAAGTAACCTGAACAGATGTTGCAGTTCCTAGGCATTTTCTGGATTTAGAGTCTTCGTCATTATTCACAGCTAGCAAATAATAAAAGAAAGAAAATTCAATATAAATAGTAAGTTATTCCTTTTTTCAATCAAGACATTATACAGATGAATGATTAAAGTAAACAATAAATGAAAGGCCAGCCAGATTTCGAATGTGTTCATGTTCTGATGATAATCATCGACATGATGAATAGAATTAAGTAAATAACAACCTTTTGCAGTTGATGAGGCCGCATTCAGTTTTGCAGCTTGATTTGCAGCAGCTGTTGCGGTGCCCGTAAACACAGTTTGTGGTACAAGACGAGGCATCAAAGGAACAACACGACGACCTTCTGACTCCCATTCAATACTTGAGTGAGAACCACAGACACTAAAAAAAAAAGAATTTAAATAATGACACAAGATGGACTGGCATCAATGAAGTTTAAAACTTACCATTCAGCAATCATGGATAATCTATCATCATTTATTGCACGTCGTATTTCAGCTCTATGGCGTTCAGTTGAAATACTGAAATAGAATTTAACAGTCATGTTCGATTGGTTTTATAGTACAAATATTATAGATACTTCATATTTCATGATGGTCATTTTTAGTACCTTAATTGTTCGCCTAGTTCTTTCAATAATCTCTTCTTGCACCTAAATATTTTAATATAATAAATAAGTTTATAATGTTATTTTCAAAAGAGCACATGACTGCAATAAATCATTGTCGTCATGTAAAAATGTTATAATCAGACAATATAAAGTACTACCAAAACAAAACACTTTAGACCAAACAAATCAATGATACAGAATGCATTGTTTCTTGTATAATTACAATGTGTGGGGTAGTTAAGGAATGCTTTAAACCAAACAAGTACCAAACCTGTCTAGTTCACCCTGAGCCCGCAAAGCTGTCACCAAAGCTGAATATGCTTCAAGTTCTAAACATAGTAAGAACAAAAATTTTTTAACATGGTAAAACATAGAAATTTTGGAGGATTTAAAGAGCATTGCAAGTGTTTTGAATGAGAATGCCAGTTATTTAAAAGTTGTTATGTGAAAATATGACAACATTAAATAAAACTGTTTATTAAATATATTTAATATCTACAAGCAGTATGACAATAAAACCACATATAATATAATTTTTCTGTCTTCACTGTGCAGTAAACAAAGCACTTACTGGATAATTTTCTATCCTCAGTAATATGCCAACAAAAGTTTTATAAAAAGTATAAAATCTTACCAATACGTCTCAAGATTCTCTTGCACTCATCTTTAGTCAATTCCATGATTTAAAAAACTTGATAAACATGAAAATAAACACAAAATGTCAAATAACGTTTATATTACAAGAAATCAAGCAAAAAAATGCTTGAGATCTAGAAACTAGTTTAAAACATACCAAGATTTAAACTTGATAGAGAAGAACTATTTTGCACTAGCAGTCGAACACCTTGAAAAAACAAGGAAAGTAATTGCTAACTTTATCTACATCGACTATAACTTTTTACCAATGTAAAATTGCAAGAAGTTGTATTTACATTAATTTAACGCACGATTTTTGACACATCGGCTTTCACTAATATTATTTGATCATAAAAATTGTACATAACGGTAGCGGTAGACTTTATATGAACCCATAAAGATGAGATGAACCAGTGAGATTAACGTCCACCATATTGAATAAATTTCTTTCCTCCCACGGGAAACGAGGAATGACCTCGAGCAGTTTGACTGGAGTGGCTGTTACAGGGTTCAAATCTTTGTACAAAGTTCAAACAATTCACTCAATTTATAGACAATACTTAAAATAAAAATCAAATTCAATAATGGGAAATTCTTCTTCAGTTCGTAGTGAAAGTAAAGTAGTCATTATTGGAGGAGGCTATGCTGGTGTAAATGCTGCAATTAAATTAGATAATTACTGTCACGTTATTCTTGTTGATTCGAAGCCTTTTTTTCATCATTGTGTTGGATCACTACGAGCCGCTGTTTCACCTGCTGAGTTTGCAAAGAAAGTGATGATTCCTTACAAACCAGCACTAAAACACGGAGAGTTCAAACAAGACATTGTCACTGGTGTTAGTCTATCTGATCATTATGTTATTCTTGAGAGTGGAGAAAGAATTTCATATGATTATTTGGTATTTGCGTGTGGATCTTCCAATGATTTCCCAGGTAAAAGTTCTTCACTCTTTATTTCATTCATAAGTGATCTTCAAATAAAATAAATATCAATCAAGATTTCATCTCAAACTAGGAAAACTCCCATTTGGTTCATCTAGACAAGCATCTGAAGAATTGTATCAGCAACTAAGTGATAAAGTAGGTTAATCAACAACTTACACATGTAATATGCAACTTCAAACACATTGTCCTTTGTCTTTTTAATGCGTTATATTATTATACAGATCAAAGAAAGTGTAAATATTGTCATTATTGGTGGGGGTCCTGTTGGAATTGAAATGGCTGGAGAAATTGTTGATCAATACCAGGATAAGAACATTCACATTATCCACAACAAAACAACATTATGTGATCCATCATTGAAATCAAAATTTTATGAAAAGATTCTTTCCACAGTGAAGGCTAAAGGCATTAATGTTATTCTTGGAGAGAGAGCAAATCTTGAAGAAATAAATGTAAGATAAATTATTAGAAATTGTTCACTAGTAGCTAAGAGTCATGTTTGTTAATAATTGTTAGTTTGAGACAAGGTAAGTTCAAAAACACCTAATAACGTAACCTATCCATTAGACATGTGTTGCAAAAATTTGAATATAATGTCAGTCAGGGGCAAAACTGGATTGTTAATTGGGGTGGGGTGAATATTCATATATAAGTTGTGCATCACTAATTTCTTTCAAAAGTGATTTTAATCTCAAAAGAAATCAGTTGGGCAGAGCTGAATATATATGAATATTCATTACCACCCCTCTCAATTTGTGTTTTATGTAGTTTTCCTACTTATGTCAATATAATTAGTCCCTTGTATAATTAATCATTTATCAGTGAAAAAATATACACTATACTTCAGCATCAGAGTAATTTCGGTCTTCTTTGATAAATATATCACTAAACCCAGTGGTTTAGCACTTATTAGGGTGATTAGGTTCCCCCGGGATGTTTAGGGGCATCATTTACCTCAACCCACATACTGGCCTTAACTCCATCACCTCCACAAGGCTACTGACTTTAGTTCTTACAGAATTTTTTCAATGTTTAGTTTCCTAGTAGTATTGGTTGGGTCTCTGGACCTGTCAAAATCACAACTGATAATCCAGACACAAATCTTGATGCGGACCTAGTTCTAAAATGTATTGGTATGAGTGTTAACAGTAGAGCATACAAGCATAATCTGCAGGACAAAATGGACGAGAAGAATCAACTGAAAGTGAATGAATATTTTCAAGTTGAAGGATTTGAAAATGTTTTTGCTCTTGGTGACTGTTGTAATAGTAAAGAAATAAAGGAAGCTTATGTTGCAGGCTTACATGCTGGTGTGTTTCGCATGTTTTTAACCATCTAATGTTTTTTTTTACTTGATCATGATTTGATGTCGAAACTTTACTCTTTATAATTCAATACAAAATGTATTTATGCTTTTATTGTGAGAAATAAGATAAAACTTGTATGTTTTTTTTCTAAAATTGATTTTAAGTTTTTAAAATGTTAAGTTTTTTTTCAGTGTTTTAAAGTTAATTCAACTTTTTTCTTGTAGACCTCGTTTCAAACAACATACGCTGTTTACTGGCAAATAAACCTTTGAAAAAATACAAGATGTCTACTCCAGCTATAATTGTTCCAGTTGGTAGTGACGGTGGGGTTGGTGTGTTGCCCAATGGAGTCGTTATTGGAAATTTTCTTTCTAGGAACATAAAAAGTCGTGATCTTTTTGTTTCCAAAACTTGGAAATTGCTCAAACAAAGCGCTCCTTAAAGATGTACTATGTTAACGTTTGAAACACTCAACATTTTTGATGAAAATATTGCAAAGACAAATTTTACTAACTCAAATTAAATGTTTAACGCAACCAGCTAATGTAACACGTTTAGTTCTTGAAATGGTTTAAATATGCTATGTCAAAACAAGTTTCTTCAGTGAAAGAACTAATATCAATATTGGTAAGTCAATAATTTTTTGTCTCGTGACCGTCAATGTCCGCTCGCACTTGTAAATCATCTCTTTATTGGAGAGTTTTCTCAAAGTCTCGCTCGTATCTTCATTGATTTTATTTTGAAGAAAAATGAACGATTTCTAAACAAGATTGTAATCATTGCAGATTACCGTCACAAAACTTTAAAATAATCATTATTTCTCTTGGATCACTACCAGATTAACTCTACTTTCTTTCAAGTACTTACGTGACATATTTTTCAGCTATACCATTCCTGATGACTGAAATTCTGACGTTTTTGCGTGTAAATAAGATAAGTGATTTTCTCAGAAGAAGCAGCGATATCGTTTCCACGTAAAATATATAATTAGAATAACAGCTGGGTACGTCCGTTACTGTCCGTACGTATTATTTATAAACAATCAAGCATGTAATTCGAACGAAACTTGTACATAATAACAGAGATCAAATTCTCACAAATGTTCAATGGTTTTTGGATATCTGGTTAAATGAGAACTTAGAGAATTTCAAGTTATAAAACAAACATACTTGCAATGTAAAATAAATTATAAAGACTTTGAACAAAAAGCACAGTTAAGAACTTTTTACGTTGTAGAAAATAAACTAGGTAAGCATTTAAGTGAATGGTTTTACTTTAACGGGAGTATTGTTATATGTTGGTAGATGTAGATCGTGCAGTAGATCACCCCAAAATGACACACATATACTAAACAGTGTTTTATATTACAGACATTTTCAAGTTAAAAATATTAAGACTTTAGTATGGGAAATGAAGTGATAAGTAAACGTCAGGTTCGCCGTATTTTTTGTCTGCTAACCACAAAAAGACTCTGAAGATGACTACCACTAAGATTGTTGAAACATCATTCAACATCAACACCAACAGTCCTTCTTAGGACTCTACTTACCTGGACGATCTACAACTATAAACATCTGGCTAATCATTGTTTACTTTGGTCTCAATAAATACCTGAACTCGTCGAGTTCATCAAACCTTTTTTTTAAAGGCAGTGTGTATATGAAAGAGGTGAACCATTGATTCATTGGTGGTTAAAAGACCATACCGAAGTTGTTTGTTCTGGTTTTCAAAACTCAGTCTTGAAGATAATGCCATGTTACTTATTATATTGCTTTTCATGTAAATTAAGTTTTATAAACTGGTACGAGTGTACGACCATCTGCTAGTACTGCTTCATTTCCATGAATTTTGAATATTTATTTTTGCTTTCAGATGCAAAGAAGACGGAAGAGTAGTTATTGATATAACATAGCTGAAAGCCGATATTTTGTATGTAATATTGATAAATTTGATCTTTAATGTAAAACCATTACAAACTATCGTTGGCTGTGCATTCAAAACGTTTCAAAAAGAAGCATGTTTGTCAGCTGAACGTTATTTTGAGCTGGCAAACTTGTCACTTTTGGCTTTTGAAGGCGTGACTTGTTTTTTGGCAGTAACCCGATCGCCACATTAAATTTGAAACTGCGACCAAGCTCATGTCACCCACCGACCCTAGACTGATACATTCAGGCACGCTTGCTAAATTTTATGCATCTTCCATTCGTTTAAGGTATACAAATATTATGACATGTTTTGTTGCCAAATGACGAGTTGTAACGTTTTAACTAAGTTACACAGAGTAGCTACAAGTTACGCTTTCAAAAGTGTGAACTTTGACAGATCAAACTCATAACTTTACGCTAAATACATAACGTTTGTTGAAACTGTAATATTTATATTTCGGTTATATTGCAAAACCATCATAACGCAGTATAAATGAACTTCTCAAACAGCAGACAAATAAAAACTAATATGCCATATCAAAATGATTCTTATGAAATTTTCTCTTCTCTTTATGTGATCTTATGTTATCGAACCTTGGATCTATGGTTGAAATATTTCCTGATGCGCAAGCTTTTTCTACGAAAAGGCCTTTCTCTTGGTTTTCTTAACTGGTGTACTTTTCATTATCTATAAAGTATACGCATAATAATACGAAAATCCCTCTAAAATGTCTTAAGAACTGTCGGTTATCGACAACTTCTTGAAAACCAATATGTCTGAAAACAGAGAAGTTTATCTGTACATGTTACATTATCTTTCGACCGTATTTCCTTTTTCGTGAACAATGGGGATAAAAATAGTTTATCTATTTGTTGCACCAATGATTGCACCCCAAGAAGCAAGTCATGCTGTTATTGGGTTTGCAAATGTAAAACCCGGCAAATTCGCTGTTTCGTAAGTTTAAAGCTGAATTTTTGTTGAGCGTTCGCTTAAATAACAATAACACAATAACAATTAATAAATTTGAAAAACAAGTCAGCAGAGTTTAGCACAGAATGCTTAGTTTTTAACTTGAATATGTTCATAATATATCATCATGTTCAGCCACTGTAAAAAAAACACGAAATTAGCATGCCATTCTTAAATGCAAGCTATTTATCCTATGAATTTAAACTAAGAATTCGCCGGTCGTAATAGAAAGAAACGTTCTTACAATAGTTCGATCGAAAAAACGAAACTTTAATTCCTTTAATGTACTCTGGATGTTAACTTCCTTTACTAAGAAGACTTAATAACATTTCTTGGTATTGTAATGTGATCGGAAATGCACGATTACAAAAAGATGTATTGTATTCATAATCACGCAATCCTTAAGAGATAACTGTCGCGTTAACATCGTTTTAGTATCTACGTATTGGTTTGCACAAACTGGTTGCTGTCAAGTTTACATGTAAATGTATAGTGACTCTGCAAAAATATAATGAAAAAAACAGCAGTGATTACAGACTTAGATGGCGATGAGAAGTGTGCGCGCTCTCTTCCAACAAGAATTGCTACATGCGTCATAACCTTTAATGCAATATTTACAATGTTGCTTGTGTTTAGCAATGTGTATTTGTTTATCTATGTCATTCGGCAGCAGAAAGATTTGAACAAAAGCGCCTCTACTGAACTACAGCCTGCAATAAGACCATTTACGAAGGTAATTTGATGAACTTATCAATTTTGCTTGGTATTTGATTTCATTTGTTGGAAAGGCAGTACTTCACATCTTTCAACGTGCAGTAACATTGAAGTTAACAATTTGGCAAGTGCGCAATGACATATCGCATGCATTTCGGAAAGTAATTTAGACCTAACCATTGTTCATAATATGGGCAAGAAGCCATGTAATATGGGCTTTAGAGATTTACAGATAACATACAGCCCCAAGGGTCTTAAGAGTGTTGAGACTGAAGAAATTTGGCAAAAATAGGAGCACCTTATTATCCAAGAAACGGAACTCATAATTAATATTGTAGTGGCTTCCATGTAAATATTTGAATTTACTATTTTAGGGTATTTCATCTGCACATATTGCAGGTGAGGGAAACAAGATTCGATCCAAACCACTTCATGGCGGTAAGAAGCACTTGCACACCATCACTGCAAATGGTCTTTGTTTTTCTTTCATCTTTGTTTGCATGTTGATTTTCTTAAAGAAAATAAATGCAAAACCACGGCTATCATTATTGTAATATTTTTGGGGGAATTACAGTCGAAAGCAAAGCTAGTGTAGTCAGTCAAGAAAGCGCGCATTATTTTCCTCTAGAATGCGTAATTTTAAAGCAAATACAATCACATACTATAGACACTGCTCACTTCCTTAATAAAACTCAAACTAGGCATTATCTTTTCGAAACTGAAAGTAAATTCATCACATAAGCATTTTTTCAAAATTTGTAAATAAGTTATTTACATCATTGAAAATAGTTTCTGCTTATAATTTTCTTGTTTATATATATGTGTCAAGTGTGATACTATGAATTACCTTAAAGGTAATCTTTTTATTTATTTTGCACTGCATATGACTTAAAGAAACGTGCTTTCACAATTAACAATACTAATAACACCATTTTTCTTGGAAAATCAAATTGACGTAATTATTTTATTTTTCCTATGCAGATAGTTACCGCTTTTCATCTTGGAAAAAACAGCATATTTCTGGAAACATGACATACCATAAAGATGGTTATTTGACAGTAAATGAAAATGGTATATACTATGTTTACTGTCAAATATATTATTACGACGGTAACAATAGTTACACAGGATTTAACGTTTATATTGACGACAGAAGAATAATGAAAGCTATAAATAGCATTATTGGCAAGGATAAACCTTACCAAACACATTTTACTGCAGGTGTTTTTAAAATAAACAAAGGACAGAGAATTTGGGTTGGAGCAACAATCACAAGATCTTTCTACTTTAATGAAGATTCCGCATTCTTTGGTGCATTTTTATTGCACTCATCGTAATTGCATTTTGGACAACAGCAAAATATTGGTTATGTATATTATAGACGGTAGCCTACGAGGTAGCAACAGCTAATATTGGTGAAAGCCTTGTTTTCTTGGAATTTTCCAACAAACGTTTTGTTTTAGTCATAATAGACTAGTCATAGAGTAAACTTCATGTAAATATAATTTTTAACTTACTTAGAAAGCCTTATGTAAATAAAAAATATGCATATACATTGAAAAATACGCACTGTCTGGTACTGGACTCCTACTTCGATGATAGTTCTTAACCCGATATCTCCCTCTCCTAAGAGTGTTTTGTCTAATTATGATCAAATCACTAAGCTGTCTGTCACCATAGTGGCTGCAAATGTCAAGGGTAAGTTCAAATTTTGTCAATAACTCCACCCCCGATCATTAATTTAGACATGCGCCAGATAACTACTCGCTCTTTATGGTTGAAAAACATAAGGAAAGACTTAAAGAGGGCACAATGTCATGCTTGCAATGGTTGGGAGTAGCGATTTCAAACGAACGTTCAAACGACTGAACTTCAAAACATGATAATAAACGCCTATCAGGTGTTCAATATGACACCTGTAACACAACATTCACGGTACTGTGGCATTTTATTATGTTAATCTTATTCTGGGGTACGTGTGCCATAGGTGCGGACACATGTGAAACCAATCAAGAAAGTTCTTGATTGGCAAGCATTATTTATGCAAAGTCATGTGATCAAATTGATAAAACAATAGTCACGTGATTTGATGCTGACTGATTTTAGTTTCATTTTACAGATCAAACGTTATAGCTCTCTCCCTCTGATATTTTATGATAAATTTTTTTTTGTTTTTGTAGTATTCATGCAAATGATATTGATTTATTTTCAGGAGGTAGGAAAATGCTTTCTTCAATGTTCAATGATGTAAAACATGTTTTTCTAACAATAATGAACCCTACGACTGAAAGACATTTCAATCACGTAATTTTATCACAAATGTTAACTTAGTAAATGTTAACTTATTAATAACACTTATCACGTTTTTAATAAATCTAGTATGTGTACAAAAGGGAAAAGAAAAGAAGATAATTTGATTGCAGCAAACACTAGTCTTCATAAAGATGGCTTTCAACAAAGTTTTGTAGCCAAGCGATCTAGGGCACCTGGATTATAACTTATGTTTTCTTATGAATCACTTCGACCGACTGACATTGTGCAACATGCAAAGAAGTCTAACCTTGAGGGAAGCCTAAAGTAATTAAATGTAAATGACTTCACACTTCACATATGACAAGGTCTTTGAAAAGGCTGGAACAATAACAAAATTAAATACAACATTGTCAGTGTTCTTACAAAGTCGATGGGGGTCTTTGTGATTTATTTCACATTATTATGATACGCAATTCCGAGTCGAGGCTTGAAAACGATAAGATATAGTATATAAAATAATTACATAAGTCAACTTCGTGAAATCATTAAATGGACAAAAGTTTAAAAGAAACAATGATTTAATACGGCCGTTTTATCCGCCGGTATTTTCGTTTTACCACATATAGAGCAGTTAAATTCATCTACATTTTCATATCTGTGTATAATCACTATTGTATTTTAAAGAGCACAATCTAAATTTGTAAAGAATTATATTCCAGGAAGAAAGGTTTATGAGCACAAAGTGACCATTTTAATCGTTTCATATATCTAGTGAACGTCATATTGAAGTGAAGAAAATGATTAAAATGAGCTTTAAAGATAAAACAGAGAAACAATCAAGAAAGAGAAAATACATTCAAGTACCATTATTTGTATTTAACTTAGCTCTGTTATTTGCATGTCTTCTAACTGTAAGTCAACTGTTAGCCTGGCTTACAATAGCACGACATCAAAAAACTATTGAAATATTGTCGGAGACTTTGAATCATGCACAAGACAACATGGAGAATACGGAGAATTTAGAAGTTGATGAAGAAAATAATATCCGTAAGGTATGTTGATCTTTAGAACGATAAATAATGAGAATAGAAAGAAAGCAAACGTCATTAGAGAAACACCAAATAAGTTGAAAAGCCATGCATATGAAGAAGTCTGAAACAAACTTCACTATCCAGTGGCTATATGTCATTATTGTGTTGTTATAAACTGAATTAAAACATAGAACGACATAAAATATCTGGAATTGTTAAAACTAACATGCTTGAAACGTCATTTATAAATGCACTATTTTCATGCGATTTGATATGTCAACCATAAGAATTCTCCAGTTTCTCCAGTCAACTTAACATATGCGAATTTGACTTTATGGTTACATGTAGTTGTCTGCAGTTGACGAAAACAGCGAAACCAGAGAAAGACGACATTTGGACAATAACAGTAAGATACATTATACTCAATAATATTTTTCTGAGGAAAGAACAGTAAATTAAAAAATAATAAAGTTTTTTAAGCAGCTAGTTAAGCCGTTATATATATGAAAACGTAAAAACGTTGGCGATTGATGGAATTTTTAACTGTTTTGTCTACAAGGTAAACAAAAATATCAATTAACTTTTCATTTAGATTCTGGTTATCGGGGACCAAAAGGGCAGAAAGGTACGTCATGTAAAAATCAATATAATGAACCATGTTCAATAGCTACAAAGGACTCATTGTTTCTAGGTGATAAAGGGGACGATGGTAGAACTGGCAGGGATGGTAGAGATGGTTTGCGGGGACCACAAGGGACGAGAGGACAACGAGGGGATACAGGAATGCGAGGTCCACAAGGCTATGTAGGACCTCCTGGACTCCAAGGAGCAACAGGAAACACGGGGGTTAAAGGCGAACCCGGATTTCATGGATCAAAAGGAATGAAAGGCGACAAAGGTGGGTAAAACTGTTGAAGTATTTACACATTCAAAACCAGAATAAATCATTTCCCGTTGACTTTCGTACTCATAACCATAACGTTACCTATGTTGCAATAATTTAACTTATATTTTTCTATCTCAGGAAACGACGGCAAACCTGGAAAGATTTTTAAGGTGTTTAATTAGTCATTGTATTTAATGTTTCCTGTTTTCTCAAAAATAAGTATATTTTCCTGGAATAAAACTTTATCTTTTACAACATTCACTTTTGTTTTCTCTTTACAAATTCTTTGTGATAAAATTATCATTCCCAAAATAGAATATCTTTGCATTTAGTATCGTAATTCAGCTCATATTGTTGCCATGGGAAAACGAATCAAATCACAGAGTGGTAACCCAGGTAACAGTGACAAAATTTTTAAATATTGGTTTCATGCTTTGTACACAATCTTGTGGATTATGGAATGGTCAATGATTTATTCATTTTTAGTAATGAGTCCAAAAGTTTTGTGGAAAGTTAAACAAAAGTCAGGAAAAATGAATTACTTTAATGGTCGACTTACAGTAGGAATGGACGGTGTTTACTTTGTTTATTGTCAAATGTTTTATTATGATGGCACAAGCAGCTATATTGGTTATGAAGTATATTTAGACAACACAAGGATTCTTAAAGCAGTTCACAGCATCATCAACAGGAAACGGAAGTATGAAACTCAATATACAAGTGGTATTTTCGAGATATCAAAAGGACAAAAAATATATGTGCAGACCCCATTTTCTAAGTATTTTTATTTTAACGACACATTGTCTTATTTCGGTGCGTTTATGTTGCATGAAAAATCATCAGTGTAACATAATCATATAGTCAATTATTTTTTTTGTAAATAGCTGTAGATAAAATATTTCGTCCGTCACTAAAGGATGCAACGCAGTACGCACGGTGAACATAAAACATAAAATAACATAGTAATCTTAAACATGTAAAAACTTCAAATTCTTTGTTCAAGGAAAGGCCTTGAAGAAAGTCTGATGTGTAAATGTAAGTGTAAATGCATAAATAAAATGTTATAATGCAAACCCAAAACAAACTCAAACATACGTTTAACAAAGACACATTGATCTTGTGAACTTGTACAGGAAATAAAAAGTTTACTTATAGAAAGCGAAAGAATTGCTATAAGATGAAAAAGTGCGTGGGTAGTATTGTTTCATTTCAACAAGAAAAATTCCCTCGCATCAACTTTTTCAAACATAAAATGTGACGTTTCAACTTGTCTTTCCGCCCGTGCAAATTGAAAATAAATGTAGGAAATAATTAAAAATTACTGTTGCAAATGAGTTTATATTTTCATATTCGTTATAGATTAACACTAAATTAACAAAGTGCATACTACATACTCTTAGAAATATTATAACATGTAACGGTTAAAATGATTTTGTTAATATATTGAAGGATATCAACTTATTATCTCAATCTTTTTCCTTGTAAAACATGTAGGTCTGACAATGAAATTAAGTTTAGGTGAGAATTTGCTGTGTTGCAAGAATTTGTTGTCCAAATTGTGTTGGCAGCTATAAGGAGCTCAAACTGTGACTTAAAGAGTGGGAGTGTACAACAATGTACACTCCCTTCAATATTCAACTGTACTTATTTCCTCATGCAAACAAGTTCAAAATGAAAAGATAATATAAAGTTTTCGAGTTTCTGAGATTACAGCACCCAAACAAGAAGCGACAATACAACTGTAATAATCTAGTCATAAAAACTATTTTGTTTTTATTGAAGTTTTTTACTCTTTCGTTTACGCCGGATGTGAGATAAAACTTCACCTTTTAGTCTAATGGTGTCAATCAATAGCTCAAATTGACGCTCTTCATCACTTCCAAGAATAAATTACAATGTGACAAAAATAAATTTTACACAATGCAAACAGATTACAATACAACACTGAATAAGGATGCGATGAACTAAGACGATATAAAATGTATGCTTCACGCGCTTTTTGAAACATTGCTTTAGTTCAAACAATCGTAAACATCAAAGCAGTATGGCACAGTCGAATCATGGTCGAACAACAGTAATAGTTGTATTGACAATAAATGTGGTATTTACAGTTTTACTGGCCGTTGCTAGCGTGTTTCTTTTTCATCAAGTTTACTGCTTAAAAGAAGAAAATAACAAATTGCGAAATAATTGGACAATGTATATGTCGTTGCAAAAACAGTCAGAAAACTTGGATATAAATCCTACGGAAGAAGTTCGACTACCAAGCATAAAGGTCAAACCATTGTGTTTGATAACACGAAATATTGATGATCGAGTATTTATTTAAAGCTGCGTTTTATGAATCGGTTGATGAAAATCAATCTTAATATTTTAGATTAAAGATATGAAAGAAAATCTATGCTGCGGTAAGTAAGAATTTTTGGTCGACATGAACTATTTGATAAATCTCCAAATTATAGAAGCAATACAATATATCCTCTAATGTTAATATGAAATACAATACAAAAAATGCCAGACAAAACGCAAACAACTATTAAATATATACACACCGGTGAATGTCAGGTAAGAACAGTTTTGAGCTTCAGAGAATATCAAGAAGGATCAGACGAAAACTTTTATTAAAATAGTTATGTTTGGGCTTAAAACAAACTTCAGTATTTATATTGGGAATTGTACAATTTTACATTAAGTTTAAATCATTTTACCTAATATTCTACTTTTTCTAAGGTATAAAAGGAAAACGTGGAAGACCAGGCAAGTGTAAAAATTAAGACAGAAAATCATACAAAAATATAACTATAAAATACAAATCCTCAACTTTAATTGAAAATTAAATCAATGTTTGTGTTTTTATATCATTTACTCAGTAAAAATTCATAAAATTATCAAACACTTTAAAAGTTGTTTATGATTAAATTATTGCAACAAATTAAGAAACGTAAAGTGAATTAATTTTTTTATAATGCGTCTTAAAAAGGTAAGAAGGGCGACGATGGTTTACGTGGTAAGATTGGTCCTCAAGGGATGCCAGGTCAAGCAGGAGAAAACGGGGAAAAAGGAGAAAAAGGTGACAACATTTTGCCCCCTTTAAAACAATGGATATTTTTTAATGTTCCGGTGACGTCATCGTTAATTATCGAACATGCTTCATTTAGGTGACATGGGAATTTCTACTATTATTTATCAAAATCTTACTAAAAGTAAAGATGTGAGTAAAATTATTTATCTGATGTGATTTCTTAAAATATCGTTCTAAAATAACCATTATTAATTATTATTGCTATATTATTACAACACTAATTGTTATTTGTCATCCCATAATTGAAATAATGAAGATTTCAGTTTGTTTCTGTATTCCCTAGAATTTTCCTTTCATACACATGGTCGGCGATGGACGGCAGTATAAAAATATTAACAATGTGGAAGGTGAGGCGAAAAGTTTGAGACGACTTTAAGTAGGCAGCAATTATCAAAAACACATGAATTGTTGGAACAAAATTATTCATCAATAAACAATGATTAATTTTCTAATGACAAAAAATGTAACTATTCCAATTTCGCTCGATTACTTTTGCGATGGCAACGTTCTAAGTTATTTGTATAAAGAGTGACTTGACTTTTTTGAGATTTTGCGAGAAATTTTTGTGAGATTTAAACTTCACTTCGGTAAATCACTAAAAAAATCAAATCCTTTTCGCTAAATAAAATTCGACTTCAACTGATTAGTTCATAATGATTTTTAACGATTACTTTACAACAGCAATAGCCGTATCATTCTGGATAGAAGATGATAAAGCAGGGGATATAAGGTACAACAATGGATATCTTTTTACCAACAAAAATGGATATTATTACATCTACAGTCAGATGGAATATTGCGGAAATGTGAGACAAGATCGAAAAATTGGTCACACGATGTCAATAAACAATAAAAAAGTTCTGCGAACAACGTTACATGGAAAAACGACGACCACACATCATCTTGGAGGAGTTTTTAAACTAAGTAAAGGTGATAAAATATCAATAAGCCCAGTGGTAACAAACATACCATATTGCTTTGCACGGGAAGATGCCTACTTTGGAGCATTTCTTGTTCGCGAATGACCTTTAAAACATTGACAATCTAGCTACAAAAAAAGAAATAATTTGTCGTCTTTTGCTAACCGAATATGTAAATAAACTGATTTATGAGACATTTTGTATAAAACATCCTTCAAATAAGAAATAATAACTATCATTGATATTTTTGAGAAGTAATCATTTTTTATTCATACACCTTTGATGCACATACTCAAAAATGACGCCCTTCATCGTTGTTTGTAAAACAAGTACAACACAAGAGTTTGTTGCTCTATGTGTTATACAATTGCTGTTTTATACTCAAATCTACGGATCAAAATAATTCCACTAAAAAGGTCTAACTGCAAATCTACTGTAAAAACTACAGAGTGTATAAAGAAAACTGAACAGTTAGGAAAACTTTGCTAAAGTGATCATCGCAAAAGGTCCGCAAAAACCATTGGGGAAAAGGTTGTTCAACTTTGCATGGCTCATGCATCTGCATAGTAAAATTTTTCTGAAATAATAACCATTTCCATGGAGAAGCTTTTTTGAAATAGCTTGCACACAAAAAATGACATATCAGAAAAGCAATTGGAACACAAAGGGTGAAACATAACACATGTTGTTCAAGCTTACAAAGTTCCGCGAAATTTGGTTAAGCCGTAAACGAACACTAGGCTTCCAAATCGCTGATTATTTCGCGTTTTTCCATTTTAGTGGTCATGTTTTGAAAAATCATAAATATTCATGTTTGCATTGATTTAAGCTCACATTTATGCTAAACTGATAAGGATTATAACAAAATATCATTTAAAAACGAAAAATCTAAAATTACCCAGCGATTTGAAAGCCAAGCGTTCGCGTACGCTAGAGACAAATTTTCTAAATCTTTGTTAGTTTGAGCAACATGTGACATAATTTAAGCAACATGTGACATAATTTAAGCAACATGTGACATAATTTAAGCAACATGTGCCATAATTTAAGCAACATGTGACATAATTTTTAACTGCGTCATTTTTGTGCGCAAGCTATTTTAAAATCATTCTCGGTAACACAAATTTTGCCTTAAAAATGTTTATTATTTGCAACTATTTTCATTGTCAGATGAACATTGGAAATTTAATAAAGTATTTCCACCAAACATTTTTGCAAGCTTTTCGTGCTCATAACTTTAGGGACGTTTTCCAAACTGTACAGTTTTTTTGATACACCTGAACTGTACATAACTGGTCAATTGCAGCAATAGACTACAACTATGGATACAATTTGAAAATATTTCTGTCTTTCAAAAGTAACAACTTCAAACAAATTTATGACCAGCTTTTTTAAGATAAGTACAAATCTCTAAATTGTCAGTTTAATAAATGTATAACAAGTACAGTATTCGTTTTTCAGTACCAGTGTACAAATTGTAATTATGATCAAACTCATAGAATAACGTTGACGTTTATTACGTCTATGACGTCATCAGGGGCCCACTTTAGACATTAGTACCCGATTAAACTTCACAGGTTCGACTGTTTGAACAATATTGTAGTTAAGTTTCATTCTTACAATTATTTACCAAAAATGCAAATTCGCAAAAGCATTTTTCACGGACTTTCATTTTCATCACACAACCAATGATCGCGCATAAAAAATCTTTACTATTCTTCAATTGAAGACAAAAAAATGGTAACTTGTAATTCATATATATTTATAGGTTAGAAATTTGATCGTTTCCTATTTTAGCCAATAAACCTTATTTGCAATCGCTTGTATCATCTGTTCCAAGAACAATAATAAGGTTTCGTCGTACAATGTAAATTATCTACAGCTCACATTTAACGTCCTGCAGAATATTTTACTTGTAACGAAGCACAAGAGATGACAAAATCAGAAAGAAAATGCAATTGCATAGCAAGACAACAGTTTCTGTCTTTCACCATTGTTCACATCATCGTCACAATGTTATTATTTTCAACACTGACGTACGTGCTAATACAAACTGTTGCAGAGCAGAAAAAATTGATTACAAAAGTTGAGAAAATGTCGTTGAAGTATGGCGAACTTAACGCAAAACAAGATATTCATGACACAGCAACTGAAGTATTAAAGATAGTGGTAAGACAAGAAAGCCACGAAAGTACGATAAATCAAGAGGTGAAAATATGATATCTTATCAAGATGATTGAAAATGCCACCTATAAATGTATGATTATGTAGGAAATACTGATCAATGATGATTTAAACAAGGAAAATAAACAATTACTTATGACAAGATACAAACGAAGCAAGAATTCTGGCTGCTGTGGTAAGATTTTGAAAGTCCCTATATGATTTATTTTAACGTCTGTAATATGAAACTATTGTAAACAAAGTATGAGCAAATAAAAATATGGTACTTCACTATGACCCAGGTGTGGGACTAAAAGGAGCAAAAGGAGATAAAGGTTAGAAGAAGATACCTCGTTGTACTCTGTTGTACTTTTGTTTAAAAGTTTTGAAAGATCAGTGGAAATAAAGTAAATATTTCAATTACTGACTGTTGAATATTTTCTTATGAACCATTTGACAAGGTGCTCGAGGTCGGAGAGGCAGAAAAGGTACAAAGAAAATTCTGTAGCAATATTAATACGAGTAAAATGTAAGAAAATACTTTGAACAGGTGCAAGAGGAAAACCTGGGACTAAGGGAGAAAGGGGGGACAAAGGCGACACAGGTATGAAAACAATAACAATTAATCCTATTTACAATAATTCAACAATACAATGTGTGGTTCGATTGGTCAAAATATAAAAAAATAAACTATGATTTTTGTATTTGCACTAGTTTATGAGACGCAATTTGTATCCATACACTGCATAAAATAGTTTAGGAATAAGTGCCAATTACCGGAGAGATGGCCCGTCGACATAACATTCGGAATCAAAAGATATTTTAATGTACAAATGTAGAACTGAACGTTTTAAAAATAGCTTCATTCTACGATTATTTAACAACTAAGAACTACATATCTACATAAAAACTAACATTAACATACATAAAGACTACTGTCCAATGTTTCAAACCGAAACTCAAAAAAAGGTCAGATTACATTTCATCAGATAATTCGAACAGGACAAAATGGACTTAATGGATCTCCTGGAGCACCAGGATATACGGGACGACCTGGAAATAATGGACAGAAAGGTTTGCATTGCTCACTATTATCCTATCATGAACATGACTGTCCATGACTGTCACGGGGTAATGTTGGTTGAAACGATAAATTAACAAAAATGCTCAAAATCATGTTTTACATTCAGGTAACAAAGGAGACGTGGAAACGAGGGTAAAGACGTTTACATTCTCTCTATTGTCCATGTATAACTCGCAAATATATCCACGTCTCGACACAAAATTGTTTTTGTCACGTGATCAGAACGTGATGATGAAATGATATCAAAGATAAATCCCTTTCCACTGTATTTAAAAACACAAACCAACATATAAATAATTGCATAGTAGTACTTTGATAGGAGACAGCCACCTTTTATAATAATAGTCATTAAAAATTTCTTTCTAGCTTTCACATTCAGCACACATTGTTGGAGATGGACGTGAGGCAAAATCAACACTTATAGTTGGACAAGGAAACGACAGAGGTTTGTATTTAAAAAACAAAACAAAACAATGAACGTTTATAAAAAACGTTGCGCATCAATAAGCTGTCTACTAATGATGCATGAAATTTTAATATTTCAACTGAGGTGATATAAAATTTAAGATAAGATGTAATAGAAGTAACTTTTATTGCCTTATAATGAAAGTTTATGACGTTGGTTTAACAAATTTACTCACTACTATTCTTAATAGGTTTGCCATAAAACACTGTGTCCGAATAAACACCGAGTCTGATTTAAAAAAATTAACAAAGGCCACGGCGATTATTCAAATAACATGTTTTGCAATTTTCTTTCCATATTTCAGCCTTTCTATTGACATATTGGACAATTGGGCACAACAGAGGACAAATGAACTACAATAATGGATATTTAAACATTGCTGTTCGTGGTTTTTACTACATTTATGCGCAATTGTTTTCTAAGGATGGTACTGCTGTAACATTTTCTTTATATATTGATGATAAAGTGATACTAAAATCATACCACATAAAACGATCGTTTATAGCTGGTGTATTTTATGTCGCAACTAATCAAAGAATAAGCGTACGTACAAAGTCCAGTAAATATTTCAAATATAGTAGTACAGATACATTCTTTGGAGCATTTATCATACATCCTTAAAAAGTTATACTATATGTGTATAAGAACTTGTAAATAACTCGTAAGCTACTCCTCTTCAACTTGTAAGTTCTCAAAATGATAATTTTTATCACATATTTAAATTATCATCAATGTACAATTAAAATATAAATTTCATTTTATCATTTCACAGTTTTACTGTAATACAATATCACAAATGAATGAACGCGTATGTCCATATAAAACAAGTAAACATAAAAAGGATTAAGAAGACGTTACGTAGTGCTTACTCTAAGTACAATCGGCCCAAATAAACTGATTCACGTTAATAATATAGATGTAATCAGTAACTTTCATAGTAACTTAGTATAGACAATAAAAAACGCTATCTAACTTTGTTTGTTATATCATAGGATGGACGTCTTAAAGATTATACATGCAAATTGTGCTAGGTGTTATAAACATTACATGTGTGTACATGGTGAATATATCTTATGGTATTGAGTATATGCAGTTTTTAAATCCACAAGAATTGTCACATGTTACTTGAATAGTTATAATTGCGAGACATTAAAACATCAATTTTGTTTATTTATACCAGTCTTTTCATTGTCTTGATCAGTTGTTTTTTCAAATCACTTTACCAATATTTTTGAAAGGAAATAAGTTAGACAATACGGATGGGGAGATAAAACCATTAAGAGACAAATATTTCCCGCAAGAAATTGTGCACTTATGTCTAGAATTATACTAATGTTTCATATTTTACGTAATGACATTGCTTTGACACAAAACATTCAGATATCGTGAATGAAGACTGAAGAAAATTGTTGACAACATTAAGAAAACAACTGTTGTTGCATCATACAGTTATACACTGAATTTCTGAATTTCCTTTCAAAATATCAAAAAACAAAATGAAACAAATTTCCTCCGGAGATCATCAAACGCGAATCGTCAAACATGTTTCAAAAGAAAATACACTAAATAAGAGCGCGCGGTGTTAATATAGCAATGGCATGGTGTTGTTTTGTAGAGCAAAGGTGGTGTTTATAGAGCAATGGTGGTGTTCATAGAGCAATGGTGGTGTTCATAGAGCAATGGTGGTGTTCATAGAGCAATGGTAGTGTTCATAGAACAAAGCATGGTGTTGTTTTGTAGAGCAATAGTGTTCATAGAACAAAGCATGGTGTTGTTTTGTAGAGCAATAGTGTTGCTTTTTGGGCAATAATGGTTTTTAAAAGTAAATGGTGTTAATTACAAAGCAACAAGCACTTTATAGAACAATGCTGTCATCAGAATTATAGAACGGTATATCGAAAAAATTACCAAAATTGTTCTATATTTTGTTTAATTCTATTCAAATGTTGACGGAACTATCAACGACCATACTGTTCATGGAGAGAGTGTTACAAATTCAGAGGAATATAAATTATAAAATCGTATTAAATTCTCTGAATCAATTCAAAACAATACACGTTTGAGGAAGAAACAAAAAACATAAACATTTCCCATGATTATTTTTGAATGATAAGTTTTATTGTATTTATTTTTATTTTAAATATTTTTGTCGTAAATTACAGTAATAAAACCATTGATCCTAAACATCGCTAAAGCGGTTTTCAGGAGGTCCCGGCTATATATTGTCGCATTCTTTTTCAAACTTTACAATTTGGCGGAAACCGGAATTCATATTTCTCTTCCAGGAAGACGGGGTGCCATGTGGGTAGTTTTATAAGTACCATGATGACAAAATAGTAATACCATTTCTATCCATGTCTCGTTACCTCAAGAATAATACGTATCGTTCATTTATCACTTAGATTTTTCACAATACCTGTGAAATTTACGTTTTCAAACATGAGCGATAAAGAACATAAATTGAGCATTTTATCTATTGCAGTCGCTTTTAACGCGGTGTTTACGATTTTATTACTGGGATTTATAGTACATCAACATGTTGAAATAAATAAATTGAAAGACAATGTAAGAAAAATCGAGAACAACGAAATTTCAAAAACAAAAGAAATAAGCAGAGATGAAAGCACGGAAAGTAATAAGGTATCTCACTTTGGAGATTATTGTAATGAATATTTTAACGAGTGCTTTTCTAAATAGCTATTGAATACTCCAAATAGTTCGAGAATGATTTGTACACTACGGAAGAAATAAATAAGATGCAATATACAAGCCGCGTGGCAAGAGCTGCTGACTCAAAGAACACAAAATGTTGCGGTAAATAAAGCAATTATTGTCAAGGAATAGTTAACATTTTGTTGACATCAAACATATTCTCATATCAAAACACTTAAAGCCAAGTTAATGTTACTTCTAAATTATCAACATGCACAAAATACGGAGATTATGATAAATATTCATCGTCGTTAGCGCGCACTATATGCAAAAACGCAATTCACAAATAGTAATAATGCTGCTATTGTGATATCGAAACGAAACAGTAAATGATCGAGTATATGGTTAATGTAACGCCAAGTCTCACTGTTATGTTCCCATTTGTCTATAGGAAAACGACGTCGAGGAAGGAAAGGCGAACAAGGTATGTTTTATTTATTGAGAAATGTGTGTTTATGTTTTATCAATAGGCAGCAATAGCATGCATTGAATGCATTGTTGAATTTTTGTGACAAACAATGCTTAAAGTAATTAAAAATAAGGACGTCACGCAAGCCTATTTTCCTAACAAAGGACAAAAAAACTGCATTGAAAAATATCACCATCTCAAATAAAGCAATAATCCAAATTTATCCAAAAATAAAACACGTATGTCAACAAGACATGTAATGAACCTTAAGTAAATATGGTAGAACTTATATTTTTCGCGTGTTTTAACATGTTGTAATATAAGTTAAGAGAGATCACTTTGATTCGAGTCTAAAATATGTTCAAAAGCTGTTTTAATAGCGAAAATCGAGCTATTTGGCCATAAAATATCAATTTAATTATGATGAAGTATTGATTATTAAAAGAGTCAAATTGCCTTTTGAATCTCATGTTTTACGCAAAAAAAACATGCGAGCACTGTTGAATAACATTTGACTTTGGCAGATTTTAAAAATAAAAAAATTATCGTCAACAAAAATTTACATGTTTAAAGTGTAAAAACAATATTTCATAACACGAATTCTTTGGATGAAATATGACGAACTTATTGGATACTTTGAAATGGCGGTAATGTTTCGGTATGTTTGATTATGCAATGAATTATGTGATATGAGCATTACATTGAAAGCTAGCTATCAATTGACCAACTGCAGTTTGTAGAATTCCAACATCCCAGATAAAAAGTACGGATATAGCGCCATTACTTAGCAGACAACTCCATTAGACAGCTATCAAATTTCAATTCATTTATTGTAAACGCAAACATCGAGAATGCAATCGTTCACAAGTCGCCATTATTTGCGTGTCGTAACAAATTTCAAGCACTTAAGATTACTCTAACTTTCATCATAATGAAACGGTGAAAACACGAGAACAATATAATAACCTTTTGACATTTTCAGCATCCATCACGTGACCACAAACGAAGTAAACTTTGACCTAACATTCCATTCCCTAAAGAAGTAATAAAACAATGTGTTTCAACTCGGGACGTGCTAATCAGGTTACAAAGTCAACATGGCTTTGCAAGCATTCACAGCAGCGTGCGTATCATCTTTACAGGAAGTTCCATTAATATGACCAACGTCTCAAAGGTCCATTAGACATAAAAAATTATAATAAAAAGGTTCTAATGGTTTTTGTAGTTTGTGGTAACCATTACATTTCCGGTAGACTGTAGTTGTTATACAAATGTAAACAAAATTCCCTTCAAGGTAAATATAGAAACAGAAAAATGAACGTGTGAGGAAACTTGAGATACGGAAATGTTAAAACAAAAAAATATCAACAAACATGTCATATTCCGACTGTTTTTCATTTTTTATTGACGAATACAACTCAAGTAAAAGCTATTCATCAATGTCTGCAAAGCTATTCGTGCGTAGAAAAGTCAAAACAATGGGGATCACATATTAATATAAAACAACAGACTTTTGTTAATTAGTTAAAACAAACAGGTTTTATTAAATTTACATATTTTACGTACATAATTGTGAAACAAAACACACTTCGTTTTAAACGTGGATAAATTTTTGTATATGATTGTGACGTAAGATTTTCGAAAATTGCAAAAATTGTGATGTTTCTTCCTGTCATGATTATTTAACAACGTTCAAGTAAAATATTGAAAGGAAATTAAATAAATAAAAACTAAATAAAATGTTTTTAATAATTGCAGCATTTTAGCACAATTTATACTTGCAAATAGTCAGAAACATTTTAACATTTGAAGTTCAGTGTCTTATTTTGTAAACAATGCTTTACATTAAAATATTTCGTCAAATCCAATGCAATATTCTGCATTTTTCCAAGAAAAACTTTTACGTGATACACTGAAAAGGAAAAATAATGATTTTTCCTAATTATTTAGAGTTGTAAATGGTATATTTTTCAAATGCCCACATTCTTTATATATCATATTTGGGCCGAACAGTCCGCCATCTATGTACACAAAAATTTCTGCCATAGCTGAGTAACCATACTTTAACATTACTTCTTACAAATCACGCATCTTCAACAGTATTGTCTATGAAGATTTTTGGATCTTATAGATCTGTTTTTTTCTAACTGTTATCCATGAAAGCCTTTTTATGTATAACAAATTGCAACCTCTCAATCATAATCTCCAGTTCTCTTTCATTTTTAAAACCTTTTTTTGCTTTTTTCATTTCTACAAGTCTTGATGTAGCAAAAAATAATTTATTTGAAGTATGAAAACATTGATATATATTGTCAACCACTGTGATCTTTTTTTGATATTAACACACACATGTCAGCAATAAATATTTTTTATCTTGCAGTAATGACGATTTTCTCAACTTTATGCTTGCTAGCATATAAATTTTCTATATCTATAAGACTATCTTCAAATATAAGTATGCCATGAATATATCCACATAAAATTTCTGCCATTTTATAACAGGACTACGTGGTTTCAAGGGAAATAAAGGTAGCAGAGGACACAGAGGAAGAAAAGGTGATAACTTACTTTGTTTCTATCATTGTCTAGCATGTCTTTATTTATCTATAATGAATAAAATTTGTGAAAATAACTATAAATGTCATTTTTAGGATTTTATTCAAATCTGACAAAGATTTTAACTTAAATTGTACAAATTTAAAGTTTTCCCAAAAAACTGTTCTATATAAAAAGTTAATTAAAAGTTCTTAAGTCAAAAAAGGCAGGAATTTGTACTAAAATGATCTTAAAAAAACAATTATTTAAGTAATTAGCATGCTAAAATATTCCTGAAAAATGAGCAACAAATTGAAAAGTGACTTGAAAACTTAGTAAGCTTTTGTTACAGGTGACATGGGTTATAAAGGGATAAAAGGTGATAGTGGAAGAAAGGGAGATACTGGTACCAAAGGTATTCATATTAATTGATATATTATACAACTTGTCTACTATATCATAAATGTAACATCATTATTAAAGATTTATGATCAATTTAAGGTGATACAGGTATTCCTGGTGTACCAGGACCACCAGGAACTTCAACAACAATTAAACCAACACAAATTGTAAGTAAAAATATGTAGTACAATAGAAAACAATTTCTTACAGATAACCATTTTCAATTCTTTTACTAGTATGCTGAGTCAGCACATTTAATGGGTTATGGTGGAGCAACAAGGCCAAGTTTAGGTATGGTAAATACTCACAAATGACATGCGTACATAATTATCCATCATCATCTACCCAAGTTCACATGGTTGCACAATCCTTTAATGTTTATATATGACTAGGAATGCAAAGTTCTTATATGTACAATATATGCTCAATTTATTATTTTTATTTGTCAGCTTACAACAGAATAACAAATTGGCTTAAAAGTCATGAATCAGGAGGAATGAAGTACAATGATGGATATTTATATGTGGCTCATGATGGATATTACTATATTTATTCCCAAATGTACTACTATGCTGGTGATACAGTGGCAATGGCACATAGAATGAAGATTAATGATCATATTGTGTTAACAGGTCATAGTAGTGCAAGCTCTACAAATAAGTATAACACAAATTATATTGGAGGAGTATTTAAACTGACTAAAGGACAAAAAATTTCAGTTTCAGCACCTTTTACCAACATATATTATTTTCATAAACACGAAGCATATTTTGGCGCGTTTCTACTTCACGCTTTAAAACGTTGAATTTATTAAACGTCCTAGATAGAAATCACACTTGAAACATACAATATTTACTTCGAAATGAAAAGACAGATTTTCGTGTTTCGTGAATAAATAGAAATGTAAATATAATCACGGTATAGGCTAACACTAAATATGAAAATAAGGCGTGTAAAAATTGGATGGATGTCTGTACAAAAGTTGTAAATATTTTACCAAAATAATTATGTAATGACTAATGATAAGACAAACAATTTCCTCATTCATAAATTTACTTTACCATTAAAATTAACATAGAAACTAAAATATGAGTATTTTTAAATTTTACCTAATAAATGCATAATAAACCTGGATTTTCAATACTATAAATCTTCCAATATTTACCTGAAGATGTAATAATCTGAGTTTTCACTATAGTTTTGACGACAAGAGCAACATATGGCTTCTGGAGTTACTGCTTTGATTTTGACAACCCTCGCACCCAGGCCCAGGCTGTTTACACTCCTACTCCTACGCTAAGGACCTGGGGATGACTAGCTGTTTGATAATAGGTCATAATCGCACACATATAATACATATAATAAATAGATCATAGACGTACAATTTTTGAGAACTTAGAAGAACCACCTTTATTTTGCGAGGTTATACCCTAGCCTACGTCATAAACCTTTCTACGTATCGTACCCACTGTACCATACCACTGTCTGGGACGCTAACCCACTGACCATACCACATTCGCACGTCATTTCTTGAGGATGTTTCAGTCAGGTTGCTTGGTACCGAAATAGCCGAATGACTTAGCACTTTTTAGTACGGAGTATGATGGAGACTGAATCTAACATTTTTCCAAGTACTATTTAACTATTTATAACACAAAGATCTTTCTGAACCTGAAACATGCTCATCGCTTTTTGAATTTTTGCCGAGATTTACACGTAAATCTTCCCTGCGAATCTCTGAAGATTATTGGTAAAGCATTTTCTTCTGACAAAATTCAAGTCATTTCATAAATTTCAGGAATATTTAGTTTATCTATGTGGCAACGAATGATTCGCCAGTTTCAAACTACTGTTTATTTAACCCAAGACAGAGTATTGTCAAGGTAGCCATAAACGTCACGTTTCTAGAAGGGAATAAATTATTTGTTCTGCGGCAGATCACACAAAACCAAAGCAAAAGTTTGCATTTTCTAACATTAAAATTAAAATCGTTTCCGTTTCTCTTCTATTGACGGGGGGGGTCTATGATCCCAAACTGTTATTAGATCAATTATAACAGAAATCTCTACCTAGTTGTCCGGGGATTTCTGACTTAAAAATGATGAAAACGAGAGAAAAAAAGCATTTCGAAAGTTAACAAATGTGTTTTGTTAATGCGATGTTATAAAATTGTTAACTTCAGCACATTTTTGTCACGAGGCAATCAGAGGGGAATTCCTATGGATGATGTTCTGTTAACAAACTAAAATTTAAAATATACGAATAACAATTCTTCGTGAAATATTTGCCATACTTTCTTTAAAAATATGTACAAAAAAATTCTGTTTGAGTTTCAGCAACCACAAAACGCCCAAAAACCTTCATGAGAGAGTAAGTTTTTTATGTTTCCTTACCTCATTCACTTGCATATCGACATTTTGAAATTTAATCATTCGTGAATGCTTTTGCTCCGTTTCACTGTCTCAAATTTGACTTTTCGAGAAACAAAAACCTTTATATAATACGCTTTATTATTTTCAACTTCGCATCTCAGCGAAAATGAATGATAAAACCTTAAACGGCTATACCACAGTATCTACACAGTGCATTTTAAGAATGTGCGAATTATGATCAGAATCAACCAATGAGCAACTCGGTAATAAAATACACGGCCAATCAAATAACATACACGGCCAGTCTTGTCATGAGGAATTTAGAGCATTCGTCACGCCATTATGTCATCAATGCCACAAGATGACGTAGTCAACATGTTTCAATACACAGCAATCAAAGTGCGCGTTACTACAACCAACTATATTTATGATATTTATATTACAACCAGAGATCATTGTTTTGAATCTGTACTAAGTAATTATAGACTTATATTAGAGATGGATATAACTTGCATTGGTAAACTTTTCTGATTCGTCTATAAATTCGTTCGTGTAGCTATAAAGCGATGATTTTTGATGAATAAACTAAACGGACAATTATGGTCTTCAACTGTTAATGGGTGAAGACAACTGAGTCAACACTATTACAATGCACCACATGATTATATAGCAGACTGTTGGTACGACAACAGAATTATTATACAAAATTACTCTAATTAGCCAAGTTACTAGTAACTTATTTTTCTTTTCTTTTAGTAAAGAGTTCTAGCGTAAAAACCTACGTTTTAGGACAAAAATTAAGGTGAATCATGCTTATGATTGTTGTGTTGTATATTTATGATTTTGTCATCAACTTTATACAAATTAAAACTTAACTATATTCTTCCTTTTCACAAGACCTTACTAACACAAGCAAGCAAGCAATTTTTGTCCAAGTTTCTTCAGTTTATGCAAAACTGAATTTATATAAATTTCAGCATAGAAATGTCTCATGAATTTTTCTAAATTCATTTGGACGAAGAGTTATTGGATAAACTTTTCCTTTCTCGCTTGTATCAGGAATACTTATCTTTCCAAAGAAAACAGGATTTATCTTTTCTTGTAAAGCCTTACATAAAAATGAAATACCAGTAAATATGAATATTTAGACAATATACATTGAGTTTTATGTCGAGTCAGTTGTGTATAACGACATTTTACAAGATAAAGGCAGGTTGATAAACTCGATGATTGTTATCATAAAACTTCCAATAGAAAAAATGAATAGACATTGATCAGAATTTGGGGGTTGAACAGATTTTGGCTTTGATTTGTAAAAAAAGGAAGGTGAAAAGAACAACAATGGCCACCATTATTCTTTAATAATGACTTTATAGGTAAAATTATCAATCAAGATACAATACTGACCTTGGAAAATGTTGGCGATATAAATGAAGAAAAATCTGTTTGAATATTAGCTCCAGCATACGTAGACGCCATCAGTTTATAAACCTCTTGTTGCAACTGAACAATATATGTAAAGAAAAAAAATGATGTGAAAAATCGAAAATTTCTTCAAAATATTTTTTTACTGAGAATGCTTACATTATCTTTCTTTTCAGTAAGATCCTTCAATTTTTTCAAACGATTGACCTCTTCGAACTTGTTTCTTGCTACGAAATATTCAATAAATTTCAACAAGGTTTTCAACCCCTTTCCATTATCAAGTCACGTAATGACAAACTTTACATTTAAAAAAAAATTTACCGGCTTTAGTCTTTGTTAAATCAACAAGATAAGGAGTTGCGATTAATAAGTTTATTTCCTGTAACCAAACAAACATGTTAGATTAAAATAAATCAATTAAATAGAATTTCGGCTGCTTGCGAAGAACCATACGTAACTACATCTTCCTTCTCCATACTTCCATTTTATCTATTCAACTATGAACGTGTCTTTACAGAAATTGTCCTCGTCAATTCGCATCCAAAAGGTTTCTTCAGACACTTACATCAAGCAAAGATTGAATTTTTTCAGAATATTCAGCAATTTTGGTCAATGTTTGAGCACGTTTCGTAGAAGTCACATTTTTTATAGAAGAAGCAAGTTTTGGAGGTACAAAAAGTTGAGGTAAAGCTCGTAATCTCGCCTAAATCATTAAAAAAAAACATAAGATAAATTTCTGACGTTTAAAAAACAAACAAATTCATCATTTTATAATGTTACCTTTAGTTTGTCACTCTTCAAACGCACATTTTCATTTTTTACATAATTCAAAGCAATTTTCAAAGACTCCATCTACAAAAGTGTGGTTATAACAAACAAGTTAGTGATCAAACAAATCACTTTAAATGTTGCTATACTGTAAACTACGCGATCAAAAACACTGAGCTCTCAATAATACAACAACATTGTTTACAGTTGTCAACAATAGAAATTTTAAGGTAAATAGTGTTAACAATCCTTATATATAGCTAAAATCAATACAACATTATAGCCATCATCATTTTTTAATATGATATACTTTGTGTAAGCAAGCGCGATGTTCACAAACCTGCCTTAGCAACACAGGAGAATCTTTAATTATTACTTGCACAGGTTCACCCGATGACGCAACAGATGTACGGTTGGTCCCAGTCTTTCCTACAGCTCCTAAAACAGTGTGACAATTTATAGTTAACTAAATACTCGATAAAAGAAAGTGCTTTTGCCAGCAGATTAATGCATTAAAAAATTATAAAACTGTCAAAGTATCCAATAACCTGCTGCAACTACAGCTCCAATACCAGAAGTCTGCCGGGCAAGATCTTGAAGTAGAGATTTCTTTGACAAAGCATCTAATTTCTTTTTTAAATCAACTTTCTCCTTCTCAAGATGATCAATATCTGATTGTAATGCATCGTAAGTTTCTTCGTATTCCCTAGAGCATCAAAATTCACCTTGAACATCTTGAAAAGTATTTTACTAACACGAAATTCATAGATCGTTAAATGAAATGAATCAATAATTTATTAAAACCTAAATACCGAGACTGTTTTTCCAAGTCAGTCACAGCTTGTTGCAACTTCTTGTTTATTTGCTCAACACGAGAATCAGCCTGAATTATAAAAACAATCATACAAACAACAAAATCTTCGTTTGTACACTGAATTATAGATTTTCCTACCTCTTTTGTTGAATTATCTAATCTTTTTTCAAGTAAGCCAACACGAATATTTGCCTGAGATACTTCCTCAGCCTAAAGTAAAAAAAAATGAAAATGACAATGAACAACGTTTCACATTGACAGTAAATCAAAATTTAAAAGTTCACCTTTATTTTCAACGCAATTCTTGCATCCTGTAACTCTTTATCTTTAGCTGCAAGTTTTTCCTCGACGCTCCCAGATTCTGCTAACTCATGACGTAACGCTTTTGCACGCGTGACGTAAGGTAACTCATTCTAAAAGAAAATAAAAATAAAGATAACTTGCAAAAGAATGTTCACAGGCAATGAATAAAGCTTAATGATGCAATATAATTATTGCAACATGTTAGTAACCTCTGAATAACAAGTCACTAATAACATACTATAACATGCCAGTAACATGCAAATAACATGTGAATAACATGCCACTAGCGGGTCAAAAACATGTCACTAACGGTCAATAGCATGTCACTGACGGTCAATAGCATGTCACTAACGGTCAATAGCATGTCACTAACGGTCAATAGCATGTCACTAACGGTCAATAGCATGTTACTAACGGTCAATAGCATGTCACTAACGGTCAATAGCATGTCACTAACGGTCAATAGCATGTCACTAACGGTCAATAGCATCACTAACGGTCAATAGCATGTCACTAACGGTCAATAGCATGTCACTAACGGTCAATAGCATGTCACTAACGGTCAATAGCATGTCACTAACGGTCAATAGCATGTTACTAACGGTCAATAGCATGTCACTAACGGTCAATAGCATGTCACTAACGGTCAATAACATGCCACTAACGGGTCAATAACATGCCAATAACATGTCAGTAACATGATACAATAAAAGAGTTTTTGAAATACGCACCTTCTTTTTTCTGAAACTTTACAATCATATTCTCCTTCTTGCATCTTTATGAAAAAACTTGAAAGTTGACTGATGACATTATTAAAGGCCAAGCTTTAAATGAGATTGAAAAAATAGCTGAATAAATGATTTGATAGTAACTATACAACCGTCAATAATAATTTTGCAATAACTATCTTTTTTTATAAAAAATATGAAGTGAACACAAAAATAAAATCAAACTCTCAACAGAAAAGCTAGAAGGGTTAAAACGTAAAAAGGAAAATCTCATGAGCCTCGTCATTTATTAAATCTCACATACAAAATAACTATTGAATTTAAATTATTTCAAACGATCTCTCAAACGAGAGATCAACTATAAGGGACGGGGGAATCACAAGTTATACTCAATTTCAAACCTCAGACAATCTTTAGCTGAATCATTTTCATTTTCAAAGACCAGAATTGTCATGTCTTGAGACATTTCTTCAAGTTGACCACTAAGGAGACTTTCATTTTCTATAAAATATAACACAACGTTTCGAAGTGAAATATGTTCACGTTAATGTAGTTACCTATCTTGGTGTAGTTGCCTATCTTGGTGTAGTTGCCTATCTTGGTGTAGTTGCCTATCTAGGTGTAGTAAACTATCTTGGTGTAGTAAACTATCTTGGTGTAGTAAACTATCTTGGTGTAGTAAACTATCTTGGTGTAGTAAACTATCTTGGTGTAGTTGCCTATCTAGGTGTAGTAAACTATCTTGGTGTAGTTGCCTATCTAGGTGTAGTTGCCTATCTAGGTGTAGTAAACTATCTTGGTGTAGTAAACTATCTTGGTGTAGTAAACTATCTTGGTGTAGTAAACTATCTTGGTGTAGTAAACTATCTTGGTGTGGTAAACTATCTTGGTGTAGTAAACTATCTTGGTGTAGTAAACTATCTTGGTGTAGTTACCTATATTGGTGTAGTAAACTATCTTGGTGTAGTAAACTATCTTGGTGTAGTTGCCTATCTAGGTGTAGTTGCCTATCTAGGTGTAGTAAACTATCTTGGTGTAGTAAACTATCTTGGTGTAGTAAACTATCTTGGTGTAGTAAACTATCTTGGTGTGGTAAACTATCTTGGTGTAGTCGCCTATATTGGTGTAGTAAACTATCTTGGTGTAGTAAACTATCTTGGTGTAGTAAACTATCTTGGTGTAGTAAACTATCTTGGTGTAGTAAACTATCTTGGTGTAGTAAACTATCTTGGTGTGGTAAACTATCTTGGTGTAGTAAACTATCTTGGTGTAGTAAACTATCTTGGTGTAGTTACCTATCTTGGTGTAGTAAACTATCTTGGTGTAGTAAACTATCTTGGTGTAGTAAACTATCTTGGTGTAGTAAACTATCTTGGTGTAGTAAACTATCTTGGTGTAGTAAACTATCTTGGTGTAGTAAACTATCTTGGTGTAGTCGCCTATCTTGGTGTAGTAAACTATCTTGGTGTAGTAAACTATCTTGGTGTAGTTGCCTATCTTGGTGTAGTTGCCTATCTTGGTGTAGTTGCCTATCTTGGTCTACTAAAATATCTTGGCCATCTATTCTAATTCTTCATAAAACTTAAAAAAAATTCTGCTTTCGGATAACATCGTTTTTTCATCTCACTTCACGTTCAATCAAGGCATTCAATACGCAAATCTAGAGTGCGTCACTGTGATACTAAAAAATAATCGACCTTGCAAACTAATTTCTTAATAATATACTATAACACTACAAAATATTCAATTAAAATCCTAGGAACTGTATAATACTCTATTATGCCCAGTAATATCCTTGCAGCATTAAATCAATGAAGGAAAAGAGAGAAATACCTGGTAATATTGCTGTCTTTTCCAATATTGTGCCGATATATTCATTGACAAACTGTACAATTTTCTCGAACGTCTTGAGAGAATCCAACAACGAGTTTTGCACCTAATAAATATTTAACAAATGTAATATAGAAGATCAAGAAATTTAGGAACTAAAGATCAAGGAATATAATATATAAAATCAAGGAATTTAATATGTGAGATCAAGGAATGTACTTTTCAAGATCACATGAATAAATTTCTAAGAACCTCTTTTGGAACAGCTAGTTCACTGGAACTTTCTTGGGGGATGGCTCGCTTGATCTATTAAAGAATTTGAAACAACATCAAACTTACATAGTACATGATTACGATCAAATAAATGATAAAATATCATTAACTAGCATAATTACATATGTTAATAAAAGAAAGATTGTTGAAAATAACGAGCGACAACAAGATTTTATGCGATAATTTCTTAAATTCTTCTTTTTTTGTCACGTTTCAACTCACTTTACGAGATAACTGCCGTATTTCCATGTTTCTTAGTTCGATATCAGAGAACAATGATCCTAACTCACTTCCTTCTTCGCAATTCTAAAATGTTTATACATACAGCAACAATGGACACAAAATAAGCAAATTAGTTTCGCTAATAAAGACATTTTGTTATCTTTCCATAAAATTCTTCCAAAAATTTCTTCAGTGATGTTCGTAAAATATGAAATATCGCGAATAAAACAAAATAACTTTGACATTTTGTTATAACGAATGGAAATAATGCTCTTAAAAAGTTGGATGAATTAAAAATAAAGATAGTGACATACATAGTGTTATAGTAAGATTTATTTTCGCATTTTTTAACAATGTTTTGTACCTTTCCACAAAGTTGTTTAAATTTTGTCAAACCAATAGAAATTGTGTCTGCTCCACAGTTGAATATTTGCAGTTGATCTTGTAAAAATTGGGAAGATGATGAAGTCTCGTGACTTATATGAAAACGAACCATCATCTAAAATAAAACAGTTGATTGTATATAAGCCACGTGATCGTTGCCACGTGACTATTACCAACTCAAGTTTTTAAATCCATGATAATCTTACGTCATAATTAGCTATGGCTTTTTTTAAAGGACCCATCACTATATTATCATCAAACTGAAAAGAAGAGAAAAAACAGGTTCAATTGTATTTTAAGCAAATACGTCGACATGATAAAGAAAGTTAGAAACGCACATTCGACGAAGATATAGACAGCAAACAGCATATTTTAGGAAAGATAAATAAATCATAGTATTTAAATGTACAAAAACCTGTCCTTTTTTGAGAACGTTGATTAAATCATCAAGACATTTCTCGTGTGAAGCCAGTTCATTGTATGTGCTAGTAATTCGATCAAATGCAGTTGTACTACATTCAGACAAACCTCTAAAAATCAAAGAATAGATAAAATGATGCTTCATGATACCATAGGAGCATTACACAAATATGATTCATTAAATATTACATAAACATGACAACAGTGTTACCTTTCAAAACGCTTTACAAGCGATTCAAAAACACACAAAGAAAAATTCATAAATGAAGCGAAGTTGATTTGATCGTTTTTGTTGACAATTTCAGAATCTTCAACACTTGCTGCAATACTGAACTAAAAACATTTAAGTAAAAATAAACTAGAGCGACAATAAAAAACGACAATAAAATGAACGACATAGCATTAACAGAAGCAGGGTCGCCAAGAAGCGGGGGACAAAGGGACAATCTTTTCCAGGACCCAGGCTTTCAAGCTCCCCAAAGTACGATAAGAAACACAATATATTGCTGTGAAAATAAATGCATATATAATAAGAGTTAACAAATAAATTTGGAAGTACGCCAATAATAGCAATACCTAACTTATCATTTTCATTAAGCATAAAACACAAACATCACATGTTTACAATTGCTTTGTTGAAGTATTGTTGGGGGGAAGGGCCCCTACTTATTCATGTAGCTCTGAACAGAAGGAGAACATTGAAAGACAGTAAAATGGACAACATGATATTAAGACAAAGAGTACATGATGGTAAAATCCCTCTTTACCTTTTCATTTATCTCACGTTGCAAAAATTGAGATTTAAATTGAAGTCGAGGCATCAGCAATGATAAAAATATTCCTTCTGCATCACCTAATGAATATTACGACAGAAAAATAAATCAGATTGATTTAAGTTTTCCTTTAAATTAATGAAAATAAAGGAGCAAGAATCATCCTTGATTACTTGTTTTAAAAATGTAACCATTTGACCATTTAACGTGGTGTAAGTTGTAAGTCAAATAAAGTTATATTATCCACAATAACACTGCATTTACTAAAGGTTCTGATAACAATCAAACAAAACTACAAGAACAATATCAATTCTTTAGTCTCTAAGAAAAAAACTTCAACCATGCAGCAGAATCATTAATCATAATTCAACCGTCAACGACTACGAAAAATATATGCAGAAAACGTCAATCTAAAAGTTTTTTACCTCCACGTTTCATGAAAGATTCAGGAAGAAATGATTCAATCATTTTTAATTGTTCTTTACATTGTTGAAGCTCAAACTTCTCAAGTTCACTGCTCATCATCTAAAATCATAAATTTGACAATACATATCAACAAACCAGATTATGTAAGTATTAATGAATTGTTATTACTTACGAAAAAATAAGAATTGAAATTGATAAAAAATATTTGCATGAAAGGTCCTTGGAGAAAAACTCCATACTTGAAAACATTTTATTCTGGTATTTATGTCAAAATGCAAATTATTCAAATCTTAATTTCTCGTAACCAAAAAAAGATATTGCGTGAATGAAACCTTTGCACGAGATTTGGTTTCAGCTGCTTGAAATTTCAAATTAATAATGTCAGGAATTGATGGTGTTAGTACGGATTTCTTTTCTTCATTACTAACACCATTTTGTTCTTGTAAACCAACAATTGTGTTCTAAATAGAAAACCAAAAAAAAATGTATTTTCATTCGCTTACAAATGTTACATGATACACAAAAAAACATATTCGACATTGTAAAATTATCTAAAATTCCACTCAATAAAACAAAATAAACATCCCTTTCTACAGCCTAAATGTCAAACATGTGTTGTAGATGTACATCTAACATGAAGTATTTATTTACCTGAAGTTCACTGACCAACTCTCTAAATTTTTCAATAGTTTTTTGATGATCTACAATACTTCCATGTGCTGCATCTACTTTCCTTTCCAGCTATATAAAGTTGAAGAAAGTAGCATGATGCATTACAATTACTGGACTTATCAAATGTAACTGTATCCTGGATAGATTGTGAATACACCGACCTCACGAATTGAATTCTCCTTCATCTCTATTTCTTCTCTCATTTCCAATTCATTTTGGTTGTGAGTTTCCTCAAGTTGTTCATTTAAATCTTGCAACGCTTCCTATATACAAAATGTTTAAAAGTAATTCTTGACTGCTAGAATATGTGAAATAAAAGTTATATTATATCTATGTAGACACTCATCCAAAAAATCGCTTTTTGTAAAACGCATCTGATAAAACAAACTCAAAGGACTGGAGTGTTTTAAATGAAGCTAAATTATTGGTCATTGGTTTTATTTTTATGATAAAGATTCTATCCCTTCTCATGCCTTGTACAAAAATGTACAAATTAAAATAAGTTTGTATTAACGCAACATTTCTTATATTTTGTAATTATTCCATTACAAAATTCGGCAAGCGTTATTTTTTGTGCGAGTTTGTCTTTATCTCATTACAAAAGCAAATTTCTTCAACGTAAGTGTGAATTAACATGAAACTTTCAATTATCAAAGTTGTTACTTCCTATTAAATAAACAAAGATATCAATTCATTTAACAACAAACCAATTCTTCTATCGTCTCTTGCAAAGTTTTTATCTTTTCTCCTAGCTCTAGATTTTTATCAGTGAGAGTTTCGACCATTTCCTCAGCACCAATGGCAATATCAACCTAAAATTAAAAATTACAATGGGTGTAAAGGGAAATAAACGATAATGGTGATGACAACTGTTATATAAAACAGAGTGTAAATATACTATGGGAAAATATAGGGAAAAGCAAATATCATGGTTTGTGTCAATAAAGGTTAACTTGAAGTGTTGACTAATAAACTAAAAATTAATTCATCTATTCAACCTGTTCTTTCAATTCATCCACAGTAGCATCAGATGCCTGTAATAATGTAATTCATAAATATTTACTACAAAATGGAAAAACATATTTTCTTACAATCATTTTTAAGACAAAGAACTTACTGATAGTTGATCATTAAGTTTTTCTTTTTCACTTTGAAGTGCTGTCAATGTGTTATTTAAGTCATTGAACTGTTTCTTTAAACGTTGTTGTTCATATTTTTCAGATTGAACTAGTTCACGAAAGCTAACAAAAAAAAACAATGTTTCACTTAAAAAAATCTCAAAGAGTCATTGTTTTCAGATCATACATATTGTCTCAACAAACCTGACCACAGCTTCTTTCAATTTGTTATTTTGTTCAGTTAATGTTTTGATCTCTGCATTGTTTGCAGCTCCTTCAATTCCTATAATAAATCGTAAACTATTTAAAATAACTTTTCCAACTAAAATAAATTATAAGATAAATAAAACACAGGTTTATACATCAAATAATCCACACATTACCTCCATCTGAGACTTCACTTTTTAATATTTCTAACTCAAGCGAAAGTTCTTCCACTTTTTCTTTGAGACTTTCATTTTCTTGAACTATAGACTCAAGCTGTTAATATGTTGAGATAGAAATGTCAGTGAGAACAAATACTAGCAATAAAGTAGTAACATAATATAGTAGTAATAATGTCATGCTGGAAATAAGCTACTGGTGTTTTAATGAAATAATTGAAAATAATCCTTAACAAATAAATAAGCTAAACCACAAAGTTGTACAATTGATGGATAATCATGGATAGTAAATACATTTTCAGAAACATACTTTCTCTTCTGCCATTTCTTTATCAAGAGTTGCCATCTCCACAGCTTCTTGCAATGTGGCTAAATCATCTGGTTGCTCATCATGAGCTTCTTTCATTTCTTGTAGTTCCTGTTTGTAACAATAAACATGAAAACTTTACCATTTAATGACAACCAAGTTTAAAAATAGTTTATAGTTTGAAAATAACACTAGTAAATAACATGAACTGAAAATATGCATCCAAAATTTAACATTCAAAAGAAGATAATTTCTTATACAAACAGTAATGGCAATAGAAAAAAACATGAGCAATCTTTGAGGATCGAAAAGTAAATAAGGTGTGATTGTTAAAGACAATTTTAACCTTTTTTGCAGCTTTGAGTTGTGCTTGTAAATCTTTTTGCGATTCTTGCCACTTTGTTCTGTACGTTAGTAACTACAAAAAAACGTGAGATTAAGGATTAAAATTATAACTAAACTTTAATGATTTTAAAAAATAATAACTAACAGCAATCTTACCTGATTTAATTGTAATTTTGTCTTTTCATATTCTTTCAACTTAGCTTTATCTTCCAAACGTTTTTGTTTAATTGTTGCAAATTTTTCTTCAAGATCAAGTATCTTACGATCCTTTTCAGTACATTGATGCTGTAAGTCAACTATATCTCTCATCGAAACCCCACTGCTATTGTTGCTTTGTTCAACTTCTGGCTTTTTCTGCTGCTGTTGAGTGGAAGACACCTGTTCTGAAGAAGATGCTTGAGCACTTGGTTTGATACGAAGAGTTGATGGAGTCTGTGAAGACCCTGGAGCTTTGAGACCAGATTTTACACCAGATTTTGAAGGACTCTGAATTCCACTTGCCACTTTAGAGCCAAGGCTTGAACGAGTGGTGGTTGGCCGTTGAAGACCACTCGCAAGTTTTGTCTTGAGTTCATTTGGTGAACTAGCCAATGATGTTGGTTTTCCAATCTTAGAGACAGTAGGAACGGCCTTCTCAGACTAATGTTAAACATAAAGCAATCTAATAGTAAATCAATAATCACCTTTATTGTGTATTTTATGAGTTAGGTTGTATTACATTAAAAAAGAGGTTTAATAAATCTTGCAAAATTTTGTTTTGGGTTTCAATGAATACTCTCACTTTAAAATCATAACATACCTCAGTACGATCTTCCTGGAGCTTTTCCTTTGGAGGGGAGGGACGTCCAAAACTTGGCTTTGGTAATGAAGATGAAATAGTTTTTCGAGGAGTTTCTTTTGGTGGTGATGATTCTTGGTTGATATTTGATAAAACTGATAACTGTGACTGACGAATAAATATTCCATGGTTTTCAGGACATACAAAATACTGCCGACCTTGAACTACTCAAATAAAGAAAAAGATGTAGTTACAAAAGTAAATATTAAAAACATGATGTTCAAATTTTATTCTGTCAGTTCAAAGAATGACAAACAAATTCACACTTTACAATTTATCACATTAATAGCACTTGCACAGTTGCAGCATACAAAAAAAAACTTTTGCATGCTAGATAACTGTTTATCGTACCTGTACCATCATTTTTTCCTTTTGCTTCATCAAGTTGCACTCCAATCCATTTTCCAGAAGCAAACAAAGTTGTACCAACATATTTTACAGTTCCAGTGAGATGTTTACCTGTAACTTCGACGCGATCGTCTATTTTCATTGACTGACTAGACATTATGAAAGATTTCAACTTTTTATGAGTTAAACAAAACTCAAAATGTCTTGAAATCAATACGTTCGACAATCGAGTGATAAATCCACAAGAATTCTGCCAAAGATGAACAAAATTTAAACCAACCACAAAAAACCCGACAAAATCCGACACGTACCGGCAGACAACGAGACGGAGCCATGATCAAGCCACTTCGAGCTAGTGACGTCATGTCAGTAAATAAACTATAAGTCTAGAAACAATTGTGACTATGGAAGCTTTGGATTTGCCAGGCGGAAAGCGAATTCATAGTATAAATATAATTGCCCAACATAAAACTTTAGTATGGCCTTGGGTGTATAAATTTATTAACAATAAAGTTTCGTCTTTATAACGAAATCAATGCGAAACTCGCCAGAATACCTCGTAATTTAACACCCTGTAAATAATGTATATACAGTAGAACCTGTATTAAGCAGCACCGTATTAAGCGGTCACCCTGTGTTAAGCTGCCATATGGCAAAGTCCTGAAAATTTCATAGTATAATACTACGTACTAAAGTGACCTTTATTAAACGGTAACCTCTATTAAGCGGACACGGTCACCTTTTCCAATGTCCCAAACTTAATTTTTCATTGTTTTTGAAACTGAAATTAAATATTTTTTGTGGAACATGTCACTTATTGTATACATGTCTTTATATTGTATTTATCTTCCGTAATGAGTCAAAAGAGCCAACAACATTTTCTGTTTGTGTGGACGAATTACACCAGAAATTTAAACTTTTCTTACGTCCTTTCAGCCATTGACAAGAAAACATATCTCCAAGAATTTCAAACTATGAAAAAAATTGCTTAATATAGTGGGCCTGTTCGGCATATGTGTTAAGGAACAATACCGATTGGTTGAACTTTTAGTTCTATGAAATATTACAGGTAGCCCGTCGGGTGATTTTTCCTAAAAACCTGTATTAAACAGTCACACGAGAAACCCCAAGGGTAACCGGTTAATACAGGTTCTACTGTAAATATGTTTTCGTACTTCCTACATTTATGTATTGTAATCTGAAGATGTCTTAAGTTAAAGACGAAACGTTGTTGTTAATAAATTTATATAACCATGGCCTTATTAAAAGTTTCGTGTTGGGCAATTATATTTATACTCTAAAAATTATATCTTGCAATAACTACTGACTAGTGGTACACTGGTAACTGGTAAAAATGAGTTGCATCGACTATTTAATTGCAAAAGTTTGATTAACAATTATTACCAGTATATATAATTCACTCAGTTTTCGGTTGCAAAGTCAAAATAAAGTGGTGAAGATTTTTTATGGCCTTCCTGTTCTTTCTTCGCAATCAATAAAAACATTTAAACACACTTCGCAACGTTTTGAAGTTGGAAAAGGCACACTGCTCCAAGATTTTCTTGCAAACACCTATCAGTAAAAATTCATACATATTACAAATTCAAAATGAAATTTGAAAACCTATTTTCAGGCAACAATTACAAAGTATGTAGTTATTGTTCTGTTAAGTAGCTTATCGTAACGTTTCTCAAGGAATCAATGTCATTCAATATTTGTACAATCATAATTTATTGAAAAGATATTTACATACAGTTCACACTGAATGGAATATTTACACAGATATTTTTCCCTCGAACAGAAAAAGATAAACTTTCACACGATCAAAAAACGAGAAAGCCCAATATTTATATAGTATATACATTTAATTCCCTATTTTACAGCTTGATCAAGACACACAACTTTGACACACCAACCAACACAAGCGTGAATTATACAATTTAAGATATATTTACATTTCGAAACGTTAAATTGATACGAGGTCCTCGACTGTGGTATTCCTTAGGCACACGATGCTAAATGATGAAATGTTATTAAATACTACATTTCATTTCAATAAAGAAAATTTCAATCATAAAGATTGATAATAACCTGCCAATCTGACTGACAAGCACCAGACATGATTAATAAACTACCAGATGGCAAGGGAATTTTAATAATTTCATCGATATTCTTTCCTAAAGTTGAATCTACCGGTTTTTTTCTCATTTCAAAAATCCTTGTTTCCCCAAATGAGATAGAGCATATGACAGGATTATTACCCAAGGAATCCTCGTCATCACTATGCCAATCCTACAAAATACTTAATGTTAGTTTGATTGTTCCTTCATGTTGAAAAAAAATGCTTCTAAAATAATTTTCTCCGATTACATAATTATTATTTTGTCGTTTTAATCATCCTGTGAGATCATAATATCACAAGTTGCGAGTTTTAATCAAATTGATGAGTTCTAATGTAACCCTCAAACATTGTCACTGTGTCAACGTTGAAAGTCAAATGAGTGTCATGAAACATGAATATTACATGTATCTTGATTTTTGTCAAATTAATAAAATAATTACACAAAAGTATAAGCATACTCACGACACTATCCTTCTCATTGCGATAAAAGTTTGCCAACATTGAATTAAACGTAAGTCCAGTTTTCAAAAATATTCGTTCTCGTAACGAGTCCAATAGAGGAGACCACTAAAAGTTCGTTATAAATAAACACATATTAATTTAAAATGAAAATTATTTGATAATAATCAGCAAAGAACAAACTTGATATGGTTGAAGAGTTAATCCTGAGTAAGTATAAGGAAAATCACCAAACCATGCCGTTAATCGTGGTTGACGGTGATATTCACCTAAAGAATGCATAAAATACATAAATTATAGTGAAGTAAAGTTTATATAACATCATTGCATGTAAAAGTGTAAAGAATCAAAACATGACTCTTGTTACCTTGAAGTTTGATGTTTTTTTCTTTCCATGGTATCTTGCATTTTAACTCTTCAAACATCCACATTGTTTCCTCCAATGGAATGAAGGAAGGATCAAACTCAACACTGCACAATGATAAAGTGGTTTTTATACCGGATCTTCTATGTAAAACATCTGGGCAACTCTTGCACATAAACAATACAATAATAGACTTGAACAATATATGATGAATAATTGTCATGCAAGAACTAGACATTGTCTTCATATTCCACATGTATTAAAGTTGTCAATAAAGGTTAGAATGAAAATATTATGTATAGAAAATATTATATTTGGAAAATGGTGATGACAAAAGTGCTTTTTATATACATGTGATACATTAACAAAATTTTAAATGACCACCTTGCTTTGCCTGATGTTCCATTACTAAGATCATGAACTCCATGTCTACTAAATGCAAAAACAAATAATGATGTTAACAACATAATAATTGACAATAGTAATCAAAATGCTGGGAGCAAAATTTAAGATAAAAAATCTTTGTTTATGTAATTAGAAGGATGGGTGTCTAACTAGAACATTTTACCATAGAATACTATTCCAATCAGACCATTTACTAAATAATTTAAAACAATGACATGGTTAGTTCAATGACACAAGTTTAAAGATAAGAAACACACTAATGTTACACAAAAATGTTAATGAATAAACTTCTACATACAGAAATTTACCAAATACAGGAAAATTCATTTAGAACTCAGAAAAAAATGAAAGTGCATTCAAAGAGATGCAAAAAAATATTTGATCTATTTATTTAAATTTCCATTAGTTCCTTGGTCTTTCAAAACTGTTTTCAAGACTTTTTTTAAATTGAGTCTTTTATCTTGACAGAATAAATATTCAAATAAATATGTATAAATATTGCCTTAAATGAAAGTATCTTTGAAAATTTAGGTGTCAATAATAGTACTCTATCTATTCAACTGAGGATAACTAAAATGTGAAAGTGAAATGAAAAAGCTCAAGTAAATCCCTGTCATATATATTTAAAATACATTTTACTTAAACATCATAGAGAACTGAAGAAAAAATAATAACAACTAGCAACTATGTACACATTTGTTTAAATATACGGAACAACACAAGAAATATCTATTAAGAATTATTTTTGATGGATTTTATACAAGATCTAGCAACATTATCCTGGTTCGCACAAGTAACCAAAATAAAACATTGCTCCCTGACTGTTGGTAAAAGACATTTAAGACCTTTCTCACTCATTATGAATGACATTAAAAGATACATAATTCTTCAAATATTACAAATTCTAAAGTATTTTAAATGGAACTATGAAAAAGTTTTTTATAAACTGATTAATCTATGCATCTTCTTAATATTTTGTATGCCACAAATAGTATGACGATTAAAAAACATGCTTTTGGTGGTTAGTTTTAAAAAAAGTTGCTTTGTTCTGTTGCTTTGTACAAAAGTCATTGGTTGATTTTAAATATTGTGGTAAATTGGTTAGTATAAACTATGGTGAACAAGAGCAAATTTAGTTCAGCAAACTCTTTGTATTCACAGTAGAAACTCACGTTATTAACTTTGTTTGCCTTGATTTTCTTTCTTGAAGCTAGATGAAAGAAATTAATTTAGTAAGGCAGTTTAACGACGTCGAATATCCATCGTTTGTGGCCGTAAATATTACTAATGAAACAGATAGACTTGGAAAATCACCTTTCCCTATCTTCTCCAAACACCTTAACGTGAAACTAATACATGAGAACTTTGTAATACCACACTCACCACATTTTGTTGAAATGTAAAACTCCGACATGTTAACTCATTGGAGAAAGTTTTATCACGAGGGCGTTTATGTTGTTCTTTTAACCAAGAATTTTGTAATCTGTTCTTTTTTCTTCTATCCATGATTTATCAATGATTTTAAGGAAGATAAATTAAAGAATTGCTGGACCAACTTTCAATATTCATCTGTATTCAGTGTACTTCTCAATGTACCTGATTGGACAACCGGGGTGGAGGTGTTGGGAAGAGAGAAGGGGACGGGGGGAGGGAGAAAATGTTAAGATAAGATACTTCATACTTGAATCTAGATATTAGAATATTAGAAATAATATTTCTGTTAAAACACGGTGGGAGGAACAGTAAAAGAAAGGATGAATTAAAAAGTATGTTATATAATTTAACTTCAAACTAGCTTTTAGCTGTTAATTATTTAGCTTGCTAGCCTATTTTTCAACGACTTTTTGACTGGTTTAAGTGATACTAAGATAGAGACAACGGAGAATTAAAAAATCCGTTTGACATACATTTTATTTGTTTAAACTTTTTTTTAATATTTATTTATTTTTTTCTCAGTTTATTCAGTGATGGTGAAGTTTAATTTTTTAAGTTTCACTTTTGCTTCTTGGAAAACTGCTTAACCATGTGATCACGCGATCATGTGCTTGGTAAAGTTTGATATAAACTGATTGTAAACGATCAAAAATAGCGTTTCATTTAAAGACAATTCTGCTCTTTATATTTATTCGTTTCTTTGAAAAAGGTAAGTTGAACATAAATGATGTAATTTGCTAACGCGCGGAGTCACTGTAATGCCATGCCTTTGTGTGAAATGTGGTGATTATTAATACAAATGATACTTGACCGTGGCGCCCCTTGAATATTAGAAGTTTGAATTGTATTTCTGTTCTCAATGTTTTTAAATTGATCAAACTAATGAAATATTTAATATTTATTAAAAATAACAACAAAAGAGAGCCGGGTTTTTCTATGAACAACTTTAAATTTGCAAATGTAGACGAACGTTTCTTTCAATTCCTATTGTGAGATTGAGTTTATAAACTTCGACTGCAGACTTAATTTACTTAAACTTTAGTTAATATAACACGATACTGTTTTTTCTTTCAGTCTTACAGGTTAATTTACAACAAAGAGAGAACATTTAGACATACAGCCATGTTTTTGATAAAAGCTGAGTACGTTCAATTTTGAAGAGGATGAAAAGAGTGTCATTGGTGGACATAGAGTTGTTTATTATTGTCTCCGCCAATCGTTCAAATCTGTTCTGAAAAAAATAACGAAAAACCTTAACTGTATAAAACTTGAAACAACTACAGATTTCTATATCACATTTTATTGTATTAACTTTAGCTATATCACCGAATTTCAGCTTGCCACTAATAAGAATTTGTCATGTTGGTCGGTGTAGTTGTACAGAGCTGGTTCTAAACCAGAAGAATCCAACATTTAATGAACTCTTTTATGAATACAAATGGCTTCAGGATTTAAAAAAGGAAGAAACAAAGGAAGAAGTGAACGCAGTAATTGGAGAAAACCTTTTGAAGAAGATAAACTGAATTCAGTTAAGAAAATTGAATCCAATCCTTTTTGTTTGCTAGAAGATGAGGCAAATAACGAATCCTCAAAAAACAGCGAGCAAAAAGAAACGCCGATATCTATAAAAATTGACGCCGATCTTGTCAAGTATCTTAGTAAAAGGAAAAAACAACTAGACGACTTAAAAAGACAAATGTCTGACATTGGTGTTAATATAAATTTGGTGAATCCGAATTGTGTACGCATGAGTGTAAGGAAAAGTGAGGCCACATTAGTTGAAAATTGGAAAGAAAAGGGTGAAAGTATCGTCAGAAATTTCTGTATCACTTTTTACAAGCAACGTTTTCAATTAGATAAAGAATCTGAAGAATGGTCCCCTGAATGGATAGAAAAAATTCAAAAAAGAGTGAGTTCATATGGTGCAGCATGCTGGATAAATAAAACAATTTAATTCTTGTATCTGCTTCTTCAGAGTATGATAGAGCTTTAAATGATGTCAGGGAAGCAATGAAGAATGCAGGATGCTTTGTAAAGAGATGTTTTCCCATTCAAAAAGCATTCTTTTCTCAGATTGAGAGAAATTTGTCAAAATTAAAAGAAACTGTTAAATCCAGTTCTCTTACTCTAGAAAGAAAAACATTAAATCTGATAGTTTGTTGCTTGAAAACAGATGTTGATGATGTTGTAAGGAAAGTTGAAAGCTTTATTCAAAGTCATGAAACAACAGATGGTAAGTTTCTCTGAAATTCACCATAAACAACCATACACAACCAGTTCTCTTTTTTATTGTGTTGTGTCAGCTTGAATTCTTTTATTGTAGGCATTAACTCTCCAAGACAAAAAAATTATTCAAAATCATCAAAGTTTGAAAAACGAAACCTGCGAAACAGTGGCATAATTCAAAACAATGAAACTTCCCAGACATCGTTTCGACCCCCCGTAAAACACGAACCTTTCTCATTCAAAGTCAGTAATGATGTCGTAAAGTTTGTCATGAATAATACGAGATTGAAAGAAGATCTTGAAAATCAGTTGGAAAAGCTCAATGGAAAACTTGAATGGAAACCTGGAATACCTTACATCACAGTAATGCAAAAATCCGAACATATCAACATTCCTAAATGGTCAGATGTATGTAGAAATTCTGTGAATGGATTTCTGAAACGTTTTCGCAGAGAGAGCTACGAAATGCAAGATTTACTGAAAGAGTCCGTGAGCCAAAAGATAAAAGTTCTCAAAGAAAAATTATTGTCTTTTGAAGCTGACTGTTGGCTTGCATCCAATGCCAGATGGTTAGTTGTTATCGTAGAAAAAAGTGAACGGAGTTCTGTTGTTGGAATTGTGGAACAATTTTTGCAGAGTGTAAAAGAAGAATGTGATGAAGTGAAGGGAATCGTTGAATTCCTACCAGTTTCAAAAGATCACATGGACTATATTGAATATACTAACATTTTAGAGGAAATAAAGAGTGAAAATCCTGGCTTAGTTGATGTTTCTCTGACAGAGGCAAAGGATCAGATTTACTTTGAAGGATGTGAAGTTGATGTTTTAAAAGGTAAACAACAATTCGAAGAATTTGTTGGAAAAGTAAATATTACAGAACTTTATCTTTCGAATGAAAAATGGAATTTTGTCAAAGAAACCAGGATTAGAATATTTTGAAAAGTGTTTATCCGACGAAAAAATTGATGACGTGCTTTTGGTTGCATCGACACCCGTGCTTAAGATCGTGACACAATCAATGGAAGAATTACAAGCAGTAAAACAATGCATAGAAAATAATATTCAAAAAGTAGTGGTAGATTTTCGTCAAGAAAACAAGCATTTATGGAAGTCAAAGACATGGATACACATTTCTACAACAATTGATTCGGAAGAACTCGTTGAATGGAAGAAAAGCGATGAAGATGTATTTGAAAGTTGGAGTGTTATTGTACATGGCGCTACATTTCTTGTTGACAAATATACAAAACTCATAAAAAATTTCATTGATTCGTCAAAAATTGAATCATGTACAATTGATATTGAGCCTGAGATAAATGATTTCCTAAAAAAGAGATTGAATAAAGAATTTCAGAATATTGAATTACAACTTAAAGAAGAACAAATGATTATTAAAATTGACGAAGGAAGAGTGGAGATTTCTGGCACAAGACAAGGAATTGAAGAAGCAAAGTCACGTGTTATTAAATTGAAAGATGAAGTAAAGACGGAAACGAAATCTTACACATCTGTAGGCAGTTTTGAATTATTATTTAATGAACATGGCGAAAGAAACATTAAAGTTATTGAAGTTTCAAATGATGTTACTGTAAAATTGACTTTTGGTGACAAAGAAAATATTGAAAATTTTGACATCAACGGTATCCGTACTCTAAGGGACAAAACGAGTAAAGACGAAGAAACTTTAAAATATTCATTTGAACCATTTGATAATTGTAATTTTATCACGAATGAAGGTCTAAAAGTTTCATGGAAATATGGTGATCTTGCCAATGAAACAGTGAGTATTAATAAGACTATTAAAATTTATTATCCATCTTCAACAGTTACATGCAACTTTAATCATGGAACAAGTTAGCAAACAAAACGATAACTCACTATGTTGTAGAGAAAGTTCTTTATTATTTCATATTTTTTAAAAGGCTGATATCATCGTCAACTCAGCAGTTTCAAATTTGGGACATCCAACAGCGCTTGGTCGTGTATTAAATAGAATTGCTGGACCTTCGTATGTCACAGAATGTTGTCGATATTCTCATATTGAAAAAGGGGACATTGCAGTAACAAAAGCAGGAAATCTTTCATGTAATTACGTCATTCACGCTGTTTGTTGTAGTTGGAGGCCTGGTGGGGATGCTGAAGAAGTAAGTAACTTATAACAACGACTTTTATCTCATGTAAGCGATTATTTAACGTGTTTACGATCCTAGGTTTTGCGGAAACTTTTATCAAAAATACTATTGGAATGCAGCCGACGTTTGGCACGTACTGTGGCAATGCCATTGTTGGGAACTGGAAACCACAGATTTCCCGAAAATATCGTTTTACGTTTAATGAAGGAAGAGTTTGAAAAATTTAGCTCCAAATTTCCACAAACTTCATTAAAACACATCCAGTTAGTTAGATATGATCCGGGGGGAGTACGAAAAACCAAAATAATGAAAGGTGAGTTAAAAAGCACTACCCAAGCATACTGCAGATTTGTCTGTTTTGTATTGTTATTTTATAAAATATGTGAGAACTCTAGAGCATGTGCAACCCTTGACCTTCGGTCTCGGGCTTGCAGTGATCTGCTCTCGAATTCTCCCAAAGGTCTCCTCGTTTTGCATACAAGTGCATACTGTGCAAACACAGTAAACATCTTTTATTTTTTAATTATAAAACAACATTATAAAAATGCGTGCTCAGATTGGTCGATGGCCGTTTTAGGATCAAACACAGCAACGATGTTGTAAATGTCAATTCTAATTATGGAAAATTTCATTTTCAATACTGTATTTGGTACAAAGCTCCTAAATAATAGCAATATGCAAATAAGTATTGTTTTTGTGCTTTTCTCGAATCAAGCTTTAATCTGACATAAAAATGTTTCCAAAATAAAAGTTTGAACTTATTGAACATTTAGATCGCGCGTCTGATGAGAAAACAGACTTTGTTCATCTCATATTTGGTTGTGGAAAAGAGTCCATCACTGTTCAGGTTTGTGGGCGTTCATATCAACATGTTTCTTCTGCATTTGAAGAAATTGAAAAGTTTATTGAAGATAAAATCATCACTAAAAAAATAAACCAGGAAAAGCTTTATGACGTGATTTTAAAATATTATGAAAAGATGAAAAAGATCGTCGTCGATAATCACATTAGACTGGAATGTGAAAATGAAAGTACAATTTCGTTGACAGGTTTACGTATTAAGGTTATTGAAACAAGCACATTGATTAAGGATTTTATAAATCAGTTCTTTGAAGAAGAAAAAAGATTGAATCAAATGAATTACATTTCTGAAAATGTTCAATGGTGTTATCACGATGTATACAATAATTTAATCACTTACGATACGAAACTAAATGCTATGATAGAGATTGCCCGTATGGATGGTAAATCAACTGTAGAAATAACAGAACGTAACGGTCACTTCATTATCGATTTCTCAAAAATGCAAACCACAAACAAAATAACTGGTGAAACAATGAAACTAAAAAGAAAGTTGCTTGGTGCTACTTCAGGTTTGTGTTGTTTTACCTTGAAAAGTAACAACGTTCACTGTTTTTATCTGCACTTCAACAGTAGAACACTCTTATACTTAAAACTTTTGTAAATCATTTCTTCTGACTACATATATTCCTACTTATTACAGATTTTTCTGTTCCATCAAATTGGTCTCCTCAATCTTCCAATCAAATTGTCAATCTTGTTAAATTAACACCGACATCAGTGGAATATATTGAAGTTCAAAATCATTTCTTCGCTTGCGGTGGCAGCCCAAATCAACTGTACGAGATTCACCGAATACAAAACCCTCAATTATATTCTAGATACCAGGCCTTTAAGAGTTCTATGCGCGGTAACGTAAATGAAATGCGTCTTTTCCACGGAACCAGTGCAGATAACATTGATTCAATAAATACAAACAACTTCAGTCGTAGTTTTGCTGGAGTAAATGGTAAAAATATTTTTTCCGACATTTCATTGCATGCCACTAACTATTGCAAACTAAAAGAATGGTTCGTAATATTTACATTTCTAGGAGTTGCATATGGAAATGGAGTGTATTTTGCCAAGAATGCACCATATTCCATTAAATACGCTCGAAAGGGATATTTATGGTCAAAACCAAAAATGTACATTGCTAAGGTGCTTGTAGGAGATTACACTCGTGGAAAAAGCGGAATGAAAGCACCGCCATCCAAAAATGATCCTGAAAATCCTGGTCTACTGTATGATTCTGTTGTCGATAACACAAATAATCCAACTATGTATGTTATATTTCAAGATAATCAGTACTATCCTGAATATCTTTTAACTTTACAATAATTTAATATCAGTCTTAAAATGTTCATCTATTTTATATGTAAAATATATTTTTCTTATTGTGAGTAGCTAATTTTAAAATTTAATAGATAATAGTCTCTCTGTGCATGCGTTCATGGCGTCTTAGATATTCAGTTATGTTTTTCATTCTTTATATAGGCCCGTTTACACGATCCGATTTGTCGAATCCGATTTTTTCGGATCCTAAAAATGGATCGTGTGAACGAGTCTTATCAAAGTGAGTTCATTTGTTTTACATAATTGCTTTTGCTTGAACAGGAAAATGTACATGAAAAAAGTTTCTTCACCAGTCTGCAATTCCACATAATAATACAACAACTAGTGAGGATTTCCAAAATAACAAGCCTGAATGTTAATTGATGACTTTAATACTGATTCTGCACTTACAACTTCATGTTAGAGTATATGAAAGTATAAAAATCCATATCTTAATCAAAGTTCTTACATTTACTGTTAAGTTGATGACATAATATTGCGCATTATACTGGAGATGAAACGCCATGTTTTTCAGCAAGCAATCGTATTTTGGAGTGGACACAATCTAAGTTCATATAAGCAAATTGTAACCATCTACTCTTGCTGTCTTTTTCAATTTCGAATGCACTTCTTGCATGAAGAACACGGAAATTGTTGAAAGTCATAGCTTCACCAGACATTATCTTAAGCCAAAAAGATGATTCGTCATCATTCAATAATTCTGTAAAACGTCCATATGCTTTATAAAACGCTTTCATATGTTTTGGCTCCAAAGGCATGTTCCTATCGCGATAATCGTTCCTGTAGCAAACTTGAGACAGTTTACCAAGGAAATCAAGACTATGAAAAAACAAAGTGTATAAGATGATTATGCATGTCAACACAGATTTCATAATGATTCAATAAATATCTCAAACCTAATAAGCCTTTGACGTGAAGTGAAATTGTAATCGCAAATTTCAGATCGGCCTTTAGTACAAAAAGCTACAGGCGTTTCAGCAAGCAAATAAAACGATTCGGGATCTTCTTTAAAAAGTCGGTAAGCAGCATAAAAACCATCAGACCAGCGATTTGCGCCTCCTTTTGAAGAATGTTGTAAACAATGGAACATGCCAATCTAAAAGGAAAGAAACTTTTTAGCATAATTCAAAAGTAACACGGCTTGGTAAATGGCAAAACTATCTTTTTGGTGTATTATTTCAAATATTAGACTGCCGAGAGCATGAAATTGATATAAATTCTTGTCAATGTATGAATTTTTCGATCAAGATGCCAGAAGTTTGTAAAAATTGTCAGTGACCTTGGCGAAAATATGATTATGAACTTAACTATGAAAAAAGTGAATGAAAACTAAGTATTTACATACCATAGGTGGGTGATATGTGTAATTGAAGTCTGTATGTAATTGTAACTCAGCAGATGTATAACCAATATCTGTTACATTATCTTGACTGTGTGTTTTCACTTCAAAGTTTAAACTGAAATAAATGTGATGTAAACAACAACTTTAAAGAAGCCATAAATTTTATCAATAAATACTTGTAAATAAAATGGAATAAATTTACCCATAATTTGTCGACACAAGATAACCAACACGATTTCCTAATTTCTGTAGTTGTAGTTTTTCAACAGGAATGTTTTCTATCTTTGCAATACCAGTTTTGAAAGCTAATTCTACAAGCCATTGATATAAAGTATAATCATTTTCCATAAGCCGTTGATAATCAAAAACAGGCATGGTCTTATTTTTAAACGACGTTAGATCTCCCCACAATTTTACATGGTCTGCCAATATTTCGGTTTCTTGAGTCTGAGGTTTGTGCCTACAACATTTGTAAAAATAATTTCATAAATTATAATTAAGTTTTTAGAAGACGATCGAACTCTTTACAAATGAATGGAAAAAATTCGTACGTCTATACTCAGAAGTTGCAACAGATCCAATGAAAATTTACCAATAATGTGCTCTAGTAGTAGCCACATGAGATGATGTAAAGCTGTAGGACATTTAGACAAAATAAATTTTACGCAATTTTATATTTCACACTAGTTAATGTGATACGTGCAGCAGAAAGTATGTAAATATGATCAATGTTTGTGATTAAAAGTGTCAATCAATTTTTTATTTAACGGTTTTGTTTTTTTACCATAGAGCATTTTTTGTAACTCTAACATCCAAAAGCTGGTTTTAAATAATTCTGACTGAATGATCAACTTTACTTAGTAGTTTAAATCAAGGAGACATTGCACTTCAGACTTTTGGAATGTGACTTCTGAAAACTTGTCTGATGTTAAATTTATCGAACAATCTGTTAAATATTACATTATCTGTCGAGTGTCGAAAGCACATGGATAATAATCTAAGATCACAAGCATTTTCAAACATTCTTCATAGTCCACTTATAACTGATCTTCTTTAGTGAAATAGAGCCTTTGTCGTGGGGTGAAATTTATAAAGTGTTTTAAAAAGAGCAACTACAACGGTAAATGGTATTACTTTATTATTTGACCATTCACCATGGTATTTTATCTTTTTAAAACTGATCTTTTTCTTACTCACAACTTGTTAGTTGTTGCTCACGATATACACGACCACAAAAACAACTTAATTTGATTGAATCTGATTGTATAACATTGTTCAAAATGTCCAAAGACAGAAGTTTGTTTATTCTCCTTGTATAAAATGAGTTATGTTTGTTTTTGAGTGTTCATATCGATTTTTCTAAAATAAAATAATAGCATGTCACTTGACAGTGCTCACATCGTGGAGAGTAAAGTTCTTATATTACGAAAAGCGATACATACGTTAAGTTTGAGCCATGTTGTTTTGTTATTATTTCTTAACAACGTTTTCATTTGAAATAACTCATGTTTGATCTTCGATTGCAATAATTGCACAAAGTTTGTTACTCTTGCATTCATTGTTATTATGACCTTATTGCGCAAAACCAGAAACAAAATTGCAGTAAAATATTACAGTAATATAGAATTTTTTTATATTAAAAGAAAGTTAAGATGCTCCTTTTGTTAGATTACGTTATTATGTAACATAAGTTGATGAGTGATAGCATCTTGGCGTAATGGAAGTGCATGTCTCATGTCACCGCCTTACATTGCATAAAGATTTTTTCTCATATTAGATAATATAAACGTATTAATATGTTTATTCTCTGATGTTGGCTTTTGAACATTGAACTAAATATTACATCATGTAAATCTATTATAGTTCAATGCTTTGGAATTAGATTATATTGACCAATAATGGTGTAGTACGTGTGTTTTCATGTAAATATTAATAAATGCATAACAATATAAAATTTTTCCACTTTTTTCTAAGCCAAAGAATTTCAAATTCGATAGCCGGTTGATGTTTCAAAAGAAAGACAAGCCATTCAAAAAAAAACTAGTGGCTTCTGGCAGTATATTTCTTGTTACGCAAGTTTTTCGCTAACAATTTTTTCCGTGATTTGAGCTAATTAAATTTTCGGCTGCCTAACATAATATCTTTCCTTCACCAACCTCAATAATTGCAATTCTTCAGTTGTATATAAACTGGTGTGACCATCGTTCCATATCACGTTTAACACATTCGAGTCAATATAGACATGTTTGGGTACAACATTCATATCTAAATCCAAAGGAGATATTATCCGTCCTTTCGTAATTGGGTTTTGGTATTTACTGCAATTTTCACGAAGATAAATATGTGGAAATTCATCGAAATTTCCGTCTTTCCATTGAATACTTAGAAATTCGTCATCAACTACAACACTGTTGAGTAATTGATTTTGTCGAGTTGAACTAAATCGAAATAAATTCAACACATTTTGATTTTTCACGAACAACTTGCGTCCAAGCAGTCGCCACATTTTATGCTTCGGAGAAATATGTGAGAACTCTTGAGCATCATGTGCAGCCCTTGACCTTCGGTCTCGGGCTTACAGTGATCTGCTCTCGAGTTCTCCTAAAGATCTCCTCGGTTTGCATACAAGCCTGTGCAAACACAGTAAACATCTTTTATTTTTTAATTATAAAACAACATTATAAAAACGCGTGCTCAGATTGGTCGATGGCCCGTGTTAAGATCAAACACAGGAACGATATTGTAAATGTCAATTCTAATTATTGCAAACTTCATTTTCAATACTGTATTTGGTACAAAGTTCCTAAATAATAGCAATATGCAAATAAGTATTGTTTTTGTGCTTTTCTCGAATCAAGCTTTAATCTGACATAAAAATGTTTCCAAAATAAAAGTTTGAACTTATTGAACATTTAGATCGCGCGTCTGATGAGAAAACAGACTATGTTCATCTCATATTTGGTTGTGGAAAAAAGTCCATCACTGTTCAGGTTTGTGTGCGTTCATATGAAAATATTTCTTCTGCATTTGAAGAAATTGAAAAGTTTATTGAAGATAAAATCATCACTAAAAAAATAAACCAGGAAAAGCTTTATGACGTGATTTTAAAATATTATGAAAAGATGAAAAAGATCGTCGTCGATAATCACATTAGAATGGAATGTGAAAATGAAAGTACAATTTCGTTGACAGGTTTACGTATTAAGGTTATTGAAACAAGCACATTGATTAAGGATTTTATAAATCAGTTCTTTGAAGAAGAAAAAAGATTGAATCAAGTGAATTACATTTCTGAAAATGTTCAATGGTGTTATCACGATGTATACAATAATTTAATCACTTACGATACGAAACTAAATGCTATGATAGAGATTGCCCGTATGGATGGTAAATCAACTGTAGAAATAACAGAACGTAACGGTCACTTCATTATCGATTTCTCAAAAATGCAAGCCACAAACAAAATAACTGGTGAAACAATGAAACTAAAAAGAAAGTTGCTTGGTGCTACTTCAGGTTTGTGTTGTTTTTATCTGCACTTCAACAGTAGAACACTCTTTTACTTAAAACTTTTGTAAATCATTTCTTCTGACTACATATATTCCTACTTATTACATATTTTTCTGTTCCATCAAATTGGTCTCCTCAATCTTCCAATCAAATTGTCTGTCTTGTTAAATTAACACCGACATCATTGGAATATATTGAAGTTCAAAATCATTTCTTCGCTTGCGGTGGCAGCCCAAATAAACTGTACGAGATTCACCGAATACAAAACCCTCAATTATATTCTAGGTACCAGGCCTTTAAGAGTTCTATGCGCGGTAACGTAAATGAAATGCGTCTTTTCCACGGAACCAGTGCAGATAACATTGATTCAATAAATACAAACAACTTTAGTCGTAGTTTTGCTGGAGTAAATGGTAAAAATATTTTTTCCGACATTTCATTGCATGCCACTATTGCAAACTAAAAGAATGGTTCGTAATATTTACATTTCTAGGAGTCGCATATGGAAATGGAGTGTATTTTGCTAAGAATGCATCATATTCCATTAAATACGCTCGGAAGGGAAATTTATGGTCAAAACCAAAAATGTACATTGCTAAGGTGCTTGTTGGAGATTACACTCGTGGAAAAAGCGGAATGAAAGCACCGCCATCCAAAAATGATCCTGAAAATCCTGGTCTACTGTATGATTCTGTTGTCGATAACACAAATAATCCAACTATGTATGTTATATTTCAAGATAATCAGTACTATCCTGAATATCTTTTAACTTTACAATAATTTAATATCAGTCTTAAAGTTCATCTATTTTATATGTAAAATATATTTTTCTTATTGTGAGTAGCTAATTTTAAAATTTAATAGATAATAGTGTCTCTGTAGCATGCGTTCATGGCGTCTTAGATATTCAGTTATGTTTTTCATTCTTTATATAGGCCCGTTCACACGATCCGATTTTTTCGGATCCCAAAAATGGATCGTGTGAACGAGTCTTATCAAAGTGAGTTCATTTGTTTTACATAATTGCCTTTGCTTGAACAGGAAAATGTACATGACAAAAGTTTCTTCACCAGTCTGCAATTCCACATAATAATACAATAACTAGTGAGGATTTCCAAAATAACAAGCCCGTATGTTAATTGATGACTTTAATACTGATTCTGCACTTACAACTTTATGTCAGAGTACATGAAAGTATAAAAATCCATATATTAATGAAAGTTCTTACATTTACTGTTAAGTTGATGACCTAATATTGCGCATTATACTGGAGATGAAACGCTATGTTTTTCAGCAAGCAATCGTATTTTTGAGTGGACACAATCTAAGTTCATATAAGCAAATTGTAACCATCTACTCTTGCTGTCTTTTTCGATTTCGAATGCACTTCTTGCATGAAGAACACGGAAATTGTTGAAAGTCATAGCTTCACCAGACATTATCTTAAACCAAAAAGATGATTCGTCATCATTCAATAATTCTGTAAAACGTCCATAAGCTTTATAAAACGCTTTCATATGTTTTGGCTCCAAAGGCATGTTTCTATCACGATAATCATTCCTGTAACAAACTTGAGACAGTTTACCAAGGAAATCAAGACTATGAAAAAACAAAGTGTATAAGATGACTAAGCATGTCAACACAGATTTCATAATGATTCAATAAATATCTCAAACCTAATAAGCCTTTGACGTGAAGTGAAATTGTAATCGCAAATTTCAGATCGGCCTTTAGTACAAAAAGCTACAGGCGTTTCAGCAAGCAAATAAAATGATTCTGGATCTTCTTTAAAAAGTCGGTAAGCAGCATAAAAACCATCAGACCAGCGATTTGCGCCTCCTTTTGAAGAATGTTGTAAACAATGGAACATGCCAATCTAAAAGGAAAGAAACTTTTTAGCATAATTCAAAAGTAACACGGCTTGGTAAATGGCAAAACTATCTTTTTGGTGTATTATTTCAAAGATTAGACTGCCGAGAGCATTAAATTGATATAAATTCTTGTCAATGTATGAGTTTTCCGACCAAGATGCTAGAAGTTTGTAAAAATTGTCAGTGACCTTGGCGAAAATATGATTGTGAACTTAACTATGAAAAAAGTGAATGAAAACTAAGTATTTACATACCATAGGTTGGTGATATGTGTAACTGAAGTCTGTATGTAAATGTAACTCAGCAGATGTATAACCAATATCTGTTACATTATCTTGACTATGTGTTTTCACTTCAAAGTTTGAACTGAAATAAATGTGATGTAAACAACAACTTTAATGAAGCCATAAATTTTATCAATAAATATTTGTAAGTAAAATTGAATATATTTACCCTAAATTTGTCGACATAAGATAGCCGACACGATTTCCTAATTTCTGTAGTTGCAGTTTTTCAACAGGAATGTTTTCTATCTTCGCAATACCAGTTTTGAAAGCTAATTCTACAAGCCATTGATATAAAGTATAATCATTTTCCATAAGCCGTTGATAATCAAAAACAGGCATGGCCTTATTTTTAAACGACGTTAGATCTCCCCACAATTTTACATGGTCTGCCAATATTTCGGTTTCTTGAGTCTGAGGTTTGTGCCTACAACATTTGTAAAAATAATTTCATAAATTATAATTAAGTTTTTAGAAGACGATCGAACTCTTTACAAATGAATGAAAAAAATTCGTACGTCTATACTCAGAAGTTGCAACAGATCCAATGAAAATTTACCGATAATGTGTCCTAGTAGTAGCCGCATGAGATGATGTAAGGCTGTAGGACATTTAGACAAAATACATTTCATGCAATTTTATATTTCACACTAGTTAATGTGATACGTGCAGCAGAAAGTATGTGAATATGATCAATGCATGTGATGAAAAGTGTACAATTAATTTTTTATTTAACGGTTTTGTTTTTTTACCATAGAGCATTTTTTGTAACTGTATTATCCAAAAGGTGGTTTTAAATAATTCTGACCGCAAGATCAACTTTACTTAGTAGTTTAAATCAAGGAGACATTGCAGTTCAGACTGTTGGAATGTTACTTCTGAAAACTTGTCTGATGTTAAGTTTATCAAACAATCTGTTAAATATTACATTATTCACCATGGTATTTTATCTTTTTAAAACTGATCTTTTTCTTACTCACGATTTGTTAGTTGTTGCTCACGATATACACGACCACAAAACAACTTAATTTGATTGAATCTGATTGTATAACATTGTTCAAAATGTCCCAAGACAGAAGTTTGTTTATTCTCCTTGTATAAAATGAATTATGTTTGTTTTTTATTGTTCATATCGATGTTTTTAAAATAAAATAATAGCATGTCACTTGACAGTGCTCACATCGTGGAGAGTAAAGTTCTTATATTATGAAACGAGATACGTACGTTAAGTTTGAGCTGTGTTGTTTTGTTATTATTTCTTAACAACGTTTTCATTTCAAATAACTCATGTTTGATCTTCGATTGCAATAATTGCACAAAGTTTGATACTATATCATGCTCTTGCATTCATTGTTATTATGATCTTATTGCGCAAAACCGGAAACAAAGTTGCAGTAAAATATAACAGTAATATAGAATTTTTTATATTTAAAGAAAGTTAAGATGTTCCTTTGTTAGATTACGTTATTATGTAACATAAGTTGGTGAGTGATAGCATCTTGGCGTAATGAAGTGCATGTCTAATGTCACCGCCTTACATTGCATAAAGATTTTTTCTCATATTAGATTATATAAACGTATTAATATGTTTATTCTCTGATGTTGGCTTTTGAACATTGAACTAAATATTACATCATGTAAATCTATTATAGTTCAATGCTTTGGAATTAGATTATATTGACCAATAATGGTGTAGTACGTGTGTTTTATGTAAATATTAATAAATGCATAACAATACAACAATTTTCCACTACTATCTAAGCCAAAGAATTTCAAATTCGATAGCCGGTTGATGTTTCAAAGGAAAGACAAGCCATTCAAAAAATAGTGGCTTCTGGCAGTATATTTCTTGTTACGCAAGATTTTCGCTAACAATTTTTTCCCGTGATTTGAGCTAATTAAATTTTCGGCTGCCGAACATAATATCTTTCCTTCACCAACCTCAATAATTGCAATTCTTCAGTTGTAAATAAACTGGTGTGATCATCGTTCCATATCACGTTTAACACATTGGAGTCAATATAGACATGTTTGGGTACAACATTCATATCTAAATCCAAAGGAGATATTATCCGTCCTTTCGTAATTGGGTTTTGGTATTTACTGCAATTTTCACGAAGATAAATATGTGGAAATTCATCGAAATTTCCGTCTTTCCATTGAATACTAAGAAATTCGTCATCAACTACAACACTGTTGAGTAATTGATTTTGTCGAGTTGAACTAAATCGAAATAAATTCAACACGTTTTGATTTTTGCCGAACAACTTGCGTCCAAGCAGTCGCCACATTTTATGCTTCGGAGACATATGTGAGAACTCTAGACATATGCACCCTTGACCTTTGGTTTCGCGCTTGCAGTGATCTGCTCTCGAGTTCTCCTAAAGATCTCCTCGGTTTGCATACAAGCCTGTGCAAACACAGTAAACATCTTTTATTTTTTAATTATAAAACAACATTATAAAAACGCGTGCTCAGATTGGTCGAGGCCCGGTTAAGATCAAACACAGCAACGATGTTGTAGATGTAAATTCTAATTATTGCAAATTTCATTTTCAATACTGTATTTGACAAAGTTCCTAAATAATAGCAATATGCAAATAAGTATTGTTTTGTGCTTTTCTCGAATCAAGCTTTAATCTGACATAAAAATGTTTCCAAAATAAAAGTTTGAACTTATTGAACATTTAGATCGCGCGTCTGATGAGAAAACAGACTTTTTTCTTCTCATATTTGGTTGTGGAAAAGAGTCCATCACTGTTCAGGTTTGTGGGCGTTCATATGAACATATTTCTTCTGCATTTGAAGAAATTGAAAAGTTGATTGAAGATAAAATCATCAGTAAAAAAATAAACCAGGCAAAGCTTTATGACGTGATTTTAAAATATTATGAAAAGATGAAAAAGATCGTCGTCGATAATCACATTAGAATGGAATGTGAAAATGAAAGTACAATTTCGTTGACAGGTTTACGTATTAAGGTTATTGAAACAAGCACATTGATTAAGGATTTTATAAATCAGTTCTTTGAAGAAGAAAAAAGATTGAATCAAGTGAATTACATTTCTGAAAATGTTCAATGGTGTTATCACGATGTATACAATAATTTAATCACTTACGAAACGAAACTAAATACTATGATAGAGATTGCCCGTATGGATGGTAAATCAACTGTAGAAATAACAGAACGTAACGGTCACTTCATTATCGATTTCTCAAAAATGCAAGCCACAAACAAAATAACTGGTGAAACAATGAAACTAAAAAGAAAGTTGCTTGGTGCTACTTCAGGTTTGTGTTGTTTTACCTTGAAAAGTAACAACGTTCACTGTTTTTATCTGCACTTCAACAGTAGAACACTCTTTTACTTAAAACTTTTGTAAATCATTTCTTCTGACTACATATATTCCTACTTATTACAGATTTTTCTGTTCCATCAAATTGGTCTCCTCAATCTTCCAATCAAATTGTCTGGCTTGTTAAATTAACACCGACATCATTGGAATATATTGAAGTTCAAAATCATTTCTTCGCTTGCGGTGGCAGCCCAAATCAACTGTACGAGATTCACCGAATACAAAACCCTCAATTATATTCTAGATACCAGGCCTTTAAGAGTTCTATGCGCGGTAACGTAAATGAAATGCGTCTTTTCCACGGAACCAGTGCAGATAACATTGATTCAATAAATACAAACAACTTCAGTCGTAGTTTTGCTGGAGTAAATGGTAAAAATATTTTTTCCGACATTTCATTGCATGCCACTATTGCAAACTAAAAGAATGGTTCGTAATATTTACATTTCTAGGAGTCGCATATGGAAATGGAGTGTATTTTGCTAAGAATGCATCATATTCCATTAAATACGCTCGGAAGGGAAATTTATGGTCAAAACCAAAAATGTACATTGCTAAGGTGCTTGTAGGAGATTACACTTGTGGAAAAAGGAGAATGAAAGCACCGCCATCCAAAAATGATCCTGAAAATCCTGGTCTACTGTATGATTCTGTTGTCGATAACACAAATAATCCAACTATGTATGTTATATTTCAAGATAATCAGTACTATCCTGAATATCTTTTAACTTTACAATAATTTAGTATCAGTCTTAAAATGTTCATCTATTTTATATGTAAAATCTATTTTTCTTGTTGTGAGTAGCTAATTTTAAAATTTAATAGATAATAGTCTCTCTTAGCATGCGTTCATGGCGTCTTAGATATTCAGTTATGTTTTTCATTCTTTATATGCCCGTTCACACGATCCGATTTTTTCGAATCCTAAAATGGATCGTGTGAACGAGTCTTATCAAAGTGAGTTCATTTGTTTTACATAATTGCTTTTGCTTGAACAGGAAAATGTACATGAAAAAAGTTTCTTCACCATTCTGCAATTCCACATAATAATGCAATAACTACTGAGGATTTCCAAAATAACAAGCCCGAATGTTAATTGATGACTTTAATACTGATTCTGCACTTACAACTTCATGTTAGAGTATATGAAAGTATAAAAATCCATATTTTAATGAAAGTTCTTACATTTACTGTTAAGTTGATGACCTAAGATTGCGCATCATACTGGAGATGAAACGCCATGTTTTTCAGCAAGCAATCGTATTTTTGAGTGGACACAATCTAAGTTCATATAAGAAACTTGTAACCATCTACTCTTGCTGTCTTTTTCGATTTCGAATGCACTTCTTGCATGAAGAACACGGAAATTGTTGAAAGTCATAGCTTCACCAGACATTATCTTAAACCAAAAAGATGATTCGTCATCATTCAATAATTCTGTAAAACGTCCATAAGCTTTATAAAACGCTTTCATATGTTTTGGCTCCAAAGGCATGTTCCTATCGCGATAATCGTTCCTGTAGCAAACTTGAGACAGTTTACCAAAGAAATCAAGACTATGAAAAAACAAAGTGTATAAGATGACTAAGCATGTCAACACAGATTTCATAATGATTCAATAAATATCTCAAACCTAATTAGCCTTTGACGTGAAGTGAAATTGTAATCGCAAATTTCAGATCGGCCTTTAGTACAAAAAGCTACAGGCGTTCCAGCAAGCAAATAAAATGATTCGGGATCTTCTTTAAAAGTCGGTAAGCAGCATAAAAACCATCAGACCAGCGATTTGCGCCTCCTTTTGAAGAATGTTGTAAACAATGGAACATGCCAATCTAAAAGGAAAGAAACTTTTTAGCATAATTCAAACGTACACGGCTTGGTAAATGGCAAAACTATCTTTTTGGTGTATTATTTCAAAGATTAGACTGCCGAGAGCATGAAATTGATATAAATTCTTGTCAATGTATGAGTTTTCCGACGAAGATGCTAGAAGTTTGTAAAAATCGTCAGTGACCTTGGCGAAAATATGATTGTGAACTTAACTATGAAAACAGTGAATGAAAACTAAGTATTTACATACCATAGGTTGGTGATATGTGAAAGTGTAGTCTGTATGTAATTGTAACTCAGCAGATGTATAACCAATATCTGTTGCATTATCTCGACTGTGTGTTTTCACGTCATGGATTATACTGAAATAATTGTGATATAACCAACAACTTTAAAGAAGCCATAAATTTTATCAATACATACTTGTAAATAAAATGGAATAAATTTACCCATAATTTGTCGACACAAGATAACCAACACGATTTCCTAATTTCTGTAGTTGTAGTTTTTCAACAGGAATGTTTTCTATCTTTGCAATACCAGTTTTGAAAGCTAATTCTACAAGCCATTGATATAAAGTATAATCATTTTCCATAAGCCGTTGATAATCAAAAACAGGCATGGTCTTATTTTTAAACGACGTTAGATCTCCCCACAATTTTACATGGTCTGCCAATATCTCAGTTTCTTGAGTCTGAGGTTTGTGCCTACAACATTTGTAAAAATAATTTCATAAATTATAATTAAGTTTTTAGAAGACGATCGAACTCTTTACAAATGAATGAAAAAAATTCGTACGTCTATACTCAGAAGTTGCAACACATCCAATGAAAATTTACCGATAATGTGCCCTAGTAGTAGCCACATGAGATGATGTAAGGCTGTAGGACATTTAGACAAAATACATTTCATGCAATTTTATATTTCACACTAGTTAATGTGATACGTGCAGCAGAAAGTATGTGAATATGATCAATGTTTGTGATTAAAAGTGTCAATCAATTTTTTATTTAACGGTTTTGTTTTTTTACCATAGAGCATTTTTTGTAACTGTATTATCCAAAAGGTGGTTTTAAATAATTCTGACCGCAAGATCAACTTTACTTAGTAGTTTAAATCAAGGAGACATTGCAGTTCAGACTGTTGGAATGTTACTTCTGAAAACTTGTCTGATGTTAAGTTTATCAAACAATCTGTTAAATATTACATTATTCACCATGGTATTTTATCTTTTTAAAACTGATCTTTTTCTTACTCACGATTTGTTAGTTGTTGCTCACGATATACACGACCACAAAAACAAGTTAATTTGATTGAATCTGATTGTATAACATTGTTCAAAATGTCCCAAGACAGAAGTTTGTTTATTCTCCTTGTATAAAATGAATTATGTTTGTTTTTTATTGTTCATATCGATGTTTTTAAAATAAAATAATAGCATGTCACTTGACAGTGCTCACATCGTGGAGAGTAAAGTTCTTATATTATGAAACGAGATACGTACGTTAAGTTTGAGCTGTGTTGTTTTGTTATTATTTCTTAACAACGTTTTCATTTCAAATAACTCATGTTTGATCTTCGATTGCAATAATTGCACAAAGTTTGATACTATATCATGCTCTTGCATTCATTGTTATTATGATCTTATTGCGCAAAACCGGAAACAAAGTTGCAGTAAAATATAACAGTAATATAGAATTGTTTTATATTTAAAGAAAGTTAAGATGTTCCTTTTGTTAGATTACGTTATTATGTAACATAAGTTGGTGAGAGTGATAGCATCTTGGCGTAATGAAGTGCATGTCTAATGTCACCGCCTTACATTGCATAAAGATTTTTTCTCATATTAGATTATATAAACGTATTAATATGTTTATTCTCTGATGTTGGCTTTTGAACATTGAACTAAATATTACATCATGTAAATCTATTATAGTTCAATGCTTTGGAATTAGATTATATTGACCAATAATGGTGTAGTACGTGTGTTTTTATGTAAATATTAATAAATGCATAACAATACAACAATTTTCCACTACTATCTAAGCCAAAGAATTTCAAATTCGATAGCCGGTTGACGTTTCAAAGGAAAGACAAGCCATTCAAAAAAAATAGTGGCTTCTGGCAGTATATTTCTTGTTACGCAAGATTTTCGCTAACAATTTTTTCCCGTGATTTGAGCTAATTAAATTTTCGGCTGCCGAACATAATATCTTTCCTTCACCAACCTCAATAATTGCAATTCTTCAGTTGTAAATAAACTGGTGTGATCATCGTTCCATATCACGTTTAACACATTGGAGTCAATATAGACATGTTTGGGTACAACATTCATATCTAAATCCAAAGGAGATATTATCCGTCCTTTCGTAATTGGGTTTTGGTATTTACTGCAATTTTCACGAAGATAAATATGTGGAAATTCATCGAAATTTCCGTCTTTCCATTGAATACTAAGAAATTCGTCATCAACTACAACACTGTTGAGTAATTGATTTTGTTGAGTTGAACTAAATCGAAATAAATTCAACACGTTTTGATTTTTGCCGAACAACTTGCGTCCAAGCAGTCGCCACATTTTATGCTTCGGAGACATATGTGAGAACTCTAGACATATGCACCCTTGACCTTTGGTTTCGCGCTTGCAGTGATCTGCTCTCGAGTTCTCCTAAAGATCTCCTCGGTTTGCATACAAGCCTGTGCAAACACAGTAAACATCTTTTATTTTTTAATTATAAAACAACATTATAAAAACGCGTGCTCAGATTGGTCGAGGCCCGGGTTAAGATCAAACACAGCAACGATGTTGTAGATGTAAATTCTAATTATTGCAAATTTCATTTTCAATACTGTATTTGATACAAAGTTCCTAAATAATAGCAATATGCAAATAAGTATTGTTTTTGTGCTTTTCTCGAATCAAGCTTTAATCTGACATAAAAATGTTTCCAAAATAAAAGTTTGAACTTATTGAACATTTAGATCGCGCGTCTGATGAGAAAACAGACTTTTTTCTTCTCATATTTGGTTGTGGAAAAGAGTCCATCACTGTTCAGGTTTGTGGGCGTTCATATGAACATATTTCTTCTGCATTTGAAGAAATTGAAAAGTTGATTGAAGATAAAATCATCAGTAAAAAAATAAACCAGGCAAAGCTTTATGACGTGATTTTAAAATATTATGAAAAGATGAAAAAGATCGTCGTCGATAATCACATTAGAATGGAATGTGAAAATGAAAGTACAATTTCGTTGACAGGTTTACGTATTAAGGTTATTGAAACAAGCACATTGATTAAGGATTTTATAAATCAGTTCTTTGAAGAAGAAAAAAGATTGAATCAAATGAATTACATTTCTGAAAATGTTCAATGGTGTTATCACGATGTATACAATAATTTAATCACTTACGATACGAAACTAAATGCTATGATAGAGATTGCCCGTATGGATGGTAAATCAACTGTAGAAATAACAGAACGTAACGGTCACTTCATTATCGATTTCTCAAAATGCCACAAACAAAATAACTGGTGAAACAATGAAACTAAAAAGAAAGTTGCTTGGTGCTACTTCAGGTTTGTGTTGTTTTACCTTGAAAGTAACAACGTTCACTGTTTTATCTGCACTTCAACAGTAGAACACTCTTTTACTTAAAACTTTTGTAAATCATTTCTTCTGACTACATATATTCCTACTTATTACAGATTTTTCTGTTCCATCAAATTGGTCTCCTCAATCTTCCAATCAAATTGTCTGGCTTGTTAAATTAACACCGACATCATTGGAATATATTGAAGTTCAAAATCATTTCTTCGCTTGCGGTGGCAGCCCAAATCAACTGTACGAGATTCACCGAATACAAAACCCTCAATTATATTCTAGGTACCAGGCCTTTAAGAGTTCTATGCGCGGTAACGTAAATGAAATGCGTCTTTTCCACGGAACCAGTGCAGATAACATTGATTCAATAAATACAAACAACTTTAGTCGTAGTTTTGCTGGAGTAAATATTTACATTTCTAGGAGTTGCATATGGAAATGGAGTGTATTTTGCTAAGAATGCATCATATTCCATTAAATACGCTCGAAAGGGAAATTCATGTTCAAAACCAAAAATGTACATTGCTAAGGTGCTTGTAGGAGATTACACTTGTGGAAAAAGGAGAATGAAAGCACCGCCATCCAAAAATGATCCTGAAAATCCTGGTCTACTGTATGATTCTTTTGTCGATAACACAAATAATCCAACTATGTATGTTATATTTCAAGATAATCAGTACTATCCTGAATATCTTTTAACTTTACAATAATTTAGTATCAGTCTTAAAATGTTCATCTATTTTATATGTAAAATCTATTTTTCTTGTTGTGAGTAGCTAATTTTAAAATTTAATAGATAATAGTCTCTCTGTAGCATGCCTTCATAGCGTTTTAGATTTTCAGTTATGTTTTTCATTCTTTATATAGGCCCGTTCACACGATCCGATTTTTTCGAATCCTAAAAATGGATCGTGTGAATGAGTCTTATCAAAGTGAGTTCATTTGTTTTACATAATTGCCTTTGCTTGAACAGGAAAATGTACATGAAAAAAGTTTCTTCACCATTCTGCAATTCCACATAATAATACAACAACTAGTGAGGATTTCTAAAATAACAAGCCTGAATGTTAATTGATGACTTTAATACTGATTCTGCACTTACAACTTCATGTTAGAGTATATGAAAGTATAAAAATCCATATCTTAATCAAAGTTCTTACATTTACTGTTAAGTTGATGACATAATATTGCGCATTATACTGGAGATGAAACGCCATGTTTTTCAGCAAGCAATCGTATTTTTGAGTGGACACAATCTAAGTTCATATAAGAAACTTGTAACCATCTACTCTTGCTGTCTTTTTCGATTTCGAATGCACTTCTTGCATGAAGAACACGGAAATTGTTGAAAGTCATAGCTTCACCAGACATTATCTTAAACCAAAAAGATGATTCGTCATCATTCAATAATTCTGTAAAACGTCCATAAGCTTTATAAAACGCTTTCATATGTTTTGGCTCCAAAGGCATGTTCCTATCGCGATAATCGTTCCTGTAGCAAACTTGAGACAGTTTACCAAAGAAATCAAGACTATGAAAAAACAAAGTGTATAAGATGGCTAAGCATGTCAACACAGATTTCATAATGATTCAATAAATATCTCAAACCTAATAAGCCTTTGACGTGAAGTGAAATTGTAATCACAAATTTCAGATCGGCCTTTCGTACAAAAAGCTACAGGCGTTCCAGCAAGCAAATAAAATGATTCGGGATCTTCTTTAAAAAGTCGGTAAGCAGCATAAAAACCATCAGACCAGCGATTTGCGCCTCCTTTTGAAGAATGTTGTAAACAATGGAACATGCCAATCTAAAAGGAAAAAAACTTCTCATCATAATTCAAACGTACACGGCTTGGTAAAACTATCTTTTTGGTGTATTATTTCAAAGATTAAACTGCCAAGAGCATGGAATTGATATAAATTCTTGTCAATGTATGAGTTTTCCGACGAAGATGCTAGAAGTTTGTAAAAATCGTCAGTGACCTTGGCGAAAATATGATTGTGAACTTAACTATGAAAACAGTGAATGAAAACTAAGTATTTACATACCATAGGTTGGTGATATGTGAAAGTGTAGTCTGTATGTAATTGTAACTCAGCAGATGTATAACCAATATCTGTTGCATTATCTCGACTGTGTGTTTTCACGTCATGGATTATACTGAAATAAATGTGATGTAAACAACAACTTTAATGAAGCCATAAATTTTATCAATAAATACTTGTAAATAAAATGGAATAAATTTACCCATAATTTGTCGACACAAGATAACCAACACGATTTCCTAATTTCTGTAGTTGCAGTTTCTCAACAGGAATGTTTTCTATCTTTGCAATACCAGTTTTGAAAGCTAATTCTACAAGCCATTGATATAAAGTATAATCATTTTCCATAAGCCGTTGATAATCAAAAACAGGCATGGCCTTATTTTTAAACGACGTTAGATCTCCCCAAAATTTTACATGGTTTGCCAATATCTCGGTTTCTTGAGTCTGAGGTTTGTGCCTACAACATTTGTAAAAATAATTTCATAAATTATAATTAAGTTTTTAGAAGACGATCGAACTGTTTACAAATGAATGAAAAAAATTCGTACGTCTATACTCAGAAGTTGCAACAGATCCAATGAAAATTTACCGATAATGTGCCCTAGTAGTAGCCACATGAGATGATGTAAGGCTGTAGGACATTTAGACAAAATACATTTCATGCAATTTTATATTTCACACTAGTTAATGTGATACGTGCAGCAGAAAGTATGTGAATATGATCAATGTTTGTGATTAAAAGTGTCAATCAATTTTTTATTTAACGGTTTTGTTTTTTTACCATAGAGCATTTTTTGTAACTGTATTATCCAAAAGGTGGTTTTAAATAATTCTGACCGCAAGATCAACTTTACTTAGTAGTTTAAATCAAGGAGACATTGCAGTTCAGACTGCTGGAATGTGACTTCTGAAAACTTGTCTCATGTTAAATTTATCGAATAATCTGTTAAATATTACATTATCTGTCGAGTGTCGAAAACACATGGATAATAATCTAAGATCACAAGCATTTTCAAACATTGTTTATAGGCCACTAATAACTGATCTTTTTTAGTAAAATAGAGACTTTGTCGTGGGGTGAAATTTATAAAGTGTCTTAAAAAGAGCAACTACCACGGTAAATGGTATTACTTTATTATTTGACCATTCACCATGGTATTTTATCTTTTTAAAACTGATCTTTTTCTTACTCACAAATTGTTAGTTGTTGCTCACGATATACACGACCACAAAAACAACTTAATTTGATTGAATCTGATTGTATAGCATTGTTCAAAATGTCCAAAGACAGAAGTTTGTTTATTCTCCTTGTATAAAATGAATTATGTTTGTTTTTGACTGTTCATATCGATGTTTCTAAAATAAAATAATAGCATGCCACTTGACAGTGCTCACATCGTGTAGAGTAAAGTTCTTATATTATGAAACGCGATACGTACGTTAAGTTTGAGCCATGTTGTTTCGTTATTATTTCTTAACAACGTTTTCATTTCAAATAACTCATGTTTGATCTTCGATTGCAATAACTGCACAAAGTTTGATACTATATCATGCTCTTGCATTCATTGTTATTATGATCTTATTGCGCAAAACCGGAAACAAAGTTGCAGTAAAATATAACAGTAATATAGAATTTTTTTATATTTAAGGAAAGTTAAGATGTTCCTTTAGTTAGATTACGTTATTATGTAACATAAGTTGGTGAGAGTGACAGCATCTTGGCGTAATGAAGTGCATGTCTAATGTCACCGCCTTACATTGCATAAAGATTTTTTTCTCATATTAGATTATATAAACGTATTAATGTGTTTATTCTCTGGTGTTGGCTTTTGAACATTGAACTAAATATTACATCATGTAAATCTATTATAGTTCAATGCTTTGGAATTAGATTATATTGACCAATAATGGTGTCGTGCGTGTGTTTTTATGTAAGTATTAATAAATGCATAACAATACAACAATTTTCCACTACTATCTAAGCCAAAGAATTTCAAATTCGATAGCCGGTTGATGTTTCAAAAGAAAGACAAGCCATTCAAAAAAAAACTAGTGGCTTCTGGCAGTATATTTCTTGTTACGCAAGTTTTTCGCTAACAATTTTTTCCCGTGATTTGAGCTAATTAAATTTTCGGCTGCCTAACATAATATCTTTCCTTCACCAACCTCAATAATTGCAATTCTTCAGTTGTAAATAAACTGGTGTGATCATCGTTCCATATCACGTTTAACACATTGGAGTCAATATAGACATGTTTGGGTACAACATTCATATCTAAATCCAAAGGAGATATTATCCGTCCTTTCGTAATTGGGTTTTGGTATTTACTGCAATTTTCACGAAGATAAATATGTGGAAATTCATCGATATTTCCATCTTTCCATTGAATACTAAGAAATTCGTCATCAACTACAACACTGTTGAGTAATTGATTTTGTTGAGTTGAACTAAATCGAAATAAATTCAACACGTTTTGATTTTTCACGAACAACTTGCGTCCAAGCAGTCGCCACATTTTATGCTTGATCAATAAAACATAGTTCCTGTTTACGCGCGTGAAGATTCTTTGCAAGAGGACTCATACTCTATTGTATTCATATTGTATACAATACGTATCACAATTAATTTATAAAAACTAGTAAAGTGGAGCATGCATTTGAGAAATAAAAGATGTTTACCGTGTTTGCACAGGCTTATGCAAACCGAGGAGACCTTTGGTCTTGGGCTTGCGCTGAACTGCTCTTAAGTTCTCCCCAAGGTCGAGGGTTGCACCTGCTCGAGATTTTCAATAAAGTTGTCGAAACGTTATTCAACAACAACAACAACAGTCCTTCTCAGGACTCTACTAACCTGGACTTCTACATCCACAAACATGTAACGATACTCCTGTATGGAAAGCCATAGCTGTCTTAGGTCGTACAAATTTATTTCAATGGGTGCTTTGATCATTACACGCGGTGCTTTGACCATTATACGCGGTGCTTTAATCATTATACGTGGTGCTTTGACCATTTTACGCGGTGCTTTGACCGTTATACGTGGTGCTTTGACGATTATACGCGGTGCTTTGACCATTATACGCGGTGCTTTGACCATTATACGCGGTGCTTTGACCATTATACGCGGTGCTTTGGACATTATATTCGGTGCCTTGGCCATTATATTCGGTGAGCCGCTATTGTTGGTCAGCGCTGACGCATCAGTTTAAAAATTCTTCATTTTGTTTTTTTCATAATTTCAAAATGGAGTCCAAAATGTCATTTATTTTACAAAAGTTGCGTTATTGTATAGTATCTCACAAATAATCAATGTCTCAAATGCAAACAAGACATACTTACCCATAAAATTCAACTTGCAATGTTTTTTGATAATCTGTTAACCACAATATTTCATCCAAGGCTGTCTTCAAAACATTGCCACAGTCAATCATTATAAAGTTGGTATCCCCTTCATTCACTTCACCTAAAGCTTGGACTTCTAAATCTCTGCCAATTACCATCTTCTTTTGGAAACAGCACAATATTTCAACAGCACTCAATACATTATATTGTTCACAATAGGCTACTGTATCATCGACAATGTCGTCCACAATCTTATCAATGTTAGAGATCTCTGATTCTTTTATGTCTATGACCTCACTAGACATTTGTAGGGTGGTTGGTACACTTGCTATTACTCACTAGACATTTGTAGGGTGGTTGGTACACTTGCTATTGTCTCTGTTTTGGTATGTGACAAAGATGCTTCAGATGATGCAGGAAGTGACATTAAGGAGTTGCAAGAGGATGGTGCTTGACCAGATATAACAAATTCTCGACTTTCCTCCTGAGCAAACTGACCAGATTCAGCGTCTTGGCCATCTTCATCACTAGTGTCCAGTCCTTCCATACACGACCATAAATGGCCTCCAACCCGACGAACAAGAATCACCTGGTTGCACATTTTGCATCGCTCCTTCACTTCAGACTGGCTTTGCTGGATCAATGGCTCTTTGGACAAAGACATTTGAAGTGGTCGTAAATATATCTTACCTTGACCGCCACCCAAATTTGCAGGGTCAAATCACGACAGTTGGGGGCACAGCACACCATTTCTAAATAGAGTTTTATCTATTTTACTGCTAATCGGGCCTTAAAAAGGATCTCCTTGTCCAGCGACGATGGTGCTTTGCTTGCGAGATGCTCAGCCAAGCAGACAAAAGTCGGTGTCCAAGGATGGCTCTTCGATAATGAACGCTTACGAATATTCCCGGGTTCAAACCATTTACTTTTTTGCCACTGTCATACATATCCCTCATCAATATATTCATCAAAATTTAAAAGTGTAGTGTGCCTTGTGGCCATTTCATTCTCATTGCCTGTAGAAATTGCATCCACCTGTTTCCTGAGTTTTACAAACCTGAATTATTTTTAATTCTGGTAAATATAAAAGGGTAATGGCAGAATCTTTTCGGCACGTCGAATAATACAATACTACATCGAGGGCAAGTGTACCAAGTCAAAAGTCCTTTTGTTCGACTGTTTAAATGGTCGATACTTGAGACACAAGTAAATCTTTCGTCTTCTTGTTCAAAATCGTGACTTCGTTATTTTAAGTTTTAGCTCATTCTTGCTTCACAATATATGTCGTTGAAACTCATCTTTCCCTCGCATTGGCAACGCCACGAACTCAAGAAACCCGGTGATCAACCATCTTTGACAAAAATTCTATTACGATGTAAATGCGAAGCAAATCATTCAAAGATACACCGAACGAATTCAATAACAGAATTCACAATTAAAAACTTCGTTTACTTCCTTCGCTGACCACGAACAATTTCTACGTATTGAACATCAGTGGTTATCAATATTCTAATCATTGAATTAGCTTGATAATTATTATGCCAAACGGAAGTGTTAAACGCATGCATTGATAGATAATACCCTCTGCCAACATGTTATTACAAACTAAACGCTTGCTTTTAGGGATTTAGTAATCAAATGTTCTGCCTCGAGAGATTTCATAAAAGTCCCTTGAGCTGTGTCATCAGTCTTTAACTAAATCTCTCTTGGTTTGCGAGACATATATAATCACTTTAATACCTCAAAAAGCACGAGTTTACTTATAACATGATAATGTTTCATGTCAATCAAAACTATAAGATAATACTAACACCTTAAACTAGCGTACATAGAAATAATCTTAAAAATTCTTTATATACTTGCACTTATTTTTACTTCAGTACATTGTTGTTTTTATCTTGCTTTTGGGGCCCTTGGAAGCATGGGGCCAGTTCTGAGTGGCTGGCCGACAAGATATCGTCTAAATTCTAGCATTCTCAAAAAATAATCATCACAAATCGTCATGTCTTAGTATATGAAAGGAAAATTCATGTTGTAAAATTTAATCTACCTGCATTTACTGTAAAGTAGATGACCTGACATATCGTTTGCGCATCATACTGGAGATGAAACGCCATGTTTTTCAGCAAGCAATCGTATTTTTGAGTGGACACAATCTAAGTTCATATAAGCAAGTTGTAACCATCTACTCTTGCTGTCTTTTTCAATTTCGAATGCACTTCTTGCATGAAGAACACGGAAATTGTTGAAAGTCATAGCTTCACCAGACTTTATCTTAAACCAAAAAGATGATTCGTCATCATTCAATAATTCTGTAAAACGTCTATAAGCTTTATAAAACGCCTTCATATGTTTTGGCTCCGAAGGCATGTTCCTATCGCGAAATTCGTCGTTGAAACAAACTTGAGACAGTTTACCAAACGAATCAAGGCTAAAAAGAAAAAATGAAGCTGTAGAAGATGACAATGTCAAAACAAAAAATTCTTTCAACATTGTTTCATTATGACTAAAGACTTCCTCAAACCTTATACATTTTTGCTGTGAAGTTGTATGAAAATCACCAACTTCAGATCGGCAGATGTTTCGATAAGCTACAGGCGTTTCAGCAAGCAAATAAAATGATTCGGGATCTTCTTTGAAAAGTCGGTAAGCAGCATAAAAACCATCAGACCAGCGATTTGCGCCTCCTTTTGAAGAATGTTGTAAACAATGGAACATGCCAATCTAAAAGGAAAGAAGTTTTAACCATAACGGCTTAGAAAATGGCAAATTTATCGTTTTGATAATTAAATAGAAGCAGATTCCGAAAAAATAGCCATCTCGAAATACAAAATTTGATTACAACAATTAACAGACAAATAATCTAGTGTGAATTTACGACTTTATTTTAACGTTAGGTAAAAAATATTAGGTTTATGTAAATAAAGTCGAAATTTACAATCAGTTTTACGTCTTCTCATGTTTTAATTCAAATGTTAAATTTCAAAATGGCTTTTATCTTAGGAATCGGTTTCTTTTTATACTTTTTAAAACTGTCAGCGGGACATGATGTTTTATGATGTCAGATGTGGCATGTTATTTGAAAGTTTAGACAGAATATAATTAAATTGATAAAAATTCTTTCCACTGTATGAGTTTTTCGACCAAAATGCCTGCAGTTTGTAAAAATCATCAGTGACCTCGAAGAAAACATGATTATGAACTTGACTATGAAAACAGCGAACAACAACTAAGTATTTACATACCATAGGTTGGTGATGTGTGAAAACATAATCTGTGTGTAATTGTAAGTCATCAGATGTATAACCAATTTCTGTGGCAATATCTTGACTGTGTGTTTTCACGTCATAGTTTGAACTGAAATATATTTTTGTGTTAGCACTGAATAATTGTAAATAAGTCAATAAATGTAAATAAATATAAAATGAAATAAATTTACCCATAATTTGTCGACATAAGATAACCAACACGATTTCCTAATTTCTGTAGTTGTAGTTTTTCAACAGGAATGTTTTCTATCTTTGCAATACCAGTTTCGAAAGATATTTTTACAAGCCATTGATATAAAGTATAATCATCTTCTATAAGCTGTTGAAAATCAAAAACAGGAATGGCATTATCTTTAAACGACGTTAGATCTCCCCATAGTTTTGCATTGTCTGCCAAAACTTCGGTGGCTCGAGTCTGAGGTTTGTACCTACAACATTTGTAAAAATAAATTACTACAATATTAATTTTTATTGAGATACGATTCTTCTTTCGTTCCACCAAACGCCTTTCCTGCCTGTTTCCTTTCAAGGATAAAGTGCCCAAAACTCTGAAATCGAATGTTCTTTATTCTTTCACGTGTCGATGCAGCTCTGCATCGTATGTGGGTCAAATCACCCGCCATCCATCTACACACTCAAATTTCAGAGCATTTGGACATCACTCTTTTGACTGGTAAACCTTCAAAACAACCCTACATTCCACTCTACTATCCCACCTTAAATCTACCGCTACCTTTGAGGTTTTTAAAATACTTTCGTCGTACTTAGACGCCCAAGAGATTCTTATTCACGAAAGCCTCTTTATATACAAAATGAAACCATCACTTAAAGTCCAAGGAAACTCCATTTTCTTTCGGTTGCTCTAATCTAATTTCGTCTGTCCTTATGTCTGTATACTTTGTGATTGTGTGTATTTTCGTATCTTACACGATTTCCACTTATCCCACTTCATCTTATTCAATATTTGCTAACACGTTTTTCTTCTCACCTAATATTATGTAAATAACTACTATATATATTCCTCATTACTTCATTTAGTTGTAATTTAATACTGTCTGATGATGTCTTGAGAGTCAAGATGAAACGTTACGCTGTTGAATAATTATTTCCACAATTTCGTAAAAGCACTATTGCTAATGCGCATTTAATATACACGACAAGTTTTTAGAATAGACATGTTTCGACATCTCATGATGCCGTCTTCAGTATGAGTGAAATAATAAATGATACAAGGTTTATATAAAAGTAATATGATACATAAATTACAACAATAATAAGGAAATAAGATAAATCAATGGGGAGCGTCCGAGCGTATTATAAACCAGAATCAGGGAACACACCACAACAGACAAAAACTCTCATATCTACCGACACCTTCTTAAATCTCACTCATGTAAAACCAAATATTCACCCTCTTGCTTCAAAATCATCCCACAAGCACCCCCCATCATCAAAGAAGCACCCCACATTAACAAAACTAACCCTGACCTCAATGTTCAAGTTTTTAAATTCAATACAATATTTAGTTTATAATACGCTCGGACGCTCCCCATTAATTTTTCTTATTCTCGTTTCATTGTTGTAATTTATGTATCATATTACTTTTATATAAACCTTGTATCATTTATTATTTCACTCATACTGAAGATGGCATCATGAGATGTCGAAACATGTCTATTCGGTCCGTGGGCGTTTCGTTCATTCAAAATTTAAATTCACAAATACAAATATTTAATTAACTTCATATCCTGAATTCAATTTTCAAAAATTGAATTCACATTTTTTTGCGAATTCAATTTTCATTTGATTAATATAAAAGTAAAATCCACTTTAAAAATTTGATTTTAAGTTGTTGAAATATACCTATGAATTACCAATTTACGCATTCTGAAATCCATCAAATTTTGCTATAAGTTTAATGCGACATTGCTTTGTGCATAGACTTCCTATGGCCGAACGGGGAGTCAAAGTCTACAGCGTTCGGTCATTTGAGAACTTTATTTTATGACGATATTATGATCGATATAAAATATCTGAGCCCATTTTGGCTGTCGTCTACGTCGTTCGGTGCTACATTTTTTCGCGAAAGTATTTTTTCGCGAAAGTCATGGATGAGATAGTAAGTGTCGAGGCAGTCAGAGATCTAGTCGTGAGAAAAAAGCTGACGCACAAGCAAATAAGCGAGGAACTGCGACGAGCAAATCCTGGCGTTCGAGGTCTAAGCGAAATGAGTGTGCGACGCTTTTGTTCTGCACATGACATTCACCGCATGTCGAAAATAACCAAATGAATATCATATGTTTAGAGAATTGCAATGAAAAATTATAATACACTAATGATACAACACTTTTCTAAAGTAAAATACCAAATATTTCATTTTTCTACCAGCCAGAGTAACAATAAGAATTAAGTAACAAAGACATATAGCAAAGGACGTGAACCTTGACCTCCCAAACGCCTTGATCAAGAGCAACAACGTGTTAGCTTCCTACTTCTTTGCAAAAGTTCCTTGATTTCACTTAATTAAATTATCATTTCCTACTTATGCTGATTGTAGGAAGTTGACTCCATTGTTCGTTTTGATTAGTATGTGTGAGTGGTGCAACGGGAAGTACTTTGCTACCGTATGTCTCCCTGTCACGTCAGTAAAGGCATTCACTTTCCACAACCGGCACATTTCATTCACCCACTGCTCTGCATTGACATTGCTCCAAGTTCGTCAACGTGTGTCAACTGGGAAACCTTAATGGCAGATAGCGCAATTTACGCAATGGATCCATCGTACAATTTCATTTGTAACGAGAAAGAAGTGAATATGAGAAAGTCCACTGTAACAGCAGAACGATTAGGACGATATTTCAACGTATGTATTACAAATGTAACAAAATAACTTGATGTAATATCATGTAAGTCAAGAACTTTCAACTTATATTTGCAGTTCATCCCAAGCACAATTTCCATCAAGGAAGAGTTTGGGACGCGTCTGGAGTTTCCAAACGACAGCGGAAAATTTAACTTTGTTGGATTCGATAATGGAACAAGCTTCGAAGTTGCGGGTGAAGAAAACGGTCCAGGTTCGCGTGCTATCCTTGGTGCTTCCCCCTTCGCGACCAACTCTTTCTCGACTATCGCTAGTAGGCCATGGGCTTTAAACGCATCGAAAACGGGAGGAAGCTCTGGATTCTGCAGCAATGCAAGCCAGAGCAACAGCGTAAAACCGAAAGCAACGGTGAAAGTGCTTTTCGCCGATCTCTCACCGACTGGAAAGCCCGTCATCAATTCTTCCAGCCCCAAGCAAACGTTTATACCAATACATCGAGAAGAGGATGCGAATGTTGCACACTTGCTGGCAATGGCCGAAACTAACTTCAACGAGAACAACTTGATGTTGGTATCGAATGGTGGCTTTCAATATATTGATGAACCAGGAACAAGAGGTAAAATTCTCAAGTATTGTCATGTTACTTGTAGTTTGCAAAAACGATATGATACATACTGAAATGTTCATCATGAATGCCAAATTCATGAAGATTATCAACTTTACAAAGTAGTCACATAGTCAATAGATTATGACAAATTTTTGTTTAAGGCACTGCCTTTTGGAAGACTGGTTCAAGAAAAATACATGCTGTGAAGAAACCAGAAAGAAAACGGAGAAGCAAAGCAGAAATTATTCACAGTTCTGATTCAGAGGAGCAGGACAGTGAAGATTATCAGCAGTGTATGAAAAAGAAACGAAAATCCATTGGTGCGCTTCAAATTTCGAATAAATTGAATGAAATACAAAAAGTGCTCAAGGAAAACAACGCAGAACTTTCAAAAGTTCTGAAATTTAGCAAAGAGAACACAGTTCCTATGGCTTTAAAGAACTTAGTGAAAGACTATTTCTCATGCAAGATATGTCACAAGGCACCTATGGATGTACCAATATTGGCATCAACATGTTGTGGTTCAATAATAGGATGCGAATCCTGTGTGCAACTGTAGTATGGGACTGGTAGTAATGTCTTTGACAAATGCTGTCCAAACTGCAGAGCTGACCGGGGTTACTCACACACATTTCGATTGGTTGGCATAGATGAATTCCTTACCAGTCTTCGAGAACTCGCAGGAGACAATAATGAGTAAATTATGTATTCGGAACAAACTCAAAACCATGTTGTCTGATATAGCCATGCACTAATGCCATAAAATAAAAGTAACAGTTGATTATGTATATTTCTTTCATATTTATTTTTTATGTTGAAGGGGAAAGGTGTGTTGTAATGTTAATAAAACTAATTACAGCATTAAAAAAGGAATTTGGCTTACTATTTACAATCTCATTAAATATCGTAGCAAAACTAGGGTTTCGGCTTTTGAATTCTTTGTCTCTGATTATTTGAAGATGTTGAAATTCCAGTAAGGGATCAGTTCCAAAATTACCAAAACTTTTTATTTGACCCCCACTTCTTTCATACTGTTGAACAGCAATCTCAGGAAGGGGAATTTCAGTACCGTGAAGTACACATACTCCCCTGTAAGTGTTGTTCCTCAGCTCTACTGGCTTACCTTTTCCTAAACAACAAAAGAATGAAAATTTTTGTTACTGATAACATGGTAAAATGAAAGATATAGGGCATCCTGATGAAGTCGGGGATTATTCACGATGGGTCCTTTTTTAAGGGGGGAGAGGTGCTTGAATTAGATTTGGGTGGTCACTTGTTGCCGTAGCATGTCAGACTCTTTCTTGTTAAATTTCTGCTACCTTTTTGTTATGATTATCAATTTGTCATTAATAATTTACCTGGAATGGTATGACAATTCCATGCTGGGAGGAGCTCTTGTATTCCAGCCTGAACAACCTGGATTACTATGGTAGATACGCAGAACTGATGAACAACGTTGACCATATCAATTAGCTCTTCTTGAGCCATCCTGTTCAACTGGGTTTTGATTGAGTAATTAATCCTGCCGTTCACTTCAACCCAAAGCCGTTCAACCATGTGGTTCTTAAATATAAAAACAAACATTACTAAATTGTTACTGCAGACAATTAATGCTAAAAGCGAGTAGGACTCTGATAAACAAAGGGCTATAGAATACTACTTCATAATATTTCGAGTTCATAATAAAACAGTGAATATTTATGCAACCTTGGTGGATGGTGTCTGTTTGTATGGTACTCGAAGCGTGTTTCTTCTATGTGCAGACAAACTTTGTTGCACAAACAAAGTGAGATAAAACTCCTTTCCACAGTCAACACGAACTTGGTCCCATACACCATATTGTTCAATAATAGGCCTATAGAAACATGTTCATGAAACATATAGATCTCAATAATGCTATGAACATGGCAAAAAAAGTTCATTTGACACCTGAATACAGAGCGATAAATTTTCACATTATTTTTCACAGGCATCGAAGCAGCTGCCATAATCATGCTGCTGTATCCATCAACTGCCAAGACTGTCGTGCACCCATACATGACCAACTTTTCATTTTGATCCATGTGAAGTTTGTGACCAAAGTAATCTGCACTGTATGGCACTGGATTCAATAGCTTTGCTGTGTTTTGTTCTCTTTGTTGACAATAATCTGGTGCAACTCTATGAAGTGACCTTGAAAGGCGCTTTTCATTAACTTTAACAATTGCAGCTTCAAGCTTTCCTTTCATCATTTTGCGACCATAAGTTGGGCCAACCTGCGTAGGTGTTTCAAAAAAGCCTTGAATAATGATTATAAAAGCATGATAAAGCCATATTGTTTTATTGAATAAAATTACCTGTGAAACGGCTACAGACACAGCACAATCTAGCTCTTGGTCTGTAACTTTCGACATGCGGTGAATGTCATGTGCAGAACAAAAGCGTCGCACACTCATTTCGCTTAGACCTCGAACGCCAGGATTTGCTCGTCGCAGTTCCTCGCTTATTTGCTTGTGCGTCAGCTTTTTTCTCACGACTAGATCTCTGACTGCCTCGACACTTACTATCTCATCCATGACTTTCGCGAAAAAATGTAGCACCGAACGACGTAGACGACAGCCAAAATGTGCTCAGATATTTTATATCGATCATAATATCGTCATAAAATAAAGTTCTCAAATGACCGAACGCTGTAGACTTTGACTCCCCACCCCCGTTCGGCCATAGGAAGTCTATGCACAAAGCAATGTCGCATTAAACTTATAGCAAAATTTGATGGATTTCAGAATGCGTAAATTGGTAATTCATAGGTATATTTCAACAACTCAAAATCAAATTTTTAAAGTGGATTTTACTTTTATATTAATCAAATGAAAATTGAATTCGCAAAAAAATGTGAATTCAATTTTGGAAAATTGAATTCAGGATGTGAAGTTAATTAAATATTTGTATTTGTGAATTTAAATTTTGAATGAACGAAACGCCCACGGACCCTATTCTAAAAAAACTTGTCGTATATATTGAATAATTATTTCTTTTTTATACATTATTCTTGTATTGAATGGCTGTTTTAAAAGCACTTCCCTGGGCTTTAATATTTATAATAAGAATTCGCTTCCCGCCTGATATATCCCTGCCTGAGGCGTAACGTTAATTGCCCTACTGATTTCTTTTGAAAGTGATTTGAATTAACGTTCTAGTTACGCCTCTGATCCTGGTCACTATTCTATGGGGCGCGAAGTGTTTCTTTATTATTTACGGAATTTTTAATGTTTAATTTCATTATTTATTAAATAACCAAACGTAATAGGTTGGTTATTTCAAATAACCATTTTTTGGACTAGCATAAGTTTGGTTATATCAAATAATCAATTGACAAAATTTGGTTATTTAATAAATAACCATTTTTATTTCGGCGCCGATTTGGTTATATCAAATAAACAATTGTACGCTACTTGGTTATTTAATAAATAACCATTTTCAATTCGGTAATCAAATTGGTTATATCAAATAACCAATTGTACGCTACTTGGTTATTTAATAAATAACCATTTTTAATTCGGTAATCAAATTGGTTATATCAAATAACCAATTGTACGCTACTTGGTTATTTAATAAATAACCATTTTTAATTCGGTAATCAAATTGGTTATATCAAATAACCAATTGTACGCTACTTGGTTATTTAATAAATAACCATTTTTAATTCGGTAATCAAATTGGTTATATCAAATAACCAATTGTACGCTGCTTGGTTATTTAATAAATAACCATTTTTAATTCGGTAATCAAATTGGTTACATCAAATAACCAATTGTACGCTGCTTGGTTATTTATTAAATAACCATTTTTAGTTCGATACCGATTTGGTTATATCAAATAATCAAATAATTTTGTTACACTTGGCACACTTGAGATGACGTACGTTCGTGTTCTACTTACCCTCTCCCGCTGTGGAAAGTTATGTCTGGTCACTAGAGATGCTTTCCAGAGACACTCTTTTGTTAACATTTTTTTTATTTCTCAAAGTATTAATTCACATGATTAAAAGGAGCAAAACATAATTGTGATATACACAATGCGTTCTCTGTAGTAAAGAATTCCAGCTCAAGCTATATTTTTATAATTAGTTTTGGCATCAAGGTTAGGGTTGATGCTATGATTGTCAATGTTTCATTTGATTGTTTAGATAGTAATGACTGAAAATATACAAGATTTACATGAAAGGTATTGTATTCCTCTAAATCATGTTTTCTTTGAGATATACTTTTTTCTTTAGGAAGAGAGTTAACAAAGAACATTTGTTGAACTTTCTTCAACTGAAAGTTCCTATATGTGATATTGCAAGACATCTTTCAGTGTCAAGAATTACCATTTATAGATATATGGAGGAATATGGAATAAATTATGAGCGCTTTTCACAACTTTCAGAAGCTGAAATTGAGAGAGAAGTACAAATAATTAAAAACAGCCATCCAAATGCTGGAGAAATTATGGTGCAAGGTCATCTTGCATCTAGGAGATTGCATGTGCAGCGACAAAAAGTTAGGCAGGCAATACATGCTGTGGATCCAGAAGGTGTGCAAAATAGAAAGCGTAAACCAATTAAGCAAAGAGTCTACACAAATCCTTTCCCAAACTATGTGTGGCACATTGATGGCAACCATAAACTTGTAAGGTGGAGGATGGTCATTCATCATGCAATAGATGGGTTTAGCCGCGTGGTTATTTTTGCAAAATGTAGCTCAAACAATCGGGCGGAAACTGCACATAGCCATTTTGTTCAGGCTATATCAAAATATGGACGTCCTGCCAAAGTCCGCACAGATCTTGGTGGAGAGAAGGTTGACATTTGGCATGATATGACAGGATTTAGAGGGGAAGCCAGCATGCCGGTGCTAGTGGGTAAGTCAGTCCACAATCAACGCATAGAACGACACAACCGTGCTCTCAATGAGCAAGTGTTGTCTACATTTCGACAACAGTTTTATGGCCTTGAAAGTGAAGGTGCTCTTGATGTAAATAATGATACTGACATCTTTTGTCTTCATTGTGTTTACATTTCTCGCATTAATAATGCCATTGAAGAATTCGTTGCATCACACAACCAACATAAAATTTCCACAGAAAATAACCAAACACCTGAGCAACTATTCTGGTGCAATATAGGGCTTGCACATATGTACGAATGAGCCTTACCCCAGCATCCAAACCAGCCAGGCATTGAAGAGCTTTCAACAAGTGATTTGTCACATGTTTGTGTTCCAGACACCTTAAATCCATTGGGAAATGATCAGTCTGTATGTGACTTTGTCTTGTCACTAAATGGTCAAAATGCAGTGGATGCTTATAGAGATTCAGTTAGCCTTGTTGCAGAGAAAATGATGTAGGTTTTGCTCTAACATTATTTAAAATATGTACGCATTGCGTACGTGTGTGTAGCCTGTGAAAGTTATGGACGTAAGTGGAATAAAACTAATTAAAAAATTGTAAAGTTAATATTGAAACAAAACTTGCATGAAATTCAACTGAACACCCTTACTAGATTGCATGTCTACCCATATCACGTGACTGTGCTTTAATCGTACAAGTGCCACCCTCAACATTTTGTCTTAAGCTCTGTTTCCATATAATCGTCAATCGTCGGAAAAAATAGCTATTTTGGTGCAGCGATTGAATGGCAACATGGTTAGACGATCAGGAATGTTGATCGTCGATAAACATTTCCGATAAAATTATTCATATAATGAACTGATACTAAAATAAAACCAAAATATGCATTGCATTTCTAATTCTTCTAAAAAATAAGCATCAATCATCGAAGGTTGCTCTTGTAACGGACATCTTTCAATGATTTATGACTGACGTTTATGCTTAAAAGCTCAAGAGCAGCTCAAAACATTTTGTTGAAGCTTTTAGATTATACAGATTTTTTAAGCAATATAACCAACTGGAAGCGTACATGCTATAAGATCAATATATATATTTGTTTGTTTTTGTTTCTGCTTAAATCAGTGTATAATATTAAACCGGAAGCCATGTTTCATAACTTTCCACAGCGGGAGAGGGTAAGTAGAACACGAACGTTACGTCATCTCAAGTGTGCCAAGTGTAACAAAATTATTTGGTTATTTGATATAACCAAATCGGTACCGAACTAAAAATGGTTATTCAATAAATAACCAAGTAGCGTACAATTGTTTATTTGATATAACCAAATCGGCGCCGAAATAAAAATGGTTATTTATTAAATAACCAAATTTTGTCAATTGATTATTTGATATAACCAAACTTATGCTAGTCCAAAAAATGGTTATTTGAAATAACCAACCTATTACGTTTGGTTATTTAATAAATAATGAATTAAACATTAAAAATTCCGTAAATAATAAAGAAACACTTCGCGCCCCATACTAGCCAGCTAGGAACGTTTTTACTTAACTGTAATATGACAAGGGTATTTTTGCTTCATATTAAATTATAATATCTTTCTTTCACCAACCTCAATAATTGCAATTCTTCAGTTGTAAATAAACTGGTGTGACCATCGTTCCATATCACGTTTAACACATTCGAGTCAATATAGACATGTTTGGGTACAACATTCATATCTAAATCCAAAGGAGATATTATCCGTCCTTTCGTAATTGGGTTTTGGTATTTACTGCAATTTTCACGAAGATAAATATGTGGAAATTCATCGATATTTCCATCTTTCCATTGAATACTAAGAAATTCGTCATCAACTACAACATTGTTGCGTAATTGATTTTGTTGAGTCGAACTAAATCGAAATAAATTTAACAAATTTTGATTTTTGTAAAATAACTTTCGTCCAAGTAGTCGCAACATTTTATACTTGTAAATAAAACTAATTTCGTGTGTCTGTCCCTTTACTCCCTTAAAGGATAAAACTTAAAGACACGTGTATGTGTGTTTGATAGCACGTGAAAGACTGCGTGAAGAAACAAAACATACAGGTCTGTTTTATCCATATTATTTAGAATTCTTTGAAGTTTTTGCAATATAATAGCAAACACAAATGACAAAAAATTGACCTGTCTACGAAGTATTTCAGTCTTAACAGCAAATTTTATGTAAAACATTTGCCGAGTTATATTTAGATTGCCTTGAAATCTCAACAGCAGTAAAATTCCCAACGAATCACATTTGTTCGTGCTTGACAATGCAGCACGGTCAATCTTGTAAAACCGGCTAAAACGATGATTTTGATGAGCCGGAATTTCACAAGAGATATGTATATTTCCATAATTCGTAATAGCACGATTGAAATGATGCATTTAACGTAAAGGACAACTTTTTTTAAATTTTTTAGTGCAAACATGTTTTGGCAAACTTATGCCATCTTCAGTGCGGTATAATAAATAAATATTTGAATGGAGTTAAGAAAGAAATCGGATACAAGGAATGTTTATAGACAAAAGGGATGGAAGCGGAAGTTATTTACAATTATGTAGTGATTCGAGATGTTAAGTATTTACAAGTTAAAGATAGTGTTGACATGGTGAATTTGTTTGTTAAGATTAGGCTTGAGTTTTTTGATGTACAGTGCTTCTTTTAGTTTTAAAGAAGAAGAAGCACTGTCTAATATACGAAAGCAGGATTGTGAGTATTTAGATTCGCAGTGAGATGATGAGAGGAGGTGTTTGAATATGTGAAAGTTTTTATCGGAAGTGGTATGCTCTTTAACCCGTGAGGAGAGGTGGCGGCTGGTTTCGCCAATGTAGCGAGAATTACATCCCGCACAAGAGAATTCGTAAAACACATTGGATTTTAAGAGGAAAGGGATGGGGTCTTTGAAGCGGAAGAAGTTTTTGATTTTAAAAGAAGAGAATACTAGTTTTATGTCTAAGTTTGTGCAGAAACGTCTGACCAAGTAATGTTTTCGTTTTGTGATTTGGAGTTAAGGTTTTGGATTTAGACTTTTTAGTTATAAGTACGTCTAGGAAAAGTAATTTCTTGTCTTGCTCTTTGTCAAAAGTAACTTTAATTTTCTTGTGTTGTTGGTTCAGGTAATTGAAAAAGATGACGCATCGTTTTCGTTATTAAAATACAAAAATATCGTCTACGTAGCGTCTGTAAAAAGTACGTCAGGTCCGTTGTAGTGTTCTATGCAATAGACCTTTTCAAGGTTATCGTAGCCATATTGCAGGGGTGCAAAACATTGGGCCGAGCGCGGTCACGCAATGAGCCATATAAATTACTAATAAATGCGCAAAAATTACCTTTTACATATTGGCCATTTCTTCCAAATATATTTCTCAAACTCGTCCATTTTAATAGTAGCATTATTATTTGCGATTTTTTATACATGTGAGTTCAATTTTGTGGTAATCAAAAAGCGGAAAGTTAAAGAAAACATTTGTTTTCTTTGAACAACTTGACCATCGTTTGAGCGATGTTCTTGAGTTCGCAAATGTGCGGAACTCATAAGCCTAGTCAAACGAACTAAACCCTAAACTAGCCGAGTAGCCATGAGCAGTCATAGCCGAAATGGTAAAAAATGCGCGTTGTGCAGTTGGATATTGCGATAATGATAAACGCTGGCCTGATTATCAAGTTAAGAGGTCTCACGTAGAAAAGTTAGTTTTCATAAGTGGCCCAAAGATCAAGCACCTGCTGAAATTTGGCGAAAACAAATTGCAAACAGCTGAGCCGATGACTTTAACCCAAAGCCTGGTGCACAAGGTACTTTCGTTTGCTCAAATCATTTTCCCTTGGGAAGAAGAACCCCAAATAACCGCGAAACGGATTATCCTTCGGTTTTTATTACGCTATCAGAGTACGAGCAATGGAGGACTCCGCTTAAACGTAAAGGAAGAGAAACATGGACGACATCAAAGCGTCCTCATCAAGCCTATAAAACCGAGGATTCTCATTCAAGTTTTGATGGAAATCCAGCAAAATCTGAGGCATCTTTACTCCCTGTCCCTTAGGAATTTGACAGTTGACGAGGGAGTATGATGTAAGGTTTCACACCGGCCTGCCATCGACTAACAGTTTTAAGTGTGTATTTGAATACTTGGCTGTTTCTTCTTCTGGCTGTTAAGACGCCATACATAATAATAAAAATAGCAATGTCACTTTACAAATAATTGGAAATACTAATAAGAGTTTGCCGTAGAATAATTCCTCGTGATACTTGCTGACTTTGCTGTAGACATGTGCGTGTGTTGCGAACTCAAGAACATCGCTCAAACGACGGTCAAGTTGTTCAAAGAAAACAAATGTTTTCTTTAACTTTCCGCTTTTTGATTACCACAAAATTTGACTCACATGTATAAAAAATCGCAAATAATAATGCTACTATTGAAATGGACGAGTTTGAGAAATATTTTTGGAAGAAATGGCCAATATGTAAAAGGGTAATTTTTGCGCATTTATTAGTAATTTATATGGACTCCATGCGTGACCGCGCGCTCGGCCCAATGTTTTTGCACCCCCTGCAATATGGCTACGATAACCTTGAAAAGGTCTATTCCTTAGGTTGATGTAAGTTAATAAGGTCTAATGTCAATGTCAATGGTTTCATTTAGTGGAATGTTGGTGAACAGACTTTGGACCTCAAAAGAAAACTATGTAATTGCTGTTAATATCTTGGTTATGAAGTTCGTCAACAAAAGTAAAAGAGTCTTTAGTCGTGTAGTCGTTTGGTATGATAGGGTTGAGCAGTTTGCCTAAGTACTTAGCAAGGTTGTAGTTATAAGAATTGATGGAAGAAACTATAGGTCGGAGAGGAGAAGTTTTGTTATCTTTATGTTTGTGTAGTTTAGAAAGACCGCAAAAACGGGCAAGTTGTGACCCTCTGGGGAAAATGCTCGAGTATACGTAGGTCTCAAAAGCGGATGGGGGCGAAGACCGAGGGACGCTTTGAGACTGAGTGAAAATATTTTTTAAGTACGGACCGACCTAAACGGCAAATGACAATTTTCAAAATCATTTTGGGATAAATAATATGACCCATGAGTTTATATAATCATGTTGAACAGGTTCTTTCAAATAGGAAAATGAATCCAGTTTTATTTGAAGCTGCATTCCAGTAGATATAAGTAGCAATTTTTTTTGCATAAGCATCATTACAAATGTAGGGAAAAGTTGTTTATAATTTTAACAATAGTGTAAATTATCATTCTCTGCACGACAACAGGTACATTTCCACATTGTACGATGCACTTAGAAATTCTTCTTGGTTTCCGAAAATCGTATCTTGGGAAATACGTTCCGATTTGATTCACGTATCGTCGTAAAATTGAAACAAACAGCAAACCACTATTTAAATGATAAATTTACTTTTGTAGGAAAATCATTTCCACAAACTATACGCAAAATATATTCTCAATATTGTTCTTCACTTTGAAACTAGAGCAACTTTGCAAAATTTTCACAAACCATAAGAGGGATCATGATCATCTGCAGCATTTTCGTAGCATCATCTGCTATCATGAGTAAGATCACGTGGATCATTGGATGTGACGTCATCATTGGCAAGATCATGTGAATAATTATATGTAGTGTCATCATTGGTAACATCACGTGGATCATTGGATGTGACGTCATCATGTATAAGACTACGTGTACGTGATGGTGTAAAATGATGAAGAGATGGAACAAGGTGAATATTTGCGTTAAAACCTGCCGCCATTGCAGAAACGTGACCTTCACAAGTTGCTTCAGTAGAATCCCGACATTGATCAAATATTTCTTTAAATTTAAATGATTGTTCAACAGAATGAAATTGCACGGCTACATCTCGTTCCACGGCTACATCTCGTTCCACGGCTACATCTCGTTCCACGCCATGGCTAATGTCACTAAAATCAGCCATAGTAAACCAAACCCAAGAACGATCTGAGCCCGCATTCGGCTTAAGATCCATGTATGCAGTAACCTCATGAGCCAGCAATAATCTTTGGTCATCAGACATTACTATGTAATATTTATTGTCTGAAGACAATACTTTCAGAGTACCACGACCGCGTTCCAACCAATTTTTAAAGTTTAAATCATAGAAATAAGCGAAGGCAAGCTCGCTAAACAAAACGCGATAACTTTCTTGAGCAGCCAAGAAACTTCCGTTGGACAAAAATGACATGAATCTGTGAGAATTTGAAATGATAGGATTGTTGTATTGTTGTTCATCATTTACTTGGTTGTTGTCTGGTGAAGTAATATCATCTCTTGTAAGGACACTACACACACTAAGCAAAATGTAAAACAAATCCAATTTTAATACTGGCACGCGTATTTTGTTTTAACTAATGTGTTCACTTGAAACTATGAGCAAATGAACGAAAATAAAATTTAACTTAGTTCATGGTCACACAGTGACTGTATGAAAGGAAGTGTTACAGAGGTTGGGCAAACAATCTTACATTGATTGTGTGAATAACAATCTGAACCTCTGATATAGCTTATACATCTAAAAGTATTTATACAATGCAGGCAAAACTAATGTCGTACAAACACCAAGAAAAAACTAAATTTATATTCTAGCATACATCATGTAGCAATTGAACAAGATTTTGAAGAAATCAATAAACATTGAATAATTAAGAAAGATTTCAAAAAATAAGAAGAGTTCAATTACATTTTAACTTTTATGCATTGTTTGTGAAAAAAAGCCCCAACAACCTTACATGATGTGGTATGATTACTTTGAATCAATCATTAAATAACGTGGCTAAGTTCTTTTTTGAATAAATAACATTTATAAGAATCAAATAAAAAAATTAATACCTTTTTTCTGTACATTTCTTCTCAATTTCACTAGTTTGTATTTTGAATAATTTCATCTGTTCTTTACATTCATCAAACATATCATTAAACTCTTTCGCCATTTGAGCATTTTTAAATCGCACAGCAAGTTGTTCTGATTTAGCTTCTCCGTCAGAGATATCAGCATTAGTATGCCACACCATTGAACGATCAGAACTTGTGTTCTCTATAAGTTTCATTTCTGAAGTAAGAATATGATTTGCACAAATTTTTAATGTTTTTTCTCGTCTCATTAACACTCGAAATTGTCCCGTTAATTTATGTTGAAGAATTTTGATATTTCCAACACCACGTTCTTTCCATTGTGATGTATCTTTATCATAACGAAATAATTTTGCACGTTGACAATAAATAACATCTTCACTTTCTTCCCCACTACTTTGTTCTATCATCTTAAGTTGAACTATTGGTTTGAAATCAAGACCGTTGACCTCTCGTTCAGGATCGTCCTCATATGATTTGTTCTTGATAAAGATATTTTCCTCACCAAACAATTTTGATCCAGCGCCAGCAAACGCCTGATTCGTAGACGATTGAAAAGTTGATGACATAATTCCGCGAAGTGAAGAGAATGTTAAATATGTAGCACCTTGAGAACCAAATACAAATGATTGTGTACTGGTTGTCGTTGACGGAGGAGAACCAAACTCTGACAGTGTTGATTGTGTTAAAATAGTGTTGAAACAACTTCTAATGTTAGGCACACCTTCATTTTCCTTTATTCCACTTTCAACAGTTTCAATATCGCCATTTTCAAAACTAAATAGTTTAAAAATAGGTATGAGTTAATGCTTATTTAATTATTCTCGACAAAACTACACGGAACATAAAATAAACTACAATACGTACGTGTTAGTAAGTACATAAAACATCTTTGGCAGTTCATAACTTTTGGCTTTTTCTTGTTGCTCAACAGATGGAGATTTCTCAAAGATTATTTCAACTTCTTCCTTAGCATTATTTGTTTCATCTTTTAAATTTTTTAAATCATCATCCACAATATTTTCTTTAGTGTATTTTCTTGAAAGTGAAATTTCATCATTTCCTTCTGTTTGTTGACATTCAATAAATTTCTCTTGAAATATCGTTGCATTATCAGGATGTTTGAATTTTACAGCAATCTCTCTACAAAATGAAAGAAATTATAATTTAAAGGCGGACAATTCTTGTTCAAATGGCAGCGATAAGTTGATGAACTTAAAAACTCATTAAAGTAAAATACAGTCAAACTGAGATCAAACAAATTTTGATAATGAAGCATCACATTTAAAATATCAAAACAGTAAAAAAGTGTTTAGTAGTTATTTATTTAAATAATGAATAAGTAACAAATACACAAAACAGTTAAATCAAACACTTCAACAACAACACAGATAATAGGAAAAAATGAAGTAAGAGAGTATATTTAAAATATTTAAAAAAAACATTTTCAAACTTGTTTCACTTTGGTAAATTTAATAAAGATTTGCATTGTTAAAAAAACAATACAGGGGTTCATAATATTCGTAAATAAAAATAATTACCTATCAACCAACTGAGTCTCAAATTGATCTTCATCGTCTTTCTCATTTTTTTCATCAAAACAATAAAACATCTTTGGAAATTGATAACTTTTGGCTTTTTCTTGTTCCTCAACAGATGGACATCTCTCAAAGATTATTTCAACTTCTTCCTCAGCATCAATTGTTTCATCCTTTAAATTTTTAAAATCATCATCCACAATATTTTCTTTAGTGTCTTTTCTTGAAAGTGAAATTTTCATTTCTTTCTGTTTGTTGACATTCAATAAATTTCTCTTGAAATATCGTTGCATCTTCAGGATGTTTGAATTTCACAGCAAAAGTTCATTTTCGCTACACCATCAGAAAATCAGCATCGACAGACCACATCCACGAACGATCTGATCCTGCATTCCTTTTCAGTTCCATATCACATGTTATAAAATGATTTGCACAAAGTTTATGAATTTGTTCTCGTCTCATTACAATACGACATTTCTTTGTTTCATTATGTCTTAAGATTTTAATATCTCCAACACCACGTTCCTTCCATTCTTTTTTATCGTAACGAAATAATTTTGCACGATGACTGTAAACAACAGTTTCGTTTTCTTCACCAGTTTTCTGATCACTAATGGGAGTTAATGAAACAATTGGACGGAAATCATAACTTTTAACTTCTTCTTCAGGATCAACACCTTCCTTTTTCGAAACAAACAACTGTTCACCACTGCCAAGAAATCCTTTCCAAGATATCTTCTCATTTGCCTGGGGAAATGTAGATATTTGTTGTGCCAGTTCAGAAAAGACAACATGGATGTCGATGTTGAACCGAACCGGAAGATACCAGACTTAGAAACATAGTCATTTTTACCTTTCTCTCTATAAAACGAAAAAAATTATATTTTAAAGGCTTAGGTTTCTTGTTCAAATGACAGTGATAAGTTGATGAATTTAAAATACTCATTAAAGTAAAATGCAGTCAAATTGAGATCAAACAAATTTTGATAATCTAGCATCACATTTAAAATATCAAAACAGTAAAAAAGTGTTTAGTACATATTTATTTAAGAATGAATAAGTAACAAATACACAAAACAGTTAAATCAAACACTTCAACAATCACACTGAAAATAGCAAAAAAAAATGAAGTAAGAGAATATATTTTAAAATATTTAAAAACAACATTTTCAAACATGTTTCACTTTGGTAAATTTAATAAAGATTTGCATTGTTAAAAAACAATACAGGGGTTCATAATATTTGTAAATAAAAATAATTACCTATCAACCAACTGAGTCTCAAATTGATCTTCATCGTCTTTCTCATTTTTTTCATCAAAACAATAAAACATCTTTGGAAATTGATAACTTTTGGCTTTTTCTTGTTCCTCAACAGATGGACATCTCTCAAAGATTATTTCAACTTCTTCCTCAGCATCAATTGTTTCATCTTTTAAATTTTTTAAATCATCATCCACAATATTTTCTTTAGTGTCTTTTCTTGAAAGTGAAATTTCATCAATTTTTTCTGTTTGTTGACATTCAATAAATTTCTCTTGAAATATCGTTGCATCTTCAGGATGTTTGAATTTCACAGCAAAAAGTTCATTTTTCGCTACACCATCAGAAAAATCAGCATCGACAGACCACATCCACGAACGATCTGATCCTGCATTCCTTTTCAGTTCCATATCACATGTTATAAAATGATTTGCACAAAGTTTATGAATTTGTTCTCGTCTCATTACAATACGACATTTCTTTGTTTCATTATGTCTTAAGATTTTAATATCTCCAACACCACGTTCCTTCCATTCTCTTTTATCGTAACGAAATAATTTTGCACGATGACTGTAAACAACAGTTTCGTTTTCTTCACCAGTTTTCTGATCACTAATGGGAGTTAATGAAACAATTGGACGGAAATCATAACTTTTAACTTCTTCTTCAGGATCAACACCTTCCTTTTTCGAAACAAACAACTGTTCACCACTGCCAAGAAATCCTTTCCAAGATATCTTCTCATTTGCCTGGGGAAATGTAGATATTTGTTGTGCCAGTTCAGAAAAAGACAACATGGATGTCGATGTTGAACCGAACTGGAAGATACCAGACTTAGAAACATAGTCATTTTTACCTTTCTCTCTATAAAACGAAAAAAATTATATTTTAAAGGCTTAGGTTTCTTGTTCAAATGACAGAGATAAGTTGATGAATTTAAAAAAATCATTAAAGTAAAATACAGTCAAACTGAGATCAAACAAATTTTGATAATGAAGCATCACATTTAAAATATCAAAACAGTAAAAAAGTGTTTAGTACATATTTATTTAAGTAATGAATAAGTAACAAATACACAAAACAGTTAAATCAAACACTTTAACAACCACACTGAAAATAGGAAAAAATGAAGTAAGAGAATATATTTTAAAATATTAAAAAACAACATTTTCAAACTTGTTTCACTTTGGTAAATTTAATAAAGATTTGCATTGTTAAAAAACAATACAGGGGTTCATAATATTCGTAAATGAAAATAATTACCTATCAACCAACTGAGTCTCAAATTGATCTTCATCGTCTTTCTCATTTTTTTCACCGAAACAATAAAACATCTTTGGAAATTGATAACTTTTGGCTTTTTCTTGTTCCTCAACAGATGGACATCTCTCAAAGATTATTTCAACTTCTTCCTCAGCATCAATTGTTTCATCTTTTAAATTTTTTAAATCATCATCCACAATATTTTCTTTAGTGTCTTTTCTTGAAAGTGAAATTTCATCAATTTTTTCTGTTTGTTGACATTCAATAAATTTCTCTTGAAATATCGTTGCATCTTCAGGATGTTTGAATTTCACAGCAAAAAGTTCATTTTTCGCTACACCATCAGAAAAATCAGCATCGACAGACCACATCCACGAACGATCTGATCCTGCATTCCTTTTCAGTTCCATATCACATGTTATAAAATGATTTGCACAAAGTTTATGAATTTGTTCTCGTCTCATTACAATACGACATTTCTTTGTTTCATTATGTCTTAAGATTTTAATATCTCCAACACCACGTTCCTTCCATTCTCTTTTATCGTAACGAAATAATTTTGCACGATGACTGTAAACAACAGTTTCGTTTTCTTCACCAGTTTTCTGATCACTAATGGGAGTTAATGAAACAATTGGACGGAAATCATAACTTTTAACTTCTTCTTCAGGATCAACACCTTCCTTTTTCGAAACAAACAACTGTTCACCACTGCCAAGAAATCCTTTCCAAGATATCTTCTCATTTGCCTGGGGAAATGTAGATATTTGTTGTGCCAGTTCAGAAAAAGACAACATGGATGTCGATGTTGAACCGAACTGGAAGATACCAGACTTAGAAACATAGTCATTTTTACCTTTCTTTCTATAAAATGAAAGAAATTATATTTTAAAGACGGAGGTTTCTTGTTCAAATGGCAGAGATAAGTTGATGAATTTAAAAAAATCATTAAAGTAAAATACAGTCAAACTGAGATCAAACAAATTTTGATAATCTAGCATCACATTTAAAATATCAAAACAATAAAAAAGTGTTTAGTACATATTTATTTAAATAATGAATAAGTAACAAATACACAAAACAGTTAAATCAAACAATTCAACAACCAAACAGAAAATAGGAAAAAATGAAGTAAGAGAATATATTTTAAAATATTTAAAAACAACATTTTCAAACTTGTTTCACTTTGGTAAATTTAATAAAGATTTGCATTGTTAAAAAAACAATACAGGGGTTCATAATATTCGTAAATGAAAATAATTACCTATCAACCAACTGAGTCTCAAATTGATCTTCATCGTCTTTCTCATTTTTTTCATCAAAACAATAAAACATCTTTGGAAATTGATAACTTTTGGCTTTTTCTTGTTCCTCAACAGATGGACATCTCTCAAAGATTATTTCAACTTCTTCCTCAGCATCAATTGTTTCATCTTTTAAATTTTTTAAATCATCATCCACAATATTTTCTTTAGTGTCTTTTCTTGAAAGTGAAATTTCATCAATTTTTTCTGTTTGTTGACATTCAATAAATTTCTCTTGAAATATCGTTGCATCTTCAGGATGTTTGAATTTCACAGCAAAAAGTTCATTTTTCGCTACACCATCAGAAAAATCAGCATCGACAGACCACATCCACGAACGATCTGATCCTGCATTCCTTTTCAGTTCCATATCACATGTTATAAAATGATTTGCACAAAGTTTATGAATTTGTTCTCGTCTCATTACAATACGACATTTCTTTGTTTCATTATGTCTTAAGATTTTAATATCTCCAACACCACGTTCCTTCCATTCTTTTTTATCGTAACGAAATAATTTTGCACGATGACTGTAAACAACAGTTTCGTTTTCTTCACCAGTTTTCTGATCACTAATGGGAGTTAATGAAACAATTGGACGGAAATCATAACTTTTAACTTCTTCTTCAGGATCAACACCTTCCTTTTTCGAAACAAACAACTGTTCACCACTGCCAAGAAATCCTTTCCAAGATATCTTCTCATTTGCCTGGGGAAATGTAGATATTTGTTGTGCCAGTTCAGAAAAAGACAACATGGATGTCGATGTTGAACCGAACTGGAAGATACCAGACTTAGAAACATAGTCATTTTTACCTTTCTTTCTATAAAATGAAAGAAATTATATTTTAAAGACGGAGGTTTCTTGTTCAAATGGCAGAGATAAGTTGATGAATTTAAAAAAATCATTAAAGTAAAATACAGTCAAACTGAGATCAAACAAATTTTGATAATCTAGCATCAACTTTAAAATATCAAAACAGTAAAAAAGTGTTTAGTACATATTTATTTAAATAATGAATAAGTAACAAATACACAAAACAGTTAAATCAAACAATTCAACAACCAAACAGAAAATAGGAAAAAATGAAGTAAGAGAATATATTTTAAAATATTTAAAAACAACATTTTCAAACTTGTTTCACTTTGGTAAATTTAATAAAGATTTGCATTGTTAAAAAAACAATACAGGGGTTCATAATATTCGTAAATGAAAATAATTACCTATCAACCAACTGAGTCTCAAATTGATCTTCATCGTCTTTCTCATTTTTTTCACCGAAACAATAAAACATCTTTGGAAATTGATAACTTTTGGCTTTTTCTTGTTCCTCAACAGATGGACATCTCTCAAAGATTATTTCAACTTCTTCCTCAGCATCAATTGTTTCATCCTTTAAATTTTAAAATCATCATCCACAATATTTTCTTTAGTGTCTTTCCTTGAAAGTGAAATTTCATCATTTCTTTCTGTTTGTTGACATTCAATAAATTTCTCTTGAAATATCGTTGCATCTTCAGGATGTTTGAATTTCACAGCAAAAGTTCATTTTCGCTACACCATCAGAAAAATCAGCATCGACAGACCACATCCACGAACGATCTGATCCTGCATTCCTTTTCAGTTCCATATCACATGTTATAAAATGATTTGCACAAAGTTTATGAATTTGTTCTCGTCTCATTACAATACGACATTTCTTTGTTTCATTATGTCTTAAGATTTTAATATCTCCAACACCACGTTCCTTCCATTCTTTTTTATCGTAACGAAATAATTTTGCACGATGACTGTAAACAACAGTTTCGTTTTCTTCACCAGTTTTCTGATCACTAATGGGAGTTAATGAAACAATTGGACGGAAATCATAACTTTTAACTTCTTCTTCAGGATCAACACCTTCCTTTTTCGAAACAAACAACTGTTCACCACTGCCAAGAAATCCTTTCCAAGATATCTTCTCATTTGCCTGGGGAAATGTAGATATTTGTTGTGCCAGTTCAGAAAAAGACAACATGGATGTCGATGTTGAACCGAACTGGAAGATACCAGACTTAGAAACATAGTCATTTTTACCTTTCTCTCTATAAAACGAAAAAAATTATATTTTAAAGGCTTAGGTTTCTTGTTCAAATGACAGTGATAAGTTGATGAATTTAAAATACTCATTAAAGTAAAATGCAGTCAAATTGAGATCAAACAAATTTTGATAATCTAGCATCACATTTAAAATATCAAAACAGTAAAAAAGTGTTTAGTACATATTTATTTAAATAATGAATAAGTAACAAATACACAAAACAGTTAAATCAAACACTTCAACAACCAAACAGAAAATAAAAAAATGAAGTAAGAGAATATATTTTAAAATATTTAAAACAACATTTTCAAACTTGTTTCACTTTGGTAAATTTAATAAAGATTTGCATTGTTAAAAAACAATACAGGGTTCATAATATTCGTAAATGAAAATAATTACCTATCAACCAACTGAGTCTCAAATTGATCTTCATCGTCTTTCTCATTTTTTTCATCAAAACAATAAAACATCTTTGGAAATTGATAACTTTTGGCTTTTTCTTGTTCCTCAACAGATGGACATCTCTCAAAGATTATTTCAACTTCTTCCTCAGCATCAATTGTTTCATCCTTTAAATTTTTAAATCATCATCCACAATATTTTCTTTAGTGTCTTTTCTTGAAAGTGAAATTTCATCATTTTTTCTGTTTGTTGACATTCAATAAATTTCTCTTGAAATATCGTTGCATCTTCAGGATGTTTGAATTTCACAGCAAAAGTTCATTTTCGCTACACCATCAGAAAAATCAGCATCGACAGACCACATCCACGAACGATCTGATCCTGCATTCCTTTTCAGTTCCATATCACATGTTATAAAATGATTTGCACAAAGTTTATGAATTTGTTCTCGTCTCATTACAATACGACATTTCTTTGTTTCATTATGTCTTAAGATTTTAATATCTCCAACACCACGTTCCTTCCATTCTTTTTTATCGTAACGAAATAATTTTGCACGATGACTGTAAACAACAGTTTCGTTTTCTTCACCAGTTTTCTGATCACTAATGGGAGTTAATGAAACAATTGGACGGAAATCATAACTTTTAACTTCTTCTTCAGGATCAACATCTTCCTTTTTCGAAACAAACAACTGTTCACCACTGCCAAGAAATCCTTTCCAAGATATCTTCTCATTTGCCTGGGGAAATGTAGATATTTGTTGTGCCAGTTCAGAAAAAGACAACATGGATGTCGATGTTGAACCGAACTGGAAGATACCAGACTTAGAAACATAGTCATTTTTACCTTTCTCTCTATAAAACGAAAAAAATTATATTTTAAAGGCTTAGGTTTCTTGTTCAAATGACAGTGATAAGTTGATGAATTTAAAATACTCATTAAAGTAAAATGCAGTCAAATTGAGATCAAACAAATTTTGATAATCTAGCATCACATTTAAAATATCAAAACAGTAAAAAAGTGTTTAGTACATATTTATTTAAGAATGAATAAGTAACAAATACACAAAACAGTTAAATCAAACACTTCAACAATCACACTGAAAATAAAAAAAAATGAAGTAAGAGAATATATTTTAAAATATTTAAAACAACATTTTCAAACATGTTTCACTTTGGTAAATTTAATAAAGATTTGCATTGTTAAAAACAATACAGGGTTCATAATATTTGTAAATAAAAATAATTACCTATCAACCAACTGAGTCTCAAATTGATCTTCATCGTCTTTCTCATTTTTTTCATCAAAACAATAAAACATCTTTGGAAATTGATAACTTTTGGCTTTTTCTTGTTCCTCAACAGATGGACATCTCTCAAAGATTATTTCAACTTCTTCCTCAGCATCAATTGTTTCATCCTTTAAATTTTTAAATCATCATCCACAATATTTTCTTTAGTGTCTTTTCTTGAAAGTGAAATTTCATCAATTTTTTCTGTTTGTTGACATTCAATAAATTTCTCTTGAAATATCGTTGCATCTTCAGGATGTTTGAATTTCACAGCAAAAAGTTCATTTTTCGCTACACCATCAGAAAAATCAGCATCGACAGACCACATCCACGAACGATCTGATCCTGCATTCCTTTTCAGTTCCATATCACATGTTATAAAATGATTTGCACAAAGTTTATGAATTTGTTCTCGTCTCATTACAATACGACATTTCTTTGTTTCATTATGTCTTAAGATTTTAATATCTCCAACACCACGTTCCTTCCATTCTTTTTTATCGTAACGAAATAATTTTGCACGATGACTGTAAACAACAGTTTCGTTTTCTTCACCAGTTTTCTGATCACTAATGGGAGTTAATGAAACAATTGGACGGAAATCATAACTTTTAACTTCTTCTTCAGGATCAACATCTTCCTTTTCGAAACAAACAACTGTTCACCACTGCCAAGAAATCCTTTCCAAGATATCTTCTCATTTGCCTGGGGAAATGTAGATATTTGTTGTGCCAGTTCAGAAAAAGACAACATGGATGTCGATGTTGAACCGAACTGGAAGATACCAGACTTAGAAACATAGTCATTTTTACCTTTCTCTCTATAAAACAAAAAAAATTATATTTTAAAGGCTTAGGTTTCTTGTTCAAATGACAGTGATAAGTTGATGAATTTAAAATACTCATTAAAGTAAAATGCAGTCAATTTGAGATCAAACAAATTTTGATAATCTAGCATCACATTTAAAATATCAAAACAGTAAAAAAGTGTTTAGTACATATTTATTTAAGAATGAATAAGTAACAAATACACAAAACAGTTAAATCAAACACTTCAACAATCACACTGAAAATAACAAAAAAAAATGAAGTAAGAGAATATATTTTAAAATATTTAAAAACAACATTTTCAAACATGTTTCACTTTGGTAAATTTAATAAAGATTTGCATTGTTAAAAAACAATACAGGGGTTCATAATATTCGTAAATGAAAATAATTACCTATCAACCAACTGAGTCTCAAATTGATTTTCATCGCCTTTCTCATTTTTTTCATCAAAACAATACAACATCTTTGGAAATTGATAACTTTTGGCTTTTTCTTGTTCCTCAACAGATGGACATCTCTCAAAGATTATTTCAACTTCTTCCTCAGCATCAATTGTTTCATCTTTTAAATTTTTTAAATCATCATCCACAATATTTTCTTTAGTGTCTTTTCTTGAAAGTGAAATTTCATCAATTCTTTCTGCTTGTTGACATTCAATAAATTTCTCTTGAAATATCGTTGCATCTTCAGGATGTTTGAATTTCACAGCAAAAAGTTCATTTTTCGCTACACCATCAGAAAAATCAGCATCGACAGACCACATCCACGAACGATCTGATCCTGCATTCCTTTTCAGTTCCATATCACATGTTATAAAATGATTTGCACAAAGTTTATGAATTTGTTCTCGTCTCATTACAATACGACATTTCTTTGTTTCATTATGTCTTAAGATTTTAATATCTCCAACACCACGTTCCTTCCATTCTTTTTTATCGTAACGAAATAATTTTGCACGATGACTGTAAACAACAGTTTCGTTTTCTTCACCAGTTTTCTGATCACTAATGGGAGTTAATGAAACAATTGGACGGAAATCATAACTTTTATCTTCTTCTTTGGGATCAACATCTTCCTTTTTCGAAACACACAACCGTTCACCAGAGGTAAGAAATCCTTTAAAAGGTTGACATTTAAAACCAGACAACTGGTTAGGATGTGAAGTAAATGATAAAGAAGATACTTCACTTCCAAAATAAAACATCGGATTACTAACATTATCGTCAATATCTTTCGTATCCTTTTCGTTGTTTGTTTTAGCGAGACTTTTGTCACTTTTTAAAAAAAAGGTAGAAGGATATTCTTGCTTCATCCCTGAGTAGACAACCTCATCATTCTCTTCATATCTCGTTAAACTTACATCGTTGCTGCAGCTCAATAGTTCTTTTGTTGAATCCTTATTGTTTAAAGTTCCTTTGAATTGGATTTCTCTCACGTCTGAATGAGATTCGCATTTAGGCACACAAGAATCATCAAACTTATTGCCATGCCCATATTTAGTGGTATTGTTAAGATCACTCGACCCAGTAGTACAGACTGATATATCTGTTTCACTGATATCATTTATTCTCGAGTTACTCGAATCAACACTAAATTCACGTGTTACATTTTCACTTGGATTGGTTGTACCAAAGGTAAACACAGATGTTGGAGTTTTACTTGGATCACTTGATCCAAAGCTAAATTCAGATGTTGCAGTTTTACTTGGATCACTTGATCCAAAGCTAAATTCAGATGTTGCAGTTTTACTTGGATTACTTGATCCAAAGCTAAAATCAGATGTTGCAGTTTTACTTGGATCACTTGATCCAAAGCTAAATTCAGATGTTGCAGTTTTACTTGGATCACTTGATCCAAAGCTAAATTCAGATGTTGCAGTTTTACTTGGATTACTTGATCCAAAGCTAAAATCAGATGTTGCAGTTTTACTTTGATCTTTTGATCCAAAGCTAAATTCAGATGTTGCAGTTTTACTTTGATCTTTTGAACCAAAGCTAAATCCAGATGTTGCAGTTTTACTTGGAACATTTGAACCAAAGCTAAATCCAGATGTTACAGTTTTACTTGGATCATTTGAACCAAAGCTAAATTCAGATGTTGCAGTTTTACTTTGGTCTTTTGAACCAAAGCTAAATCCATGTGTTGCAGTTTTGCTTGGATCACTTGAATCAAAGCTAAATTCAGATGTTGCAGTTTTACTTTGGTCTTTTGAACCAAAGCTAAATCCAGGTGTTGCAGTTTTACTTGGATCACTTGAACCAAAGCTAAATTCAGATGTTGCAGTTTTACTTCGATCTTTTGATTCAAAGCTAAATTCAGATGTTGCAGTTTCAATTTGATCTTTTGATCCAAAGCTAAATTCAGATGTTGCAGTTTTACTTGGATCACTTGAACCAAAGCTTAATTCAGATGTTGCAGTTTTACTTGCATCACTTGAACCAAAGCTAAATTCAGATGTTGCAGTTTTACTTTGATCTTTTGATCCAAAGCTAAATCCAGATGTTGCTGTTTTACTTGGATCACTTGAACCAAAGCTAAATCCAGATGTTGCAATTTTACTTTGATCTTTTAATCCAAAGCTAAATTCAGATGTTGCAGTTTTACTTTGATCTTTTGAACCAAAGCTAAATCCAGATGTTGCAGTTTTACTTTGATCATTTGAACCAAAGCTAAAACCAGATGTTGCAGTTTTACTTTGATCATTTGAACCAAAGCTAAAACCAGATGTTGCAGTTTTACTTTGATCATTTGAACCAAAGCTAAAACCAGATGTTGCAGTTTTACTTGGATCATTTGAACCAAAGCAAAATCCAGATGTTGCAGTTTTATTTTGATCATTTGAACCAAAGCTAAAACCAGATGTTGCAGTTTTACTTGGATCATTTGAACCAAAGCAAAATCCAGATGTTGAAGTTTTACTTTGATCTTTTGATCCAAAGCTAAATCCAGATGTTGCAGTTTTACTTTGATCATTTGAACCAAAGCTAAAACCAGATGTTGCAGTTTTACTTGGATCATTTGAACCAAAATTTAAACCAGATGTTGCAGTTTTACTTGGATCTTTTGAACCAAAGCTAAATCCAGATGTTGCAGTTTTACTTTGATCTTTTGATCCAAAGCTAAATCCAGATGTTACAGTTTTACTTGGATCATTTGAACCAAAGCTAAATTCAGATGTTGCAGTTTTACTTTGGTCTTTTGAACCAAAGCTAAATCCATGTTGCAGTTTTGCTTGGATCACTTGAATCAAAGCTAAATTCAGATGTTGCAGTTTTACTTTGGTCTTTTGAACCAAAGCTAAATCCAGGTGTTGCAGTTTTACTTGGATCACTTGAACCAAAGCTAAATTCAGATGTTGCAGTTTTACTTCGATCTTTTGATTCAAAGCTAAATTCAGATGTTGCAGTTTCAATTTGATCTTTTGATCCAAAGCTAAATTCAGATGTTGCAGTTTTACTTGGATCACTTGAACCAAAGCTTAATTCAGATGTTGCAGTTTTACTTGCATCACTTGAACCAAAGCTAAATTCAGATGTTGCAGTTTTACTTTGATCTTTTGATCCAAAGCTAAATCCAGATGTTGCTGTTTTACTTGGATCACTTGAACCAAAGCTAAATCCAGATGTTGCAATTTTACTTTGATCTTTTAATCCAAAGCTAAATTCAGATGTTGCAGTTTTACTTTGATCTTTTGAACCAAAGCTAAATCCAGATGTTGCAGTTTTACTTTGATCATTTGAACCAAAGCTAAAACCAGATGTTGCAGTTTTACTTTGATCATTTGAACCAAAGCTAAAACCAGATGTTGCAGTTTTACTTTGATCATTTGAACCAAAGCTAAAACCAGATGTTGCAGTTTTACTTGGATCATTTGAACCAAAGCAAAATCCAGATGTTGCAGTTTTATTTTGATCATTTGAACCAAAGCTAAAACCAGATGTTGCAGTTTTACTTGGATCATTTGAACCAAAGCAAAATCCAGATGTTGAAGTTTTACTTTGATCTTTTGATCCAAAGCTAAATCCAGATGTTGCAGTTTTACTTTGATCTTTTGAACCAAAGCTAAAACCAGATGTTGCAGTTTTACTTGGATCTTTTGAACCAAAGCTAAATCCAGATGTTGGAGTTTTACTTTGATCTTTTGATCCAAAGCTAAATCCAGATGTTGCAGTTTTACTTTGATCATTTGAACCAAAGGTAAATTCAGATATTGCAGTTTTACTTGGATCACTTGAACCAAAGCTAAATCCAGATGTTACAGTTTTACTTGGATCATTTGAACCTAAGCTAAATCTAGGTGTTTCAGTTTTACTGGGATTATTTGAGCCAAAGCTATATCCAGGTGATGCAGTTTTACTTGGATCTTTTGAACCAAAGCTAAATCCAGATGTTGCAGTTTTACTTTGATCATTTGAACCAAAGCTAAATTCAGGTGTTGCAGTTTTACTTGGATCATTTGAACCAAAGCTAAATTCAGGTGTTGCAGTGTTACTTGGATCATTATAGCCAAAGCTAAATCCAGATGTTGCAGTTTTACTTGGATCTTTTGAACCAAAGCTAAATCCTAATGTTGCAGTTTTACTTGGATCAATTGAACCAAAGCTAAATCCAGGTGTTGTAGTTTTATTTTGACTCAAGGAGGAAAAACTGAACTCAGGATTTTCAGTTTGATTTTGAAACGTCTCGGGTTTTAAAGATTGAAAATCAATATCAGCATAAGAGCAAACATAACTTTGTGCAGGGTAAGTGTTGTAATCCCATGGTTCTTGAGGAGGAAGAAATAGCTTGTCTTATTCGGGTCATCATTTGCGGTTGATTCAACAAAGAAGTTTGGAAATTATTTTCGTGTTTAGTTTCAGATGATCTGTCTTTCTTTGACTTAAGTTCTTCGAAAATTTTTTTAAATTCATTTACACTTTCTTCGTCTTTAAAAGTCACTGCAAACTTTTGAGTCATTGGTTTGTCATCAGAATAGTCAGAATGTGTCAACCACGCACATGAATATTTACAAAGGCTATTTTCAACAAGTTTCATGTTTGGCAGTAGAAAATGATTAACACAGGGTTTCTTTTCCTGTTCAGGTGTCAAAACAACGCGAGATCTATCCGTTAAAGAGTTATACAATAATTTTATTTCACCAAAGCCTCGATCTTTCCATTTCTTACTCTCAGAATCAAACTGGAATAATTTTGCTAGTTTAGTAAACTTGATAATTTCTTTTTCTTCACCAATATTTTGATTCTTCACGAACGAAACATTTGGTTTGAAATCAATATTTGTTTCCTTTTTATCACTTGTTTCTTCATTATTATGATCTTTCTCTTTATCATCATTTCTTGTGAACATGGAGCTATTTTTTTCTGAGGTGGATAGTTTATCATCTTTCGTTGGTTGAAGATTTTCGTTCGAAAAGAAAGGAGCACTTTCTTTAGCAAACGTGAAAGAAAAAGAATTTTTGGGAAAGAATTTTTGAGAAACAAGGTCATTTTTATGAGAGGACTGTGATGAATATGAATACACAGGAACGTTAACAGTTTCATTTAAATAATTGCTGCTATTCTGAAAAATTTCATCTGGTGACATTTTAGTATTGTGTGACACAACTGTCGACTGTGCATCCAAAGAAGAATCACCTGATGTCATAACGCTGGGTTTATTTGGAGTCGAACATAGGAAAGATGATTTTGATGATGTGTGACATGACGGTTGAACAACCAAAGGATTAGCAGCGAATGGAGAGACAGCAGGAGATTGTTGGTCAGAATATAATTTATTTTTACGTAATTCCTCAAACTTATCTTTGAATAGTTGAGCAATTTCTTTTGTTTGAAACTTGACAGCAAGCTGTTGAGGCCCACTTGTCCCATCTGCAACATCAGCAATAGTGTTCCATATCCAAGAACGATCTGAACCTTTAGCAGGTTTTAATATCATATCTTCAGTGACAAAATGATTGGCACAAATTTTAAAAACTTTCTCACGACGCATTATTAGTCTACCTTGACGACGTCCATTGTTCCATAGCAATTTTAGGTTACCCAAACCTCGTTCTTTCCATTCACCATCGTGAAAACGGAACATTTTCGCTCTTTCTTCAAAATAACAGTTTCCCCTTCTTCCCCAGATGTGAGATTGTTCAATTGAGACAGTTGGACTATGGGTTCAAAGTAAATCTCATTATCAATATCTTCTTCAGTTTCTTCAACTTCCTCTTCTACAATAGTCTGTACTTTATGGTCAATACTTTGACTGAGACCAGAGAAGAACGATGGATCATCACACCTGTTCGTAGGAATTACACCACTAGTCATAAACGTCCCTTGACGGGTAAATTTCTCGCCAGTCTCTAAATAAACTTTAGACGATGCATAATTCCCAAGAGAATCATTAATTTCCTCAGATAAACAAGAAACAGGACTATCAACACCATCTGTTTTATATCGCGCCAATTCGCTCTAAAATTTTCAAAATTATACATGAAAAACTTTTGGTAAAGAAGGACGTAACAAAGTACGATATTTTATGATCCAATATATTCGATATCAGAACGACTAATCATATTTCGAATAGCAATTTCTTAATATTTCATAAATACGGAAAGATTTTCGAACAATCTTTGCCCTGACCTTTAAATCTTCTATTTGTTTGGAAAGTCGTAGCACTTGTTCATCTCGAATAGAAACTTGTTCACGAAGAAAACCATTGTCCAATGTAACCTCGCTTACTGTAGCCAGCAATTCTCTTGTATCGTCTTCCTAAAGAATAATGAAAAATATATAAATAAAAAGAAGAAACTGATACTATAAATTAAACATAACAAGCAAAAAACAATAAACTTTAAGCAGTGAAAGAAGAGTTACTTTTAATGGTATAGTATCACCAGACTCTGTCATGTCAGAGCACGCAGGACTTTTCAAAGCGTCAAAGTCAAGTTGATGGAAATCAATACTCTTTCCTTAAGACAAAATTTAAAAATATTTACAATTTTTGCATCTCTCAATACGCAAGTTATATTCTTACATATAATTCGTAATCATATATATTTTAGGAGAGTGAAAGTTCTCCTAAAGGAAAATGAACAATAGAAGTTACATTACATAGTTAAATAATTCTTCAGAAAATAAGAGAACAAGTAGCAACAGATGTACTTGGGTCAGAAAATACGAAAATAAGTAGAAACAGACTTACTTGGGTCAGCATGATAAACTGTGTTTCTTTCATTAATTAAACTCTCTAAGGCGACAAGTTCCTCTTCAATGGCAACACGAACAATCTGCAGTTGTGAAAAGTAAAGATATTTTGAAAAAAATTTAGAGCAACACATAGAAAAAAATATTAAAATATAAAAAGAAAAATAATTGCTTCATATCAAAAGTTCAATAAGAAAACTTAAGTCATCCTTTGATACACATTAACAGTGGCTATGATTGAGTAAATATTTCACAAAAATTTACTTAGAATTTCTTAAAATGTGCTCACCTTTTCCTGATCTAATCTTTTAAGACAAAGCTCCAATTTTTCTTTAGCGACACTCAAATGATGTTTGTAAGAATCATTAATATGAACATTCATTGAAGTATTACTTGACTCTAGTCCTGCTAAATGCTTGTGTATCTAAACAATTCATTGAACAATTTAAACAACTTTAGCAGTCCTAACAGAGAACTTTCATCATAAATTCATTGTAAATTTCCCAAATAAACGTAATATTTTTAAATTGCAGTTGTGTTGAGCATAAATACCTGAGCTTCGTTCCATGCAGCGTGAGAGGACTGAACACGTGAAAAAAGATTCAAAGCATGATTAAAATCTCCTTTTTCAACTGCAGATTCACCAAGTATCATGCAAGCTTCACGAACGTATCTGTGAAGGTCATGATCCTGTAGAAAAATAAAAATATTTATTTACAAAAATGAGAATGATCTTCTATACATTGCACGATAAGAATAATAAATAGGCAAATGTAAAAACATGAAGGAAGTGTATGGTGAAGAACAAAGTTTCACATGATGTAAAAACATGAAGGTGGTGTATGGCGAAGAAAAAGGTTTCACATGATGTAAAAACATGAAGGAAGTGTATGGTGAAGAACATGGTTTAAGGTACCCTTTTAACAAACCTCTAAATGCCCGAGGTTGTGAGGAAACAACTGATCTTTTATCAAACATTGTTGATTCTTGTTTCTAAAAAATAAACAGAGAAAAACTGACAAGTGCTATAATCATAAAGCATGATTTGTCAACAAAACTAACAAAAATCTTTCTTACTTTTTCATATCGTCCAACAAATTTAGAACAACATTCCAGTAATGAAAACTACGTAGTTGAAAACTCTAAAATTTACAAAACCAATTATCTAGATGTACAAAATAAAGTATTACATGTTTGTAAATGTCGATCGTCCAGGTTGGTATAGTCATGAGAAGGACTGTTTTTGTTGTTGTTGACTGACGTTTCGACAACCTTAGCGGTAGTCATCTTTAGAGTGACTACCGGACTCTGAAGATGACTACCGCTAAGGTTGTCGAAACGTCAGTCAACAACAAGAAAAACAGTCCTTCTCAGGACTATACCAACCTGGACGATCGACATTTACAAACATGTAACGATACTACCGCGTTCAAAAAAACCATTTACTTTAAAATAAAGTACTGTTATTATTTACCTTCCAATGTGTTGAAAAGTACCATTGTGAATAACCAGCAGAATCTTTCAACAGTAAAGCCTATAAAATAAAACAAATATTCTTCATTAACGATGAAGCACATTTAACATTTATTTCGTTCGTGAGAATTCTGGAAAAAGCAAAACGACTACCAAAGTGGTATTAACCATCAAGGCATTGTGATTCATATATTTTAAGAGCTGGAGAAAAACGATATAACAGGGATTAAAAAAAATATGGATGTTGATTGGTGAATTAAATAGACATTTTGGAAGAAGGGGAGACTTTCTGCATTTGGTGAACGAACTACGTAAGAAACGAAGAAGAATTGTTTGATTTTTATTTCCTGGCTAGCTTTCAAATATTAAACAATATGTTGGCTTTGGTCGCAACCACGATTTTCAGCAATTTAACGTCACACGACCTAAGGTATTAATTGTTATCGATTTCTTTTATAGCTTTATCCCAAGATATAAATAAAACAAAACAGCGTGATTGTGAAAAAAATTAAAGTGACAGTATAACGAAAAAATTTGCTATTAAAAGTAAACTTTCTTCGAAAAGAACTTGTAAAATGAAAGTGGACTTTCTACAACAGTTTAATCCTATCTCTGCATTATTAAGATATTGATGTTTTGTGATGTCCAATTTGTAGAGAAAATGACGTCACATGTATCATAAGAATTTATAATATAAACACAATGAAACGCGTGCGCTGATTGGTCAAGCCAAACCAAGCAACCACGCAAAATAGGAGTTTAGGCCGCGCAAATAAAACCAATGTTTCGTGTTTCAACGTTTACTGGAATTTTTCCAAGCATATTTAATATTTCTAAGAACGCCGAGAGGTTTCTGACGTTTCGCCGAAATACAAAATAATCGAGTGTGTAGAGGGAAGTGGCGGAACTAATCTTGAATACTAATTTTTTTTGCAGTTGTATATAGAGCAAGAAGTTCACTCAACCTTCTGAGCAAAATTCCAAGCCAAATGTATAACAAGTTTTGGATGCATTCCCGTATTGTTCAAAGTTCGTATTTGTTCTAGTCCATGCTGAACAATCATTTTCGCTTTTCCTGAATTTGATATGCTGAAATTAAAAACAGAAGACGAATCTCCAATAAAATAAAGAACAATGAATATTTTATAAACGGAGCAAAATTCAACAGTCAAAAATCCATTATAACTACAAAAGTATTATATTGTTGTTTTTTACATCGAGTATAAATTTTTCATGTACTAAGAATGATTAAAACCAGCTGTTTTTAATCATCAAACCAACATTACAGAAGATATTCTGATGGAACAGTCTTGTTATTTTAAATTTCATTTCTTACAGACAGACTTGACGTACAAACCTTACTACCTACACACATATATATGTACATAATTAGGACATACCTCACAGTTCCCTACCTACACATATATATGTACATAATTAGGACATACCTCACAGTTCCCTACCTACACACATATATATGTACATAATTAGGACATACCTCACAGTTCCCTACCTACACACATATATACATAATTAGGACATACCTCACAGTTCCTACCTACACACATATATACGTACATAATTAGGACATACCTCACAGTTCCCTACTACACACATATATATACATAACTAGGACATACCTCACAGTTCCCTACCTACACACATATATACGTACATAATTAGGACATACCTCACAGTTCCCTACCTACACACATATATACGTACATAATTAGGACATACCTCACAGTTCCCTATACACATATATGTACATAATTAGGACATACCTCACAGTTCCCTACCTACACACATATATACGTACATAATTAGGACATACCTCACAGTTCCCTACCTACACACATATATACGTACATAATTAGACATACCTCACAGTTCCCTTCACACATATATACGTACATAATTAGACATACCTCACAGTTCCCTACCTACACACATATATACGTACATAATTAGGACATACCTCACAGTTCCCTACCTACACACATATATACGTACATAATTAGGACATACCTCACAGTTCCCTACCTACACACATATATACGTACATAATTAGGACATACCTCACAGTTCCCTACCTACACACATATATATGTACATAATTAGGACATACCTCACAGTTCCCTACCTACACACATATATACGTACATAATTAGGACACCTCACAGTTCCCTACCTACACATATATACGTACATAATTAGGACATACCTCACAGTTCCCTACCTACACACATATATATGTACATAATTAGGACATACCTCACAGTTCCCTACCTACACACATATATACGTACATAATTAGGACATACCTCACAGTTCCCTACCTACACACATATATACGTACATAATTAGGACATGCCTCACAGTTCCTACCTACACACCCATACCTCACATACCCACACATATATATGTACATAATTAGGACATACCTCACAGTTCCCTACCCACACATATATACCATACCTCACAGTTCCCTACCTACACACATATATATGTACATAATTAGGACATACCTCACAGTTCCCTACCTACACACATATATACGTACATAATTAGGACATACCTCACAGTTCCTACCTACACACATATATACGTACATAATTAGGACATACCTCACAGTTCCCTACCTACACACATATATATGTACATAATTAGGACATTCACAGACATATATACGTACATAATTAGGACATACCTCACAGTTCCTACCTACACACATATATACGTACATTAGGACATACCTCACAGACACATATATACGTACATAATTAGGACATACCTCACAGTTCCTACCTACACACATATATATACATAATTCACAGTTCCCTTACACACATATATACATAATTAGGACATACCTCACAGTTCCCTACCTACACACATATATACGTACATAATTAGGACATACCTCACAGTTTCACACACATATATACGTACATAATTAGGACATACCTCACAGTTCCCTCACACACATATATACGTACATAATTAGGACATACCTCACAGTTCCCTACCTACACACATATATACGTACATAATTAGGACATACCTCACAGTTCCCTACCTACACACATATATACGTACATAATTAGGACATACCTCACAGTTCCCTACCACACACATATATACGTACATAATTAGGACATACCTCACAGTTCCCTACCTACACACATATATACCATAATTAGGACATACCTCACAGTTCCTACACACATATATACGTACATAATTAGGACATACCTCACAGTTCCCTACCTACACACATATATACGTACATAATTAGGACATACCTCACAGTTCCTACCTACACACATATATACGTACAATTAGGACATACCTCACAGTTCCTATACACACATATATGTACATAACTAGGACATACCTCACAGTTCCCTACACACATATATACGTACATAATTAGGACATACCTCACAGTTCCTACCTACACACATATATACGTACATAATTAGGACATACCTCACAGTTCCCTACCTACACACATATATACGTACATAATTAGGACATACCTCACAGTTCCCTACCTACACACATATATACGTACATAATTAGGACATACCTCACAGTTTCACACATATATACGTACATAATTAGGACATACCTCACAGTTCCCTACTACACACATATATACGTACATAATTAGGACATACCTCACAGTTCCCTACCTACACATATATACGTACATAACTAGGACATACCTCACAGTTCCCTACCTACACACATATATACGTACATAATTAGGACATACATACCTACACACATATATACGTACATAATAGGACATACCTCACAGTTCCCTACCTACACATATATATGTACATAACTAGGACATACCTCACAGTTCCCTACCTACACACATATATACGTACATAATTAGGACATACCTCACAGTTCCTGTAAAAAGAGCATACATGGCACTCCACCAATTATTTTGCGTTTCGATGCACAGGGACTGAGATAAGCATAAAGGAAGTAGTTTTGGCTCATAATATTCGTACACAACATCAAGATTTTCAAATATTTCATATGTACTGCACTTGATCACAGCACAGATGAAAGCCTGTAAGAAATATAAATACATGGCCATTTTTACAATAAAAAGGAAAACAACAGAACGTGTTTTTTGTATCTAACCTCGATATCTCGAAGAGAAACAAAGTCAAAAGAACATTGAGAAAGATCACCAACGTCCATTCTCATTCCCTCAAACAACAGACTCGCGATAGTTTCAACTAAATGACATCAAAAATGAAAGTTTAGTTTACGTTCAATTCAAAACTAAAGGAGCTGAGAACATTGCTGTAAATCTTATGTCGTTACAAAATGCTGGGAAAGATAAGACATACACGCCAACTTACTGCCAGTTTCAGATTCTTGTCCATGCTGTATCCATTGAAGACCAATCCAAACAATAAGATGAAGATTTGAAGGATTGTCAGCAATAAAAACTAAATAAACAAATAGAGATACACTTGAATAAGGGGGTGATAAAAATTGAGATAACTAAATACAGGGGGTAATACAAAGATAGAGATAACTAAATATGGAGGAGAATAAATTGTGTGGAGGAACTTTTAGAAAGTGGTTAGCCATAGTTGTACCTTCATCGTATTTAAGGATATGTTTAGGAAGAAGAAATTCTGGTGTATAAAAGGACTCATCTTCATTCAAAAACAGCTAAAACATTTGAAGAGAAGATACTGTAAGCTATGTACAATAGGTTTTTCAACGCCTTGTACGCAAAAAGTATCTACATAATACCTGAATATTAGAGATAATACTACTATCGTATATTTAAACAGTAGTCGTACAAGATTTCACAGACATGTAAACTATAGTAAGCAAGGTTTAAATTTAATGGAAGACATGTATGTATCATGAATAAAAATGAGCTTTTTGAGACATTGAAGTATGTGAAGAGTAGTTATCCTTTAAGAGAAAGATCATAATGAATCCATAAATGTTATACGAAAAAATTGCTTTTTTAGCTTTCTTACGTAAATGGAATTTTAATATGACGACGGGAGGAAAGGTGTAATATGCAATCTATGTAATATTTGAAAACGTCGTACGTGTACCTTGTTGTACCTACAGGAAAGGTGTAATATGCAATCTATGTAATATTTGAAAACGTCGTACTTGTACCTTGTTGTACCTACAGGAAAGGTGTAATATGCAACCTATGTAATATTTGAAAACGTCGTACATGTACCTTGTTGTACCTACAGGAAAGCTGTAATATGCAATCTATGTAATATTTGAAAACGTCGTACTTGTACCTTGTTTATCTCAACATTGCGTCCATACAACGCCGTTAAAACATCTTTCTTCCCCTATGAAAGGAAATTATAAAATTTTATAAAAACCAGATCGTCGTCAGATGAGATCATAATGTAAAACTTCACATATTCAATAGCAATAATTTTGTAGAATACCTGTGGTGAACAAATGTTTAAAAGAATATTATTGATTTTTTCTTCACCATAACGATCTAATATTGATAAGATCAAATGACCTTTGCAAGAAAAATAATTCATCATTAATTACAATTATTTGAGTAAAATTGCTTGTTTTATTTTCTAACATTTATTTATTGTTTCAATACGAGTTATCTTTAATGTTAAAACTTGTCTACAAGTGTCTTTGATAAGAAAATTGAATCATAAGATCATTCACAATGAAAGTAGGAAAGTATTAAACATCAGTGATGTACACAAAAATTCTAGCTAAAAACATTCATTTCCTTGCTCAAGAACAACAAGGTTACAAGTAATGAATTAATATGATAAATATAATAACAAAATGAGCATCTAAAATGTATAATTGTGCTTGGTATTGTTAAACAAAAATATATGAAGCAACCAACCAGTTTGACTGAGGCGTGAAGCAGACATGGCTGACCACAATAATGGATCAAAATTTCCTACTGCCCTGGCAGCCCAAGATGATATTATTTTTGGTTCAGAAAAACGATATGATGTCACATAACATGCTGTGGACATCTCCATTGCTTGTGACCAAGTGGAGTAACCCTATATATATAAAATAAACCAATATAAATACCACAATATAAATAAACCTTTCTACATGTAAAGTATTCCAACCTCTTTAGCAAAACGCAACAGTAAATGTCCAGAGAACATGTAAAAATGAGCACATATTTCTGTAACTGCAACATCCCATTCACAAGCTTCATTTATATTGGTGGAGTGAACAAATCCATTTTCAAGTTTGACAGCTTGATAAAGCAACTCGTCTAACCTATATTGATGATGAAAATAATGTTGAATATTCATTTATTCAATTCTTTCCCCAATCCATTACAAGTATATATATAGACTCAATTCAATCAATTTCCCAAAGAGATATAAAGATCTCTACTAAACCTAGGTTACTTACTTTAATAAAATCTTGGAGCATTGGCGTAAGGTAGAATGAACAAGATTGAGTTCAACCAAATTACAATATGTTGTCAATAAGGACAAGTAGATGTTTTTTATAGTGTTCTGTGAAACTCCTATAAAGTTGAAAAAACTATCACAATAAGACATCTCTCTCAAATTTTTACATCATCAACAAAGATTGTAACCTTGAGTTAGTTTTGAGTCAAGATAGCTCTAAAAAAGATAAACATTCAGTAACAAAGTTGTATAGAAATCATAATAAAATTGATGGAATTATATATTCAAGAAATATAAGGTCGTTACAAATAAATCATGTTAAATTGTCAAATGGTAAATTGGTTAAATAAAATAAATATCACAAATACTATGTATCATGCAGAAAAAATATATCTTGTAATTTATATCAATGTCATATAAACATAAATGTTATGAGAATTTATAAGTTAAAATTACATCATTTGCATGTATTCGTGAAGCCTCACCGTGAAAACTTTAACTGTCAAATCAAACCAGCTTAAATTATTGTGAAAAGCTTTTGTTTTGTTGACAGACAGACAATGATTATAGGCTTCTTCAAGCTCATCTAAAGACAGACATAAAAAAATATTTAAAACAAATGTATAATATTTCTATATTTAAAGATGTCTAGCTCTCTCATGACTTAAGACTAATCTTTCATTTGCAACTATTCTCTTGAAATTTACCAAACAATAATATTCACTCCCATCTGTTGGAATCAACAAAAGCATTGAAAAATTATTCTTTTCTATCGATGTCAGTTCTTTTCAAACACCAATTGTTCAAACATTGTTTGCACTTGTCAGAAATACTTTTAAATATGTTGATATTTAAAATAAAATTTTAAAATAATGATGTGAAAAATGAACATAAATTACCTATAGCAATGTATGTTTCAATTAACTTTACATGTAGCAAAGTGTCTTGCGGTCGTTTAGTCTAGAACATGAAAAGTGACTCATTAATAAAAATTCTCGATCAATTGCATAAAATACTAAAGGAACCTTTCGTTGGATTGGTTTATGAGAAAGTTGATTTAAATTCACAAAAGCCCAAAATTTAACAATAATGTTATTCTTACTAATTCAACAGAAATGAAATTGATCAATGCTCCATAATCCACTGGACTTTTTAACTCAATTAAATGAGTCTAAATAAGCAATATTTCAATAAAAAAACAATAAAATAGAAACACAAATTATTTTTTAGCAGATATAAATTAAAATTTTACTTGTAAATCGAAAACTGCAGGATGACCAGGTAAATGTTTAGCTGCAATGTCAACCCATGCCTAAGAAACAAAACAAACTTTTTCTTTTATAGAAACAGATTTTTGACTATAAAACAGCTAAAAATCTATATCATAATAAGTAAATCAAAGCATGTTGATGTGGATACAATAAAAATCATAAGTAATATCAACTTTTTTTGACCTTTACGACTTCATGATCAACTTTTAATTCAGTGTAAAGTTTTACGACTATAAAATGGTGAAAGAGCTTTGTTAATGTTTGTGTACACAACAAAATTATAAACAAAAGTTCATTAAGCAAACAAGACAAATGTGAAATAAAGTGAACATACTTTTAAGAAGAACATCATTTTGATTTTTATTGACTGAAAATGATCTAAAAAATTCATGTATCTCATAATGATATAAATTTAAAAATAAATTATGAAAATAAATTTAAAAGTAACCTTTACAACAGCTGGTTAAATAAATATCTTATATTTGGTTACTATAAACTCTGTTTGAAAAGTATGTCAACCACAGGAGAAGATTAGGAGGTTTGCACAAAGAAAATAAAAAAAACCTTTTGTAACACTCCAATGCTTTCATATAATCTTGTTCATTTTCCAGAAGCTTTGCGAGAAATTTATGACCTCTGAAATAATAACAAAAAAAATTCACAATAAAAATGTTAAACTCAATAGTCATTTTATTCTTATCGTGAATATTTCATACCTGTAATCGTGACTGTTAGTACTGATATATGTCAATGTATATCTGTAGTAAAGGAAAAATGTAATCTTATCATTAGTTTCTACGTAATCAATTGTTTATATAGAGATGTGTCATACAATCTCTTTATATATTTGATTATGTAAGCAGTTACAACTATGTCACATACAAATCTTAAAGATTTTGGTGGATTTTCAAATAGAATTAAGTTCATAAAATTTTTAGATAAAAACTCAATAAAATATAAAATAATCTTCTAAATTATAGGATTAATGTTACATCATTTCTATAAGTCTGCTACACTACACTCCAAGCAAAACATAGTAAACTATCACATTGCAACGAATGGTACGTACTTTTTTAACAATTTACACACTAAATCTCTAAAAAAATTGCTGAAACAAAATTTTACCTTTTAGCCATCTCAACTTCTCCTGCTTTCCAAAACAACTCTGCAATTGTCAGGCTTCTCAAATTTCTCTAAAACAATTCGAAAATGCATTAAATCCGGTCCACATTAAAAATGAACTGCGCAGGTTGAACGACGAAGACATTACCTCATGAGGATCCTTAAAACGTTTCTCAAATTTTGCAACATATTTTTCTACTTCAGCTTTACACAGAGCCATTTTTAAGTAATATAACAGCACCGTTCAACCTTCAAAATAATTGAAAGTTAAAACAGTAAGGAAAGAAAGCAAAGGTTTAAACTTCCTCCTCCATATGTTGTGCGAGTTCGTCTCTCTCATATTATTCAAAACCTAAAAGTTCCCCAGATTTCCCTATCAACCTTCCTTTATACCCCTTATTGCCCCCTATATCCCTTAGAACGTTGAATTTGTTGGACCTTATGCTCACTTTAAAACTTCAATTTCTTTCTTTATGTAGTTATATCTTTTGTATTATTATTACTGCAGCAGGCAAGCTTGCCACAGAAAAAATGTGCGACAGAAGCTCGAAGCTTATATTTTAGAGACTGGTCAAACTACGTAGATAATTGTGTCTGATAGTTTATATGAGACCTCACCTTTGGTAAAATATGTATCAAAAACTTATTAGGATAAGATTGATAGTACAGTCCTTTTCCGCCTGAAATTGTGAGCTTTTTCAGAGACTGCAAAAATCGATCCCAGAACGTACACCACTTGACCCAGGGACGGCACTAGAACGCTAATTGGGGTGGGGGGTGGGATGGGGTGTATATTCATATATTCAGTTGTGGGCGAGTGATTTCTTTTGAAAGTGACTTGGTTTTCTATAGAAGTCAGTCGACACAACTGAATATATGAATATACACTCCCCAATTAGCGTTCTAGCCCCGTCCTTGACTTGACCCCCGTATTTTGGGGGGATTTGCGCTCGTGCTTAAACTTGGACTTAGTAAATGGTGAATAAGGAAGTGCCCGGCTAGATATCCAAAGGGAAAACTAATTGATTTTAAGAAATTAAATGCTCTGCAGAAATTCGTAAATGACGGAACAATTGTGACGGACAGAAATCGAGCCTCCTAATTATTCGGGTGGTCATAAGCCCGAGATTCAATACCCGGGATGTAATAATATGCCATCGTTCTCAAGATTTGTTTCGTCAAGTAAAACGTATAAACGATGGCGGCGGCAATGGACACAGATGAACAGGCAGAACAACAAAATACACTTCAAACAAACCTAAGAAGATCTAATTCTGCGCCACTTATAAATGGAGCTAATTTAAATGAAACAAACCCAACATACTGTCCAGTCACTCCGCGATACAGACGTTCGAGCACAAGTCAAATGGCTAATGGCAATCCTTACTCAAATGTAAGTACTCTGTGATTAGTTTGAAGAGTTTTTGCATGAAGAGAACGATTTTTTCTAAAACTTATTTTTTATTGAAATTCAGCCTGTAGGCTCGCCTCATTCAAGACTTCTTCAAATAAGAAAGGTATATATTCACTCTGTAGCAATTACCTAATGCAATAATTTTTGTTTAAATTAAAGGGAAATAATTATTTTTAAATGATGAGACATACATAATTCAAAAGCAAATAAATTAATTCTAATCATCAAATGCATTCATGTTTTACAAATTATGTTCTATTTTATAGTATTAAGTAGTATATACAACAGAATGTTTGTGAAACATTAAGTTTAATTAACTAAAAAAAGTGATTTACAGATATGTGAACATCAAATCTTGTTTATAAATGCATTGTTTTCCATATATAGGAAGAGTTTATGGATGAGACAGAGCAAGACAGGTAACCATTTTGCCACAATTTTTAAATGAATCTGTCAAAATTTAACATATATTTCTTTAGAATGGTCAATACATCATTATTGCTCAGTTCAAGCTGTGAATCATTAATGATGGTACTGGTTCCTACATTTATATTTTTGATGTTGCCTCATATATAGATTTTGAATGTAATAAACTTGTTTCAGAATCAGACACGACGAAACGTTAGCAGTCCCTCTTATTGCAATGATCGTTCTCATGTAATTGATGATAGCTATTTCCCATCATCCACCAGTTCATCACCTTCACCAACCAGAGCAATTACACCTAGTTTACCTCGGGTTAGTTTCTTTTTGCCAAATTATACCTTTTCTCACAGTTTTAATTTAGTGCAATTTTGTCAATTTTTGTAAACTTCATTGAGACGTTGAATTTCTAGCTCATAACCAGATCTCGAAGTCTAACCCCAAGTCCTGTTCCTAGCCCGACACGACAAATATCCAGGTAATCATTTGTTTCTCTGTGATATGCCTTAAACCTATTCAGTTATAGTCTCAGTCAACAAACTTAAACATCCTAAAAGTTTACTTTCTCTCGATGAGTGGGGCTTTGAAATAATTATTATTTGATTTGAAATGTTGTGACAGAGTTCTTGCATTGATGGAGAAATGACTTTACCCTTGATAGGTGGAAATGCAATTTCTGTGAGTGTGAGCGAGCTTTTAGAATAAGTATTGGCATAAGTATTTGCTAAGTTCTCTTCATTATTTTTATATTTTAGACGAGCCTTAGTCCTGTTCTTATTCACAAAGCACTCTCAATTATAAAAGAAAATGTATTTACTTTGATGTTTTGATATTAATTGGCGAATTCAAATATTATGTAGCAGTTATTCATTGTGTTTAAATTACTTATTTAGTTTTTCCCGATGACCATAGCATGCATAGTCCTGCAAAGAAAGCATTCTCAGAACCAATGCAACACACATCTGATGAAACTTGTGAAACTACCAATAATCACATCAATACTGATGATGATTCTGGTATAGAGACAACAACACCTACAACTCCTGTAACATCAATGTTATATTGTGATACCTCTCATCATCCTAGGGTATCTTACTATCGTCCAAAGAGCACCCCACCAAGATCACCTTTAGCTCGATCACTTAGCTCCAATAGTAATGAAGAAACAAAGAGATATTCATTAGATGCAACAACCTGCTTTAACTTTTATCCTGTTCAAGATCTCAATGAATCGTAAGATTCTTTGTAGTTAAAAAATGTGGAATGTTGATATTAATTATGGGGAATGAGCTCTTCAATAGTATATCAGATTGCTATATTTTGATTGGTCAATTATTGATGTATAAATATTTTACCTATGTAGATAATGATAAAGACAGTCAATAATGCCATGATGTTAAATTTACATTGTTGCTGTACAAAGTATGGATGTTACCAACTTCGCTGATCATAAAATCATTCACCCACCTTGGAATGCACCTTAATTAAAACAAGGCTGTTTATTATCAAATTCAATATATTCACGTTTGGTTAATAAAGCATCATGATTTACGTCATGAAAATAATGATTTAAGTCCGATACAAAAACCGATCAAAAAATGACACAGAAAAAGATTTGACTTGGGACAGAAAGTTTTAGTACCTGAACAGTTAGGAAATATCGCTATAGTGGTCAGCACGCAAGACCTGCAAAAACCTTTGGAGGAAATAGTTGGACCTCCAATGTTTTATCTGAGAGTAAAATATTTGCAAAAAAAAATTTCTAGATTGAGAATTGTGTCAACAGATACGGTTAAAAATATGACACATGTTGTGCAAGCTTACAAAATTCTGGGAAATTTTGTTAAATCGTACGCAAACACGAGGTATCCGAAGCGCGCCCTTAATCTCACATTTATGAATAATGGATTATGAAAAGAAAAAATGGCAGTTAAAAGCCAAAATTCAAAATTACCAGCGATTTGAAAGCTAAGTGATCGCATAAGCCAAGGTTCTTCAAACTTGCTTAGCAAGTATTCCAACGAAACATGTAATATTTGCAACTGTACTTCACTAAAAGCGTGGAATAATTTTGGATTGTTAGGTGAAGGTAAATTTTGGTGTTTTTAATGTGACAGAGGTTATATTTTTTACGTTAAGATGTTGAAAGTTATAATTTAATATATTTACTGAACCATTACACGAATTAACTAAAATCACCAAGACGCTCCTTACTGTACAAAAGTTATTTTTGTCTTGGATGAATTGATCTGCCAGACATTTAGGTCTTCGTAATCTGTCAAACATTTTTCAAACTGATCTGGAGTAAAACCTTTCGTTAAGCATCTTTGTCTAACTTCTTCCAACCTAAATACAAATATGTAAAAATCAAATTGAAACAAAATCAACTGAAAAGAATGTTATTATTAAATAATGTATTTAAATACTGTTGTATAATCTGTCATTAATTTTGAATGTTTCATTTAATTATAAACTTACTTGACACTACTAACTTGTCCAGCCATTTCTCGAATTATACCATAAATTGCATCAACAGGAGACACATGACTACAACAAAAATGCATTTCATAACTTCATGTATAATTTGGACACACTGAAAACGTATCGGACGATGTAAGTTAACATATTTTGACCTTCCCAAAGTTATACGTCCATTTAAGGCAAAAATTGTTGGAAATTAACAATTCCGCAACATATGATTAAAGATAACATACCAACAAAATACTGAATTAGAAAAAAAATTAAAAACATAAACGCAAACTGCACACAAACACGCAACAAACAAAGATTATACAATATTAACATGACAGAACATTTCACTGAAAGCAATGTTAAACAAATATTCCTAGTTTCCTACATATATTGTAAAATAACACATCAATGTACTGTACTATAGAATAGTACATTAATATACTGTGTTAAAAAAATAACACATTAATATACCGTGTTGTAGAATCGTCATCAATGAGAGATATCTTTGACATTTCCATTAATCGCATTGCTTCTTTAACGTCGTCTTTTTCAACAATCTCGGCCAAACGAAGTCGAGCCTACACAAAATAATATTTCTATTTCCAACGAAATTTTATTAATTTGCTAAAGTGAACAGAATGGTAACTCCGAACAATAAAATATACAACTATAGATTTTTAATGTTTCGACTAGTTTTGATAGTGACTTTAAAAACGTTAAATAAAATGCACACAATTTCACAAGTTACCATCATAAAAATATTTAAGGGTGTTTGAAACTTCAAAACAGTCCTTTAGTAAAGACTTTTAATCCTATTTAGAATAGAAACTCCAGTCTAAAATTGGTTTATATTCTATATTTATAGGTACTCTTAAAAATCCTAGTACGTTAAACATAAGAAAGCAACACACTAACCAATGCAGTAGAAAGACGTAAAATAGCGAGAAGAGTTCGTGGTGATGTGAATGTTGATTCTTTACTTCCCCTAGCTTCTTTTCTCATCTCAACATAAACTCCAACAATAAAATCTGTCAGATTTTCTGGTATTACAGGCTGTCTTTCTTTACACGCAGCAATATAGCGTCTTACAAAACAAATATATCAACAATGATAAGTCGAAAGATGCTTGTATTTAAAAATTTTTTTCCTTTTTTTTCAAACGCCCTGTTGACATTTATTTGCACAATTTTTCCATAAATAAAAAGTAAAAAAACCCAATTTACCTCATTAAATTCATGTCTAATGGCGTAAACTGCGTTGGCGGATGTGACGAATGTTGATGAACATATGTAATATGTTGAGCAAGTCTACAAAAATAATTCACATGACTTAATTATTACATTAGAAATATCACGTTAAATTAGTTTATATTTGTGAAGTAAAAATAATTTTGAATTTGTTTCATCGAATTTGAACAACCAAGTAATTTTCACGCATGCGTAGTAGTGTGTTAACAACCATTAACAACTGTTTACATGAACAGATGGTAGCTACCAAGTGTATGTACGTACCTTAAATCATTATCACGATCCGGTTTGTCCTGTATCAACCATAGAATATCAAATCTAGACAGCAAAGCTGCAGGTAGTTGAATATTTTGTTCAGCCGATTTTTTTGGATTATATCTTCCGTAGGCAGGATTAGCAGCAGCCAATATTGACACCCGTGCATTTAATGTCGTTAGAATACCAGCCTGGAATTGAAATAATTTTAATTAACATAACTTCCATTGATATTCATCAAAATAACGTTCATTGATATTCGTCAAAATAACGTTCATTGATATTCATCAAAGCGCAGAATTCCTCATTAATATAAAAACTTGTCAAACTTAGAGGAGAGATCCTTTAGTATTTATGACACATGTTAGTTAAGTTGCCGTGTTAATAGCAATTGACCCGTCACCGCACAACCAACATTAAAACATCGCAATTCATGATTGAAACAGGAACAAAAACACATTTCGAAATAAACATATTTCACACGTGTGACTAATGAAAATTTTTTTTCCAAAATTCACCTCAAAACAATGCTTAAGCATACTAGAGAACAACAACTGCAAAAAGATTTTGAAAGAATATCACGGACAGGATAACTACGTACGTTAAGTTATTTACAGACGTAATCCAACTTGTTAACATCATCAGATGGAAGAGCAAGATTTTGTATTAAGCATTACGAGATTTTACTCAAACGTAAATATGACAAACCTTTGCAATTGAGATTGTCTGTTGTTCCATAACTTCGTGAATGGCAGTCCTATCTGATTCCATCATTTTATCAAATTCATCAATACAACATATTCCTTGATCTGCGAGAACTAAAGCTCCACCCTCTAAATAAACAAGTGTTCTACGTTCAAGATTTTTTACATTGTGCAAGAATCGAATATTCTTAGTGAATACCAAGAACCATTTCACTAGTTACTGGATCACGTGTAACTGCAGCAGTTAAACCAACTCCAGATGAGCCACGTCCTGTCGTATATTGACCTTAAAAAAAAAGACAACGCTTCTATAACAGATGACTGCTTGTGAGGAAAACTATCCACGAGGAAAACAGATAAAATGATTGGCTTCTACAGTCTATTTATAAACAGTAAAAAATATTTTCACATAATAATTAAAAATATTGAAAAACACTTAACTTACTTCTTGCAGCCATCCTGTCAATGTATGATAAAAGTTGACTTTTAGCAACACCAGGATCACCCATGAGTAAAATATTGATATTACCTACAGCAAGTAAACTTACGTTTATATCTAACATGAAGAAATATTAAATCGTCAATAACAATGAATATTAAACACTGAGAGGAAGAACCTCGTATTTTCATTCCTTCAGGAGAGCGATCAACACCACCAACTAAGAGCAGCAATAAGACTTTCTTAATATCTTCGTGACCGTAGATTTCCGGGGCCAAAGAACAAGCCAACTTTTCGTAAAAATCAGGCTCTAAATTAGTAATCAAAAATACATGATAAAAAGTGATAGCAAAGGTTAAGCACGCAATGCTGGTTTCATGGTTTGAAAATACGAAAGTAATTGATGATAAATGAACAGTTTTAACAACGACAATGATGAATAAGGAAGACAGCGAGGATCTTGATAATGACAATGAGACACTAACCTTCAGAAAGATGAATTATTTCTTCGTCAGTTAATTTTTCATTGTTGGTTATTTCTTCATCTTCAGTTTTATTCATTTTCACTATTCTCTAGATGTCAAAGAAATATTTAGAAAAAGAAAAGGGAAAAAAATGCAGCAAATTTTCACTCGTTTTTTCTAACAAATTGCCAATGCTGTGCACACGGCAGTTCATGTTTTGATGTATTTTCGTGAAACCGTAGTGTAGTATAACACATAGAAAAACTTTGGTAATGACGTATTACAATAATTTTACTAAGTAACGTTCCGAAAATACGAGAATACAGTAAAAACATCCATAAAAATATAAAAAAATATGTTATATACCCGCTGGGAGGTCAGGACAAAAAATATTTTCCTTAGGTCTTTTGACACTTAAGACAAATGGTCTACACTTATACCGTTATAGTATTATCGTATATGTCCTGTCTTTCGTCATCAATGACATCTTAAAAATTTTTTCACAGATTGGTGATATTGTTATTGTGAAACATTACGTATTCTCCACAAGGCAAGTTGGCCTTCATTCAAATTAATAGTAAAAAACATTATTAATTGTATCATATTGTATCTGTGATCTTCTGTTTCATCCTTAAACTAAAATTTCGTCTCTTGCATGGCGCTACATGTTGGTCAATTTAGTAAACAAAAAATTTATGTTTTAAAAATTCCAAACTTGCAAACTTTCTAAAGGAGCAATGCTTGTTAAATAAGGATCCAAATTTTGTGTGTATTCTTACTCAGAGTTTGCACAGCACAAACAATTATAGCTTAAAATAAAATAACAAAACAATCTATGATATAACACATCCATCACATATTACATACAAATACATACATGTGCCTCAAGAAAAGTATCAGACATAAGTCCTTGTGTATTGCGCATAAATCCTGATCTCATCATTGGTAAAAATATCCCAGTAATTGCAACGTGATCACCAGGTACAGCCTGTCTTGTTAGTTCACCACGAGCAATGATAGTCATGGATCGAGGGATATTACCAACTGGAACATGATCACTATGTTCTTGAATCTTAAGCTCTTGGCATTTAAGAAATTTTGATCCACGTGTCTGGAGATAAAGACGCCACCAGATCTTGAAGAAAATTTCAAATTAAATTTTTTTGTTAAATGGTAATTTTGATATTTAAAACAATACTCTACTTGTTAGTAGTACATTCTTTGCCAGGACAAATTACCAAAGGTGTAAATGATGTAGAATTGACCTGTAATGAAATTATAAGGCTACATTTCTCATTAATATAAAAGTTGTTCAATAAATTATTTCTATGTACATTGAAAAACTTTAACAAACCGTTTGATAAGATTCTGTTCCACATCTGTCACAGGTATATGTTGCTACTTCAACCACTGGTTTTACTTCGGTACATCTGGTTATAATGCCACGGATGCAAACAAGCTTGCCAATACTTGATGCACAAATATCTCTCACAGGAAGAGCTTTCTGACTTGACAAATGTTTGAAATGAATGTCACTGAAAAAGTTTATTAGAATATAATTATTAAAAAACAAATCTTAAAATTGAGCAATTAACTAATTACCTAGAACAAAACACTCTAAAATCAATATGTAAAATTTGCAAAACAAAGTCAATATTTAAACACAAAAATCATACATATAACAGAAAAACAGTAAAATAACAGTAAAATCACAAATTATTTTTTTCAAACAATATTTTGTAGCTCCAACAGCCAATTTGAGGTTTTTATCCTTCTGTTATGTAGAACTGTATTACTATGGTCAACCATACTTACAATCTTCGCAGTAATTCTGCTGGATATTACTATGGTCAACCATACTTACAATCTTCGCAGTAATTCTGCTGGATATTACTATGGTCAACCATACTTACAATCTTCGCAGTAATTCTGCTGGATATTTCTCACGTGGGTCACGAACTTCATTATCTCTGTGATTTTGACGCTCCATAAAGAGACGATGCTCAATATAAACATCTAAAGAATCTTTATTTTGGATCTAAAATTAATCCATGTACGAATTAATTATTTACAACCATGTATTTTACTCAAGTGCTATGTAATTCTATTAAATAAATCATCAAAATTCTTTCTGCATACACAAACCACTCCATTACAACCATTACAACATGTCACACATTTCTTTAATATGAGCAAAAAACAAAACAGCTACAGACCTCTTTATCTTTATAATCTGGTAACAACTCATCAATGGCTTGTGAAAATATTTTAACATATCTTCTACTGTTTTCAATAACTCGTTCAGCAAGATCTGGATCAATCTAACATTACAACATAACTTTAATTTGTCATACTAATTTTAAGTTAAAAATAATAAACCGCAAAGCTAAAATAAAAAGAAAACAAAAGAAAAGAAAAAAAATCTGTTATTAAATTATATCAATAAATCTGATGCTACCTCTGCCAAATCATCTAGTTCAACCATCAGTTCTACTTGTTCTCGATGTGCAACCTTTACCTTTATGAAATATTACATAGACTGTCAAAAGATATCTGTTGTGAACTAGGCATGTAAAGCGATAACCGTACTTAGAATTGAAATATAAAATCATCTGCTAATAAAATTTTAAAAAAATCAAGAACTGATACAAAATTCTCAACTTTTGTGAAATCTCATTCTGTTTTGACTTGTGTATTATAAATGGCTACAAGCATACAAAATATGATTAAATGGGCTATATTACTAAGGTATATTAATTCAGTAATAGATCATTTGTTATTTAGGGATAAGATTATGCCTTCGTGCAAGGAATGTGAAGCATATTTGTGATTGTGTGTATGAGCATGTGGGGGTATTTATGGAAAAAATGGGTAGCAACTAGCAAGTCATTGAATACTTGGAAATGACCAGTGTGACGAATTTCTAAGATAAAGCAACTCCTTTAATTTGTCATTGAAATTTACTGTCACTCGTCTCTTGCCCCATCCTTCAACTCTGGTTCAAGAATGTTGTCTGGCTGCTTGGCTGGAGCCTTTAGCCCCCCTCTATGCTTCTCTGGGTTTTACCCAAAAATTTTTCCTCTTCGAGATATAAACTATTGAGGCTTAAACGCAAACAGAATTTCTGGGATTTATTGCAGCTATATTGCATTTCAGTTTACATTAAAAGCTATTATAACTACTGAGATGTTAATGCTAAAAATTTTACTAACCAACTGTTCGCCGTATTTAAATTTCTTTCCATTTCCACCATCAACATAAAACTCAGCCAAAAACCTTTTAGCGGTATCTACAAAATCATTTCTCAGCCAATTTGTTAAGTTATTATTTAAAAGAATAAAAAAGATCATACAAACCTTTCTCCGCAGTGTAATCTATGGCAGCCATCATCGTTGTTGAATGTTTAATTTGAACAACACGTGATAAAAATTCGGCGGGAAATTTCTACATGGTTACGGTCACAATCAACCCATCCACAGCAACCAATGTTCCTTTGAGCACTGCGAATCCCAAAGTTCTAAAATATATTTCCTTTCAATCTTATATCATTAATGGTTTATATTATACTTTATAAATTCGTTTATGAAGGATTTTTTCCTGCTACATCAGAGGTCCCTCTCCCCAATCATTGCCGCTAGCATCACCTCGATAGACAAAGAACAATCCTGGACACTGTTAACAGTTCACACTACAATGTTCCAGGACACTGTTAACAGTTAAAACCACAATGTTCCTGGACACTGTTAACAGTTCACACCACAATGTTCCTGGACACTTTTAGCAGTTAAAACCACAATGTTCCTCAAAATTCAAACCTGATCTTTCAAATTACAAATTCAATAATTCAGCACTATAAATTTTCCAAGTTAAAGTTTATTAAGTTTAATTGTTTGCTTATTTTTTCTTGGACATTGACACTGTAGTTATGTTTTCATAAGTAACACATTACTAAACATTTTAGATAAAGACAAATTTTTTAAATTTTGAATTTTTAATTACAAACATGTTTTGACTTAACTGTAAGTCACCTTCAGTGAGAATAGTTATGTTATTTACAATGTGTGATATATATATATATAGAAATAGGATACAGTGTGTTGATACTCAGTGAATAAATTAATTATTTATTAAACGTTGAAGATAATTAACATGATGTGTAATAGTAAATTACATAGTGATAGTAAATAACATAGTTATTCACACCGAAGATTACTTACAGTTAAGTCGAAACATGTTTGTAATTAAAAATTAAAAAATTTTAAAAATTTGTCGTCTATCTAAAATGTTTATTAAGTATCGTGCTCATAAGATCATATGGTTACACATTACTCTCAGGGGCGGATCTAGAGTATGTCAAATCCGTCACGCGACTGATGTTTGAAATTCAAAAATTACCTATTCATATTAATTAAAAATTCATTAATTATTCTTACTTTATTATCGCATTTACTTCGTAATAAAAATGCAGCTTTATTTATTATTGAAAACTAATGACTAATGCAATGAATATCTCCTTGGTAACCAGATCAGTTGAATTTTAATTGACCTGGAATAACCGACTGATAAGCGGGGTGGCTTGACTGGTTCGACTTATAAAGGAGTCTATGAACACCAGAAACGCTATTTTATTGGTCAATGGCCAGATCAGTGGACAGTCTGGAATAATCTCGACCGATAATAGGTGGCCGGACCTATAAGGAGTCCAATTGCTATCTTACAATTGGTTCATTTGAATTTTTGTCTTACTGTGATTGGTTTGACCGATTTCGACTGATAGCCAACTGAACTAACATAGTCAAGCTCAATGTCTGAATTGAATGTTTGATCGTTCATAGTAATTTTCTGAAGCATGATAGAAACTAAACTACAATCAGATGGAATTTATGGAAATCTTTTACAAATTCATATGTTGACATGAATGCTGCTTTCCAAACTGGGAATTTTTTCAAGAGGGTGAAAAATTTATGGATGAATTGTAAATGCTTGGCAAAGACGATCTCGCGAGCGACATTTCAGTCATTGATGTTCAAGAGAAAGCCAACATTGTTTTGAGTTTTATCAGCAGAAATTTACATCGAAAATCGTAAGTAAAGGACAAGTGAAGTGTATGCATGAATGCAATATATCAAAGTCAATTTATGCGAGTGTGTGATGCGATTTATGTTAATATGGCGTATGGTAAGCAGATTGATGCTTCTAAGGGGCCGATTACATGGACCGAGTTGTCCCGGCAAGGTGAGTTGTCTCGGGTATCTGGGTTAGCTTTTTTCAAGCGATTACATGGACCGAGTTGTCCCGGCAGGGTTAGTTCTCTAGGGTACTCGGGCTCCTGGCTCCAGGAGAGACTTTGAATTTCTTGCGGGAAAATATGGCGAACATTTTGTAAACAATGAATTTTTCGCATCACTCCATTCTTGTTTCCTGTATACTTTTTCAATTTTATTGTTTCATTTACTTATGGGCAGCACACAAGCAATACGTTCACAGAGTTTTTTATAGTTACTATGCCACAAAAAAATCAGTAGCTGAGAAAAAAGCACGATACATAAGAGCTAGGAAACTTAGTCGGAAAAAGCGAGCTATATGGACCAAAAAAGGAAGAACTGACTTATGGTGGAAGAATATGTTTGATGGAGTTACCCCAGATAATGAGTGGAAGCGAAACTTTAGAATGTCGAAAGAGCGATTTTTTCAATTGTGCGAGGAGTTGCGACCTTACATTTCTGAAGGAATAAACACTCCAACTTATAGGTCACTCTCTCGTGAAAAAAAACTCGCTATCACTTTATATTACCTAAAAGACACTGGTTCTATTTGGATGACGGCGAATGCCTTTGGTGTTCATCAATGTACAGTTTCTAAAATCGTTTTAGCTGTTTGCAATGCAATTTGTATACATCTTTGTCCAATATATCTGCACCTTCCACAAACGGTAGTGGAAATGAGGAAAGTGGCTGAGTTTGAAACAAGGTTTGGCATGACTCAGGCATTTGGCTGCATTGATGGTACTCACATTCCCATTCAAAGACCGTTGGTTGATTCTCAAGATTACTTCAATTATAAACAGTTTTTCTCCATTAATGTTCAAGCTGTTTGTGATTCAAATGGCTTATTCATGGATGTTGACTGCAGGTGGCCTGGCAGCGTCCATGATGCGAAAGTATTTTCAAACTCATTCATAAATAATGAACTAAAATTGGGAAGATTACCACAAACCTTCACTCATGTTTTACCTGGTCATGACAAGATACCTAACTACCTCATAGGTGACCCAGCATATCCTTTAACACCCAACTGCATTAAAGAATACCAATCATGCTTAAGCAATGATGAGGTAGTTTTTAACAACATGCTAAGAGCCGCAAGAAACCCAGTAGAATGTGCATTTGGCCGCCTAAAGGCTAGATGGTCAATTTTGACAAGAAAAATGAACCTTAAACTGTATGCAGTACCAAAAGTTATTTTAGCTTGTTTTGTTCTCCATAATTTTTGTGAGATGCATAATAGAGACATGGATGAGGAGATTGTCCAAAATCAAATAGCTAGGAACAGAGATGAAGAAATAGCCCACAAAAACAGCCCAGATCCAGTGTACTCAAGTACCACCAGGGAAGGAGAACTAGTCAGAGACACACTAAAACAATATGTTAATGCACATTTGCTTTACTAGTCTTTTTAATATTCTCAAAGCAACAGTTTTTTTCTTCAAATACATGTTTATTTCATAAACAAAGAACATTTGTTCCACTCTAACAAGAACAATGTAACATAAAGAATTACTCAGTAAGAATTCAACATAAAAAATAAAACAAGCATGATGTTTTTAACAAATAAAATGTTAAAAGTCAATATTGATGTTGATGTGGTTGCAAGGGTTCTCCATTGCTTTCTACATGGGGAATATAGAAAGACTGGCCAGAAATATCATGTGGAAATATGTAATTAGAGGTAATAATACCTTGGTGAAACTGTGGCATAAGATTTGTGGACTGCATTCGATCTGATGGGTATGGTGGCCTGATGTGCTGTGACGATTCACATGATTTTTGAATTGAAGAAGCAAGAACAGTCATTGAAGCACTAATTGCCTTCAAAGACTCTGCAAATAATAAATTGGATTCTTTCAGGGAATTTGATATCTCTTTACGAAATTGTTGTTCATCTTTTGATTCTTGCATCAAGATTTTGTCGCGTTGGGAAGCTGATAACTGACGTTCCATGTGCCTACGTTTGTTATCAATCAATGTGGGTACCACATTCATCTTCCGCTTGCCTCTTATTGCTTCATGCTTTTCTTTCTCACTAAAAGCATTCTCGCATTCTGCTATGGATTCATGATGAGAACTATCAGATATGCGACAAGATTCTTCAATTTCATCAGACAAAGTTGTATTAAAGTCATTAATTTCCCAGCCTTCCTCATCTTCTTTTTCTGCTGATTGTACACCAAATTGCAATGGTTCTGTTGCAGGTGATCCTCCCCATATTTTGACCATAACATCATAAAACTCCATAACCATTTTTCCTGAGCCTAATCTTGTACCTGAGGTAACAGCATTACTGAATTTCTGTCGCAGATGTTTTATTTTTTCTTGAACTCGAGTATATCCTCGTCGAATTTGGGCTTTGAATTTTTCACATGACCTTGTATAATCCTCCTTATTGTCTTCTTCAGTATATGCAGGAATCTCTGTCGGCCCAAACAATGAACCGTCACGATATTTGTTGGCCAAAATAATTCTAACTGCTTCATATTGTTTAACTTTGTCTGCATTGAAGTCTGAGTTTCTACACTCCATTTGAGATTTGTACTCAAGCAACCCTTCCAGTAAATCCTTAACCATTTCTAACGTCCATTGAAAGCGATTATCTATGTCGATCGTGGCAGATTTTTTAGATTTTATACTTTTCTTTGCATTATCGTTTATAGAGCTTTCCGCCATTTTGCAAATTTAAACTAAGTGCGCATGCTTCACACAATAGCTTTCAACTCGCTTACCCGGGGCAACTCGGGAAAAAGTGATTACATGAGCGAACGAGACAATTTTCATCCCGGATAACCGAGTTGTCCCGGCTTTCAACAGCCGATATCCCAGCAAAGCGAGTTGACTCGCTTCCCATGTAATCACAATGCTGTTTTTAACAGTAATTATAAAAGAGGCCGCGGTATCGGTAAAATTGTCTCACCTCGGCTAACCGGGACAACTCGGTCCATGTAATCGGCCCCTAAAATTGTTGTTGCCGAAGGACTTTTAGCTATGATTTCTTTAATGCTTGGGGAATCGTGGCCGTTATATGGCAGCGAAATCCTACATTTCTGCAAATATATTTCAATGGACAAAAAATCTGTAGCCATAAGGTGCCATACTATTATTTACTTTATCATAAAGAAATGTTTGGGGCTTTTCAGTTTATGATCATTGATCATTCAATCATTGGACAGTTATACTACATATTGTTTAAGATTTGAGAAAACTAACATTGATTACATGAGAAGCTGTTTACTATAACCTGTGATTTTGAGTCTTCTGATCCATGAAGCCTTTTATTTTGACAATTTGACTGGAATGGTATTAAACCTGAGTATTTCACATACATGAAATGTTGTCCCATGTCACATATTGTCCCCTTTTCTAACTGAACACCTCATGTAGAGATGTAAAGGTGTGTTAATCTACGGCTCATACCAGATTGTTGCCATAAATTCCAAAGGGCTATTGATGTATGAAAAGCATTTTCTATAAAGTAAAATGTCTTCCTATGTATGCAGATAAACCTTGAAATTTTGCAAAACAGCAAAGTATTTTCATGATCACTAGGTAATTTTTCTGATGATCATTATAATTTCTAAACTAAATTATTTTAGATTTACATTTGAACAAGCTTTGATCATATGAAAAGATATTTATCATAACCAGTAAGCATGACACATAAACCATTTTAACATTCATGTAATTATATAATTAAAGACATGTTGGTTACATTCTGTTTGTATTTGATAATACAATGCTACTAGTGATTGCTATATAGCACACCTTGCAGAAGATAATAGTCTAGTGAAATGCCTAATAAACATTTATGGCATTAAGCTAACCTTAACTGCAAATTTTCACTCTGATAATTTTTGCTTAATCTTTGGCAGAAAAACATTTTGAGTTTTTCTCAAAGGGTGAATTTGCTGGCACTGATGTGGAGATGGGTAAAGAGTTACAATAAACTTGCATGGTTTGAAGTCTGAGCTTTTCTATATCTATGAACTGTCACTTGTAGTACCAAATTTCTAACTTAACTTATTACATAGAGGTTTGAATGGGAGTCTCTAGGGGGGTCTATGCCTGACAACTTGGTAGAAATTTTGAAGAATATATCTGTTTTTGAATAGCATTATTGTAAAATAAATTTACGTTCCTAGACATGCTAATGAGCCATATATTTGGCATGATAATGAGCCTAAATATTTGGCAAAACATTCAAGTATTGTTCACTTTATTTTTTTTTTGAAAAAAAACGTAAGAAAAATGTGTTGTTTTTACGCAAAAACGATGCCCACAAAATACATTTTGTATTGCTCTAAAACGCTGAAAATGGCATTTTCAAGACTCTGAAATTCAAAATTTCGCAGGGGAGAATGCCTCAGACCCCCCCAGGTGCGGAGCGCCTCCGACATTTTATGACTGATGTTTGAAAAATCCTAGATCCGCCCCTGATTACTCTATACTCACACTCCAAATATTTACCTAATTCCCCTCTGTGAAAAATAATTGGTTTGAAAAAATTAAATGTCAACTTACAATATGTTGAAAAATTGAAAATGGTGGGTATCAAACTTCCCATAATCCCATTCAACAAAACATAAGTTGAAACATGCCCTGAAAAAGAACTTTATTTTCCAAAAATGTGTTTTGAAGAATGAGGTTTGAAGTTTGAAGAATGAAGTTTTTCAAGTTTCTTTTGAGATTGGATATTTTAAGCTCAATGGTTTGCGTGTGTGTTTGGCGTCCACACAGCTTATAGTCGGATCACAGAATAGATACGAAATACAATCCTTATTCTGTGGTTGGATGACTAAGTTCTCTCACATTTACCAAATGATAAAAATTAATAATTGCATTTTTATTGGCTTGCAATTTTTTCTGGCAACAAACCAATTTTTAAAAAATAAAAATTTGAGAAAAATGTTTGGACAGGTTTACATTGAATCTTTGTAAACCTAATTCGACTAATGATCTTTGTAAAAGTGCATTGTCAATGTGCAATAGTTTTCATATTGTATTCTTTCACTTTTTTAAGTATTCATTTTCTTCTATAATTGTTTGTGTAAAGCTAGCTCCTATGATTTTTGAGAGAAGTTTGAGGCTTTAAGCAGAGCTTCAACGTCATTGTGTATGACAGACAATTCATAAGCTGTTCTTGTGAAATCACTATTTTCATGGTATTTGATTTTTAACTAGGCCATTTTTAACAACACCTCCATTTTCCAGAAAAATAGCAGTATGATAATTTATCTGTTCACAAATGACATTTTTTCCCTTAAAAGTTAATTTGACTCTATAGTTCATTTTCCACCAGACTTTCTAATGTTGGATTTTTTCTTGAAATTAATTATAGTATTTACTATAGCTACACGATTAGATACTTTTCCATCATTGGTTGCAGAAGTTGTTTGAATATTGCTTGTCGTCGATGTAGATACTACCTTGATTGTCGATACCGTCGTAGCCCCTGATGTTGTTTGTATTGAAGGGATAACACTGTTTAATGATGATGAAGATGAAATCGAAGGAACTCCCAATGACGTTAATGAACTTGAAGGACATAAACATGGAGGATAAGGTTGTTGACAATAGAACATATGAATGCAAACCTTAACAACTGGCTGTGCAGTCCCCACTATAAGAAGATAGCAGTTCATTAACATAACATACTTTTAATCAAGCAAACGAAAGTCAATTTTCCTTTTTTATGATAATTGCATTAAAAGAACAATTTTTCTAACAGAACGAGTTCCACAAAAATGTGTTATATGATATGTTGTGGCTGAACATGTAATATATGTTTACACACACACTCGCACATTATTGAACAAAATTATGCACTGGTAAAACAATTTCATTTATAACGACAAAACTAAGTGATAAACACGTAGTATACCTTCTGTTTGACCATTTGAAGATTCCATCAACCGTAAAAACAGACTTAACAAAAAAAGACTATGTTTCATTTTGATAGAATATTTTGGAGCAATGCCATTGACACTACATCTTTCATTGTTACATATATTGAAAAGTTTATTCCACCTGTCTACCACCAGTTTAATGCTGTTTTTTTGTTATTTATATAAGTTTATACTAAAATATCAGTGAAAAGGAAACAGTTAACGTAGCTATTAACTGAACTAGACTTTCGCGTTTTCAATTTTATCTATAGATGATCGTTCTGTTTACAGTTATTCGCGTATTCATTAGTCATGATAAGAATTTAAATGCGTAAAAAATATCAAGTTGTTGCGAGAAACGTACGTCACAGTTGTTCATAACAGGTTGCCGCAATGTTGTGATAATTAAAGCAGTTATGTTCTGTTATCAGCAACAGCTACAAAGAAACCATCATCTCTTCTATAAACTTCAGTATTGATACTGTTTTCTCTTGCTTAAACAATTCATGAATTGCAAATGTATAGCAACTGACTTATTTCATAAAATATGAAACAACAGCAATGTTGATTGCAATGTTGATTTGAAAGTTCAGTGTTTGAGAATGACATCGTTCACTTTCTATTTATCATTAACGAAATCTATAAATCAAACTTTCTTTCGTGACGAGACGCCTTAGAAAAATAATGCAGACAAAGAATGGGAAATCAAAACAAACAAGATACTTTTTAAATATTTTAACACAACAAACGACTTAAAGTGCCATGTGAAATAAGTTATAACTAAAATATAAATTAAATTCTAGAACTCGTTTGCAATATCCTTCCAAGTCATTTTGAAGGCATATCAACCTTCAAAATCTTCGATTGTTAACTTAAATTTCCCACCTCATTGATACCAGACACTGAATTATTTAATATATATTATTTAATGTATAAGTTCATCAAAATAATCTACCACGCCGCCTAAACTCTTAAATACAGCCGTTTGTTTGTTGCTTACTTTTACGATCAAACGCACTCGAAAGACTCGATTACTTTAATAACAGGCATACAATACGATGAAAAACACTTTTATAAACAAATGAATTGAATGAAGGCATTTTAGCAGTAAGAGCATTCCTTCGAAGAAATGAAAGAACTCCTTGCAGTTATTTAGAATAATCAAAAGGATGCATGACGATATTTTGTTCGTCATAAAATATGTTATATTGATTCGATGCGCGTTTCTTTCGGTAGAAAACAATCACAACTATAATCAAAACTATACCAAGGGGGAGTCCAACAGCCAAGCCAATTATCAATAGTTTGTTTTCACCACCTAAACAAATAAAAATAACATAAGTTGTGGTTGAGATGAGGGTACTTTGCATATTTCAAAGAAAGTATTAAATTATGATTTTTTTACATCTTTCTCATTCGATTGAAGAATATAAAATCAACGCTACAAATTTAAAGTTCAAAAAACCAGAAGTATCAAATTATTATATTTACAAGCAGACAATTTCATAAAATTTAGGAAAAAACATGCTCCAAATAGAAAAAATGAACAACATCTTGTAAACTCAAATATATGCTTTTATAATACCACAAACTGCTGTCTCGTTTAAAAAAAAGCGCAATATATCTTGAGTTAACAAGATATATTGTTTTTCAGAGCTTGTTTTTATATGAAATGATTATATCGCAAACATAAAAATTGAAACCGCTTTCAAATAAACGCCGCACATTTTCAGATTATTTATTTACTGAGCAACTGTAATACTCGTTTTTTGAAATTAGCCATCAATTATTCAGTTAAAAGTGGCCATAGCTCGCTGAAAAGTGGAGTAGAAGTTTATAGCAAACATTGGTAATTGGTTGCTTGTAGTAGTTTAGGTACATATGTGTAAATTAATTTGGAATTCTTACTAAGTGCGAACTCAACGTTCATGAGAGTCATAGGAAATGCTGAATTATATTTGCTAAAAATTCAGTAACTTCAATGCATTTCTTAGATAAAAGTTGTAAGTTTACCTTTGGTTGGAGGATTATTTGTAACCGAAATGGACATTTGGCTGTAGTTACTTGGTCTTGATGTGCTTGTCAAAATTGTTGGTGTGCTTGTCACAACAATTGATTTGGCTGAATATTGATTTGTAGCCGTAATGGACATTTGTCTGTTGTTAGTGGTTGATGTGTTCATCAAAATCGTTGGTGTGCTCATCAGCATCATTGATTTGACTGAAGATTGATTTATTGTCATAGAAAAGGACATTTGGCTATAATCAGTGGGTCTTGATTTGCTTGTCAAAATCGTTGGTGTGCTTGTCAAAATCGTTGGTGTGCTTGTCAAAATCGTTGGTGTGCTTGTCACAACAGTTGATTTTGCTGAAGATTGATTTGTAGCCGCAATGGACATTTGACTGTTGTTAATGGTTGATGTGTTCATCAAAATCGTTGGTGTGCTCGTCAACATCATTGATTTGGCTGAAGATTGATTTGTTGCCGTAATGGACATTTGACTGTTGTTAGTGGTTGATGTGTTCATCAAAATTGTTGGTGTGCTCGTCAACATCATTGGTGTGCTCGTCAACATCATTGATTTGGCTGAAGATTGATTTGTAGCCATAATGGACATTTGACTGTTGTTAGTGGTTGATGTGTTCATCAAAATCGTTGGTGTGCTCATCAGCATCATTGATTTGTTCTGGCTCATGGAAGTGAATTTAGAAATGTTGACTAAAGTTGAAGTAGGTGTTACTTTAAAAGATGAGGAGAAAAGATTTGAAACTGATGAAGTCATTCTTTGTGATGAGTGTGAAGAAAAGGATTTGTTAGCAGGCACCATCACTTTTTTTGTTGTATTTACTGTGTAGTTAGAAGATGAATTTATTGAATGTTTTGAAAAATTTGACTGAATAGTTGTATGTGTTTGAGAAGATGCCATTGCTAAAATTAATGACTGGTTAACACCATATACTTGATTAGGTGATACAGTTACATAGTCTGACACCACAATGCTACTAACTACTAATGTTGGAAAAGGAATCGCAAGTTTTGAAGATGAGAGATTTGTAGTATAATTTAATGATGTTGATTGTTGATGATCAAAAGTATTTGATGGAGGCGATGAAATTATGGATGAAAGAGATGATTTCAAGTGAGTAAAGCTTGCAGTTGGTAAGGTCACTGTACTAGTGCATACCACTCTTGGTACTATTGACATCAGCTCAACTGAAAAATAAATTTTTTAAAATTCTTTTCAATATAAGAACATCATAGGAATTTCGGACACACATTTTCCAGTAAGCATGCCTTATGTAAAATCACATAATCTTTTAATCTCTGAATCCATAAAAGAAAATTGTAATTCGTTTTTGATGGATTTCGTTAAATCATGCAATTTGAAAGCTGCAAAATAAAGAAAATGAGGTTGAGGCTATTATTGCGAAATGCATTAAACGTCAATGTTGTTATTACAAGCCTTTTTTGGCAAACTTTTGTACATACATTACACTGGAAAGAATCACAATAAAAGCCACTCTGAAGAAATGTTATTCGCTTCTAATATTTATAAAAACAACAATCTTGAAGTATATTGGGATGGTTTATATCACAAAACATATTGTGAGAGAGACATGGCTATGCTAGATATATCAATATTGAACTTACAAATTATATTCAGTATAATAAACTGCAACGAGTACATTTCTGACGATACCAAAGTTCTGTTTAAACAACAAGGTACTCAATGTTAGTCGCCCCAAAATGTCTTAATGTTACTCCAGGAGTAATGATTTCAACGATTTGAAAACGAAAGAACGCTAAGTCGTCAGCTTCTTATTTACATGACTTGTCATTTTATTATAATGTCAGAAAGTTCGACGTAAATTTCAACCAATCAAGATCTCGCTTCGCTATACGCGTGAACTAGACCAATTAACGCCCGTGAAATTAATACGCACGTGACTTACTAACGCTCCATCTACGAAAAAAAATGCCATGTTGTCATCTGCGGTCATCATATGGATTGTTTTGTCGTCTTTATTATTATTACTATCAATATGAAAGCAATGCAAAAAGTTTTCACGGATTCTTGTTAGTAAATCGTTTAAGAAATAAAGCTCACATGTTAGAGGAATTGAACTGATGAACCAATTGGGGTGTATCCTTAACACTAAAATTCAAAGTTTTAAGGACACACAGTTGCGGATTATGGGGAGCTCACTGGGCTACAGCCTACAGCCAGAGGTCCGTAAATTTCTCCATTTTAGGAGAGCCCGCGTAGCTGTTGTGGTATTTTTAAAGTAACGTTCGAGATAAAAATAACAAAGATGATCATAAACATGTGCTCCATTTGTATTGAAAATTTCTTTTCCACCATTGATCAGTCGTTATAATGGCATTGAGAAGACGTTTAAAATACTCATCAAATAGTGTGCTCAAACTTTGGCTTCTTCTCATATCGGACTTACATTATAGAGATAGCCGTCCAGTTTATTACAAAGATAAGCTTATGTAAGGTGTTTCCAAATCACGCACAAAATTTTCTTCACACGACCAAATTACCGTCTATTTAAATGATGTATCTATTAAAATGTTACCTTGACATCTGAAGCAAACCCTCCTTCTTCCGAGCATTTGCAACAGCTTAAATTCATTCTGATCGAACTCTTGACAGTAGCTATAAATTATCAATTCATCCAAAGACCAAACTCTTTTTCCTTGACATTAGTTGACTTTTTTTAAAAAAAGCACCTAAATGTAAAAATAGAAACAAAAAATGTCGAATGCTTGTCTATAATGTCGTATACTTAGAAACAAAAAATGTCGTATACTTGAATCATACCCTATTATAAAAATTAGAGAAAAATAGCAAATAGTATGTTTTTATAGATATATATTGAATTGTTCACACTTTTTCAGGTTTAGTTACACATACACATAGTTAGAAAAAACAATAATCGATAGTTTCTACCTGTGAATGAACGTGAACTAATCCTCCACATTCTCTGTTGCTCCTTGTACTATCTCTCGTCAATGACATTCCTTAGAGTACTCTTCTCACAATACTCCATCTGTATATACAAAGTTTGCAGAGTACACTTTGAATCTTCTTGTAAGTCTCTTGTGGTGATTGCTTCCTCTTCACTTTCGAAATCAGATTCCTCGTCCTAAAGGAAAGACGCAGGTAGTTCTTTTTACATATCTTCAGCAACATCATGAACAGTTCCCACTACTATATACCACGTGAGCCAAAGAGCTTCCAATCTGTACTTGTGATTCATCGTTATTTCTTTTAAACAAATCTCCAGCAGACTTGGTGATATTAATCGATTATTTTCGTATTGGAACGTCGTCCTCGATAGAGCTTTTGTCGTCGTCAACATGCTTGGAACCATTCGTGTTTTCATTAGTCCACGAGTCCTCATCCAAAAGCCTCGAGCGTACGCTAGGTGCTTCAACTTCGTTTAATTTCATCAAGCTATCTTCAACCCGGCGTCATTGTTTCACTTCCGTCATGCTTGATTTTGTTTCACTGTTGTAAGTTTCATTATCAAGTATTTCTTTTATTTCAACCCACGAATTATATTATTCATAAATATTAGAGCATTCTTTATGCACAAATATGCAAATACAAAGTTATAGAGAAAAACAAAAACACCTCTAACATTGTCACAGATATTACGAGTGGCGTAACAAAGTGTTGGTGAGTTTGATAAGCATTTGTCAAAACAAGCTTAAGAGATAAAGAGCATGCCAAAATTATGTGATTGAAAATTGCTAAGCGCAAATACAAGCACCAATTTCAGAGCTCGCTCCGTCACAAATTACGTACATTGTTCATGCGCAGTCAAATCCACCAAATCTCCAAGTTCATGGTCATGGCAATGACCAACTGTATGTACTAGCACCGATTATGGAGTAATTAGCTCGCTCAGTCACAAATTTTCAGATAAATCACTTGCACATGCGCAGTGTGCTTGAGCATGCGCGGTCTCTTTGACCACCTGCCCAAATTCATGGTCATGGCAACGACCGACTGCATCTACTAGTACCGATTTTGAAGTAAATACCATGCTTAGTAACAATTTAACAGAGAAATCATCTGCGCATGCGCAGTCCACTCGAATAATTGTTCATAGTCTTGGCAACGACTAACTATATATACCTGCATTACATTTGTGGCAATTAGCTCACTTAGTCGCAAATTGTCAAAGAAATCATCTGGGCATGCGCAGTAACGATCTCAATCATACCACAACTCTCGTAAGCCTTACAATTTATTTATATATAAATGAAGCTAAAACTTCATATAGTAGATGTCAACTAGCAGTGGAAGCTGGGTGCGAGATAGTATGCAGTGGCTTAGGTGCCCAGACTTCGGTCGCGACGGCACTCTCCATGCGTACCCCGAGCAGAGCCTATCGCAGGTGATCTCAGGGTCTGATGGGCGGAAGCTTGCTATTGCATCTCCCAAGTAGGATAGGGTGGAGGGGCCGAAATCTTCTACCGAAACGTTAACATGCGGCTTCTAGTGCCTTACGCTTAAGAAGGTATCGGGAAGCATGGACCGAAAACAGGGTTTTTTTGCTTTCAAATTTTATCATTTTGTTCTTACAAGAGTTCTTCTCATGAAACTAGAATATCAAAGAATAGTGCAGAGGTTCAAACAACGTCTGCCATTTTGATTTATAATTCAAACCAACTCTAAACATGTTTATACGTTTTTTACTTGTTACTTTTTACAATGTAACTTTCTCCTTATAAAATATAACTCTCTCATCATGAACAAAAGCATTCATGGGCTTCGTGGAAAAAAGGGATTATCTACTTTTTTATAACAGTTTTATAAAGATAAAATAAGGTAAATAGCCAAGCAATTTGTATGGTCTAAATCAAACCTCCCTTTCAACCCTTATGTTATAAAATATTGATTGATTTTGGATAGTAAATTTCTTTTTACCTTACAATATTTTCATGATTTAATCTAGAAAGTAACTTCTCTTCTCGAGTAAATTTGCGATTAAACAGTACACTTTTCGGATTCAAACGAATTCTTTTGATCGGAAAGTGGACAAAAATGTAGCCACTAAAAATCACCTGTTTACCTTCTACGTTGCCGTGTTAAATATAACTAATTTATTTTGTTTTTCACACATTATGTTCAAAAACAAAATTTTATTGCAAATATATTACTACTAAAAAAAATAACAAATTACTGTTGTTTGTAGTTAGTGTTTTCCATTGGGAACATTTCCTTTTTTGTAGTTAGAGTTCTCCATTGGGAACATTTCCTTTTCGTTTCATTTGTTTTTGAACAATAAACCTTTGTTTCTGGGACATTTCTCAAAGAATTAATGACAAGCTACTGACCTATAACGATAATTCTACACGGGAGTTTACGTTTTTGTTCAACCCTGTACCTTTGATATTTTTAAATTGCAGCAGTGAGCAGACTTTCTCTAAGTTCGACTTGCATAATACGATAGGCCGGGATCTTGTGAACAAACTGTAGCCCACGAACATCAAATATTAAATTTTATATTTACTTGATTTTGAAAATCCTATCGACGGTTTTGGTATCAAGAAAGCAAAAGAAACCATTATTTAAAATAAGTTTAATAGCTACATAATATCAGCTTGTTTAATTGCATAAAAAATGTTCATTCCTTTGATGAAAGTGGTAAAGCGAACTGAATGGAAGAGAATTGGAGAGTGGCAAGATTGCTGCATATTTACACCATACAAGTGTACGATCTGTATTAAAGTTATAAAGTATACCATAAAGGGTAAGTTAACATTTGGGAGGTGAAATTTTCCTGTTTAGATAGAAGTTGTATGAATACACATTTATAAGATGTTTGTTGTAAACTTTGAATTATATTGTGGAGGGGCCCGAAGAGAAAATATACCCAATGGCCCAAGATACTTTTAATACGTCATTGAGGAAACATTTTATAAAAGTAAATCTTTACAACTTTTGTGTAAACAGACCACACCTCCCAATCGTTACCTTACCCTTTGAGGTAAAATTTGTTCCAACTAAAAAGTTGTTGAAAGCAGATAGTACATATTATTCTTATTTGGCTACACTCTCTTGCCACTGCCTACAATTCCCCTTCATACAGTCCACTCTCATCTCTTATTCATCATACAAGCTTCTATTAATGCAGTTATCAAACTTACTAAAAATAAAGGTTTCTCTCGCCCTTTCTTGATTGCAAAAGCGTCGATAAGATTTTCAAAATCAAGTGCATATAAAAAGTAATGTTCGATGCTCACAAACCACAGTTTGTTGACATAGTCCGGAACCATTGTGCTCTACAAGTCTGTCTTTGTGCGTTTGAACTTAAAGAAAGTCTGCTAGCCACAGATATTTAACACTATCAGAGGTACAGGGGTGGAAACTACAGTAGTCTCCTATTTAGAATTATCGTTATTTGTTCGTAGCTGTCATTAATTCTTAGAGAATTGTTGCACAAATGAAGGCATACTGTTCAAGAACACATGAAACAAAAATGAACTGTTGACAATCGAAAACTCTAACTACTAAAAAGGATTTTTTTATTATTGTTGCAGCAATAAAATATTTGCAACAAACTTCTGTTTCTTAGGGCGAATGAAAATGTCTAATAAAAATGAGATGACCTTCGTAAAAAACGAAGCTATGAAAGGAAGATATTTCAGTGTGTAGTAATCTACAATTAGCAGATTTTGTTCATAATGATAAAATTTCCTTACTAGTATTGAGTGTAGCAGACCATGCTGACTGTAATCACCATTTGTCACCAGTGACGTAATCAGTGCTATATATATTTCAGAGCAATAGTTATTAGAAATATATTGTTAACAGTGAGTGAAAACCAAAATATTTGCATTGCAAAAATGCACCAGGAAACTAGTGGGCTTCTCAAGGCTAGCCATGGCAAGTTGCTAATGGTAATTAAACTCCGCTTGTTTTACTATTGAGTTTTCTTTTGTTTGACGCTTCATTTATTGTAATAGCTATATTAGACTGAACCTTAACATCGTCTAATTAATCAATAACAAGAGCTACCATGTCTGAATGGCTAAGATACCAGGCCTAACAAGTCATTTTACTCTTACAGTTAACAAAAAGTTGCACATTCTCTTTGTCAATATTTGCAAATTGTCAGCTGTCTTTCTGACCTTTACATTGTTAGTTGATTTGTCAAAATATTTTTTACATATATAAGAGTGATTTTACAAAATAAAGATCCTTTTTACAAATTGTAGAAAATGTTTTTGGTATACATTCTTACTTATAGAAAGTTGCTTGTTAATTTACACCGAGGTTTGTCTACCACAAACCAATGGTTTTGCAAACTCCACAAATTCATCGATCAACACTGGCCAGGCACCTAGAATGTATATACAAAGAATATTAATGAACAAACAACCAAAAAAACACAGAGGAAGCATTCGTAAAGCATGCCAAGATAAATCACTCAAAGTCAATTTTGCCTAATTTGTTCATGTAATCACTATTTGAGCGGAGTTGGACTTTACAAGCAAAAAAATTCATGCTAACTGTCTTCGATTGATTAGAATGAATACCACATATCTCCAAAGAGCTTGATTACATAAATTTTCGGAAGTTGACAAAAAATTGACTTGCATAAATGTCTTTGCATTATAACACTTGTGTTAGTATTTTATAGTGGTATGCATGATATTATTTTAAATATATTTAAATCCATATTTTGCCAAGCTGAGGTACCCTCTAATATTTAATCACTATACATTCTGAAATATTTTATATATTTTGAAGAAATGTTCCTAAAGTTGTGAAGATTTCATAACATATCAAAATCTTCATGTTTATTTTCATGTTAATCCAACCTTCTTCATCATAGTTATCCATATTATCTGTAATCATGTTGCTGAAGTCTAATAGTAAATTCCATGTATCCTTTGATATTGCATGTTTATGATGTTCCTGTCACAAATAATAATAATTTAAATATATGTTGAGTTGTTCACATAATATACATAAAACTAGATCTTGCAAATAATCAGTAGCATAGCCAATTTCCTTTTTATTCCTGCTAAGCAAATATTTTTGTGTTCCCTGACTGTGAGAACAATAGATTTCTAAAGACGTCAATTATGGTAATCTTTGTGAATTTACAAAGTAGAAGTAAATCTGCATGCTGGCTACACTACTGCATATATAATTATGTTCATATGTGTATATTACCCAAAGAAATTTACACCAAAGATCAAGAAATTTGAATTTTCCTTTCAACACAATATTCCAGTATGCAACAGCCATTTCTAACTCTATAAAGTGATATGTATTCAAATATGAATGGCATATTTCACTTTTATAATTTGATGGAAGCTATATATTTTACACATTTTATACTTACCAAGACTTTTTTGACCCGGATTTTTAGCAAAGTTAAAGGTAAATTGATAAAAATCTTTAAATTTTTGACTATCTAAAATTTCATGTTCCAACAATGGCAGTCTACTTTTTAATCGATCAATGGAGTCACATCTAAAACATTAAAAAAATAACAACATAAAAATAAAACTTTAGCAAGCAACATCAATAAATCTATAAATACATAACAATGAATATCCACATACCCTATTTCTGTCATGCCATCAATAAATTCTTTTCTAGAAAATTCACACTGTGTTGCTGCCTTAAACTTCCATGCAATTAATAAAACTTTAATGCTTGTTGGATCCAAATTTAAATCATCGCAAAACCTAGCAATGCCTTCAGCCATTATCTTATCTTCATCACCAGTCTCTACAGGGAATAATAATAAATATTCAATAACGGAGCAGTACCGGAAGTTCTAAAATAATGTTTACCAGACTGTTAGTCTTGTTATTGCTGTTGATGTATTTAGAATATGCATATCTTAAGTACTACCTTACAACCTTCAGGAAGTTGCATCTCTAACTTATTCCTTAGAAAACAAAGAATGAATAAGTGTGAAAACTACACAACACACCTCAACGCTAACATAGTGAATATTACGTAAATTTGACATACACCACTAACATCAATGTAGTGAATTGTGACATTTTTGTTCTTTTCTATCGGGCAAAGACAAGTTATTGTGAGTTGAGCCTCAAATATACCTCTATTTGTAAATGTAATCAGTCTCCTTAAACTTTAACATATATATACACTTGTTGAATTACGTTTTTTTAAGGAATTTTGAAGTAAAATGCAGAGATAATGCATAAGATAATGAGAAACAGAAAACACAACCTTTATATTTTTCAAATAAATGCTGCAACTTTCTCTTATCAAGCGATGATTTTGTCTCCTTTATATAGCGATGTGGATACTGAAAAAACTGGTCTGATGCCACATCAAGTCTCCAATCATGTTGACTTAAGCAAGAAATGGCAGATTTCTCGTCTGTTTGAGTGAAAGCTATAAACTGACGAACTTTATCTCTTTGAGAGGACTTTAGCCGATTCTGCAATGGCAAGAAAAACAAAAATTGAATTAAAAAAGTAGTAAAAATCTAATGAAACAACATAAATAATTTTGCAAGTTTAATAGAGTTACCATTTTCCTCAAGATAACTTCATCCGCCCATCAGAACAACTTTGGCTACCCACTGACCAATGTCTCCAATGGCAATTTTGTTATGTATTATATCAAGTATTGAAGGGAAAGTTGAAGTCCCTTGGGGGAGGACTGGGAATTATTGGTTCTTCTCGTTCCTTATTGAACAGATTTTGTTTGTAATACCACTTTCACAATTGTGATGTTAAATTGAGTTGAAAAGATGCAATAAAATATATTAATTTAATTATGTCTCTTTGACTCTGATGATGGCTTTGGAATTATTGTCGTTAACCCCCCCTGAAATGTTAAATGTTAATTGGATCATTGAGATATGGATGACATTCAATTGAATCGAAATAGTGTTATAAATGTCGATATCCCTTGCTTTGAGAGAGTAACTGGAGAAAGTGGAAAAGAGCATACGGCATATAAAATTGTCATTTCTAAAGCTGGAGGTATACATGAAATTAAAAAACGTTACAGCGAATTTCATCGACTATATAACGTATTGAACAAGACCAATCAATTGCCAAGAAATATTGAATTTCCACCCAGAATCACATTACCTCATGTATCTAAAAGTGTAAAAGAAGATAGACGAAAAAAATTGAAAGTATTTTTGCAAGATTTATGTGATTGTAATCCAATTGCGCAAGAATTACTTGACTTTTTTATGATTTCCCGACCAATGCAATCAAATTTAGTGAATTCAAGTTTAAGTGAGACGTTTAGCTCAAGTGAAGACTTGTTGGATGCTAGAAAACGCTACAAGCATCAACCTTTGCTGACATTTACACAAGAACCTTTCTTTAGCGGCGAAAAAAATTATATGAAGTCAAATTCATTTGATGATGTTGAAAAAAGTCAGTGGCCGACGATGTTGTCCTCTCTGCAGTCTTCGATGTATTTTACGAAGAATCTGTAAAATATAATCAGACTTTGATCGTCATTGAATAAGACTGGTATAAAACAATCATTTTTTACAAACATACACACCAGTATGGAAACCTTACTAAATATCATTCATTACTTCGCTCATCGCCATATATTTATGAAGACAGAAGAATCAGTGTCATATGATTATTTAATATCTGACTATTATACAAATGGAATTTAAAGTAGAGTTGTCATTAACAACAGAATTTCATAAAACTACTGTTTATTTTCGTTAATCGTGTTGTTCTCGCAACATAAAAACAAAAAAAAAAGAAATCAAAACAAACTATGTCACATAATGATCCAACAGCAGGTAAAATTTAGTCATAACTTGCCACATTGTGTTTAAAAATGACAGAGATTATTATTTCCACATTGAAAAATTGTTAGACTAAGGTACACTATGTTTTGATTCCAATATTAAAATGTATGATAAGGGTGAAGAACATTTTAAATTATATGCCATAAAACTTAAACTAAATAATAAGTACAAATATTTTATAACACACATATATATAATTTACTTTATTTATAAGGCATGTAAGGTTGGATTCCTTGTCTTGCACTTTCGTTTTCTCTCTCCAGTGCAATTTTGGAATTTATTTTTTCCCAATCAATTTGAACCTAAAGTTTAAAATAAACTTCAACAACTCATTTCTACTATTATCATGAAGCATTGAAAATTAAGTGTCAAAAAAGTGGCTTAAATGTTAAGAATTCTAAATTGCATTTCATTTCCACAATTTTTCACATTTGCACAAATATAATGTTCAATTTAATGACTGGGCTTTACATTTGAAGGAAGAACCTCACAAAGATTTTTATTTACCCCTTCTGATATCTGAAGAAATCTTTTCTTTTCCTCGTTTTTTTCACAGAGTTTCAAATGTTTATTTCTGAATGCAATGACCGTGTCGACGTGTGTTTTATGTTTCACTGCAAGTTCTAAAGCTCTGAGAAAATTTGGCAAAACAGTTTCAAGGTAATCTTCATTAAGAAATAAAGATCATCAAGTTTTGTAAGGGGGAATAGTTTAAAAAAACAACTAAATGCGCAGTAGTCATATACCATAAAAAGAACTGATTTATCCATACAAACAAACTAAATTCTAAACATTTTTTTTACCTGTCCCAGTTAAAAAGGTCGATATGCATTTTAATGGAACGGAATATTAAGCCAGCTTGAAGTAGAATTAATTCAGCTTCTTGAATTTGTCCACAAAACAATGCCATTGCAGCATTTCTTCCCTCTTTGCTGGGGATTTCTTTCACATGATTTATGTATTGAACTTTATCAGCCTAAATAAAAACAACAAAGGCATTCATATAAATTATATAAAGGTTGACTATTTACTTTATTCATTATACATCATACTGTCACATAAATTACACAATTGAATTAAAAGTTGAATTGTTATTTATGACTCATTAATGTACTATAATATCACCTCATCAATTGCGGCATATGCAATTTCTGCTGTTTCAAGTTCTTTGCCGTATGCTGCCATTGTTGCAAGACAAGCCCAAAGTATTTTGTCCTGGATGAACAATGAACAGAGAAATTATAATTTTGACTGTTTTCCATCTTCATTTTTAATATTACAAAAAAAATAAATAATTAACATTATTAACATTGTTTGGGTAACAGAATAAAATGAATGCTTTACCTTAACAAATCGACACAAACGAACAGCATCAGACCATTTAAACTCCCTTGTGTATTTGTGCAAAATCATTGGATATGGAGAAATGCTAAAAAATTAAGTTAACACACAGTGTTACATGTGTTATATATATTACACGTTACACACGGTGTTACATGTGTTAAATATATTACACGTTACACACGGTGTTACATGTGTTATAAATATTACACGTTACACATGGTGTGACATGTGTTAAATATATTACACGTTACACACGGTGTTACATGTGTTAAATATATTACACGTTACACACGGTGTTACATGTGTTATATATATTACACGTTACACAGTGTTACATGTATTACACGTTACACACGGTGTTACATGTGTTAAATATATTACACGTTACACACGGTGTTACATGTGTTATAAATATTACACGTTACACACGGTGTTACATGTGTTAAATATATTACACGTTACACACGGTGTTACATGTGTTATAAATATTACACGTTACACGGTGTTACATGTGTTATAAATATTACACGTTACACACGGTGTTACATGTGTTAAATATATTACACGTTACACGGTGTTACATGTGTTATATATATTACACGTTACACGGTGTTACATGTGTTATAAATATTACACGTTACACGGTGTTACATGTGTTATATATATTACGTTACACGGTGTTACATGTGTTAAATATATTACACGTTACACACGGTGTTACATGTGTTATAAATATTACACGTTACACGGTGTTACATGTGTTATAAATATTACACGTTACACACGGTGTTACATGTGTTATAAATATTACACGTTACACGGTGTTACATGTGTTATAAATATTACACGTTTACACGGTGTTACATGTGTTATAAATATTACACGTTACACACGGTGTTACATGTGTTATATATATTACACGTTACACACGGTGTTACATGTGTTATAAATATTACACGTTACACACGGTGTTACATGTGTTATAAATATTACACGTTACACACGGTGTTACATGTGTTATAAATATTACACGTTACACGGTGTTACATGTGTTATATATATTACACGTTACACACGGTGTTACATGTGTTATATATGAGAGTACATGTTAACACATGAGCCGTTACACACAATGTTAATTAGAATGTTAGATATATCGTATGTAGTATGATGCTATGAGGATACACACTTTCATTTAGAAAACTTTGAATAACGAAGAAACATTTACTCCATAGTTAAGATAAATGAGTAAGTCTTAATGCAATATACGGAAATATATCATGAAAATAAACTCGACTTTCCCGCTATCTAACTCTCATCTTTATAACTAAACTTACATTGTACTGGATAAAGATCCATCAGCTCGTCTAATTGAACAAACATTTCCAAGAAAACTTACAATATTAGGATTTTTCCCAAAGTCACTACACAAAATATATAATATATTTCACTTTTTCTGTATTTTTAGGAATAAATCAACGGGAAAAAATGTTATAGCTATAGCCATACATAATTGTTAAAAATTTACCTCGAATCTTTTGTTATAATCGTGTTTATTAAATTATCTTTATCGACTAGAATGACCTCAGGATAACACCACACTGTAAAGATACCATCTTCAAATGCAGCAAGCATATTGGAAGAATCATTCCAGCTTATGGATGAAACCATGGTCCCTATGTCAATAAGCAGTGTGTAAAAATCTATATAGTTTTGAAGACATACTGATCCTTTAAACTGTGAGATTCAAAAACAAGAAATTCACTCGCACAGAGGGACTAATAAAACCAATTGCAAACAGATAAGAGAACAATGGCGTCTTTACCTAGTTTTGCTTTTCGAAGAGCTGAACCAAAACTTTGTACAGTGATGATAAAGAGATCGCGATTTTTATCGATTATTGCCAGCTGTCGGCTGCTGATCGATCCACATTGATTGACTTCTATCTGAACAATTTCATGCTACAGTAGCAAATTAAAAAAAATGAAAAATGATGTACTTATAAGAAGGTAAAAAAATTACGAAAACAAATCAACCGAATGTTCAATAGGTTTTCCGTCTCCCATCAGTTTTCCAGAGACACAATCAAACAAATGTAATGCTATAAAACAAAAATAAGTTTTACAGTCACTAGAATTACTTGGTAATACTCTTCATAATTATTTAAATACATTATAATCGTTAATTTAATCGATGATTTTGATCAAACTTTAACTTCTATTAGCAACAAGCATTAAATTGAAAGGTTACATTGTTACAATACCATCACCTCTCTTGTCTTTTTGATCTCTGACTACCAAAGTATCATCACTTAAAGATAATGAATGTTCATTCAACAAATCCAGACGTAATTGCTGTAGTTTTGGTGTACAAATAAGTCGACCCTATAGCAAGATACGTACTAAAGATTGAAGCTACAACACAATTAGAAAAAACAAAAAATTTAACAAATTCACCTCATACGAATAGATCTGAATACCAGTTTCTTCCACGAGCAGAAAAGATCTAAACATGAAATAAAGATTTTTAGTTGAAACCTCATCAAACGCGTAAATTTACAAGGGGAAAAACTGAAACGAACAACTTACTTTTTAGATTGCATTATAAGATTAGTCCCTCCATTTTTCAGATCAAAAATTGTTGGCGTGTTCCAATTTTTTACACTTTATAAAAAAATATGAAATTGTGATGATTCAGCCACAGAGAATATAACTGCTGCTTTATTCTATAAGTTATTTACATAATACATTTCACTATAGAAAACAAGAACGCAAAGTCAAGAAGTTCAATGAAATTACCTCGAAAACATTTGAATGCAACAACTACGATAATCATTTATCAAAGAATAACCTGTATGTACTTTTTATTAATAAGAGAAGAAAATACTCAAATCAAAGAACAAACCTATACACATAACATTGAGTAAATGTTGTAACTACAAGATGATCAAAAGCAAGAGATGTCTTCATTACTCGATCACGAAAATCTAAATAAAAAATAAAAAAGCATTATTAGAAATTATTAAGTCAAAGACTGCTCGTCACATGTCCTATATACGTAACTCTTCTTAAGCATTTTACCTAAACTTTCTTTAGCATCAATACTGACATCCTTAACCAATATTGTCTTTCGTTGTGAGATTGTTAATTCAAGGTTTTTCCATTCCAAACGTCTAAAAATATTCTTTCTATAAATACTCATGTCTTAAAAAAATATAATTGCAGAAGATCTTTGTAAAAAAAAACGGGGATAGCTAAATGTTTAGTGCTTAACATGGCTGATGTACTGGTAAAAACCCAAAATCAAAAAGATAAATCTTTCCAGCTAGCCCTTCCCCATGCAAAGTATAAAAAATAGTTGACCTTCCAACAATGTGAGCAAATAAAACTTGAGAATTTGCACATGCAGCAGACAGTTGTGTACCATCTGTAGACCAAGAAATTTTAAATAATGATCCAGTATTTTGTTTAGCCAGTGCATGTGACCACTAAAAAAAACATTTGATGTTTTTTTACTTTTAGTTTAGTTTTAATAAACACGCGTGTTTTATCTTCTATAGTGAATGAAGAATTAAATATTTCAAAATTAATAGATTTTAACGTTAAATAAATATCGCCTGTCATTATCTTTGTTAGTTCATGAATCATTTGTACGATGTTTTTGTAAGTGTATTGATAAGTTTGATTACTTTTGATAAGTAATAATAAAGAACTGCAAAAAAACTCAACACAACATTTGATGTAGAACATTTATAACTAACTCCAGTTTTGTCACAAAGTCGTAACGTATTGAATGATCCAATTGCAAAGAGTTCACCTAAAAATTATAAAATTACATTGAAAAACTAAACAACACAAAAAAGTACTTTGCAGTGTTGCCTTTAACGCAACGTTTTTCAACAGAAAAATTATAGATAAAAACAAGGAATTTACACAATTTAAAAACTATATTAAACAACAATTTGAAATATAAAATTTCTTTTTAAATATGGCTTCAACTACAGTGTCGTTACGTCTTATGTCAGAATAATATAATAGCTACATATATTGTTTATATTTAACTACCGTTAGGCGTCCAAGATAAACTTGTTATAGGATATTCATGAAGAAAGCTTGAATATAGAATTCGACCAAAACTATCCCACACCTGAAAAAAATAATATCAAAAAATACACGAGAAAAAAACGCTAACATTAACTAGAAAGAAAATTTGGATTTGCTATATTTTCTTTTTGAGGATGAAATTGTGTACAAATTAAAAAAACTGGCGGTTTTTGTTTACAAATGTCGTTTTCTGACAAGCACTTAGTTTCAAAACTACATTGAGCACGCGAGGAGAGTGCGTCATATGTAGAGAAAGTGTATTGTATCGTACAATGTACGATATTTAAAAAACAACTATCTTATCTTAAATCCCTTCTTAGAGCCGAACATGCCGACATCTTCGTCAAATTATCTAATTATGTTATGTTTTCATTAGCAATGACATTGTTTCACGGCTATCTTGTTGTGGGGACTTGTTATTCAACTGCCATATTATATAGCTTCTGCATGTGTTGTACAGCCATCATGTTTTATAACTCAGTTCTGTGTTTAATAGCTACTCTACTGCTAAAAACATGTTTGAAAGCATATTTGAAAACATGTGCAATGCAGAAATCAAATTGAAATCGAATGTGGCATTTTTTTCCCAAAAAGTTCCACATTCACTGTTTTCATAAGTAAATTAAGTAGTGTGATGTATTTTTAACTTTGAAATAACGATAAATGAGAGGAAAAATCGGAAAAATACATGCTCTGTTTTTTTTTACCTTATATTTACAATCTTCTCCACCAGAAAGTATCATGTTATTCATTCGGTTCCAGTCCACTACTAACACAATACCATCATGGGCTTTCCACTAGAGAAAAAAATTATTGTATTGTAAACATCAATAATCGACAGATTCATAACATGCATATCTCGTCATTAACGTACTTGTAATGGTTTAGCTGCTGCTTGTAAAGGTTTTATGACCAATTGTTTATTGTTTGTGTAAACAACATAATCTGAATCTGGAGCCCAACATAAGGAATAAACAGGAGATCCTAAAGAATCATTGAAAAATATAATCAATACACAAGGCAATCTAAAGGATAATTGAGGAATAAACAAGAGATAGTAAAGGAAAATTGTAAAATAGAGTCAATACACAAGGGAATACAAAGGATAATCTAAGCACAAAGAGTTTTGTAACATTTATAAACAAAATTTATGAGGCAAATTATTTTCGCGCCGTAATCGGACTTTATAAGAAACATACTGCACTTTGACGTCAGTTTAAATCAGTTATTCTCAAGAATTATTTTGATAATAACGTCATAATCATTAATAATTACAACAGGACATAGTTGTAGGCCATACTTTGCCAACTTTGGATTTCATTCCAAGATCTCAGGATTTATCAAAGCAGTTGGGATTGTTTTTTAAAAGTATTCATGTAATTACATAAATAATACAAAGTTTACATAAAAATAATATGATACATAAATTATAACAATAATAAGGAAATGAGATGAATTAATGGGGAGCGTGTTACAAACTAAATATTGTGTTGAGTCTAAAAACTTGAACATTGAATTCAAGGGAAGTTTTGTTAATGTGGAGTGCTTCTTTGATTTTAAGGGAAATAGTTGGCATTGGCGGAAACTTTAATTCACTAAAACACAATTACAAATGATTGTCGAGACTTGGCAACACTGAATTAAGCTGACAAACCTACCAATTTGACTCAATGTGGATCGAAGCATACCACTTTTAGACCAGATTTTCACTTGACCATCTTCACCAGCTGCAAGAAATTACAAATAATTAAAACTTCACCCGGTAAAGGAGGGGAAAGGCAAGCAACTAAAGACTCCTGCAACGAATGCTGGAAATGTTTACTTACGAGAATTGAAGTACGAATGGATTGTAAATTTGATTATATTAGTACAAATTTTCCCTTAGTGATAAGTCTGTTAAAATGTGTTTCATATTATGAAAGCCCTTCATGTTTATTCAAAAAGAAAATTGATTTTGAAAGTAAACATGGAATGGTTACTCTTGCTACATCTACAGGACAATAACAAACACCAAATAAAGATTCGTGTCTGGATTTGTCGATGTATTACAATTTTCATTACTATACTACCTGTAGCGAATGCTGTTCCATCTTGGTTCCAACGAATTGAAAGAATAGCCCCTCTATGGCCTTCGACTGCTTTCTCAATGCGACCATTTCGAGAAACAAAATAATATTTTCCTAAACGTAACAAAAACATACTTATAGTCAACTAATAAGATGTTTCGACTTCATTTGCCAGCAAAAATTTCTTTATACTGACTAGATTTCATTTTGAAAAGTAAATGTTAGCAAAAACATAGGTTTTTTAGCGTGTAGGTACATGTTGTAAAAATCGTTTATCGTAAAATTACCAAAAACTAGCAACAATAATTTCTTATCAATATTTATGGCAATTTTAACAATTTACTTTCTTTAAAACACAGATTTTGAATAAAAGATTGTGTAATGAGACACTGATATGGGCGTGCGAACCAACATTTTCTAGTGGGCAGTCGATCTTAACTTGCCTAATTTACCCAACTTTCCAGCAAATAATGCCAGAATTTTTTGTGAGGCTGCCGCTCAAGGCGTAATATGCTCACGGACATTGAAAATAAATTTCAAGAAAAACATAAAATTTCTACTGATGAAACAACAGAAAATGACTCATTAATTTACCATAAAAAAAATAACAATCTACGTTTATAATACCATCTGAAGCTGTCAATACAAAAATATCATTTTGTAGTTGTTTTTTTGCCCCTGTTGTCTTAGGAAATAAATCTACATCAGTTGGATAAAGATCATCAGGTAAAGATATTACCTGAAAAAAAATAGTGGAAAATTTATGTTGAAATTGTGTCATTATATCAATAAATATGCAATTTTTTTAGAAAAAAAATAATAATGTTATAATCAGATGAGAGAGTAAAAGGGGAACAATATTGAAATTTTAACAATAATTATGAAAGCTCTGAATGTTGTTATTTAGCTCAACATCCCCTCATTAAGATTGTTAAAAAGGTGATTTAGGATGAATGAAAAATACTTTCAGATTTAAACATACATAGAATTGTAAACATTGAACAAATATACAACTAAATTTCTTAAAAAAGCCATCAAAAATTGGAGTTTTATCTAAAAATTGAAATTTCTATTGAAATTGAAATATAGTCCTGTGTATGATAAAGCTAAAGTTAAAATTTCAGCAAACATTTAGCACATATTCAAATAACCATCTGCTTCATATCTCTTACCATAATATTCAAAAATAAATGCATGCAATGATTTGCAATGCATGAAAAATTTCTTTACTCAATAGCATATTTATATATTCTGATTTTGGCATACATGCCAAGTCTCACACATTATCCCTGTGACACACACCTCAGCATCAAGTCTCATCCTCACATGCCACACATTATCCCTGTGACACACACCTCAGCATCAAGTCTCATCCTCACATGCCACACATTATCCCTGTGACACACACCTCAGCATCAAGTCAAAATTTACTAATTCATAAAAAACCATGCAACGTGATTGTAAAATCATTCAAAGCAATTTTGATGACATAAGACTTTGAAATTTTATCAAACCCCTTTTAAGTGCAAGACTTTGATGACTCAATATTGACTCTAATAACTGAATTTTAACAGTCAAATATACCTTGAAAATGCTGGAAATCCATTTTAGAAATCAAAATTTTAAAAAATTCCATGCCCAGAGTATGTTTTCAAACCTTCCTAAACATTACGAGGTAATGCACTATAGGCATAAAATCTTACGCATTAACAAATTTGAACCTTGGCATTTATACTTTGGTCAATCTCAACAAGAGTTTATTCAAGCCAAGAATAAGAACACATCTCAATCTTCAGTACTGAGTCAAAGCATATTATCCTTACCTCTGTTGTTTCATCAGAGAGTAAGTTCCATTTGTAAATCTTATGGTCATCTCTACATAAAAACGAAAATAATTTTCCTACGGTTTATTTAAAACAATTTTCTAAACTATATTTAAACTTACCCACAAGAATAAAGTTCATCTGCTGATGTCCAAATTACACAACTCACTAAATCCTTGTCTTTTCAGTCATTAAGGTGTCTAAGTTCGTATTATATATATAATATATAAAATTTACGTAAAAAACTAGTGGAACGTAATGAAAAAGTGTCAGTTAAATAAGAATTTGTGTCTCTCAAGACCTTTTTAGTTTTGAATAACACGACGTCACGACAAAAATACACAAGATTTAGTCAACTGAAGAAAAAAATGCATCATAACTTTAGGTAATTCTATGAACAGGATACGCTTTGACTCCTTTCCTAACTGCACATTTATTCGCATTTTGCTTTACTTTTAAACATCTATGGCTTTATGGCCATGTCCAAACAATACAGAAAAGCAAAAAAATTTGGCTTTTTGTGTTGATATTCCATGACAACCACAGAGCCCGCAATACCGCAGTACAAAAATTTATTACTTCATAACACACGAGTGATGAGAAACTTGTGATTGAAGTGACGGACGCAGGTGGAAATGAGATTTCGTAACTCAGGCACGGTGCCAATAGGGAGAGGGCAGGGCCGGTTTAACCATATGGCAGAAGGGGCGTCCCCCCACTGGCCCCGCGCTTTACTCAGATCTAATATTTTACGGCGCACTGATGAATAAGGATGAACGAAACGTCTTCTGAGGATCTGACGACGAAGATGACACAACGAAAGATGACAACCATGTCACAACGTGGATACATTGGAATTATTCATGTTACAGCATGTACAGACTTCTTCTGGAGAACAATGTAGAAACTGTATTTCCAAACACTGTAATTGAACTGCGGATCTATCTTAGTCTCACGATCTCGAACTGTTCTGGAGAGCTGTCCTTTTTCAAACTTAAGCTAATCTAGAATCAGCTCCGGTCATCTATGACACAGAAGCGAGTAAACAGCCTGTTCTACTTAACATCGAAAATGATCTGCTTCGTAGCATAGACATGTTGTTCATAGTAAAGAGTTTGCTATAAAGTAATCCCGCAAACACAACGTTTACAAAGTACAATGAAATTTTACTAAAAGATATGTTACATTACTTGTACGTACATTTTACATACATGTCTAGCAAGCATGCATCGCCGCATCAGAGCATGTATACTGAATGTTATGAATGTTTAGTTTGTTGATTAGGTTTAATTTTTACTTTATAATCAAGTTCTCTATAATTGTCAATTAACGTTATTGATTTAAGCTGGGTTGGATGACAATTCAAACATTTAAATTAATGTACATACGTTCTTGTTTTAACATACAGATATTTTTGCACATCATAGTATACATATTATTTTTTAATCTCAATTGTCTCATGAACCTGAAAAATTCAGGTGACTCAACGGGATTCATGTACCTGAATTTTTCAGGTTCATGAGACAATTGCTTAAATTGTCCAGCAAAGTGCGAAGATCATATCTTCATTTAATTTCAACACCGCACTGCATATAACATTCTTTCATATGACATATTATAATTCGTAGATCGAGGTTGAAAAATACTTGAAAATGAAACTTTCGACAGTGAAAAAAAATCAAGCAGGGCAGAGGAAAAAACAAAGACGCCAGGTTGAAGATAGCTTTATGAAATTGAACGTAGTTGAAGCACCTAGCGTACGCTCCAGGGTTTTTGAAGAGGACTCGTGGACCAATGAATGAAACACGAATGATTCCAAGCATGTTGACGACGCTAAAAGCCCTAGCGAGGACGAGGTTCCAATACAAAATAATAACACAGAATCTTCTGAAGATATGTTCAAAAGAAATGTCGATGAATCACGTATACAGTTTGGAAGCTAGTTAGCTCACATGCTATATAGTAGTGGGACATGCTGAAAATATGTAAAAAATCGACCAGCGTTTTTCCTATAGGATAAGGAATCTGATTTCGAAAATCAAGAGGAAGCAATCGTTAAAAGAGATTTGCAAGAAATTTTAAGTTCACTTCCGCAAAGTTTGTATAGACAGATTGATTCTTGTGAGCAGAGTACTCTAAGCAATGTTATTGACAAGGGATAGCACAAGGACTAACACAGAATGTGGTGGCTTCCCCGTCAGATTGTAGAAGGATTAGTTCACGCTAATTCACAGGTAGAAAATTTCCATTATTGTATGTGCACGGGAGGGAGCTGGTTGGCTTGAGCCCCCACTTTTTCCCCCAGATAAAATTTTTGCTATCATTTATATTTATTCGTAGCGGCTAAGCGCCGTCCCTGTAACTCCATGCATTTGCGTTGTATATTGGAAAATAAGAAACACATGTTAATGAGAGTTTATGATGAGAAAATGACGATAAATTTTCGTAAAGTCTCGGATTGTAGATTGTAGACTTTTAATCAGATGAACAATGTTTACTATGAAGCAAACTGCATTGTATTTTCTGTTTCATTATTCAAATGTTAAAACACTTATCTGAATTGCACCATTAGCTTTAGTCGTTGAGTTTGAACGATGTAACAAGAACTTTGGTTTATGATTATCTCCCAAGTGAATGTTTATTTTACTATTGTTACCTCAATGACATGGTTGTTCATGCATTAAATTCTGGTCTTATGACATGCTGCATTTAAGAATAAAGAGTTTGAAAACGTTACTTTTCGATGGTAGTGCAACCGTAGTGTTTAAGACAAGTTATGAAAAATAGTAAACATAAGATGCGAAATGGCTTTATGTACGGTGAACTTTTTTATATTGTAGTACTATCTTTCGTGTGTTTTAACTTCAATAATTTTTTCATTCTTTCCTTCATAAATTTTTTGATAAAAAGGGCGTGAAAGAAAGAGCATATATAAGTCAAGGGCTAAATTTTCCAGTTTCCATATAGGCAAGTCTGCCTCTGTATACAGTTTTCACTAGTGTGTAATGAAAAGAACAATTCATCGATGAGCTTCATTGCAAACAAGTATTCTCATTTTATCTGCTTCTCATGACTCATTTAATGATGAAATGAATAATTGAACCTAAGATTTTAAAGTTTTCACAATTACAACATGTAATAAGCCAAGCCATTAGTAAGAAATTTTATTTCATTTTGGATAAAAAAAAGTGACACATTGGTAATTCATGAGAAAAAACGTCACAATAATCAATAAATTATCAGCTCACTAACATAACAGTTATCCTTTTTGTTTCAAAAAGGAAATTTGTGCAAGCGTTGGCACGAAGCCGTTCACGTGGTTTTGAATTCAAAATAATTAAAAAATAGAAACTTTGCACTAAAAAGGTACTTGACAAAGGATAATTTCATTTTCAGATCGAAGATAACATTACAGTAATTTAATTTTGTTATGCACCTATATTTACAAATTTACATAGAAACACTTTGATTGATCTACAAGGAAGTTTCTACACTTCTACACAAGGAAGAAAATGTGTCTTACTTTCAGATAAGGTTTGAAAACATCTCTTTAGTCGTCATTACATTAATTCTTTAAAGACTTTTCAACGGAAGTTTTTGATGAATCGTTAGTCCCTTCTTCTGACTTAAACAGTCTAAAGAATGTTAGGTATCTATTGATCAGGATGAAGAATTGTGTGATATTCTGTCCAACTGCCGTGAAGTCACAAAATTCATACAAGTTCCAAGACACAAAGCCATTTTAGTCTTTTCAGTTTGTGGAAGTTGAAATAAAACTGTAGTGACAGCTGCGTTATGGTCATTTGTAAACTGAACAGCAATCGGCTTAATTGCTTTTTTGGTAGAAGTAGTTGTCTTTCTATGACGAGTTGTCGGAGTTGGAGACTGGTACTCGAATAAAAACGAAAATTTAGAACATGGTCTGTTAAATCTTCTTTCGCTTTCAATTTCTTGATGATGAATTTCTTGCCGTGAATGAATAAAATTCCTAATGCTCCACGCTATGGAAACAACCATCAATAAAAATACAAAACAGGATGCAAACACGATGAAGAACACAATTAAATTAATCTTGATGATGTCTTGTTTGAAATAAACAATTCCATCAGCACCTTTACTGCCAGCTTTTACAACGACGAAAAATTGTTTCGAGTTTAGAAAATTTCGATCGTGGGGAAAAAGAACAATAAGTCGGTGTTGAACGTTGCAAGAAGTGATAACAGTGTTGTTATTTTCATTGTAAAATTCAGTGTAAATATTTAAACCATCAGTTGTTTCTGTTGTTGGCAACGACGGATAAATCATTGAAACGCGTTGATTGGAATCTACTGTAAACGCGTCGCAACTATTCGAAATGTAAACGTCCAACGATCCTAGAAACGAGATAAAACTGTAAACAAGACATTGTGTAAAATAGGTACGCCTAGCGTACACGTGGGTTGCACAATATATCTATGGGGTGTCTAGTAAATGGGCACAAGTTGATGGATTAATGAGTATGGTTCAAATCATATTTTAATTTTTAATCTTCCGTATGTCCGACTATCACTGAGGATTACGATGGACAGAGGTCGCCGCAGACACTTTTTCGATAGCCTAGTAGTTAGCCGTACGGGGCGGGTGGCTGAATGGTTAATTGCGTGAGCTGTAAGCCAGACGGCGCGGGTTCAATCCCGGCTCGTGTCACATTTGGCAATGTGTCTGTAAACCTAGCCCGGGTTGACCAAAGCCATGTGAGGGAAATTTGGTAGAGGAAACTATGTCCTCGGATGGACTGTATCTGCATCTGCAATGTTGCAGCCTTGTTACACTGTGTCACGCTGATATCAGCGTTGTAGTTGCGTGAAGGGTACAAGTGATTGTAGTCTGGTCAGCTGCCTTCACTATAATTTCAGTAACCAGGATGTTCCACTTCGCGTAACCCTCATACGTCGAAATCGACGGAGCCGATTAAAGTAGTTAGCCGCGCATGCGCAGAAAGCATATATACATAGAAAGTACTTACCATTGACGACATCAAAAGTCAAACGAATGTCAAAATTTGGGTAAGTTGACTTATCAAAATATTTAAGAACATAAAAACTTGTTTGAAACGGCAAAAGCATCGTCGTTTGTGATTCCTCACGAGCCAAACTCTGATGACTCAGCATTGATAACTCACGATAACACTGCTGGCTTTCATATGGATTACCATGATATGTCGACTTACACAGAGAACACTGAAGAAATAATTAATGATAGTTTGTCACTTATACATACTGTATGTGGTAGAATTCTAAATTATCCATAGTAGAAATTAATAACAGATGATAAAATATAAAGTCTCTGAAGACTAAAATCTGGTAACTAAAACATGGAATTCAACAACAAACGCAATTCTTGTTCAAAAAAAACCTTAATACTAACCTGTTCATTAAAATTTTCATTTGAAGGAGTTGTTGAGTTGTTTTCACAATCACATCCAAAACCGTTGTTAAAATTGCATGTATCTGAATGGCCTCGACATTCACATCTGTAAAATGTAACATAAATTTAAACTAATGCGATTACTTGGTGATCATCATTTGTAAAACAAGAATAAAGGAAAAAATTGTTTTGATAGACAATATAAGTAGTGAGTATTGAATACAAAGAAAATGAGCACTTTCGATACACTTTAGGTTTATAAATTATTATGTCTTACTTGATACACTTCTTTCCTGATTTATAATAACCTTTGACACAATTCTCACAAAGCTTTCCTTGACTATTTCCAGAACAAATACAACTCAAGTTGACTTTACTTTTAGGACCGAATTTTTCATTCTTCTATTAAAAACAAATTGAAGGGGAAAAAATCATAAAAATGTAAAGAACAGTTTGTCTTTAGTCATAAACAATTAACAGCAAAAGTTGTGTTTGTTTTGGAAGAGTCCATACACAAAATCTTACCATAAACTTTCTCGGAGATGTGTAACATTCTTGAGCATTATAATTACATAGCTCGTAACAGCTAGTGCAACGTCCCTTTTCACCAACATATCCACGAACACATTTCTCACACGAGTCACCCTAGTAGAAAAACAAAACATGATACATTCGTACGTAACCATGGTTCAATGAACAAGAGTTAAAATACCGTTGTGTTATTAACACACTGATCACATTTATCAAGTTGCTGTTCACTATGGCAACGGCCTTTTCCATAACATTGACAAGCTGTAGAACAGTTATTGCCTGTCCATCCAAAGTTACAAAAGCAATCATTTGGTGAAATACAGTGTCCTTTCACGCATCCTTGAGAACATACAGGAACACATGAACCATTTCTAAACAAACATAAGTTGTAATATTCTCATCACACTGCAAGGTATAGAAAAGGAATTTATTTACATTTTACGATAACCAGACTGGCATTCACATCTGAATGAACTAATTTCATTGATACAAGTTTGATTTCTCTCGCAGTCATTGTGATTATTCAAGCATTCATTTTCTAATGGACAAAAAAGAGATGACCATTCGTGAGTTGATTGGCAGCTTCCATTACAAACACCTAAAAAGAGTTAACGAAAAATACTTTTTGCATTAAAAAATACAGAAAATAAGATTTCGAAAAAGAATTTCGTAGCAGATTTTACAGTCTCACATTGTGGAAAACGTAAGTTATCGATAAAAATTACCTAAAACTGTTCCTTCTGCACAAAATCCAACGCCATTACTAGATACATTAGAACACCAGCCACAATTAAACTGCTTTAAACAGTCATAACAATAATTATGAACATTACAAGGACCAGGACAATCGACTTTATTACGTAACACAAGGCCACAAACACCAAATGGACACGTAATTTCTTCATAATCACTTGAGAAACAGCGATGTAAATCAACAGACCAAGAACACGAGGATTCTAAACAAATAAAAATAGCAGTGATGAATCCCTAATATGTTAAGAAGCATTTCAATTACATTGTCTTTTGCAGGTTACCTTTTGTGCATTCCAAGCAACCGACATTTTGACTGGAAGCATTACAATCAACAGATGACGTAGGAGATATTTCAGAGGGCATTTTGTCAACATTAATATCTCGTGTATTACGAATGGTGCTACATGTCATAAAGGAACGACTGGATGACAAAAAACACCCACTAACATTCTTTTCATCAGTATGCCATTGACAAGGTCGAAGCTGAGCACAATGTGCTTTAGTAGAAAACATAGAGCACAAGTTCGACGAAAGATCTTTAAAATATAATTCAGATGAAGAAAAACCATTGTATCCACCAAATATAAACATGACATCATTAATAGTTGTCACAGCACCGTGAGCAAGTGATATAGTAAATAATTCTGAAAGAAAAAAATTCAACCGCCATTTAAATGATGACTGAGTCTGCAAATACAGACACATCCAACTTAGATAAAACAAGATTTACTTGGTTCATTAGGTTTATGCCAGGTTTTGCATCTTAAATCGTAAATTAGAGGCTGTTCAGAAAAATCCAGAAAGCCATTATCAGTATAACCACTCATTACGAACATCAAGCCATCGTAAATTACAGAAAGATGAAACAATCTCGGAGATATCTATAAAGAGACAAGATACATACAAGCTGACAAATGCAGCAGTTTTCCCCCAATTTTGCTGAGAGTTTGGCTAGTAAAATAGCCGTCTTTTTTCTTACCAAGTCTAGTGCATGGCATATTTGCTATCAGTGTAATTTGTAGACAAAGAATAGACAATCCTAAATGATATCAAGATGACAACCTTACCTGAGAAACTTGAGACAAAACTATCCATTTTCGTTCAATTAGGTGCAACATTACCAACGTGGATTCCATTTTTTTCGCTTTCTTTCCAAAGGTGATCAATGATTTAGTCTGATCATCGTAAACGGTCGTATGACCAAAACAACCTTTGATTTGTTTTATATAATTAAGACGTATTAATAATAATAAAAAAAATGATTACGAAGCTTCTTTTGTAGATGAAAATTTTAAAGTAAATCATACTACAGTTAGTTATGACTAACCATCAAATTCTTCACCAAGTGGACTTAAGTTCACCCAAGTAGACTCCACATTGTAGAGCTTAAGGATATAGACAGCACTGGAACAACCATTTTCGGGAGAATATCCGCCAATTAAATACAGAGTTGAATTGACAGCATTTACTGTATGACCAGCAAGGCTTCTGGGAAGGTTCTGAAAAAGACGCAGTATGCATATTTCTTGGTGTTTGTGTTTTACAACGAGAGGAAAGATCCATCAAACTAAAATAGGACAACTATACAAAAATAAGTACATCTAAACTTTCATATGTAAATGACAAAAACGCTTGTTCAAATTTCTTTAATTTAATCTTTCTTATGATTGAAATATGAATTTTATAAAACAATGAAAAAGTTGAAAAGCAAACAGCAAGAGTATATTGACGATGACCATACCTTTGATAAATTCCATTTTTTTTCATCAAGATTATATTTCCAAACTTCATGTGTATAACCTTTGTGGGTCACACCTCCAGTAACATACATCGTACGCTTAGTAATAAATAAAGAAAATAATAACAGCAGTTTAATCAATAGATAACGTTATCATCAACAGTTCAATCAATCAACGACAACAAAGCAATCAACAGATAAAAAGAACCACACTTTACGGTAGCTTCCCCTATTACACAAAAGCTTCCCTCGTGACCCTGTACCTTCTCCACATATACTGTTTTATAAGTACTACATAAAGTCTATCATTTAGATACCTCGTGAACTACTGCTGCATGAAAGTAACGCGGACTTGGCTTAGCGTTGCTTTTATCTTCTAGGACATAATTCATTGTTTTAGTTGAAAACCTCCAAATATCACCAAGAATTCCATTAGACAAAGAATATCCTCCGTATATGATCAATTTATCATCATCGGCTATCATAGTATGTCCCATGCGAGCAAGTGTTGAACTATTATTTGAAGGAAACAAAATCATCCAGTCATTACTTGAATTACTCATATTGCAAGCATTACCAGCTTCACAAACACATCTTTTGGGTATCTACAATACAACAAAAGATAAAATAAAAAAAATGAATTAAAACGTTTAATAACAGTGTTTTTGTGTGACAACCTCATATGTGTCATTTTCATGACCGCAGTTTTCCTCACATATAAGGTCAGCACAATTAGGCCCAGTAAATCCAGATTTACAAACGCACTCTTCAAATAATCCGTTGCTACGGCAAAACCGATTCCCAGTACAATGAGTTGGACAGTAGTTAACAACAAAGCTCGCATTAAAACCACGACCTCGTGCAACTTTTCCTTTAAACATAACAATCATAGTTCCTGACCGCGATTCTATTGCACGAATACTGGATGGATTAGATCCACAAAGCGAGCCCACAATCCTTGTAGTATTTTTCACCGAAGGACTAATGTCGTATATATAAAGATGACTTGTGTGGCAATCCAACGATATATCATTTACAACCAATGAAATAGAGCCAGGTGCCTCTCCATTGGTGTACACAAAATCACGTGACGTGTTCGTTAAAGTTGTGATGGCCCACAAACATTTCACGGTTCTTTGCTCGTCATGTTGTGACTGATTATGAAAAGGTGGTAAAACACTACGTAAGATCCCGTTGGTTTTATTCGTTAGTAATGCATCAGATTTACATGGAGAATAACATGACTCACGCCTGTAAAATAATAAGTTTAACTCATTAGGAACTAAAGAAAAAAGCATCAAAAAATATTTAAAGACATTCTATGACAAAACAAGACAAACCTTATTTACTCACAACAAACCACTACTGAGCAAAAAATGTATATCATTTTTGGAACAGCCTTCAAAAGTGTTTTCAAATCAAAATTACATAAAATTGGAAGGAGAGAAGAAGAAAAAGAGAGGAACAAGAGGGGAGAAGGGAAGAGGGACCAGAGGGAAAGGAGAGAAGAGAGGGAAGGGAGAGAAGAAGAGAGGGAAGGGAAGGAGAGAAGAAAAGAGGGAAGGGAGAGGAGAGAAGAAAAGAGGGAAGAGAGGAGAGAAGGAGGAAGGAGAGGAGAAGAAGAGAGGGAAGGGAGAGGAGAGAAGAAGAGAGGACAGGAGAGGAGAAAGAGAAAGGGAGAGAAGAGAAGAAAAGAGGGACGGGAGAGGAGAGAAGAAGAGAGGACAGGAGAGGAGAAAGAGAAAGGGACGGGAGAGAAGAGAAGAAAAGAGGGACGGGAGAGGAGAAAGAGAAAGGGAGACGGACGGAGGAGAAAAAGGGAGAAAAGACGAAGGAAGAGGAGGGGTGAAAATGATCGTACTAAATTTTACTCTTGAAAATAAAGTCAGTGTTTTAATAACGGGAAGTAAAAATATCATAATTCCTTATTCACTTACTTAGGTTGACCATAAAATCCAGGTTGACATTGGTCACAATGTCGACCCATGGTATTGTGAATACAATAGCAATGTCCATTTCGATCGTTACATATCTTTTTTTGCACATCACCATGTCCATTGCATTGACATAAAGTACAACCAACATTTGAGGTTGCATTTCCATAAGATCCAGGTATACAAAACTCACAATGTTTACCATACGTTAAATCTAGGAAAACAAATTGATTTGATGAGATAACATTGGGCCATGTGTATAAATGAGACGTAGATATTTGAGAGTACATAGAAAAAGAAATTTAAGATAAATATCAGTGACAAGGATTTTTTATTGCAAACGTATAATGTACAAGTATAAAAAGTGTTATTATTGACCAATATATACATCTACCTTGACAACTGTCACAAAGACCCACTCCATTTTTACATGTACTGTGTTTATTACATCCACAATCTTCTGAACAAACACGACCAGTCCAACCAACCTTACATTTACACACATCAAGCGAATCATTTGATGGATGTTTACTGCAGTAACCATGATGACAACGTGGATTACATCTTGTATCATGAAAAAAAATTCAATTTTACCGCACATTATTGTCATGAGACAAAATAAAGCAATGCGATTGGCTATCAGTTAAAAATTGGCATAAGCTACGTTACCATAAGCAATAGATTACGAAAACTACTAACATTGCTTTACAAAATTTTCCATTTCCTTCAAAGCCACGCTTGCATTTACATTTGTACGAGCCAACAGTGTTTATACAAACCGCATTTTTATCACAATCTCGACGAGTAATGCACTCATTTTCATCTGGGCATTTACCGTAATACCACTGGAAACTAAAAGAAAACAAACATAAATCACAAACTGACAAAAAATTCCAGAAAATTTAGTAATATGGCGACACAAACCCATAAAATGTCGAAAAGAAATTTCCACATAACATCGAAAAACTGTTCCATAAATTATATGTATGAAAGCATAAAAGACTAAAAAGCATTTTTTAATGCAATTTTTACATAATTAAACGCAAAAAATACCTTTTCTCATTATAACTTAAAGAAAGTTGCGATAGTAAATGTTCGCAAGTGCCATTATCGGGAGATGAATATTGTCCAGCAAAACAACTAAAAAATATCCACAATACAATAGAAACGACACGATATCTGCAGTAATAATAATATATTGATGTACCTTCCATTATGAAATTCGCCACACCAACCACAGTGAAAAGCTTTCAAACATGATGAACATGAAGTTTGTTGACGACAACTACAGCATCAAAAATTTGGTGTAAAAATGAATAGTAATTCATCAATATAGCAAAAAATTGCATCAAACAAAGACATTAAAACAAAAAACTTGAGGAAGTGAACCAGGAAATAAAACATTTCGTTTAAAAAGTAAATATCACATAACACATGCAGTATTGTAACAATATTAAAGATGACATACTTTTGTGACCAATTTGAACATTCATTATGACCGAATTTTGAAGGATAAGATATCCAAGGTAAACGATTATTAGAGTTCTGGCACGGAAGACATTTTTTGTTTGTAACAGAAGGATGACAATCTTGATTGCTGACATATCAATAAACAAACTACATCAGATTTCAGCAAAATAAATATTCAAGAGATTGACTTAAATAATATTGTCTGACACATTCCGTACAAAACACGGTAAAGACAATCTATGTAAAAGTAAATCACGTTTGTTAATCATAGAGATGATCTGAGTAAGTTGTGTTTAACAATCATGAAGATTATCTGAGTAAGTTATGATGATTTTAAGTCGTCTAATACAATCGGAAACGAAATGGTGAAGTACGAAAGTGAAATGAACTAACTTACTAAAGGATGTAACATACCTTTGAAAGGAAGAAGTACATTTTAGTTGGTTGTCGTTTGAACGGACAACCTCCTCACAAATTTCTAATTTCCAAGCACAATTGCTATCCTGGGAAATATCATCAAAAATAACTTCATATGTAGGTTACGAAAAGGAAAACGAGAGGTTGAAAATTGATATCTATCATTTCTCAAATTGTATGTTCAAGATGTCTGAGTACTTCAATATGATTTGATTATTATAAAGCAAAAAAATATAACTACCTTTGTGCAGGAGTCACTGTTTGTATATTGTATGCATGTTTCACAGTAGCAAGAATCCAGTATCAAGTAAACTATATTTCCATTTGGATGACGGCAGTTCGTAGAACTATTTCTGACTAAACAGGTTTTACTAGTTTGACACCAGCCACACGATGCATCAGACAGACATTCCAGACATTGTGAATACTTCATACAGTTATTTGAATAAAATGGTCTAACATATGTGCCATTAATCTAAACACAAAAATCGTTTTCTAAAAGTAATACAAAGTCGCTGTTACCGTTCATTGCTACACATTCGTATAACGTATAACGAAACTACTTAACATGTCTAAAGATATACAATTAACTACACTCCATCAATAAATACAAAAATATTATCTATACATACAGCATCACCATCATGAGAATGCCATGAAACTTCGAGGAGAACATTTTTCAAATCATCACTTTTCTGAAACTCAGTTCTGACTTCAATGTAATACAAATTTTGCCCTTTACGAAGTTCGGGAAATCTTTTTTCTCTAAAATCCACATTATTCGTCGTTTTCTTTGATATCACTTTTTTCTTAAAATATCAAATAATTTGCTGTGAATATTTGTTCTAGTTTCACTTCATCATATTTAATAAATTAATAAGCTAAGATTTAAGATGATTTGAGTTCTTAAGTTCTTGTAAGGTAGTTAGTCCAGTATTGATGAATTAAAAAGATTTTGTTAGTGAGGTAGTTAGTTCCAATATTGATGAATTAAAAAGATTTCCTTAGTGAGGTAGTTAGTCCAGTATTGATGAATTAAAAAGATTTCGTTAGTAAGGTAGTTGGTTCCAGTGTTGACAAATTACAAAGATTTTGTTTATAAGGTATTAAATTCAACAATTCATTCTCCGGAAACCACGAAAATTGCGGATTCCCAAAACATAAACTTTTCCTCCACATCAAAAGAGACTAAAAAAGAATTTTAACAACACAAAAACCGCAATAGTTACCGCATTAATACTTTGCTCGTCCCTACTCAAACGAATACTTGCAGAATTCATATGAGAACGAAGAACAAGAATTTTATCGAAGGAAGGTGTTGATATAAATGGATATATAAATCCTGTCCAAGAAACCTTGATCAAACCATTGGTTGGAGGAAATTTTAAACGACGAGTAGAGGTATAAAAGTCTTCATCACGTAAAGGATTTATGACATAAACATCATATAACCGATCTTCAAAATATATCTTTGCCATCAATCCAGGAGGATCATCGCAGATCCAACATTCATCAAAGGATTTCAGGAATAAAGCCTTATTGCCCCACCATCCTTTTGTATGTAGTTTAGTTTTAGAGCACGCACGTAAAGGATTGTCACGTGAATAACATGTGCTATCTTGAACACACCAACCACATTCGACATGAGAGCTTGAGCCCCACGTTAAACAATGTATACAATGCTTGAAGACGGAACAAGAATGATCTTGATTGTCTGAGATAAGACTTGGTGAGATTTTATATGCAATCAAATCACCGCGAACAATACCACTGAATCCTCCAGAAACAACAAGTATTCTTTTATTTAGTAAATGGGCGACGTGAGAAAATCTACCGGGTCTGACATGGTCGTAGTTCTCATCAAAAGATTTCCACACAAAAGTTTTTAAATTGAACATAGAGATTCTGTTTTCATAACACGATTCATCTTTATCGCAAGTATTCAAAATACCACCTGAAATAAAAAGTATTGAAAATGCTTGAAATATTAAACAAACTAAATATTTTGGGGGTTTGGCGTTTATTCAAAAATTGCGATCCATTTTTTCTATATTTATGGGAAAAGAATTCTTTCTCATTTATTTTATGAACGGATTTCATTTGTTTATTTAAGGCAAAATAAAAAATTTAAAAATCACATAAAACAAGATTATGAAAGTCTTACCATAATTTACGAGATAATGTCCCATCAATATAGAAGAATGATAAGCTGTTGGATGAACAGTCTTCAATGAAATATGAACATTTAACCACACATGGCTCTCAAGATGAAAAAAAAGTACATGGTTCACTTCTTTGTTTATCCTGCATTAATATAAATACAAAAAAACATGGTAAGATATAAAAAAGTTGCGAAAAAAATGAAGTTTTTCAAGAAAAAAATTATCGCAATACCGTTAAGTATGATTAAATAACATGCTTTTGTATCTTTCCATAGTTAAACCATAATCAAATGTTTGTTATTTACCTAAAACCACCATACACAATCAATGATTTTAATTCTTCATAAACAACACACGAATGTCCCACAAGACGAAGATCAGATAATTTAAAAAGTTTATAAGTGATTGATATCCAACTGCTACCGTTGGACAAGTCAAAACTAAACATTTGATGTGAAAAATTACGATTTTCCATTTCACCTGAAAATGAAAAAAAGCATCTTTTCATAATTGTTATTACATCATCGCGTCAAAACAATGACGTCATTACATAATTAAGCATAATTGGAACACTTAACACAAAATATTGACAATTTATATAGTTGATATAAAGTATTACTATTGCATTTATTTGATTAATTTAATACCGCCAAATATAATGAGTTAATATTGCTCACACATGAGCAATGAGACGCTAACCAGGAGGACTATTTTTATTATTTCCAAGACTCCATGTTTTGTTGTAATGTTGAAAACCATAATTCATTGGAAAGACTGCCATTTTTCAATTTTCCACCAAAGACAACGAGAGAATCTTTATAAGAAACCATTGAATGTCGAGCTCTGGCTGTCTAATTATTTATTTAGAAAATAGAAATGAACATTTTAAATAATAAAATATAACTTTAATTCAGACAACTTACTGGTCCATTTCCACCTTCCCATGAAATCTTTGTCCAGTGGTTGTCTTGAAAATTAAACTTTACCACATCATTGAAAATCTCATTAAGATTACAACCTAAACAAGCCAATTTAACAATCTAAGTAAGACTATTACTATGTCAAAGTCGGATTGAAATTGCCACCAATCCTCGGGATGTTCCACATCTACAAACATGTAAGAATACTTCCTGGCTTCCAACCATTACTTACTATACCACATGGTATAAATGTTTCTACAACACTATACCATTTCTATAAGATGCTAACATTTACTGCCTGTAAAATCAACTATGCATTTCATAGCAAACTTTTGAGTCCTAACCATATTAATGACTGACATTATAGAGAACAAACAACAAGGTCTCTCTAACGAAATCTATGCAGATGATCGACAGCCATAATGACAGCCATAAATTTGTTTCTTGAATCCCCACATATAGATAGGAATTCTGAGCTGATTAACTAGAATTTATCATAAATATTCAGTACTAAGTTAAAAGTGAATTGGATCTATTGTGTATTTCTCATATAAGAAATGTAGTGAAAGATTAACTACGTATTGACCTGAAGTTAGGCTTTAATCAACGATAAACATAACCTAATTACAAAACATGGCGACTGCCAAGACAGAAGAGCGCTGACAATGATAATAACTGACTCATAAGCCACAAGAACCCCAAAACCATATAAAATGCACATAGAAGCGAATGTGGTTATCACGACAAGAAACTCGCTGAAGTGCACAATACAGCAGAAAAATAGTTACCTCCAAATATCCATAAATCATGATTTACAATAACTCCAGCATGGCTGTAACGATTCTTGAATATAGAGGAATGCTCACTAAGAACATGCCATTGATCAGCTGTAACATCATCATCATCGCTGACAAAAAGTGAGCAAGATTGACCAATAAAATTTGATTGACAAACACAGCTGTTACCCTACAACAGACATAGCGCTCATCTCACATAAAATAATTAAAATGAAAAGAAAGTTCTCAATAAAGATTAAAATTCTAAAAATTACTTTCCAATAACCTCACCTGAACACAATTTCCATGTGCCTTGATATCATTACAGCCATTAGGACATTGTTTAATTTCACAAGCTCTACCTGTGTGTAGTTTATCACAATAACATTGATATTCATGACATGCCCCATTACCACTACAGTTGTTAGGACAATTTGTCACAACAAAATCAATGATACAGCAATTTCTTACATAGCTGTAGTCACTAAAGAATTCTATAACAATCTAAAAAAAACATAAAATCACTTATTCATTTAAGCATGTTCTGCCATATTCTAAGTTTCTTTAAAATACATTGCTTTGCAAATATGAATTTGTGCCCCCCCTCTCTCCCCAATTAACAAGTTTGCTTTGTCACATATGTTGAATAAAACCTTGATTAACAGACACAACTTATTGAGGTTATTTTTTTCAAAGTGACAAATGTATTGGCAAAATCTTGATTTTTTGAATCAATTTACTAGTTTTTTGCGAATTTAGCAAACATCTAGCAATATTGGAGTAGCTGCTACAGACAGTAGTGAATACTTACCCCAGATGTGTTTGAGAACAAGTTGGTGGGTAATGTGTTTCCACTAAAAACACCCAACAATGTTTTTCTTGATAATCCATCATAAACTTTTAAATAATCAAAACCACATTTGGAATCAAAATACTTGAATTTTAATGTAATAGTTTGTTGAGCTTCAGGAGCTAAAAATGTATTAAAAAAGGTGCTTCAAGTATAGCCAAAATACTGTGAAAAATTTATAGAAATGCGACATTACTTACAATGTTTCAATCAAAAAGTCAAAAGTTAATTAGAGAAAATCGCTTGAATTAGGGATTTACACAGATTGATTTACGGATTATTTAGAAGGAAGATTATCAAAAGCACAAAATTAAAATACAAAAAGTGAACTTTGCATAGAAGAAAAAGTTTTAATTAATGCAATGGTATAAAAATTATTTCTATAAACTAATGACTAATGACTTATTAAAGATTATTGTCATTCCCCATTCATGACTATAAAATCTTACCTCGTATTAACCATTCACAATGAATATTTGTCAAATTTGTCGATGTGTTAGCAGTGTTGCTTACAATTATTCTTCCTTTCATCGTCTCTAACAAAGTCTTTCCTCCACATGCGGCAAATACAATACATGCGAAATAAATAAAATCAAAAACACAGTAATCCTTTAGCGATACAGAAACACATTTTATGTTCATAATCGTTCTTCTTTTCCGTCGCTAAGGTAATTTATGACAACAAAAATAGCATCATTCAACAAATTCATTGACAGCGTTTGAATTCTTTAACGAAAATTTTCAACTCCGTATAAAAGGTCGTACAAAAACCTTATACCATTCTTTTCCTTAGAAACTTTGGAAGGGTGTAAATTTCAAGTACCTGTCAGAGTAAAACAACTTCTTAATAACGTTTTCTACCGATGTATTCCGACGTATTCCGGCAATATAAAATTATCTCAACAACACCTGTTTAAATATTATCAATTCGTAGCAATACTTAACCTAATTTCCTGCAAATGTAGATGTACTTTATCAAACAAGAGCAATTACTGAATATCTTAAAAGAATAAATGCAAAGTAGTCTATTTATTATCAAGACAAATAATACTTTTGCATCAAAACAACTTTTTTTTTGTGTAATGTACGATGCCTCGCGATTTTACGAATTCGTTGATATAAAGAAACAAACAGATCTGTACTAATGTGATGAAATGAAACAGGCTTCGTTTATCGTTTTCTCTCTGGCCTAAAATATTTACATCTTATTTCTTCAGACTATCGTTTCATCTTTAGATGAGATGACAAATTTAAAGAAAAAATAAACAAAAGCGTTCAATACAAGTGAAGAAAAAATAAATGGAGTGAATTATAATTATTCCATCATGCTATAAGAAATTGTTATTTAATATATTTGTTCATAAATTTCTTGTGAAATTCGGATCTTAAAGTATCGTTTATAAACTTTCCTTCCTGAAAAACAACAACGTACAAATTTTGATCATAAAAATGATAAAATGAAGAATTGTGGACAACAAAGTTGTAAAAGAAAGTAATTTACCTTTCCTTTCTCCGGGATTCCTTTAGCGCAATTTTTAAATACAACATCATCATCCCATCTAAAGTTAACTTAAAACAATCAATTCTCTCTTTTCCGACATCCTTCAATATCCCTTGACAAACCATTTTACCTTCGTTTAACTTGAAAGTTGGAAGATTGCTGTAACAACGGATTTCCTTGCAAAATATTCTCAGTTCTAATTCGCTCTTCTTCAGCTTTTTTTTCTAGTTCCTTATCAACGAAAAATAACAAAAACATAAGTGTGAAATAACTAAATGTATTTTGTTTTAATATGAAGATACTTTCACGATAAAAAATCAAAAATGAGTTTTAAAAACGAAAGAATAGAAAAATAATTTATAAGAATATACACAACCAACTTTTTTAGCTTCTTCCTGAGCTCTTTCTTTCTTTATTCTTTGTAGTTCTGCTAAAAGTTCAGCTGTATCATCTTCATCATCACTAGAAGTAAATTCAATGTTAACAACTAAATAAAGAAAATTATTATTGTTTATCGAACAAAAATAACCTTTCATTAGAATCATCAGAATCTTCCTCATCAACCGGATCATCAGCGTCCAAATTAGTTGTACTCAGTTGGTCTAAACGAGATTTTTTTGAATCTGATCGACTTCCTCTGTCTTTTGCGCGTTCCCTTGTAGCTTGACGCTCACGTTCAACCAAATCACGTTTAAAATCTTTTTCACGCAATTCATCAAGGCTATCTTGACTGGTTAGTCTAAAACAACGTTTGTCACCAAGTACCATCATTAGATTTACGAGAACAGAGGATGACAAAGTCAAAGGATTTTCCATGTTTCAATTCTTGTAGAGACACTCGTGTACACAGATAAAATGAGCAAGCATGAAAAGTTCTTTTTCAAAGTCAATGAAAGTTTTCCAACGTATTCAAGTTAAATTTTATTAAATACACATTTGCTTTATGTTGATTGCTTTGTTTGACAAGCCAAGAAAATCCTGACCATTCATTGGTGAATGAAAAATGCTACTATCTTATGACAAAGAGAAATGTGGTGATTGTTGCATACTGTAAATAATAATTTGCAGGGTAGATGCAAACGTTTACAGAACAATATAGCTGTACTTCCAGATGGACAAAAATTCAATTCAATCCTGTCTCTGTTATATCTTTCATATCTCTGATCAACTTACATAAAACTACATACATAAGTACATAAACCCAAAGTGTTGGGAAAAACAGGCTTGATTTCACATTACCAAAGTGCTGCAAAAATTCCAGTTTTAAAAGTTCCAAATTATTGTGTTAAAGTTCATAAAATATCAATCTTTATCCATCCCTTGTAACATTCACAATATGTATGTATGTATGTATTTATGTTACTTTGTTAAAAGTAAAGAAACATATTTTAGAAATGAAAAGGTACTTTAAGAACTGCCACCACACATACTAAGGAATAATAAGACATGGTATCAATTGAAATTATTGTCTTGATAAGTGCTTTTGTTTAATACAAATCCTCTAATTCTGGTTTAATGTATAACTCCATTGATAATGTTGAAGACTACTTAATGCAAGAGTATGTAGCAATCTTTTTTAAATTAAACAACTAATATCAAACAACCTAAAATCCTAAAGAAAAGATTTGGTAACAGAAATGGCTTAAAAACATAAGGATTTAAAAAATATTTGATATGATATGTGGCATATTATCAACTAACAGTAGCTACAAAGATGTTGGCATTTGTATTAAAATTGGCATTTTGGTATTGCGCTGTATTTTATTAAATCCAACTGAGTTTTTGTTGAAGTCATTATTGCTGGCAGTTTATTCACAGTTTAAACTTGCAAGTATACAGTCTAAATTTACAATAAGTTATAGTTCAATGTTATATGAACATCATAGTAACATACAGACTGAAAAGTTTGTATTGCACACCTAAAGTGGGTGCCTAAACACATAAACTTTAAATCTTTAGTGCAACGTGCACAATTTACAAACTTTTCAGTTTGTTCTATGTCTGTAGTAATCTCTGATCTACATAATGACTCATAGAAAGTGGATGATTTTAAAATTGATAAGGACAAAAAGTTTAAATTAGCAGCAACAGCACCAATGAAACAAAAATATTTACAAAAAAACGACTATTGCAACTAATATATCTTAGTAACAAACCTTCTTTTCAGCTTATTATGAGAAGGTAAATCTCTACTGGAGTATTGTTTCGACAAAGCTGATAAATCTCCTTCTCCCTTTCCTCGTCCTCCTCTGGCTGGCTCAAACGTCGGTCTGGCCGCAGTAGTCATTTTTACCTTTATTTACCTGACAAAAAAACGTGAAACATTCACAGAGCTCGTCTCTGATTAATGAAATAATTATTTTTGGTGAGGGAATGGTAATTCTTTGATTCTGATAGTTCACAATCAAATGAAAGTTTAAGCACACGTTTCCATACGCGAAAAGTAGTCGACCCACTACCGGATGACGGACATGGTCGGGACTCTTGGGGCATTTTTACGTACCTTCAGTGTGTAGATCATTATAATAATCTCTATGGTGTATGCTGCGTAAATATTCTTACCTTTAGAAATTGGACAGTTGTTAAAAACTTCAAAATGTTAAAATTGGAATATCTGGTCACTATCCTAAGCCCACTCGCAGTGGGGTCATTGAGTGGAAGTGTGCAGTAGTCGTGTGATTTTTGTAATTTGTAGTGGAGAAAAAGTACCATTCATAAAATATCCCTCATATTTGATCAAATATTTCCAGAAATCAAAGTAACAAATAATATATTTTAGTTCATTTGTTCAAACGTAAGCATTTTCTAAGTACCGGAATTAAATCGAATTACAATTCATGAATTGTGACTGAGTACTTGAGTACAACCAACTGGCAGAGTGGAAACAGGCCATAAACAGGCACGTAGCCAAATGGATGATGGGGGGGGAGGGGGAGCATATTCATACAAGCATAACATGCCGTGTTAGTTTCTTCTGAAATTCATTGTTTATTACTGATTATAAAATGAATATATGAATATGCTCCCCCCCAATTATTGTTCTGGCTACATGCAAGAGTGGAAAAAACAGTGGAAACAAATCCAACGAAAACAAAAACAAAACATAGTGAGTGAAAATCCCACCTCCATTGGCTTGTTCTACAAACAAAGCTCCTTTGTTGTGCTCTTAAACCATGAAATTGTGAAGTCCAAAATTTCACATGGGTGACTTAAGTCGTTGGGGAATCCCAAATTTTCCAATTGTCATCTAAAATTTTGACATTATACCGACACAACTCGACTATTCATTACTTCAACAACAGAGAAGAAATTCTTCACTCCCATCGATTAAATTTTTTATTACATTGGGATGAAAGAAACACGTCTATTTCTTACTTGTTTGTTATTGGTTAAGAAATTTTTGGTTCTTTCTCGTCCTATTTTTCTAATTTTTTTCACTGACGGTAATCAAATAGCTACGTTTTAGTTTACTGATGAAAATTTAATTGTTTGTTCGCGTTGACTTCCGTTGAAAATGTTGTTCCAACTCCTGAGAAGCCATTGAACCATTTGACAACTTTGTGTACTTTAACACACACCATGTTTGTTAATTGGACTAAAATTTAATCATTCGCAAAGAAGAATGAAAGGAAAAGTATGTTTAGCAGTTTTAGTGATAAGTTTTATTCTTTACATAATGGATGTTGTATCAGATATTTACGTAGCAATTCAACACTACAGAAACGATGATAAATGGTGGTGTGTCATCACTGTAATATTTGTTCTCATTCCTCATTTTATCATTAATACTTACGCAGCGTGTGTTAATGTAAACTTTCTGTGGATCCGTCGTGAAAAATCTTTAATGATGTGGTTATTACAAATATCAATTTTTACCACGTTCAAACATGAGTTCTTCAAATGGAAACGCAAATATTGGAAAAAAAGTGATGAAAATGTTTCACAATATTCAGCTGACATAACGCTATCACTGCATCATACATATCTGTGTGTTGTTGAAGCATTTGGGGAATCAGCGCCTCAGTGTTGTTTACAGAACTATATTATGTTACGTTATTGGCACTTTCCGTGGTACACTGTTTTATCAACAGTTATATCTCTACTGTCCTTGGCTTGGAACATTCTCACGCTGGAAACATCTTGTAAATTGTGTCAACTGCCTTCCGTTCAACTTTACTCTGTCCATGAAAATAAAGTTTTTTCATTTTATGCGAGGAATTACTTTACAAAGCGATCGATGCTAATCTTCCTTTTAGCTCATATATCTTTGTTGACTTCAAGAATTGCATCTTTAGTTTTTTTTGCTTATGTATTTCGTTATTATGCCTTTGTTTTAGTCATATGTCATTGGCTTTGTATATTCACTGTAATTCTGTACTTTAAGTTTCCTGAGAACATAAGTTGTAAGATTCAGGATGGATTAGCAGTTGTTTTAGAGAATTGTTTAAGATCTTATCCTATGATGTTTTGCTTCTCCCACAGTATAGCACAAATCAGTTTCCCGAAAAAGATAAGTAGCAAGTTTAAAGTTTGTGCGATTGTTTTCTACTGTATGTTTTTCATGGAGAATTTATTGATGATGTTCCTGGCTGTGGGAAGAACAACTGTTCACAAAAAGTTGTTGTCTGAAATAATGATATCTCTGGTATTGTTATCTTCCATTTTCGGAGCCACGCTGCTTTGTTTACACCACAAGATTCTTCAACATTCTAAAATATTCCCGATAACTCACGATGACACATTACAACAAACTGAAACGTTTTTATGATATATTGTGTTGTAACATAGAAATAATCTGCCTTCTATTAGTTTCTTTCCCATTAATTTTAATTGGTTAAAGTTTTTGATACACCCTGTAACTATATACAGAAGGACACTAGTTTCAAATTTAAGAATAAAAGGTAACCTTTGATTGATTTGTAACAAATTTTAATCACAAGAACATGAAAAGTTCAGCTTTTATATTAGTACCTATTTGTGATGAAAAAACGTTATAGAACACAGCATATACATATATGTATAATATAGAAAGTGAACAAGTTCATATTAACCTTGAACACAAAAACTCAGTTATACTATGTATTACCTATAAAACCATCTAATGCTGTATGAATGTTTGAAATGTTTTGTAGCACGTTTGAAATTATGACAATTTGTCATGTTTTGCTAAACTTTGATTGCTTTTTCTAGGATTAGGAATAATAATGGAGATAATAAATAGAGCTGCAAGCACAAAATGTCCGTAAAAATTCATGCTTTTCCAACATTGCCATGTTATAGACAGACTGTGAACCCAAACTCCAACACCAAAATATTCCAACATACGAACACCAACAAACCAACTGACCCAGTCATAACATTTCTGTTTCTCTTCACTAAGATAAGCTCTGAACTTATAATCACAATTTTCTTGAACCAATTGAGCCAACATTATGAAGAAAAACGACATATAATAGCCAGGAGCTATACCATGCCAGAATGCACTTACTACAGCTACCGCTGAAAATCTAAAAATAACGTTTAAAAATTGGTTGTCTCACCACAGTAAAGCCTGGCATTAAGAATCTGTTAAACAACAATGTTTCATTTTTATCCTCTATAAATATAAAAAAATGTCCAGGTCAAATTTTCCGAAACTTTAGTAAATTGAAAAACATGTGCCATTTTTTAGCCGAATGTGTTTTAATTTCGTTTAATTTGTGTCATTTTTAGGCCCGTTTCTAACGTCAAATTTCAAATGTGCAAATGCACTAGTGTAGAAACAAAAGAAAACGAGGAAGTTTAAGTATCCCAATTTCATTTGTTTTTATTTTGTAATTTATTCGACACAAAATATGTTCGACGTTTGAAACAGCCCTTAGGCCCAAGTTTTTTTAGAAGTGCTTTTCTTGCAGTAGCACTTTTCTAACTCTAAAGAGTAGTTACTGGCGATGTATTAACAAATGAGCCATTGGAAGTCCAGTTTTTATACACATTAATGACTAGATCTCACTACTGACTCTCCAAGACCTCGCGATTGACTCTCCAAGTTCTTGCTACGTATTGACTACCCAAGATCTCACTATTCACTGCCCAAGATCTCACTACTGACTACCCAAGATCTCACTACTGACTACCCAAGATCTCACTACTGACTACCCAAGATCTCACTACTGACTACCCAAGATCTCACTACTGACTACCGAAGATCTCACTATTCACTGCCCAAGATCTCACTACTGACTACCCAAGTTCTCACTACTGACTACCCAAGATCTCACTACTGACTACCCAAGATCTCACTACTGACTACCCAAGATCTCACTACTGACTACCCAAGATCTCACTACTGACTGCCCAAGATCTCACTACTGACTACCCAAGATCTCACTACTGACTACCCAAGATCTCACTACTGACTACCCAAGATCTCACTACTGACTATCCACGATCTCACTACTGACTACCCAAGATCTCACTATTCACTACCCAAGATCTCACTATTCACTGCCCAAGATCCCACTACTGACTACCCAAGATCTCACTATTGACTACCCAAGATCTCACTATTGACTACCCAAGATCTCACTATTCACTGCCCAAGATCTCACTATTCACTACCCAAGATCTCACTACTGACTACCCAAGATCTCACTACTGACTACCCAAGATCTCACTACTGACTACCCAAGATCTCACTACTGACTACCGAAGATCTCACTATTCACTGCCCAAGATCTCACTATTCACAACCCAAGATCTCACTACTGACTACCCAAGATCTCACTACTGACTACCCAAGATCTCACTACTGACTACCCAAGATCTCACTATTCACTGCCCAAAATCATACTATAAACTGCTTAGTCATAAAACTTACAATACACCTTTGCTACAACTATAACATTTGGCAATTGTTTACCTCACAATTTTTTTTTTGAATGGAAACTGTTGATAAACATAAGCTGCCATCCACCATTGGACTGTTGTATTCCAATTTCTGATCATAATCTTTAGTGAAGAAAATTCAGCCTTTCTTAAATACATACCACGTATTGTCTCAAAGCTAAGAAATAACAGAAATAATCGCACATCAATATTGTTCGGAAGAACAGCAATTATTGCATTTGCTATGTAAATAATTACAATTAAAGTTAAAATTATTAATTTAAAATTTATTTCTTGTTTGTGAGTTTTTTTTATAAACTTTAACATGGAATGCATGTATACTTTTTTTCATTTCAGCAATGTTCTAACACTGATTCAAGTCTGAACTGACACCCTAAAAATCGCAGTTCTGCCGAACGTTAACCAATACTTCCGTGAAACTATGTAGAAATCATGAAACGTTAACCAATACTTCCGTGAAACTATGTAGAAATCATGAAACGTTAACCAATACTTCCGTGAAACTATGTAGAAATCATGAAACGTTAACCAATACTTCCGTGAAACTATGTAGAAATCATGAAACGTTAACCAATACTTCCGTGAAACTATGTAGAAATCATGAAACGTTAACCAATACTTCCGTGAAACTATGTAGAAATCATGAAACGTTAACCAATACTTCCGTGAAACTATGTAGAAGTCATGAAACGTTAACCAATACTTCCGTGAAACTATGTAGAAATCATGAAACGTTAACCAATACTTCCGTGAAACTATGTAGAAATCATGGCAAAGTAATTTAAGTAAACGCAACTATACAATAATTACGAAGGATGATTATAAAATAAGGACAACACGCGCATAGGGTCGAGAGTGATATTTCAATAAATCAATTTATCGCGATATTTTCATAACACGGTTATCGTATCAAAAGTAAAAACTTGAGTAATGATTTATCGAAGTTATCGTCATGCTTGATGACTATTATGATATTGCTTTGATTTTATGTACATTTAGCTTTTATAAAACCCGAAATGATTTTTTCTTCCGAGAAAATATAGCTCAAACACCAATTTTCCAAAATAAAACTATATTGAATCACTGACATTTATCAGTTATTGAATGTTGAGTAACCATCATAAACTTTACTTTGTTGTTTGTGTTTAGTTCATTGTAAAGTAAATGGTTTGAACCTGGGAGTATCGTTACATGTTTGTAGATGCAGATCGTACAGGTTAGTAGAGTCTAAAGGAATGGTTTGAACCTGGGAGTATCGTTACATGTTTGTAGATGCAGATCGTACAGGTTAGTAGAGTATAAAGGGAATGGTTTGAACCTGGGAGTATCGTTACATGTTTGTAGATGCAGATCGTACAGGTTAGTAGAGTATTAAGGAATGGTTTGAACCTGGGAGTATCGTTACATGTTTGTAGATGCAGATCGTACAGGTTAGTAGAGTATAAAGGGAATGGTTTGAACCTGGGAGTATCGTTACATGTTTGTAGATGCAGATCGTACAGGTTAGTAGAGTATAAAGTAAATGGTTTGAACCCGGGTGTATCGTTACATGTTTGTAGATGCAGATCGTACAGGTTAGTAGAGTATAAAGGGAATGGTTTGAACCCGGGAGTATCGTTACATGTTTGTACAGTAGATCGTCCAGGTTGGTATAGTCCTGAGAAGGACTGTTTTTGTTGTTGTTGACAAAGGTTGTCGAAACGTCAGTCAACAACAACAAAAACAGTCCTTCTCAGGACTATACCAACCTGGACGATCTACATTTACAAACATTTAGTTCATTTTGTTTATCAAAATTTAGAATTGTGGTGCTTTTTTGGTATATTTATGACGATATTATTGAATATCGTGATGCTATCTTAAATACAGTCGTGAGCTGATTTTTTGATTATCACCCAACCCTAGTACATGCGCATCAACTAATCATAACTTTGCAGCAAAATGAATTTATATTCCAAAATATCATCAAGATTATAGTTATATAAAATAAGATAGAGAAATTTCTATGCTAAGTACCTTTATAAGACAGAAATAAACATTTCTGCCTTATCTTTTATTTACAACTGTAATCTTGATGATCAATTATATGTTTCGTTGTACAATTCTCAATACTTTAGCTAGTCTAAGGATTCGGATTAAGAACAATATTTCACTGCAGCAATATGGAACCCACTATAAATAACATTTAAGTTAACTTACCTATATTTTTTATCTTTAGTTATCAAGGCTGAATGAATATATTTCTCAGTCTTCAATATCCTATCATTTTCAGAGATATTATTAATATATGGAGACGGTCCTTGTCCTGATTTGGGTAGTGTTTCAGTAGGATATGCTCCAAGACATAAAGTCATAGCACTACTTTCTGACATATGAGTACCAATGTAAATTCTACATCGAAATCGAACATCTGCCAATGCCAACATTAGTATTTGTATCATAAGAGATTGATTATGAAACTCATCTTTGTGGAGATATGCTGGAAACCATTGACTAAAAAAAGTATAACCTACAACAAACACTGGTAGATATGTCAACCATCTCCATGCAACCTCATCACTTTGAATAACATCTCCGTTACTTTGATGCAACATATCAATATATGTTTGGTATTTGTAATAAGGTCCAGTAAAAATACCACAATAACAATAACCAAAGCTTAAGAAATGAAAAAATGACATTTCCTTAAAATGTTTATTCTTTTCTTCATTTATTGTTTGAGATTTCTCACAGTTTTCACGAATTTCAAATGCTAGTCCGACCATCTGTAATGAAATAATTCAACACAAATTTTGACAAAATTATTTATACAATCAAATAACAATTTCAAAAACAATCATTGTTAAACAATCAAACTGATAAAACTACCATTGGTTTCTACTTAATTCAAAACACAGACATAATTTAAATATGAATAGAGGCTGAATTTAAGGTTAATAATTTTGAAGTTCATCTGTACAAGAAAAAAAATTTAAACTCATTTAAGCTCATTTCTCAGAGAAATTTTAGTTAAAACAACCAATCAAACATCTAAGAATATAATTTAGTGAAATTTTTTTATTCTTTAACACATTCACATTGCTCAATAACACTGTACAAATAATTTCTAACTATTAACTTTGGCTCATAGATTTTACCAAAAATTTCTGTTTTTTACTAGACAAATCCCAATTCAAGATGTGTCAAATATTAAAGCAAGTATTGGATCATCAAACAGACAAATAATTTTAATTATTGTCATTCTCTAACAGAGGAACATTTACGAAACAAATAGGGGATGTTGTATGTGAACAACTTTTAGTGTTTATAATTGAACTCAATTTTAGGCTCTCCCAAAATTCGTTTTGATTTAAATGATTGTAATATAAAACATAATACGAAAAAGACCACTTTGTAAGCCTAAATTCAAGTAATCAAACAAGACAATTTGAAATACAACCAAAATATTACTTTTTTTATTTATTATCTTGCTTATTAACTTGAATTTAAGTTTACAAAATGTCCTTTTTCGTATTATGTTTTATTTTATACTTTATGAAATTGTCATCTTGTCAAGGATTGATCATTGTGTTAATGGCTAGTACTCACTCTGAGAGTCATAAAAAGTTGAACATTATCACTGTAGGGTGAAGGATGAGGGAGACCATATTTTGTGCAGGTTCTGAAGAAAAACAGGTATGCAAATACAAAGAGAAATGCCAACCAGTTGTACCAAGGTATCCATCTATAAAATGTTGTGAAATTAATGAATTATTAATATTACACGTGAAATTTTCATTTTATAAGAATAACATGCATCTCAATCTATTTACAAAAATTATTTCAATAATATTTTACCTGGATAGTTTGCAAATGTTGTAAGTCGCCACAATAACTATGAAAGAATGCCAGAAATCATAAAAACCGTTGAGAAATAGCACAAGACAAACGCCTGCCAAGGTACAAACATGGCGCTTCAAAATAGGAGATTTTATTTTTTTTACAAGGTGGCCGAACGGTATTGACACAAGTAAAGCAATAAAGAATATAATATCTCTAAGCTGCATTCCCAAATTTCATTGACATGAGTTTACACAACCAAAGCCAAAATTCAATACAATGAAAATGAATTATTGTAAATTTGGCTTCAGCCATTACATTGATGTGTACTTTAACGCTATTGGTCATTAAAATTACCTTGGACCAATCAAATTTAATGTACTCTTTTATTTATGTTTTTATTGATGATAACATTGTATTCTTTGTTGTTCTAATCTGTAGCACATGGTCCTGGCACGTGCGTAGATAGTACTTGATACTCATTAATCAACCGAAAAAAAGCATTTGTAAATGCTATAATTTCTCCCAGTGATCGCTTGCACAATGCAAAATATTTCAAAATCATATTTTGAAAGCCTGGTTAATAGTAAGTTGACGAACTCGATGCGACGGGCTGACTGGCCGAGACTGGTGACATCATCACTATGATTGACATCTGTGAATCCAGTGCCTTAAGATAGCATCAAACATGAAACTCTGATAGTTAAGATTAAAAGTTAAAACTATTAGGATTTTATCTTATTACATATAAAATATAATTTATGTTTCCACACTTTTCACTTTTTTCGAAATTTATATAGACACCTCCCTTAGAGAATGTCACAAATAAAGTTCTCCAAGAACTTTCGTTAAAAATCTGTTTTCAGCAATCGTAAAAATAACTACACAATCTAAAGCAAACGAACTACGCACACATTGACACTGGTAAAATTATGTACTTTACAACCATAAAGACTTTTTTACAAGAAAGAGCAAGCCAGATATTTTTTATAACCATACTTAATATTTACACCCCCCCCCCTTTCAACATTTACATAAAAACGTGCTAATGGTGCGATATGTGATGTAAGAGTTTACAGAGCAAAATTCTCATCTCTTTCAGTTTATAACTACATAATGTAAACATTACGTTCATATTTTCAAATACGTTTTCGTTCAAAAACAATTTCAAACTTTTCACACAATCATTGTAGTCTTTGTACTTGCTATATACATTTCATATTAACAAACACAGTGACGTTCTGTGGTACAGCTTTGATTTGGTTGAAGGCACAACACAATCTCTGAAACTACAATACAAAAAACACATCATTGGAAACGCAAAAATAAATGTATTTTCAAAAACAAAAAACTAGCCCTGACGTCTGATCGAATTATAAAACGGGAGGTGAGTGAGTGGGTGGGTGGAGGGAACATGCATGCGAAGTTTTTAAAAGCCGTCAAATTTGCATGCGATTACATCAGATTTCTTGGGAACAAGGACCTTTGGAAGGAAGGAAAGGTCTGTCAAAAAGGAAAAAATATTAAAAGGACAGAATTCTAAAAAGGAACTGGTAATATGTGATTAAGCTGAAATATTAGTCGACGGTGATGTTATGACAATAAGTAAGGATTTTTACCGACAAGCACTCAAAAAAAGGTCAATAGTCTAAGTGACAGCACAATAACCGATACAGAATTTGGTATCCATAGATAAAATTTAACTTAAGTCAGTCACGTGAGTTGATATTAATAATAGATAATTTCTAGTTTGTGAATTCACTATAAAATATTATCAGTTTCGTTATTCGACATTGACAACTTTTAACGGTAAAAATAACAATTCTTACTTTATTAAGGGTCTTCGAAGGAATATCTCTCGCAATTCTTGTAAATGTGAATTTTCATTATCATCTGCCAAAGGCGAGAATTTTTTCAGAGCCTTGAGATTAGCGACAGCAGAACTATATCTTCCATGCCACATGTTATCATGAATGTTTTGATAAAAAATCCTCTTGTCATAATTTTTATCGTTTAATTCTTCCTCAAAAAACTGAAAATCGTCAAGCAATGTAGGTATTTCACATCTAAGCAGCTGTCGAATATAAGGTTCCAATACATTCCAAAATTTCTCTACCTCGATGTTTGACCAAATTGGATCTTGTTTTAGTTTCACGCGAACACTCATGACGCAGGCGAATTTTAAATTATAACAATGTTTTGACCACTACAACGTTAAGTTAATAACATAAATCGTAACGTTTACGTTCGCACAAAAACGTAAACAAAGCCACGCTAAATAATAATGTCGAAATATTGTAAATAATTAACCAATGAAAATTAAGCATTGGACAATTCCAGGGAAACTTTACATAATATTATGGAGTAGTTATGTCTGTGTTACTGTGTATCACGAGAACAGTTAATAATAGATGGAACGTTCTAGTAAAAGCAAATTACACCTCTCGGCAATAACGGAAAATGTCCTCACAATACTTCACCTTTAACTAAAATTCACAATTCTCAAACCATTTGCTTTAAGCGTTTGACCTTTAGAGTATGCACGTGGCTTGTCATGCAGATAAAAATTAAAAGTTACAAAGTACAACAGGAAGTCTTTAAAATAAAAGTTGAACGAACAGTTAAGTGCCACTGTTTATTACCTATACGCGTAGAATTTCAGGGAATCGTTGAATAAATTAGACGCCTCCTTAATGTTTTTTGACTAATTTAAAATTAGATATTTCTTACTCGACTATTTCATACTTCCAAGCAATTTCGTACTTTCCCTGAGAGAGTAAAAATACTCCTGTAGTCGAACTAAAATACTTTTAATTCTCCAATATCCTATTATATGCAACCAACATGTGAAACTTATCTTGACAACCGACAAGACAAAACTAGAGAAACCATGGATGTTTTCTGTTGATCTTTGATTGTTTCGAGACGGCGTTAGAAATGATATTTAAAGTTATTATTTTCTTGAGTGTCTATTCAGGCACAACAAGATTCTTTAGCAGGGAAAGAACAGCAGGGTAAAGAGGACATGTTCCTATAAATACAATAAACGGGTCAAAGAAAACTGAAGAGAAAACATACAAAGATTCGAAAACTTGACAAAATTTTAAATAAGAATAAAAACAATTTAAATTGGCGATGATCACGTGACATGCGCACAAAAATACCAATATTGCAACATGTACAGCAGTCATTGAAATAAAAATTAAATCAACACTTTTGTCAACACTATTCTATAATAAGAATTAGAGAAATCTCATCTCAAGCAAGAACCCTGTGGGTATTTACAACACCTACCTTCCAATAAGCTAGTAGATGGCTCTCCCTTTTTCTAGTATTTTCTCTAAAACTAGTGGCAACTTGAGCTGATGAACTTTATGAAATTAATGAACTTTACCTGGAAGACGTGGAGTTGATTCATTCCATGTTTTAAGATGAGCAATTACAGCCTCCATATGAGTACTTAGTTTTATTGAAGGATCATTTGATTTGTTGTCGAGACTTGTCACGTGACTTGGTGTCGTGCCATTATCCGGGGGGAGAAACATAGGAACAATAATTGCATTCTCGTTACTTTTATTAGAGTTGTTTGTTCGCGATCTTGTCAACTGGATCTAAATATAAGAAAAATAAACTTCATACTGACGTCAGCTATGCAAGTTTACGAGATTCTTCAACTTAAACTGTTTTCAAACAAAACATTGACAAAAATCTCACGTTATGATTTTACTCAAAGTTTCCCATAGTTACTGTAAAAAAAACTATAAAGAGACCACTCGACTTACAAAAAAAACAACTTTATTTTCTGTGACTACAGCAGAATTGCCAAGAAGATTTTTTCGCCTTTCATCACCAGGAGGTACAGTAAGACAGAGCTCAAGATTCCAACGATGACTTGGATCATTATGCTACAAACATGAAAACAATCTTAGTAAACGCTTGCATGAACACAAAGCCAAAAAAATGTAAGAAAACTTCCACAGCAATCATTTACAGATTCGACAAAATTTACCGTTGATCAATCTTAACACTGGTTTTAATATGACATAATTAGTCATAATTTGTTGTATTTATTCCTTAGGAAAACTGAAATCATAATCATCATATTTTTTACGACATGTATTTATGAAAATCAGATTTTAGACAGTTCTGACAAAATACAAGAACATTTTAGTAAAATCATCACGAACTGAATTATGGGGATCCACAACAAATTAATTGAGTCACATTTAAGTGAAAAATATAAGTTTTCAACATTTTAGTGATAATGCAGAATTACCGAAAATTTATAAAACGAAATTTAAAAAAAATATAATTGCCAGAAGCAACTAAAATCGTAGAAATTTTAAAACTTGGAGTTGGTGACAATTTCACGTGTTTCGACAAAATGTATTAACAGCTATATCAATTGTAATTAAATTGAATAAAAGAAAAAAAATTGCGTTTTGCTAAATATACACCAGATGTCAGCTTTTATAATCTGGTTTCATTACACAACAATTATTATCAACTGAAAATATCGTCGACAGTAATAAGTGACATTTAACTGTTCAAAAATCTAACGTATTTTCTTTCATATGTGTTGTACAATGTTTAATATTTTATAAAACCACCCACATGATACAAATGTCACCCATAAGCTATAAAGCGCTGCTCTTCAAAGACTAGCACATCTGTTCTCCTGAGTCAACAATCTTAGCATAATTTTAAGGAGATTTTTTATATATTATATACTTACAAGCTCCAATCTGATAATCTGAATAAAATCCTTTAAAATGAGTTTCTCAGCAAAAACAATTTTCAAAAATGAAACCATATAGTTCGGTTTATACGGGTAAGAAGCAACCTAAAATATAAAAAATAATAACAATCACGTTTTATGATAAGACAACAGTGAATCAAATTATTTGCAATTGATCACGAAAGACAAAAAACATCAAACCTTCAACTCAAAATATTTTTCAAGATCAGCCAGTTCGTCACGTGTCCAACTATTTTCTGGTAAACGAAAAAATAAAATTTTAATAAATTTTAAGAAATCCTACGTACATATTTGTTTATACCATACCTTGAAGATGCAAAGGTTGCACTTCCAGATGAAGAGATGTAAACGTGTTTGAATCTAACTTTACAAATATTTTATGATTTGATGTTTTGAATCCAAAGACGTCCCATGTTTTGGTGGGAATCTAAAAGGTTGGAGTTACAATTTCAAAGAATAATACACGATTAAATCTCAGAACAACAGTCACGACACGTGTAAGTCATACGATTAACTCTTAGAACAACAGTCACAGCATGTGTATGTCACATGATAATCTCCCAGAACAACAGTTACAACACGTGTAAGTCACATGATAATCTCCCAAAACAACAGTTACAACACGCTTGAGTCACATGATAATCTCCCAGAACAACAGTTACAACACGCTTAAGTCACATGATAATCTCCCAGAACAACAGTTACAACACGTGTAAGTCACATGATAATCTCCCAAAACAACAGTTACAACACGCTTGAGTCACATGATAATCTCCCAGAACAACAGTTACAACACGTATAAGTCACATGATAATCTCCCAGAACAGCAGTTACATAATAATCTCCCAGAACAACAGTTACAACACGTATAAGTCACATGATGATCTCCCAGAACAACAGTTACAACACGTATAAGTCACATGATAATCTCCCAGAACAACAGTTACAACACGTATAAGTCACATGATAATCTCCCAGAACAACAGCTACTGTATACCAACCACGAGCAATATGAAAGGTCAACTCATTTCTTCATGTCAATGTCTTACCAATGACTTGGAATATTTTGAGGAAATAACTTTTTTGATATAAATCCACAAGAAATGACATGAAAGTAATTGCTCTAAAGGAGTGACAAGAACTTTGTGACCCCGCTCGTATTGACAGCCACCGGACTCAATATCTTATCAAAACAACTTTGGTTTATAAAAATAGGTCGAACAGCAACCCAGGCAAGAGTACGCCTTGGTTGATTATTGTTAGCGGTCATCAGTTGTTGAGATGAACTTGGAACTGATATGGTCATTCTCTGGTTGCCGCTAAAATAACCAAAAACAAAAGAGGGTAGATTTAATATCCCAAAAAACACGAAATGTTCAAAATTTCATATTCGAAAAATAAATCAAAAAATACAGAAATCGCAAATTTTCTTATTTTCATCTCTTGTTATAAGGTTAAAACCTTGGCCAAACAAGCACAACATTGGCGGAGGAGAGGAGTTAGGAAGAAATAATCACGAAAAACATGATTCAAACAAGCATGAAAGAGGCAACAGGAGAAGAAAAGTGTTAAAATACATGGAGCAGTACAGAACGGTGAATTTCCTCACAGCAACTCATTTTGTGGATACAAACAAAACGCATAATTACGCATTAAGTTCTAGAATAAAAATGTTGAGCTCGTTCGACCAAAGCTTTAGTCCTTTTTGTTTATGGTAACAAGGATGTTATACATATAGCAACGACAAGACTTACGGAATTCTCTGATGAGGGAGAGCATTGGGTACTTGTGTTGACCATGAAGTACTCCCAGGTGATTGCACATGCATGGCTGGAGACTGGACACTAGTTTGAGGAGTAGCTGGTGACGTAACAGGAAGTTGATAGGGGTAGCAGGTGATGATACAGCACTAAAATAAGATGCAGGTGATGGTGCAGGGATATAAGTATTTGTAGACGGAGTAGGTACAGTGAGTACATTTGTCACTGTAGGTGACATAGGGATTGCAGGAGTTGGTACAGGAAAACTTAATGACGAAAATGTAATTAATCTTGGAGGAGGAGCTGAAATAGAAATTTATTTACAGATAACATGGAATGAAAAAATATTATATTGATGTCAAAATTAAGTACAACATAGAATTTGAATAAAATACAGAAACTAGCATTAGTTATACCATGCTTTGTAGAAGAAAAGCTACTGTCAAACATGTTGTATCCACGAGAATATAGAGGTCTACAAAAATAGAGCAAAATTACACATGAAGTTACAGACATGTTCATTTTACTTAGTCTGACACAAAAGACAATAAAAAATGTGAAAAAAAGTGGAAGGTATGCAAAATAACCTCTGATGATTAACAACTCGCGAAACATTATTTCCTTGGAACTTTTGTGATAAAGATTGCCAGTTCAATAAATATTCACTGCTGATAGTTTCTGAATGACCATCGTTGTATTTCTGTAAAAAACCCTGTAAAATCGACAAAAAACGACAGTGAAAATGGATAAAAAACACATTATAGCAAAGGTGAATAACTGGAAATATAACGAAAAAAGTCATAAACATGTTTTATAAAATTTATGAATGGATGATCTACATAACAAGTCTCTCGTTTACATTTATTTTACGTATCATGAGTAAAGCATTCATCAAATTCATTTTAAGTATTTATAAGACTGATTATATAAATAACACAAGAATAACATTGTATCGTACTGAAATATACGAAACAATCTCTACAAAACTAAAAATTAAAATCCTCTATCATCCACTAGGAAAGTTTACACTATGATATTTGATGTTGTGAAGTTTTTCAACTGTAGAAAATCGTGCAAATTTTTGAAAATATATATCAGAATATTTTAAAATGCGTTAAAGGACAGGAAATACAGAAAGAGGAAAAAAGGATATGTTAAACATCTATCTTTAATGATAACTCTTACTTTCAAATACGCAATTTGCTGTAATGGAGCTTGAAACTTCTCAAAAGATAATTTATAATGCGCACAATCTACAAAAAAATAATGAAAAAAAACCATGAAAAATGAAGTTGAGTTAAATATTAAAAATAATGACGATTAAGCAGCAATTTACCTCGCACTGAAATCACATCCTTTGAACGAAAATTAAATTCTAACATATAATAGTCTTTAAAAGAAACCCTAACACATGTAGAAGACTGGGGATGAATCTCAAATGATGGACTGATGGAGCCACGAAACTATAAAACAATATAAATTTGATTAAATATCAAAAAAGGATGAGACATGAACTGCAATAGAAGAGTACATATACTGTAGTGTAGCCTGTCGGACTTTTTACTTTCGGTATAAAAATTCACTTAACGTGAGAATAATAGATTTGCGAAAATATGAATGATGTTAAATCATTTTGTCGGATGTTGGTTTATAAATAAAACCAAAATATTATACTTTTAATTGTCTTGTTTGATAACTTGAATTTAAGTTTACAAGACATCCTTTTACGTATTATGTTTTATTTTATATTTAATGTAAATGATCTTTGAGAATTTACAAAGCGGGAGAAAGTCCGCAAGCTGGCGACACATAACATTAAACGATCTAAACTTCGTTTTACAAAGTATTTTTGACATTAAATAAAACATACCAACGACAGAGAGGTGGGAAGTTTTGATAAAGAGTGAAAAGCTGGGTATGTTTCACAAAGTATCTAAGAAAGAAATCAATAACAAAGTTACAAGTAACATCATCTAACTATATTTTATACCTATAACGAAAAAACGATTAAATTCGTAAGTCATGTACTATATAGGACGAAAATAACAACATTACATATTTATGATACACTTGAAGATAGATCTTGCATGTTTTATTCATAGATCTTGCATTTTTTTATTCATAGATCTTGCAAGTTTGCACAAAAAACCTTCGGTTTAATATTCTACAAAAACGGCTTTCATTGTACAATTATTCCATTCACCATTCCCTCATAAGATTACAATTATATGAAAACTATCATAAAGTGAGTTTGTGTTATACAACGTGAAATCAAGACAAAGATGAAGCTATATAAGCTATACAACTTTCGTACAAAAATGTAGAGAAGAAAATGAAGATAGCCTCATAACAGGAACACATTTTACATAGGGAAATTCAGTCAAGCCTCCATTGCTCATTCTGCTAAAAATGTAAAGTTTACTTACTTTAATGAGAAAAGGAAGATTAAAATGTTTAGCAAATTCATCCTCGAGAACTTTCTTAATTATATCATGTTCATGTCCACACACTTCACTTCCAATATGAGAAAAAGAAAAGAGAATTTTTTCTCGAGCAATGACCATTTTATGGTGACCTTTAAATATCAACACAAATACTAATAAAAATAAAGTAAACATTAAACCACCGAGATTTAACTATTGAAAAACTTACCAAATTTTGAAATGCTGAACCATAGCCAAGAACAAGTTCATTGAAATTAAAAGATTTCACGTTACAAATACTGGAAAGATCACAACGTAAATCTAAAACAAAACATATTAAATCTTCTGGAAAATCCATTTTACCTTTCATTTCATATTTCAAAAGCAGAGTTTCGATCAGAAATATAGTTGAGTATCATTTGTAAGAAAAAACTTACCACATAAATAATGATTCAAGTCCTGTGCATGTGGATATAAGCGACATATACAAGTCCAAGCATCAAGGAATTTTCCCCAAACTTCTTTATCGCTGTATTCCTCTTCATTTTTATCTTGACATCCGGGTTTGAATGATAACAGAATATGTTGCGTGGAAGTGGATTTAAATGGGGGATTGGAAACGACTAACTTGAACAACCAGTGATTTGGAAATTCATAAGACACAAAACAGTCAAGAATCTTTCTTTTTAACTCTTTCACGACATTTTCATCACATTGGCTAGGTGTAGGTAGGTCCAAAATCCTCACACAGATATCCACATTGTTTTTAAAAATTTCGTGATAAGGTATTTTTGCTTTGTTCAACTAAACATACAAAAATAAAAAATCAAGAAGAAAAATAATGGACGATATTATTTTTGATGTGTAACAGCGATACCTCGTTACATAAAATAAGAAAAGGAATTCTTGCGTTACAAACAGCGTAAATTTCGTCAACTTTAGGAGTGGCAGAAGTCGATAAACAATCAATTTTCATCTTTTTTACTGAAACATTTTGTTCCTACATAAAATAACATAATTTAGTTCTTTACTATCGTCTATGACCAAAATATAAAATCTAGTTACCTGCTCATTTAAACAATTTGTTGCATCACGAGGTCTTTGGTAAACAACTATAACATAAACATATCACGTGGTATTTTGTAAACAACTATAACCTTAACATATCACGTGGTATTTTGTCAATAACTGTAACATAAACATATCACGTGGTATTTTGTAAACAGCTATAACCTTAACATATCACGTGGTATTTTGTCAATAACTGTAACATAAACACATCACGTGGTATTTTGTATACAACAAACGCAGATATTACATGAAAATGTATAACAATGAAATTAAAAATGAAAGGATAATTATTTGGGAAATGTCAACTCAAATTATACAATTACTCAAATACAACGACTATTTCTTGAAAATGAACCCACATTATACCTTCATTTCTGATTATTTAAACAAATATATACCTTTATTTCCCACTTATTCACCGAAATAAACCTTTTTTGCCACTACTTAAAAGCACTGTTATACCTTTATTTCCCACTTATTCACCCGCAAAATACCTTCATTTTGTCTGTTTGTCACATCAGATATAAAATCAGGATCAAGCCTGACCAAAGGTCCAGCTTTAAGAAAGAAACCTTCCACTTGTTTTTCGCTATTTTCCACACTACTAGCACGACGTAGTCGACCTTCAGTATTTTCCTTAGAGGAAGGATGGATGGAGGTGTGAGGTTTAACTTTCAGAAGATAAAAATTCTCACAAAATTCTGCATTATCTTGCTCGTCAATTTTTACTTCCAAAACCTAAACAGCAACATTGATCACGAAATAAAAATTTGAGTTTAGGTAATTGCGGACAATTGAAAACTAACGAAAATTTAACTCAAGGGAAAAGATTCACATTACGTACATTGTACATCTTGTTTCATGTGCTCAGTTAACTTACCAAATAATATGATAAATATCCTGAGAACTTCATGTAAAGTTTGTGTTTTGACAATTGACTCAAACGATGATCATTAAAGTTCACGATTGACAAAGATGTTGACGCACAAGTTAAATTTTGTACATTCTTTTTGCATTCATGAATACGAAGCAAACATCTAGAAATGAAATATAAAATGAAATATTCACGATATTTAATAATTCAAGTAAAATATTACTTTTCTGAAAGATTTCTGTTAAACAAAAAGAGCAAAGATTTAGAGTATGTGAATATACATTTCATTCATTCATGCACAAATCAAAATAAAATTACTGACGAACCGGACATCTTTCAGAACAGTTGAGAAACTGTTGATGTCTTTGTTGAGCGAGTTGTTCAGAGTTTGACGAAACTTTATGACTGCAAAAAATAATCAATCATTTGTTGAGATTGTCAGCTTTACCCTTGCATGTATATTATATTAAAAATAGTACCAATAGAAAAGGAATGAAAATTTTAAATCTGAATAAAACAATCGTTGAAAGGTGAAAACGTTACAGTATGAATTGCCTTATCCTAAATTAATATTTATTACCTACTTTCCACAATCATGAAATAGTGAAAAGCTCAAATGAAATTATCATAACAAATTAACATATAAAAGTTTACGAAATATTCACAAAAATGATCTACAATATTTTAGAACAAAAAAAACTTTTACAAATACCAAAAGAACCGCAGTGAATTACAATTTATCGCATGTTGATGCTAACCATGTCTACGAAATGCCTAAATACAACGGCCTTGTCGTTTATCAAACCACTCACAGTTTCTCCATACAACGGCCTTGTCGTTTATCAAACCACTCACAGTTTCTCCATACAACTGGCTCTGTCGTTTATCAAACCACTCACAGTTTCTTCATACAACTGGCTCTGTCGTTTATCAAACCACTCACAGTTTCTCCATACAACTGGCTCTGTCGTTTATCAAACCACTCACAGTTTCTTCATACTGGCTCTGTTTCAACTGGCTCGTCACACACTGGCTCTGTCGTTTATCAAACCACTCACGTTTTATCCACTCAAACCACTCATCTCCATACAACAACTGGCTCTGTCGTTTATCAAACCACTCACAGTTTCTCCATACAACTGACTCTGTCGTTTATCAAACCACTCACAGTTTCTCCATACAACTGGCTCTGTCGTTTATCAAACCACTCACAGTTTCTCCATACAACTGACTCTGTCGTTTATCAAACCACTCACAGTTTCTCCATATAACTGACTCTGTCGTTTATCAAACCACTCACAGTTTCTCCATACAACTGACTCTGTCGTTTATCAAACCACTCACAGTTTCTCCATATAACTGACTCTGTCGTTTATCAAACCACTCACAGTTTCTCCATACAACTGACTCTGTCGTTTATCAAACCACTCACAGTTTCTCCATACAACTGACTCTGTCGTTTATCAAACCACTCACAGTTTCTCCATACAACTGACTCTGTCGTTTATCAAACCACTCACAGTTTCTCCATATAACTGACTCTGTCGTTTATCAAACCACTCACAGTTTCTCCATATAACTGACTCTGTCGTTTATCAAACCACTCACAGTTTCTCCATACAACGGCCTTGTCGTTTATCAAACCACTCACAGTTTCTCCATACAACTGCCTCTGTCGTTTATCAAACCACTCACAGTTCTCCATACAACTGGCTCTGGCCTCGAGCACGTTTTCGAAGCAAAAATAGGCGTTTTCAAAACGAATTTGCTGGTAATACAAGAATATTTTGCGACAGTACCTTGACAATTGCTGATAGTAACATCATATAATCCAGTTCTTGAATCCACAAATACGGATATAATGGAGTTTTTAACGCCGGTATAAATTTTCAAATGGTTTTTCTTATGATCCAATGACACTATAAGAGGAAACATAGAGAAACTTTGTTTTTGATGTTTAAAAATTGTTGTACGAAAATATATACCTAATGATTGAAGATTTTTATCGTTTGATAGAAGTTTATTGACAACCTATAGTAAATAGAAATTATTATTGGATGTATATTATTAAACTGTTAATTTTATGTACATGCATATTTGTTGTAAGGTAGTTAAAAGTAAAACACACCTCAAGTTTACCAATAGATTGATAACGGATTGTTTCATTCAATACACTCTCTATGCATAACTTCTTTTTCTAAAAATTATGACAGTTGACAATTGAAATGAAATATATGAAATATTCAAATATACGAGTGAAAACAGCATTTTATGGTGCACTGTCCAGTACTTTATTCTTGTAATTAAAATGTATTGTATGAAATATTTATAAAAGTTTATTGATACAAAAATACATACAGAAACAATCACTGTGTTCTTTCCATATTTACTTGTCAATGAAGGAGTGTGAGTTACGGTCAACAACTTTTCTTCTTCGTTTCCACAAAAAATTGACAGTGAGTTGTGATCTACAAAACAAGTACATTGATTTTGCTGGGTTGAGTTATTTGCATAATTTTTAATCACAAACATTAATACATTATACAAAAACAACCATTCACCTCTTTCTTTCTTCTTTTGTTTTGGATTCCTGAGATAAAAAGAATTTAGTTACATACAGAAAACTTCAAGTGTAAAATGAATATTTTGCGGGGGTGGGGGGTGGGGGAGAGGTAGGTAATTTTCAAGGTTTTACACGTACCTCCAGTAAGATAATGTTAGTTTCTGTCCTACAACATAACTGTCTATGCGCACATTATCTGACCAATGTTCATGAATAAGACGCTGAGCCTACGTTCAATAAAGCATAAGGACATATTTAATAAAATGTTCAACAAGAAGTTTAACATTTAAATAATCTGTTCGTATATGTAACCAGAATTTTCATATTTTGTGCAAAATGACGAAACTTACTTGTGAATGCAAAACTTCTAACTGAAGAAGCGAACAAAATGTATCTTAATAATAGTTAAGACAAGCTATACTTTGCCAAACTTTCAGATCATATCGCAGACATAAAGTCATCGCTACGTACATAAGAAAATGTGTTTTGTCAAGCAAGACCAAAGAACCTCATGACATTAACGTATAAACTAAAACAATGTCAATGGATTAAATTTAATTTTTAGGAAATAATATTCATAATTCTTACATAAACAATGCAAGATTCTTCTTACATAAAGACAAGTTATGTTGATTATAAAAAATGTGAAAATGGGACATATGAATGTATCTACAATCAAAATTGACTAATCATTATCAATAAAATCATTACTGACTCAAACCAGTTAGGCTGTAAAATTTCAATATCAGTTAAGATGTTTTGAAAATACCGCAGTACATCATTATACCGTTTCAATCTTTGATGGACATATGTGAAGATTTTGGTGTCCTGTTACTATAGTTTACACCCAATTACGAAAGGCAAATTAAGAAATTTGCTATTTTAACGAATATTGTTTCCACGAGATCAATTGCAATCGTAAAATTATGTACGATCAAGAAACGCTGAAGCAAGGTGCGCTGCATCAAAATCTAATTTATAGTCTATATCTTATTTTGCAAGCGCATATGGATTGTGTTTACTTCGTTTGTGAATTGCTCTTGTTCTAGTAAAAAGAAAAAATTAAGATGGTCATCATACCAATATGTCTTACAGAGTAGCAACGAAAACGGTATAGCGGTATGTGGTTTAAACCAACACTGCCACACTTGTATCGAGAAAATACTATAAATAACTAAGAATACCTACATACCGCTCATCTTTACAAACTACACATAAATTGCCAAAATATTCCATTCTATCCTATCCTATCCTATTGTAATTTAAAAAAGATACGTAAGCAGTTATACAAATCAACCAAAGGAGACTCTTCACTGAATAAACGTGATTGAATCATTCGATGGATGTATTGAACCTAATAAAATAAAGATGTTTATAATAAATAATCGATAGTGCACATTTGAATGAATGAATAACTTTATTTACCCACGCTAACCCTGTCAATAACAGTTCATTTCCACGGGGTGTGTAAAAATCGAGTACAAAATTACAGCATTTAAGCTATTTACAAATATAATGCACATCAACTAAGTATATAAATAAAAATGTTCAAAAAATAAAAAGTTCATAAATATTCATCAATGTGGGTGCATAAAGATGTGGGTGCATAAAGATGTGGGTGCATAAAGATGTGGGTGCATAAAGATGTGGGTGCATAAAGATGTGGGTGCATAAAGATGTGAATAAAGATGTGGGTGCATAAAGATGTGGATGAGTTGTTTACAGTTTAGTCAATGATGTTTTACACTCAAGAGATTGAAGATTTCAGACTTGTATTTTGAAATTAGTAAATTATGTTGCTTTTATAACAGAACCATTTACCTGTAGACCATGCACAAGAGATTTTCCCTCTATTAAAAAGATTCAATTAGCTTAGCAATTGTTCAAAATTTCAGCAGCTACTTTTACACAAGAACTTAATGGTGTCAATACCTCCAGTTTTAAAATCTCTTATCAAGAAATCAACAGAGAGAAGTCTCCAGGGAACTAAAGGATCATCACCCATTAATGTCAATGACACCTATTAAATAAAATCAAATCAACTTAAAATTAAAACAAAAATAGAATAAGACATGACATAAAAAGGTTATAGATCAATTTAATTTTTTTATACATTGGTGTTACACATGAGGATGGGTCCACAATGATTTTTTGAAGGAGGAGGGGGATTGTCTAGCATGGCAAACTTCTGCTATCTTTTACTATAATTGGGAAATTATTAAAGTATTCTTAAATAAACACTACTCATAGTTGTTTTGGCTTAATTGTTTGGTAAATTAGTATTTTGTAGAGGAATTTATATCACTCTTGTATTCCATGTAGAGGTAAATTAGTATTTTGTAGAGGAATTTATATCACTCTTGTATTCCATGTAGAGGTAAATTAGTATTTTGTAGAGGAATTTATATCACTCTTGTATTCCATGTAGTCAAAGCTAGGAGAGCTAAACACCACTTTGCACACCCTCCAAAATCCATTTTTGGTAATGCATTCATAGAACACAATGTAAAAATCATCAAAATCAAAAAGCAATGTATTAATACCGTAAATTCATCCTCAACTGTGAATGTCACTCGACCATCAGCTAAAGATTGAATGGTTCAAATAATAACATAACAAGTTTTAGTTGAAAAACATACAGTTTAAGACATCAATAGTTTTCAATAAAGCAATGCACAATTGATAATGTAGTGAACAAGATTTTAATAGAGCAAAAGACTTAACCTGTCAAAAAATACAACAATTTTACCTATATATCTTACCAATATGTAAATCACTCATTTGTGAAGGAAGTTTTGAAGTAACAAGACGTTGTTCAATGACTTGCTCTAAACGTTTTAGTGTTTTTATTTTTTCATTTCGACTTATAGCCTCAGCTGGAATGATCCGATCCTGAAATAAAAAACAAAACTAAGCAAAAATGGTGAATTTCTTTCTTGTCAAAGAATAGCTGGAAATCTTTTCTGTTGTAGTATGGGATACACACATGTCTATGCAGGCATGTACTCCAGGGTGAGCACACCTGTATGCAGGCATGTACTCCAGGGTGAGCACACCTTTATGCAGGCATGTACTCCAGGTTGAGCACACCTTTATGCAGGCATGTACTCCAGGGTGAGCACACCTTTATGCAGGCATGTACTCCAGGTTGAGCACACCTTTATGCAGGCATGTACTCCAGGTTGAGCACACCTTTATGCAGGCATGTACTCCAGGGTGAGCACACCATTATGCAGGCATGTACTCCAGGTGAGCACACCTTTATGCAGGCATGTACTCCAGGTTGAGCACACCATTATGCAGGCAGGTAGTCTGGGATAAACACACCTTTATGCAGGCAGGTAGTCTGGGATACGTTTCTGTTGTTAAAATATCAACTGCTGCAGGAAGACAAAACGCTGGCAATCTAAATGTAAATAAACATTTCAAAGGCATGCAATCTTAAATTTCCAAAGTTTCAGCCATTTTATGTGTAACATATTTACCAAGCATTAACAAATGATGTTAAGTAGATGTCTACCTGGTTATGGTATCAGTATGTACCTAGCATTAATAAACATCATCATACTTGTACCTAGCATTAATAAACATTATCATAATTGTACCTAGCATTAATAAACATTATCATACTTGTACCTAGCATTAATAAACATTATCATACTTGTACCTAGCATTAATAAACATTATCATACTTGTACCTAGCATTAATAAACATTATCATACTTGTACCTAGCATTAACTAATGTTTCTTGTGCCATATGATAGAGACTGTCTGCAGTGTCAACAAAAATAGATGATTGCTGATCAAGAATGGATGATATTAACTGAAATAAAAACAAATTCCTCTGCATTTCTATTCCATGTGACATTATTCATATTTAATTTCCAAAGAAGTGCTGTCCTTTAGGAATAATTTTTCTCTAAATAAGATACCTGACATTTCACAACACTTTCAGCACTGCCAGCCCATTTAACCAGTGCTAACAAACGCACAAATTGTTGACGAGATTTGGTAGCAAATTCTATGATGGCAATTTTTCTAACACGAAAATAAGATACTAAATTTATTTCATACAAACTTTTTTGTTCCTAAAAGCCTGTAAGCAACTAACCTTTCAATGTCAGATTTTCGTGGTAATCTAAATAAAGAAATTAGATTTAAAGATATATTTTTACGATAATTTTTTTCTATCATAGAAAAAAAGTTCATTGACAAACACCTATGTTCTAACTTCTATAACTTCCTAAGAAAAAACTCATTTGTAAAATATTTATAATATTTATATTTTATTACCAAGCGGCTTATTTTGTTTGTTTTAAATATTTTCAATGTTTTGAAACTTGTACATTATATAAATAAAGTATTCTAAAAAGAAATTACTTTAAATACATAGGTCGGTTATTACAGACTACCGAGAAACAAAAAAACAATTATCTATCGTCAAATACTTACAACTCAGCCATTACAGTGAGATCGTGATATGTTTTTTGTAACATAAAATCAATCAACAGGGCCATATTCATCTTTCCAGGAGACGTTTTAACGACATTCGTCATTTCAACTTGTTCTTTCGCTCCTGGCTCCATTGGCGCCATCTTGTTTTTGTTGAACATCATTTACTTCATGTAACATAAAATTTCTGGACATGGCATAATAATGTTCGCAAGGGAAGGTGGAAAAACTAAAAATATTTTCAAAAACTGGGCGTGGTCAATTAGACTTTAGGTGAACCTAACGTAATGACAAAAATTTGCAAAATACACATTTTGAAATTGAAATCCCAAAAATTGACCCCAGTCCCCCCATATAAATGAAGCAAGTGATATCGGTATGTGAAATCATTGTAGAATAAAAATCTCCAAAGTTGTGAAAGAGCATTCAAATTTCGATAACATGCTAACTTGATTTATTCTGGTTTAAAATCTACATATTTCTTATATTGGTTGTAAATTATCACAACCACACAATGTGAACAGTTAACAACTCGTTTTGCAATGGCTTTTCAATAATTTAAAATTAAAGTCAGTCTAGTCTGGTAACTTTCACACCTTATGATCAAGGTAGAATTCATGGTTTTGTTTCTTAAGAGGGTTTTTCATCTGAGGTGGGGGTGACGTTAGGAGCTTAGATTTGTGCACAAGTGCAGTTTTAGTGCACAAACACAAATGAAGAAATCAATCGCATAAAAGTATGTATCATAGGTCATTTCATATTATTTTGAAAAATTTTCATTTCTAGGTGCTATCACATCAATTTGCAAAATATCATACACAATTGCTAAAACGTTATTTCCACTTTTAGGAGTTCTACTTTTCACTGTTAACTCTTCAAAAACTAGACGTATCAAAAAAGTTTCACGAGACATTCTTCGCTGTTTGTGAGAGATTGAATATAGTAATGTTTGGTTGAATGCAAAACGAGTGTATGGATTACATGGATGACCATACTATGACTTGTTTATTTCTGTCACAGCTTACAAAAGAACGTCCATCAGGATGCCAACCACAACATACAACTGCAGCACTGTAAAATCAAACACATAGAAGAACATGCAGGTTTGAAATGTCAACATAACTAAGAAATGACTTTTGCACTTTTTAAATCGTTGAAAACTAACTTGCAAATGACTAAAATATTCGTTAACTTTTCAAATACTTTAGATAGAAACATATGCTGAGAATGATATGAGCACAAATATGAAATATTTATTCTTACCCATTACTTTTTAACACTTTCTCTGTCTTCAATGTTGTTGTGTCCCATATAAAAATACTACCATCTTGTGAACCACAAGCTGCATAATTACCATCTGCACTGTAAGTAGATCACAGCGAAAAAACAACAACATTAAGTTATAACAATGAGTTAAATTTTGTTCAGTATATTTAGTAACAGCTTCATCACTGTGCGTCTGCGCAAACAGCATATCATAAAACATGAATAACCATTAGCCCTGAGCTTATAAGCAAAATGTGCTCCCAAACAAGTGTTCTAAAAAATTAATACTTCATTATATTCAAAATACTCGGATATTTTATACGAGGAGCTATAAATCGGAGAGTTTATAATGAAAAGTTTAATGAATGACTTTTTAAGTGAAAAAATTAACTTATCGTACAATTAACGTATGTACATCTATAGTAAGAATTAAAAAACTTCAACAATAAATTAATATCCTAAAGAAATAAAGAAAACAAATATTTTTTATCAATTATACCTAAAACAGGCTCTCGTGCAATCTGTAGCTATTTTTAAACCATCCGCACTAGAGAAAGAAAATAAATCAGAGAGTTGTGATTTGCATGTCACCATAATGTCATAGTGTGCATGAGTGGATCTAAGTGAATACGTTAAGATAACGCAACAGGCTGGACCAAACGTAACTCAACTTTTTTAAACGGCCTTTCCACTTTTTTTTCGCAAACATTGCATAGATTTTAAAGCAAAGACAACTATTTAAACTTGAGATATAATATAGATTCCTATTTATACCAACATACATACATCTACCGTGAGCGATACACGACGCGCTTTTAATTCTTATGGGAAATTTTCAATTTTTTCCCAAGCCCTGATTGTTATTTTTTCACCAACAAAATCACATGATCCAGGCAGTTGCACAGTACAAGAAAAATAGGGTACTCTGGCTTAAAAAAACTGTAATTGAAGTACCTAAGTGTTCCTGACACTTGACTCATTCGAAGATTGATCAGTTTTAAAGCATCTCCTCTTGTTGCAGCAAGTAAAGTATTACGATCTACAACATCAAATTTTCTATTTTCAAAGTGCAATGTAAATGAACACAAGTACAGCCATCAATACTGCGCACCAGAGCCGAAGGGAAGGAACCATTTAAAATTAACTCACCAGGAGAAATAGATAATGATGTGATTCGACCTGACAATACAATCTCATTAGAACTTGTGTCTGACCTTAAACACATAAAAGACGACGGCATGAAATCATCATCGAATATGTTGATTATCCATGAAGAAATAAGTTCAATGAAACGTTTTTTTAACTTGCCATTTGCTACGTTTACTTAAAATTGCAAAAAAAAGCAAAAAAATCAACCCTGACGATGTTACCTTGAATCCCAAAATCGAATTCTCTTATCAAAATGGCCACTGATTATCGTTGTTCTGGAAATAAATTTCACAGAAAGTTGCAAAGGAAATATTAAAAAAAACTCATCAGATGATGACAGTAAACACATTCACACTTCCCAATATTTTACATCTTTTTACGCATTTTCCACAAACATAGGTAATGTGTTAATAACAGAAAATGTAATAGTTATAATCTCTATATGTTTGTAGATGCAGGTTAGTAGAGTCCCGAGTAAGACTGTTGGTGTTGATGTTGACTGACCTTTTGAAAACCTTAGCGGTAGTCATCTTCAGATTGAAATGAAGAATAAACGTCAGGTTTGCCGTATTTGTTATCTGGTTCATACGTCATCGTATTGTGTGTACAGGAAATTTGTGGGTGTTTGAACAATTGTGTATTGTTATCGTGGATTAGTCTAAAGTAATGTGCTCAATTGTTCGTTTGTTTAAAGTTTTGAATAAGTCGTTTGTAAGGTGCCGGTAATTGCTGTGATCTGTTCAGTGGATTTTGTTCCAAGTTGGTATACCAACTTTCTAATGTAAGCCGTTGTCTATAGTCAGTGCTGTAAGTAATGCATTTTGCTGAGTCCCAGTCAAAGTTGTGCTTTGTCAGTCGATGATGTTCTGCAATGTGATTGGTTTTGTCTTGTTTCTTTGCAGCTTGTTTGTGTTCAGTAAGTCTTATGTTTAAGTTCCCGCCAGTTTCCCCGATATAGGAGGCGTGGCAGTCGGAGCAGTTTATTTTGTAAACTGCACCTTGTCGTTCGTTTGGTTGCTATTTGTCCTTGATTACAATCTCATCACTTATAAATAAACATTAAAGAATCTTCAATTTTTAAACATTCCTAAACACCAGTAAAAGGAAAAACTATATTAATTTCAATAAAAAAGCGAGTAAATCTAAACGCATGAAGTTAGCTAGTAAATACATCAAACTTAATTAAGACGCAACGACCACCAACTATGCATCATGTCTCCTCCCCCCACCATCCATTCACTACGCCCCCCCCTCCCCCATACATTCACCAAGCTCTCTCCACCCCTGAATATGCTCTCTCTTTATCAATATTCAACTCTTCCAATACTTCATGTTGATACTTACGAAGCCAAACTTGTTGTCACTAGATCATTGCAACTCGAGCCCGCAAATATAGTACGACTACCTTAAAACAATGAAAGTTTGCTGTACTTGATATTCAAATACTGTAAATCAATTTAAAAATAAGCAACTTACAAGCCCTTGTTTTGAGATCCCAAATTTTCAAAGTGCGATCATGACTTCCAGATACGACTTTCGTTGAATCGAGAAAAAATCGAGCACTTGTTACTTTATTTCCGTGACCAGTCAAAGTGTGCTAAATGTGTTATATTTTTATCTTAAATGGAGTTTTTCTAAAAATAAATTTTTCAGAAAGAGAAATCATTTAACGACCTTATGACTTACTTACTCGTTGTCTACCATCGCCGTAGGTCCAAACTCGACATGCAAAATCATTTGATGAAGCTAAAATTAATTTATCCTGCAGAAAAAAAAATGAATGAAATGATTTTTCTGAAACAAACAAGTTTTCGTATACAGTATCTGCATTTAAGTTTATCAACTAGTTTCTCTGTCATATCTGCCTTCTTTCTTGATTCCACACAAATACACACACATTGTGTTTAGAAATTGCAATAAAATTATTAACTTTACCTGTGAATCAATTTCAATGGACGTAACACCAGCATTACAGCCATAAATCTTAGAAATGACTTCACATGTTTTATCTTATAAACATAAATGATAAACAATTCTCTTCTTAATTCAAAAGAAACAACTGAAATAATAACAAAAGCTCTTTCTAATCTATAACATAATGAAAACTGAAACATGTTGATGGTTATGAGTAGTATACAGTGATGGTTACGATGAAGGTACATTGATGGTTACGATGAAGGTACATTGATGGTTATCATGAAGGTACATTGATGGGTATGATGAAGGTACATTGATGGTTACGATGAAGGTACATTTATGGTTATCATGAAGGTACATTGATGGTTATGATGAAGGTACATTGATGGTTATGATGAAGGTACATTGATGGGTACGTCAATAATGATTACAATGGTTAATTGAGTTATATTAATTATGATGATTGGAATACCCTATGATGATCACTTAGTTACCTATTTTCCATAATTTGACGAGTTTATCTGATCCACCGGTGGCAAAAAATTGTCCGTTGGGAGAAAAACCAACCGTGTTCACTTCGCCATCATGAGCATTCTGAAATAACAAAAAGACGTACATAACATGTTATTTAACAATAATGGTGCAACCTCGATTGTGATTGGCTGGAGTCTAAAGATAATTCTCAACATATTATTCGTAGTTCACAGGTGATAAAAAAAATTTTGTTTCTGATGGATGAAGAATTATTGCAGTTTTACAACAGAAAATAATGCAAATAGAAAATAATTGTTGTCGTATTTACCTTTTTATATCATTCAAAAAGACTACATTTTAAGATAGAATAATAACAAAATAAGAAATAAATGACACAAATAACACTTACCACTTTATGTAAAGGTACCGATGGTATACTTGTAGAAAAACAAAATGAAGGACTAGATAGGTTATCTCCATTGTAGTCAAAAGATGACATCGGTGATCTAAACAAATAAAAATCACAGTTCCCATAAATTTTCATACGTTATAACATGTCTGGTTTCTTCCATTTATTTAAAGTTTTGTCGCTGGTTTTGCACACACACACATTTTCTTCTATTCTTTATTTTGAGCATTTATTTCGTACGTTTTGAAATTTTGACAAAATATCCAACGCGAACTTTATTACCACATTGACGGAACCCATTTACGTATGACATTGAGCAATTTTTCGTTGACATATTTCGTCATCACATCTCTCAGTAAAGAAAATCTTTTGGATGACACATTGAACTTTACAAACTGCACGTTATTGTTGTCAATAATAAATACAGTCTTTGGGATCGATTTCCTGACTGGGATCGTAATCTTTGAACAAATATTATTGCTCAGGAAAAATGCATGCAATATTCATTAAAAATATAATTTATTTAAATAAAATCATTTGTACCAAACGAAAAGTTACAGGCCAAACATTAGGTGCAGCTGATTTTATTTAAATTCATTTTACTTTTAAAAGCTGTTTGACGCATTTTTGCAGGACAATAATATTTATTATTTTTTACAATAATAAACAATTGATTAAATTATAAATTTGTCAAAATCATCGAGATTTCATTTAAGAAGAAGTAAAGAGGTACAAGAATATTCAAACATTGTACGTTGATAAATCCTACCTTGGTGGTAAAGTCACTGGTTCTTTAGCTGCTTCCATTAAATCTCTTCTCAATCTGTCTTGACGAGCTCTAAAACACAACGAAATAAAATTGATTCCTATAAAAACACATGAAATATTGAAAATGCAGGTAAGAAAAAGATAAAATATTTTAAATACTTTGTTTGTTGTTCATTCTCTAAATTCATCGCGTCAGCATCTTTCGCTTTCTTTATCATCCATCTTTCCACCTGAAAATGTATCGTATTTCATTTACCGCAAACCATTTTTTCTTACTGATATAAAAGCAAATGAATTAATAACTGCATGTATGTATGTGAATATGTTAACTTAAGAAAAAAAATCAATTTTAAATGAAGATGTATTTCTCCTCTTGAAGAAAATGAATAAAAATTTTAAAAGATATTCAATAGAAAGCATATTATCACCAACCAACTCTCGATTGTCCTCTTGCACTCTTCCATATTTCATCTCAAGAGAGTTATACGCCAATTGTAGGGCTTGCAATTCATCTTTTAACATCTTTAAAGATCCGTCGTACAAATGTATTATCATCGAGTGAAATACAATGAAGCAGTAAAGACATTCAAGTCTATTTACTTGATTTGTAGCTTCCAGTTCCATAATCGTCGATTCCAATCTCTTTGTTTCTGTTTTCATACATTCAAGATTAATATGTGAATCTTGAAGCCTTGATAAACAAAAAACAACCAATGATACACTTTTAAAGTGATAATTTTGAGCTATCTTCGAAACAGAAAGTTAAAAAGCAAATAAAGTGAAATGATTAAGGCATTTTTGAGAGGAACTAGATTTGTTGTTTTGAGAGGAACCAGTTTTAAATTTTTCAGTCCATGTAATTAATAGTTCTAAAAAAACAATAAAAAGCAAAATATGTTTTGAAGAAAAGAAATAAACCTTACTTTGCTTCTTTAAATGACAAATCGTTGTCTTTCTTTGTAATTGTTTTGTTCAACTCAATCACTTTTTGCGCATTCTAAGAAAACAAATGAATCGATTACACAGTTAGTGACATTGAAGTACAAGATTTTGCTATGGCAGTTAAAAAAACCAAGAGTACATTTACAAAAGGTGCAGTGGTATAGAAGATACAGAGATAAAGAAGATACAGTGATACAGAAGGTGCAGTGGTACAGAAGGTACAGTGGTACAGAAGGTACAGTGATACAGAAGGTACAGTGCTACAGAAGGTACAGAGATAAAGAAGGTGCAGTGGTACAGAAGGTGCAGAGATAAAGAAGGTACAGTGGTACAGAAGGTGCAGAGATAAAGAAGGTACAGTGGTACAGAAGGTGCAGTGATAAAGAAGGTGCAGTGGTACAGAAGGTAGAGATAAAGAATACAGTGGTACAGAAGGTGCAGAGATACAGAAGGTACAGTGGTACAGAAGGTACAGTGGTACAGAAGGTGCAGTGGTACAGAAGGTACAGTGGTACAGAAGGTGCAGTGATAAAGAAGATACAGTGGTACAGAAGGTGCAGTGGTACAGAAGATACAGTGGTACAGAAGGTGCAGTGATACAGAAGATGCAGTGATAAAGAAGATACAGTGTTACAGAAGGTGCAGTGATAAAGAAGGTACAGTGGTACAGAAGGTGCAGTGGTACAGAAGGTTCAGTGGTACAGAAGGTGCAGCGGAACAGAAGGTACAGTGATACAGAAGGTACAGTGGTACAGAAGGTACAGTGGAACAGAAGGTGCAGTGGAACAGAAGGTACAGTGGTACAGAAGGTTCAGTGGTACAGAAGGTTCAGTGGTACAGAAGGTACAGTGGTACAGAAGGTTCAGTGGAACAGAAGGTTCAGTGGTACAGAAGGTACAGTGGTACAGAAGGTGCAGTGAACAGAAGGTGCAGTGAACAGAAGGTGCAGTGGAACAGAAGGTGCAGTGGAACAGAAGGTACAGTAGTACAGAAGGTGCAGTAGTACAGAAGGTGCAGTGGTACAGAAGATACAGTGGTACAGAAGGTTCAGTGGTACAGAAGGTACAGTGGTACAGAAGGTACAGTGGTACAGAAGGTACAGTGGTACAGAAGGTACAGTGGTACAGAAGGTGCAGTGGAACAGAAGGTGCAGTGGTACAGAAGGTGCAGTGGTACAGAAGATACAGTGGTACAGAAGGTGCAGTGGTACAGAAGGTTCAGTGGAACAGAAGGTGCAGTGGAACAGAAGGTGCAGTGGTACAGAAGGTGCAGTGGTACAGAAGATACAGTGGTACAGAAGGTTCAGTGGTACAGAAGGTTCAGTGGTACAGAAGGTGCAGTGGAACAGAAGGTTCAGTGGTACAGAAGGTGCAGTGGAACAGAAGGTTCAGTGGTACAGAAGGTGCAGTGGTACAGAAGGTACAGTGGAACAGAAGGTAGTGGTACAGAAGGTGCAGTGGAACAGAAGGTACAGTGGTACAGAAGGTGCAGTGGTACAGAAGGTGCAGTGGTACAGAAGGTGCAGTGATACAGAAGGTGCAGTGGTACAGAAGGTGCAGTGGTACAGAAGGTGCAGTGGTACAGAAGGTGCAGTGGTACAGAAGGTGCAGTGGTACAGAAGGTGCAGTGGTACAGAAGGTTCAGTGGAACAGAAGGTGCAGTGGTACAGAAGGTACAGTGGTACAGAAGGTTCAGTGGTACAGAAGGTTCAGTGGTACAGAAGGTGCAGTGGTACAGAAGGTTCAGTGGTACAGAAGGTTCAGTGGTACAGAAGGTGCAGTGGTACAGAAGGTTCAGTGGAACAGAAGGTTCAGTGGTACAGAAGGTTCAGTGGTACAGAAGGTGCAGGGAACAGAAGGTGGTGGTACAGAAGATACAGTGATACAGAAGATACAGTGATACAGAAGGTTCAGTGGTACAGAAGGTGCAGTGGTACAGAAGGTGCAGTGGTACAGAAGGTTCAGTGGAACAGAAGGTGCAGTGGTACAGAAGGTACAGTGGTACAGAAGGTTCAGTGGTACAGAAGGTTCAGTGGTACAGAAGGTGCAGTGGTACAGAAGGTTCAGTGGAACAGAAGGTTCAGTGGTACAGAAGGTTCAGTGGTACAGAAGGTGCAGTGGTACAGAAGGTTCAGTGGAACAGAAGGTTCAGTGGTACAGAAGGTTCAGTGGTACAGAAGGTGCAGTGGAACAGAAGGTACAGTGGTACAGAAGATACAGTGATACAGAAGATACAGTGATACAGAAGGTTCAGTGGTACAGAAGGTGCAGTGGTACAGAAGGTGCAGTGGTACAGAAGGTGCAGTGGAACAGAAGGTACAGTGGTACAGAAGATACAGTGGTACAGAAGGTACAGTGGTACAGAAGGTGCAGTGGTACAGAAGGTGCAGTGGTACAGAAGATGCAGTGATAAAGAAGGTACAGTGGTACAGAAGGTGCAGTGGTACAGAAGGTGCAGTAGTACAGAAGGTACAGTGGTGTAGAAGGTGCAATGGTACAGAAGATACAGTGGAACAGAAGGTGCAGTGGTACAGTGGTACAGAAGATACAGTGGTACAGAAGGTGCAGTAGTACAGAAGGTACAGTGATACAGAAGATACAGTGGAACAGAAGGTGCAGTGGTACAGAAGATACAGTGGAACAGAAGGTGCAGTGGTACAGAAGATGCAGTAGTTCAAAATGTGCAATACAGTGGCACAGAAGATGCAGTGGTATAGAAGATACAGTGGTACAGAGGATGCACTGGTGCAGTTGTACAGAAGGTACATGGGCTGTCCTGATGAACCTTTGAAAGTCAAAATGTGAAATAATAAATTATGTATATATTCATCTGCAATATGCAATTTTATGCATGGAATTGACTTAGACAAGCACATAAATATCACACAGACAACAGTTATGAAAGACTTGAGAAATGTCTGTTATATATAGACATGTGAATGATTTTCAAGGCAGTAAAAATAACATCACAACTTTATATCTTTATTATAGTAAACCTATTGGTCAGTAGACTATAATATCAAAGAGTGGGTATGAAAGTTTTTGTTGTTTTCAGTATGGTTCCTGGATTGACTCAAAGCAGAATGCCTCTGTTTAAAGTTGTAAATAAATTGTTTGTAAGGTGCCTGTATTTGTTGAGATAAGTGATTTGCAACTGATAAACTGGTACTAAATTTGAAACTGGAAGTTTAATAGAAAACAATTTTAAAGAAGATATTTTAAATAAAGTCAAACAAGATATTTTTGATATTATGATGTTGTTGATATTGTTAAACATATAAAATATTACCTCCCCTTTGGTTCGATGTAAGACAGTCAATTCCTCTTGCAGTTTGTAAATCTTTTGCTCAAATGCTTGAACTTTGTCACTGTTGAATGTGCCACTTAAACTATAAGAAAAGCTATTTCTATTTAGCAAAAATAGAAATTTGAAAAAGAAGAGAATATTACCATTCAAGATAGAGTTTCATAACAAAAATATTTGTGAAGACATAAAAACATTTGGAAAATAAAAATAACATCTCAACTATAGTATGTTAGGGTATTGGACTTGAGCATGAAGACTAGATTCGTTGAACATAAAAGAGTACCCTGAAATTGAGGCTCTCTCTTGAAGATCTGCATTTTCCTGGAATCAAACAAGACCATTAATAACAATGAAAAATTAAACATACACTGACATTTCAATAAACAAACTTACCTGTTTCATTTGAAGAGTCTGAATTTCGAGTTGAACAATCTTAGATTGAAGAATGTCGGCATTATCAAATAACTTATTATCTGAAGAAAAAAAATTCCTTTATTATCTGAACTATGAAGAAAAATTCCATGAAATGTTTTTCTGTGTCATATTTATTTCTGTGTGAAATACTTTTTCTACTTATTTTTAATGTACATGATGAAATTTTCATTGCAAATAGTAAAAAACCTTTGAAATATATTTGATGAAAAGAAACTTGTTTTATTATTTATATTTGCTGAAACGTCACTAACATTTTGAATATTTCGTAGTAATAGATAGAAAGTGTACACAAATCTTATAGAATACATTTCTACTCTCCAGTCACTACTGAAATGATAAAAGCATTGTGTGTTTTGTTTGGGAGGAAACAAGAATACCATAAAAATTAAATAAACTATATACAATCATAAATCATCATGATAGAGATACGAGATTACAGTTTTACACGACATAAATGATAAAACAAATCAATATAAACCTACGAGACTTTATGAGATCTTTAAAAGACAAGAATTCCAGCCGATCTCTGCGCTCTAAACGTTGAAGTAATTCCAATTTCCAATAATTTGACGCCATTTCACCTTTGATTCATTTAACTTGAGCTGACTCAGCATTTTCCTTAAACCATCGAGGAGAATGACATAAATCGTATAGTGGCCAAAGTCAAACAGAAAAAATTTTTTAAAATGTTGTTTTGTGTTTTTTTGTTATTGTATGGTTCTTGACTTTCCTGACTGCTGGTTTTATGACAGCACAGTTTGTACGTCACATGAAGAGATGTACGATGTTCAACGTCGTTTTACGAAATATCATTGTCGTAGATGGAAAATGTGCAGAAAAACATTTGTATACTTTGCGTATTTTTTTTATTTGCTATTAAAATAAATTTTTTAAACCAAATAACAATTTACAATGACATCTTTCCCTGTACTGCTTAATAAAGAGAACATTGGTGAATTTCTGGCATCCAACGATACATTTATGTTTGATTGTGATGGTAAAATATCATTATTTGTAATGTTGGCCGGCCAGGCCAGATACTAAAATTTGGTGAAATGTCCTTTGATGCCAAATTCACAAACAGACCCAATTTGTTCGATTTTATTGCATGTTTTCATATAGAACGTGCTTAAATATGTTATTTTATCGATCATGAACAATGTATGTATGATTGTATGAAACTCTGAATGATGTTCATTTTTTCTTTCCATCACTTTTTCCTGCAGGAGTTCTTTGGAAACAAAATAATATTGTTCATTATGTACCAGAACTCATCAAACATCTTCGTCAACTGGTAATTAACTTTTGCAGCAAATGAAGACTATTCTGAAATATTAATAAAGCATTTATCTTCATGTTTGTGAATGTGAATATAAATATAGATAAAGCATTTATCTTCATTTTAAGGGAAAGAGAGTATTTTTTATATCAAACAATAACACAAAATCCAGAAGACAGTATCTTGAAAAGTTTTCTCGTCTAGAGATTGAAGCAAAAGAGGTATTCTTTGCTCACAAATTTTAGTAACTTAAATTAAATCACATCACTATTTCTTATGCAAAAATTTCAACTTGAAGGAAGTGTCATGTTAACCAACTATTTTATTCTTTTTCATCCCTATGTAAATGTCTTTATGGCCATGATTTTACTTCTCAATTTTCAGCTGATCTTTGAAATTATTTCTTTAATACTGCTTCCTTTGATCTTGTATCCAGATTATCTTTTCATCTTTTCAACTACCATCCTTTAATGATCTTCTTCTTAATACAAGTTTGACTTGTTCACATTTTTTCTCAACTAGTGGCTTTAGCAGTAGAGTTCGTTTTGTTAAAGTCCATTTCCACAATTTTTGTCATTCTTCTTTTCCAACTACCTTTATCGCCATTTTAGTAATTTTAAGCTCTAATATTACCTCTATTTTACTTAACTGCTATTTTTAGCTCTTTAAACCTTCAATACGAAGCTAGTTTAAATCTTTTGCATGTTCAAGTCTTTTCATTCAATCATTCTAATTTGTAAATTGACGTCTTCATTATTATTGATGTATAAATGGACCAATCATTCTAAAATAGAAATTTTGACTGCAAAATTCTCTTATATTTTAAGGATGAAATTTATCCATCTAGTTATGCGGCTGCATATTATATCAAGTATGTCGCAAAATTGTGTGGTAAGGTGTACGTTCTTGGGGCACCTGGTTTAGTTGAAGAACTGGTGAATGAAAATATCAAACATATTGGATCTGGGGTAGTTATGTTTACAATATAACTTAACATTGATTTACGTTTTCCTCCTTTTCTACATGCTGCTTTCTTAGCGCTCTAGTTCAAGAAATTTATGAGAAAAACACACTATGCCATATTTAAGTATAATTAACTAGGAGTTACTATCGCAAGGGGAAGTGCCACCCCATCCCTCCCCCACTTTTAAGCAAAAAATTGCACGGTACAGTCGCATCCCTTAGAACCAACTCTTTGTGTTCAGCAATCTAGGTGGTTTCATATGTATGGTAACGATGGATGATTTGAATGATAGGTAAAGAAATTCTACATGTGTGTTCCTCTAACTTTTACATTGCGTTGGCTAGGTTTATTTCGTTATGTTTAGAGGTTTCTTTCTATCTAAAGGCCCGTTCACACGATCCCATATGTCGGATCTGATTGTTTCGGTAGTTTCTTGTTCAGACGGTCCGATATTTTTTCATATTCGTTTAGATGTTTATAGTCGTTTGAAAAGCCATTTCTGTTATCCAGTACATTTATCGCTATGTTTTTCGTATTTTTGTTCTTGTTTCCAAGTCCTTCAAATCTATGAAATCTGGCCAATAGGCTTCCTTTGATCTTGTCGGATGAAAATAGAGCATTGACGCATTCATATTTTAGATTGACGGATCCGACTGTCGGAGGCTAACTTTATATGTGTTCAGGATCCAACAAATTGGATCGTGTGAACGGGCCTTAACAACGTGCCATCGCAAGCACTGTTGACCTTATACGGAGTAAGTGCAAACAAAGGCACGCGTTCTGAAAGTTGACGGTTGACTTTCGGCAAAAATCTCCTAATCTTAACTGATCATTTAATAAGACATATGTTTGATGGTGATTACATTTCTTTAATTTATTGTTCATGCAAGGCGTCGTTTCTACTGTTATCAGTCAATTCATGAAGATCTGAAATGTCTGGACTTTTTTTGTTTGAAATGTTCGTTTTTTCTTTATTTTTAGCCCGATGAAATGAAAGGTTACGATATAGACCTTGTTGGCAGTTATGACTTAGATCCAGAGGTAGAGAGACAGAGTATATTTAGGTTATCAATTATTAGCAAATGTCGTTGATGAATCAGCTTTGAAATCTTTAGGTTAGCTGTGTTCTTCACGGTTTTGACGCCTACTACAGTTACAACAAACTCCATAAAGCTATCAACTATCTGTTGAAAGATTGTGTTCATTTTGTTGCCACTAATAAAGACATGATTTTTCCGACTGACAATGGATTTGTTGCACCTGGTAAATACAATCATTACGAACTCAATAGTTGAGCAATAAACATCTGTTAGCAGCACATTCTTTTGACAACACATAAAACATAGTCATAATAACATCAGGAATGTTTAACGAGAAGGCTAAATGCAATATTGAGTTTGAACGTGTACAAACTTTGACACTAACGAACCTTAACATCATTGAGAGTTATAGAATTTGTATAGGCTAATGATCGAACCTGCATACCAACAATCCTGCATGAACACTAACGAACGTGAACACTATTCAAGTTTAGATTTTATTCACTTGTTATGACATGGAATACTTTTCTTTATAAGATAACCATTTTTTTCCTAGGAACTGGTTGCCTAGTAACAGCGACTGAAATTTCTGCAAAGAGAAAGGCAACTGTAGTTGGAAAACCTGAAACATTATTAATGGAATGTATTAAACATAAGTATGTCTTAATAACATGTTTGTAGATGTAGATTACCCAGGATTGTAGAGTCCTGGAAAGGACCGTTTTCGTTTCGAGAATCTTAGCGGAGATGCCTAACGCCAGGACTCTACTAAGCAGGACGATCTGCATCCACAAACATGAAACGATACTCCGAGGTTCAGACAATTTACTTTATGTGGAAATGATTTGGTAAATCAACATCTTTAGTTATGAATAAAATACAGAAAGAGCATGATGAAAGGAAGTTTGTATCAGTGATGTCGTCAGTTCCATGAGTAAGGTGGAGGATACTTATTTATGCATCCTTTAATTCCTAAGAAACAGTTGATTTCAAAAGAACTTAATACCAAAATACATGCATATATTAATAAAATCCCCTTAGCGGTAGTCATCTTCAGAGTCAAGTGACTTGGTGACCAAGCCGCAAGGGTTTTCAAAACGTCAGTTAACATCGAGACCAACAATCCTTCCCAGGACTCTACTATCCTGGACGATCTACATCTTCAAACATCTGACGATATTCCCTGGTTAAAACCAATTTATTTCAATACAATCCCCCTTACTTATCGAGCTGGTAACCCTACTGGTTTGCAATAAAACAATCTAACACTAAGTTATTCTTTTAGACATGATATTGATCCAGAGAAAACATGCATGATTGGTGATAAGTAAGTTGGATCTAGAAACTACTTTTGATTACTAAATTTCTTACTTTTTAGTAACATTGTGTATGTGTGTATATCTTTGTTATCATGTTTTTCTAGTCTTGATACAGATATTTTATTTGGTAATCGTTGTAATACAACCACACTCTTGGTCCTCACTGGTGTTTCAACATTAGATGATGTTCAACGCGAACAAGAAAACTGTCAGTTTAAAAACATGAAATTACCTCATTTTTACATCAAGAGTGCTACTCATTTATATGACTTGATTAAATAATCTAGCTACATAGCTAAAACTGACAAAGACTAAAAAATAACAAGAATATAATGTAATAGTTAAGAACTAGATGAGATACTGTATACAAAAATGCTCTTTCACACAACGATTAACCCAACAAAATTACTTAAATAATCTAAGTAGCTAGTACTTCATACATGGGACTTATCAATAAAGAACTTCATTTTTCATTAGCGTGATTTTTCATTGCACGAAATATCTTTGCATGCACGTAGCGTTGAATTTTTGTTCATTAGCTAAAATACGTTATCACAATCGTTACAAGCAAGTATTGTTTCTTCAGAAGTCGTGCCGAAAAGATGTGCAATCTTTGTTCTGATAAAGAATAGATTTAAAGTAAGTTGGGATCTATTGGTCAACAACACTATCATATATTATCACAGTAAATACTTGTTTGATTGATCATAATGGTTATGTTCAACCATAAAAAAAGTGTTTCTTCCCAAAAAATTCAATTGTGTCTTTTTATTTGAAATAATATAAAGTATATTTTATATAGCTGGCTTTTATTTATGAAATTATTTTTGTTCGTCGTATATTATTTAATAAAACTTTAACAGATGTAAAGTTAAAAATTCAACGATTTCGCAGGTGGTGTGTGAATCATTTATCGAGAATGGGGGCTGTTTTTCTACACAAAATGTTCCTTTTCGTTTGAATTCCCAGATAACATTTAAAACTTTATTGTATATGCAGGAAATACGTGATGAGCAACATTGTTTTTTATGAACAGCATCGAGTTAAAGGCTTTATCAAGCACTACAACATTGTTTCTCTGGGAGAAATATTTAAACAAAAAACTCATTCGACCAAATCGTCATAAAAACATGCGTTAATTTTTTATAGTTTGAAACTATCGCTAGTCTATAGTCTTAAATAGCTGTCAGAGTATGTTAGAAATTATTCGTCTGCAGCTGGTGATTTGAGAGGCAGTAAAGGATGGAAAACATTTGTTTTTTGAATGATTTTCGGAATGAACTCATACGTTATAGTTATAAAGTTCAACTACACGTCGATGAAGGAAGTTTGTAAAATGACAGGTAAGCCTGTCTCAATGACTTTATTTATCTCTCTAAAGCCAAACAAGGTCCGATAAAAACCTTTACACAAAACTGATATTACAAAAATTTCATCCAAGCATAAGTTGCATGAAACGTAATAACGAATTTTTAGCATTAGTTGTTTATTTCTTGCCACTTGTCGTAAATATCAAGTGGATACAAGAGTACTCAACCCAGGTGACTTTCAGTTCTAAAGTATGGAAAGCAGAAGTTGTTTGTCCGGAGCGATGTCTTTATCAAGACGTGGTTCTTGTATGACCTTGCATACATGACCTTACATGACCTTACATGAACGATGATGTTTTGTAGCAGTCTGAAAACTAAAGGAACTCATTTGTATGAATGGTTGTTTTTTCAAATTAGCCTTCCTATATTTCATCTTTTGTAAGATTTCCTTACTTTGACCCATGGTAAACAGGTTCAGCATTAAAAAGTGTTGTATTCTAGACAAAATCAAAAATTTCTATTTTAAATTGTATCAGAACAATATTATAGCAAAGATAGAATAAAAAATCACGCGGGAAATGTACTGAAATCATGAGAGGGAGATGGGTGTCGAACTATTTGGAGCAAAGTTAAATTTATTTTAGTAAAAGCTTTTTACACAGTTTCAATAAAATGTTTGTACCAGGCAAACTATATGAATATTTCATACAAACACTACATTTTTATACTATGTTTCTTGAGTTGTTATGTTGTAAACGAAATTTACGCAAAGGCTGGACCAATGATTCTCTTACGACGACTTTGGAAAATACGTGGAAGCATGTCAATTAAAGTTTCAGAAGCTACATATAACTACAATATTCCAGTTCACGAATACATGAAACTACGTGTTGTTATAAAAAGTATTTTTATCGTAAATTTTGTAAGTTGTCAACATTCAGTAATGTAAAATTTATCCATTGTATTTTTCATTTAAAAAAATAGATCCATGTAGAAATGGTAGTCCTGAGTTTTCAGACTTCTGCTTTGAAAAACTTGCATCATTAACACTTAAAAAAGTCCTGTGTTTGTATAAAGCTGCTCCATAATGGTGTGACTGACTTTGTCCCTTAAACAACAAGTGTGCCACAAGCAAAAAAATGCAGGTATATATCGCTGTGATTATAATTTTGTGTCTTTTAAAATTACGTTTCAATACATTAAATTTCTATTTTTCAAACACGGTTCTTATAAAAATTTGCTATTTCAATTGCTTGTTCTTCTCAAAATGTAGTTGAAATTTATTTTGTACTGCTATATTTTTCTGTCGTATCGGTCCGTTTGATATGAAATTTTAATTCATCATTTCAATTTCTCTTCGTTTTCCATAAATGTTTGAACACAGTATAAATTATTTGCAACAATTTTTGTCAAAATAGCTTTGAAGCACATAAACATATGTTTATTTGTCTTCTGGCTGTAAAATGTGAACGACTGCTTTGCCCAAAGGAAAACATGGCTATTTTCTCAGAGCAGCTGTACTTGAAGGTAAATTTTAGCACACATTCATTAAAGCCTACATACTTATAAAGTAACTATTGGCATCTGTAACACACACGAAATTGTATATAATTTCACTGAACATGAAAATTTGTCTCAAATCAACTAGTTGTAATTGCTTCCTTGTCTTTGCCGAACTGCTTTCTGTAGTTTGTTGCAGATTAAAAACATGAAGGACGGTGAAAGGAGGTCTTTAGAATCATAAAAAATTAGCAAATGTTTGTCTTCAACATGAGAAAGTTAACTCGTTTCCTACTGATTGTGCTACTTATTAGAAATCAAACAATCATGTCAAAGATATTGACGCCCTGTCTGTCATATTTTGTTTAAAGCATTTACAAACCAATCATCTTAACACTGTGTTCGCTAAAAAAATATACAGGTACCGACATTGCTTAAAAGCGTTTTTCAATTTTTCAAAGCTCAATCTTTCTTTTTATATTTGTGTAAAAGCATCAAGAAAAACACTTTCATGAAAAACTCATAATTGTAAACATCATATTTTAAAGCAACTGAGTATTTTATCACTCCATATCACAAATTCTTTTTCAAAATGAAGCAATATAATTTCTCTCCGGAGACGGAATTAGCTTAATTTAGGTCAAGTTTACCGTACGTAGAGTGCTCTTCCTTGATGAAAATGATAAATTGCGTCTGTGTTTTAATTACAACAAATTCATACATTGTACACAGATATTTTCTTTAGCACAGATAGTTTGATAAAAATATTTGTATTTGTCAAGAAAACTGTAATTACATCATGTTTTCAGCGGTTTTGAAGTTTTTGCCAGCAGAATACACCTGCCAGTAGAAATAACCTCAAACGTTTTATACATCTACCACAATTGTTCAATTTCGTGCAATTGAAATATCTGGAATGATAAAGATATTTTTTTGTTGTTCGTGCAAATCGTTTGACAAGCAGCATTGAAATATTTTTATCTGCACAGTGTATGTGTGAAAACTTTAAAACCGTATGATTAAAAATTTGTTATTTTGAACGAAACAACAAGATCAGTACACCGATTATGAAAAACCTAAAAAACACAACTTATAATTTGATAAATTGGCCTATTATTACTAACAACTAGTCGTAGCTATTTATTGAATGTGATGCTGAAATTAGGTTTTTGCCGATGAATCAGCGAACATTTTTGAAAAGATTTTCGTCAGTTTTAAAGAAACATTTAAAAGCAGACAAACACCAAGTGTTGCTGAATCATGTAATAGAAAAGTATGTTGAAGTAAATTTAAAGCTCAAAATTAAATTAATGGTTTTGAATGTGCTATGTGAGTATAATTTAACCAAGGTTTTGGTACAAACCGGTTACAAGTTTTTATATGGCTGCGATTTTGAATTTGTTTTTTACACTGCATACCGAGGTTCTATGCAGAGTAATATAAATAAAAACATATGTCATTTGAGTGACTTTTTGTTAAACGATAATTGATATTAGCTAATTATTATCGAAGCTTTCAAAGAAAATTAGGATGGCAGATTTTTGAGAACTCAAACACCTAAAACAGTACTCTAGAATCCAGATTTCACTGATTGACAAATAATTTATATATTTTGTTCTTTGGCGTTAAATCATTGAGATCATTGCATGCTTAATGTTCTGTTATTGCTTCAGCTACATAGACTTGTACAGCTATATGTGGAAAAATTCACACATGATTGCCGGTATTTCAATGAAACATATTTTTGAATGATAAGAGATTGCCGCTGCCAACAATGTGGCAAAAACTATAACTGGTATAATTAGGAAGAGCGATGAATTTGCATTTGAAAGTCAAACATGACGACTACATGGAGCAAGCTCAGAGTGTCATTAAAGTATTGTCTCATCGAGCCTAATGAAAATACGAAAATACATACTGAATACAAGCTCCTTATGCAGTATAACTATTGCTAACTATTGAAAAGCATTAGTTATATAATTGCATTATGTTTACACTTGCACAGTTCTGTAATTTATTCAGCCTATAATTTCACTTTGCAAAGAGAGATATGCATGTTCATATTTGATTTCATGTTTGTCAGACTTTTATTATAAATACCAAATGAATCTATATATATTAAAGAAAAATACTCTGTAGAATTTTATAAGCAGTTGATGACTTTGTGAATAAGTACATGAAAACAGAATATGAGTAAAGGGAAAAGCTGTAATGTTTTACACAGCAAGAGTGCTAAAGAACAATTTCCTTAACTGAAAAGGTAATTAATTGTCATCTGCTCACTCAGTTCATGCTCCAAAATCTTTTTGACAGAGAAAATGAAGCACCGTCTGTGGTCTGAAAAGTTTACATATATGACAGCTTGTGTTTCCAAGACAAAATTTGTGTCTTACTTCGCGTCACAAAATCTAGCAAAGATAAAACAGCACTATTGGCAAATATTATGAAACTCTCAAGTAATAAAGACTTGTCTGAACCCTTGAAAAATCACTCGACATCGGCTGATTTGTGCATTAAATATGAATAACTCAACGTTTTAAATTAGCTGTCTCTCGATGCATTATTTATGTGATAAAATGTCTAAATTATGTTGATATAGTTTCATTTTCCACACGTTGCAAAAAGCACGCATACACGCCATCATCTCGAATGAAATATTTGCCATAATAATTTATCATTTTGACAATGTTATTATGCAGAAATTTAGAAGATCTTTGCGTTTTAATAAACTCTAAATTTATATGTGTATAAGCAAGTTATTGATTGTTATTGCCATAGCACAATATTTCATTTATTATCTGCGATAAAACTCCTTTGACTAAAATCAAATTCGTACACAAATAGTTAGTGTGGCTAGGGAACAAACACAGGGATCATTTCGTGTTCTTAAATGGAAGAAAATTATAATTTGATGTGTTGTATAACTATGAGTCGAAAATATTTTTAAGTATCAAAATATAAAAATGTACAATTTTATTCAAGAGAAAAAGTCAAAATTAAAGAGAATAAAGGTACTTGGACAAATGAGAAGTGTTTTGTCAACCGTATGTTAAATATTCTATTATTAAAGTTAGAAAGGAGAAAATATACATGGCTTAAACTATCGTAGTTAATAAAGTATGTAGAAATGTAGAAATGTAGAAGCTTATATTCTATATAATCGTGTTTTTTTAGTTTTTAGAGCTTTTGATATCAAGAAGCTCTTTTAGAAAGATGCCTTTTGACGAAGATAATTGAAATATGTCACATTTAAAAACGTAGTTGAATAAAATTATATTTATATTTCTCTTCGTATTTCTACTACAATATCTAACATTCACAATATTTACATTATATAATTTGAACATACGCATATTAACATAGTAGATGCTATTATATCATAGTTTTCCAAGCAACAGACTGAATAGAGGTTATTTTATTAATTTGCAAAATTTTCGGCTTACTCAATTAAATCTACAAATATCCGTAAAAATTGTAAAATATATTAAAATATAACAGGATATTTCATTTAACGGCGATAATTCACAATAATTGACAATGGATGTCATTTGATGACCTCACATCGACATAAACTCATTTTACTTGCATGCCATGGCGTTTCTTTCACACAGATGTTGAATTATCAACCCAGGTGAAAACACAGCAATCAAAATTATAATATTTTTACAAACAAACTGAAGCCGTTTTGACGAGAATTTTTGAGATGAATGATTTAAGAACACATTTTCAAACGTCGTGACGACATTTATCGCGTTTATAGAAAATATCAGAAGTCGATAAGATCAAAGATGTAATTTCATCTTATTATTTTCAATTCTATTTGTCTTGAGCAATGAAACTTTATTCACGATGTTAACCTTGCTTTTTCAAAATCGTATTTATCGCTTATCTCGTAATCATCGCTTTCATTGACAACTTTACTGTCATCAAAACAGAATTTCTTTCATTTTAATGGACCGAAAATTTCATTCTTTTCTTCTTTTGTCTCTGATTGCAAAACCAAACACGAACGACATTCTTCGATAAATCGAGTTTGTCGGCTATGGAAGAAATTTTATCGCTTGATGGTCTTGCGTTCATAGCAAAATATGCTTCAAGCGATCTCTTTTCTGCTGCACCGATAGATGTCCTTTTACGTTTCTTTTCAGAGTTAGGTAGAAATTCACTTTTATAATTTTTACTACGATACGCTTTCTCCGCCTCTTCAAGCCACGCGGTGAGAACAGGTTTAAGAGCCATCATGTTGTTGTGACTTAGTGTCAGAGACTCAAAACGACATATCGTTGACTGGCTCAGTGATCCAACACCAGCAAGTTTTAAATTCGCTAAAGCGGCTCCGACATCAGCTTGCGTTACACCAAGTTTAATACGGCGTTGTTTAAAACGTTCGGCAAACCATTCTAGTTCTCTTGGATTCATGTCTTCTGTTGGTGGGCTCATCGCGGCATGAAAAACATGATGAGACGGTTGGGTTGATAAAGATGGCGATCCACTGTTTTCAAACGCTTTCTCAAATGTTTTATCAAAGTTCTCTGACACTGAAGGTTGCAGAGATGCCGATATCTGGTCCAATATATCGTGTGGATCGTATTGATTTGTATCTTGTCCATGACTGGAATGTAGTCCATGAATCCCTATATAGCTGGCTGATTTAGAAGAAGCTGGACTCTTTGTAAGATATTTTGTTGGGTCTAAAGTTTGTGATGCGGCCAAGAGATGTGGGTCATCAAAATTGTCGAAAACATTTGAAGGAATCTACATATAAATGAACAAGAATTTTTGTGAAGTTTTGAATTAAGTAGTTGATATCATCGTAAAGAACAAGGACTAGCAACATGTTAAATTTTGTACTTACCAAACTTTGAGATCTTGATGAAAACGTAAGCTGAAAAGAAATAAAATGATAAAGGTAGGTTTCAAACATGATATAATATGTTTCAAATAAATATGTTATATTTGTTCAAGTTTAAATTTAACGAAATATTTTACCGAATTTGATCCACGATATGACGGGATCCAACTCGCTTCATTTACGCTTTGTGAAGCACTTAACACAGCAGTATTGGAGTAAGGAATACCATTGGATGTTGTTCCCAATCGTCCTAAAGGCGGACTAAAGTTCTTATTAAGTAATGTTTCTCGGTTCATCTTGCACAACTGTCACAGAGAAGTTATGCCGTCTCTCATGTCGTGCATAATGTTTTTGAATGCAAGCGAACCGCTCATAAAGGAAGACACAATCATTATCATTGTGTTAACAATATTCCAACTGCACCTGTTCACCTGCATTTGCGCATGCGTTGCAGGACTGACACGCATGCGTGAAAAATGGCAGGTGAAAGAAAGGCTAAACTAATGCTGGACGGTCTCTTGCTGACGCTAACCTTACAAGCTTGATTGGACAACATCTGCTAGCTATGTCGACAAAATAATAACAAGAAAAAGCACTCTACTATATCTAATTTAAGCATTTTCAAACAATCAGGTTTATATGACAAGTAAAAAACGTAAAAATACCGTTCAGTGTCAGATAAATTCATGACATAAACACTCACTAGCAAAACACTTGCTTTGACTCACGCTGTTGTACACTGTATTGAAGTCTGCGATAATTATTGATCAAATTGAAATTCATTAGCGCAAGGATTAAGAAAATTCTTATATGAATGAGAAACAAGAGAAAACAATGCCTTGTTTGAAACAATTAACATGAATGTTAACAGGGCACGTGTGTCCGCGTCTCACATTGAAATAAACCAAAAATATTTTTATCTTATTTTATTTTATTTTATGTAAAGCAAAATATCGTAATCAGAAATGTCAGTATTGTTGAAAGAACGTATTTACTTGAAATTAACAATATTGTCGTGCTAGTTAACAGACATGCAACATTAAAGATCCAAGAAATTGATAAAAAATATTGTCTATCTTGACAATGAATAAGAACAACTTTTATACAGGACAAAATTATGGCACAATCCAAAAAGAGTTTCCTAAATAAGTTCAAAAGCTGGAAGCGAAGTTACTAAAACTAAAATTCAAAAAATTTCTTCGATTTTGTAATGAAGGATGATAATGTTGACTTGTCTATCTGACCAAACTAAATTACTATATGTCACTACTTTACCATCAGTGAATGAAAGATGAAGAATCAACATTAAGCTTGAAAATTTTTTTTATTCAATCACTACTGTAAAAAGAGGATAATTATAGAGAATATAGTAAAATCGAAATCGATTGATTTTTTGATCTATTCTACCTTTTCTAGGACAAAACTTTTTTTCAAAGCTCATATTTGACGGAGGAAAATTCGTTTTGAATTGATTTTGAAACTAAGTGAAGAGATCAGAGCAGCCATAGAAACTCACTTCAAATTAACTATCGACACAAAGGTTTGCTTCAGTTGGTTTAAAACCACAGAACCACAACATTACATCAAAATTATCCTCCTTCCAGTTGTTGACAGCATCTTCGTTAGGGTAAAACCATAAATGAGATGAATTTTTGTCATGTTGCTTTTAATATAAGACCGAGCTTATCAAGAATTAATATGACATTAAATATGAACGAGCATGTTGTTAAACATAGTGTTACAAGCATTTTTCTACTAATATGCATGCCTTTATATGAATTGTCTTTCGCATTTTACTATGATAATCAATAGTATTTTTTGAAAATATCTTAGCTAAGAACAGCTACAACTGTGACTTCTTGTTACGAAAACGAGATCAAAAACAATTTTAAGTCAAAAAGACACAAATATTTTCATGCACTTGTAGTTCCATCGTTGATATTATTTATTTATCTGAATCTTGTTGCTTATGCAAAAATATTTAAGACAAAGAAAACCACAAGCTGATTACCAGAAGCATTGTTGTATTCATGCAACACAATTGAAAGTGACAAGAAAATTCCTTTTAGTTTCCAACATAAGTTGTATCTTAATACAATACTTGTATAATATTGCACACATGATTTATCGTGTTTATGAGATTTAATCATTGGAATATTTTAATTCGAACTTGCAATTTGAAGAGAAAAAGAGAATATAACAATGTTACATTATCAAAATATGTGTACATTTTCTGTTTGTTTTGACGACGTATAGATTATAAATTATGAATCCTTTTAAAAGTCCATTGGAGCAATGTTCACTGGTTTGTGCGGAAATTTTTCACATATCCTTTCATGTAAACACAAGGAAGCTTTAACAGTTTTTGTAAATCGCCATGAATGCATCTTGATAAAAATATCTAAGTATGCTTTGATGTTCCTATATTTTAATTATTTTTCAGTCATGTACTCAAAGCAATATAAAAATTAAAATAATTTTCAAAGTTTCCTCTACACCTGGTCTTTATCTCATGAATCTAAATATCGCCAAGCTGACAAAGTCACTTTTACTTAAGTCTTTATAAAATTTTTCAATGTTATGGGTCAGAACCAGCTGAACGTTGAAATGAGCTACGTAAAAAATTGCTTTATAAGCAATCGCATTAAACTTCGACACCTCTTTCAATATCGCTACAACAACAGAAGAGACATAAAATGAAATCGTCAAATATATTTGGTAACTCAAAAAATCGTAAAAGAAAATCAGTAGAATTTTTCGTACGTGTAATCGAAAATGTGTTCCATCGAAAAATAAGATATAGTTTATGAAAGCACAGCGGGAATTAACGCATGCTTTCCTTGATGTTAAAATGGATGTGAAAATGAGGCTGGTACCAGCGGTTTACGACACTACTAAACAGCAGGTGGCGCCATATTTTTGTTTCTATATATATATATATATTAACTATCTGGCGATCTTTGTCTCATACTTTTATAAAAATCACGTTTTGCTGAAGGTTGAAATTTTGGAGAGATAAAAAGTTATAAGTATGTAGTGTGTATAACTTGATGAGAAACAAAAAAATTATTTAAGAAATACAACATTAAACAATAGCAGCAATATAAGAAATAAGTCAAGTCAGGATGTGTGTTATAATTATTTTTGCATGTATTGTGTTCAATAGCAACATCAACAGCGAATTATTTTGATAAAATGTCGTTAATAAACTCCAGTGAAACTGTTTTGATGAAATAATAAATTTTGAAGAAAATGTAACTCGTCTAAAGCTATAAAACGAGTAATTTTAAAACATAATCAACTGAAATAGAAGTGTCTGTCATTGTATATAAAAATTCATCGCACTCTATAGTGTCTTCTATGAAACAAAATTTATGTAACATTAGCTTTATGCGTAATATTTCGAAACATTTCTAGAATTACTGACTATTTACACTACTCGAACATATTTTATAAATCACAAACCTGTTAGATAATTTGAATTATAAAACCTCCAAACCTAAAAATTTTTTATGAATTTTTTATCTTCGCTTTTAATAATAAGGAATTTATTTAAAGCTCCTTAAATAAAAAGTTATCCGTGTTGATACAGCAGTTCAATTTTCACTCATCAACGATTTGAGAGGAGGGGTTCCAGATACTTCCATGCATTTCACATGGCAATATTATATTTAATTAAAATTTGAAATTACAAACCCCATGGTTATTATTACAGAAAAAATGAATTTCTTGACAACTCGGCGACATTTTAAGATAAATTATGACACAACAATACTAAAACAGAAAATGACAGAGATTAATTAATGACTTAATTTATTGAATTCATGTTAATATTGGCTTTGAATATAAGTTGTTTCAAGAACCTCGTTCATGGAAAGGGTCAACTTGTCTCACAAATGACCTTAACACTTTACGTTTCTTATTAAAAGGCGACAGTCAAAACAATATGGAAAAAAGAAAGGTTTTCAAATAGCATTCAGTTTTTCAGCCATTGACAATATCATAGTTACTATTTGAAATATAATAAAAAGTTCATTCAAATGACTCATCGCGGGTTTCATTTCTTTGTCATAAATCTGACTTGTTCGAAGGAACTGACTTTGTAAAACGAGTTCGTTCACACATAAAGCCTTAATTGTACTGTCAGATCTAAACAAAACATCTTTACAACACAATTTTACTTCAACGTTTCAAATAACATACTGGTTGGTTTTCATAGGCAGTCATACAGTTGGAACTCGGTATACAACAGCAAATACAGTGATGAAAATATTGCAGAAGATTTAGCTACGAGGAATAAAGCTTAGTCCCACAATAACATGTTTCACATTTCTGAATATTTTCTATGTAAATGTTTACCATTTTTTTATTGCTTTCACCAATGGCGGAATGACTGGCTTGAATTTTCTTCATTCATCATAAAACGGCAAACTTTTCACTAAAAATAACACTTTTATAATTGTGATAAAACAAAAACATATTTCACAATATTTACTTTCGTAAGTTTATCACAACCTCAAATTTCAAACTAATCTATGACATTTATAAATGTGGTATAATTTTTACAGCTGTCATTAGATATATAAATATAATGAAGAGTTTACTTATTTAATGGCATGTAGAAAAGAAACAAACCTTTTGGAGGATTTTTCTTATCCACATAAAAAGCATAAAAGCAAAAACTTGTCGCTAAGATGTATAAAGTAATGATGGTTTACATTCTTATGTCAAATATTTATGACTTATCAACTGGACTTAACTGTTCAATTACAGAAAGAATATTAATCGTCATCTCTTTCAATTCGTTGATCATGGACGACAGAGAAAAATCGCGTTTCGACATAACCAAAGCTCCAGGTTTCTTTTCCACCAAATATCTCGAGTACAATTTTGCTAAAAATTCCACATATCCTTGTTCATCTTCAATAAATAGTTTCTCTCTAAACATGTGAAGTGTTTGGACAGCAGATTCGGTGTTATAATTGCACAGGTTTCTAGTGATTGATTCGCACGCACTCGCATACGTATGTGTTACATCGCTCTCGAATGAAAGCTCGTTTTCTTCAGAAGTATTTTTCACAGAGACTAAAGCTGATGACACTTCATTACGTATTAAAGCAACCTTGTTACTAAGTTCCACAATCTAAAATATAGACACAGTTAAATAAGAAATAAACGCTCAAAATGCCTAATTGAATATTAAAATTATTAGCATGTGGTGATTGATTGATTGATTATTGTATATACATGGTTACCGTAGGGTATGGTAGCTTCATATAAAATGGTTACCGTAGGGTATGGTAGCTTCATATAAAATGGTTACCGTAGGGTATGGTAGCTTCATATAAAATGGTTACCGTGGGGTATGGTAGCTTCATATAAAATGGTTACCGTAGGGTATGGTAGCTTCATATAAAATGGTTACCGTAGGGTATGGTAGCTTCATATAAAATGGTTACCGTGGGGTATGGTAGCTTCATATAAAATGGTTACCGTAGGGTATGGTAGCTTCATATAAAATGGTTACCGTAGGGTATGGTAGCTTCATATAAAATGGTTACCGTAGGGTATGGTAGCTTCATATAAAATGGTTACCGTAGGGTATGGTAGCTTCATATAAAATGGTTACCGTAGGGTATGGTAGCTTCATATAAAATGGTTACCGTAGGGTATGGTAGCTTCATATAAAATGGTTACCGTGGGGTAGGTAGCTTCATATAAAATTTACCGAAGGGTATGGTAGCTTCATATAAAATGGTTACCGTGGGGTACGGTAGCTTCATATAAAATGGTTACCGTAGGGTATGGTAGCTTCATATAAAATGGTTACCGTAGGGTATGGTAGCTTCATATAAAATGGTTACCGCTTCATATAAAATGGTTACCGTAGGGTATGGTAGCTTCATATAAAATGGTTACCGTGGGGTATGGTAGCTTCATATAAAATGGTTACCGTGGGGTATGGTAGCTTCATATAAAATGGTTACCGTGGGTACGGTAGCTTCATATAAAATGGTTACCGTAGGGTACGGTAGCTTCATATAAAATGGTTACCGTGGAAGTAGCTTCATATAAAATGGTTACCGTAGGGTAGGGTAGCTTCATATAAAATGGTTACTGTGGGGTATGGTAGCTTCATATAAAATGGTTACCGTAGGGTATGGTAGCTTCATATAAAATGGTTACCGTAGGGTATGGTAGCTTCATATAAAATGGTTACCGTGGGGTACGGTAGCTTCATATAAAATGGTTACCGTGGGTATGGTAGCTTCATATAAAATGGTTACCGTAGGGTGTGGTAGCTTCATATAAAATGGTTACCGTAGGGTGTGGTAGCTTCATATAAAATGGTTACCGTAGGGTATGGTAGCTTCATATAAAATGGTTACCGTGGGTATGGTAGCTTCATATAAAATGGTTACCGTAGGGTATGGTAGCTTCATATAAAATGGTTACCGTAGGGTGTGGTAGCTTCATATAAAATGGTTACCGTAGGGTAGGGTAGCTTCATATAAAATGGTTACCGTAGGGTATGGTAGCTTCATATAAAATGGTTACCGTAGGGTATGGTAGCTTCATATAAAATGGTTACCGAAGTTTCATACCAGATGTTTATCGCAGGGGTATGGTAGCTTCATACCAGATGTTTATCGCAGGGGTATGGTAGCTTCATACCAGATGTTTATCGCAGGGGTATGGTAGCTTCATACCAGATGTTTATCGCAGGGTATGGTAGCTTCATACCAGATGTTTATCGCAGGGGTATGGAAGCTTCATACCAGATGTTTATCGCAGGGGTATGGTAGCTTCATACCAGATGTTTAGCGCAGGTTATCGTAGCTTCATACCAGATGTTTAGCGCAGGTTATCGTAGCTTCATACTAGATGTTTAGCGCACGGTATGGTAGCTTCATACCAGATGTTTATCATAGGATTTGATACCTTCATACCAGATTGTAACCGCAGGGTATAGTACCTTCACATCAGATGGTTATACCATACGTATGGTAGCTTCAAACCAGATGGTTATACCATACGTATGGTAGCTTCAAACCAGATGGTTATTGTAGGTGGGTTTGGTAGCTGCCACTAGGTGGCTATGGTGCATATAGCAACGGCATGACAGTTATTATACATATATATGTCGTGATAAGGTTTCGTTAATACTAAAGACAAAGAACTACTGAAGCAACTTACATCATACTTGTTTGCTTGTTTCTGAAGATATTCAAACGATCTTGAATAACTATCCAAGACAAGCAACACTTGAAAATGTAGTTTATACAGCGCCCAACATAAAGCTATTTCACAATCGTCATATTTGCTCTCCTCTAAACTGGATGTTGATGTTTCTTTATCTTGTAAAGATGAATGATCTCTCTTATCAACATTTCGTAATCTTTCTAACGCTCGGCTAGCATTATGTAACATTTCTTTGTAACTTCGATAATGATCGTCAATTTCCAAAATCATAAACTTTAGTCGTTCCAGTATCTTTGAGCGTCTCACAACCTCACTATCCAGGTACACATACGGACAATGACCGTGGATGTCTAAAGCCTCGAGAATTTCCACAAACAAAGATGTGACACCAAACAAACTATTATCTAAAACATTACAACATTGCCTTGTAATATCAGTTACTTTGTTTCGTATATGTCGTAAAAGTAAGGCCATTAATGCAAAACTGTTAACAGCCGATGATCCAGTTGTATCATTAATAAGTGTCGTAACATGGGATTGCCATTTGATATCTACGTCATGACAATGAATTATTGACGTCACGTATCTTGGGAAACGAGATGACAGAAAGTCCGTAGATTCTTGACTAAAAAATGTTGAAATGCATGGTAGAATGAACAAATTTAGAGATGATCAAAGGCTTGTGTTGATGTTTACACAATTTCCTTATCGACAAACTATTTTTCCAATTACATAAACGGTAAATGAAACAAACCTAGATTCAGAAGGTGGTGAATATTGAGTATTTGATGTAAATCCTTTTGATTCATCGTGAATACGCAACGTTTCTTCCGTAAGAGGTATATTTGCACTGGGAGAGACTGTACTTGAAAGAGACCGTGTCATCTAAACGCATATTAAACATAATAATGGTAATCAGCCAATAAAACAGCAATAATATAACAATAAAATGCTACAAAATATACTTCATCATCGTCTGACTCAGAGCCATAAAGTGGACTATGACGTTGTCTAGATTCTCCAGGTTCTGGTGTTTTATAATCTGCACATTGAAGATCCCAACCAAATCCACTAATGTCATCATCATGTTCATCAATTTCATCATCAAGAAAATCAAAACCAGTAAACACACCAATAAGCTTCATTAAAATAAAATGAAAACAATTCAATATAATAACAACATGATCACATATACTTTTCATGAATAAATTTTTACTTGTTGAGCTTCACTAGCTTCATTTTCCTCTTTACTACCGACTTCGAAATGTTGATTTTCATCTGAAGATGAATGATCACCACCATCAGCTTTCTCCATTACTAAGTCACTTGATGAACTGAACACAACTGATGGACTTTGTTTCAACCCAACATGGTGACCACAGACACGAAGTACACTTACAAGATGCTCCTTTGTGCGACGCTTAAAAACACATGTAAAATGTTAGCGATGAAAATATTTCATTCAAGCAAATACTTTTCACATGATTTCAAAGCTAGATAACAATATACTACGAATATTTTTATAATAAATACGAAACCAGTAAAACAATAAATAAAATTTGAGGCATAATGGTACTGACAACCAGTGCATCATTATATACAAGATGATAATGATAAAGAGATGTTAAATACTTGAGACAGTTGAGGTCGTTTCCACCAAGATGAATCAGATTTCTGAGGTAATTCCTGAGTATCTTGCACAGTTGCAAACGCTGCAGTTACATCAAAAGCAAATACAAGTGTTTTTCCTGGTAACTCTTGTCTTTGGAAGGCACTCTTATCCAAAGACCAAGTACTATCAAATATAACACTTTGTGGACGTTGTGTTGGTTTTTCAAGCTGGGAACAGCTAGAAACAGCGAGTTTCAACACATTCAATGATTCTTTCCAGAGATCATCCTGAATAAAAGTTAAATATATAATAGTAGTTTATCAGAAGAATATATTATGAATTAACTACGGCATGAAGTAAATCAATGAACGACCAGCATATCGGACTCGCAGTTAACATTCATTTAAAAACATATATATATGAGAGATGACATTATATCATAAGGAACAATAACTCATAAAACATCAAATTCAAAAACGTAATGAACACCATACAAATCCCTTATATAAAATATAAAACGTTTAAACGAATCCTCTAAACTTTAACAGTGAATTTTCTAAACTATGTCAAAAATAAACAGTAACAGATGATGATAAATCGCAAACCTTGATGTGTTTTGAAATAACTTTCAATGTCGGTATCAAAATGTGTCTGGTATTGACATAAGTAAAATCAATGTGTCGCATCAAAGCACAAGTAACATTTAACACTGCAGTCTGGTTGACTTGTGGACCACGTTCTAACAGCTGAACAGAAAAAATAACAAGTTAGTGAATGAATTATTCATTAATCATGACTTCTATCGTCAGGTACGTGTGATTACATCAATGATAAAAAAACAATTCTTTGTTTCTAGTACAACATTCTACGTATTTGATTTTATAAGTTCACTCATGATTAGTTTAATTTTACATCCCGATAATGGATTGTAACTCAGTTGCTCAAAACGTAACTGCTGATTGGCTATCACATCAGCTAGAACAATTTTCATTGGCTGAATAAAATTGTGCGCTCGGAAATCGAGTTAAGTGAAAACCATAAGTCAATAAATCAGTGAAATTTTTACTTGGCTAAGGATATAATTGCAATAAATTTATGTATGTGTTTGGTTTAAATTTTCTAGCTTAAAAAATTCATGCAAAAATGCATTGTAGAAAACATTTTAACATACCTCAGTAAGAAACGCCAATAATGTGCGAATGGTTTGTCGATAAAACTCATAAATATAACGGCAGACACCTTCCGTCCACATTTGTACAGTTTTATGATAGGTTCTCTGATTGTACATCGCAAAAAGTTTACCAAAACCAATCATATTTTTGCTAACACAAACCTAAAAAAAACCCAAATAAATTTTGATGTATAACAAGAATAAAGTGTTCAATATATATTCAGATATAAAATTATTATTAAACAATTACCTGACCAACAATAGAGGCGCAACTTAATGAAAACTCATCAGGTTCATTAAAACGTTGAATCATATAAGGCAACAGAGCCAAGATACTCAAAACAATCCCTTCATAAAGAAAAATATTAAGCATCCCCAAATCGTTATCAATTGTAATTTTATAGTTTATAATCTGTAAATTTTCCAGCTGACAATTTGAAGGAATAAATGACAAAAACACACTCCAAAGATTTGAGTCATCTTAGTAAGAGACAAGATATAAAAACATTGTTTTGACTTTATTTTAAAGTCATTATCAAAGGAAGTGATGACGTAATCAAAGGTTATGACTTAATCAAAGGTTACCTTTAGCTTGATGACAACTTTGAAATAAAGTCGCAAGATTGCTTTTAAATCTTCTCTCTTGCTATTGATAACTCAAATCTTGAGTTTAGAAGATGATGCTTTTTGGAGTGTGTTTTTTCATTTAAAAACGAAACTTTGTAACAAAGTTCCTCAAAAAGTATAAATTGTGAAACATCTAGTGATAACATGATAATTGCGTAAAAGATTAACCTGTGTGTTCTGAAACATCCATTATTGAAATATTACTGTATGGTATTGTCTTTTTTATTAATTCAACAGTTGAAGTACTTGTGGATGGCGATGTCAAGCCCTAACAATATAAACTTGTAATCATCAAAGATCATAAATGGACTGAATATAAAATGACGCAAGAAAAATTCAGTTGAAAATTGTTACATGACTTCACCCCAGGCCCCACGCTCATAGCCCCAACAATTGTCATAAAACATGAGGAACTAAATTTTTTCAGGGTAATTGCACTTCCAAGTAATTATCGAGCCACAGTAACAAACTACCTCCCCTAGATATCCCCACTACCTCCCTAGATATCCCCACTACCTCCCAGGTATCCACCTCCTAGATATCCCCACTACCTCCTATCCCCTCCTAGATATCCTCCACCATCCCTCCCCACTACCTCCCCTGATATCCACCACTATCCTCCAGATCCATCCACTCCTCCACCTCCCACCCCAGGGTCCATCCAAGCCCCCTCCAGATATCCACTACTTCCTAATCACCTCCTCCTAGATATCCACTACATCCCACCCAATCACCTATCCCCACTACTTCCCCCAATGTATTCTATCACCGCCCTCCTTAAATATCATCACTACCTCATCCCCAGGTATCCAATTACAATCACCACGTAATTGTCGTAGATTTTAAACCCGTGATCATTAAATTAACGACATAATCAAAGGTTACCTTTAACAACAACATTTGTACACCTGTAAATTGTGACCATTTCAATTTATATAGAAGTGATTCCAAACGTTCCTGAGTTGTTTTGCTGCTCAAATCGATCAGATTAATCACCTGAAAATAAAAACGATCCGAACTTGTTTTCCTTCGTACATAAGTAATAAGTGCCTAACTAAATATAGCATGAAAATAAACAAAAAATAGATGATAACTTCTAGGTCTTTTGGCTAAATTTCTAAGAGGCATTGGAGAAAATCAAACTTGTAATATGACACGAGCAAGCATGTTCTAATGTCACCAAAGTGTTTTTCACGTTGTATAAAAGCGTCAAAAAAATGTAGCAAAACATACTTAAAGAGTTGAATTTCTCTTGTTCTAAAAAAGTATAGAAAGTTATAAACCTTGGACAAAAGTTTCACAGCCATGACAAATTCATGCTCATAATCTGATTCAAGCAAAGATACAGCAACCCAAAACATTCTCGCCAACAAATCTCCTTGATTAAGTGATGTTGCATTATCGTTAGAAAAACGTAATGACTGCAAGCTCATACTTCTCATTTTTGGTGAAAGTACTTGAAATTGTGTAAAAGTTTCTTGAAGACTGCCCCCACTGCTTAACGATCGTATGTGACCTACAGAATCCTTGCTTGAAACATTACTTGATCTTTCCGGAGAAGATGTTGCCAACAAATGGGTTGAATCATCTATTTGAATTGTGCCACCTTCCATCAAGGGGTAGACAAGGTTTGCCTTCACAACATTTTCTCGAGATTGTTCGACTACAGCGTTTAAGGTGAGAATAATCTCCATCACATAACCCTAAAATAGAACGATAATGTCTGAACGGAAACTTCGTGGTTCCATAATCACATTGCGAGATCTTCGAGTTTCACAATTGTAATAGTTCCTCTAATACAATAAGTTGAGTTGTAATCAATTGTAAAAATTCATCACTATAATAAATTGTTAACTATGCAAAGTTACCTTAAAACAATCGTTAAATACATGTTTGCCACATTTCATATATTTACCTGAACATCTTCATTATTATCACCTATAGATTCCGCGAGACGATATAAAATATCAGAAACAACTGGCCAAGATAACTGGACTGTCAAACCACGTAACACTTGAAATGATCTTCCAGCGTAATGACGTGATGAACACGATATTGCCCATTTTGAAGCAACTTTTGCCCAACTACTACGAATACCACTTGTTTTAAATTTACTCTCAAATATTTCGAGGACTTGTAGGAGAAAAGTAGTTAATTCTGTCGCACTGACAATATCTTGAGACTTTGTCGTTATGTCTTCAAAGCTCCACAATGCTTTTCCATCACTAAACACAAACACAAACAAACACATTTAATTTTTATTGTAATAGTACTAAATGCAACCGATTTTAAATAAAAAGTTAGTAGGTTTACTTTTTAGAGTAGAACAAAAAAGGCGAGTAGTTGAAATGTACTATTTCTATATATTCAATAAAAAATTATACAAAAATGAAATTCTTCAAAATCTTTTCCTCACCATCAAGTCATAAAACTATAAAGATCAATGATAACATTTTAGTCATCATAGAATCATTAAATTTCAGAAAGATAATTTTAACAAAATAAGTACTTTGATCATTAAATTACGAACAACATATAACATATTTACACTAATAATAAAACATTGTCGGTATTATAAAGTCGTGTTAATGAATACGATAATTGATGCCTTCAGCTAAATCACCTTTGAGTTAAATAACATATTAGCCATATCACTTTCTCACTCAGATTCTCGTCATCGGAGTGAGTTTCTTCTTTCGTCTTGAGACTAAACGAAAGAAGTTAAGAAAAATGTTCTACGTAAAAGGAATGATTAAGCAAACTACAAGAAGCAGTTTTACTAATCATAAAAATTTCTTCACAGAAATAAATAAATGATACTTTACAAAGGAAATGATTTTATAACAGATGATAGAAGTAATTTTCACAAACCTTTCACGACGAGTGAGAACGGTACCATCACGTGGGAAGTTTACATTTGTGTTCCATTGATGCTCAGCAGTTTTTTGTGAAAAATATTTAAATTTCATAAGAGAATGAGCAACAGCAGAATAATCGCCTTCAAGTACCAAAATAACGGCAAGGTTGACAAGAAGACTTTTACAATGTTCATGAATTAATGATTTACTGTGGTCAAAACCTAAAATGATATAACACAGTGATATCAAAATTAAATTGAAGAAAACAAGTATAAACAAGTTTAAACAGGTTGCTGTGATTCACTGACAAAGTTAAAGGAAAGTATTTAGTAAACTGACTATATGACTGGTACCTTACCATATGGATGCATTGCTATATTATAGGGTACCATATATACGTATGGTACCTTACCATAAGGACGCATTGCTATATGACTGGGTACTATATATACGTATGGTACCTTACGATAAGGACGCATTGCTATATGACTGAGTACTATACATACGTATGGTACCTTACCATAAGGACGCACTGCTATATGACTGAGTACTATACATACGTATGGTACCTTACCATAAGGACGCACTGCTATATGACTGAGTACTATACATACGTATGGTACCTTACCATAAGGACGCATTGCTATATGACTGAGTACTATACATACGTATGGTACCTTACCATAAGGACGCACTGCTATATGACTGAGTACTATACATACGTATGGTACCTTACCATAAGGACGCATTGCTATATGACTGCTATACATACGTATGGTACACCATAAGGACGCATTGCTATATGACAGGGTACTATACATACATATGGTACTTTACCATAAGGACGCATTGCTATATGACAGGTACTATACATACATATGGTACTACCATAAGGACGCATTGCTATATGAGTACTATACATACGTATGGTACCTTACCATAAGGACGCATTGCTATATGACAGGGTACTATACATACATATGGTACTTTACCATAAGGACGCATTGCTATATGACAGGGTACTATACATACATATGGTACTTTACCATAAGGACGCATTGCTATATGACAGGGTACTATACATACATATGGTACTTTACTATAAGGACGCATTGCTATATTACAGGGTGCTATGTCTATGTTCAAAAACATAAATTGAATATTATAAACTTCTTAGTCATAAAAATACCTAAAAATACAACATGAAGTATAAGGGAAAGATGAGGAAGCCAGTTTACACGTGGTTGGTCGCGAATTACTTCACTTAGAAGAATCAATGAGAAGTTACATCTGTAAAACAAGAAAAAGAAATCTAAAAAATAGAGTTTTTACGCAGAGATTTTCACTAGATAAAAACATTTTTCATGGTAAACAGACGTGACACGAGCGAGCATGTCGTGCATGTATTCTTTCACAATCGTTGATATAGAAACATTGAAATTGCTAATAAAACTTCCTCCACTCCTAAAAACAACGTCTTTCTTCCTCAACGTTGCTTCTCCTCTATGTAAAAATGTCAATGTACGTACTATACCTGTACAAAGGAGTAACGACAGATGATAAAGAAATGACATCAACCAATGACGCGAAACGTAAATATTCTTCTGGTATTGGTAAAGATAAACCAGACGGAAAACATTGACGATGTCTATGAATACAAGCAACCCAAGCTTTTGCCCACTCAAGTTCTTCAATTCTCTTCAAATCTTTCCGTGACTTTCCACCAGAATCATTCTCTGGATTTAAAACTAAAATACACAACAAAGTTATTCATAAATAAATACTGACACAGTTTGATATGATTTGGTTTGAATAAAAATAATGAAAAATTTCAAGTTCCACCACAACTAATATTGAGAACATTAGTTTATGTGAAGTAACTTCGACGAAACGTAAATTTATACTCAGTTACAAATCTCTTCTTTTTACTAGACTTTTAAGTATAGTGAATGATTCTGCAAGATGATGTCAGAATCTCTCTCAACCAATGAACAGTTATAACCTGAAATGATTTTTGGTATTCGTTCGCGTTGTTCTTCAATTTTGGAATCAATATAATCTTTCTTTAAGTCTTCGTCATTCTTTGGTTCTGTTTTATTATCATCAACATCATTTGCAACTGGCGAAGATAGATCTTTCTCTACAACCATATAATATGGAGGATCTTCACATCGCTCAAAATGACCAGCCACTGGTTCAGTTAACTTAAAAGCAGATGAAAAATGTATCAAGAGACATGGAAAACATTGAAATATAAAATATAAAGGCTACAACCAAAGTAACAATCATTAACCACAATCTTTATAATAATTTGTGGAACCTGAAGTTCGTTGATCAAAGTTTGTAAAGTTCCTTCTTTATTGGCACGAACTAAATACACAACAATTTTCTTGGCCTAAAAATTAATCAATTTTTTACTTTGGAAACAAAGGAGTAATTTGATGCAAAATTTGATTAAATTCGATTCTTTCACGTATTTTAGTCGGGGTTTTTTTTATTGCGGTCAGGTTTTCAATTTATGATAACCTTAAAAATCCAGGTAGGTGTTAGTTTATCAACGTTGGGTGAGTAAAAAACTGGTTTAGAGGCTTCATTCAGAGTGCGTTAATTTTGAAAAAACCAGAGTTTTTATTTACTTTATGTCTTACTTTCTGGGTGAACAAAAAACGAGCCAACGTTGAAACTAAACATGGTGACATTTTTCATTTTACTTTCTGATCAATAACAAGATAAAAGGCAGGTGCTAACACAAGTCAACAAAAACAGCGTTTCTTACATGTGGAAAAAATTCCAAATGAGCGCTTATTCCAGCAAGAATGTTAAGAAAATTCAAAATCTCTTGATTGTTTCCAATCCATGCCTTGGACAGAGCGCTCCACAATTCTTCAAATTCTGCATTGAAATTTTCACCATACTATGTGAAACAATGTGAAAATCATAAGTAAAGAATTTAATTTCATTTAGAACATAAGAGTTATCGGTGGACAAACTTAAACAACATCGTCAATAACATGACACAGATACATCTTTATTATGTAATATGCAGAATATTATTCAAAGAATGAACAATATTATTAATGAAATTTATGACTTACTACAAAATGTGTAATACACAACCCCAGAGGAAAACGTATAGTGAAGAGAACGTACCTTCACCGTCAAATAAAAAAGATTGTTCAAAACAAGTTGGGTAGCTTTACTTGATCCCCATCCATCCCCCGACATCTCAACATGTCGCATGGGATCCATTGTGTTAATATCCTTGTCTGAGCAATCAGCAATTGTTGCAGATGTCTTAGTTGATGATATATCCACCAACTGAACATTACAAAGCCACGGCAACATACATTTAAGAATTATTCTTTGATAAACAAACGGTGCAATCTCAAACCTGAATGTTAACTCTGTAAAAATAAATGAGAAAAATCTCAGTTAACTATCTCGTTATTTACATATACCTGGAAAGAGACGGGGGGAGGAGCAAGGGTTTTTCGACGTTGAATGAATAGAGAACATTCAAAAAATAATAATAATAAAAAAGCAACGTTTGACTATGGACAATTTTTATGACCAAAATAAGAATAACATAAAAATATGTCAAGAATATCGAACAGGTTTGTTCTTAGTTCAAGTAACACATGAAATTCTCAACTATTCTTGGATGAGGAAATTTTGCAATATTAAAATGAACATTTGATGCATGAATATTCTCGCTAAAGAACAGAAAATAATTCTTTACCTGCCAACAAAGGAAGTGTTAATTCAGGATGAAAATTCGCCAATTGATCGGAAAGTTCTATTGGACTTTGAGAAAATTGCGATAAGCCAGGAACACAATAAGAAAGAAAACGCCTACAAAAGAATATATTGCATTTCTTCATACACTGAATATTTCCCAGAAATTGATAATGGTTTTAAAAACTATTTACCGTTCCAACAGTTGCAGTAATTGAGCAGATTTCTCTCTTTCTCCTGCGTCTGGACTACAAGTTTTAAACAAAACTACACCAATAACAGGAATTACGTCACAAGGATAATACCTAAAAATCGAATATTATGACGAACATTGAGAGTTGAAACATATTTTTTGAAACATTTTCATTGCAGAATATAGAGAAGAGTATAGCTCACCTTCGTACCATAACTGTGGTTAAAGCATGGAAACATTTATAAGAAATGAGTTTATTTTCAGTGTAACATTTATTAATAATCCATTCCAGTAAAAATGGCACATTATCATTTAAATCAAGAAGATTTTCAATTGTTTCCTGTCCAACACCATTTATCTAAAGCAAAATCGTCAAAGAATTTACTTTAAAGATAAAAAAATATCATTAAGCCTCCAAGATGTAGTCACTAACTACGTACCACGCTTTTATCTTCAGAACATAAAATAGTTTCAATCCAACGATAAAAGTATCCGTCTTTCGCGAGACCACACTTGTCAAACACTGGGCCACAACAGAGCAAAGCGCAAAGAGCCTAAATATTTGAAGCATTTTTCTTTTGTGAAAAATTTTAGTCTCCACGAAAAAATAAAAATAAAATCCCACGTGATGGAGAATCTGTTGCGGTCAATGTACAAGATACCTGTACAGCGGCAGTTTCCAATTCATTTTTCTTTTCTATTGGTAACAAACCAATTCTATGAGAGGGAAAATGAAATAATGAGACACAACACGCTCAAGACAAATACGTAAAAGCAATGGAAATTATAGATCTCGTGACAGCATATTCTATTTATGATATTTGGATTAGATAAACAGCGTTTAATGAAAAACAGTCAAGAACGCACTTTTCAATCGAAGATAAAGTGTTGTTCTTATGACACCACGAGCTCATAAGAGAAAAAAGATTTACTCTCATTTCATTAGTAAGAAGTTCCCCTTTGTAGAATGAACAATCTATAAAAGAATGACATTAGGAAAGGCAACAAAAAATGCTAATCATTTGTTATGTTATTAATACTGGAGAAGCTCTTTATCATCTTTTGAATGAATCTTGCAAAGTTAAGTTTCAATTGAAGAACAGCTGTAGGATCACGATCTGCTTCCCCACTAACAAAATATGACCTGAGAAGACATAACATGACAAAATGTTATTGCAAAGCAATGAAAAATGAAATTTAAATAAACAACAACCGTGGTATTTGCTCTTTTTAAAACGATTTTTAATTTTATCAACCCGACAAAATCTTTATTTTAAAATTGAAATTATATTAGTTATGTGCGTAAAAATAATGGATGAAATTCCGCGAAATTTACCTTGTATTTTCGATGTAATCAACAAATGTTTGTGATAAAGAACCATCATCAGACAAAACACAAGCACTAAAATGTAACGATAAACATTCAAAACAACGACAGAGCCACACAAAGCAAGAAGATCATCATTTACCTATCTCGAAAACAACCGTGTTCAGCATTTAATTCAAAAATTCTCGCCAAATGCGTTCTTATATTATCGTTTCTTTCTCTTTCTCAAACTCTACATACAAACAATTATTCCATAAGTATTCTTTCATAGCTATCTCCCCAATCAACCATAAGTCTCCATGATAAGTAACAAAAGTTATTAGTTGAGAAAATACGCATTTTTACCTCAGTTCTTTTTTCTAACACATTTTTACCTCAGTTCTTTTTTCTAACACATTTTTACATCAGTTCTTTTTCTAACACATTTTTACCTCAGTTCTTTTTTCTAACACATTTTTACCTCAGTTCTTTTTTCTAACACATTTTACCTCAGTTCTTTTTTCTAACACATTTTTACCTCAGTTCTTTTTTCTAACACATTTTTACCTCAGTTCTTTTTTCTTTTCTTTATTTCTCAGTTCTTTCATTCTTTTTTCAGTTCTTTTTCCTATTTTACCTCAGTTCTTTTCTTCCATTTTAGTTCTTTTCTTTTTTTCCTCAGTTCTTTTTAAGTTCTTTTTTTCTTTTATTTTACCTCAGTTCTTTTTTCTAACACATATTGTAATAATGATACTTGTAGCTCTTCTACAAACTCTCTGCAAAAGTACACAAATAATATCTCGGTATAACGATAGAGTTATCGTACATCCTTTAAAAACAACAAAATCTCCAAATTCTACAGTTGAAAATAAAAGATCTGCCTGTAGATAAACTTACTTAAACGATAAAGGACTAACTTTTCCAAGACATGAAATTGCAGCATTTCTTATTTCAATAGAATCATGGCGAACTAAAGCAACAGCAAACCGAAACAAACTTTCAACTCTGTCTGGTGTAGATGACTGCAAAATTAAAGAAATTATGTAAATAGTTTTGTTGTTATGGTTCTTTATTATTGGTTGTGTTTACGTATAGTCCTTACTCTCGGATCAGACTTTCCTTCATCGGAAGAATTTCTAAAGATATCAATGGGTGAATTATCGTTAAAATAAATAATTTATGCATCCAATGTGTTGATGTGAAAGTTCTATACCCAGCGTCCATATCATAGGAGAGTTGATCGACAGTTGAGATGGGATGAACAGTACAAGCAAATAGAAGATAATTCTGCCACAAATAGATGTCTGAGATATTAAATCCTTTCTTAGCAGACCGTGTATAAACGGAACCAAGGCTCGTTAAAGAATCCATACCAGACGGACTAAAATGAAAACCCAATCATAAGACATACTTCATATAACTATAGTAAAACAAAGATTCCGCCATCAATAGTTGATAACCTACCATTGGTCAATAAATGAGAAAACAGTAAACATTCTAAGATGAACTGCTTGCCAACTGAACTGTGTAGCAACTGGACAAGCATCAGGAATATGTTGTTTTAGAAGAAACTGCGATATAAGTGAGCACCATATGTCATTATGTCGATCATCACCACATTCACCAGTTTCAGCATCAAAACCCGGAGGTAAACGATCAACAAATGTCTGTAGATCAATATTCATTGAAGAACCAAACAGATTCTATAAAACAAACAAGAAATGACACATAAGAAAAAGATTTTAGGATGTAAAAGATGAATAAATCCATGAAAAACATTTTTATTTTATCATTTGCAGTTATTACGTACAAACTCTGAATTTTTATGCAAGGAATATGAATAAAAAATAAAAGTCAGATTTGCGTATCAAAATATGAAATATATTGTTGAACCAACCTTATCTTCGATGGAGAGATTTCTTAAAATTTTTGTCAAAATATCCGCAGCTATTCCATCGATAACATCCATTACAAATACAACAGAACTATCCTAGAAAAAAAGCATTGATTTCAGTGACCAAGTCGGAAGCAAATTGGCTTTTTATTGAGCCAGCGATCCTAGCTAATGTACTACTAAGGAGCCTTCGCGTGCGCTAATTGCCTGTGTAAATAGTTCGTCAATGATTTGCAATAAGTCGTATCAAATTCTTTTAGTTTCCAGTCACAGGGTAACGTAAACGGGCAGCGTGGAGAAATGCTCGCCGTGCAGAAATAAAATATTTTACAGAAATATTTTTGTGTAATTGCTAAAAACAATTTTGCAAGTCTTAACTGTCATAAAAAACTTATTTCAATAACAAAATAAATTCTTCAGAGATCTATAAAATACTATGAAATAAAATGTTGCAAGATGTTACCTTGGCAACAAGGTTTCCTAGAACACGTGCCTCTTTTAGCATCAGCAGTGCTAGTTTTCGGGGAATTTGGCGAACGCTAAATTGAATTTTTCAAAAACACGTTGGCAGGTTTTTTCACAACTAGGAAATTTATTGTAATTTACATTATACTATTTTTAGATCGTTTTATTAAAATGTGTAAATTAACAGCCTGATACATTCAAACAACATTTAAGTTTTCAACTTCGTAGTTTCTTTTGTGTTGACCATGAGGAAGCAAAATTTTTTGTACATAGTTCAGTGGGAGATTTATCTAAGGTCACGTGATTATGAGGGAACCAATCACAATTACAACACAAAATATCTATATAACAATGAGCAATGTTTGACGTTTACCTGCAAAGCATGGCCAAACCACATCCTTCAATGCAGTGAATTGCATTGATAGGAATAGTGATTTCTGATTGTTGAAATGTACCCTAAATAATGAAAAAAGCGGTCAATAATTTAAGTAAAAAGTCGTTTCAATGATATACATATACACATATACACAGATGGTTAAAATAAAATGATACTATTCAAGTTTCACCTTTCTTTCAGATTCTGGCATTGTTATCAATGTTTTCCATTGAGCCAACATTTTTAAAACCATTCGTAATGAACTATCCAATAAAACAGCGTGATGATCCTGAACTTCTCGCATAATAAAATTTACAAAACCTTTTAAAGAAACACAAAAATACGCGATAATCTTCTCTCTGCGGGCTAGCTTTGCAGCAGGAAAGCTCATTTGGCAGACAGTTAGTCTCTACTGTTATGATAATTTGGTGCATAGTGATTAATCGTACATAAATTTTTACTAATCTTACCAATTATAACATCTTCTCGCCATTCAACAAAATCAATGATCAAACTCTGAAGTGAAGAGAATGCCACACTACAAAATATAATAAAAAGCAAATTTATATTCACGTTTAACGCTACTGATAGAAAAAACTGGCCGTTCATCGTTTCGTGGACAAAATAATCCAGTATTTATATACAACACAGTAAAATAAATATAAAAATGACTGATAACGTTCATTTTATATAGGAATGGTAGTTGTTGACCGGGATGGACCCATGAGGATTTCGTGGAAAGAAGCGGGGGTCGTGTTTTTGTTTGGATTAGATTTCGATGGCTACTTGTGCCATACAATGTCAGACTTCTTTTGTTAAATTCTGTAACCTTTTTATTCGGATTGGAAATTTTTGAAAGTGTGATCCATTAAAAGCTTATCACAATTTCTTTTGCTTAATTGTTTGGTATATAAGTATTTTGCATGGAAATTAGCAGCTTTCTTGCATGCCATCTAGCCCGGACAAGATTTTGATCAAACAATTTTAGTATCAAGAAAACATCGACAGGTTTGACGTAACATATTAACATATCCAAAGAGTCTACGTGAAGACTTTAATTTTGCTTTTTTGTTACTGTTTTTTTAGCTAAAAAAACAAAAGTGCAAGTTACTACATTGATGTAGTCCACCATGTTTGTTTTTCAGTGTATTTAAAATGTGTTTTGTCTGTAACACATACAAAATATGTATAGATAATGTCTCGATTAAATTAACATAAAATGGTGCTTCCCAAAACCACTATACAGTGTCTTTGGAGGTTAATGAAACTAATTGAATAATTAATGCGAGTCACGAGAAATGCCTTGTACATTTAATGGAGTGTGTGATTACGTAAAATAAAATATTTACCTTCGTAATTCTTCATCAACATGAATAGTTAATCTTGATAACAATGCCACCATTTCATTCTTGCTTACAGCATGAACAATAAGTCTGATATAAAATATAATATAAAAATATATTGACACTTGATGAACATAAACGTTTATATATATACATGTGTGTTTCAGTAAAACTTATTATTACCCTGTTATGTTAATGAAACACTTACTTTGGAATTGAAGCGACAGATGTCCTCAAAAGATCGATCTTCGGTTTTCTTTCGCCTCTAAATTAAAGTAAAACAGAAAACCATCGAAAATGTTCAATGAGATAAAATTGAAATATCACATCCTCACGTGATCATATCAAATGGATCCTTATTTAAACACTGAGGATTATTCTTCATCAAAGAACGTCCAACTTGTGAATCCAAATTATGTAGAATATTTTCCAAAGCTTTACATACACTGTAATACAGAGTTGTTTCAATAAATACAGAAGTTTGCAAAATGTGCGTTATCCGTTTGCACTCCATACTTTTAAATTTAACACAGAGTAATTTGTACCTTTTATAATATTTTGAAATACCAAGATCTTTAGCAGCGTCTTCAGTTAATGGTTTGTTTAAAAAACTTTTCTTGACACGTAGCGAACTTCCAGAGGGCAATGTTCCCGAAGTGTTTGGCATTGGTGGATCGCCTTCCTTTAATGAAAAATCCTCTTTCTAATACAATATATGATAACGTAAATATAGGTAAAATACGTTTCATTAAAACAAATGTTTTCATGACTGTCTGGAATTTTTCTAAAGTGAAAAGATTTTCCCTGTAGCTTAGTTGCATGCACCAATAACAAAACAAAACACTATTTTTACCTTTTTTTGCAAACTGTCGACAATCACCAAGAAAGATCTCAGTCCAATATTCATTCTCTATGACATAAAGTATTCCATAATTCGTCAAATCAAATGTTCACATTTGTAGATCGTAACCAAAAATCAAGGGAGAAACACGTGACTGAGTAAATTATAGAAATTATTTACTATAATATCTAAACGAAATTATAAAATAGTAGTGAAAGCAACTTACCTCAGGATAAATTTGCCGAAAACGACCAACACTCAACAAGTCAAAAATGATGTCCTGCATGGCAAAATCTAAATTGTACTAGACAAAACAAAAAAAATATTTTGAATATTTATAACTTCATAAATTTTAGTGACAATAATAATTACAATCAAAAAGAGAATGTTCAAATTTGAATATGCAATTTGTCTTACATGGGATATGAAATGAACAATCTTCACAAATATAGTTATAGGAACATCACGAGGATTAACTGTTCGAGCTCCACGAGGAAATAAAGTATCAGTTACGCTACGGAGACGACTGAATAAAATAAAAACTATCAGTTGAATTGAATTTTCATTCAACAAAAGTACGCAAAAATGCAACCTTAGTGTCGTTGGATTATTTTCGCCTTTTATTCGAATTAAATACACCCTGCAAAAATATGAAAATCAAATATCTTGTGAGCTGACATTAAAATCAAAATCACTATAATAGACAGAATGTTTAACTCTTACCATAACATTCGATAAAGACATTCCAAGCAAATTCGTTGTAATTTTGTATCACGATGCTGAAAATTGAATTAAATTAAATAAAAAAATGTTTTAGACACAAGCAGCTTCGCATATTCTTCACTTAAAATCTGTTATCTACCAGGATTAAAAATATCAAACAGAAACTCCAACACTTATAAACATTTTTATGGCTCTATCTTTCTATCTTTTAAAATCATCTGTGCCATGATACTTCTGTAGCTATAAGTACCAATTACGTCACCATTCTCAAGGAAACACACAAGAATAAACACAATATTTCTCAGAAAATACAATACTCTAGGTTCGTTTTAATGTCCCATTCCCTGTTTGACTACAATATCACTGAATATTTGATACAACTATTTTGCATCGACATCGTCCCCATTTTATTGTCCTTACGACGCTTTTGTCAGACAAACATGGATGTAGAAAGATCAATAATTGGGGAGAGGAGGGCTATATTCTCATATACATGTTATAATGAATTTACAGAAACTAAATTATGAATTTTTGATTATTTCCCGCCGCCCAACTATCAACCTTACAATGTCCCTGAAACAAATGTGTATAATTAAATATGATAAATAATTTACATAAAATGAACGAGCTTTATAAAAGAATGTTCCTATACCTTGATGTTCGTTAAACATGTATTCAATAAAAATGGCCAATGTGTGAGAAAAAAGTGTTTCTGACTAACACACATCAATACAGCAACCAAAGGATACATTGCCTAGAAAAAAATTATACTTGATATTAAATTCGTTAAATATCTTATTGACACATGTAATAATGCGTTTATACATGCGAAATTTTCAGTTGTTAACTGCAGATGTTAAAGGAAAGTTAAATAATAATCAGAAACAAATACTTAATAACAGTTTGAACATTAACTTATAAAGCAAATGAACTTTGAAAATTTGTGAATTTCCAAGAATTCATTTTTACATGTCATGTGATAACATATCTTACATGAAGATGTTTGTTTTTCTTTGACATATCAAATGCATAAGGATACAAGAGATCAATGAAATTCTTTAAAGCAGGAATATTTAATTCTCTTTTGGCTGTTGCCGCAACAGGAACGAGAATATCAACAAAGACACCAGCCAAAGCATATTTAACATCTTTATCTTTCGTTTCAATAAAAACGTTAGCACAATCCTAAACAATACATCATGAAATGTCAGTCAGTGTGAGAATACACTGAAAACAAACAGATTCAAAACGTTAGCACAATCCTAAACAATACATCATGAAATGTCAGTCAGTGTGAGAATACACTGAAAACAAACAGATTCAAGGCATAGTGCAAAGTTTAAAAAAAACATTGCCTTTTTAACTTGTAATTTGAATATGAACAGAAACATTTTTTTACATTTACTTAATTTTTATTAGCTCTGATTTAATTTAAAGCATCCACTGACTTCATGGGATGTAAAAATATTTTTAATAAGCTTCATTTCGAATTTACTACAAGTGATATCCTACATTTCCCCCCACTGTTTAAATGTCTGTGGTTGTTTAGTTGTCTACAGTTCTCCTGTTCATAATTGTCTGTCCATGCCTGTCTGCTGTTTGCTTTTCTTCTACACATAAATGACGAGAGTACGACAGAACCGCAATGGCCATCGAGAAAACGAATATGAAAGTACATTTATTCAAAAAAACAACTTGAAAAAACAATACATAAATACGGAACAATATCAAACGAAAAGCATCTGTGGTAGGTTTCATTGCATGTAAGGATTATCTGCTTTCCTTGTCTTGTTAATTACTGCTAAAATAAATAATCCACGACTTTTATCCATTGACATTATCAAATTATGATCTGCTAAGTGTAAAAAAATTTACGTTTTCTGGAATAAGAATAATAACAAGAAATATCAGAACCGCCCCCGAATGTTTACGCCAAGATATCTGATGCAGGAATGATGCGAATTTTCGCCACTTGTCAAAATCTTCAAACACATTTGACGACAGTTTTTTTAACGAAAGTTTTTATATGACAACAATAAGACACTTAAAGCCTCAGTATTTTCAACCCACAAAAAATTAGCTAGCTCTAAACACATCGGATTATTTACCTGCAAAAACATGAAAGTTTCCTCAACATGTTCAACAGGAAAAAGCTAAAGTTAAATAAAATTATGCCATGTTTAAAACAACATAATCATCTGCGACATAGTAAAAAATTACCAAGACAAACCTTAATTCGCAAATATTTCATTCCACAAATAACATTGACCAACATCTCAGTGTTGCTTGCATTTTCCTTGAACTCTGTCAAAAAACGTTTCCTTACAAATTGAAATTTTGTCTGTGCCAGAACTCCAATTACTTCAGCAAACAATGCAGCGATAATATTAGCATTGCTTGCACTTGGTGTATCACCAAAGCTGCTACGATATTTGAAAGATTCAAATGCAAGATTCTCAATGTGATTTGTCAATGATTCGTCCACAGGATGTACAGAAAGCTAAAGTGAAAGACAGTTATTCTATAAATTTTTTTTGATATTTCTTAGTTTGACGTTGATTATTCCTAAAGCAAGCTGTTACAACCAATATACTTAAAATGCTCACAAGATATTATCATCCTTAATGTGTATTCTTACATTATCCTTAAATTACAGAACGTTTTCCACTTGAACAGCCATTAGTCATAATAATAATAATAAATCACCTGTTTAAGCACTTCAATGAGCACCAAGCAGAGAATAAAATCAATGGCATGCTAAACAATGAAATAAATAGTTAAAGTATTTTGCTATGTCTGCTCCTTTCAATAAAAAATCGTACCTCACGTCTCTCTAAAACATAATCCATTTCCTTTCCATTTGATCTATTTTGGACTTCAGGAGAAGGTCTAAAAATTTTAAATCAAAAAGTTGTCACGTGAAAATTTCTGAAGTAACTAATTTTGGTAAATTAAAAACGGTTATTTGCACAAAGTTGTTGAACCAAACAACTATCATTACACAAAACGACCTCCTTCATCTCATCTTCAAGTCATACTTCTAGTTATAAGTGAATAGTTACGTGGGCGATTCTCTAAAGTAACTTTCATTAGTACAAAGTTTTCAGACTGACAGACTTGCCACACACCCACAAACCCACAAGGAGCCAGTAGCTAGATGTCAATGACACAGAAGGGAAAAAGCCTTAAAGAAAAGCACAGTAAATGGTGACAGAAGGAGATGGTGAAACACCAGTTAATATGATGAATCTAAGACAATGGTGAAACAACTCAAGTGTTTTCGTAGGATAAGATATGAAAAATTATATAAAAAAGGCAAATTTGAGCTAGAGACATTTATGTAACTACATACGTAAAAGTCTTTAAAGTTTTTTTTATAATCAAATCCAGTCACTTTTACCCTTTTATTTTAGCAGCACTTTGACTTTTCTTTCCATCCGTAGAATTTAGAGACAAACTTCGCTCCTTCTGTAAACATTGGTCATATTTTATGTAAGAAACACTGATATTGTCCTTCATGATCATTACTAAATGTCAGTCTACTATGCCTATTGCTAGAATTAAATTCAACGAAATGAACTTTAATCAATACGATCATTTTGCTAACATATGTATCATGATTATAATCTTACTTTCACTTACTTCTATTGAATACCATTGAAAAAGTGTTTTCAAAAGAGATGACAAACTGTACTTTGCTAATGAGTTCAATGACTGTAAAAGCTAATAATATCATGCCAATAAATAAACAACATTGTTATTCAACCAGAATGGTCTTACATAAGATAAAAAAATTATATGTCATTATGCAAGTTAAATGTTGGAAAATAAAAGACAATCTGCACAGCTTGGTTTCAAGCTAAGGGACAACAGACTTATACCATTACTTTGCTACAATCTTTACTTTCATTCTGTTAAAGCATTTTAGATTTTAAACATACTGTCTCCACAATAGGAATCATGAATTAATTAAAATGTTTGTTTTGTCTTTGAAACATGTTTGTTTGAAAAAGAACATAATTTCTTCCATATTTCTTCTATATTCTTTGTAATGTTTGCAAAGTTGAACAAATCATGTTTACTTTATAAAGATAGTCAATTGTTTTGTGTTTCACTGAAATATTTTAATTTTTTATGACTTTAATACTCTTTGAAAGATCTCCTTGTTTCCCTGCCCTTATTAAAAGGCAACAATGGTTACGAGGAACCTTTACCTGATCAAACTGCGGATCTTCACCACGTTGAAGTGATTTGGAAAGAGGTTTTTCCTAAAATCAAACCAACATTTAATGTATCTTACAGTCTTTTGAAAATATCACCCTTGTCGATCACAAAATAAGTAAATTAAAGAAAATTTTGGGGGATTTAACGCAATTTAGATGGTTTTGAACACAACAGGTTTTTGTGGAAATTAAAGTTAGAAAAGTTTACAAAAATACAGTAACAAAGGTATAAAAAAAGTTAGTGGGATGTTTAAAGTCAATATCACGAATGAATATGTGCCATATTACTACAAATTACTAATAATTACATTTCTTAACTGGCACTTCAGTTTACTTACTAAAGGTTCAGCAAGAACATGGCCAAGTTTTCTTTCAGCAAGAACTGTGAAGTCATAGAATAATGTTCTTAGAACATATTCCCCTGGGGTAACATCTGTTAACTCTGATTGACGTTCTAGACATAGCCATGGTAACACTTCACAGCAGGAGTTTACTCCACTTTCCTGTATTGACATGTCAACCTCACTCACATCTGAATAAAAAAACAGAAATAAGTAATATAACATAGGTTAAAAACAACTAACATACTTATACCAAATACCAGTCAAGTAACTCTTAAAAAATCACAAAATCCAATTTCATTATTCATTACAAACAGCCAAATTGACAAAACATGACTTTGGGTTTTAAATCCAGACAGGAAAGTAAGAAAACTAAACACAGGAAAGTCAAAATTTGCTCATGTAAATGCGTATTTATCTTACAAACGCACACCAAAATTCCAGTCAGTTATAAAATCACCTCCAAACTAAAGCAGTCAAAACATAATATGACATGGTTTACACTAAGGATAAAACCAGATAAGGAAGTGTGCATTTCATTCATTAATGATTTCGCCAATCACAATAAAGTGAACATCACCTTAGAAATCGTAGCATTAGTTTCAAAATTTGTTTAATCAACAGAAGAACTGAACAATGTTCAAATATGTTTAATGGATAAATATTTTCTGAGAGAGGTTACTTTTAAATTTGATAAATGATTATAGTACGAAAAATTTTCTCCGTTCAATTCAAACAAGACAATTTCAACAACAAAGACTCTCAGTCAAGCGCTTTTGAGTGTTTCTGTAAAAATTCAACCCTTGCTCATTCTCACATATTGCATCTAGCATTTTTAATAATCTTGGAATTAAAACTGTCGAATGAACAAAAAGCATGTTTTATTTTTCTTACATGAATAAATATAAAATAACGCATTTCGCACTTACCATAACTCGAACAACACAAACAAATATCAGACAAGAAAAGTTCTATTTTAAAATTAGATTGCTATATAATAAAATGTTGAACTTTTATTCATTGACTTAAGTAAGTGAGACAATAAACAGGAAGTCATTGTTCTGGGGTGGCCCCACCGGAAGTGAAGATGACGTTAACGTACTGCGTTTACGAGAAACTAATGACAGTTTGAGAGATGGAAACAAACATAAAATATAACACAAAATCGCCGAAAACTTTAAAATGGTGGACAAGGAGCGAGGAAAATAAAAAATAACTATATAAGAAAAAAAAACTGGTTGGAATAAAACAAATGATTATTTTATGATATGCAGCGAGATTTGTTGAGGAAAAGACTTCCAACTGGAACACCTCGATCTAAGTAGGAAATGTTTTTGTCTTAATTTTAAGTTTTAACTGTTAAATTAATCTATGCACTACACAAATGAATGTTGATAGTGATGAAAACAGTGCTATACTAAGACGAAGACGTGATTATTCTCAAGTAGGATGGGAAAACTATTTTGAATCATATGAAGATGTGATTGTTGGTGAAAACTGTGATGTATCCTTTTGAGTTGAACATTTCTTTTTAAATTACCAATTATTGTACCAAAGTCAAGTGGGGTGTACTAGTGAATATACCATGCAGTTGCAACCAATTCCTCATCTGTAACCAGACATTTCGAGTATATAAATGTGGGTCATGTGACTCAGGTCCAGTCCTCTTTCTCATTCATGGTGGAGGTTTTTCATCTTTGACATGGTCAGTTTTTGCTGTAAGTACTAATTTAAAGTTATTCTTTCACTTAATTATTCCCAAAATAACTGTTATGAAAATATTTAGGTTAAAATGACAGCCTTATCCCATTGTCAGGTGATAGCCATGGATTGCAGAGGTCACGGTAGGATGATTTATGGATATTAATATTTATTTATTTAATTCCCTATAAAGATATATGACATATATTGTTTTGAATTGCATTATAGACCAATCACATATAGTAAATGAATTTTTCATTAATTCTTACATTTTTCAGGTGACACACATACATCCCATGATTATGATTTATCAATTGAAACACTTACAAAGTAAGTTGTAAAATGGTATTATTATTACTATATTTATAGCATGCTTTGTCACCTATAAACCTTTTGTGTCTTGTGACTCTGCTCATAATAAAAACAGGACTTTAGTTTCAGTTGGTTTTTTTAGTGATGTACAGTCTGTGATAGAGACTTTATATCCTCGAGATCCTCCAGCGATTATTTTAGTTGGCCACAGGTAATGCAGGCTTAAAATAGGCAGTAGGTCAGCATTATCTGAACAATTCAAAAACATTAATTTGTTATAGTATGGGTGGTGCTGTTGTTGTTCATGTTGTTAGTCAATGCCTTCTTCCATCAGTTGTTGCTGTTGTTGTTGTTGATGTTGTCGAAGGTATATTTTCATTTTTACGAAGTTCATTAATGTTCTTGAAATTCGGTAAAATGTCGATAATTTTTATATAACTTTAGGCACAGCTTTAGAAGGTTTGCCTGTCATGCAAAGTTTTCTTAAAAATCGACCAAAAGCTTTTTCTTCCATGGAAAAAGCCATAGAATGGAGGTAAAAATATTTTCCATTTGATCAAAGTATTACACGAGCGTTCACAATATTGATATCAAATTTATCATGAGATGATATCGTTTCTTGGTATTTTTTATCAGCACAATACAGAGAGCATGGGTATGACATTAGTTAGTTGAAGTTGTCTTATACAGATGTTTGAGGCAGAATGTAATAAATTTAAGTTTATTATTTGTTATCTTTGTTTTTTCTTACTGTTAAAGCGTTCGTACTGGTCAAATACACAATCTTGAATCCGCTCGCGTATCAATGGCGGGACAACTTGTTAAGTAATGTTACTTACATTGGAGTCAAACTACAATGTAGTTGTACATGGAGATAATATTGACGTTACCTTACTAATGGTATTTAGGTCGAAAGTCGATAATTCTGAAACAAGCAAAGCATGTACAACGTCTGATTTATTTTCGATATCTGAAGACAGTAAAGAAGAGCGTGTTGTAAAGCAAAATAATATGACGGTAACAGTTTGTGTCCATGCTTCACATAGTTTTGGTCGTAAAATATTTTCATGATTACTGTTAACAGCAATTTGAATATACATGGAGAATAAATTTGTCCAAGACAGAAAAATATTGGCAAGGTATTCATTGTACATGAAAATATCTTTATTTAAACGTGCTGTAGTATGAGCTATAATTCATCAAGTTATTGTACTACTTTCATCTCAATTATCTTTCTCACAACAGGATGGTTTAATGACTTATCTTCTTTATTTCTCTCGTGTTCAGTTCCCAAGCTTCTCCTGGTTGCCGGTTCGTGATGCATTATGCGAGAAATATGAAACTTTTTGTCAGTTTTATTGTTTTCCTTTAAATAGGTCGCGATAGGTTAGACAAAGAACTAACTTTGGCACATATACAAGGTATATTTATCCTATGTAAAGAATACAAAAACAAACGAATGCCAACATAAAAAAAACACACAAATAAAACAACAAATAGTATCAGATGTAATACAGCAAAAGAAAAACGAGTAAAGCACCGAACAAAACATTAATTGCAATCATCATGCAAATTCTTTCTAGGAAAGTTTCAACTTCACATTTTACCAAAATGTGGACATGCTGTACATGAGGATGCTCCAGATAAAGTACAAGCTGTCTTTCTATTTTAATATGTAGCAATAAAAATGAACTTACTATAATGATGATACAATGTTGCTGACGGAGTATTTGTTCTCTTTTATATCAGGTTGCAGAAATGTTAGCGACTTTTATGGCGAGGCACAAATTTGCTCAAACTAAACAGTCATCTTGAAGGTAAATTTTGCAGCCAGAAAAATTGTTTATGAAAGCTATGTTGTTGTGCAAAATTGTGTGATGTTATATGGGGGTTTTTTTTTACATAGCTCTATGCCATGTTGCTGAGATCTGTTCACGAAGAATTATTGTAACAATCTCTTGTTCTATTTTGCCAGCCGTAAGTCACGTGAAGACATGTCCATCAAATTCTGACATTTTTTCAGGAAATTGCATTAAAATTGTCGTCTCGTTCAAGTATATGGAATGAAATAATTTTGTAAAATTGTTGAATTTATGTAGGATAAAATCAATAAAAAATTTTCGTTCATTGCCTAATATAGTGATGTCTAGATCCTTCCTAGTCGTGGGAAATGGCTTTTCAATGCAAATAGTATATTTTCAAACAATAAACTATTTTGTTTTTCATCACCCATATCAAATTGCGATATTTTTTAATAATCGTCACAATCACCTGACTGCTTCCGTCTTTCTTTCATATTGCAAGAATGGCTGCCTCGATCAGTTTTGTCATTTTGTGTTTTTCAAGCTTCATTATTTTGGCTTTATGTAACAACAAGGTAGTGCCAAGTAACATAGATCCCTATGTTGATTGTGCAATTAAAGAACTTGCGTGGAATTACTCCAAAATCTTACTTCCTGAACGTGGTAATTTGCTCTCAGTCTTTGACGCATTACAATTACAAGCCAGATGCAATGTATCAAGACCTGAACATGAAGAACTCAATGTGATCAGACGACGAAGTACGAAATCCTTTGATTATTCCTCGAAAGTGATTTTTGTTCATCCAAACAAAGGATCCGACGAAAACGATGGCAGAGAGATTAGCCCAGTTGCAACTTTGGAAAAGGCTACGGATCTATGTCAGCAGAGACGACATTACCGAAAAGATTGCACAATTTATCTCATGAAAGGTGTGCATGAACTTCGTCAAACATTAAACCTTGGTCCCAAAGACAGTAACACACATTTTATTGGAGACGATGCAATAATCTCAGGAGGCAAAGTTGTCGCTCCTGAATGGAAACTTTATGAAAATTCAATGCGTTTATCTTCCGGACAGAATGCGATATTCTACGACGATCTAAAGCCTGGTGAGAGCTCAAAGTCAGTAAAATTTATGAAGAAAATTAATACATCCGAGACATGCTCCAGTATCTGTGATAAAGACGATAAATGTACTGCGTTTGTTTTTTTGAGTACGGGCCTCTACAAATCAATGTGTTATTTTCGATATGATGGTCTTTGGAACATAGAACCTCAAAGTGGCTGCATTAGTGGAAAGAAAATAAATATATATGAAGCAGATCTTAAAGAGTTTAACATCAAACCGTTTAATTCGTTGTTTATTAATGGTCGTCGTGTAGTGAGGGCACGTTTTCCTAATGGCAATCCAGAAACAGGCGGACTTCATACACGACCCACTGGTTATGTAAATAATGCCTTAAAATGGCTTCCAGCCAAACATTCACCACCTGCTGTTGATATACAAATTAAAAACCCATACAGACCACATAATCAGTTTCCAATATTCCAGTTAGGTATTGGTGGATCCGTTGAGCAATTTAATCCTCCAGAATCGTATTGGGCAACTAAAGCACCATATGGTGGTGTAACATATAAAGTACCATCAGGTTTAGTGTATAGTAAATCACTAGAAATATCTAAAAACATTTGGAGGAAACCCGAGAAAGGTATCGTACATACATTAATGCGTTATCATTGGGGAGGATGGCAGTTTCAAATTGATGCTCGAAATACTTCCAGTAATACGATATCATGGAGTAAGGGAGGTTTCCAGGAAGCAAGAGGGGACGTTGCGGGTGCTGAATGGTACGTTGAGAACATTTTTGAAGAACTTGATGAAGCAGGAGAGTGGTATTATGATGACGAGAAAAATAAACTTTATTACTTTCCAAATGGAAGTTTACCTGAACAAGTCACCATATCTCAATTTGAATCATTAATTTCTATTAAAGGAAGCCAGTCTAAGCCTGTCTTTAATATATCCTTTTCTCAAATCACTTTTACGGAAACGTCATCAACATTTTTAGAAAGTTATGAAGTCCCAAGTGGTGGAGACTATTCCATTCATCGTAACGCAGCTTTATTTATTGAAGGTGCTGATAACGTTGTTGTTGATAACTGTCTATTCAAAAATATTGGTGGAAATGCCTTATTTCTAAGTAAGTATATTCGCAATGCCGTCATATCAAATAATGAGTTTCTTTGGATTGGAGATAACGCCATCGCTGTGATTGGTTCATCGCAACTAATTGATGGTACAGATGGTAATCAACCTCGTGGAGTTAAAATTGTCCGTAATCTTGCTCACGAAATTGGACTATTTGGAAAGCAAACGGCTGCATATTTTCAGTCAGTTACCTGTCAAACTCTTCTTGAAGGAAATGTATTTTTCAATGGCCCCAGGGCAGGAGTAAATTTTAATGATGGGTTTGGAGGGGGAAGTAATGTTACCAAAAATTTACTGTTCAATTTTGTGAGAGAAACGAAAGATCATGGTCCTTTCAATTCATGGGATAGACAACCTTATTTGACTAAAGTAAAAGATGAAAAAACTGCATCTCTGACACCCAAGGAAAATTACATGACCTATAACTTTATTATTAATAATTTTAATTCTTATTGGCCAATTGATCACGATGATGGAAGTGCATATTATACTGATCAGTATAACTATCTTATCTATGGTGGTTTTAAAAACTACCTTGGTCATTCAAAAACTTCACAGTTTAACGTTTACATTTATCCAGATGCCAACCCGAGATATAGTCTAAGGTTCTGTGCTGGTAGTTCTGGTACGAGAATCGGACCATTGGCTTCTGGGTGGGGCGATCGTTATACAGATAACATATGTATCATTAAAAACGAGCAAGTTTACAGCTATCCAAGTTGTCATTTGAAAAACATTTCTCAACTTATACCTTTCACTGCGAGGAACAAGTTTTACACACCAAATGCAAATGTGATTTTCAAATGCGCAAGTCACACGTGGACGTTAAGTGAGTATCAAAAAATTGGTTTTGATTTGGGAACAACTGTATCCAAGCTTGTTGACACAAAACAAATTATTCAATGGGGAAAAGATGTATTGAAAATACAATAACGAACTTCGATTGAACGTTTAGTATTTAGAGTTTATTTTAAAGCTTTCTTTAATGGGACGGTAAATAGATTTATACAACTTATTGCATAAGAAATCTTTATACTATATATAATGATATTTCTTATGTATTTGACATGATATAATGATAATGTTATAACACATAATAAAATTTGGATTAATTTTTGAAAAGAAATGTGCGTTTAGTTTCATAACCAGATCGTAAAGCATCATCGTTCATTGTTGCCCAAAGTGTTGATGCTGAACTGGTTGCCCGACCAAAATTACCATTTTTATCAATTGCAATGGCGGAACCGTAACCTTTCGCTAGACGTTGCTCCATTCTCTTTACTGCATTATCAGCAGACTCCTATCATAGAGTTGGGACATTGTGCTTATAAAAATACCATACAACAAGTATTTATTCATTTATTAACTAGAGGAAAAGTGTGAGTTTTTTTTTCACTAAGTGATCCTATTTCACCTGCGCATTCTGTCCAATTTCCATATTGAAAATAACTTGTCTAGCTAAGGTCATTTTTATTACAGCTTCTCCAAAACCACCAGTTGCTGCAGCACCATATTCATTTGCGTAACCACCGCATCCAACCAACGGAGCATCACTTACTCTTCCTTTTAGTCTTCCTGGAATACCACCTGACAAACATTACTTTACTTAATTAGAGACAGTTATCGAACTCAACATCACTCAAAATAATATGCTTTCAGTAACCATTCACTACCGGTACCTGTAGATGTGGCGCAAGCGAAATGACCTTTTTTATCCATAGCAACTGCTGCGATAGTATCAAATTGTTCATTGTTCAACCAAGAGTTTTCCGACACTGGTCTTCCTCCTAACTGACAGTCAACAATCTTATCGAAATCTTTATAACAATTTATTAATTTCTTGCTTGTTTCGTCATCTTTCAGATCCTCAGGATCACAACTTTCAAAATTTATTCTCTCAGCAAAAGCTAAAGCTCCGTTGCCTGATAATACGCAGTGATGAGATTTTTCCATTACCTTCCTTGCAAGAGACACGGGGTTTTTGAAATGACAAACACCCACAACTGCACCTACAATTAGTAAATTTCCAAGAAGTAATATGTTTTAACAAAGTTTGAAGTAAACTTTAATCTTTCTGTTGGTCTTTAACAGCATACAAGAAAAATATGAATAGAAAACAAAAATTAATATACTATATCTGTAAAACCTGAGTCCATTGTATGACCATTCATAATCATTGCATCACATTCAATGTCTCCATCATTGTTTAGTAGTGAGCCATAACCAGCATTGAAATATTTATTATTTTCAAGATAACAAACTGCTTTTTCAACAGCATCCACTGCAGTTCCTGACTAGAACAATAGTACGTAAGTTTCTATTATTTAACACAAATTAGTAAGGCTTTCAAATATATTATAATAAATAAAAATACAGTTATCAAAGTCCTTATACATTCAAATATACATCTATTTACCTCCGATTGCAAAACACTGTACCCTTGTTCTGCTGCCTCGCAAACTGAGGTTTTTAGAATATCTAATTTTTCACGAAATACATTATAGTAATAAGGACCAGCTTCAATGATAATTCGTGGCGACAACATTGTTGTTTCAGATCCTAAAAAGCAAAGTTTGAATAGTATGAAAAAGCACAATGCTTCAATAACGTTGTCAATAAACACATTGTCGATCGGATCTTTGATAATTGAAAACTGTCAATAAGCATAATTTGCTATTTTGTTGACACTTTTTTAATTTGAACACACTCAACAATCAACATGTGTGAACAAGTTGGAATTTACCAGTTTAAATCTTTCAGGCTCGTGGATTTTATGTTTGCAAGAATTACTTAACTCGTGAAGTCAAAGACAGATGTTAAAACAAGAGGCTAAGAGAATAGAGTAAGTATCCTAAACTGATTTTCATACAAAAAGAAAAGCAAATTAAGTTCGAAAGAGCGTCGTCAAAACGAGACAGTTGACGAACCACGTGGTTTTAAGTTTCAGTCATGAGGAATGGTAAATAATTCCTAGAATAATTAAAGAATTCTACTAAAATGTTATTTTCGTAAGGTTTACCGGGCAATGTAGGATTTTCTGCCATGATAGAAGGTTTCGATCTTGAAATGTTAAAAGAAATCAAGAAAGTTTAAATAGTAACAGTTTTCAACTTTTCACAAATTCAAAAAAATGATCAACAATGAATAATTTTGAATATTTAACATGTACATCAACGACTTCACCAGCAACATGAAACACAAAATAAACAAAATTCTTCATCATTGTGATAACTATACATACTTGCCTCAGACAAAAAGGGTTTTTTATACAAAAATATTGTTCTGATTGCTCTGTCTTACAACGATTTTCTGATGTTCTTTATGAGATAAAGAGCATACATGTATTTGCCAAACGCCGCACACTAAATAAAAGGACATACGTATGAATATTATGTCTATGGTTGCAAGGCTTGTTTAGATAAAAATATTTTGATGACATTATTCTATTTTAAGATGGTTACCTTGGAAAATCAGCAAATAATTCACTCCAATAACCCAAGTTTAATTGTTCCACAATTCCTAAGCTCACTTTAACAGGATAAATCCTTATGTACATTGGCGCGTTGATAAACACATATCATGTATCATTCACACCCTCGTTAATTTGAATAAAGCTAATGTCAATCATCTTTTCTTCAAGAGGACTAGGCAACCAGGGAATAAGTATAATTGAGAGGATAAAACGGGAATGAAAGAATGAAAATTTTATGTGTGAGGAAAACAGCGACTGCTGAATAGCCGAGGCAAATCACAAATAGGAGAAAAATTAATTAATTGAAGATTAGTACTACATACGCCATAAACAACATAAAGCACCAAAGTCAACAGCCTGATGTCACAATTTTGTTAAGTGCAAAGTGTTCCTGGTTCTCTTTAATTGAGTCTCTTAACTTCTCTACGAATATGATCGCGTATTTGTATTTGGATGTTTTTGTTATCACAATGTTCCAGTATTTAACATTTAATAACTTCCATTACTTTAGTAAAAGTTCACCTTCCTTTATATATTACAACAGTGGAATAGAGTTCATCTTCCATATAAGAAGAATTTTTAACAGCATCCACTTCATCTCCAACCAAATTTTTTAAATTTGTGATTGACCGCAGTGCTGTTGTTGAACATGCATGTGTATGAAATATGGTGGCAACATCTGTAGAAAAAATCTATTTATGAACTTACAAGATGTTAACTTTACAATCATAAAAAGTCAAACATGACGGTAACCTTTTCACCAGCCTCTTTCGAGACACAGAGCAAGATCGGCTGCAATTTGTTGTAAAGGTCTGACCGGTCAGTGTGATAGGGGGTGTTAGTACTAAGATTCTTTAAGCCTTTTAAAAAGTTTAACCGCAAACGAATATTCTGAGGCTGGTGTAAAAAACTCATTCAGAATTTCAGATCATTCCAACAGTTTATATTCGCCATTGCCTGCTTTAATAAATTTATTTTTTTCATTTTATCGGAGAATGAAATCAGGACAAACATTTGTTTCTCTGATTTTAATGCATTTCATACTCAACTAAAAGCTATCATGAACGAGTTCACTACGTTCTGAGAATAAAAAAGCTACGAGATAAACAACAAAGTTTGCAAACTTGCAATTGATACGATTTGAATGATTTAAGCATCTTTTGCCTGTGCATTTGCAAACAAACATAATGAACGACGACATGTAAAATGAAATGATGAAATTAATGTTTAATTATAACGGTTGTATGAAAGTCGTTCATATAAGTTATTTTACAACTGCGTTAATCAGTATATGTTAGAAAACTTCATTCTAATAATCTTCATACAGTACATCTAATAGCAAGACTAGAGTAAAAATGGGTGAAAATAGTAAATGTATTTACTGAAATGCTGTAGACGCAAAGCATTTTTGTTTTTGGGGGTATCGAAGGCCGTACTCGGGTGCAAGGACACTTGAAAAATTGAAAATGACAGCAAGATTATTAAAGAGCATAAAGCCCAACAAACGCTGCCTTTAATGCTCAGCAGTCCCTACTACAAAAATAGATAGAATTTTTAACTAAATAATTTAAAATTTATGTACAAACAGCAACTATAAATAAATCTAAACATTTTGATTTAAACGTCCAGAACATAGTTTTTCTTCATTTCTGACAGAGTTTTTCTTCATGTCTGACAGAGGTTTTCTTCATTGTTGAGAAGGAAATTTCTCTGTTGGAAATTTAAGTGTCTTTTGTCGTGTAGCCTTTCTTTTTTTCCTCAAATAAGCCAGGATCTCGAGGAGGCATTGCTGACTTACGAGCTTTCTTCACAGGAGTAATATCGATTTTAAATGCAATACTTTCACGACGATCTACAGGTTCAATATTTTCAGATTTTTTTTCCAGTAGAGGATTTCTGAAGGGTTTAGTTATGTCGGCTGAATGAACTGTGGTGCATTTATGTTGTAATTGACTTTTTGATGTACTAACTGAAGAATGAACATTTTTATCAGTTTTTTTACTTGCATAATAACTGATACTATCTCGCTGTCGTTTCCTGGACTGACTTGTATCTTCTGATATTACTCCAGACTTAAGATCCTCCTCCAAAAATTCTTTGGTTGGACAAACTTGGGTTTCAACAGGATATGACGAACGAAGATGACGAACACAGTATGAATTACGTTTCTTTAGTTCAAGAATTCGATCCCATTCGTAATGATGTTCATCCGGTTCTTCAGCCATAGTGTTGGTAAATTGACCAACAACAAAGGATTCAGTACCGACAGTTGAACATGCCTTGTTTTGTACTAAAGGTTTTTTAAAGTTTTCATTTGAATAAACGGCGCTACGACGACGTAATTTTCGAAGGACTCTATCTTGATGAATGCTACCACATGATGTGTGAATATTTGTGTTCTCTAAGCTATTGCTTTCTTTAACAGAAGATTCCAACAAAATAGAATCATTAGCAACAAGAGAATCTTCCGTCATACTTTCCGATGAAATATTTTCAGCAATCCTTCTTATTGGTTTTTGTAATTGACTGCTACAGTCCATTTTATCATAGTCCTCAAACGTCTGTGTTTTTAACTGACGTTCTGTGTGAGCTAACTGAGCCTCAGCGGTACGAGCTTCAACAGCTAAACGTTTATTAATAAACTCTTCTTCCAATAACTTTTTATCGAGTATTTTCACCTTTTCTCTCAACTTTCGATTTTCTTTATCCTTGTCTTTCATTTGATTCTTTACGCAGACAACCTTTAACTCCAAGTTCATATTATCATTTTTCACTGTGTTTATAGTTCTTTCGTTATCTTTAAGTTTGCACCGATATTCTTTATTTTTACAACGTTCATTCTTTAACTCTTCCATTAATTTCTCCTTTTGTTTGAGCAAAATTTCAAAATTGTCATCGACTGAAAATTCTCCACATGAATTTTCTTTACAAAATGCGATTACTTCATTTCTTGACATAGAAAAAACATCTCGCAAGATAGCTGAAATTAATAGGAAACATTATGACACATGAACATATGAAGATATGCGAGAAAATCAAAATGAGATGAAAATGGACAAATAAAAACAATTTATACAATCTAACCTTGTATTCTATCCATATTGAGCTCTCTTCCTTCAATGGATGATTCTTGTTCAGTAACATGTAGTAAATTCTTCATAACTTTATTTTGTACGTTAAATAATAAAGCAGACATCTTGGATATATCATTATCGACATCCTTCATTTCTCTTTTAACATCATCTGGCGAAAATGCATTTGCTTCAGGCTTTTCCGTCAGTGAATCATGGTTAAACAGATTTCCATCGGTAGAGGTAGAAGTTTTTGAAGAGGATGTTTCTTTCAATTTTTCAAATTCCCAGGGTATCTGCTTTGCTTCATGCAATTCGTTAGTGAAGGATCTATAAAGTTGCGATGAATAAGGTAGAAATTTAATTTTAACATCAATTGTCATGTGCGAGAAAAAAACATTTGTCAACAGAAAATTTCAGCGATAGCTGACGAGCTACGAAAAAATTTAAATTTCATGTTCTAAAATCAAGCAGTTAAATAAGATTGCAAAATATCTTATTACTGAGCTACCTGGATTGATCCTGTAAATTGCTGTTGAGACCGGCAACCTCACAATCTTCTGGTGATTTTCTTATTTTTAACATTTCTTTTAGGTGCTCGTTTGCCTTTACTAATTCGTCCATTTTTTCATTTGTTTCAATTTCAAAAGAATTGAAATCATTTTGCAAACTGTCATATTTCTTTCGCGACTGATTAAGTTCAAGTTCGCAAGAGGTCAAAGTTGCCTGAAGATTGTGATTTTCATTCACTGCTTGATGCCACTTTTGTTGTACTGTTTCCATTTTATGCTTTACGTCAGCATTTTCTAGCAAAACTTCATCAAGTGACGACTGCAAAGCGTCCTTTTGTTCTCGAAAACACTGTTTTAATTCAGACTCTCTAGCTATTTGTTGTAAAACATCATTATCACTTTTTAAGAGGATTTTATCTCTTGACTCCTTGCATTCAGCTGTGAAAAAGACAAGTTGTAGCTATAAAAACAATAAAATTATGACACCATAAAAAATTATATTTATCACCCAAAGTCTTTTTTAGTATCTCAATCTCTGTTCGATGACCATTTTCCTGATATTGCATTGCTTTAGAAATTTCTTCCTTTTCGGCTTTTATTTGAACAATTTGTTTTTGCAAGTCGTGACAGTCTACATTGCTTTTTTCAAGCAATTTTTCTGTTGCCTTTATTTCTTCAGCATATCTCTGGCGCAAGTTGCTTATTTGATCGTCAAGTTCACGTCTTTCCTAAGAGGAAAATTATTTTATACACAGCAATGTGTTTTTGACTTGAGGATGTCATACAAACAGCGCAAAAATCAAAGTATCAATCGCCAAAACTAATTATTTACAAATGATATATTATGGTTATATTCAAAAATAAACATACTGCTTTCTTGTCTTTTTCAAGTTTAGCAAAATCCTTCTCCATTATAAGAAAACTTTTCTTATAATTTTCCAATTCTTTCGTTGATTTTTGCAACCTCAAATTAAAATTAACAATATTCAAATACAGATATTGATAGCGACAATATATATTTATATTGTACACCATTGTTATAGACTAAGTACTTGTCATATTTTTCAGCTATTTCATCAACTTCCCCTTCAAATTGCGTTAAAGAATTTATTTCTTCTTGCAAGGGTACAACTTTTGTCGCTTCCTTTCTCAGCAACTGAATTTTCGTTTCTAAAGTTTAACAACACAAATATTTTTACTTTTATTTCGAAATTAGTGAAACACTTATTTCATCGAAAGTATTTGAAAGTAAATTTTTCAAACTTTTCTAAGTAACACCAAACACTAGCTATAGCTTTCTGAATTGGCTTCGAAACCACTTTCAAATGCGATTTTAGAAACTGCCAACTTTAATTCGTTGTGAAAAGCTACCCGAGTTTAAATTGAGTATGATTTTTCTTCTCGTGGGGCTGGCAAAAATAATTATTTAAATTTACTTTAATGGCTTTACATCAAGCTTCTTTTCACATTAGATTAAAAACAAAATTTTTGCAGCAGTAATATTACATTGTTCAGCACGAGCAAGATACAGACAAAGTTGGGTAAAAGATAATTCAAAACTTTAAACCTTTTTCATCAAGTTGTTGACGAAGTTGTTCCGTTTCTTGTTTAAGCTCAATTTGAGCCTGCTTTAAACGATTGATTTGCATCTGAAACTGATTTAATTTGTTGTACAGCTTTGAAATTGTTGCCTTGAAAAAATGAAATAAGTACACTGTGAGGAAAGATTCAGGTAGAAAACAAAACAAACACAAAATGTTTTCTGTGAAAATTCTTTTTGCTAGAAGTTTGCTTGTAAAGGAAAAAGTTTTTTTGTTAACGACCAAAAACATTTACAAAAACTGTGTGTTTAATATAATTAAAAGCACAAACAATATACCTACAATATTTACGTATATTTCTATATCAACATACAAGTACCAAAGAACGCAACAGATGGGAAAATTGAGGTATATATATCACCTGACTTTTCCTATTTTGCATCTGAGGAGATGCCATCAGGGTTTTGATCGGTGAGTTATAATAAAATGGACTTGGTGACATAATTGTTGGTGAATCATAAAATTCTTTTATAGAGTTAGCTTCAGGTAATGAATCTATAAATTTATCATACATAGTAAAAAACTGCAATTATATGAAATATTTTGTACTTCATTAAACCACAGAAATGCATATTTTGGTGCAAAAAATTGGATGACTGCTCTGAGCAGCATTTTTGTCATGGCGATTGACAAATGAGTAGGTCTACGAAAAGTGTTGAAACCAAAATAAAGATAGCTATAAAATTAAATGACTGCTGGGATGAAAACCAAAATTTACTTCTATTTATAATGAAGACAAGGAAGAATGACATCTCTTATAGAAGGGGAGGTGATGTTTAAAGCAGACAAACAGATTATGTCTTTAACTTTTCCCTGTTTTAAACATCATCTTGCCATTTGGGGATGACATCATTCTTCCCTGTCTTTATTATAAATAAAACTAAATTTTGGGTTTTTGTCCAGACTTGGCACCTCATGAAAAGTCTGCCAAAATGCCTTGTGTCATTTAATTTTATAGCAATCGTTATTTTGGTTTTCAACAGTTGGTAACTAAAACCAAATCTTAGTTTCACTAGCTTTGAATACCTATGAGCAAAGATGAAGATACACCTTAAAATATTGAAAATGTTGAAAGGAATAATTTATGTCTTGCTGATGATGGACATCGTTTGTTGAATTGATCAATGCTGTAGTTCTTTGGTTTAAAAATACTCTTATATTGTTCTTTTTCCAAATCATTTAAAATGGTACTCTTAGTTTGGGAGCAGTAAGCCATATTGAATGAAAGAGTTGTTTTAAAGAAACAAACACATTTTTGCTCACCAGAAAAAAAGTTACTATAAAGTAAAATACTTTACATTGCTTTCATACCCCACAACAGTTATACCTAATGTGAAATAGAGTTTCTAACTACCTGACTGACATAGCACACGGGTCAGATTATTTGAATCAATTTTGCCATTGCCACACGCCTGTAAAACTGCTTCAATCATCACTTTTATTTGGTTTTGCAAATTTTCTCCTAAACTTGTGATTTTTTCCACACAATCAAATGCATTTTCAGCTTGCACAGACATAGATAAGATGAGAATAAGGATCTATATTGAAAACATAAACATAACAAGTTAAATTTGCGAAATGTAATGATCATGAAATCTTGCCATCAATACCTTGCCAACATTCAATATGTCCATGTTATTATCATTACATTTGATAACATCATATAACGACTGTTGATAAAAGCCTAAAGTTGATTAAAGACATCTACAAATTGCTTTCAAATCAAAATGAAAAATGCATACTTAATTTTGCAAGACAAATTTCTGCATGAATTTAAACAGAAAATTAATTGTTATTATTGATTAGCAGCATTCATACGCTGAAATTTGACTAAATTAAAAAAACTTACACTCCAAATGATTGACCACAGTTTTTAGAACTTTTTCTTCATCATTTATTTTATTCTGATCACTGAAAACAAATAAACGTTTTTCACCACTATTATACTAGAGCAATTATCTCATTTTGCATCATCTCAAACCTTACACAAATTTCTCCCATAATTGGTAGCTAACCTAGTACTACCATACTGTTACTATGGCAATACAATAACCCGCTATAAACATGAATATTTTTTATTGTGAGCAAGTTCGTACACGTAATGAATAATTTGTAAAAGTATCTTAGGGTCAGACAACTCTTCCAGTGATGAAATATGTCCACTGATGATCAACTGAACCTAAACATGAAAATTTGACAATATAAATCTAAAATCAAAGTCGCACAAATTACATATATGTAGCAACTTATTTGAATTTCTTTAATATTTTTAATTTGTTTTAATCTTACCCATTGTAATAGAGCTTCGGATTTTTCGGAGTCCATTTCATTTGATATGAATATATTTACAAGTTACACCTTAGTTACGTCAACATTCTAAAATTTCAAATAAAAAAGATTCTTTATCAGTCATAAATCAAAATTTGTCTTTGAAAAAATCGCTTACACCATATTTATACACGAATAAATTCTTTTTAATCCAGGATTTCAAAGCATAACGAATTTTATAAAAAATTTTCGTATAATTCAAGAAATGCTAAATGCTCTTGTTACCTTCAGTTACCTTCCACAAAAATAACTGTCAAAATTTAAATGTTGGAGCCAAAAATATAGTACCGCATTCCTACAATTCCACAGGCTCATCTTCTCATCAGCAATTCGGAAACAGTCGTAAACTACTCGTAAGGTTCGGTGTAATTAAAGAGAATCTGTCAGCGTTGTCTTGGTCAGATGACTTGCTAGCTGATGGTGAAATTCAGGACATTTCATGTCATGAGTATGCTTTTGTGACTAGTCTTTTTTTGGTTTGTTAATTTTTACAAGTAGTTTTGAAGAGGCGAAGAAGGATGGGTTGTTGTTTTAGCAACGAAGATGCTATCAATGGACAGGTTGGGTCGATATTCCTGTAAAATTTTGATGCTAATTATGTCAGAAAAAAATGCATTTGTTTTATTTCATAGATAGCTTTTTAAATTCATTCATAAGCATTAATTTTACCTCCTGCAAAGAGGTAAATTACTATTGAATATCATGGCATTGTTTCATAATTTTGAACATAAGAAGGAAAAGTTGTTCTATAAAATGCTTTGTTTCAAAGCCATGTTTAAATTAATATAACAGCTGTCTATATTGCTTGTGATAAAATTTTAAATAAAGTATATGATAAACTGTTTATGGTTTAGGTTGAAAAAATATGAACTGGAAAATAATATAATAAATTTGTGCTTCAAATTAGGCAAGCAAAACAAATGAAAGAACCCCATTGTTAAATGATGGTACTATGACCTCTCAATCTTCATATCCACAGACTATAAGGTTTGAAAAGAAACTAAATGAACTATTGCTGTTACATTATGGCAGGTTGAAAACATGTTTACTCTATTTTTTAGTGATGGGACAAAGGAAACCTCTGGTTCATTAAACAAATCTGATCAACAATCAATGCTTAGTAGAATCTTAAATCAAACTGCCAAGTATGTTGTTGGAATATTTTATTCTCAGAAGTCAAATTTTGTCAAGTAATCATATTCTTTTCTGTTTTAGTAATGTAATTGATGTAACAACAGTTGAACCTCACAGCTTAGAGAAAGGCGAATTTTTGGAACGTGCAAAACAATATCAGTAAGAAAATATTTTCTTTATTATTAGTATATGTTTCATTTAAAAATTAGTTTATTTATTTTCTCCCCTTGAACTTTAATGATATTTTGTATGTAGTTTGATCTCTCTTGAACTCTTTTTGTACCTTGTCAATTGATCTTTCTTAAACTTTTTTGGCATACCTTTTTGGTTGATCCCCTTTGAATAATAATGGCACATTTTTGCTTGATTTCCCCTGAAATTTATTTGCATTTTGTTTCTTAATCCCCATGAAAACTTTATTTGTAAGAATGCCTACAAAACCTGTTTTATTTTTTATTTATTTCACAGACAGTACAGTAACTCGTCAAGTATTATAACATCAAGCACACCTCAGGGCTCTCTGCCCCCTGGCACAGCTGCACCACAAGTTGTATTATCATCAGAACCTGTATCAAGAGATGATATCAATTTGGCAAGTTGTGAATTGTGAAAATTTATTTCTCTCTTCTCTCACAGTGTGCATCTGTCATTTTTACTGTTTCATTGTTATTTATAAGTTTCTCTATGATTTATTTCTTAACACAATTGCAAAAATTTTTCCTTTTGATCAGGATATCAATGGATGTTTAACCCATATTCTTACGTAGGTGAAAGATTTCTCAGAACAAATAGCGTCTGCGTTGAAAAATTTTGAAGTCAGTGGCGGTGAACCATTTGTCGTACAATTTGGTGCAACTTGACATTGAGAAGATGATATGAGAGTAACCACGTGATACCATGAATGAATCAAAATATAAAACGTCAAATGAACAATGAACTCATGTGAATACCCACGCATTGTGAGAAAAAATAGTTGGCCTCATTCGTAAAATGATATTAGTACACGTTTTGTATTTGTATAAAAATTATATTCATTGTCCAATAATCTATCAATCCCATTAACTACTTTTCAACGGCATAATATTTTTCGAAGATTTAAAATTTGGTAAAATTCTCAAGCCATGTTCAATTGGCGAATGCTTTATATTTTTTAAAATGGTGGAACACAGGTCTTTAAAATGTAGCTCTTCTTTCCAAAAGTTTTGAATACGGCGAGTAGCACTACTGTAAAATAACAAACTGACATTACACCGACAACGGTAACAGCAAATAAATGTAGTTTCCAGTGTGTACGCCAAATGTTTGGAAGATTTAAACGATGAAAATGAATATGGATTAGAATGGAAAAGAGGTTTGCAACAAAACTCACTCCAATGCCAATACATAGCCTTTTGAAAATAAATTCGTGTAAAATTTGTGTTGTTTTAACGTTGTAGTTGCTTGTTAAATACAACGTTAGATAAGCTTGACTTATAATAATAGCAATACTTTGATACAGCATCACTTGAATCTCTTTATCTACTTTCAAACGACGATGATAGTTTGTTTCTTCCATTTCTCTTGCGCATGATGGTCGACGACGTTCGATACATTGCCAAATCAACGTGACGATTCTTTGCCTCACTTTTACTGTTGCTGTTTGAAAGACTTGAAAAACTCCACGAATCAGCGAGAGAAATATATAAATATTTAGGTTGTCTACCCCAGCTTGCATGATACAGTAAAGAAGTATACTAACCCCATTGACAAAATAAACCAGAACAAAGATACGATCACTGTCGGTAAACGATAAACTTTTTAAAGCCAGGTTTTCTGATATGACCATGGGAATGATAATTAAAGTCGGCGTAATCATAGCAATACTAGCTTTATAAATATCACTGTTCGTTTTTACATACCAAGGTACAAACACATATCTATAAGCAAAAGCTATGAATGTGCCCATGAAAAATTGTGCTGAGACCACAGCAAACAAGTTGCGCTTTTTGAGATGATTTTGTGAGCGATGAGGAAAATCATTTTCAGATATCTTCTTAGCCACTAAGTAACCGGAGAATATAACTCCAAAAAGAAATACAACATTTCCGGGAATTCTATATAGGTTTTGAGCAAAATTGATTTGTAGGAAAAACAAAGACGTCTTATAAATGACAACTAGAAGACCACATACAAAAGCAAGCACTAAAGTTGATGTGAAATGTGACTTAAAATTTCTCCAACCAAATAGTAAAATCAACATCAACTGAAACCAGAAGTTTAAAGCCATTCCTTCTATATCATGACCAATTATGACATATTTCATTAAATTCCAGGGTAATGATTTGTTTTGCTGCATGTAACGAAAACAAATATTAGACGAATTTACATCCCCAAACAACACAACAATCATCAACACACTAATTGGAATCGTCGAAGCTGTAAGTGTAAAACTTACATTTAGACTTGTTTTAAAAGAGTAAAGTAGAGTTTGGTCCTCTTCGATATTGGAATCAAGTAAATGACGCTCATCGGATTCATTTTTATCGTTACTTTCTGTGTCATTTTGTTCTTCCTCATGTGAAACAGCAAATGGTTGCACTGCTTTAGCTAATTGTCGCGCTGATTCTGATGCCAGTATCGATGCAAGTACGACAATAATTCTGTCAAGAAATTCATGACACATCTTGCTATATTCCTGCCAGGCACTCCTCTCGATTTGATTTTGAAAATAAAATTATTTTTACCCAATATCTCAAATTGCTTTCGGTTTTGTAGAACAATTTTAGACATGTCTGACTGCAGAGCTCTCTAAGACATTGCATGTCTTTGAGTGTACTAAATATAGCCAGCCGTACCACTATCCAATATGTCTGTCGTTCTTGTGTCGCATTCTTGATGCTATAGCTAAATCGAAAGGAAGTGGTTTGATAATAGCCAAGGCCAAAGGTTGGGTTACAAGTTGTTGTAACAGTTTTAGATGAACCAAGTCTGCTTCAGTTCTTGATTCTAGTCGTGCATAACCCGCGCATGATGTGTACTACTTTTTCATATTTTCTTGGGGTATGAACACGTCATTCAGAGTCAAACTTAATAGTATACCATTTGGTTCATTCATTTATCAGCGTATTCCTTTATGTAACAGGCTTTACTATCTTTGTGTAGGCTCACTTATATGGATTTTTTTGGTAAAGAAACATTTATATATACATTTTAGTATTCTGTACAAATTAAATAGTATACTAGTAAATTACTTATTTCAATAGTATAATAGTAGGTCTCAATTTCAAGACTTGCTTCCCGGATCGAGAAAATGGCACATATGCCATGTTGTTCGTCATGATCATTTTACCCCAAAATTGCTGAGATTATTTCCGGTAAATGAAATGCATACAAACTCTTATACAGGTCCTAGACTAACTATCGTTTTCGGGTGTTTTCTTGTTTCGTTTCATTATAAGTTGTCTATTTAAGAAATAAGTGGACAAAAACGAAAAAGAAATTATGTTTTATGTTTTGAGAAATCAATAAAAAAACGGAATGAGAACAACATTAATTTTTGCAATAACACCAGATCTGATACGGGGAGAAGCAACAAAAAAAAACAATATTGCTGAATACACACGGTTAAAGTGTAATTCGAGCTATCACCATCCACCAGTTTGAGTCATTGAATACCTTGATGTGGTCAAGGATCTATATTGAATGGCTACTACGATCACGAGAATGAATGCTAGGATTACTAGAATGAATGCTGGGATTACTAGAATGAATGCTGGGATCACTAGAATGAATGCTGGGATCACTAGAATGAATGCTGGGATCACTAGAATGAATGCTGGGATCACTAGAATGAATGCTGGGATCACTAGAATGAATGATAGGATTACTAGAATGAATGCTGGGATTACTAGAATGAATGCTGGGATTACTAGAATGGATGCTAGGATACCTAGAATGGAACTCGACAATAATACTCAAGGAACTGGAAAAATTTCAACATTCATATTCATTAACTATTACTACATATAAATTTACAAATGGCAAATACGTAAGAGATAACAATAAAACGTCTTCCTGTTCAGACAACCGGGTATTTTATATGTCGGTGTATGCATGTCTCTCTTTTTACGTGTATGGGAGAGCGGAAATAATTCCGACAATTATTCAATAAAAATAGTTTTCGCAATAATGAAATTCAAATACTTTGAGTGGAAAACAATGTTTCACAAAACCATGACGTTGCTATGCATGATTACTTCATCGTCTGCTAGCAAAAATGACAGGCTGATAGCTACTCAGAGCAAATCGATCATTTCTCCATAAAGCGTTTTGTTTAAAAGAGCGATCTCATTTTCTTTGCAAAGTGTTAATAAGCAATTCATTTGCTGAAATTTTCATTTTGCTCCAATGGAAGAATTGACAGCAATCGATGCAGGGGGGTTCGATGTGCTTCTGAGATGGCGAACCTAACTAGCTATATTAACTATACGAAATACATTTTTAGCAATCAATGCAGGGGGGGTCGATGTGCTTCTGAGATGGCTAACCTAACTAGCTATAATAACTATAGGAAATACATTTTTACTTATCTTTCAAAGTACAAGTGATGGCAGAGCCCAAAGTTAAACCTAAAGTATAAACTCTATAAGAAGTGTTGATTTCACGATTTTAAGACTTCATAGTTTCCATTAATGAAGACATTGTTATTATCAGTACGATATTCTGCGTCAAGATGTTGGTCTTTTATTGGAATACAACAACAAACATCCTAAAATCAAAAACACGATTCATTCATGAACATACGATACACATTAATTTTTCTCATCAAATGTAAGATGTTTAAGAATGCAAACCAGCAAATCAAATGTAAAAATAATAAAAATAATAGAACAAAATTCACGAACACGTCAACTATCGACTAAAGTCTCAAGATTCCAGCAAAATTGACTTACGCGAATAACGAAAGACAAAATTGTGTCACTGCCAATTTGTTGAATTTCAGTTCCTCCATTTTGATGTGATCCATTCTAAATCATTATAAAAAATTTTTTTTAGCAACGTTATAGTATTGAGGACTAGAAGTTTAGTGTGACTGAAAACAACATAACTACATAAGTCAAATTAGTGTCTTTCTTTATCCAGATGATAGAGCACCATTATTCATAACTGCATTCTGGTGGTCAATAAACAAATATATTGTTGTGATTGTCCCACCCCTTGCATCCCATATCTCACCCCTTGCATCCCACATCTCATCCCTTGCATCCCACATCTCACCCCTTGCATCCCACAGAATGTGTAAAAGAAAAATTACCATTTTCCATTTATGTTTCCTCCTTCTACATATCATTCTCAATTCAATCCTGAATATTATAAAATTCGTTATGACGATCATACATATAGTGTTGAAAAATAAATTGAATGATTGAATAAATTGAAGCACAAAAGAAAGAACGTAAACGAAGTTTATACAATAGACATGGATAAATACTTAAATTTAATAATGCTAAAATTCATCATTTAATGTAAAAAATTATTTATTCATGGTAAAATAATTCGTTTATGGGCTACTTATTTTTGGCTACCTATTTTTACGTTTATCTTTCACCTGCTAAATATATAGTTCTATATGATTGGCGGTGACAAAAAAAGCTCATGTAAATTTATGAATTGTGGAAATTCGTGAAATGTGTTTTGATAATATCGAAAACCTACGTGAATAAGATTTGAAAATAGCCACCAAATGCAGCAAAACAATGCCACCAAGCATGAAGCTGGCCAACAGTATTAAATGGCCAAGGTAACAATCCACGAAAATATCTAAAACAACATTTAAACAATGGTGAAACAATGTAGTCGGTTGTATAGCTATATAATTTTGTTCGCATAACAGGCCTTTTCAATAATTTGAAAATACTAAAAAATCGTAAACTTCACCTCACATAAATGCAAAATTCATTGTCAATATTCCATAAAATAAAACCAAATCCGTAACTGAAATAAACACAGTTTTTATTGTTACATGAAGAATTAAAAGTATTTGCTAGCTCTAATTACAATTAAACATTTCTACAAGTTCTTTAGTCTGTTGTGACACCTAACGATTAAATTTAGAAAGAGCACAAAATACAAGGGTGTATGGCAGTCTGCTTATTTGCATTGAAGGAAAATAATTCAATAAACAAAAATCATACACTTGCAAATAAAAATTTTTGAATTAAAACATCATACCAAATCAACGCCAAGATTGAAAATTTTAGTGGTACATTGTATTTTCTATAAAACATCGGTAGATGACACATTTTAGTAAATTTATCACGCTGAAGCTACAACTGAACAACAGTTTTCTTACATGCAACAAGTCAAGAACTCGTGGCATTAAAAACAGATGCGGACAAAACATAAAACGTTCTTAATAGAAAATAGTCTTAGATTAGTCTAAGAAATTAGTCTAAGATATGTCTTAATAGAAATTTTGAAAAATGCAACTTTTAGTATTTAAAATGGTTTTGAACTTGGAGACGGCTGACAAGGTTTATCACAGAGGGTGTTAACTCTTTAGTAATAAAAAAGATGCTATTGTCAAGGTAAATATTTATGTAAATATTACTTAACAGACAGCGTGTATAATGTAAAGCTTATTTGTGCAAAACAGTGGATACAGATGGTTATACCTCATTATGTGTAGTTAGCAGTTACACTGAAATACAAAGAAAGCTCAAAAAATTTTAGAGAGGCATAGCCTACTTAGATAAGTTCTAAGTGAGACCTAAATCGCATATCTCATTAACTTCTCTTCCACCATAATTTTAATTCTATAACATCATAACAGATAAAACGTATTTAATAAATTAACAAAACAGTTATAAAATACTTACCTAGCTGAATAATTGGTGGCAACAATTAATACAGCCACACTCAATCCGTATGCCCACTGTACAAAATAAAAACGCAGCATATTGAATACTCTTTGATCACACGAGTAAAATAATACATGAATGAAACAAAACCTGAAACACCAGAGGATTGACTACAATGAGGTAAATCTAACAATAAAAAAGAAAATGATCGTGTACAGAGTCATCAAATATATAAACACATTAAAATTAACAAAACAACTCTCTTTTTTATATATACGGGAGATGATATGGATGGAAAGCACAAATTTAAATACAAACTCGGTATTTCCACGATAGTAAAACAAAATAGATAAATAAATAATTTATAATCATGGAAATGTGATTCATGATTTATGTGCTCTGCCAGCGAATTTTTACAAGAATGTAACCTCTATTAAATTGATTTCATATTATTGACAAAGATTTTATCCAAGATTTCTATTTTTACCGTGATGAATGTAGCAAGAGCTCTTGCTTAAGCCCCAGAGTTCGCACAGCAAGACTTACCAAAGTGACAATTACGCATGAAATTGTCAGGAAAAATTTTAAATAGAAAGTCTTTTTATGCGGCTCATCGTTACATGTTAGCCTAAAAAATAATTGTTAAAGCAACGTTGAACTTTTAAAGAACACACAGCTTATAAATAACAAGATAGCGACATATACTTACACACAATACAGAATGATGTAAGTACAGTATATCATTGGTAACTCATCAAGTAACTATAAATAAACATAACTACTTTACAATGCAAGTCAGAATGGGTTTTTAGGCAGCTTGATTTGATTGTAGTAAATATACTATTACTGGCGTATTATTTTCTTCATAAGAAAAAGATTAAAACTTGCATATAGCGTAGATAAATGAGAAAATGATGAATTGTTGTACGTACAAATGTGAATTAAAATCTTGTTCATTACGAAAATTCTACCTGCATTTTATAGAGTAACGTTGCGTGAAATAGTGTAGATCCAATACCTATAGCTGATTCAAAGAGAAAGCAATTAGAAAAACGAAATAGCAACAGTTGGAAAGATAAAGAAATGTGGCTTCTTACCGACAACAGAAAGAAAAGACATAACAAATCTTGCATCAACACCAGTTTTATAAAATCTTATTGCCGTAAGCAATGGCGGAACAACCATAAAGTAATTGGTGATTGTATTCCCTTTAAAAATATTAAATAATTTATTTTAATGGTGTTATCATGCATGACGCGACAATGTAGAAACATGTTGTATTGATTGAAGTACATTCATACAACGCTTTCAAAATTTGAACGAATTTCTAAACAGGCTTATCCAAAATGACAATTTATTATAAGACACATCACCAAGTTTACCAATAGACCAAATATTACCAAAGTGACTTTAATTTTTTGTTGTGCAATCTCGTACCGTTTGTGTTATATATATTTGAGATGGTAGAAGACAGATCATTTAGTAATCTTTTACAATACTTTATACCTACATTATATGAATTTATTGATTGTCACATTGTATAACTACTGATTATCATGTTTAAATACTGACACCAAATCTTACATTTATCCGAAAAAGAAAAGACTTCACGGCCAAGAAATGAGAGAGAGTACACATACTTTTATGAACATCCAATGTAATTCTACCCCCTTTAATCTACTTCACTGTGTCTTTTTATCCTTGACCCTTCTTTTTTTGTTGTTTTTTTTTTAATTTTTATTTTAATTGAGTGTGTCATGACTGTCATTAATTTTATCATGTCATCCAAACTTCACACTCTCTTAAATATAAATATATAATTATCCTGCTTATAATTGAAGCATCGTGTAAACTTTAAATATACATAATTATATTTTAAATATGTCTGAAGTTAAAGAAAAAACGCCAAATATTAAAAAAGCCTTTTATCTACAATCCTTGTACGCAATGCAACCATGGTTGTAATAAAAATCGCCAAAATTCTTTGTTAGAATATTATATTCATGTTGAAAATTCGCTTTTCTCCTGAAAAAGTTCTTGCCACAATTTAAGAGGAAAGATTAACAAAACGAACGATGTTTTACATTGTGCATTTAATCAAGAAACATTAATGCAAAAATTTCTTCAATCAACGTCAGCGAGTTGATATTGAATATTGAAAAAATACCGAATGACCGTTTCAAAAGTCAAACCTTACATGTACCGAGTGCACTTAAAGCAAAAGATATCGAGGAATTCATCTCTCTTTCTTTTGTTTTTAATGCATTCGGCACATGTAAAGTTTGAGGTTTGAAACACTCTATTCTGAGAGGCTTTATTTACGAGATAAAGGAACAAAAGGGAGCTATTTAATTTGAATATTCAAACATTTATCTACGTAATGTAAAAGTAATTAATGACAAAGGACACTGGATATTATCAACAGCATAAGATAGTGGGAGTGAAATTTAAATATAAATGCCTCATTTAAACGTCAGAAGCCGAACTTAATTCAGTGAGATTTATTCCCTTCTATGAGAATATCGGATTTACACCCAGCAAATGCGCAGGGCACAAAATATACAACATAAAATGCAGAAGCGATCCTTCAATACAAGTGTCGATTATTCGCAATAGAATAAGTGAAGTTTGATTTGTTAGGCCAATATCACAATTTTTCATTTGAAAGGCCTTTGTAAAATTGTTCGAGAAAAACTGCACACGTCATCTAAAACATAGGCCAAAATGAAAGGTACACAAGAAATTAGCTTTATATTTTCTTCAGTCTACAAGAAAAACCGTTTTACCGTAAGCGTGTAGAAGATTTCCCAAAGTTTCCAGAAAAAAACGCTTGTAATTGAAAGGATAGAATTGATCATTCGGCAAGAAAATTAAGGAAGAAACGCTTTATATCACAAAAATTGTTGAATATTAAAACGATGAAACTGAATTGGATGAACTCCTTGCTCTACTGAAGTCCTATTTGACATGCAAATTAGAATATTAGAGTCGTAGCTGATATACGAATAACTTGGTATAAAATTACGTATTGATTATCGAACTTATCAATAAAATTCTTAAGACAGTAAACATCTTATATACCAAGCCACTAAACCAAGCCTAAATTCACAGCATTTTATACTAAACAACATTTATATAAAAGTCTAAACAACAACGCGTGCTGTAACTTCAATTTGTGCACAAATTAGCATGAATTACTCACAAAATTCTGCTACATATTTTGTAACAACATAATTTTCTTCACACCAATCGAGAGTTGACGTCGGATCGCCCCAAATTCCAACTTGATCGATGTGAGGATCGCGATACAAAGCAGGCATTCTTATAAAACATTCCTAACTCAGGCTAACGTCTTTGCTCATTTATGAATAACGTGTCTTAAACAAGCACGATGTCAACAATGTGTATAATCGTAGGCTCAACTTGCATAACAAATTAGCACTCATTAAAAATTACTACATACGCATGACTAAACATTTTTTTATAAAACAAGTTAACTTCTACACGTTGTAAACAATTACCATATTAAGAGGATTACCTAAAGCTGATATAAAACTAATTTTAAATTCACCAGATTTTAGTTACAAAGTATACAAAGATTTGATTTTCTGCAAGTGGATGTTAACATTTTCGTTACATGGATATATTTATTAACACGTGCACAGCGTAGTTTTTGTCGAAAAACAGGTGGAATTATAATGGCCGACTAGCAGCGTCGATGTTTTCCAGTAACCAACACAACTCATCTTAGGCCTGTTTCAAACATCGCATTTTACATGAGCCGAACGCATTAAAGACAAAAGAAAATGAGATAAAATTCCTCATTATATTTTGTTTAAATGAATTCGGCTGATGTAAAATGCGACGTTTGAAACAGGCCTTATTTCCTATTTAGCTACATAGCAGCTTAGTCTGACATACAGAAAAAGCAAGAATTTCCTTTCAATCTATCATCTAAAAAATCTACACTCCACATAATGAACATAGAAATTTTGCATTTTTTAATTAAAACGTATGATGTTTATGCACGGCGAAAGACTTATTTAATGTTTCTTAAAATTCTGCGACAGTATGATGTTTTAATTTCAGCTAAAGCATTTTCTAACTCGGTCGTCATATGAACAAGATTTACGGGGTCCGTTTGCATAATCTGAAATTCTGTTTCACCTACAAACACATACAGAAATGACGTTTTTAAAGTTTCTTTTTGTTTTGCACAACAAAGTCTTCTATTATTTTAATAACTCTACAAGGAGCACTACGTATAGAAAATTTCTTTGAATTCTTCTCATACAGATGATTTACACCACAAACACAATCAATACCACCAACCCTGCAAATACAACCAACACCACCACAGTCTACACAACTAGCGTCACCAACACAACCACAGTCTATACAACTAGCGTCACCAACACCACCACAGTCTATACAACTAGCGTCACCAACACCACCACAGTCTAGACAACTAGCGTCACCAACACCACCACAGCCTATACAACTAGCGTCACCAACACCACCACAGTCTACACAACGTCACCAACACCACCACAGTCTACAACTAGCATCAACAACACCACCACAGTCTATACAACTAGCGTCACCAACACCACCACAGTCTATACAACTAGCGTCACCAACACCACCACAGTCTACACAACTAGCGTCACCAACACCACCACAGTCTACACAACTAGCGTCACCAACACCACCACAGTCTATACAACTAGCGTCACCAACACCACCACAGTCTACACTAGCGTCACCAACACCACCACAGTCTACACAACTAGCGTCACCAACACCACCACAGTCTAGACAACTAGCGTCACCAACACCACAACAATCTACACAACTACCGTCAACAACACCACCACAGTCTACACAACTAGCGTCACCAACACCACCACAGTCTACACAACTAGCGTCACCAACACCACGAAAACAATTAACACAAAAACACGGTCTACATAACTAAAATAATAACATTACTAGTACCACACAAGGTAGGATAGGTGAATGAGAAAATAGCCAAGATCATTACACGACAATTATGAGCGACCACAAGTAATTTATGTTGATTGCACGTCATAAATATTCGTTGATTTTATAATTTATTTAAAGCAAACCTGTAAAATGGAGTTACAGAAGAGCTTGTGTAACGTTTAAAAAAACTGACAGTTCAATCATTAAATGTTTTAATTTAGTGACTGAAGAGGGATATCAAAGTTATAACTAATTAGTTTGTGTAAAGTTTGTTAATTTAACGGAAAACTAGTGGCAATTGGTTTATTACGTATCAACCTAGAATATTTGCTATGAGAAAAAAACAACGTTTATCACTAACGTTATTTTTTTAAGATAAGCCTCAAATCTACTTATTTCAAAAATGATGCCATGAACTTTTGACTTCAAGCAAGTCCGTTGCTATGGATACGTATGTTGCTACATATTGTGTTCCACTTTGCCAAATCAATAAAAATTTCAAGTTGACGAGTAAAACATTTCAGTCATATTTCTATTCCTTAATTATAGTTTTTGACAAAAGCAATTTCAATAAATAATTTTATGTTGATGAGAAAAACATTTCAGTAAGGAGATATTAAAAATATTTCATCAACTTGAAATTTCTTTGTAAGTAACTTCAAACAATTCATTCATACAATGAAAATACATGTTCATTCACGCTATCCTTGAAACATGCACATTTAAAAAAATCTTACACATGATCACACTTAGCATCATGTTATAGATGCAATCTCATTTAGCAACATGTCCTATAGGAAGCATTTATAGCAAGCAGTATAAGAAAAGTTTATATTTTGACGCAAGAAAATTACATCACTAAGAGATTAATCTGGATCTTCAACATTATTTATGCAAATAAATCACAATAAAGCACACATAAATTCACAAAACACATAGTAATTACTGAACTTGAGTTATTCTGCTATATAAAATCATTTATTAAAGACTGAAAGTTCAACTAAGAAAGTTAATGATAATATATAATACCTTCATGTTTTGTTTGAAGTTTTAAAAGAATTTGAGGTTCTGTTTCATGATGAAGTGATCGGCTGGCAAGCTGCAAAAAATAAAAAATATTTTATTAGTGAAATATGAGAAAATTTTTATTGTATCTGGCATTCGTAGGTCTGCTTCTACCAAACTGGGCTCTATAAGAGCATACCAGATCTCAAATTACCATCAGTTAATCTGGCTTTATCATACCATACCCATCAACATCAAACTAAATGTATTGTTTAAACAGACCTAGCAGGAGTTAACAAGATACTACGGAAAATAAGTGATCTGGGAATGGTTAAAAAATAGGTCAATTAGATGTATCTCTACTGGAACTGACTTGAAAAACACATCATATCAAATCAATATCTGTTGTAGAAAAATTATTTAAATAATTGACATATTGCAGTTCCCGCACTTGATACTAGAAAGTTGGTCAATTTAAACTTAAAGACACCTAACACAAGGAGATATATGAAGAAATTTTATGAATGAATTGCAAACCATTACAGAAATGGCTGGCAGCATGTTTTGTCCTGTTTAACCTGGTAATAGATGTTGTTGCAAATTTGCAAGAATTAAAAAACAAATTGCATAAAACCTGAACATCAAATCTCCATTCTAAATTATGGTAATGAGGTAAATCCAATGATAATTCTCCCAAAATTTTTCTTATCTCAAGTCTGTTTTCTAGATAAAGCTGAAATCAATGAAATAAACAATGAATATTTTGTATACTTGTTAAATATTTTCAGCAATATAAAATGATAAAATTACACTGTCCACAAATTTTACTAAAAATAAATAAACCTTGCAAACCTGAAGTAATAGTTTATTTAATTCTTCAGAAAAACCCAGGGTCATCACTGAGTCTTGAAAATCAATTTCTCCAATCTTAAACATTTTGATGAAAATCAAACATACATACATAGCCAGTTATATTGTGGGCAATTCTCACTTAGAGGTGATATTAATACCTACCAACAAACGAGAGCTTTCATTGAAAAGAAAAACTAATCCTTCAATGGCTTGTTTTACTTGATTTGTTGCAACCCCAAGTTTCTCTACATAATGATATCAGTATTATTTGATACAATACTTTTCTTTTTATCCAAATTTCGAAATGTTTTTTTTTTATTTAAAAGCCAGCCTGCTTATATTAATACATGCCAGGTAAATTTTTTTTCACTCGTTGTAAAATCCATAGATTAACATTGTTGATAACTGTGAAAAGTGGGCATGACAAACCAGCAGACAGATTATTGTTATCTTCACTTACGAGCTGCTGTTTGATAGATTTTAGAGCTCGATCCTTTCAGAATAAACTCCAGGGACATTTTGCAGAACTCCTCAGCAACTAATCAAAATTAAAAGGATAATGTTTTCAAAAAACTAGATTTGAGGAAGTCCTGTAAGATGATAGTAACGTGTTAAACCATTGAGAACATGTTAGTTAAGCAAAAAATTACAAGACTAGTTTCCTTCATCACGAAGGCATGTACGTCGTCAGTCAAAAAGATTTCAGGAAAAGTAGTATTTCATTATTTTCATAGTACTTTTGTAGCATGCAATATCATAACAATAACCATACTCAAATAACGAATAACAGCTACATGATAAGTCTGAACACTTCCCAGGAATACAACTGAAGATTATATTTTATTTATGAATAACTTAACTTACCTTCGACTTGAAAGTCATTTAAAATCCGAAGATGATCTTTATGCTCTTGAGATAAAACCAATAACATAACGAAAATTCAAAGAGAAAAATGAGATAACTATGTTTTACGGTTTTATTGAACTTTGCAGCAGCAAGTTTTCATCGTTTACACAGCTCTCACGTGGCTCTCACGTGATGTAATGGCAGTAACTGAGATTTCCTCGTTTTTGTATATTTTGGCAAAAATTTCAGAATACGTGTTCTTTTGTTCTTTTTAATCTTTATTGCAAATTACTACATGGATTCCAAAGACTGGGTTGGGAAGATTTTTTACTTTATTGAACATTGTTAATATGTATGATCTTTGTTTGGATAATTGGATTTAAAAGTGATGATTCTTGACATTCTGTACACTGACTGACAACGTCAATCATAAAGAAAATAATTGACTATAACAAATGAATGTTTAACAAATGACTTAATGAATGTTTCAAATACTTCGTGTTCTTATGCAAAAACACTTTGTATTATATATTTAGAATCTTATTTTTTTGCTGAGTTTATAATCTTATTCTTTTGCATTGTTTTATCATTGCTGACTAAAAAATTCATCATACGAAATAAATCTAGTTGTTGCTGCTCTCTGACAAAGCAATTACTGTAAATCTCAGATTGTCAGGATCGCGTTTCATATAATTTCTGCAAACCTCCGCAGCATCCTGCAAATAAGAAAAATAGTATAACCTAACATTATCAATACCCAAATGATTGAAGTCTTAAAATCATTAATCACTGTCACCTTTATGAACGTTTCAGGTGACGATACACCATGATTGATGGGATATTTTTTTCTTCCGTCTTAAAAGAGAATTAAATAATTTCCAGAGTTAAAATATACGTTTTAACATCAATATTTTCTTTGTCCTGCCAATCGACAACTTTCCTTAGCAAAAAGACCTATTGCCATTAAACCAATATATTGATTAATAAAGAATCAGTTCATGGCTGAATTTAACCCAGATTCCATATTCCAGGCTACTGCAATCAAATCTATAGCTATAACCTTTAACAGACCCTTATCAGCGATGAAATTAACAAAAAAAATGGATGATCAAATTTACCAAGCTCATACAGATGGCCATCCTTTTGAATGAGAGCAACAAAGTGAAGATTCACTTCTTCTTCACGCGATGGTGTCTAAAACGTATGGGGATTTTTGAACATTCAATTCATTTAAAAACTATTTACGTAAATAAATTAGTTGGCTATACCCTGAGGGATGTATATGAAAGAGGAAATATTGGATTGATGTTTTAAATGAACAAATACAATTTCGCACAATGCTATTTATTGTTTAAACTGACATTTCTTCGAGTTGCTGTACAATTAATCTTACCTCAGTATCGCCGTCTTGAGCAAAATTATCATGAGCTTGTATTAAAGCCTGTAAATAGTTTAATATTTCATAAAATATTCAGTTCAACAATGTTTAAAAAGCAATGTAAAACAAATGGACATTGAGATTGCTGTTCTTAAATTCAGCAAGATGTCACCAACACAGAGATTTTGCTTTAAGTACCTCGTTACATTCTAACTTTGTCGCTCTTTCATCTGGTGTAAGTGAACGCGTTGAGTCGATAAAAGTCTTTAAAAATCCTTCCTCTGTATATAAAGAAAAAATGCTTTATGTACATGTGTAGTCACATTGCAACATTCCAAGAAAAATTCCACGTAAAAATTTTTACTTTACTTCATCTTTTCTTTTCAAGCATTTGAACATCAGAACAAAAATAATTCACCTACCAAGACTAATCTGTCTTGTGTTGTTTGCAACACAATGAATTAGAGCTACTGTTCCACAAGCATTACCAATTGTTTGCTTAGTGTAATACAAATCTTTACTAACAATCTGGAATTAAATATTAAATTGATATTTAAGAATGAGTGAGAAACTCACTGTCTTCGAGTCGATAGGAATAGGACGAATGTAAAATGGCAACAGTAGAATGAGAAAAATGTGTGATTTGAATTGACACAATTAATAAATGCAAAATTATTAGTTCAAATATTCTGTCCTTTGACACAATTTAGCATATTTGAAATTGTGTGAGATACTATTCAGAGACCACCACTGATAAATTATACCTGTCCTTCATTTTTGATACGTTCTTCTTCTTCTTCCTTATAACGATAGTACTATAATAATCACCAAAAAAAATTCCACTTAATAACTAAAAAAAGTAAATTAAGCTTCGCAAAATGAGGAAGAGTATAATACCTTGTCAGAACAAGGAAAAAGTAAAACTAAAGCACAAGTTGGCTGTGGAATCATACATAATAATTCTGGATCAAGAGTAAGAACATCCACAAACTGCCATTTCTTTGACATGCCAACTGACCACATATACTAAAATGTAAATTAACAAAATACTATTTGATATTTATTTAAATAATTTGGGTTGAGTTGAATGCACTAAAATAAAAATGAAGTCATTGGATTGAAAACACATTTGGATGAAAAAAGTATAAACCAAGGCTTTAAGTTACAATAGGGTTGTGCTTTGGGTCAGGATAAGGCTGATTTCATAATTTTAAGTTTCACATACAAACAAATAATATAATAAAAACAAAAAACAATTATACTTTGACAAACACAATAGCAAGATTTTTAAATTCAATACTAAGTATACACAAGTTATCTTTACTGTATTGGTAAAAATCTACATCAAGAAATTTATTGATCAAAACATACATAAATGCAGAAAAAATATATGGTGGTGAATAACTATTATTACACTAGAATTTTTCTTTAAAAAGAATGACTTATTTATTTTGTACGTGTAATATTAAAAGACTATGCATGAATCATCAATATAAAAAACTTAATAGTGATTTTACATATATAAATCAACTGCATTTATTATTCTTACCTGACTGATCACCTTTGTAAAGTGGGTTCATATCATACATGGTTATCAAAGAAAAGAGAAAATGAGTTCAAATATTAAAGTAAAATTTATTCCAGGAAACATGTCAGCAACAAAAATTCATATAAGGCAAGTACAAGTTATTTTGTCAGCATATATGGAGGTAGAAAAACAAGGTTTTTAATTTGCATTACTATTGTACCTCTACTCGCCCATAGAGACGCAAAGGGGCGCATTCATTGAAAACGGTGAACAATTCATTAGCAAGACTAAACTTTTCACACAACCGAAGAACCTACGATGATACTTACATCTGGATTCGATTCCAAAGGAAGCCATTTCATTGAAGATGTCATTATTGATTTACCTTCTGAATATACTAAAAAATAAATTACGAAGTAGGTTCTTCGATCATTCGTTGATTCAACTGACAAAACGTTTCATTCTTACACAGAATATGTACAATTGCAATTCTTACAACTAGACGTTTAATTGCAATGAAAGTGCTGCCTCTCTTTAGTTAGTTTCAACTTTTAGATTGTAGCCGTTCTTGATTGGGGGGAAAATAATCAATCTGATCAGGAAGTAAAACTTGAAAAGTCATTGTGGACAGTTAACTGTATGTACTCAGTTACTGGTTGGTTGTAACAGAAGGCTATTACATTACATTATTTCTCAGTGAGAGAAGAACTTCTAGCTGTTGTTAAACCCATCCATTACATTCTCAGCAAGAAAAACGTAAGACGGTTTTGGCGGACAAATTTCGCCATAAAGATGACAACTAGCAGAACAAATTAATGATGGTAGATGACAGGGACGTAGAAAATCTCCAGTAATTAGAAAGTCTACACTTTACAGGTGGGGTTGAAAAAGACGTACTTCTACAGGTGATTTATTGGCATTTTAACTAATGTCAACGTTTTGTATGCTACAATTCTACAAATATTCATACCCTTAGTTTAACCTAAGAAAATTAATTTCAATATTAACCAGACAATTTCAATTATTGTGTCTCACTTTTTTCTGTTGTAATTTTGAAAAACGGATTTTATGAAAACATGGGGTGCCCCCTTGTCATGAGTCCTTCATCACGACAATGGAACAACATATTATTGACACATCGACAGCAATAATCATCCATGGAAAATTCCTTAAAGTCCTTATCGACGTATGCGTCGTTAATGTTGTTAATAAAACTTGCAAAATTTCTTATCATGCTAAAGTAGTTTTTTTCTGAATGTTAAACAATGAAGTGAAAGCTACATGTTTATAAATTAATTATAAGATGAAAATACATTACAGGTGATGAATAAGCATTGAAAAATACACTTCTTTATCATGAATAACGATAAAAAACACCAGGGATGAAAACATTGACTTGTCATGTCGTCAAATATGTGAAAACAGAGGAAATCAAACCAACAACAAAACTATATTTGTCTCAATATGACATTTATTAACGTAATTTGTTTTATACAAAACAAATGAAATCATGTTACTTCAAGGACATTGTACATTGCCATCATTTACGTTTATCAAAAATATTTAATAGGCCACCTCTGTGTCTTTAGCGTTAACAATAGTTTTACCAAATTTTTCTTCATCACGTTTTTTTCTTTGCATCTGACGAACCCACTGACGATAATCACTTAATGTCTTAATACTTTCTCCATAAAAATCATCTTCAAACTTGCTAAATGCATCTGTCCGGTGTTTTTCCAATCTTTGCAGGAAGTCTGTTTCTCTCTTTATAGAAAAAGAAGAAGAAAAACTGTCATTTAACAACAATGTCATGGCAGACCTATTTATTTTGTTCTTTTTACTGTTTTCAAATGTCTAAACATGAATTGAGAATTTATAGGAACATAGTTTGTTATGGAAACAATATTACTTCATGTAGTCATTCCATCTGAATGTTTAATGTTTAGAGAGAAACTCTACACTAAGGAAAATAAACATTAAACATGTTCACTATATTATTATCCAAGTACAGTTTGTTGCCTTGATCACAAGGAATTCCTAATATCATCAGGCTGTGCTTAGACCCTTGTGTTATCAATGCTTGAAGATCGTTCTTCGTAATTAAAGTGCAGCAAGAAAGTTCGACTTCTCTAAATAGACAGACGTGCAATTGCAGGAGACCTTTTGGATGTTCTTGTTCTTTTTCTCTGTTACTCCAGCAAGTGTTTATATGCAGTCATATCAAAGTGCGGGTTGGTGGTCTCAATGAATAAATCAGCTAAAGACACAGAAAAGTTTTCATCCATGAACGTTGTGAAATCATGGAAAACCAAAATGTTTTTGTCAACAAATCTTTTCTCCAATTCTTCAAAACAATCTGATTAACACCAGCTCCATTAGCTTCATCCTTCAAATTCTGGACACGACGATGCAGTCATTTAAGGCTGTCATTTAAGGTGCTTTTTCCTCCAACAAGTCGTAAATTCTGGGAATTATTTAAACTAGATTTCGTCCACTTTTTGAAAACTTTTCCTTAAAGAGTTGCAACTTCTCTTTCCACAAGCCAATTTGGGCAATGGCTTTGGTCATGTAATATTTTAGCTTATTATCTGTATAAATGAAGCAAATTTGGCTTCCTTGCTAAAGGCTTGATAATCTGATAGTAATGAAGAAAACAACGATCAGTCTGCAACATTTACGTAGCAAGAAACTGCTTAAAGCAACTAAATGCATAGCAAAAGTAATTTTGAAGTGTGCTTTGAACTAAAAACATTATCTAAAGTCTGATACAACATTCATAAGTAAATGTCTTTCAGCAAACTCTTTTTTTACTTTTTTAAAATTTTGAAGTCTCTTACGTTGCTGGCATGAAAGTTAGTGCTCACTGCCAAAAGCTATAAGCAACAACAACAAATATTGAAATTGGAAATGTTCGCAGTAGTTTCTCATTCATTCCCAAACATGTTGCCACATTTTCTAGGCTAGGGTTCCCAACAAAGAAACTATACACAGATTATGCTTTATGACAGTAAAAATAACTTGAAATTTAGGACAATATTTTGTTAATAATATTGAAGGTTAATGATGCACAATCTCAACCTTAATGAATTGTACAACACTACATACATATGTTAGATAATAACTACCACTATCATTACCTCTAATAATTTTTGGGCTAAATCTTTATTCATCCATTGCCAAACAACACCATATAATGTACAACCAATCATATATCCAGCTGCTGAGCTCGCCACACCACATATTGTACAAAACACAAGAGGGTCCAGGCCTCTAAAAAAGTATACTTTAAAGTTAAATGTATAAATGTTCATATTTCTGAATGAATCTCATTATGAAAATCAATATAACAATTTAGACATCAGTTTTCCTTATTTTTTCTTTATGTACTCTGTACACAAGAGTGTACCTTTTGCAAATGATAATAATTCAATAACTTCATGGGAAAACTCGATGTCTGTTTGTGCTTAAACCATAAAAATCACAGCCTGATATAAAATGTACTTTATACTTTTATAGCCATTTATTACTAATACAATCTCAACATTACTGTAATTATTTAAATAACCTTTATACACTTACAATATTGGCTGTATTTGTTCTGGATCAGTAGCATCAAACATGTTGGGATTCATCATTACGGAAACCATGGAGGAAGCAGTTAAACCAATAACACCAAATGGAATACCTGAAATACGTTTCTGATTTCGCATTTTACGTCTTTGTTGTTGATATTCCTCAAATCCAAGACTAAACTTTTTAGGAGATAAACTAACGTCATCTTTCATTAAATATCCTGTAGTTGATATAAACTGTCTGTTTGTTTTATTTAAGCAAAAAATCCTTTTGGAGATCCTCCGCTGTAACCATTTAACTGTAGAAGTTAAAGATAAAACTGGAATATTAGCCACCATTTTGAAATAATTCAACTATTTTCCATCAATCTGAAGTAACAGGTCATGTTTTGTCGGTTTGTATTCTTGTTGATTTGTTCATGCAAGATCGTGAATGTCTGCTCTGTTGGTGGAAATAATCTGTACCTAGTACCACCGTCTTTCCTCAGTTTAGGAATCCATTCAGGAACAGAGTGATAAAAAACGAAAATTTGTTTTGTAGTTTTGGAGAAGAGGCTATGTTATTATTGGTGTGCGCCAAAGTGCTCCATGGTAATTTAACGGATGGCAACCAGTTTAGTATAGTTGTGATATAAATATATGTTTCTTTTCTTCGTTACAGTTTTTGCAAAAAAAGTTTATAAATCATCTCTGAAGCTTCTGCAATTATGACTTTGAAAGTCGATATTGAATATTGGTAAGATAATGGTATTAAAATAAAAACTCCTTGTTTTCTTAAAGTCTTTTCTCCTTTTCAGCTTAGCCTGAATATCTTGATGTTTATGTGATGTGACATTATTTCGTTTCAGTGGAGCTTGAGGGTATTATCCTCGTTTTAACTATCTGAAGGAAAAGATTGAAAATGCAACATGTAATGCTCAAGTTTCTGGTCATGTTGGAAGATCAAGTAAGATTTTAAATTGTTGAAGATTTGAAATGTGGATTAACATTAAGCATTCAAGATTATGCTTGTCTTGTTGAAGGTTCGTTTGAAATAATGGTCAATGGTTCGTTAATTTACTCAAAATTAGAAAAAAATAGTTTCCCAGATTTCAAAGAGGTAAAATTCCAGTTAGATCTATTGTTGTTGTGATTACCCTTTGCATTACATACAATTCATCTGTTTTTCTTTATTCTTATACAATTTTATATGTATACTATTGTTAATAGTTCGTTCTTTGAGAAAGCTACTGCTCTATTTTATACATAGTAATCAACTTGTGTTGTAGGTTGTTAATGCCATTGAGGAAATTAACAATGGAGGCATTGCTGGTGAGATTGGGGAAGAAAAATCAAGTTGTGTAATTGTATAGATCAATGCATAATTGTTATGAAAAATTTACAATTTTTTATGAAGACCTCTGTTGAAATCAGATTGTTCGTCTTGACTGCAGAGATTGGAACATTATTTAATGTTGTAATTTGAAATTTATGTAATTATATTATAAATAAATTGTCATAAAATGTTTTTAATCTACTTCCCACTACTAAATGCAAATCGAATGTTGCATTCAATGTTTTCGTGGATATCTGAAGAAAACAAAATAGATAATTGAAATATTTTCTGTTTAACCCCATCTAAACCTAGTTGGGTTGTGGTTGAGTCCAGTTGACTCTCTACAGTACCAAACAATGGTACCACAAGTCTACGACACAATTTGCAACCAGTATGTGACATCAAGTGAGACTAGCGGTGGTCTCTTTCAGTGGACTGGTCATTAGTAACCATGGTAGTAAGTGACCACGCGCGGGAAAACACGCATCCTGTCAACACGCGCGAGATGTGCGAGATCATTGACAGGTATTGTGGTTTGTTGCATTGGAAACATAAGCTTCGGTGGCCTACAAGCACAATAATACACGAACTCAAACAATTGTATACGAACACAAACAAAAGTACACGACGAACACAAATAGAAATACACGAACTCAAACAATTGTACACGAACACATATAGAAGTACACGAACACAAACAAAAGTACACGACGAACACAAATAGAAATACACGAACTCAAACAATTGTACACGAACACATATAGAAGTACACGAACACAAATAGAAGTACACGAACACAAATAGAAGTACACGAACACAAATAGAAGTACACGAACACAAATAGAAGTACACGAACACAAATAGAAGTACACGAACACAAATAGTAGTACACGAACACAAATAGAAGTTTGTTTACTTTGACAATGACGAAACAATAAGTATACAGTTTACATCACAATTGCTAGCGATTTAATATTCCGAGCTTACATTCTCAAGATCGAAGAAGCAATACGATATTACTTTTGTAGGAATTATCAAAACAAAACTACAAGCACTGTTAAGCATTACAATACTGTCAAGGAAGTGATGAAAATCCTACATGGTTGACGCAAAAAAAAACCAGGTATTTATAGTTTCTGCAGTTAATACAATTAATGAATCAATCCGCTAGTGAAATAATTCTTTTCAACAGTATGTATTTATGGATTTCACCACAAATAAAAAATACAATATTGGAATGTCATATAATATTTAAATGTGAAGATACGACTTTAACGTCCCCACCAGACAATATTGAATGTCCATAAGCTTTCTTGCAAAGAATGAATGAATACTTTTCAACTAGTTCATTGCAGCACTGATAGGTGCTTGGAACTTCAAGTAAAGGACCACAAGTATGCACACCACGTCGACGGGCTAAACCATTGAAGTCGGTGAATGTGATTTTCAACTTCATTTCTGGCAGAACCACACTGACTCCAGTAGTGAACTGAAGAAATGCAATGACATTACTTCCAAGAGATCACAGATGTAATTAATTCGGTCAAGTGGTCTAACGTTACTTGCTCGTTGTCATTTTGCAGAGATGCATCAAGCAATTTAGTGACTTTATTCTGTGTAGGCTTTTTTCATCACAAAACAAGAGAGTGTTTGAGTTATTCTGGAATTCTTTACCTTTTATCTTGAACAATTGTATTATCAGATTCCAGCAGTTGCAATTACTTTGTAGTATCGGATTCCAGGGTGAGGAAACTACTTGGTAATGTAACACTAAAGAGCATTTTCAAATCTTAAAAAAGTTTTACATAAATATTATTAAATATATAATTTTATTTTACTCTATGTTGATTAAATCTACTTCATTCAGTAGCTTTATACTTGCAGGCTATACCGAAATGTACGCATTGCGTACCTATTTTCTCAAATGTATGCCATTGTATTTAATAAACGCAGTGTTTTGGGAGATATACCCAAAAGCCAAGAAATGAAAAAAAAACGTGAATATTCATGATAGCTACAGTAAATGTTATGACAAATGACATCGCTTGGCCCCAAATGTGGACACTGTTTTTTTCGCAAAACAAAACGAAATGGGAGGGAAAACCGGTGGATCCGGTAAAAAACCCTCCAATGAAAGAAAAGATCAAAAAATTTAGAAAAATTTTCTTAAATTTTTGTACTTTTAAAATGCTTCATATTTTTGTTGTTTTCAATGATCCCGATGATCTACTTTTAACATGCAGCGTAGTCTGTTCGTACAGCGTAAAATTTTCAGAGCGACAAAGCTGGCTGACTACCCTATCAGCAAATATTTTGAGTTTAAACAAAAGAAACGAAAACTTTGGTAGAGAACAAAAAATGAAAGAGCGCAGAATGTTTACAAAAATTTAATAAATAGACGAAAAATGAAAACTAATAGCAGCACATACATAAATCATGTGAAAAAATTCATTCAGTACGTTCGACCTGATCATTCATCTGTCAATAAAAATGAAAAATGAAATGACCAAAGTGACGTCATGACTTGCATAAAAATCATTTTTGACGTAATTCGATTCAAAATTTCTATGTTGCTTTATTAAGACCTTAATTAATAGCTGGCTTTCACTCGTGTGTTTTGTCAGAAAAATTAACAATTGTGAAAATTTAGTTTTACGAAATTTTCTAACTGTTGAAATTGAAAATGCGTTATACGCAAAATGCGCAAGGGTGAATCTTTCAATAAGGACGCTTGTTTCTTGGTGCTTCTGTGCGACTTGGTCGTCATTCATTGCCCACTTAATAGACCTACAGACATAGCTACTCTACAAAAAACACGTTATAAATGTCAGCATAATGAATGAACAAAAAAAGAAATTGAATATATTGAAAAAAACAAAATTTTAATACCTGATTTCCAAGCATTGTCCTGGTCAATCCTGATCCAGGCGACTTAGTCGGTCTCTTTCTCTTTCTTCTTTATTGCGCAGTTTTTACGTGTATATCGCTTAAATTTTTATTGTAACATAAAATGTTAGAAATTCAATGAACCCTACTTAGAGGGGTTCATTGAATTTCTAACATAAAATGTTACAATTTTCCTTATAAACGTTAAATAAACTAGTAAAAAATAGCGAGTGAAAGCCAGCTATTTTCTCACATCAAGTAAACTCTTCCATTGATATTTTGTCTTCAATTTGGGTGTTTTTCATGATTATGGTTCAAATTGTAAAAATAGACCATCAGGATCCTTTTTAGCCGACTATCTCATGCAGTTACTCATAGTTGATTTTAACACTTATCTACTAAACTTACGAACCACCAGACATGAGTCGTGTTTTTCCACTCGCTTGTTTTCCACATGCGTAGAATATAGTCCGTTTTTATCGTCCACTCACACATATGCCGTCTGCGATGTCCATTCAATATGAAGTTACCGGGATCATTAACCAGTAAGTAGCTGCTGATAACATGCATGAATCACCATTTCGATAGATTACACTCCGCACTCCACTCATATGGTAACTTCGAGCGAAGGAGAAGGGACCACTTCAATACCCCAGTTATATCATCACTCAAAGAATGCTTAGTGCAGAGTTGATCTTCTGTGAGTATCAGCTGACCACCTTTAGGTGGGTTCATATAACAATGGGGCCCATCATCATTATATGAACAAACAACTGACATCAACAGAGAATCCAAACTACAAATAAACATTCTTGGCCATGAATCACCATGACACATGAGTAATGACAAACTAGTAAGAGTAATTGAAGTGAATGACACAGGTGGTAAAGGGACTTTCACAACTCCATCCATGTGGGATCTACAATATAAGAAAATAAGGAACAAGTATATACAGAATGAGCAAATTACAATATTTTTTATGTTTAAATATCCAAATGGTAGAATATTCACCATTATTGCAGGAGTAGCTTTAGTGAGTTTGAAAATTGAACGATGCAGGTTGTGATTCATGAGACGATGATGAAAGTAGAAACTAGACTTTAATTTTGTCCAAATATTCATTGCATCTTGCACTCATATCTTGCTATATTAAGGTTAGGAGAGGGCTTAGGCGTTCTGTTTGCCTTGAGTTTTTTCGACTGCTAAGAATATTGTAAGAAATTCGAGCAAAAGACAATTAGGGCTTTCGTTCATTGCAAGTCTACAAGTCTACTGTACCTCTATGCACTCAACCACATAGTGCGTGGACACAGATGGCAATATTTATCATTGCACATATGCAGCAGTAATGACTAATGTGACATTGAAAAAGTAAATTAAAAATTAGTAGCATTAATAAAAAACCATTGAGATTTTAAGAAGAACAATAGAGATGAACCAAGAAGCAAATAATCATTTATCGTTAGCGTAGTCACTTACATTTTTAGTTTCCAGCCGTGGATCTATTTTCATGCATGATATCGAAGCAATTACGTGTGGAAAACATTTCATAAAGGTCTTCACATCAACTGTGATATACTGGTATATCCATTGAAAAAGGCTTTTTTATGATTGACGACGCTGCAGCTTTGCGTTGATAGGTACCAAATTCGCATGTGGGTTTCGTTGACAGCTTTTTTAGACTCACTCGACATGGTTTATCCTCTCCGCATGGTACTCTATCAACCAAATTTTTTCTCAAATGAGACGTCTTTCGGTAGCACGTCATTATGATTGAAACAACTTTATTTTGCTTTGCACCATCACAAATCTTTATACTTGTCACCAATAGGTATAGTCGTGTTGTTCTATCTCTTGTGAACATCTGCTTTCCATGACACCTCGTGGTTTATAAGTGGAAATATTTGAAGTGAACAGGATATTTATGTATGGTGGCATCGTGTCGTTATATGTATTTTTCCACATGATTGTTTAACATTCATTGTTGGTATTTGAACAAATTATCGGACGTCTATCGAATCTAATTTTTTAAATAAAAAAGTATTGTTAACAAACAAAAAAAGTTAATGAAATTTATTCAGCCAATTAAATAACGCAAATATTATGGTTTTGGGCGTTAAGACGTTGGTGACGTCAACCAAAACGCACTTCAAGATTCAAGATGCAAGATTCAATGAATATTTCGACAAAATTAAAGTCTAGTTTCTAAATTTATTATCATCTTATGAAACTTAACCTATCGCATCATGCATCTTTACTTTGCATAACGACATTAAAACGTAAAAGAATCTGAAAATTCAAATGAATTTTTTTTATTTATTTAAACGCGTTGAAGGATTACTAAAAACTCTAATGAATTTTTATTATTTAAACGCGTTGAAGGATTACTTATTGTCTTTGTGAAAGGTGACATGCTCCTAAAGAGCCAATCACAATAAAAAAAATTAGTCATGACATCAATGAAGGAATATTAACACTTAAACTTTTGTAAATTCTGTCTTTACTGACGAAGTACTAAAGTATGAGTTTCATGGATTAATCAACTAGTCTTATTTGTAGTCCTTATTTTTAACACGAAAGTTTTCATTGTAAAATGCTTTGACCACGATGTTAAGCCTTTGATCGTTTGAAAATTCTTATTGCATCGTTCAATTTTCAAACTCACTAAAGCTACTCCTGCAAATTGGAATGTTGGTGAATATTCTACCATTTGGATAGTCAAACATAAAAAATATTGTAATTTGCCCATTCTGTATATACTTGCTCTTTATTTTCTTACATTGTAGATCCCACATGGATGAAGTTGTGAAAGTCCCTTTACCGCCTGTGTCATTGACTTCAATTACTCTTACTAGTTTGTCATTACTCATGTGTCATGATGATTTATGGCCAGTCGGCCTATTGCGCATACTGTGATCCTTTACTTAGACGTTCAATATTGTCTAGTGGCGACGTTAAAGTCATACCTTCATGTATAAATGTTATATGACATTCCAATAACGTATTTTTTGTTTGTAGTGAAATCCATAATATACTGTTGAAACAATTATTTCACCATCTGATTGATTCATTAATTGTATTATGCAGAAACTATGAATACCTGCTTTACTTTGCATTTAGTTTGGGGCTTTTTTGGCATCAACCATTCTATTCTATTCAACTTTTATTTGTGTTCGTGTGCTTCTATTCGTGTTCGTGTGCTTTTATTTGTGGTCTGTGTTCGTGTAGTTCTATTTGTGTTCGTGTGCTTTTATTTGTGGTCTGTGTTCGTGTACTTCTATTCGTGTTCGTGTGCTTTTACTTGTGGTCTGTGTTCGTGTGCTTCTGTTTGTGTTTGTGTATTGAAATTGTGGGCCACCATAATAAACAGATAAGATAAAGAAGATCAGGCTTTTTAACATGCGGTTAAAAAGATTCCTTTTGCGTTATTATCCTCCCGGTTTGTTTTATATTGTATTTATTCTAAGTAGAATGGTTTCTGTTAGGTTACTAGTAAGGCTTTTGATGAGTTAATAATTTTATTTGAATCATTTCACGGATAAGAGCGAGGACCGAGGTCGTTGTCATAGGTTCATAGGTTGACATTAACAGTTTTCAGTTCAGTCATCACGACTCGTCAGTTGTTCGTTTCAAACTCAGATAACGACATAGTATTGAGAACAACTAACTTTGGTTTTATTTAAATTGTTATTTAAACTTCGCGTGTTTTTGATTTTTCTTTAATTTTTTAGGCATAATTTTGGAATATGAACAGTCCAAAATTCTGAAGACAAAATCAATTGATTTACTCACACTAAAACCAAGGTAATTTCAAAAAAGTAATTTAAGTTATGTTCAATTTATCACATTGAAATTATTGGAATGTTCATTTTAGTTCAAATGTTGAAGCATTGTTGGATGAAATTGTTGCTAAAGAACCATTAATTACACCATCTAAAGTGGAACAAGTTCGAAACCTTATTATACGTATCCTAAACTGATATTATACTCTTAAGCTTCTTCTTATTAAAATATCAGTGCTTTCTTGGGAATGTTGTTTGGTTCACTTTAAAATTTAAACTTTTGTTCGAAAGTTCATTTTCCTATTTACCATCAACTAAAGCAAGAGGTATTATTGACTACAGGTTTTAAGAAGATGCTCATTGTTGTGTTTTTTCAAAGCCCATCTAAAGCCCATTTGTCATATTGGCCATTAACATCATTGAGAGATGAATAGGCTTCACAATGAATATTTGAACTTTTGAACAAACTTTGCAACATAACAAGAACTGTAATGTGAAGATACACACAAACATCGTTTGCGAAGATTCATAACTGTTAGTTTTGGTTAATTTCAAAAATAATGTAACCTTTAACTAAACAAAGGTCTTCAAGAAAAACAAGCTGACAATACAAATCATCATCATTTCTATTTGTTTAAGGTAAACTGGTGAACACTTTATAAAATCAGCCATTTTTTATGATATAGAAATGAAAGTGACTCACTATTTCAAATTTATTTATGTTAGGTTTTGAGAGCACACATCTTACCTCTAACTAATGTGGCATTTAACAAATCTGGTTCAAAGTAAGAACTTATTTAATGCTTTCATTTTTTACTTTTTCATTTACAAATATCAAAATTTTTAAAGTATTTCAGTTTATAAATAATATTATTTTTTTGCAATTGATCAGTGGATTGAAAAACCATTTAGCTGTTTTTTATTTAGTTTTATAACAGGGAGTTATGACAGAACTTGCAAAGTTTGGGATACATTGTCAGGCGAAGAACTTTTTACACTTGAAGGACATAGAAATGTTGTTTATGCTATTGCATATAACAATCCTTTTGGGTTTGTATGTTTAAAGCATTTTAATTGCTGCTCATAGGCATAACAGAGCATAGGGGGCATCACCCACCCTAGATGTTGAGAATACAAGGCCAGTTGTGCAATATTTACCTGAAGAGTTTGGTAAAGAGGTGAATAATTTGCATGGGGTAATTGATAAAGGAGAAGAAGTTCATTGCTCTTATTCATACACAATGTGCATGTTGTAATCCTAAAGGAAAACAGTGGATTTCAAAGAACTTAATACAGCATGTCATCAGAATTTCTTCCCATGTTGTGCTTGACAATCATTGATTGAAACTACTTCCCTAAAAATTTTAGTGGTATTGCTCATTTTAATTTGTAGATGTTTAGTTTATCAAATAGCTAATTTCAGTGAATGATTCTTTTCATTAATTCCAATAGTATTTATGTATTACATTCATATATAATTTTTAGAGACAAAATTGCAACAGGATCTTTTGATAAAACTTGTAAACTATGGAGTGCAGAAACAGGAAAATGTTTCCATACATATCGTGGACACACTGCTGAAATAGTGAGTGAATGTGCTTCCTTTTCAAGACTTTATCATTTGTGTGTGTGACTTAACCTTTCTTTTCTTCTAATTATCTGCATTGTCTAAATTGTTTCTTTCTTTTCTAACCTGATTATAAATCTTATAGATTTTCTTTGATCGCTCTTATACTGTTCATTTGCAATATGTTCTTTTCTTTAGAAATTCCTTTGCCAAAAATCATTGAAGTTTCTTTATTTCATTTTTATTCTATAGACCATTTGAATAAACATCTTTAACACTCAAATAATTTGAATTTCTAAAATTATTTTTGTTGATGTACGTAGGTCTGTTTGCAGTTCAATCCACAGTCTACTTTAATTGTGACGGGAAGTATGGATACAACAGCAAGATTGTGGGACATACAGAATGGAACAGAAATCTCAACATTAACGGTAAAAATAAAAATTGATTACGGCTGATGTGGAGTATGTGTTTATTATTTTGATATTTTAGGGTCATACAGCTGAGATAATATCATGCTGTTTTAATGAAACTGGGGAATTTCTTCTTACTGGTTCCTTTGATCACACTGTCAATATGTGGAATGTCAAGACTGGACGGTAAATTTGTTTTGAAATACTTAAATTATACATTAAAATTTTCAAGTTAAATTTCTACAAAAGAATTTTACATATATTTTACTTTTTTACATTCTATATGTATATATTCAAATGATTTGAATGTAGCTTTTGTTTTCTTTCCTTTAGAAGAATCCACACTCTTATTGGTCATCGAGGGGAAATATCAACTGCTCAGTTTAATTTTGATTCCTCTTTGATTGTTACTGGTTCGATGGTAAAACATTTTATAATGAACACAAGAGCCCAGATTATTGCAACGAGCTGAGCTCTTATGTTTATTATAAGATGACGTTTCCCGCCTGGAAAATCTATCGCCACTGTCGTAAAACATTTTATTATAACAATGAACAGTATTGTTGCCATTTTTAATCTGTGCATTTTATTTTGTACTTGCAACATACAAAGATAAAAACTATGTTCTAGGATAAAACGTGCAAAATATGGGACACATCTAGCGCAAAATGTATCGGAACCTTAAGGTATTAACAGGTTATTCCTATTCTGATATGTAATCACACAAAATACTGACGTCTTTTCACTCTTTGTAATTTTAGAATTTTTTTTTTGTCTGCTATCTGCGTAATAATTGCCCTGCTTTAACTCACTATGATTAGCAAAAGTCGGGCTTCGTGATCTGAAAACAACAGCTAAACTTTCCCATGTTTACTGTAGTGTAACTCTATGTACTCACTACCATTCCTTTGTATCCAGATCATTCCCATGTAACCAGTACCATTCGCATGTACCCAGTACCATTCCTTTGTACCCTGTACCATTATTCTATAGCTGGTACCATTCCTCTGTATCCAGTACCATTCCCCTGAAGCCAGTACCATTCGAATGTACCCAGTATCATTCCTTTGTACCAAGTACCATTACTCTATAGCTGGTACCATTCCTCTGTATCCAGTACCATTCCCCTGAAGCCAGTACCGCATGTAACCAGCACTTTTCCCATGTAACCAGCACCATTTGTATGTACTCAGTACCATTCCTCTAAAGCTGGTACCATTCTTCTGTTTCTGGTACCATTCCAGCTTATCGTCTTTTTTATTTTTATTGAAGAGGTCACGATGATGAAGTACTTGATGTAGCCTTTGATTATACAGGAGAGCGAATTGTTACAGCGTCTTCAGATGGTAAGTTCTGTGAGCTATATTCAAGATTGTAGCTACAAATGTCAAGCTTTTGTAAGGTTGTAAACGAAACTGATCTTCTATTAGAATTACATCTTCTTTCCCCTTAGGAACAGCAAGAGTTTACAATGCAGTAACACAACACTGTATAAGTAAGTTAGAGGGTCACGAGGGAGAAATATCTAAGGTAGGAAAATTATTCATTTTTTATTTTATTTAAGTGTATACGACTTTCATCCATCTTTCCTAAAGATAATATTAAAGAATGTAATGATGGGACTATTTTAGGCGTGTTTTAATCCTCAAGGAACTCGTGTATTAACAGCTAGTAGCGATAAAACTGCACGCCTGTGGGATCCTGTAACTGGAGAATGCAAAGAAGTTAGTATAGTGTAGTTCTGTTTTTTTTCTTCTTTTGCGTAATGACTATATGATATGGTTTTTACCTTAGGTTCTCGAGGGACATACAGATGAAATATTTAGTTGTTCATTTAATTATGATGGCAACATAGTTATAACTGGTAATGTTACAAAATATACTCACATGTGCTATTAAAGAAGAACATTTTTACACTTAAACACTTGGGCGTAAAGCTTACATAAAATCATTTTCCCTTCCCTTTTTCACATTGAAAAATCATTGTGACAAAGTAAATTCTCATTTTTAGGAAGCAAAGATAATACTTGTCGATTATGGAGATAACAAATGAAATGTTTTTGAATTTCAATGCTTCTCTTGTCACCAGTCCCTTTGCTCTTACAAGGGTGCACTTTGTGTCAATCATTTGCTCTTTTTTCAAAAGGAAACTCTCTTCAAGAGAAACGAGAAAAATGGTCGTTTTTTGTATTCTGGTTCTGCCGAATAAAAGACGTTTATATGAGTATTACCGTAGATTTTGAAGTCAAGAGCGCAACTTTTCTGATAATATAGCAAAAGTAATTTATAGAAAAAAATGAGAGAACAAACAAGTATTACTCTTAATTTGATTTGTATTTACTGCTAAATATTTTTGCAGGAATAATGTTCGTTTGTTTTTGTAAGCAACTGCATCGAATAGAATTAATTTCACAAATTGCTTTAGTTTCTAACATCCATAAGCCACGGGAACTTGGGCCAATTAATGAATTAAATTCTTAATGGAATTTACTTGAGGAGTTTCATAAATTGGAAAAGTTTATTTGTTTCAGAAACTGTCCGGTATAAGGAAGCAGATATCAAGCATTAAGGAATTTTATCAGAAAATTGACAAGAAACATTGCGGTGACTTAGATATTATTATTTGATGAAGATATGCAATTGGCAAAATTAACAGCTAGGTAACAACATGGATAAGTAAAGAGATGTATGTATAGGTATGTGAAAGTCAATCATAATTTAAAACAACACAACAGAGCTAACGAGAAAGATAACAGATTGAGGAGCAAACTTTTTGTTTTTGTTATCGATGTGAAAGTGTTAGTTGACATGGGGTGAGTGGTCAGCTTAGTATGTCACAAACATGAATCCTAATCTCAACCAAAGGAACAGATGTGGTGCCCAGAACTACCCAGAGTCATAACAGTTAATATCTAACCATCCACATGGTAAGTAGTGTAAACAAGATTTAAACACCTGCTAGGTAGTATGTAATTTTTCTCTGTGCATTTGCTATGAAAACAATACATTTCTAAAGAAATGAAAGATGTAAATCTTCTAAAATTTACATAGCATCAATTAAACTTGCGCGCTCGATAAAAGAATGGTTAGTAAGAAAAGACTTTATTTTAATCCATAGAATAAATATTTTAATTTATTTTTTACCACGTTTACTACTTAGAGGAGGTTTGTTTAATTGAAAAGAATTTGTCGTATTTCCAAATCCTGTATTTAAAGTGTTTGCTGTCATAGTATTCGTGCCCAACCCCCCCAAACCGCTAGATCCGATGCTCTTTCCAAGTGCAGAATTTGTCAAACCAAAACCTGACGTAGAGCCAAAGGTCGATGAAGTGCCAAATCCAGATGAACCAAGACCACCGGCAGTTGCAGCGAAGCCTGTCGTTGTTTTACCAAATGGTGTTTGATTGCTTGCACCAAAAGAAAGACCACCAAATGCTGAGGTGTTTCCATTTAAGGAAGACGTATTTCCTAAACCAAAACCGCTGGACATTCCAGGCACCGATACTCCAGCTGAAAAATATAAGAGAAGTCTTAAGAAATAATTATACATAATTTAAAGTACAAATATATTAACCTTGCAGTGGAGTGGCCAATAAAGATTTATTTGAACTGCTACAGTGAGCAAAAGGAGAAGGTCCTATGTTCGATCGTAACGATAAATCATTCAAAAGATCTTAACAGAAAAAAGTACAATCATACCATGAGAAAAATTTTATCAGATGAATGAAAGAGAATAAAATAAAAAGACAAAACAGAAAGGCGCCAGGAATAATGATTTAACAAAATGAAGATGAACAAAGTATACTTGACTTTACAATCTTACATGATTGTGGTATAGAAATAAGATCATTTTGTTGGAAAATGTCGGACGTGTCACCAAATACTCGTTTACGATAAGCAATGTATCGCTCTTTCTCAGCCTGAAATATTTCAACGTTTAAAATGTGTCGTATTACAAAATAATTTTGATTGAATTTTAGCGCTCTAGAAGAAAAACGAATTCATGTGAAAAAAATTTTACCTTTACGACTTCATGTGTCGCATGCATTCTTGCTGCCAAAGTTATGAATGTTTTGTGAAGTTTTTTCATCATTATAGAGATTTCTGTAGAAATATTAATAATGAAACCAGTAAACACAGAGAAAAAAAATGCAAGCTGTTGTTTTAAGTAAGTACTAAAACTTTTCGTTCGTAAAGAATAAAAAAGCAAGAAAACATCGACAACCTTGTGGTGAGATTGTTTGTGGTTGTTGTAGAGAAGCTAGATGACTCTCAACTTCTTCAACCTGTCTTCGATATAAGAACATTCTTTCTTCAAATGATTGTATTAATCTCTTGAAATATTCTTGTGGAGCAAGATTTTCATGTTGAAATGCAACTGGTGTAGTGCTCGTTAATTGAGCAATTTCAGCGTTGATCAACTCCTGCAAATACATGGATTATAATATCTTGAAACAGACGTACAGTTGTCATCAAATATTCTATCAAAAAACAGAATACTTTTTCATGATGGGACAGATTTACTGATACAAAAGCATAAAAAAGATTACCTGACTCATTTCATGTTTAATACTTTCCACAACACTTGCATCTTTTTGAATAACACTTGAAACCAGTGAAACATCCTACATAAAAAAAAACTGCTAAATAAAAATAAATTATCATTCATCAGTTTGTTTCCATGCAAGAACAAAGCTAAATGCGTCATGTTGTATATTTTATGTATTAATAGCTAATACCAAAGCAAAGATAAGAATATACTCTTGTTTTTATACATAGGTCTCAACAGCTAAAACAGGAATAAAATAAAACTGATAAAATTCCACGTTTTATTTATTTTTATGAATGTTTGACAACAAAAACTTCATAGCTGTTAAAACATAAGTGTCTATATACATATTTTTACAATTACCTTTCTTAATTTATCAGTTTCATCGTGAACTTTCATTGAAGATTTGATGGTCTGACGCTCAATTTCATCTTTAATTGCTTTTTGTTTCTTTATATAGTCCCTATACACAAGAAAGTAGAGAAAAAGTTGTCAAAAAAACAAGTCCTAAGGCTGATATAAAGCCAAATGAAGGAACATGAAGTCTGTTCTGATGTTAAAATCAAGGAAGGTTTCTGTGGATAACTTGAACTTTGAATCTTGAAAGGCTAAAGGGTAAGTAAACCTTGATGGTTGAAATTGTAAAAAGTCAATAGTGTATATTAGATTGAACAACAAGAAATCAATAAATTACACATGCAATTTAGTTTCAAAAGTTTATTGAGAGCAATTGTTTGAATAACATTGCAACTATGCTAGCTTATGAAGCTTGTCATTAAAGTAAGAATCTTTCATGAAGTAAGGATCTTTAAAAATATTTGATCACATTTTTCAGTAGTTGGTACAAATGTCCATGAATGTTTTAGATAAAATTATAAATATTGTAAGCTACTTTCAAAGCTCTATGGCTGTAGCAAAGCCAGACCATTTCTTAGTATAATCACATTGCGTGCACGTTACAACTGATTTTACTCAGAAAATGTTTCTATGTATATATATATATTGGAATCCTGAATAATTTATGATAGATTAGCATTCCAATGACATATATTTGGATACTTTGAGAGTATCCAAATCTAATCACTCCAATTTTCAAAGATCAACACTCTGGTATCTAAAAAATCTCATAATTAAACATTGACATACCTGAGCTGGATGACAAGTTGATTCAACCCATCTGGTAACTGTTCATCTTTTAGATTCAAATTTTCACTAATGGATTGAAATTATGGTTTTAATAAAAAAACAAAACTACAAAAAATAGATAGCTATAGTTTAAATGGTGTATAATAATATTGTTTAACATGATCCATATTTCCATTCATATATTTGTTCCAATTCTAAAATATGTGTATTGCAGTATTGACTTTGCCTTAGATACGATACAAGCCAACTGGGTTTTATATAAAACATATGTAGACTGGGTTTGGGATACAAAACTGAAAGACTAGGTCTTGTACACAATCATATGTAGACAAAGAGAAAAATTATAAAGGTTGATTATATCATAACATACAGGAACTTGTAAAAAAAATATGATTTATGATACCCTTGGCTGAAAAATTTGTCCTGCACAAATGATTTCACCTTTAAACACTGTTTATATTTAAGCTGTCAGCACATTTCCACTAAAAATTTTATTTATAAGGTTTTTCATGGAATGAAAAAGAGTTACATGTCAATAAAAAGTTAGCATTGAAAATATGTACGTATTACAAATAACAAATTTTAGATTTATTACTATTTTTACAACTAAATTTTCTAAAGTAAAAAGTTTTTACCTCCCATTTCCATTATGAACTCCTCCTAATGTTGTCGTACTTGTAGAAGATGTTATGGAAGAGGAAAGTGATGGTTTATTAACTTGAAAAGAAGAAAAATTTCCCCAACCAGACGCCATGATAAAGTACTCGACCTAGTTTCCTCTCCACACGGCCACGGCGCAATTAATTTTATTTTTTTTCATTTTTTGCTTGGCTTTCTGTGTAAAAAATAATCGGCTTCTTGTTGATATATTTTTATTAATTTTATTAACTTTTAGAAATGACTTAGGTGGGCAAACAAAGATTTAGCTGGTTCATTTTTCACGGAACAATCTGAAGATGGAAGATTTGGATGACTTATCTTTCAACCAATGACAGTTGAACTAAGTTCACATGTCATCCATTTTAAATTATTGTATTTTGGTTTGAGAAGAAAGCCCTTGACTCTATAATTTATCAATCCTAACGGCGACGTTGAGAATTACAATGTGTTTATTATGCTCTATTTATTTTTTGAAGTAAAAAGGCCGAAAATTTTCGTGCTGTAATTTTAGTGGATGGAATTATGTTACGCCAATCATGAATGAACATGTCAATTAGAGCAAGATAGTTAAGATAGGTTGAAAGTAAGGACGCCGGTGTACTATAATTTTTTTCATTTTTTAGCATAGCTTTTAGTTTGCACTTAAACATTAAAATTGAGATTTCCCATAACAATGCGATACCATATTAGGCCTATTTTCCCGTAAACTATACGTGAAAGATTTCATAAATGGATAATGGATTACATAAAAACGGCCAAGGTATGTCAGTAAATTATTTACTTGGTAAAAGGACAAATATAGAAACAAAATATATAGAATTGACTTCAGATTATTAAAATGAAGATATTTTATTGTGAAGTATTTATTTTTTTGAGGATTTTAATTATAAATAAATTATTTTGTTTGTTTTGGATCCATATGTTGATATAAAAGTCACCAAAATTAAAAAAACATTTCCTCAGTTTAAACTAACAGATCTCACTGAGAACAGAAAATGCATTTGAATTGTATTTTGGACACAGATCCCAACATTTTGAAGAAGCCTTGCTTAATTTTAGGTCCCATACCTGTAGGTTAAGGCAAAATGTTGGCTTATTGCATCTCTTGGCAACCTTGAGAAGTGGATGAAATGATAGAAAATCATATAAACAAGCTGAGAATGACAGTCTATGTGATCAGTTAACACAAACTTAAGAAAGCCAATTATGAGGAAGATAGTATGAAATAAAATATGTTTTTTAGGTAGAAAATGTTCGTCTAATGGATGGTTATAATCAACAAAGAACGACCAATGGTGTACTTTATGTTACAACTAGTCATCTAATTTTTGTTGATCCAGCTGGAAAGAGAGAAACTTGGGTAATGAAATATTTTTTTACAAAATGCATTTTAATCCAATTTTTGCTTGGTGACTTGAAGGATTTAATTAAAAAATATGATTTAATTTTAATAATGATTTTACTGTTTAAAAGTTTACTTTAAATGCTTATGTCAATATGTAATATATATATATATATTTCCTTCTCATTTCAGATAATCCATCATCACATTCAAAATGTGGAGAAGTTACCATTATCAACTATTGGTGCTCCACTACGTGTGTCTTGTAAAATTTTCTTATAGCTGTCTTTGTTATTCCCAGAGAACGTGACTGTCAAAATGTTTATTTATCTCTGATAGAACTGTCAGCACCAGGTAATTTAATGAATGTTTCTTAGCAGTAATTTTTTTGATATTCTTAATATGGAACATTAGTAAACCTCAAGAACAGTGGCATAGCTAGTCGGCAAGTTTTTTCATATGATGGAAATATTTTATTGTTCACTCACCGTAGGAACAATAAATTTCTAAAGAAATGAATAATGACATGAAAACTACACCATTGCTCAAAAATTGAAACTTGAAATTGTTTGAAACTTTAATTTGAACTATTAGCTAAGAATTTAAAAGCTTATTTAGGTCTTTATATAATACTCAAATTTTGTATATTGAGGTTTACAATGCGTTTAAATATTTTGTCTTTTATAATTTTCTCATCTATACAGTATGTCTTGAAAAACTTTATGCATTCTCATATAATCCACCCGAGGATAAGATCAGTCAATCCACTGGATGGGTGTTATATGATCCCAAACTGGAGTTTGCTCGAATGGAAATCACTCCAGATACCTGGAAAGCCTCTGATCTCAATGAAGACTACAAAGTGAGCTTTAAAGTGAATTACGTTTTCTTAACAATAATTTAATAATCAAACAGCACACCTTTTTCTGCTATTGACTTCAATTGACTACCTATGAACATTGTGTTCATGGTAATCTCTCTATAACATATGATGAAAGCACTAATAAAATATTTGCTGCTGAAGTAGGGACTTAATTAAGTCTATGAACAACATTCAGATTGAAGGAAAATTACAAGGAAAATTGAACAACATGCTGAAGTTGTCAATTTTGAGCAGTTGATCCTTTGCATAGTAAAACTAGTAGTTTTATACATTAATGCATTCGCACTGAAGATGGCATTGCGTTAATTTTGAAACATGTTTGCTTTTAAAAAAATCGTCGTTTCTATTAAATGTTTTTTATAAGTGAAATAATTACTGCATTTTGATGTAAATATAACAGTCCTTAATTATTTAATCTTCAAATATTTTTAGCTTTGTGATACGTATCCAAGGATTCTGTTTTTACCAACGTCTGCTTCAAAGGAGACTGCCATTGGCAGTGCCATGTTTCGTAGTCGAAAGAGACTTCCTACTCTTTCATACTTTCACAAAACAACCAAGGTTGGAGATTTTTACAACAATATTTATAAAATATATCTGTAAATTTCATCCTTTAAATTATATCATAATACATGCAAGTCAAACTTTGAATGGACCTTGAGAAAGATGTGAACGTGGATTTTATTTTTACTGTTTTGAAGTGAAAATGTTGTAAAACTTTGTCCATTTTTAGGCAGCAATATGTCGCTCCAGTCAACCTTTATCGGGGCTAAATGCGCGGTCAGTTGATGACGAACAAATGATAAACGCCATTCTAAAATCAAATCCTAATTCCAAGAAATTATATATTGTAGATACTAGACCTAAGGTAACATACCATTTACTTTGATTGTATTTATAAATTTGAATGGAGTAAGAACATCTAGTTTCGCTGATCTTTAGTTCATGTGAATTTTTTGTTCATCTGAGTTCGCCTCAAAAATGCAACTAAATGAACTTATGTTGCAGAAATGCCAGTTAGGCAATTATGTAGTAACCCTATTGAAAAGTCTATTGCAAAAAACCGTATGTTAATATTAATGCTAGTTAGATACTATGTAGTAGCCCCTCTTGAAAAAGCTTTTGCAAAAAAACACGAAAATTTGAATCACAAAATATGTTTTGAAAACCTAAGAAATCATATCTTATCTCTAATTAGTTGTTATTTCTTAATGTCGATGATATAATTTTTGAAAGATAAGCTTAACTTGCTTAAAGATCGATTGTTATTTTTTTGTCTTCGTTTGTGGTAGATCAATGCTATGGCAAATAGAGCGGCCGGTAAAGGCTACGAAAATACAGAGTTTTATGAGAATGTTGACTTTCAATTTCTTGGGATTGAAAATATTCATGTGATGCGACAAAGTCTTCAAAAACTTGTTTATGGTTTGTAGTTATGTCGTTAAAATTTTAAAAAAATTGTTCTTCTACGTATATAGCCCATTCAGCTTCGATGTATGTAGTCACAAAGGATACCTAACTGCGTTATAAATTGTGCGGTTATTTTACTGGATTTTATAAAAGTTGCTCGTGGTTTAGCTTAAATTAGAAACTTTTGTTAAAATATACGTCATGCATCGATGTACGTACCTGGCTATAGCAAGTCCTGCTAGATTTTTTCTCTCGTGGGTTTGAGTTTAATTGACAATACGACCGATTATTGTATTGCTGAAATAACTTTTTGCAAAAAAATGTTCTCTTTGATTGTGATTTACAATCTTTTCATCTTTGAGACAATAAAATAGTTTCTAGCTGATTGTATTTTCATTATAGCTTGTGGTGAGCGTCAGAATGGAGAGTCGTTCCTTGAGAGTATTGTTAGTAGTGGCTGGCTGAAACATGTTAAGTGTGTCTTAGACACTTCGTATTTTATTGCCAAGGTATTTAAATGTGTCTAAAATTAGACTATTTGTGATGATTTCGATTAATTCAAGAATATTATGGTGATAGAATTTTAGATCAATGTTTGAAAATAAAAAGTCTGATTTCATTCCTCTATAGCTTGTTGATCTTGTATTTTAACCACGTATTTTTCATGTTATGTCACAGGCTATTTTTGATGAAAGAAAGAGCGTTTTAGTTCATTGTAGTGATGGTTGGGACCGAACTGCGCAAACTTGCTCTATTGCCAGTATTTTATTAGATTCATTTTTTCGAAGTATTCACGGATTTCAGGTAAAAATAAAACTGAATAAATAGCTAAATAAGTATACTTGATTTCGAATGAAAACTGGTCGATCATAACATTTACATTGTCAGTATTTTGTCTTCATTTCTTAATCTTACTATTTTTGTAATCAAAGGTACTTATCGAGAAAGAATGGCTGTCGTTTGGTCATAAATTTGTTGACAGGTGGCTATATTTTGTGTTTTTGTAAGAGTCCTTTAAAATGGGGAGGCTTTTTTCGCTCTGTTGTGAAAATTTATGATATTTTTAAACAATATTTAATTTATGAAAGTGAACACAATTGTACTGACATGTTTCATATGTGAAGTATTGATTTTTTGTTGATAACGTTAAGATGCGGTTTTGTTCGTAACGATGGCAAAGAAGTATCCCCAGTGTTTACGCAGTTTTTGGATTGTGTTTGGCAATTACAGCATCAATTTCCATTTTCTTTTCAATTTAATGAAAGATTTTTACTAACCATACATGATCATGTTCATTCTTGTCAGGTAAATTTTTATTATAACCTTGTTTAACAATTATCTTGCTTTGGACAACACACATGGCGCTCTATGATTTTTATAGGTAATATCTTTATGGCGTAATTTCGTTTTGATATTTAAACATTGCAACCACTCCATATTATGAAAAGATGACAAAGCAATTTTACTATGTTAAAAAATGACCGCGTAGACATTAGTCTACTTTAGGATTAAGATAATTTTTCATATCACTGCGGGATAATTGATTTTTAGTTCGGAACATTTCTTGGTAATTGCGAGAAAGAAAGATTAGAATCAAGGTTTGTTCGCATTATTTCATTGTTTGTCGGAATATAATTTAAGTTTTCACATGCAAGTATTTATTGCTGATTTTAGATTGTCTGAGACGACGTTCTCATTGTGGGGTTACATATGGCAAAATTACAATGATTTTGTAAATCCTCTTTTTGATGGAACTAAAACCTCGTTCCTTCGTCCCAAAACCTCTCCACAACACATAAGGTTTGACACGGACTTGTCAATTAACTTACAACTACCTTACTACCTTGTGAAGGTGACATTTTACTCTGTTTTATTGTAGGTTTTGGAGAGCAATGTATAATCGCCATGATAATACATTGCAGCCACGCGAGACAGTCATGGATGCTATAACAAGTCTTGTGGATCAAAATGACTCTATTGAAGATCATATTAGCTTACTGTCAAAGGTAATGATTAAGTAGATCATGTTTAAGGAGTAATTAACTTCTTTCCTTAATGCTATTGAATTACTCCTTATTTTTGGTGTTAATAAAAAGTTGAATGTTGTTGATTATTATGTGATTTTATTTAAGAGAATTGAACTGATGGAACTGATTCTTAATGACACAAGCGATGATGTCAGCGCAATGAATGATGGTATACTTCAAAATACAGACGTCACAGACAAGATAACAAAACATGATACAATTGAAACAGAACTAAGGCGACAGAATCTTACTTTAAATGAATTAGTTAGTGATAATCCACGTTTGTCACTTGACTGGCAATCATTTCGTAAAGTTGTGCAATGCTCTTGTGCTTCTCCCATTAATTCTCTCACGAGAAAGGTAAGCTTGGTTATTATTGCTTGCGAAGAATACTTCTATATGAACTCAGTGGTTAGTTATCTTTTTAGCATCACTGTTGGAACTGTGGTCTTGTTTTTTGTGGTCAATGTATTGATTATCAAACATCATTACCTGGTCATTATTCTGAGAATAAAGTGCCTGTTTGTAGAAATTGTTTCAAAAAAATTAAGAAATCATCTTCGAAACCTGGCAGCTCGTAATCAAAGACCAAATCTGTTGTCATGTAAAATGCCCAAAGGAAGACTCAAAAACCTTCTCGCAGTCTGTTCACATGAAAGAAAAATTTCGGTCCGTCAGTCTTTGTCATCATTGTTCCACAACAAAAAACTTCTATATTGTCTTTTAGAACAAGAAAAATATCTCTATGTTATTTCTCGTTTACATACGTTTGCATCGGTCAGGGAGGATGAACAGCACAATTTGACTATAATTTAATTTCCTATTGGCTGAATACAAAATACAAAGATCAGTTTTAAATTACTCTTCCATTTTGGAGAAGTTTTTTAAATAGTACGAAAATCTACTGATCAACAGTAAGAAATTTTTCCTATGAACGAACCTTAATAAAAAATAGCTATTTATTATGTTTAATCATTTTTAGATATTTATTACTTATTGTATTGCATAATCATTTGCACCTGGGAACGCCGTGAGCTTACACGTCATTGGTCACGTGATCTATGATTGAAACGACCAAACAATTTCTGTACTGTTTTGATGACTTCGAACTGTTAATTTTTATAAAAGTACGATTTCAAATTACTTGATTGTTTCTGCGACCTGGAAAATTAAATAGTGAAAGTCCAACAAGCAATGTCAAATATAATTTCGACTAATTGTACAAATTTCATTATTTTTTGTCAAACTAATTCATTAAATGAATTTATGGTCGAAGCCTTAATCGATAAATAATGATATCAATTTTTTAACTATGAATCGATGATCTCGTTATTATTAACGATGAAAAGTGTCGTAACTTTTGAAAAAGTTTATATGACACGAAATTTTATCAAAAATTGTTTATTGCATTTCAAAGAACATATAAAATGACTTCATAAGTACTTTTGCGGATGCAACACCTTTTCTAGAGATATTTAACTTCATTAATTACACAAAAAAATCGTTATGGCATCATAGAGACTAACAACAATTTAAATATCATCAATTTTCAATATCGTTGAAACGTTTTATGTACAAATTATGCAAGTATGGACGAATATATAATACGGTGTCAATGTAAAATAGTTAAATACCGACTCTGTCGAGAAAACTACTATTTCTTAATGTTAAATTTGCACCAACTGTGACGTTTTGACAACGATGTTATTGACATAGTGAAAAAAGTTGAATATCTCCAAAAACCAAAAACTCAATTCACTTCTCCATTGATTTTACATTGCAATCAGAAAGTTGTATGGTAAAATTTGGTGTCATAAGAACTTTAACTAACGCATTATTTCATTTTTAATTTAAATTTTCCGTACGAATCAATAATTTATGACGCTCGCATTTAGAAAAATAAGTTAAGAGTTTAAATTTATACAATTTCCTGTTTCTTTCAATTTATTCCTTATTTCTAAGTCACTCAGCGTTATTCCAAACCCAAAATCCAAACTATAAGTTGAACAACCAAAATAATAACAGGTTGCCAAACAATAAGATATCTTAACCAATCCAATAATTGACCAAATAATATGTGAGGTTTCTCCCATCTGAAAAGTTGTTAAAAGAAAAAAAATGCAGAACATGATGCTGTTAAAACAATTCATATTGTAAACATACACACCGATTGTTTTCTACGGCTTAAAATGAATAAAAAAATCGATTACATGACAATTAAATTAAAGAAAATAATGAAATCGAAGAGCCAGCCAGACAGGATATGAAATTAGAAACACCATCATATAATCAACAATACAAAACAGCTTTACTATTCAAAGGATATGGATTAGGAAACATTCTCTTTAAATCAACTTTCTCTTTGCAGTAAGGACATGTTTGTTTTTTGCCAACTATACACCAACCACGTATACAAAATTCATGAAATCTATTCTTCAAAGTTAAGAACGATTATCAACATTGGTTCTAGTTGTCAATAATTCATTTATAATAAATTTCTCATGAAAAAATAAGGATACATGTGACCACAGGAAAGACGACATGTTTTCTCCGAAGTATTTTCAGGTTCGATTTTTTGACCACACACAGCGCATATTCCTTCATTCAGTTTTCGACTGGGTAGACCGCTTACTGTAGTGTACTTGAAAAATAAATTATATCTTATAAGCTTGTCGCGTGCGTTCATTTTCTTTCTTGTTTGTTTAAAACTAGTTCAGTTGATTAATATAGACTCAAATCACAATGAAAGAATTACAGTTACACAATCATGTGGTGCAAGATTTAAGATGATTGTAATGTAAGAGAATTGATAATTTATTTCACTAGTATTGCAACGCTTTTCCCTGTTATTAATTATATTGCGAGTGTGCAGTTGATAAGCGGATAGTTTAGGTAGGTATGTCTGTTTTCTATCTAAAATGAATTAAAATTTCAAGGACATAAAGGTTGAAAGTGAGTAGGCCTATAGCAAGCAGTGAACAGCCCATCAGACCACCCAAGTAGTACGTAGGGAGAGTCTGGGGAGAGTCATCAGACCACTAAGGCAGTACGTAGGGAGAGTCTGGGGAGAGTCATCATACGACTAAGATAGTAAGTAGGGAGAGTCTGGGGATAGTACCATTGTGACCTATGTCTTGACCAATAAATCTGAGGTGATGTCTATAACAATTTGGTTTGTTACCATACCAATTTTACACATGTTATATTGTGATTGATGTTTTAAATTTTTACTCTATAAAGATAATCTTTTACAATAAATTTTGTTTTCCAGGTAATGCAAATTTTCGTCTGCATGTGGAAATTATCTCCCTTAATGAAAAAAAATACTGGTGATGCCACTGGGCAGGTAAAACTGTAAGTGAGTTGATGGTACTTTAAGGTTTGCCTTGAAATTTAAGTTGTTGTTGATTATTGAACTAGAAGCAATTTTCACTTAACAAAACTTACACCCAACTTTGATGCCATTTTATCAGCACATATCTCTGCAAAATCTCTTCCAAGAACACCAAAATACAAACCATAAAACAAAACTACCAATCCAAACTCTGCAGCAATATCAGGATTAATTTGTAACATTGTAGATACCCCCAATAATGTTAACATGATAGCAAAATAACCAAGCAAGCTCAAAGCTGTTGTTCCTTTGTGAATGAAAAAAAACCATTTGTACACCATTCTAAAAAAGTACCAAGCTTTCATACTTAAGGACATTATAGAGATATGTATCATATTGTTTTGTATGAAGTCAAACAGTCAAATCAAACTTGGCAACATTACTAACACTTAGAAATTCAAATTGACAAAGTTCAAAATAGCAGGGTTAAAGTGTATAGCTGTGATTCAAACATGCAAATATAAGTGTTTTCTTTACTGACCTCGGAGTTGTTGGGGCAAGTGGTTGTCTAGTTGCATTATAAACTATATAAGCAGTTGATATTGAAAATATGCTCCAGAAAAACAGCATCCTGAACCATCTTAAACGAATATTGAAGTATAAAGGAATAACCCAAACACCAAATAATGTTACCATCTGAAAAACAGGATATAACAAACTTGTTACAAGTGTTGTGTTACAGGTTACACAATTGATAGATGTTACATAACATCAAACCCAAGGCCAAGGAAATTCATTAGAAAATTTTACAGCCAAGCTAGATTCTGCTCACCCCCCCTCCCAAGAATGTGGATCCTAGCTTCAGCACTCGTCCACTAGTGGACAGGTAAAGTTTGAAGACTGGCTAAGGACCAGCGCAACATTTAATATACTTGTTGTTTTCGTTGTTGTTGACTGACGTTAAGACAACCTCAGTGGTAGTCATCTTCAGAGTCAAATGAGGAGTAAACTTCAGGTTAGCTGTATTTGTTATATGGTTCAAGAAAGTTTGTTATCTGGTTCAGTCAACAACAACAAAAACAGTCCTTCTCAGGACTATACCAACCTAGACGATCTACAACTACAAACATGTAATGATACTCCTGGGTTCAAACCATTTACTTTATTTAATATACTCATTTACAAAGAATGTGCAATGTCACCTGATAAGATTTAAAATGCCTTTTTTTCCACTGAACAAGTAATATTTGAGCAACTGCTAAGGTAGTTAGTAAGATTAAAATCATTTCTAGATGCATTGCTTCATGTCCTTTGTGCTTTTCATGTAATTTCTCATGTTCTAGTCTAAAAAACATATCATATAATTTAGTATTTTAAACATTCAATTCAAGTATAAACAAACTTCAAGAATGTAATAATTTCTCTATGGCAAAAGTGATAGTTGTTTCGTTTTCGTTTTGTTTATCATTAAATCAAACATTACCACGTTTAAAATAGTTTATCGTTCAATATTTATACCATCAAAAAAGTATAATAGGTTAATTCATATAGTTCAGTGTAGACTCCAGAGCATAAAAACGAACCTTTGTTGTTCTTGAAAACTTAACGTCTTCGTAACATAACTTGTGCCTTCCATATTTAGATATTGCTATAAAATTTACAGACACGATTCACCTTTGTCTACTTTGAAATATGCCTACCAAAAAAATATGTCTACCTTGTCATGAGAAGTGCTTGCCGCCATTTTGTATAATAATTTTATTAAAAAAAACTAGGTTAGTGAGATGAAAGGAAACTGCTGCCATTTCATTAGCGAAGCGAGAAATCGATTGCTCATTGAGATTGCTTGAAAAATCAATTTTCTCAAACTGATGAAGTTTTTGCGATTAGCAAAATGAGTAAAAAGATTTTGTAAATATTAAAGTGAGTATCTGAGTTAATTATAAATTAGCATCCATAAAAAATAAGGTGTTTTTCTTTCGAGAACGAATCAGATAATATCTACAAACAGTTACAGACAAAGAAAAGAAATAATTTTTAAAAAGGAAAGTCTAAAAGAAATTTACAAGGTGAGCTTCTTTTAGTCAAAGTACATAAGAGTGCAAACTAGACAATACAATTTTGAAATCATGAAAGCTGCTTGAAAGTATCAATGAAACTGCTTGTGTAAGAAAAAACACACTTGACATAGCAAGACGAAATGTTTCCCAGTGAAGAGAGGTAACCAAGTGTTTTGCGAATCTAGCAAGTCCAAAGTCGATGACAGTGTTTTGACCCACGAACAATGTAGATCATCAGCGACATTTGAAAACATCCAAAACTGAAAGAAAAGGAAAGTCGCTAACCTGGCGACGGAAGAACTTATTTGCATGTGGGGAAAGGAAGCGTCGCAAAGATAGGCGAGATATTTGTATACGAATTTGAAGAGTGAAACGAAATGAATAAAGCAGAAATCTATATCACTGAAGTTACAATTTTCTTTGTATCCCTATAATTTGTTTGTATGTAATTATTTCTGGAATTTTCTGCTGATCTGATAGTTGTAAATGAGATCGATGCAAGATGTTGGAAGGAGATATTGCTGACTGTAAACCACCCCACCACCCATAAAAAAACAAAAAAAAAACAAGACTTTTGCATTGCAGCACATTAAATTCCTTTACACTCAAGGCCTGCAGGCAGAGGGTTCTAGAACACAGAAATTTACTTTTTTTTTTTTGAAATACTTGCACAGGTGGTTTGCAAAGCTCAAAATTGACGTGGTCATTTTGCTGGTTAAATACAACTGTGATCAACAGGAAGACTTATTTTATGATTGCATTAAGCAAAAAAAAAAATAGCTCAAATCCTCATTTCATGTGATAGATAAATGATGTCAAAAGATCGATGGCAGGTCGGAGGTCTTTTCAAATTTGGTTTCATATTCAAGTTATGATAGAAACAAATAATGTGTTTATTGTATAACATTTACTGCATAAAACTCCAAAATATCAAATACGAGTTAATTAACTAATTTACAATTATTATTTATACATTCATTACAGAAATAACCCTTACCCTAACCATATATTGTATTTTATCAAACCAAGTATAGTCACCAATTTTTATTGACAACAGTTCAACGGATGCCTTCTGAAATGCTGGTAAACGAGACACTGAAATAAGAGTTTTTTTGTACTTTTTATTCCCAATCTTCCCAATCTTCCTGGAAAAAAAGAGATGAAACGATAATTAAAGTCAAAAGTTGCCATTTGAGGAAAATTTTATTTTGATATGTAGTAAGGTAAACAAACTACTTAAGAATCACTGCAATAAGCACAAGTTTTTAAAGTTAATAAGTAACTAAGCTTTAAAAAGGAAAAACTTAATTTCTTGTTTAACTTTAGATTATAATGAATCCAATACTTCATACGATCAAAGATAAAGATTTCATCCAATTTTCAAATGGTAATTTTTACAATGTTTACATAGTAATGCAGCTCAAGATCAACAATGGAACTTACCGATTTATTCTTAAATTTCAATATCTTAACAACGTACGTATCACGAAAGAAGTATTTCTCAATCTTTTATAAGTTATAAGTAAAACGTTTTTAACCTAGTGCTTGGGTTGGTGAATTTCAGCGTCTAATAGTTTTTAGTAAAATACATATTTGTCTACGATAGTTATTTCGCATGCGCAATTGTCATGGAAAGTTAAGGAGATAAATGTTTGTATGATTTAAAATCTAAATTAATTCACAAATATGAACATCACAAGCTAGGACTGTCGGAAGGGTTTTCTCCAAATTGCAAAGATAAAGAGAAAAACTGACCTCTACATTATTTGCAGTGATTGCTTCGACAAGTTTTTCAACATCTTCATTTGATATATCTTCATTTAAATCAAACTCATCATCATCATCATCATTGATGAGGTCATCGACTACGTCAATGCCAACATCATCATCATCATCATCATCTCCAATAACGTCATCACTGCTATCACCAATTTGATTGTCTGTATCTTTATCATTGACAAGAACAACACTTGAGCTGGATTTTGATGAATTACCTGAAGTGAACAATTACATCAAACTATGACATGAAATGTAACAACTTCGACACCATTTGCGCACAACAATAATTGAATGTTACATATTTCTTGAGCTGACGCTAATCCCCACAGTTGTACAAAAAGTTATGCAGGTTACTGAACTTTCTTTACCTTCCTGATCACGAACACGTATCCAGGAACTACTGTCAGATGAATCGCTTTTCCCCAACGAATCGCTACTTTTCCCTGATGAAGAGCTACTTTCCCCCGATGAAGAACTACTTGCAGAGGTTTCTTGCAAAAGAATAATTTGTTGTACATGAGCACAGTTGAGCACTTATAATTTTTTATAATTAGGTTGATATTTTCACCTGTATTGATGGCTGTGTTGGGTACATCATCATTTTCTTTAATTTGTGGCTTTAATCTTGAAGTGAGTTCTTTTTCTTTCTTTTCAAAAGTTTCGATATTTTCTGAAACACTACTTTCATTTGATATGTTTTCAACAATGTCAATGTGCGATTCTAAATAAACGTGAAAAGCGTGTATTGATAAGAGGAAGAGTAGGCAAATTATCGTTTATTTTTCAATAATTTGCCTACTGTTTTCTTTCTCTGTTGTAACGTCATCTTCATCATCCCAGCCCCAATCCTCGCTCTCTTTTTGATTTGCTCGCGCAACTATGTCAGCGAGACGTTTGCTCTCCTATTAAATGAGCAGAAAACACTTGAGATTATTAAGTCCTTTCCCATCCAATAAGGTGTTTAGTCAAAAAAATTCAAGGAAAAGCAAACAAGGTGTGATAGAAGTAAACACATAAAATTTCTGTTACTCCAAAGAAAAATTAAAAGTCAAATTATGAGCACACTTCCTCATCAAATTAAATGCGAAAATTGAGTTGCTGTAAATTTTAACGCCAGCAGTGTCAAAGTAAACGATCATTATCTCTTTCTTCGATTAATTACATCACAACCACGCGATGCAAACTTGACTAAATAAACATATACTAATGTACATAGTAAATGTATTATTAAATTTATAAAATATGAAGAACTATCAACTAGAATATTTTCAATTTATTTACCATTTGAATTTCGTGAACTTTATAAAAATATCGCTGCCAAAATGTCGAGTGACTTTGTTCGCTTGGAACCTGAATTTATAAATAAACACAAAGACTAAAGAAAGATAGCCATAGCAGTAAAAAATCAATAATTTCTAGCTTTAGTTCAACTTTTTTACAAAGTTTTGTTCTTGACGAGCAAACAATGTTGATAATAAGTAATGATTTTCAGTTAAAAACAAATAAATACTTTAATTCTATAAATAATAAAGATAAAAATGTGGACTACAGTAGCGTACATTTAGTTCCATCTTAATAGCAAGAAGTATTTTTTGTAAAGCTTGTACACAATCAATATCATGATTGTTTAGACTAAATTTTATATTTCTCAGTTAGAGATATTCCTTTACTTACAAAGCTAGTATACAATCTCCTAACATCATGATTGTTTACAAGTAATTCAGATATTTCTCCTTTTTTAGAATCCAGATGAAAATTTTCACACCACTTTTTATACTGGTCATCTGTAACATACAGGTACACACATACTACATATTTTTATAAAAAAATTGATCTTCAATTTGTTTAAAAAACCACTACTAGTGTTAATGCCAAAATGATTTTGCTCACTATTTCCAGATGCTAACATTCAACTGATAAAATTACTTAGTTACTTGATAATGTTTTACAAAATAATTATAAAACAAAATTACATAAAACGATAAACAGAATTTGACGTTGAGAGCTACGTACCTTTGGGCTCACAGCGATAGGTATCTGGGTTAGTTTGCAATTCCAGAAGTTTTGTCTAAACAATGAATTTTAGAGAATACTGCATTGCTAACTGTCAAATGGAAACAAAAAATGTATTACACCATTTGCGCGGCATTAAAGGTAAATAAATGTTTATTTGAACTAAAAGTCATTATATTAACGCAGCTGTAATTTCATTAGCGTAAATTAAGACAATCACTAAAGTCATTGGAACGTCAAATAGGTTATTAATAAAATATGCACGACAAAATATACTTTTCATTAAAGTCAAATGAAAGTTCATGAGAGTTATTGTATATTCAATAGTGTGGTTGCATTTCGTGAATTGGTTAAGTGAAATATTCCCTTCTTTTGCAAACCTTCATATTTGCACCTATATTTGTTTCCACCATACGTAAGAAAATATTATTTTTTATTCCTGAGTTGATAGTGCTGATTGTCTTAGTTTACAGAGCATGGTGGTAGCATTCTTGAATAAGAAATTTGTAACAAGTGATGGTAAAATAAGATGGGCAACTGCCTCATTAAAAAACGAGTTCATTATTCCTTATGTAAGCTCTTGCGCGATTTTACAGGAATTGTAAACATCATGTATAGAATGATAGAGTAAACCTAACACACTGCAAATGTTATTGTTCTTTTGAGAGACTAAAAACATTACCAATAGGCTTTACTCCCTAAGAGGGGTAATGTCGCTTGTTACATTTGCTGTACAATAAAGTAAAACTGTAAAGAAAATGATTTTCTATCACTTGTTCATGAAACCATGCTGTTTATGCCGCCAACATTCTATAACATCTCCTCTTTTCCTCCTTGACACAATGCATGCATGGAGAAGTAGGTTTTGTGTCAGTGATTGTTCCAGTTATGTTATTGTCATTTTACTGTGTCTTAATGAGTTTACTTTATCATTGGTTGCAGGTACAGATTACACAATTGACTCTCACAATCACTCTCATGAGATTTTAGTTGACTTTAATGAAAAGTATATTTTATCATGAATATTATATTGACCTACGTACATGAAGTTCCAATGACATTATTGATTTTCCTACTTTACACAAACAAAACTTGCTAATATCATGACTATTGATGCAAATGAACATTTATTTAACTTTAACGATGAGCAAATGATGTACATCTATTACTAAACAAAATAACCAATTTCTAATGTGATTCTATAACAAGATTCTATAAACGGACATTAATAATACTGTGGGTGTATGTACCTGGGTTCTATCATAGACAGTAGGTGTAATCAACATAGAAGATTGTTGTTCATCAATTACAACTGGTGACACCTGAGATTTTTTATCAACAGCTTCTTGAAGATGTGTTGAAATTCTTGTCAAAATATCAGAAACGCCTAAAAATAATTAAACAATGATTTGCTCAACCATGACACTATTGATGTACAAACACACCATATTTGAATGAAAATAGACAAATATAAGGAAAGGAAAACATGGTGAACCTTGTTTCAATTTTCCTGTAGCTGCATCTTTCTCTGATTCATCAATCTTAGAGAAAAAACACAAGTTTTAGATCAACAAGACTGTGTTGTGAATCTCAGCAAAATCATTGTTTTAACTAACTTTGATATTTTGATTGACAGCTGTTGCAGAATCAGCAATAACCAATGACGTGTCATGATGTATAGTGCTTACAAACTCTGACAAATCACTTTGTACGAACTCAAGAGCTGTCGATGTCTAGAAAAAGTATTTTGTTTATATAATTGGCAGACTACCAAACTAAAAAACTATTACTAATTTGACGATAATATGGTATAGATCAGACAGTTGACTTCGAAGAATCAATCATTTTGTACATATTATGATATTAGCAGATCTTGAGCCTATCTGAATCATTGCAATCAACGATTAAAATATATGTATAAAAACCTTGTGTTTGACATTTTCCACAATACTGTTTGTCCAGCTACTCCACCATCTTTAAAACAAAAGTACTCTTAAAACTCGTGTGGCACTAACAATTACAATATAATAAAATTTTTAACTTACGAACTGTTTTCTTCCTCTGCCATGTTTACAAAAATCTTGCGCCTGCAGCACAGTACATTCGTCTCTATGCCAGCAGTCTATAAGAGTCTTTTCTAATACGTCATTTAGGTTAAAGATGATAAAGTAAATAGATTGCAATGGCAAAAGGAAGATATCCGTTTAGAAGAACGGTAGAATTTTTATCTAGTGGTAAAATTGTGCTAAAACCAAATGTGAAGATTGTATTACTTTCTTATTCTCACAAAGAAAACAGCAAAGGCATCAGGTTAGAACATGAATAGAAATAAGTTAAAATTATTAAAATTGATAAAATTATAATGAACTATGATTATCAAACATCATTATAATGGCATTGTGGCTTCTCTTTAACTTTACCATCTTATAAAGATGCTTTCTACCTACATTTCAATGATGTATCAACATGTTACATTTAATATTTATTGGCAATAAACTATTTTTAAGGAATTTCATATTTAAAGATGTCCCTCAGCTCCAGTACAAGAACCCTAACGTTCAATTTGTAACCAATAAAAGTGAAGGAAAATTATCTCCCAGGATAGATGTCTTTTTTGGTAACTTTATTCTTCCAGATTGCAATGTTATAATGAGATTATTAAACAAATTATAAAGTTATCTTTGTATTTCAATATAGATAAAAATGAACACATTAACATAGATGTCCACAATTCGAAAGCTAGTGAGATATTTTCAAAGTTTGAAATGGTTGCTGCAGCATCTGAAAGGTATGTAACTTCTTAATGTTGGCATTATTCTTGAACTATTTTTTTACTGTTGTTCTATAGAGGTATTTTGAAATTTATAATCTTGCTCCATATAATTTCAGTGAGATTAAGGAAATTGTTGGAAAGCCACCAAAATATCCAGCAAGATTGAATCCTAGTAACTTTGGAAAGTTTGGTCATATTTACTGTATATGTGAGAAACCAGGTCAAGTTGGATGTCCATCAAGAACTTCTTTACCAGATGCAAATAAACCAAAATGGTGGCAAGTTAGAAATGAACAAAATAACTGAAAGATGCATCTATTTATATAATAAATGTTGTATTAGTATATTATGAACTTTCAAATTATTTAACTATAGGTAATGTCATGCAATAATGTATTGTTTTCATTCTACATAAGGTGAAATTCGTTCAAATTTTTTCTTCCGTTTCTTTTGCTAAGAATGGGTTTTGTTTATCAAATGCTCACAACTTTGCTTGCAAGACTTAATGCAAAACTTGAGCATTTATAATAATCATGTATTTCATATTGTTTGTGTCAAAATTCGTTTTTGATCTTATAAAGGAGTGTATTCTTTCTTATTGGTGATATATGTATCTACACTAAATACAGCTTTAATGGTGATATATATTATGAATTTAATAGTCATCAAGTTTTATGTTATTATGCTATTTATAGTGAACAACATTTTGCAGTTGAGCTGGAAAAAATAATTGAATATCAGACTTTTGGTTTTAACATAATTAATGGCATTTACTGAAATACAATTGCTACAGTTTCAAGTTTTTCAATTTCCTTGATTCCCTTTGAAGTTGTTAAATGTCGAAATGATTAAGTTTGAGTAACCTCAACCTATATCTCTCTGATCCCCGTCACTACCTGCCCCCGTCTGGTCCCAACAATTGGATTGGACATCTAGTTGTCTACTAAGTCATAACAGAGCCCCTATAGAGCCACAGAAATTGTCTTTTCTATTCCTAGTTCCCATTTTCCCACCTGTTCGCAGGAAGCGTGAGCTATGTCGGCCATGAGTTTGGTTTGGCGGCGTGCTTGCTTACAATTTTTGCCAAATTTTCTGATATTTTTGAGTTAGATTGTTTAATTCAGTCATTATGCCGAATACTTTACCTCCAAAAGAGCAGAACTTATTTAAAAGAGTTTTGGTAAGCTCGTAATAATGTTATGGCAAGTTCAATTTTAGTAGGCAGAAAGTTCATGGTTGCAGGAAGTTGCTTGTAACGAAAAAAAAAAGATTTGTGTATTCTTCAAATTTATTCAGAAATGCTACGAACAAAAGCAATACAAGAATGGACTAAAGTTTGCCAAGCAGATTCTGGTTAATCCAAAATATTCAGAACATGGTGGTTAGTATTTCAGGAATATAAGAAATCTACAGCCTGTTTGATGTCTGTATGACTAAAATATCACAAATTTCATGGAGAATGAAAAATGACATTACTTGTAGATTAGTATAGCTTAATGGTGATTGAAATAAGACATAATAAGATTGCCATGACTTTAAGATAAAAAAAAATCTTTCAATATCTCCCATGATTGTTATGTCTTATTATTTTACATTTTAAAAAAATTACCAGCTCCATTCCCAAACTTGAAGGTTTGTAGTGCGCATCTGAGTAGCAAGGTGCAAGGTTTTTGAGAAAACTAGGTTTTTATGCATGGAAATTGGAATCTTGGGTGTGTAGTAGTTTACAAACTCTTTAGTGTGGGCACATTCTACCCTAACCCTGCTATCACTTTTATTATGATCTTTTGTCAATCACTTAATTCATAATGGTTTAATTGTTAGATCAACTTATTTACTTTGTTAAATGTAATATTTCTTTACTACCTAGAAACTCTGGCAATGAAAGGTCTGATACTGAACTGTTTAGGAAGGAAAGAGGAAGCATTTGAGTTTGTGAAGAAAGGCTTAAGAAATGACCTTACCAGTCATGTCTGTATCCTTTTGGTACCACATAATGCTTATTCTGATGATTATTTATTGTTACGTATGAGCTGTTCTAGATTATCCAGTGTGCATTACATCTTTGTAAAATGTTACATGTGCTTATTCATGGTTGAAATTTTTGGTAGTTTCCTTTAACTTAAAATCAGGTTGGCATGTCTATGGACTGGTTCAGAGAGCTTATAGAAAATATGAAGAAGCTATCAAATGCTATAGAAATGCCCTAAAATTTGACAAGGTTTGTTTACTAACACCATTTTTTAAATTAGTTTTCAAATTGATAGAACTTGTGAATAGTAACGTGAGCCATTGTTATTTGCAAATTGGTGATGTTGTTGCTATATTTTCAAGAACACATGCTGCAAAAGAGACTAGTAGAGATTTATGACTAAATAATACAAACTTCTTCATATCTTGATTTTTTTGTGCTTATTAACAGTTGTGTTGATTGGGTAGCAATATTTAAAATCTCAAGCATGTATCTGGAAAAAAGTTGCTCTTACTTAAACAGGTTGTTGCTATCCTTCTTTAGCATATTGCAAAGCAAAATGTGCTGTCTACTAGAAAAAAGATAGCCAGAAAATGCAATGTTTTAATGAATTTTAAAATTTCTTTTTGCTCTCTTATGTTTGGGGAGCAGGAAGAGTGAAAGAAACAGTTAATTTCTAAGCTCAGTCATAAAGTGTAAACATGAAATCTAATTGAGATGTAGTCACTTGTCCCTTGCTTTTGCTTTTAAATTTTAGTATGAATATTTATTTCTTGAAGTGTTGTAAATTGTAATATCACTCAGAAATATTGTATATGATATTGTATAGCAAGTAAACAATTCCTGCCATACAAAGAAAAGCATGACTTTTTCTTAGCTTTTGGCAGAAGTTTACTATGTTCTTTACCAACTGGATAGTTTAAAATTTTTATTCACTTTACTTGTTTAACTTTTTGATTGTAACTTTTGATTGAAATTTTAGGAAAATCTTCAAATACTCAGAGATTTATCATTGTTACAAGTCCAGATGCGTGATTTAGAAGGATATAGGGTTTGTACACTTTTGTTCATTGTATTAGAGTTAGAAATAGGTCTAGGGCTGCAAATCTCTAGAATTTTAGATTTTGGGATTTTTTCATCATTATAACATAAAATCACACTTTGTATATTATGTAGAAAAATGATTTTATAAAAATGTTATTTTGTTAAGGAAACTCGTTATCAGCTTCTAAAATTACGAGCTGGTCAACGACAATCATGGATTGGTTATGCTATTTCTCATCATCTTATCAAAGATTACAACATGGCTTACAAAATACTTGAGGAATTTTCTAAGAGTCAAACAGTTGAGTCTATTATGGAATGATTGTTTTGCAATGAATTTTTCATACATTGTTTAACACTTTCGAATAGAAATTGGCTTCACGAGTTGAATGTAGTCTTAGCACATTGCTATTCTTAGTTAGACTTGTATGTAGTCTTTAGTAAAGAATCATTTTAGTTTTTTATGTGATTACTTTTCTAATTTAAATTTTTTCTATTTCTAAGATAACTAAGGTTGACAATGAGCATTGCGAGATGTTGTTGTATCAAAATATGATAATACGGGAGTCTGGAAAATTGAGCGATGCATTGGAGCATCTCACAACTCATGAACGTCAAATAACAGATAAACTTGCCATAACTGAACTCAAAGGTAAATATTCAATATTTTTTTATGTATTTCAAGTCTCCCCCTCTAAGTGAACGTTTTGCCACAATAGAACCTTGTTATCTTGTCGATAAAGGATAAAGATTTCAGATAGCAATACAATCATTTCAGCCTTGATCAATTTGGAGCTTGGAAATTTCATGGAAGCTGAACAATATTACTGGAAATTGTTGAATAGAAATCCTGAAAACGTTGGCTACTATCATAAGCTTGAAAAATCAATACAACCAAGTATGCATTTTCATCACACTGTTTTTTACAATTCTATCACTTAAAAAGATAGACAATGATGGATCAATTAAGATTTTTCTTGTAATAAGTTCAGCATCATATTTTCAAAATCAACCCTTAAATTTACATAATATATTGTATAGATTAATTGTCTCTTTCTTTTAACAGAAAATGTGGTAGAGCGAATGAAGATTTATAAAAGAATGGAAGAAAAGTTTCCCAGGGCTCAATGTCCTAAGCGATTACCTCTTAATTTTCTGTCAGGTCACTTTTTGCAACATTTCATGTCAACTTATCAACAATAAGTGTACTATTGTTCAATCACGTTTAGACATGTTTTCTAATGATTTTTTAGGAAGCGAATTTACTGAAAAACTTGATTTATATATGAGATCTGCCATTAGAAAAGGTGTTCCACCATTATTTGTGAATCTACGCAGTCTTTATAACAACAGTGAGAAGGTAAAATATTTCATTGGAATTTGTTGTCATTCTAGTGTAAAGATTATTGCAGAAATCTTGTATGAAACAACAATGATGTCATCTCATAGTCATGTGACAATACAGCTCATCAAAAAAGTAAAAAATTTTTTAGGTAAAAATTGTTGAGGAGAATGTTCTCAAGTATGAAAAATATTTGCTCAAGCAAAGTAGTTTTGATGAAAATGGTGAGAAGAACTTTTATTTACATCCTTCAAATTGAAACCAGTGGATAGCAGAAAATATTTTAAAGTAAATGATTTGAACCCAGGAGTATCGTTACATGTTTGTAAATGTAGATCGTTCAGGTTGGTATAGTCCTGAGAAGGACTGTTTGTGTTGTTGTTGACTGACGTTTCGACAACCTTAACGGTAGTCATTTTCAGAGTCAAAAAGTCTTATTTTGACCTGGACGATCTACATTTACAAAGAAAATATTTTGTCATTTTAGTTCATTGTTATAAATACTAGATTAAGTCCAATCTTTTACCAACTCCAAAATTACATATTTCATTTTATCATCAATTTACCGTGAAGTGATTTATCAATTAGATGGGATTTTATTTAGCTGTTCTTATAAATTTTCATGGCTTTCTTGTTGTTTTGCAACATCATAATGAAGATGATTGTTTTTATAGAATCGACGTTAGAGTCTCCGACAGTTTTACTGTGGACTCAATGTTATCTTGCTCAACATTACGACATTCTTGGTAACACGCAACTAGCGTTAGATTACATTGATAAAGCACTAGAACACACGCCCACATTGATTGAAGCTTATATGATTAAAGCTAGAATATTTAAGGTATGGATTATGTGTGTTTTATGTTGTTTTGTAATGTATTTTTAATGTACTTATTTTCTTTAATGTATTCATAATTTATTTATTTGTAATTTAGCACGGTGGAGATATGAAACAGGCAGCTTATTGGATGGATGAAGCTCGTTCTTTAGATACAGCAGATAGATATGTGAACTCCAAATGTGCTAAATACCAGTTGAGAGCCAATGAAATTGCAAAAGCAGAACGAACTTGTGGATTATTCACAAGGGTACGTTCTACAAAATAGATCTTACTATTATTTTATTATTTACGAGATGGAACTAAAAAGTGAATAAAATCATTACTTCTTTATTAAAAACATGTTAACTGAAACAGTTGCAGTGGCCATTGTGGACTTCATTTAGTGATAATGTTGTCCCAATTACAGTTTGAAAGGCTGCATACAATAATCGTGTTTGTCGCTATCTTGCGAAGTTTATGAAATATTTCATCAAGACGAAACAAACACACATTTGTATATATGTTTTTGAACTTATTCAAAAACACACTTTTGAATAAGTCAAAGAACAAACAGAGAATGTTGACCTATTGATTATCGACAGTAAATAAGCTCTTCGTTGTTGAAATATGTTTTTTTGTTGTTTTTTTTTCGTTCAGGAAGGCAGTTTAGCTTCAGAAAATTTAAATGAAATGCAATGTATTTGGTACGAAACTGAATGTGGACGAGCTTATAAACGTCTTGGAAATTATGGTGAAGCTTTAAAGAAATGTCACGAAATCGAAAAGGTTTGGTGAAATTTTTTCATACAGAATATATATGAGATTTTAAAGTCTTAATGAATGTATTGTTACACATAATATATCTACATTTCTTTCTTTAGCATTTTGAGGAAATTACCGAAGACCAATTTGATTTTCACTCGTATTGTTTAAGAAAGATGACGTTGTGTGCTTACGTCAGGTTTGTTGTTTCGTAGAAATGAAAACTTTTGTAGTTATGAATGTTTTCATTGTTTTGTATAGATTCCATTTTCTTATGAATTTTTACTCTCAAAATCAGTGAAATCTCTTTCATTTTGTGTTTTTACTTCGTTGTCCAAATAAACATGTCTTTATCCTTTAGTTAAAAGATTATATTTCTGAAACAGTTTACTTCTGAATTATCGGGGCTCTTTTTGGCTATTTGTTCATAATTTAATTCAACTATTTATCTTTAGATTACTGAGGCTTGAAGACAGCTTAAGAGGTCATCATTTCTACTTTAAAGCAGCAAAGTTGGCTATTGAGGTGAGTGTTTTTGAACCACACAAATATTAAAATATGTTCAATATTACCTCCAGGCAAAACGAAGCTAACGTTTGTCTGGTTGCATGTGTAATATTTTGATAAAATTTAACACAATTATTGTTGGTAAAACAACTTTTCAGTATTTTTATGTACAGAGAGATAAAGCATAGAAACGATGTATGAGACCACATTAACTTTTTCTTGGTCTGGTCTCCGATATTTTCCATATGAGAATTTGTGTTTTCCATACTTACGTACGTATGTGTTCAGATTTCAATTTCTTTATCGTTCTATGATAGATACTTTATGTAATCTATCTATATTATGGTCTTGTTTCCTTCAGACATGTTCATTGTTTCATTTGTGAAATCGCATTTGTCTCTGGCGGACCTCGCATGCTCAGATAATTTCTTTAATAAACTTGATACTTTGTCTAAGCGAGCTATTTACGAAAAAAATTCAACTAGTAGATCCAGTTGGTCGTTGTTGTAACCATGAACTCAGGCAATTGGTCAAGTTTACTGCGCATAATTTGACGATTTCTCTAATAATTTATGACTGAGGGAGCAAGTTGCTTCGAAACCGGTGCAAGTGTAGATCCAGTTGTTTATTGTAACGACTATGAACTCAAACAGTTGGTCAATTTGACTGCGCATGCTCAAATGATTTTTCTAATTGTGATCGAGAAAGTTAGTTACTCCGAGAGGATGCAAGGAGATCCAGTTGATCTTTATGAACTCCATTAGTTGGTGGAGTGGAATGCACAAGTTTTCAGATTATTATCTTAAAGAAGTTATCAAGTTTTTATTTAGACTATAGGTTTTATTGAAAAATGTTTTTTGCCAAGAAGCCAATGGATGTTCACCTCATGATGCATAAATGGGAATTAAATAAAGTTAATGGAGAAATGAAATACATGTTTGAAATATTTTATGGTTGATTCAAATTACGAGACAAGCGTTTGTTTTTTGCGCTATCCTTGGATCCCTGCGTATTCACACATACCAATGTCGTTTTGATTTTATGTTTGTAGTGTTACATAGAGCTTTACGATAGACCGCTGTGTGGAAATAACGAGGACTTGCTCACCAACAACGACAACTTGTCTGAGAAAGATTTGAAGAAAAAGAAAAGCAAGCAAAGACGAGCTGCAAAAAAAGCAGAAATACAACAAGAGAGTACGTTATTTTCATAAAATTTTCTTGTGCGTGGCTTAAGAGCTTTTTGTAAATGATATTCAAGTAAATATTTGACATTACTGTTGAATTGTTATAGAGAATAAAGATTCTTGTCAGAAGAATGAAGGATCAGAAGAGAGCAAAATTAATGCCAATAATCTAGCGAAGGTATCCTGGAATGAAATTAAATATTTGAAGTATATGAGTTATCTAGCCCTGAGCTGTTACAGGTTGTCTGGCTTTAATCTTTGAATGGACAAACTTACGATAATTGTTCAGTGGTGCATAATCAGCCTACATTATTCTTGTTTGTATTTCATGTTTTAGGTAGAAGATCCTTTAACTGAGGCAGTAAGATTTTTAAAACCATTACAAACGTTTTGTGGTGACAATATGGAAACGCATGTATTAGCTTTTGAAATTTACTATAGGAAAGGTTTGTCTGTTAAAAATGAAAATTTTCAATGTTTTGCTTTTGAAGAAATGTTCATCATATGGATTGTCTATGTTTTTAGATAAACTATTACTCATGCTACAATCTTTAAAGCGAGCTGTTATTGTGGATCCTACTCATCCAAAACTGCACGAATGTTTGGTTAAATTTAGCAAAAAGGGTAATTGATGATTTATTATTTTCGTATATCTCTCATAACCGCGTTGTGTCTATACTACATGTCCATGTACCTCTTGATCTTGGATGTACACTGTGTCGTTTTTATCCCTCGTAACCGCGTTGTGTCCATACTACATGTCCATGTACCTCTTGATCTTGGATGTACACTGTGTCGTTTTTATCCCTCGTAACCGCGTTGTGTCCATACTACATGTCCATGTACCTCTTGATCTTCGATGTACACTGTGTATATAAAATGAATATTATATGCAATTTTTGCTTTGTGATTCGTTGCTTTTATTAGTTTTCTTCACCTTTTTTTGGATTGGTATTTTTTAATGCATTTTATTTTCTTTAAAAGTTTCAGAAAGGAAGAATATCGAGGCAGTTATCAAAGAAGTTATTAATAAAGAAACAAAACCATTGTATCATGGATTGGAATTGTTAGATTTCAACAAAGAGTTTCTAAACAAACACAAACACTCTCTTCCTCATCAGTTAGCTGGTAACTTGATCATAATGCGTAGAATCGACAACAATGACCATAAATCATCGTTAAGTTTATTTTTGTTTATAGGTGCTGCTATGCTCTACTTTCTTGATACTACTGCGCAAACTGAAGCAATTACCATGGCAACATCTCTTCACAATGAAATGAGTAATCGAACATTGGAGGTACCTCTACGTACATCTCTTGATCCTTTGATATCTTGGTTAATTAAAACAAATATTTAATTAACCAAGATATCATTTCGTTTATATAAAAGTTATAATACTCAGGATAGTACGAAGAAAAATGTCTGTTTTTTACAGGTTTGTTCTGATGTATTGCTAGCCCTTGAAACTGGACGTTTTGGAGAATGCCAAGAACAATTAAATGAGTATAGAAAGAAATGTCGTGCTCTATTTCCTTACAGTTTGTTGTTTATTTCGAGTGAACAACATGATGACTTGATCAACACTAAACCAAAGCATGAACTTGTTACATGTAATGGAAATAATCTCCATAGTTGATTTCTTATTATGTAAATGTTCGCAAGTCTTGGCATCAGAAATTTTTTTAATATTGCCATGATGGGAATGCATTTAATTTAAGACTCTAGAATAAGTCAAAAATCGCAGTTCTTTCACTGTCAACAGCGACAACAATGAAACATTTTAAACCTTTTATTGCGAATCAATATGTTGATACTTGTTAGGTGTGTTTATATTTTGTATTACCCAATTCCTCTATGGAGGACGTCGTTGATTGCATCAGGAAATTAAAGCGCTAAAATTGGGCAATGAATTGGAAATTTGCGTTTATTTCTGAAAGTAAATTTTACCTGCAATTTTATCATCGTGGTATTTTCTTTTTTTTTATTTTGGATATCTTTCATTGTTTCACTTTGTACATAATCAAAATTTTTTTAACTCAATCTTTCTTTACTTCACTTTACTTAAGTTTTCATTTATTAATTACAGCCAAAACTTTTAAAAGGTCACCAATAACCCAGTACTTAACAATACTTTTCCATTACTTATTTACTATCTAAAAAAGCTCAATTTTACAATAACGAACGTCGTGCATATCTAAATAACCATTGGAAATTACCCCACTTCCAATACTTAAGCAACGTTAAGGTGATATAATAACAGTTATCAATTTGGTCAATCTCAAGTCCTCAATCCCCTATGCACTTTGGGTATAAAGAAAAAAATATTGTTCAGTAGGAAACATACTCTAAAGAATAGGTACGTGTTCAACTCGGACATGTTTTCTATTTTACTTCATATTTAATAAAGTTATCGGCTGATAATTGGTATTGTATGTAAGCCTGGTGGATGGATTTTAGTTAAAAGATATTTCGAAGATGAAGAGGCAAAAAAGACGAAAGAGAACGATGTACTTCTAAGAAATGAAAAGAGAAAATGATCAGAAGAGGTGCTGGAATTGGTATAATATTTCTTGTCGGTCAGTTGATGCAGACTGGTCTGGAGAATATTCCCTCTGTTACACTGGCAATAATTTTATTAAACTCTGCAGTGTATCTTAGACTATTCAACAATTTGCCCTCTGTTAATAAAGCTTGTATAAGTTATGCTCATGTCATGTATGGTCAAGATTGGAATCGAATTATTCTATCGCCATTTTATCATTTGGACGATATTCATTTATATTATAATATGACTTCATTCTTGTGGAAAGGAATGATACTTGAACGAAAACTTGGTTCTTTTGGCATGTTGTATCTTCTTTCAGTCTTCTCGATTTTAACAGGCATTGTGTTGTTATGCATTGACTATTGCCTTGCAATGTTATTGAATGATTTTTCATATCTTCACACATGTGCAGCAGGGTTTTCTGGAGTAATATTTGCTCTCAAAGTTGTCACAACTTATAATCTTCCCATGTCAAGTATGACAAACGTTTTCCTCTTTAATGTACCAAGTCGTTTCGCGTGTTGGGTTGAACTTGTTCTTATTCAAGTTGTCGCACCAGCAACCTCTTTTACAGGTCATCTTGCTGGAATTATTGTTGGTTTACTTTACGTCACTGGACCATTAAAACAGATCATGAATTTTATGGGTATTATGTATTAATTTACTTTGCATATGTTAATTGCATATTTTCATGAGACAAACTAAATCTGTTGTGTGGATAAATTCTTTGCTCTTGTATCGGTGAAAACTAATCATACATTAATTTCTTTTTTATCAGGAAATATCATCATGGGAACACCAGTGAGACAACTGTACAGATCTCGTCCATCGTATACTTATCATTCTCAACAGTCAGGTACATTTTGAATTATATCTTTTAATAAACAATTCGCAATAGACATTTAAATTTCATGTTCACATCAAGGAAACATCCATGTTTGTGATAATTAAAGTACTGAAATTTGTTTGTAGTCTTTTCTTCTTTCTTCTTATCAACCAATAAAATTAATATGAAAACTTAAGTCTTGGTTGTGATCCATTTCATAGTTTTCCGATTTGCTAAAGTAAGTAGTAATTTTGATGAGAATAAGAATTGATATTTTTAGGTTATCACTCCATGGCAGATGAAGATGATCAACTTCAAACAGCTATTGATGAAAGTTTAAATGATTTTAGACAACATAACCAACAAACTTTAAATTCTAATCACCCTGTTTCAAATGAAGACATTAGACAAAGGCGACTGAGGCGATTTCGAAATTAGTGAATAAAATATAGTTAACATTTTTGTCATCGTAAATTTTTTGGATGGTATGTATGTCACTTGTTTCAAATTTGTGTTTTTCACCAATTTGCATTCTGGGGATCCCAGCTTAACTCATTTAAGAAAATGGAATGATCTACATTGTTCTTAACGCTTGCAATTATTCTGGCCACTCTTTTTTCTGTCCTTTTAACTGTTTTACCAAATACATCCCATACTTTACAGCAATATTTGAAATATGGATGTTCATATAAAGAGATTTTATAGACATATACGTACAGAGAGACGTGTTTTCTGCACGAAAAATCACTTATCTCTCAAATATAAAAGTGTAGAAATTCTGTCTATTATCTTTTTACAAATCAAAATAATGTTACTATCCAACGAAAGATACTGCGTGGTCAATTATAACTTCTAGGCTTTTGCAATTTTTAATTGTGAGTTTGAGGTTTTGTGTGATTCTTGCTACATTAAGTTAAGTTTGTTAGCTGTTTCCTACTTTTTTATGGTTTTCTTAACCACTCTTCACTGCATGTTTACGTTCAACCGTGGACTGACCTGCAGCTTTTAAAATTGTTTCATCTCCAAACAGTCAAGCTTATGCTAAGAAAACGCGATGGGCCAAAAATAAGAAAAATACGTATGGAGCCTTGATTTACCCTACGTTTAATCACTCTTTAAAACTAGTGTCAGTTTTTAAAGAGGTATGTTTTTAAAGAGGTACACAAAATCGTCGAGAAAAAAGGCTCGAAATAAAAACTATCAAACTTCAAAGTAAAAGCCTCGAAAAAAGTATTAAACTTCAAATAAAGTAAATGGTTTGAACCGGAGAGTACCGTAACATGTTTGTGGATAAAGATCGTCCAGATTAGCAGAGAAACTTCAAATAATGTAGTGTTAGTGGATAGTTCGACTGGAGTGGATCTACGATGTGTATGTAGAAGGAAACGGATGCTCTAGTTTGGATTAGATCTTGTTAACTAGCTACTTGTTCCTATGGCTTGTCAAATTTTTTAAATTCTGCCACAGTATTTTGATCAGAAGATTTTTAAAAAAGTTCTCCATTAAACAATAATCACAATTAATTTTGCCAAATTATTTATTGTATTTGTATGTTGTAGCGTAGGGAAATAGGCCCAGCAAACTCAATTAACATATATTCCCATTTATTTGTACAATTTCATCTTTGTATATTGTATTCTTAGTACATCTATCGCCACTTTTTCACAGAGTGTGTATGCGTTGTCCAGTTTTTGAACTATTGCTGTTTAAAAAATTAAGATTTTCCGGAATTCATTTTCCTTACTTTATTGTTACTTCATAAGAAAATCTGAGCAATATCCTTGTGTATAGTTCTGAAACCTCTTGTAGTCATCTCTTAAATCCTGTCAAAAAAACGTGAAACTTTCAACATTCTAACTTAAAAGTAGAACTCTTTATTGAAGTAGGGTGAGAGGCATTTTGGAAATACATAGGTGACCATATATGTTTTGTACAAATTGTACTTACTAAATAAAGGTTTTCATATTTTTCTTTTTCCTTTTCTTCTCTTTCAAGATTAGCCGTAAGAACTTCAACCCTAGAAAAACAAAATTACTTTAATGCATCATAAGACTCATATCTGCTAAAGAGAGAGAGATTAAAGTGAATAGGCTGAAGTCAAATGCTAGTTTTCAGAAATTTGCATTCTAGATGACATTAGGGAAGCAATCTAATTTTATTTACTTTTGTTTTAACTCTTTAATTTCTTCTTCCTGGTTACGTTCAACTTCATCTAACTTCTCCGACATCGTCTTCTCACACTGTTCACGCGTTTTTCTTGTTGTGTCTTCAATAACTTTTTTCCTTTCTTCCTAGAGATAGATGATTTTACAGTTTTAGCAAAATTGTATTATCCTAAAAAAAGGGAAACCAACGAGCCACACTTCATTTATTATAATAATTTCATATAAACATTCTCGAACTTCAAGACAAAAACACTGTCTTATAACTATAAACCCACCTCCATTTTATTTATCATTTCTTGTATTGTTTTTCTTGTATTTTCCTCATTTTCAGTTAACAATAATTCTATCAGATATTGTTTTGCTTCGGCCACTGCTTTTTCTTGGGATTTTTCCGCCTCTTCAGCAGCTTTTCGCAAAGCTTGTTGTTTTTCTTTCTCGTGTTTCTCTTGGGCTAATCTTACTCGATTTTTTTCAAGTACTTCACAGCGATTCTTGACTATTTCAAGTTCTTTCTCTGCACGCTAAGTTTGTTTGTGAGGATTAATTTAAATATTGTATGTTCAATACTATAAAGAATTTGTAGATAATTTCACTTTTGATTGACCGTAATTAAAAACTGCTTTTCACCTTTTTTAATTTTTCTAACGACTCTGCATTTTCTCTTTTCATATTCTCAACAATTTCATCAATCATAGCTTTTCTTTCTTGCAATAACCTTTCTTCTGTTTGTTTGATCTGAGAAATCACCAATGAGAAATAACAAAAAACTTAGCAATAACAAGGTGCTGTTTAATATTTGAATAATATTCATGTCTTTTCTTCATTTACTTCTTTTTTAATATAATAACAAGAAAAACTCAAAAGTCAAAATGTAAAGATAAGTACGATCTACTTTCAGCTAATTTGATTGAGCAGGCACGGCGCCAAAGGGGCTTGGGGATAAGTCGTACCCCCTCAAGGTTTAAATTTTTTGGCGCCATCCCTGTAGAGTACATATGTTAACAAAGTGAACGAACTTGTCCGTTTAGGGTTCTATATATATTCCCACAACGCATTGCCATAGATCGTTATTTAAAGAATGAGAAATAATGGCAAGAGAAAAAAGAAGTTTGAGAGCATTACCAGTTGAATGGATAGACGAAGGTTTACGTTAGAAGTAGTCAATTAGTAAGAAATGGGTTTGTGGGAGGAAGATATGGAAAGGCTTGAAGAAATACTTCATGAAGAACTATGGCCACAAACTACAATCTTTTAGGTTTATGTTGTTCGAAATGAATGCCACATCATGAAAATCTCTAGAGGACTCATCTAAAGAGGACTGGGGTCTGGGGGTTGACTGAAACCTAAACTTTCATTATTATAAATGAATTTCTCATCAGCTTTCTAAGTATAGTACTAGTAAAAATGTGAATTATCATCGCATAGGAATAACACTTACAGCAGTTTTAACTGCTTCATTCTTGTCAACATTCATAAATGACTCAATTTCTTTCAAAAGATCAGTTCCAATGCCTGAAAGTAAAAAAATTCTTTCAACTAAATCAAAAATACCAACAACAAAATACAAAGACATTGATATTGACTATCTATAAACACTGGCAGTCAAAAAGAACTGATAAAGTTAGTGATAATATTACTTTCTGCTTGCATTGAGCATTAAGAATCATGGTTTACCGCCAATAGCCATCTGGGCACTAACAATGAATTTTGATGAATTTTAGATAGGTCAATTTTTGATCTTTTTAACATTTTGTATGGACATAGAAAGAAAACTAAAAGTTGTTAACAAAATTATCATGTAGTTGACGAATGAAATAGAAGATGGGAAACAATGGGTTGCAGACAGTGAGATTATGCAGAGATACCTAAATGGAATTGGACGAAATTTAAGAGGCAGGAAAATCACAATATGATTGTAAGTATGCACATTTCAAATCACTTCAAAACAAATTTACAGATAGCAAGATTGCAGCCAAGATGCAGATTGCACATGATCTTAACAATCTGTTCAAATAAAAAAAAGTATTACAAAGACGTAGCTGCAAGCTCAGGAAGAGAAACCACAACTTATTACTGCCAACAATTTGCACGAACATATAAAGATTAAAGAGCTGACTTGTGGTCTAAGGCAATTTTTGCATCAAATCCCTGTTCATTCTTTGAGTTTGTGATGGAAAAAGTTATGTCAGTAGGATGACTCTTGAATTAATGGTCTGAGGATAGCATTTTCCACAAATAATAAAGAACTGTTCAACAATGTGCAGCATTCAAGGCTGCTTGGGAAGGCTGTCCGACAAAATATCGAAATATTTCATTATCAGCGTGTCTGAAGATGCAACGTCGTTGTAAAGCTGGAAGCGACCCACTAATTTTTGAACTTTTTAGTTATCTATTTGATAAGCGAGTTGAATTTGTTCTTAGGAACGGGGTGATTTAAATGCGCGATCGGTTCTTTTTGACCACTATGTGGTGTATAATATCAATGTATGCTTTAAACACCTTTTCCTTGTTTACCATTACCGTAGTCTTGCCTTGGTAACGCTTTCTATAATACCATTAATAGATCTATTTCTATAGAAATCTTTCGCAAAGTGCGAGTCGGAAATGTGACATATACTACTTTCAACTAATGTCTCAAATTAGAAAAATTTGAAAAATAATAAAAAAAAACGCACATAAAATATTCCTGTGTGTGACTTTTTGCGTTCTTAAAGTCGTGTTGTTCATCAGCATTTCTTCTAAAGACAAAAACGCGTTTCGACGTTTTTCGCCATCTAAAAACGCCATCTTTAGATTTTATTTATTTTGTTGTCATGGTTACAGAGTTGAAAAAGCTCCTACTCCTTCGTTCTTCCCGCAGTTTCTCGTTTGAAGCATATATTCAAAACTATATATTCTTGTATCATAGGATTTAATTAATAACTTTTGCTTTAAGTTATTCGATATGATATTATGTTTCTGCAGTTTTGTTAGAATTATACGTAAGCGCTAATGGTTGAAAATCTTAATGGTAATTTTTTAGATTTTTGACAGGCCACAAATGTTTTAAATCCTGCCTTCCGAAGTGAATTCTCATAATTCCCCATCAAAGATATTAACACAAATTCTAAAATATATGTTCAAATAAAACTGAAAAGTTGTGTGTCCTTAAACAAATGTATTTGATGATGATTTGATATCTTCGCCATTGATCTCCAACTCACGTAGGATAATTTTGATGAATCGCGAGTTCACGTGATGTCCACGCGTGATAATTGCTTTGTGTAAATTTGTGAAATTGTTTGTGCTTATGTTGAAATTAAAATGGTCGAAAAAGCATTATAATATGATATTATGGTATTGACTATGAATTTATGATGGAACTGACATGGACTCAGCTTGCTTTACATACGAAGGAGTGCCTATTTTGTTCAATCAAACACCATGCGATTATAAACCTCCAGTTTGGATTTTAGGAAAATACTACGATGGAAAATATGAAGGTGAACAAAATATTTTGTTTTTTTAACTTTTTACACATCAAGGTGAAGAAGATTGTTATGAAATTTGCTTTCTACTGCTATCTGTGTTCTATGTTATGTTTTTATCTGACCATAAACCTGAAGTTTCTCCATTTTTTAACATTGACATCGTCTAACGTCTTTTCTTTTGAAAGAAATTGAAAAAGTTGTGAAGTCCTGTCTTTGGTTTACATACAGAAAAGGTTTTACACCTATTGGTGAGTAAGGAAATGCTTGAGTTCCAACAAAGTACGTTTGTAAAACAAACGATATAGTTTGACACTTTTTAACTTTGTCTTACTGTCAAATATCATTTTGGTTTTTTTCGCTGCTCAAACATTGTCATTTTTTGGCAATATTTAAATTTTCAGGTTATTTTGTAAGCCGATGTAAAATTTCCATCCCTAGTATTTCTTTATTACATATTTTGTAGGTGGAACTGGACCTACATCAGATGCTGGATGGGGTTGTATGTTACGATGTGGTCAAATGATTCTAGCTGAAGCTCTTGTTCGTAGACATTTAGGAAAAGGTACACATAGTAAATATGTTAACATAAATGTACATGTAGTTGCTCTTATCATTATAACCACATTTACTAGCAAAAAAAGTAAATACTATGCTGAGATTTAATTAATCTTAACAGATTTTTTAAAATGTAAAACACATTAAAACAAGACAATTTTTTATTAGCTAAAACAAAAACCATTAGTATACTAAGTGGTTTTACAAAAACAAAAATGATTTTATGATATGCAGCTTTATCTAAGATCACAAAGTAAAAATTTAAATTTGTTAGTTCGGTAACTTAGCATATATTGTGTAAAAATACATCATAAGTGATGAAACAAATTTAGAAACTGGTTTTGCCATCTTTAGGATGGGTCTGGAATAAAAAAGTTAAAGATGTGAAATACATGATGGTTAGTTTTAAGTTTCATTGTTATTCTTAGTAGAGACGTATTTCATAAAATGCCATATTTTATATATAGTATGTAAGTGACGCTTTTACTTCAAATGGGGAAAATCGATGATATTAAATAAAACATATTTCTGTATATTAAGAAATAATGATTTGACCAAAGTGTATAGTATTCAAAAAAATGTGAGTTGCACCTTATATGACAACAATGACATTGATAAATTCTTTTACATAGATACTTAACTCATTTCTGGACAAGAAAGACAGTTTTTATTCAATTCATCAAATTGGTATTTATAACCCTTAATGAATTTGAAATTAGGATCTTAAATATTAAAAGTGTCATGTATTATATAATGAAAAATTCCCAAAAATTTGTTTAAAAAACATTTATGCCACCCTTAGACAAATTGCAAATCTCTCAGAATGAATAATTTTTTTTATAAAACAATGTTTTTTTTTGTTTTTCTGTCCACATTGTGTCTTTAATTGTTTAAAACTTTGGAAAGTCTTATTATTTTATGCTGCTCATTTATAGCTCAAATGGGAGTCTCGGAAGGTAAAAATGTGGGCAGTTGGTTTGGACCCAACACTATAGCACAAGTATTGAGGTATGTCAGTTATCACCTAACTACGTATTTTCAAAATCCTTTAACAAGTAAAACACTGAAAGGCGTGCGCTGATTTGTCTAGAGCTGTGTTTGCTTTAGCCTGCGCAAAACACATCTGAGCTCAACCAATCAAAACAATCAAAACAATCAATCAGTCAAAGAGAATTTGCAAATCGATCAAAAATACTTTTTAGAGGAAAAATTAAAATGTCTGTCTTTTTTACAATATTGTTATTTTATAAAAGAAATAAAAGATGTTTTACGTGTTTGCACTGGCTTATGCAAACCTCGGAGACGTTTGTGAAAACTCTCGAGCATGTGCAACTCTCAACCTTCGGTCTCGAGCTTGCACTGATCTGCTCTCGAGTTCTCTCAAAGGTCTCCTTGGTTTGCATAAGCCTGTGCAAACACAGTAAACATCTTTTATTTCTTAAATACCATTCAATGTAGAATAAAACATACTCATAACAAATAAACATTAAATAACATCATCTGGTATGTACTCAACATTGAAATGGAATAAAGAAATATTTTGAATTTGTGTTAAAGTCTTTGGCGTTAAATAATAATTAAATCATAGTCAAATCTAAATCTAAAGTATACAAGATCATTTGGTATTTCATTCTGTATTTGATTTTTCAATAAGTTTGGTATACTTTAATGACATATTTTCAGAAAGCTTGTTCAATTTGATGAATGGAGTAAAATATCTGTACATGTTGCTATGGACAATACCGTTGTAATCAATGATATCAGTAAGTTTTCAATAAGTAATGGTGTGTCATATATTAACATTTATTATAACCACAACACTTGGTATGTACAAGTACTTCCTTCTCATTTGTACAAGTACTTCCTTCTCATTTGTACAAGTACTTCCTTCTCATTTGTACAAGTACTTCCTTCTCATTTGTACAAGTACTTCCTTCTCATTTGTACAAGTACTTCCTTCTCATATATACAAGTACTTCCTCATTTGTACAAGTACTTCCTCATTTGTACAAGTACTTCCCTCTCATTTGTAAAAGTACTTCCTTCTCATATGTACAAGTACTTCCCGCTTATTTGTACAAGTACTTCCTTCTCATTTGTAAAAGTACTTCCTTCTCATTTGTACAAGTACTTCCTTCTCATATGTGCAAGTACTTCCTTCTCATTTGTACAAGTACTTCCCTCTCATTTGTAAAAGTACTTCCTTCTCATTTGTACAAGTACTTCCTTCTCATTTGTAAAGTACTTCCTTCTCATTTGTACAAGTACTTCCTCTCATTTGTAAAAGTACTTCCTTCTCATTTGTACAAGTACTCCTTCTCATATGTGCAAGTACTTCCTTCATGTGCAAGTACTTCCTTCTCATTTGTAAAGTATTCCTTCTCATTTGTAAAGTACTTCCTTCTCATTTGGTACTTCCTTCTCATTTGTACAAGTACTTCCTTCTCATTTGTAAAAGTACTTCCTTCTCATTTGTACAAGTACTTCCTTCTCATTTGTAAAAGTACTTCCTTCTCATTTGTACAAGTACTTCCTTCTCATATGTGCAAGTACTTCCTTCTCATTTGTACAAGTACTTCCCTCTCATTTGTAAAAGTACTTCCTTCTCATTTGTACAAGTACTTCCTTCTCATTTGTAAAAGTACTTCCTTCTCATTTGTACAAGTACTTCCTTCTCATTTGTACAAGTACTTCCCTCATTCTCACAGAAAATGATTTTTGGAGTCTATCATTGTGAATATGTTATTTTTTTAGTATGCCTGTGTAAATCTTTGTCTTTAGCACAAGACAGCATTTCTACATGTAAGGAAACCAAATCATTGCATAATAGACATTTCAAGTCAAGTATTTCCAGTACAAGTGGAGATTTTGCATGGAAACCCCTTGTTTTATTTATTCCATTACGTTTGGGACTTTCAACAATGAATTTGGTTTATGAGAATGCTCTTAAGGTAATTTCATTTCATGTAAGATTTGCTTTGCTTGATAAAACTGTAAATTTTAACTTAGAACATGTCTCTTGTTAGAAAACTTCCTTCCAGTTTATTGTTATTCTTTTATATTATTATTACAGAAGTGTTTTACTCTTGCTCAATCGCTTGGTTGTATTGGTGGTCGACCTAACCATGCATCTTATTTTATTGGATATAACGGTACATGTAATGTTTGATCACTTTGACGATGTTACAATTTCATCTAAAAACTGAAAGTGGAGCTTGTAACAGCAATAAGTAAAATGGTTTTAGGAAACAAGTTGTTATACCTGGATCCACACGTTACACAAACTTCAGTCGTTTCAGAAGATCTCAATAACATTGCGGATGAGGTAAATGCCAGAGAAAGAAAAGTGGCCAAAGCAATCATTGCTTTAGATATTTTTACTATTCAGTTGGTTTATTCGTAAATTGTATCTTCATCCCTTCTTCATTGAAATATTTTTTTATAACACGTACAGACCTTTCATTGTTGCGTCTCTCCCCCTTGGAGTATGAGTATCTCAGACATGGATCCTTCAGTTGCTTTGGTTAGTATATACAATATTTATTTTAGTTCTCCCCCCCTAATGGAGTATTAAAGACGTACGTCGACCTTTCACTATCTGTCGTCATTATTTGATGGCATACGCTCAAGATCATACTCCATACATACGTATGATGCAATTGTTTTATGCTCGTTTAAGTTGTATGTTTTAAGTCTTCACCCATTTTTTATAGGGCTTTTATTGCGAGACAGAAAATGAATTTAATGAGCTATGTTTCTCTTTAAGAGAGGTAAAATCCCAGCTTAAACTATATAAAATCTGGTTTTGAAATACATGAACAACAACAAAAGGTTTTTTTTCATTAACATCCCAAATTGTTGAAATGTTTTATGCTAGTCAGGAGAGGAGTTTTTTGTTATTTATTTAGTTTCTTTCTAAAATGTGTACATGGAAAGTCTGTCACTTTTATTTTCATGTTTTTATTTTACGTATTTAAGATAAACAAATCTTCTCCGCGCCCATTATTTGAGGTCATTAACGACCGACCTCCTCACTGGCCTCCATATTATCCTCCAACTCTTCCTAGTTCAGGTGTGTCCATTATTATAAAATGCGTCGTTGTATTATTGACCTCATGCTTTATTTGAAATCTCAAACAAAATAAGCACAATCAAGACATCTTCATAATTGTTAAGGAATGTTACACATTTCCCCAAAAAAACATCCGCATGTGTATGATGATAAAAAGATATTAAGGTTAACTGCCAATTGTCAAACATTATACAACTAACCAAGCAGAGAGCATTTAGGTACCAAACAGATAAATTCCTATGTTTGATTTTAACTCACAGCTTACTAAAAAAAATCAAAATTACAAAGTAAATATAAATTTTTAGAAGATGCTCCGTTGGACTTTGAAACTGTTCAATCAGATATTGATGAAGAGTATGAAATTATATAGCTCATCGAAATGTAATTATTTTGTATTACTTTGATAAATTTTTGTCGTTTAATGTGACGTTTATTTTTTATATATATGATGAAACTAAGACCATCCTGTCTTTTTATTTGTGAAGCTCACCATTGTTTTAAGGTTATATTAGTGTGTTTTGAATAATGTACAAATTTTACGTATTTATTTAATGATTGGAAGTTATTTCCAATTTATGTTTTTTTACTTTTAAAGAGGGAACAAATGAAATATTTGGTTTTTAAACCAATCTTTGTAATTAATAAAGGGCTCAAAACAACTTAAAAAGGGAATTCACTATTTTTTGTAGTTATGGTGCGTCATGTATCTTCAGTCTCGGACAAACTTTAGTGAATATTTTAGTCTCATGAAATGTGCTTGTAACGTTTGAGACGTGTTTGTAAGTTGTGCCTGCACTGTAGCCTGCTTCGGCCAGCAGTTGTGACATGAGCAGCAGTCTTCCACCCCACCCACGAGGCAAATAATTTGATGCAAATATTATCTAAATACTAGATATTAATATCTTTTCAAGAAACTTTAATATGATTATAATGCATGACTTTATAAATAATTTGGTTGACGATAAGAACTGAATAGAACAAATTAATATTTCTTTCTTGCTGTACATCAAAGATGCTATTTATGAACTCTAGATATTAACAACAAGACAAATCAATTTGATTATATGTAGTCGTATTACTGGTAAATTAAGAAAGAGTCGAACTTTTGTAAATATGAAAATCGTCAATCTCATCTAAAGCACTGTTACTAAGTCAAGGTCAGACAAATCACGTGCCAATTACGTCAAATTATGTTATGCACAACATTTGTACTACTTCCGTGGGTTTGAATTTCAAACGAATAAAATCAATTAACGATCAATAGTGACGAGTCATGAGCAAAGGGTGAAACACAGGTAAATCTCAAAATATTTAATTTGAATAATAAAATATCTATCAAACCAGTTACGTGTAACGCTCTTTATGTAGGCTCATTTGTGGTAGAACTAAGTCTCCCCCTCCCCTCCCCCATTGACAGTTTTTTGCACTTGTATGTGGCAAGGATAGTTCAGTATTTATGAAACGATATAGCTAATTGCGTACAAATTAAATACGTGTAAAACCTGCCGGAAAATGTCAAATATAAGTCAATGGAAAAATGTTGTGAGCCATGAGCACAACAATGAATGCCGATCTTTCTTACCTACAACATTTTTTGTGACCATGTCATTGAGCCACTCTGCATTTTGCACAGTAATCTTTGTAAGTCGTCAATATTATTTAAAATTGTTTAAAACAAGTAATTTATGCTTGTTGGACTCACTAAAACAACAGACCGAAACAAAGAAATTTTCGAAAGTACATGCATTGCATAAGATAACAAAATACGAAAGTATAGATAACTTCTGTAGAAAATAATTTACAGTTGAATAACATATTGGCACTGATACGTTTTTTTTTTGTTGTTGACGCTTTTATCAACACCGGGGAAAGTAGTGAATTTGCCATCTTCGTAGACTTTTGTTGTAAATTTTTCCACAAAACACATGTCATATAGCTCGGAAGAGTTTTGGACTGACCACATCTTTATTACCTACCTGTGATGAGCTAGTTTCTTTAAACGAAAGTACCTCAGCTTTGCTTCATTCTTAAATGGTTTTTCCCACTTCGCTCTCTTGAATTCTTTTATTTGTTTGATTCTACAATTCGATGAGCAAGTCTTGTTGTGACTAAATAGTATACATTTTGTTGTCTTTGTTTTCAAAATAATGTGTTTACGTTGCTAGCAACTAAATCTAAATGACGAGGGGGGAGTGGCTGAAGCAACAGTAGATATCTCTGCTGAATCTTTGTCTGTCATAGACTTGAAGACATGAACATAAAAAAAATAAAAATAGTAGTCTCTCTCTCCTGATGTTTGTCAATGAAGTGTCACAGTGTTTTTCACCACATTAAATCCGAAATCTCGAAATCGCAAAGTGACGTCTTGTTCTGATTCATGTGTTTTGTAATCTCAAGATTTCTTGTCTATTCGGAATTTGTTTTTTTTTTGTTTTTTTTTTAAATTGTGGACCGAACATTAAAGTTGACCATCTTTCAACGAAATTAAAACTTATTTTTGAGTTAAAAATACAATTTCCTTCTATTGTTTCAAGACTTCGGATTTTCTGAACTACCACCAATCCCATAAGCGGTGAATTGCAGCCATGAATTAAAAACCTTTGTTGTAAAAATTGATTGTAATTATTATGCCCTGTCGTAAAAAATAACAATTAACAAACCCCTGATGGTTTTATGCAAGATCGCGCAAATATAATTGATTTCCGGAATTGTCATCTTCCTCCCCTCCCTTATATCTAAATATGCTAATCACATGGTAGAATCACGAGACAAGCCACAGCATAAAGCCAGTCTTTTCGGTCTCTCCTTCTTCCCGTAGACATTTCTCTTTTGGTTGCTTTATTCGAAGCGTTAAACTAGAAGATGGCGAGAAGTTTAGCTATTTGTGTGGTAACTTTATTGACTATTGGTAAGTTGAATGTTGGTTTTCAAATGATTGACCACAATTTAGCTTATAAATATTTGTCTAAAGACATGATGCAATTGCAGCATGGTTGAAAATGTATTGCGCTGAAGTAATGACGTTAACTTTTAACCATTAACTCTCTGAACTTGTGGATTTTCTACGTAAGAATTTCTCCTGAAAGTTTCCATGTGAAGTAGTTTTTGCATTTAAATCAACTAAAGTCATTTGAAGGCGTTTATTAAAATGTGATGTGAAGTTTCGATTGCGAGTTGATGAAATCTTGTATAAAAGCCGTACAGAATGAAACGTTGCAAAGTTTTAAATCCGATTATTATTATACCATAGTTTCTGAAGCTATGAGCTTCATATGAATATCCATGTCTGTATAATACGCGTTATTTGTTCATCACTTCAAGCGTTAAGTGACCAAATTGTTTTGATATTTTTGAGGCGATAAGATATCCTCGTCCAAACACTTGCAGTGAGAATTTCTCTTTAGTGGATCTTGTATTTTAGAAAATTGCTTGACTATTTGTAAAGCAAAATGACTGTTCAAACCGTTCATTTTGAACTTGTAATGTTCGTGGTGGCACAGTTGTAAAATAACATGCTTTTCTTGGAAGGGCATATTTTGTATGGCGTATTTAATTACAACAATTTTTATATTTACAGCCATTCGTCACCTTATCCAAATCTATGAATATTAGACTATGAAGGCAGCCCTATTCTAAGATTGAAAGTAGTTGAGTGTATTTTGAAATCTTTCTTATCACAAGTATTAAATACTGTGGGAATAGTTTGTACGCAAGATTACGAATAGTATAAAGTTCAATGCATGATAATCATGTGACGTAACTTAAGATGTTTGTCAAAGTTTTCAAGTTTTAACCTGCGAAAAATGTTTCGCATCAAACCTAAGTTAACCTTGATATGGTCTATTTTTGAGCATGTAGTTTAAAAGCCATTAGCTGAATTTTTTTGAAACTGGGTCTGCTATAGTGTTAACTCTCTGTGATGTCTAACAACATAAATCAACTATATTGTACAATTTTAGGTGGTAAAATTAATAAATGGTATGGACTTTCCAAGGGAGTGTGATAAATCACTTTCTACTTTAACCATTCTCACTCGTTTTTTGTTACTTTAAAAATTCCTGCATTATGCTCAGTTAAACAATGTTATATCATCTAAAAAATTTTAACTACTTGCTTTATTTGGTACAGATTACTTTCTAAAGAAGTGAAGGGATGATAAATAGTTGCCTGGTTTATGTCACCAACAATGGCTTTTATTGTTCAAAAGCTCAAATAAAACCTGTAAAATGAAGCCTTTTTAAACCCAACTTCTTGTTTACCACATTTTTAAATAATGACATATTAGCATCACTATAAATTACTGAAATTAAACTAATTGATTTTTTCCTTTCAAGGTATTTTGTTGCATTGTAAACTATAAAAGCACAATTACAAAGTGAAACTATGCATCCATTTGTTTTAACTTGAGATAAATATGTTTGTGTTATTGCATAAGCAAATAAAAGGAATCTTGCAAGGAAAATAGCTGAAAATTTGGTAAAGTGCAAGTTCACACGACATGTCTATATAGCAAACCATCAAGTGCCCTGTTAAAAATCCCAGCCCAATCAAAATCTTTTCTTTTCATATTGTCATACATTTTTGCTACAAAAAATTTTGCTTAGACAAAATATTTATTTTATTTTAATCATTTGTAGGAAGTATGACTTTAATTGTTAAAGCCAAGAACTCAAGTTCTTCAATCTCCAATACTCCTTCATCCCCAACTGCCACGTCCTCCTCAGTTTCCTCTTCCTCCTCAGTTTCCTCTTCCTCCTCCATTTCCTCTTCCTCCTCCGTTTCTTCTTCCTCCTCAATTGCCTCTTCCTCCTCAGTTGCCCCTTCCTCCTCAGTTACACCTTCAATTGCTCCCTCATCTTCAATTTCCACTTCATCCTTAGCTGCTCCTTCATCTTCCAAGTCAATCTACTCTTCAACGATGGTATCACCAAGCTTAAGTACTTCACATGTTTCTAAATCAGTATTAACATCAACAATATTGACTTCAAGTCAAAGTTCGTCAGTCAGCCCTTCTACTGTTGCAACAACATCTTATGTTCCATCATCATCACCATCACCGCCATCACCATCACCACCTGCCCATACTGAACAGAAAGTTCACTTCAACGATATGAAGAACCCAAATGTTTCATGTCTTAAGGCCCAATTTTCTGTCAGCTTTAATGTGGCTTATACTTCAAACCAGGTATTTTGATAAAAAATCAAATATTCATTTTATGGCTTTATCGACAAACCAGACTGTAAGTAGTTGTTTATGCTTCTAACAAGATTCTTTTTGTGAAAGCTTAAATGTAGCAATTTTGTTGGAATTGGTGTGAAGAATTTGATTACTTTTTATAGACTAAAAATACGTCCAATATACCTTTGAATGCGCATCACAAAGCGCATGGAAATTGTAGTTCTGAGGATGGCTATGCTATTTTTGTCATTTCCTGGAACCAAACTGGTGGTGACACTGGACCAACACATCAATTTGTAATGGAGTTCAAGCTTGATTCAAAAAAACATCAATGGTTTGTTCCATCAATAAGGGCAATATTTAACACCAGAGACTCGCGTTTCATTGATGCCAATAAAAAAGGTAAAATTCTCTTTCTCTATCCTGTCATGCAGGCATATTATACAAGGCACATGTAATATTACGTAATCTAATTATATGATTATTCCTGCTTAATCTGTCCTGTTGCATGTAATCTAATTATATGATTATTCCTGCTCAATCTGTCCTGTTTCATGTAATCTAATTATATGATTATTCCTGCTCAATCTGTCCTGTTGCATGCAACCTTTATAATATGATTATTCCTGCTTAATCTGTCCTGTTGCATGCAACCTTTATGATAAAGTAGTATATCAAGAATCTGCTGGACATCTTTTTTTTTTCACAAGGCTTGAGATCTCTGGCAGCCAGGAAATTTTTGAGGAATGAAAACACATTGAATGCGTGTACTTGAACATACAAATAAATTTGTTTATTAAGAGAAACAATGAATGGCTTTTTTGAAAAATGAACGAAATAGCAAATAACAATCACAGCTATAGCATTTAGCTTGGCTGAAGAATGATGTGTAGCATGTTCTAAACAAAAACTTGAGAGGCTGACTTTTGACAATGCTTCTAGTAAGGACAGAGTTATGGGGGAAAGTGTTTAAAATGTTTGCATTTCAACTTCTACTGAAATTACCGCATCGGTTTGTTGAATCTTTTTCTGTCATGGACAGAATAAACGGAAATAAAAGTCTTTGACTTTTTGTCCTAATCTCTTTCCATGAAATGTCGTTCTGCGCGCCCATACCGAGATTAAACGATATAGAGTCAAAATACTGAAGCTATTTCGTCACTCCATGTAAAATAATTCCTAATAGTTAAATTTTAAAGTGAATCGTTGACAAGTTAGTTTTCACGTTTCAATTATACAAGCAACATAATTTAACAGAAATGTCGACAGAACTTGAATTCTTTCTTCTGGCCTAGCGTGTGAATAACTAAATTTGGGTATTAACCAGCAGAATACAATGAGCTCGTTATTGAGTGTAAATCCTTTTTTTTTAAAGACTCTGCATTATTGTTTATCTTTCCTATTTGTAACGACGCCGCATTTTCTTTGAAAGAATTGTTTGAGACAAAATTCTTGAAGCAAATACGGCAAATGTAATAATTTGGATGTTAACCATGCGAGGCTGCGAGCTGGCTAGCAAACATGTAATTGTGCAATTTTAGCGACGCTGCTCATTCATTATTTGCTGATACAAACTCGATAGTTGTAGAATCGATTGAGTAGATATAAAGTTGAGGTTACCAATGGTTAAGTTGAATAATGCATACTAACCACACACCTGTACATGTATTTTGATATATTTTCATAAATTTTTAACTAGCATTAAAATTTTTCACTTTTCACAGCTATCTTTGCAAATGCAAGTGGTAGTGGCAGCATAGGTTTTGTTCAGAGTCAAACATATTACGTTTGTGAATCGCATTTGGGGCTTCAAATGAATGGTGGTGTAAATGCTATGTTTAAACATTTGAAACTTCAGCCATTTTCCACTGACACTAATTTTACATCCGCAGGTATGTCTAATGATGGCAATTTTTTTAGTTTTTTGTCAACGAGTTTATTTGTAAGTCTACGTAAAGTTGAACTGGTTAAACTTTGTATTTTAAATTTCCTGTGTAGTTTACTATAGTTATTGACGAAAATTTTTTGGTTTTCCATCACTTCATGCTAGGTAAAAAATGCGCTGCTGACAACAAATCACACGGTGATGACAACAGCAATACAGTACCTATAGCTGTCGGCGCAGCACTTGGGGGACTGGTACTTATTGTTCTCATTGCTTATATCATTGGTCGACGTCGTTCCAAAAGTGGATATGAACAAGTTTAATCATCAATTCTTATAAACTATCAATAGCTGCTGTAGTAAACATTTTCTAAAACTTGATGTTCGCGCTACCTTAAGATTCGCTGTGGTGTCTTAAGGAAAAATTTTTCTTTTCAAGCCATGGTTTGATCACGTGAATGGAAATATTTCACTTGACTTTGCTTTGTGCATTGTCATTATCATTGTTTTTTTGGCATATGCCATATTTTTATAGTTTTTGTAGTTAAGGCAGTCAATTAAATTCCTAGCGATTTTGATCAATTATCAGGCAAATAAAATTTGAAATTAGAAATGTGTTTTATTCATAACATCGACGATACAGCAAAAAGTTATACACAAGTGATGACTCAAACATTATCAAGCAAAATGTACGACCTGTTGCTGTAACAACAATGAAACTTTTCTGTTTCTTATACATTTAGCTCTCCAAGACTTACAGGTACATTAGAAGTCAATAAAATATCTGGAGTTACTTAAAAGGAATCTTGACGGTTATGTTAAGAATTATTCAACTGAACTATTGAAAAAGTTCAGTAGAGTTTATTCGCGAAACTTACTACGAATGCACGTAGGTCGTCTGATGCATGTGAATTTCACGATACACTGTATGTAAGTGTAGATCGTCCAGTTTGGTATAGTCCTGAGAAGGACTGTTTTTGTTGTTGTTGACTGACGTTTCGACAACCTTAGCGGTAGTCACCTTCAGAGTAAAAAAAATAAAAAAAAAATAAAAAAAAATTTGTTTAAATTTTTTTTTTGACTCTGAAGGTGACTACCGCTAAGGTTGTCGAAACGTCAGTCAACAACAACAAAAACAGTCCTCAGGACTATTCCAACGACACTCCCGGGTTCAAACCATTTACTTCGATACACTGTATGTTAATGGCTGTTTTGACGACTTAAGAAGAAGAGGATTGCTACCTTACTCTTAATAATACCGTCTTAACTACCTGATGAATCATTGCAAGAATTTAGGATGAATCTCAAAATTGTCGTAATTACCATATTGCCAAATCTAACTCAAGACACCGTTAACTCGAGGCTTGAGCTCTCGTTTACTCCATAATTTTCTCGTTCTCCAGAACGCAAGTGTATAAAACATGGCTTTACTGGCAATAATTTCTGTTTTATTTATTATCCAATCTTATTTTTCGTTGGTTGGTTAGTAAACCTGAGAGGTAATTAGGGACAGACAGCAAAACGTTTTGTTAAACCATTATATATGTTCCAGTCAGTTGCTAAACTTGCAAGAAAATAAAGTCTGAGGTTGAAACTTCCGAACGGAATAACTTTCAATCTCAACGATCATCTTTCTTTGAAAGTGCAGTTGATGTAGTATAAATATTGTAATTTTCAATGAATGCAAAAATCGTTTAGTTTCTGCGTAAAATCAGTTCTATTTTGCTGATGTTTGCGAGCTTGTTAAGTTGCAATTAAACTACTCACAAAAGTCGATTGTATCTCCTTTGCAATAATACATGAAACTTGATGCATACAACGTGATTGTATTTAGTTCAGTACTTATGCATTGTTTATCTCGCACTCTGGTCTTATGCAAACGTCATGTAGTGAAATACTAAAAATAAAGTTAATCAACACATCCCTGGCTCATGTGTTCCACATATCGGTTGAGTGAACGATGTAAAAAATATCTCAAAAATTGGTTTTATTCCAAATTGCAATAAATTATGTTTAAAATTCGTGAGATCTCTTGAGGACATCACTACAGTGGTGAACCCACTTTTGCACGATTCAAGCACGTGAGCACAATACTGAGTCTGCAGGGAATATTTAAAACATTTTTGCACGAATGAGAACTGTAAAGAATTGTTTTATTTATGATTTATCCTTGTTAAATATAATTTATATTGTGTTCATGCAAGGACACCTTAAAGTACCTATTTTTTAAGATGGCAACTTTTTTGAAGAAATTCTTTGGTGAATTATTGTTGTCATTTGTTGATTACGAAATATACAGATAAAGTCGTTAAATGTTATCATAAATATTTGATATGATCACACGGCTTATGCCATGTGACTGCTCAAGTTACTTGTTCACGATTCAATGTTCAGTCTTCATTTCACGTTTCAATAGGTGGTTGCTTGGTCAAAACCTCCTGAGCAGAAGATGGTGCGAAATATAGCAATTTTATTTATAGTCCATATATGTATTGGTAAGTTCAAAAGTTTTGATTATTCAAGCATGGCTTATTACATTTAAACAATATTATTATAGCTTGGTTGAGGTAGTTTACTCAAATATGGTTCCACATTGAAAGTAATCACATTATAGATGTTTTGATCGACTAAAATACGAATTTGAGTGTAATGATAAATAATGGAACGAATTCATGAATTGGTATATCCTGTTTAATAATAAATATAAATTTTTTAGTTTTGATTTTTTTACCTTTGAAACCATGATTATCACATGAAAATGCCGAAAACTGCTGACATACTGGTGATAAAAAATAGCGTAATAACAATGATATTCATCTGATGCGTATCGTTAATTTAAGTGCTGATGCTAAATTGCTGACCAATTTCAAAGAACTTGATAACAATTATGAGCTCTGTTTAGGTTAAGATGAGTCATCTCGACTTTTATAAAAACATCCTTATTTTGTAATTTTTGAGGTTGCACGCTTTTGTGTTTTCATTTTCAACGAGTCCATGCATTTGTTAGATTGACAGTCGCTGTTGTAGTGCAAGATTTTACCTACCATAAATCGTAGAATACCAGGAATATATAAGTCTGTTAAATGATACAAAATGTGAGCACACAAACGAAGGAGAAACGAGAAAAAAATCTGAAGCTAAATTTAAAATCGAAGCAATCAAGGTTTTTGTCCCACCCACCCACCTCGAGTAAATATGGCCCCCCTCTTCGGAAATCGGCCCACTTTACAAACTTTAGCTTTTTTTTATGGAGGGGACAAATTTCCTGTGACACCTGGCACCTTGTAGTGATGTATTGAAAAAACCTCGCTCCTTCCCTGTGAGATTAATTTATTGGTTTTTTAAAATGCTGTTTTGTAATTTTAGATTTAGCTTTAGACAACAATTTTATCAGCCATTCAATGATTTGGTTGAAACAATTTATGTAGTATAAATCGTATGCAAAATACCACATTTTTACCCATAGATAAAAACTGTCAATTTATATGATGATGATTGATTAAACTACCGTAACCAAATGCAATCACAATACTATGTTGTGAAATAACATTCTTTACTCTTATAAATTTTGCAAAATGTTGCTTATTACTGGATTTGTCAAATTCAAACATCAAATCAACATTTGAAATCATCTTTCTCGGATAAAACGACTACAATTTCATTGATATAGTTCAGAAAGTCCTGTCATCTGCTCATCAGGATTCTTCTGAATCCATTAATCTCAAATGGCCACCAAAAATTAGGCCTCTTCTCGAACTGCGAGATGCTGACTTCTCTCCAACTAAGTCTTCATCTTCTGTTGGTCCTGTCACACCATCGATAGAACCATCATCGTCTATTGGTCCATTAGAACCCTCAGACTCAGTTCTCCCGTCTATAGAACCATCATCGTCTGTTGGTCCATTGGAACCCTCAGAATCAGTTCTCCCGTCTATAGAACCATCATCGTCTATTGGTCCATTGGAACCCTCAGAATCAGTTCTCCCGTCTATAAAACCAGCACCGTCTATTGGTCCATTGGAACCCTCAGAATCAGTTCTCCCGTCTATAGAACCATCATCGTCTATTGGTCCATTGGAGCCCTCAGAATCAGTTCTCCCGTCTATAGAACCATCATCGTCTATTGGTCCATTGGAACCTTCAGAATCAGTTCTCCCGTCTATAGAACCATCATCGTCTATTGGTCCATTGGAACCTTCAGAATCAGTTCTCCCGTCTATAGAACCATCATCGTCTATTGGTCCATTGGAACCCTCAGAATCAGTTCTCCCGTCTATAGAACCATCATCGTCTATTGGTCCATTGGAACCTTCAGAATCAGTTCTCCGTCTATAGAACCATCATCGTCTATTGGTCCATTGGAACCCTCAGAATCAGTTCTCCCGTCTATAGAACCATCATCGTCTATTGGTCCATTGGAACCCTCAGAATCAGTTCTCCCGTCTATAGAACCATCATCGTCTATTGGTCCATTGGAACCCTCACAATCAGTTCCTCCGTCAACCCAGGTCGTTCACAATAATAACATCCACATCTACGAGGATAAGAAACCATGTTTAGTGGCCACACTTGCAATAAATTTTGAAGTTATTTATTCTTCTGAGGAGGTATGACTAATGATGGTTTAAACTATGAATAGTGGTTTTTGAAATATAACAATTCATACTTTAATTGAAATTTATAAGACGTATAAGACTGTTTGTCTTACTTTAGGCTTAATTTTTGATTGTATGGAGCTGGCTATTATATATATGCAACTTAAACAAGACAATAATTGCTTTTATAGGGAGAAAAAAAAACAAACATACCGTTAAATTGTAAAGAAAATTATACAATTGTGGATGGAGACTGTAGTTTTCACGACGATTATGCTTATTTTAAAATCAAGTGGAACGATGCCGGTATAAACATCAATCCTAAACATCAATTTGAAATGCATTTCAAGCGTAATTCAACAAATTGGTCTGTACCATCAATCAAAGCTACATTCGACACTGATGATAGTCTTCATTTTGATAATCCTAATGAAAAAGGTATGTTTGGCGTTCATAGAGAACTTCTGTATGCATTTCTGATTTTCTGTTAGCAATTTTGCTTGTTAGTAATGACTAATTTGTTGCAATACTTCGTTTCAAAGCATTTTTTCTAAAGATATTGTTATGCTTTGAAGCATGATATAAGTCTAATTTAATGAACGTGATTTTGTATCAACAAAATGATCAGTTCGACTGAAAGAGTAAAAATAATAATTCACTCAGTGCAAAAAGTGAAACCAAGATATGGACACCTATAGAACTAATCAATTCATTTATTTTGTTTACCTATAATTATTGTCATTATTTTTGTTGTTTTCAGACTTTAATTTCCACATTTTTTCTTTTTTAGAAATAAAAGTTGAAACTAACGGCTTTGGTATAATTGGTACTGTTGATAAAGATGTTAATTATATTTGTCTTTCCCTTGTGACTTATAATATAAGTACTAAAGTCAAAGCAGCATTTCAAAACGTTGCCATTCAACCATTCTCAAATGATCCTCAACTATCTTACGAAGGTTCGTGCACATCATATCGTCACTTTGATCATTTTTTGGTTTTTAATAACTTCTTCGAAATAACATTGTGAGACTATGTATACATTTGAGGCAAGGCATTCTTTTAAACAGTGAAAATATTGACCCAGTTTTTTTTTCATTTTATGATAGGAAAACATTGTTTGGAGGATGCGCTACCTTATGAAAACTTTGTCAAGAATCAAGCCGACGGCGATCGGAAAAAGAATAGAAACAGCAATACAGTACCTATAGCTGTCGGAGCAGCACTTGGAGGAGTGGTACTTATTGTGCTTGTTTCGTACATCATTGGTCGAAGTCGATCCAATCCCGGATATGAACGAGTTTTTTGATCACATCTTATTGACTAAAATGTCTTTTTCAAATACAACGACATCTTTGTGGGGAATTTGTTGTTTTAAGTAATAATCAATTGATTAAAGGATTGCACAATTTAAGTTTATTTTTCTTCCTAACACTCAACATTAAAACTGATTTAGTGTTATGTATGGTAATCAGAAACTTCCGGGAATGGTATTTTCGTTAAAGTTACTCATGTATCTTGATATTATCAAAAAATAAATAAAGTTAAAGTGAATGCGCAGTAATGTCTGTTAAAGTCCGATGCTATTACGTAATCATGACGTAGTTATACCAAACTCTCTATAAAGGAAAAGTTTAGGTATGCTTGTTATTTTACTTAGATGGTTTATTTTATGGTTTTTAACATAAAATATCTGGAAACATTGATTGTATGAGGTGTGTTAAGCCACTACATTATATTCTTATAATTCTATGAATGATTGTTTGTTGGTAAGCCTGTAATAGATGGTACACAAAGATTAAGTGAGCTCGAGACAAAGATCAAATTAAGATGTACAACTAAACGAAAGAAGTTAAAAAGAAATATTGTGAATGAAATAGTTCTATATTTATAACTCGATTACATATGACGTATAGAACTTCTCTTAGCTCTGATAAATTTACGGTGATATTAACTTTCCACTTTTCACAACTTTATAAACCTTGGATACAAGAACCGAGCTTAAACAGCCTGCTGTTTTAAAGAAGCTTATAGATTTATACAAAATGCTACTACAGTTTTAAATCAATATTTTCCAAATTTGCAGTATATAGAATTGTCTATGTCAATCGTTCAATGAAGGACCGGCTATTAACAGTTGTTAAACTTAAAGTCATTACAGACAGTACACATTTCTTCTGAGCGTCTCCTATTTATTCAAGAATATTTTAATCGCTCCTGTCCAATCAGCAGTGACAATGACTTCAGGTCCAGTCATACCAGTACTGTTATCGTTGTATTCTGTTTGGACAACATTCCACGGACAAGGAGCAAATATGGCTGCAGTAACTACGGCATTGTGAGCTAAAATTAAAATTCTTTGATAAAAATTGAAAAGCAAACGACAAAATTTAATCAACCAAGCTTTGCTGCAAACCATTTCTATCTAACAATATTGTATTTAGTACTGAGCTTATTATTATAACAACAATATTCGTAACACAATATCTACTGATAGAAAAAATAATTCAAATATTTTGTTAAACAAAAAAGTCAGTTTTGGGATTTTTATTTTTATTACAATTCAACTCGTAAACATGGTTAGACATTATAGAAAAACAAAATATTCTTCTCCCCTCCCCTCTAACATTAATTTTTTCCCTTCCGTTACTGTTCCCTTCATATAGCAACAAAGACAAGACCAAAGAGTGACAATCAACGGGTCGTTGCTGAGCATTACATACGCTAGCTGTTGCTAAGCAACAAATACCTGAAAAGCCTTCGTAGAAGTCGTTTCTATCCTTCCTTGCTGTTGAAATACGATGGTTAGCTCTCCATATGTAGACATAGTGATCTTCAGAGCCACAGACAACTAACTCACTATCGTGACTGAAAAATTGTACCTTTTATATTAATTATTTCCCAAATTTTCGGATGAAATCTTTAAGTTTATCCATGACTTGGAATGTTTACAAAACAGGAAATATTTACAACATAAAATTTCCAAAATACTGGGGGCGACATACCTGAAGCTACCTTTTATCTGACTACTTGAGTTAGTGAAGCCTTTATACTTGCAATCCAGTGTATGTGTTTTCAAATTATAAAGTCGAATTCGCGAATCATTGGACGTGATAAGAATCTGAATTGTGAACATTAAACAGTTATAAAATTAAAATAATAAAGTAAAATAAAGCCTTCAAGATAAAATATTTAAACCTTATCTTCTCCTGGCATTGGCTCTATTCCACTGATTTTTCTTCCCTGTTTCTTCCTTGAGGATCGGATTTGCCACTGTGTGTAGTATTTAAGATGCTAAAAAATTAACAGTAATCACTCCAGAATGGAATAAGAACATATTTGTACATATCTAAGGTGTTGTAGGACAACGTTAACATGCTGTTTTGAGTATCTTTCAGCTATTCGTCAAAAGAAATGAACACCTACTTCGGTCTCGTAAAAAATACACCGTCCATCATATGTGCCTACGACAGCAAATCTTCCGTTCATACAAAAATTAGCAGCAGTTATAAGATGGCTACCTGCATAGATATAAATGGAAAATGATGTTATTTCAACTTACTTTTGTTTATCAACGACATAATAAATAAACAGTCGAACTATAAATAAAGTTAATGATTATACCTGCTCCTTCTAGTTCATTCCACAAGGCGACTTTTTTATCTGGAATATTCCAAAGTCGTATTTTGCCATCCAAAGAGCCACTCAAAAAATATCGATCATCCTTGAAAAGTGAAATTATCCACAAATCAACCTCACTTTGAGCCAGTCTTTAAGTTTATAAATGCTTTTTAACTTAAGTGAAATACTTTCAAAGAAAATACAACTTACTCTTGGATGAAAAATAATAGCTGTCACAAAATCAATATGTTGAAAACAGCAGAGACATTCAGTTCTAGATATATGCCATAACCTAGACACACATATGTTATGTACAGCACTAAATCGTTAACACACATGCTACATAATCCATATGTCATCAGTTGTTACCTAACAGTTTTATCCATTGATGATGACAATAGGAAATAATTCTAAAATTATTAATGAAATTCTAGAATTCGATCATTGTTTGAAACAAAATGATTTAACTAAATTTTTAACACTGGTGTACACCTTCGACCATGAAAGATCCAAGACATCACTGCCATGACCTTCATAGGAGCAAAATGGTGCTTTATAAAACCCTTCCGGATAATCATCTTGTTCGATAACAACATCCTTCGAGTCTTTCTGTGTAAAATACATTACAATACATAAACAATCATGTTTTGCAATTATGAGAAGATGTATACAGCATGTTTTCATAAACGAGAAAATAACAAATGACGATGAACAATTAGTTATGATTGATGACAAAATAAAAAATTCTATACATCATTTTTATCATAAATACAGTACCTCATTTCCAACATTTAATGATTTTTCTTGACTTTCAGTACGTTCCGAGTCTTAAAGTCAGCATAATGTTAGATGTTATTAAACTAAAAATGAATGTTGATATTCATGGCTAACCTGCTTTAGCGTATTTGTTTCGCATTTGTTCAAAGAAATCTTTCTCAGTTTTTAATACCCAAACATGCTAAACGAGGAAAAATTGTCAATGCTAAACCGCGAAACATTGTCAAACGTTGGGTAATACAGTCTATACTTACGACAACTTTGTCTTGACCAGCTGTTCCCTGTCAAAAATAACAATAAACTTGTACGTAGATTATCAACATTGAATGTTGTAATTATTAATACAAAATTTTCAGAAACTTGAATAACATTACTGAAAAACACTTTAAATCAAACAAAAAAAGTTAATGTTGAATTTTTCAAGTAACTACTAATACCAGTAGTTTGCCGCATGAAGAAAATTTCATAGTCCAAACAGCACCCTATAAAAAAATCAAGTAATATAATCTTTGAGTTTTATAATTAAAAAGAGAGATAAGACGATTGACAAAGCAAAACAATCACATAATAAATAAAGCGATAGTTCTTGTTAGCTAAGCAAATTTTATGTGTTCAACTAACCTGGTGTTTTCCACTCAAATCCTGGATTATATTAAGTTTATTAATAATGGATTGTCCTTTTCCGTTTGCAGATTTCACCTGCAAATATACTTCGTTATTCACTAGAATTTTAATGACAAAACTTCTTCTACTAAGAATTCACCTTTATGTAATTTTCAGATTGCGGATTTTCTTCATCACTTGACGAACTTTCATCCATTCCCCGTTTACCTGATAAAATAATACTTCAACTATTTTTATATCAAAAAATCCGAAAAGAAACTTTCTTCGCGTTAACAATGCAACTGTTTACAGAAATAACAATCATCGTATATTAATCACCGTCTTTGCCTCCTTTTACTTTTTGATCTTTACTTTTTATCTTTCGTGCGAATAAGCCTCGTAAATTTTTTCTAAATGAAATAATAGCAAACGATGATACAGTAATGAATGAAAAAAGAAACACGCGAAAGTACGAATGACGAGTAAGTTTGCATTTCATGTAAAAAAGTGACGATGTCACGTACTTTTTTCTTAAAATCTTTCGAGTTGTAACGTTATCATCTCCAACATCTTCTTGGTCTGATGCGACCAGATCTTTCTGGCTAGTAACAAATATCCACGATTTTTAACCAACATTTAACAAATATAGAAATATGAACAATATTATAATGTACAAGCACCTTGAAAATTCGGTTGTCAAGCGCATAATATGTAACGCAAGAGGATTTACTCCAGAAGGAAGGCTCTTCTCAGCTTCGCTAAGGGGCATTGTTTCACCAGTATCTAAATTTCTAACAACTACAGCCTCAAGGATTTCCTGTCAGGATTTAAGCAGAACATTTCATATTTTAATACAATTTACTAACAGTAACTATTCACTTTTATTGAAATGAATCAAGATTCAATTTTTCCGCGACAATGTATTGTTTAGTATTTGCATCTAAGATCTGGACTTTGATACCCAGAAGCTAAAGTACTTTCTATACCTGGTCAGTTAGTGCTGTAGATGCTGTTGTAATTTTATCTGTGTTACTGCCAAGAGATGCTTGAGATCCAGATCGTTTTGATCTTTCTTGAAATGATATGTTGCTAGAGACACTACAGAAACTTCCAATGGACGATATAGATTGGGATTTATTTCGTTGCAAATACAATGGTGTGATAACTTCTGTAGAGTTGTTTCTGTCTAAGATTTCGCTCATTTCTTGCGTACTTATGTCTAAATGTGACTCAATTTCATCATCACATTCAGAATTTGACTTATCAACTGAACTTAGAGCTTTTGTTTGGAAGTCAACTGATTGTTGCAAACTTTTGACTTGTTCCACAGCACCAGCTGAGACAAAAGACTCAGAGTTTTCTGAGACCTACAATATAAATTAACATAAAATAATTTGGTAAGCACGAAAGTTATTATGGATGACAGCACTAATATTTGAGCTCCTAAAGTAATATTTAGAGAATCATGAAGAAACTGTTTTTATTACCAAGATTATTTACCTTTGTTATTTCAGCTTCTTTTTTATGTTTTTTCTTTCGTCTTGGAGGAGCTACTGGAGCAATGTTCAAACTTTCATGAAAATTTTGATCAATCCCTATCTCTACTTTGTTTTCACAATTTTTTACATCATTTGATTTCAAACAATGTTTTTCTTCACCAGGTGCAACCTCAAGCTGACTTCCACCATCAATTTCATCCTAAAAAATGTATTTGTAAAATACCTTTGTAAAATAATAAAAATTGACATTAATTGAAAGAAGGGCAACAAAAGATTGTCAATTGTACAGCTAACATTTATATATCCTCAATAATCAACCTTCTGCCCTAGATGTCAAATACATAATAGCTATAACTATAACAAGCTCACATATATTGAAATAGAAATGCTCTATGTATGTTTTTGTCTTATGATGTATCATGTGATGGTACAATTAACAAGGGTTATTTTCTCTAGGCCTGCATGACATAGTTCGTTTACAGTGAAAAAGTTCTTTATCATACATTTAAGCAAAGCAATCTATCAAAAAATAACCACTATTCTCATACATATGTAAACACACAGTTCAAACAGAAACAAGTAAAATAAATCTTTATACTCTCGAAGGCAAATTTACTTGTCTCTGATTAACTAACCTTTGCTTCAAAATCATTTAAAACACATGAAGAATCAAACTCTTTTCTACAAAAAGTGATGATGCAATATTTTACTTGATGTGGAGCAACTAGATATAAGTACAAAAACGACAAATAAAAAGTAAAAACTAACCCTAAATTTTGTAAGTCATGGCGATAGAACAATTGAGTTTCGGAAGAAGTTAAAACAATACTAGGATGATCTGAAGCGTCATAAAACTCTTCGTCTTCACTGTCTCCATCCATTATAGTTATTTTATATTTCGATACTGTACATGATATGAAACTGTCTGCCCATTCTTTTATACAAAACAACGATACAAAATGAATAAATGATCGATGATCCTGACGTTTACAAACACTTACATGAAAATTGAACCTTTGCATGCCGCTGCTCAACTTTATATAATGATGCGGACCACGGGCGCGGGCATAAAAAGTTAATTTTAATTACCAATTTTTACTTTCAAAGTTTCAATTCAAAACTAAAACGGTTAACGAAGAAAATGAAAAGATACAATAATTAAAAAAGAAGCAGTAACAACAGCAATGAGCTCAAAATTATTATAAACACTTCCTTCTTTTTATAATTTTATTTGTCTATATTACATTTTACGTCATGGAGCCTAGTCAAAGCAAACGGGGTTAGGTGCGGGAGGCAGTAATTCACAATTATTTTAAAACTATATTTTTCAGATGTTGAATGCTGATAGAAAATTATGGAGATAATATGATAAGGGAAATATATTGCACAAGCCTCCTGGATAGAGAAAACCATATCTTTTCTAAAGACCTCAAACTTTATCTTCTCCAGAAAGAATAATATTATTTTAAGATTTTTTTTTGATGAAATTAATACGTGTGTCAGTGTATCAATCAAAATAGGCAGTTTTTGTTATCCGAAAAAAACATATTACTATCGCACTTCTCCTCCCCCCTAGATCAAATTTTCGAAAAGATCAACAAGTCGTTCATGTTTTTCTTTTAAAACGAATGTTTGTAGATATTGGTGTGGTTCTCAGGTATTTGAAAAGAAAAATAAAACCTTTATTCATAATGAGCCTAGACAAAATTTGACAACATTCTCAGATAAAAAATTTTGTTGCAGAATGTTTCACAGTTTTTTGTGATCAATATTAACATAATCCAGCCAATCACAGTGCAGTATTATTTCCTGCTGTTTACAGTAAAAATTATCACTTCTCTCATCGAATGCGGTGGATTGCATTGTCGTTTGATGAATCATGGAAGATGATATTCTACTCATGAATATTTTTATCCTGAAGGACTCGTAAAGACGATGAAAGTTTTTACATTTTTTAGTTTTAATGAAAAGCAGTACTCTCCTTGGTAAATTAGTTGTTTCTTTACATTTCTCTGACTGCTGACAGAAAGTGTCTAGACGGTTGAGTTATAAAAACCTGCCTGTACATGAAATTTACTATATCCTGGTGAAAATGTCCACTATCAAAAGGTCAGTTGAAGATGTTTATACATTTATCTGTTAATGCTTGGTAAAATTATGTTCAATATACATATGTACGATTCATGAACAAAGTAATTAAACGTTTCCTGAAAGTTTCAAATGACGTACATTTCTTATCTAATAATTCCTAGCTACTTCTCCTGAATGGAATATTTTGTTCCAAATTTTCAATAAATTTAATATATTTTATAATTGATACAATTGATAAATTGCTTTTGAACCCAAGAAAAAAATATTTTACAGATAAGGTGGAAATATATGTAAATGTCTTATTCCTAATAAGAGGACAAAGCTACATACTTATAAATGTTGATTATCCGGGTTAGTAAGTAAAGTATTAAGAATTGTAAAAGTTGGTGGACAACTTGAATTTCCAAAAGGGCATGTGAGATTTAAAGATTAGTTTTCTTAAACCATGAAAAATCATTTGTGATAGCAATGTATGGATAACAAAATTAAATTTTTACAAATGCTAGGACTTTTCAAAAGTAAGGAATTAAGGAATTGTGAAAAAGAGTAATTTGTTAGAAATTGTGAAATGTTGATTTCATACATCAAATACTTAGTAAGATTGATGACTATGGATTTGAACGTGAAGATGACTTTGACTATGAAACATATGAGAAGTTCATGTCAGAATATTTGGTAATTATGGCCAAGCGTGCAATTAAGTGGGACAAAGTTGTTGATCCAGAACACCGTACACGAAAATCATTCAAAGGTTAGTGAAATTCCTAAATTATGTCATTTGAAATTTGTAAATTGAGAATTGCATATGGGATATTTTATTTATTTATTTTATTTTTGTAGTAAAGCGATACTGTAGAAAAGGCATCCCGTCTTCTCAAAGAGCACAAGTATAAAAAAAAATTTTTTTGATTTTGATGTTGTAATACTGTAAGCTGTATATGTTGCATTTTTTAAATATTAAGCATTTTTAGGTGTGGTTTGATGTTAGTGGAGCAAGAAAACGATGGAAACATGGGCAAGGTGTTTATAAGCAAATGCTTGAAGCAAGAAAAGATTCTCATGTTATTGAAAGTATAAAAACAGGTCTCGAAATATAAACAATTTTGTTACACAATGTATTTATGTGTACAAAAAACAATTGGATTTTATCATTGTTTGTATTTCATAGATTTACATCGAACATTTCCAGAAAACATACATTTTTCTGATGATATTAATTCCAAGAAAGAATCTCTATTTAATGTGCTAAGTGCATATTCACTTTATAATCCAAAAATTGGTTATTGTCAGGTTGGTGTAGTTTTATTCAAATGAAGATCAGAACTTTCTTCATTTTTATTCGTATATTATTGGTTGTGTTTTTGTACTGATTTAGCAATTGCAATGTTTGTTATTTATATTCAGGTAAAATAATTGCAACATTTATGATCAACAAAACTTATTTAATGTGTTGCATCTTTCTTTGTTTTATGAAGGAAAAGGGTCTACAGGATGCTTTAGTGAGAAAAGGAGTCTGAATGAAGCTTAAGTAGGGAGAGGGGTGTTGGGGACACTTAAGTAAAGAGACTGGGATCTAGGAAGGTTTAGTGAGCAGCAGGTGCAGATTTTCTAGGGGTGCACTCACCTCTATAATCTCTAGCACAGACCACCCAAGAAGTTAGTAACACTTTCATTATGCAAGGTTCACTTACCTGCAAGCTTATAAATCTACTATGACCTAAGGCTCTGGCATCATTAGCAGGGACATTGATGCACCCCCTTGGAAAATCTGCACCCCTCCTTTAGATTGAGCATTTGTTTGCCCATGGTGAAGAGCCAGGGGTCTGGAATGATTTAGAAAGGAGAGAGATTTGAATTATTTAGTGCAAGAATGGATTTAAGGGAGGGTTCTGTGTGGCAGTGTGCACCTTACTTGTCTAGGCTAGAATCACAAAAATACCCACAAATAAGCCACCAAAATCAAGTCCAAATTTGACTGAAATTAACAGTATCTTATAATCTAAATCTCCTAAAAACTCATCCATGATCCATGCTGTCTTTAGTTTGGAGAAAGAGTGTCTAGAATGCTTTAGTAAGAAGGAATTGAGGATCAGTCAATACAAAACTATAACTATGTTGATGTTACTTAAGGGTTTTAACTATATTTATATTGCTTTAGGGTTTTAACTATATTTATATTGCTTAAGGGTTTTAACTATATTTATATTGCTTTAGGGTTTTAACTACATTGTTGCTCTGCTGTTGCTTGTTGTACAACATGAAGAACGTGTGTTCTGGCTCCTTGATGTTCTTGTTACTAAAAGACTTCCAGGTTTTATCATACAGACATTATAAAATCATTGAATTGGTTTGCATGAACATAAATGTTTTTTTATAGATTATTACAGTACAAAAATGCAAGGATTAATGGTTGAACAAGCTGTTCTTGAAGAACTAATGTGTGTGTGTCTTGTAATTTACAATTCTTCCATTTACAACACAGACATAATGAGCAATTTGCTTTAGGTTATTTGCTTGTGTGCCTGGGGATTTGCTAGTGTTCCTAGTGGTTTGTTAGTGTGCCTGGTGGTTTGCTAGTGTGCCTAGTGGTTTTGTTAGCGTGCCTAGTGGTTTATTAGTGTGCCTAGTGTTCGCTGATGTGCCTATAGTGGTTTATTAGTTTGCCTAGTGGTTTTGTTAGTGTGCCTGGTGGTTTATTAGTGTGCCTAGTGTTTTGTTATGTGCCTAGTGGTTTGTTAGTTTGCCTAGTGGTTTTGTTAGTGTGCCTAGTGGTTTATTAGTGTGCCTAGTGTTCGCTGATGTGCCTATAGTGGTTTGTTAGTGTGCTTAGTGGTTTGTTAGTGTGCCTAGTGGTTTATTAGTGTAGCTGATGTAGTGGTTTGTTAGTGTGCTTAGTGGTTTTGTTAGTGTGCCTAGTGGTTTTGTTAGTGTGCCTAGTGGATTATTAGTGTGCCTAGTGTTCGCTGATGTGCCTAGTGGTTCGTTTGTGTGCCTAGTGGTTCGTTGGTGTGCCTAGTGGTTAGTGTGCCTAGTGGTTCGCTGTGTGCCTAGTGGTTTGTTAGTGTGCCTATAGTGGTTTGTTAGTGTGCCTATAGTGGTTTTGTTACTGTGTCTAGTGGTTTTGTTAGTGTGCTTAGTAGTTTATTAGTGTGCCTGGTGGTTCGCTGGTGTGCCTAGTGGTTCGTTGGTGTGCCTAGTGGTTCATTGGCAGATAAATTTCTGTAATGTTTCCTTTTTCGTGTGCCTTGTTTGCGATTTTGACTGCGTTTGTCATTAAAACTGTTTAGTTTGAGGGAACCGAAAGCACTAAATTCAAGAGCGGGGAAACATTGATAATTGGGGAGGGGGCTATGTTCATATATTCATATGAAATAATCCGTAAACACAATTGATTTAAATACGCCTCAGTGAGTAAATTGTGTGGATTTTAAAGATTTTATGTTTTATCTGAAGGAGAAAAACACCAGTGCTGGCAGAACATTTCAAAAAACTTGACGTTGATGTCGCTGTACCTACCACAAAATGGTTTATTTGTCTTTACACTGATGTATTACCTATCGAGGTTAGAACGAATTTTAAACCAGCACACTCTTATAATATACACATGTTTGTTCTGTCCTTTAATAATGCATTTTGATAGAAATATTGAATGACGTAGCGTGATTGAATTTAATTATTGCCATAATTGAGGTTTAACAGTTAGCAAGAAACATGTCTTGAAGAACTTTTGTATCCGTAATTTTGTTTTTTTTTGTTTTAGACAGTTCTTAGGATATGGGACTGTTTATTTTACGAAGGTTCAAAAATCCTTTTTCGTGTGGCTTTAACTCTATTTATGCTTAATGAAGAGACTCTCCTTTCTTGTGACGACATCGTTTCTCTTTGCGAGGGATTTAAGGTAGGATTTCGCTCACTTTTCTTTATTATTCTTAGAGGCAGTGAGAAATGCAACCATCTTTTGTTGATTTCTCTCTTTTTTCATTGATTGTATATTTATGCTTAACAGGGTTTTATATCAGTTTGTCTTCCTTTGGTTATATTAAACAATCTATTGTTTCGTCACTGCGCACTATCACTACTAAAAACTCCGTTATATTTTATTTTCCCAATTTTTACTTGTTTCTCAAATTTCCCCATATTTGATTTAAACTTGAAGATTATTTTCTTTAGAATGTTGTAAAAAGCCCTGACGTAGTTGACTGCCATCATTTCATGAAGGTAGATAGTAACTAACTTTTTGTCCTGAGTCAATAAACCATATCAAGGGAAATCCACATGAGACCATCACCTACTTTGTGAAAACTGAATCATGTACTATGTGATACCCTCTTGTATAAATTGAGACCCTTAGGTACCATGAAATTATGGTTTAATGGTCTAATGTAATTGATCACATTAGATCATAACACATATGTACTTTGCAATAGTATTTAATTTTTTTCATTTTAGTGAAGTTTTTTTTTGATTTAGAAATGTTTCACATTACCTGGGTCACTACCTCAGAGGAAAATAAATAATTTGCGAACAAACAAGCAAGAAATATTAAACGAAAGAGGCTAAGTTGCTTGATGTAGTTAATGTATGATACCTGATTTTAGTAGATTTAATCATTTGTTTTACATAAAAAAAAACATGCTATTTATCAATTACAAATCAAAACCATTTGGAATGTGTGGAATTTACCTGTTTGGTTTTTTTGAAAGCGTTTTTCCCTTTTTCTACCCTGTATACTATATAATTTATTTTAATTCATTCATTCACCATACGTTCAAAAAACCGATTATCAGGTCTAAAACATTGGTCTTAAATACAGCCTATGGTAAAATTTCTTGAATGCCCTGTGGATGAAGCCAAAGTTCTGTCATACATTAACACCTCAGGAACATTTGGACTTTGAATATCCAAAAAGCAATCACCATCGTGTTTGTTGAAGCGTGAGCGTTCTATATTAGCGGAACTTTTATTTTTTTATCGATTTTCTCAACGTTAAAGGTTGTATATTATAACAAAACATGAAATGCGCTTAAGGAAAAATCCTTTGAAAATTAAAAAATTATAGCCATAAAGATGGCGGTATATTTCAAATCGTGGCACAAGAAACGCAGAAATCACAAAACAGTCACTGAACAGTGTAAGTTTTGTATTTGATATTTAAAATAATCTTCTATTGTTCTTACATACTTCATTGATTCTTAAACAGTATTAACTTAGTTAACTGAAATCTATCGCTAGGCTTTCTGTTTGGTATCACTGTCTCGCAGAAACGTTTGCTGTAATGGTCCTAATGGAAAAGGTGAAGTGTAAAATATTTGTCTGCAACGTATTTAACTAACTTTACTCTATGGTCGTCTTCAAAACCAATCTCATTCATGCCGAGCTCGTAATCTTCAAAGAGATTGTCGTTTTTAGTTCGATCAACAATGAAGTGGTGGCAGACTTCAAGAATCAATTTACTACGAAGTTTGGTATCTTGATTGATTTTATCGCTACCTTTGTTCACACAAGCTTTAAAGACTTGCTCTGCATATCTGAGAACCAAATAAAAGACTTTGAAGGAAGCTGCAAGATGTCTCTACTTACAAAATGCGTAAACGCTGAAAATGAGTCAGCTCACACCAATATAAACATGGTTAGAAATTTGAGATGGGTTATACGAAACAATACTGTTTCTACAATATGAGCAGCTAAGCAACTTCAAAAATTTATTTTGAATGCTTGTCTTCAAGTGCTCAATCATCATCTGCCCCTGTGGCATGAAGCTGGTGGTGACTTGCTCATTGAGGCTGTTGTTTGAACCTTTGCAGTATCCTTGGATGTTCTAGTTTCTTTTATGAGAAGAATGCTTGTAGAGAAAAAAGACAAGTTTTGAAAACAAAACATCCCGTTTTTGGTCCATGCCTCCTTCCCGATACCCCAAGATAGTTGAGCATTAGAGCGTCGCATGTTAATTAAGAGAACCAGATAATTCTTGTTTGCCATAAAGCCCATGGATGGTTTTCTCGTGATATATGAGAAACAGTAAATGAGTTAAATCAGAAAGATATAAACCAATAAAAATTGTATAAAACATGTTTAAGGTTGTCTTAAATTATAATTGAACACCTGAGTGACCCTTTTGTATAGTCATTATTCCGTGCTAGTACATTATGGTACATGGATGAGTAATGGAATTAGTATGAAGCAATGATATGTGTTTTAGACTACTAACGTATCTCGTGTTGAAATAAAAGCCGAAAGTTCGATCGGTTGCTCCTGGCTTCATGGGAGGTATCTGTATTTTTGTATTTCAAAATCACAGTTTTATTCCTTTTAAAAATTTCTCATTAAGGCACGTATTTTATGAAATGTAGGGGGAAACCGGGGTTAAAACTTTGTTTCGCTTAATGCAACACAGAGAGGTATTTTCGCATATTTTGATGATGTAGAATCTCGCATAGTTTGATGATTTCGTTTTCAATTTACTAATATTTATCAAAATGTCTTTCTGATCATTTATCTGTGTTAATTTGTTTTGTTTTTTCACTGTTATAATAAAGACTTAACTTGAAATTTTAATGATCTTTCTGATGTGAATAGCAACCCAAAACAAAGTGCTGTTAAATGTGTAAATTTGTAGCAATCTTCCATGAAAGTCTTTTCAGGTGAAATTTTGGTGTAGCAGCAGCATCATATAATCTCACTTTGTTTCAAAATAATGCAGGTTGACCTGCATTATTTTGGATTAAATAACTTTGCCGGTTGTCTTGTCCCTGTGATAAAATTTTGCTCGAACAAAAGTTTATAGAACGAATAAAAACGCAAAATGTGAAATTTTGTAATACAAAAGTATAGTAAAGTGCGACCGATACCCCCCACGAAGGTCGTAAGCAAATGAACCAACTTCCGGCTACAATTTTCGATATTTTATACATGGTGCGTTATCCAGTGTATATACATATCAGTGAGTGAAGTCGAAATAAAGTGTTATAAAATAAAAGCTTCGCTTGCTTGATGTATATTTTTTAAGTTTTTTGTTTGATTTTCTTACATGATTGTTTATAAATTGGTTTCTGGCAGGTTGGACGGTCTAAGCGATGGAAGGATTACAATTTTGTTGATCTGAAAGGACAATACCATTTTCAACGTTGGAGATTATTCTATTGAGGAATAATGATGAACGTAAATTTGAGCATCGTTCGTGCTGTTGATTGTATTACAGTTTTAATATTTTTGTTCGAAGGATTTTATGCTTTTAATGACAAGAGACAAGTAATAACAATTCCTTTACGAAAGAAGAGAGAATCTCGTGTTAATATTCAGAAACAGAGACGAGAATTGACAGATAGTTTAAGCCCAGAGTACCACGATAATTTATCAGGAAGACCTGGTCAAGGCTATTATTTAGCTATTGATTTAGGTACACCGCCTCAAACGGTGAGCGATTTTATAAATTTTCAGAAACAATAAAATTTTCCGTACTCCTCTTTATGTCGTAATGTAAAAGGCCGCGAAAACAGTTGTTGAGTATGTTGCCTTGCGGGTTTTACATAAGGCGTGGTTCTTATTAAAATGAGATGTGAGAAAGATAATGTATTTCGATGTTACTTTCACATTAAATTGCTGATAAACCCAAAGTTTAACGAAGTTTCCAACTAACATCGTTTGGTGGTTTGTAATGTTACATCTGTTTTAACGGAAATATTAAATTGCCATTATTTCTAATATTTCCCTATTCAGAAAGATATTGTTGCAGATTGTCGAACAGAGAATATGTAATAAAACAAATATCTCTGATTAAAAATTAGACTGCTTGTAAATGAAGGAACTAACTAATTTATTGTTCAATTACAATACAAAAATATAGTTCAGCAGAGTCAGGCATAGTGATGTTTATCACTAAATACCAGACTCAGCTTATAAATTAGCTAGTTCCATCATATACAAGCTGTCTAATTTTTACAAGTAATTAAAAAATAAAAGCATTTCTTTTATGCATTACAAGCAATTTTAGTTTCTATCTTATGAAAATCTTTTTGCTCAATTAGGCTGAAAGTTTTTTTAACAGTTGACAGTAAATAACAAAGTTTACTTTGCTATAAATAAACAATCAAACAAATTAATATCTATTTTCATTTGTTGCAATGAAATTCTTTTAATTTGTGTACAATACACTGTATCATATTTAATTTTGCTTGAATGATTTATTTTACTCTAGCTTAATGTTCTTGTTGATACTGGAAGTAGTAATTTTGCTGTTGGTTCTTCGAAACATGACTTTTTACCTGTTTTTTTTGATAGAAAGAAGTAAGTATGAGCCTTTCCATTTTGTTTTTTTCTGGTGATTGTGGTCGAATGGCAAGATCTCTTGATGTGTTGAATGATTCTCGTGAAAAAATAGGGATTTCTTAATTTTTAAAATTAATTATTGCATTATTTGTCTTGTTGCATTTATGAAGATTTAAAAATCTTGCAAAAGCCCGAGGGTTTTAAAACATGTTTAATTGTGTTATTTGTTTAGGTCAGTAACATATCTTAGCATGGAAAGAGATGTTTCTGTAATGTACACCCAAGGTAACTGGGAAGGTCGTCTTGGTTCTGATATGTTACGTTTTATTGATGGGCCTAATGCAACTGTTCGTGTTGAAGTTGCTAGTATATTATCTTCACAACAATTTTTTATAAATGGTTCATTTTGGGAAGGAATTTTAGGATTAGGATATCCAAGATTGTCAAAGGTAACTTTGTGATATATACCATTTTTTATTGACCCAAGTGAAGTCTTCTGTCATTTGACACTTGTAATTGTAATGACAGACTTGATTGAAATTCATGCTTTTTGTTGAGAAATTCATGTTTTTTTTCACATGGAATGTAATAAAACACAAAATATTAGTTTTTATAGCACAATGTTTTCCCTCTGTAAAATGGCAATATGTCCATGCTTTTTACAATTTATCAATTTAAATTACTTTACAACATTGTGCATGTGAATTTCAACATGACATTTTATGTAGAAAATGAGCAAATTTATATTAGTTATTACTATTATTTCAGCCTGACCCATCAGTCATACCTGTCTTTGACAAGTTTGTTCAGGATGGTATTGTTAAAGATTCCTTTTCAATGCAATTATGCGGTAGCAGTGAATTAGATCCTATTATTGATCCTACTGTTGCTGGTACAATGGTATTTGGAGGAATTGACAGTAGCTTATATGATGGTGAAATGCTTTACACACCTATTGTAAAGAAATGGTATTATGAAGTTGTTATTACAGATATAGCTGTCAATTCTATCAAGGAAAGTCTTGGTTTGGATTGTAAAAAGGTAATTTATGCTTGAAATATATCATTTTAGGGTGAGAAATTTTTATAAAAATGTGTGTAACAATAGAAGCAAGGTTGCCAAACTTGCACTCACTCGCAGCTAAACAACAGTTTAAACTTTAAAGCTACATCTTGCAATTTGAATTGCCTTTTCTCTCATTTGGAACACAACATGTCTTACACTCATTTGCTAATGCGAAACTGCCATAGTACTTACATTACACCAGAAAATTAAACTGGGAAAGTACACCACTGAGCAATAGAGCTATTGTATTCACTTTGTGCAATGTTTTTCGTAACTTAGCATGCATGCAATATTAAGACATGTCATCAAGGTGCATCATTTACGTAGAGCTTTACAATTGTTCAATTTTACCTTTATAAACTTGTAGCTCTGTATAGCTGTAGCTCTGTATAGTTGTACATCCATGTGTAAGAAGGTAATAGTTGTATTAAAAAATAACCAGTGGTTTTTCCAACAAGCTAAAAGATGAAGGAATTATTGACATTTCTCATATATGTATTTGCTGTCTTTGTCATTACATTGTCTTAGAAATCCAAATTTATTTACTGCCAATAAATTGTCTTTATTAAACTTTTTAATTTTTGTATATACTGTGTTTCATTGTCTTTGATTCACACTAAGTACTTATTTTGTTTTGTCAAATTCACTTCATGGATGTGTTATTAGTAAATAAAACATCAAAATTTTTGATCCTCACAGTACAACTATGATAAGACAATTGTGGACAGTGGTACAACTCATTTGCGGATTTCTGCCCCTGTTTATGACGGTATTCTCAGTAAAATCAAGAAATATGATAAGGTACTAACAATTATATTGCTTTATACTTATAAATATGTTTGTTCATCTTTGTATAGTTTCATGTTTATAGCAAATCACTTCATACCATCTATAGCTTCATGTTCATAGCAAATCACTTCGTACCATGTATAGCTTTACGTATATTCATAGTCAATTTTTTATCTCATCTATAGCTTCATGTTCCTGATGATTTTTGGAATGGTAAACAAATGATGTGTTGGACAGATGATAGAACACCTTGGAATAAATTTCCTGACATCTATATTTCCCTCTTGTCCTCTACGTCAAGTTCAAAGCATTTTACTTTGAAAATACCACCTCAGGTATTGTTACGAAATATATTTTATAAATAAGATAGTTTATGTTTTGGTTGTTTGGATACACAGGGTGTATCAAAAAAAGTAGACTCTTAGAAAAAGTTCTTTAAAATGCAAAAACATTCTAAGTACTTCAGCGTTTTAAGGTAAAGCTGGTAATATCTGTAGATAAAAGACCTTCAATTTCGTCATAGTATTTTCCAAACTGTTTTATAAAGTTTGTATATGTCTGATGTACAGGGTTTCACTAAAATTTTGTCAACTGAATCTTTAAATTTCAATGTCATGTGTAAAGATATCGAGCTCTTTGATGCTGAATCATTTAAAAACTCTGATATTCATCATTGTACTCAATTATTTCACCATACCAAATGTAGATAAATACACGTTTGTCAATAGTTTAACTTTAGTGGTTTTTATGACTATTATTACACTTTATAAAATAAACACAATAACCAGGACAAGCAGACAATTTCAAGTAATACAAAATAAAACAAATTCCGAAGAGGGACATCTCGTTTTCTTGATATTCAAGATAGTACAAGAGTTTGAAACAAAAGATGGTGTAATATTACGTCATAAGTCTGATGATGTCTTTGGAATAAACACGAAATATTACACCATCTTTTGTTTCAAACTCATGTACTATCTTGAATATCAAGAAAACGAGATGTCCCTCTTCGGAATTTTTTTATTTTAAATAAACACAATGAAACGCTTGCGGTGACATCTGAGCTCAACCAATCAAATCAATCGTAACAATCTGTTTCACATTATTTTAATTTTATAAAAGAAATAAAAGATGTTTTTCGTGTTTGCACAGGCTTATGCATACCTCGGAGACGTTTGTGCGAACTCTCGAATAGGTGCAACTCTCGGTCTCGGGCTTGCACTGATCTGCAATCGAGTTCTCTCAAAGGTCTCCTCGGTTTGCATAAGCCTGTGCAAACACAGTAAGCATCTTTTACTTCTTAAATAATGATGGTTTTATGTTCAGTTTTGTTATGAATGAATATTTTGTTGAAAAATGATGTGTTTTTACTTCACCAAAGCTTTATCTCCGTGAAACGATCGAGAGACTTTTCGAATCACAACGTTGTTATAAATTTGCCATCACAAGAGCTGACAGAGGTACATACATTATTTATAAGTGTTATCTAATATCACTACTTGTCATCGTTTTTTAAGTAAATCTCTGCTTGCACATTAATTACTGAAATATTTTATGTTAAGGTACTGTTATTGGTGCTGTAATTATGGAAGGATTTTATGTCGTGTTTGACAGAGAGAAAAGTCAAGTTGGATTTGGTGCTACCACTTGTGGAGGTCTTCATTTACTATTTATTAAATGGCGGTCGTTACCATTGTTAGAAAGGCATTTTCAATGTTAATTTAATTTATGACAATTTATTTTAACGAACTTCGCTCTTTTGACGTTAAATTTGAACTTTACTTTTGTTGCAACGGTAAACATTGCTACTACGATAAAGCACTAAAGTTGGCCGAAACATTTGGTAGTAATAAAACCCCGATTTCCTCCATAAAATTTATTAATTAAGATTTTTTCATAGGCGGCTTAATATATCACTTAGCTAGCTAAATTGTATAAACTAACGATAACTTGCCCCATTCCATCGTAACAGACCGTGCGCCGCAAACTTTGAATTAATTGTTTATATATATGTCATATATATATTTACCAAAGGTAGGCAACTATCCTATTAGGAAATTATCCTATTTTTAGTGGTATAATTATTTTGAATTCATGTTTGTTTTTTACATATTATTACTTTATATAAAGGTATTTGTTCGTAACTGCGATATAGTTGCCTACCTTTTGTAAATATGTATAATATTAGCTAGCTAAGTGATTTATTGAGCCGCCTATGATTTTTCCTTTGTTTTTAGCGGATGGAAGACCTAATCCACAGTCAAAAGTGTTGGGTCCTTACACAAGAGGTTTTTTGTGAATATTTAATTCATCTTTTGCAAAATTCAAGCAACATATAATTTTGTGTTATCGTTTTAGACCCAGTTGATTGTCAGTATATTGAATCCGAAAACTCAGATACGACTCTCTTAACCGTTGCTTATGTAATGGCGGGAGTATGTGTATTGTGTTTAATACCGATCACTGTTTTACTCATTCAAGCCAGTGTTAGAAGACGAAATAACGCTTCTCGTGAAGAAAATAAGGCTGTGTTTCCTGAGACAAGACTTACTTCGCCTTTAGTAGCAGAAGTGAACAGATATGACAAACCGTCCAAGATTGGACGGTGAAATTGATGTGAAAAATATTTTTGTAAATAGTGTTTCATAAGGTAGGTTTCGGTAATTTATCCAGATTATCAGTATTTTTTGATGAAAAATCATCTTCAATGATCAGGCAATCTACTCGTGATTACATCATCCTTTAAAGTAACAGTCGTAAAATAAAAAATCTTCAATGGTCAGGCAATCTACTCGTGATTTCATCATCCTTTAAAGTAACAGTCGTAAAATAAAAATCTTCAATGGTCAGGCAATCTACTCGTGATTTCATCATCCTTTAAAATAACAGTCGTAAAATAAAAAATCTTCAATGGTCAGGCAATCTACTCGTGATTTCATCATCCTTTAAAGTAACAGTCGTAAAATAAAAATCTTCAATGGTCAGGCAATCTACTCGTGATTTCATCATCCTTTAAAATAACAGTCGTAAAATAAAAAATCTCAAAACGCATTTTGGTCAATTTACAATTGGGTAGACCCTAAGAAGAAACCGAAGTATGAAACTCATTATTTTCGTGGCTGAATAACTGACAGAGAAACGTAATCTTGTTATAAACGATCAAATATTGGCTCAACAAAACTCTCGTATGTATTAACAAATATTATCGTAAAATATGTGCCCAATCATCATCGCAACCATGACAAGACAGGAATTTTTTACAAGAAGACAATGGATCCTGGTCGTAGCAGTCGATAGAAGAAACTAGGTTATAATAAAGAATTACTTAAAATACTACGGAATGAAGTCTTCGCCCTTGAACATAAATGTTTGCACAAAAACGATGTCAACACTAGATTTCAGGTGTAATTTTTTTTCTAAAAAGAACATGAAAGACAAATTCAAAAAATAGTACGTTGTGAAAACCATTGTAATATATTACAGGCGCTGGAAAATATTTCTCCACCATTTTTTGTACCTGTTCCTGTATGCTTTAGATGAAACACCAACTGGCGTTCAGCACAAAATTGATAAGCTTTCCAAAGATCGGGTTTATCAGCAGTGTACATCATAAAGTCACTTGTTTCTTTAATGCCTATGTGAAAGTTAAAACATGAAGCGTCCGCTGATTTTTGAAATACAAGAAGCGGACTGCTCACCACAAGGAGTGTAAAGATCAACAAAAAGTGAACAAGATCCATTGACTTTTAGAGATTCAATTTTTAGTTTATCATTCCCTTGAAGAACAAACACTCGTTTTTCTTGTGTTTTTGCAGACAAATCACAGCTCTACAAAAAAGGTAATTATTTTGAATCAAAAGAAGTTTAATGTATAAGCTTTTTGCAACATACTTACCAAAGTGCAACGAGTTGTTCTTTGGAAATGAAGAATATTTCCAGATGAGATTTGACCTGAAGTAAAGTTCATCATGTTTAAAAAAGCTTTCAACCAACTGCTTAAAAACTATGCAAACCTTTTTCAAACATATACTTGAACATTCCAAAGAATTTCGCTTCGTTAATAAGGTTGTTCAAACTGGGTATTAAAGAAAAAATTAGTGTTAGCTTAACTCTATAAAATGGTGAATATAAAGCCATGATTGTAACGTGATGTGTCATAGGCAAAGAAACAGATAAATCTTTACATCACGTCGACCATATGGAAACAAGATTAGAGCTTTTTAATTTACAAATATTGATATGACATAGCACAAGTACATTGGTTTATTCTAAGGCTACAAAATTACACCGACAAAAAGTTGAACATACTTGATGTTAGAAGGAATGGTGAAACAACCAACTCTAGCAAACGACAGAATGATCTCAAATAAATACCCGTCGCGATCAAAAAAGATTTGACCTCTCTATAACGCAAATAATACATTTATTTATATAAAAACCAAATAAATGTAATGTCATAAATTTTCAAGTATGTTCAGTCAATTTCCTGACAATGATGCTTGTATAAACAAAATCAAATTGTATATATAACACTCTTAATAAATTTTTTTCTACTTCTGAAAATTTGAGTTTAACTATAATGAATACAATCATAAAGAACCTGGTTTATAGAAGCTGGAGCATTTCCTGTAAATATTTGCCATAAAATGCTGTCTGGGTAAGGTGAAAATGTCGAAGGTAAAATCTAAAGTATCACGTATAAAAGTTTTATATCAATATCAAATCATTTTAAAGCTCATCGGTAAGCAAACTATGTTTTTTTTAAAAACATGGCTGTATCATATTGAAATTATTATTCTTCAATGGCTTATTTCTTTACTCATAACTTACTTCGAATATTCGACCACCAACATTTAAACAAATAGTATTTCCATGATGAAGAAAAACATGACTACTAAAGAAAAATACATGACATAAGAAATTCAAGAATTTCAATTGTAAAAACTCAAATCACAGATAACACATATATAAAATTATTTAAATTTAAAAATTAACTGGAGATGAAATTCTTAAACTGAATTTCAAAAGACAAAGAAATTACTAACCCTTGGTTGTTTCCTCTGTGAGCTAAAGCGTTTCCTAATGTAGAATGACCATTATTTATTCCAACTCTGGAGGGAAACACAAAGGCTGATGGGATAGCTGGACGATGAGAGAGTAATGAATGACGAAGAAAAGGATTGGAGACGTAAGGAATTTGTGGAAAAGAAAGATTTGATGGGTTTTGAACGGAGTTATTAGATGGAGGTGAATTTTTGCTAAGAGTACCAATTTCATTGCAAGTAGAAAGATGTTGTGCTTCGTTTGAAGGTAGTGAATTACTTAAAACAGGAATAGGAAGAGCGGGTGGCGATTGATTCGTTTCATCAGGTAAAATATGTTTTGTCGACGATAAACAACTCGACTGAGTATGGATTTTTCCGTAGTTTCCAGTTAATGAGAATTGACCAACAGAATTACATTGTTTTACAACAGGTTTTACGGTTTGTATATCATTCAATGGAGAATTCAACACATCAGGAGAAAGATGAACATGAGGATCAAGATGTAAATTAGAAGAAACATCAACGGTATTTTCTTTAACTGGACCTTCATATATACTTGCTTGCGTCATAGGACACTCGAGTGAAGAGTCATATTTGAAATGCTCAATTGTATCTTCATCATGAGTTAAAGACTCCTGTTCATTGCTGGTATTGCCATCATTTGTACTTGATTGTTTTAATTCATTCAAAAATCGATCGTTTTTCAATCCAGTTAAAGGAACCGCACCATGGCGACCCAATAAAGCATTTCCTGATTCTTTTACTTCTTTAAACATGTCATTGTTCTTGGAACGTTGCCTAGGTGATAAAGAATCGCGTGATTCTTTTTTAAATATGTTCTTCATGGTAGAATTTTGCTTGTCAGTGTTGTATCCATCAGGTTTCATTGATGAAAAGTTTGGTGAGCTTTCCGAGGAAAATTGCTGCACAAAGTGAACTTCTCTTTCACTACCCAAGAACGTCTTGTTGTTAGCTGTTTTCTCCTTACCTCCATCAACGTTGGCGTCAGCTATTTTATCATGAGAATGATGTTTTTCTGTAAAAAATGAAGTACTGAACAAGCTATCAACAGAAATACGAAAATATTTCTCCTGAGGAACGACTTGTTCAGTGATGCGATGATCTTCATGTTGTTGGGTAGAGGTCTGATGTTGCTCATGTAAATCTTGTTGAGCACTCTTTACTATAGAGTATGAAGATAATAATAAATCAATTGATGATAACAAAAATCAAAATACTGAAAACAAATTAGCATACATACATACCAGGAAGTAATGTGTTGACGTTTACATCATTATTTGAGACAGATAGTTGAGAGGAGACCAGGGAGTTGTGATTAGCTAAACTAGTTTGAGACTTTTGTCGAAGATCTGTATTATTTTCAGAAGTAGAAATACTTGATGAAAGATAATTTCCAAGACCATTTGTGTTAAGATCAGCTAATGATGGAGTTTCATTTGAGAATAATGGTTTCATTTCATTCATGTGATTATCATTGGCAAAATTTTGTTCAGCTGTATTTAATCTTTGTACTTTGTCCAACTTTTCTTCATTTCTTGCATTGTCAACTGTTACAGTTTCATTGGTTGGTGATGAAACTTGGTCACTTTGCCTAACATTGAAAAAGGTTGATTTTAATAAATGATCTAGAAATACATAAGTGAATGTCTTGTTATAAAGAACAAAAAATGACATAAAGCTACCTGATGTTTTGTGATCTCTCAGTCACGTTGTTTGAAGATACATTTGATAGACACACAGGAATAGTACTTGGTTCATTTGTTGATTGCAAATTTAAATTCTCCAGTGATTGCTGTAATGGTTGTACATGAACAGCAGGTTTAAAGTTCTGTGATGTATTTCGCCTGTTACTTTTTCTACCACCTTGATAATTTTCATCTTTACGAGGTGCTTGTTTTCTTGTTCTTTCACCATTTGCTCTGTAAAATCGTGTATTTCTGTTTTCCTTAGGATGGTAATAATTCTTCCTTTTATCCACATTCTTTACTTCATGCTCTGTTTGGTTTTTTTGTAATTCATTTGTAGATAGCACTTCATCCATACCATCAAACTGCCTTTTTTCATTTTTTCTTGACATGGTTTGTGTGAATTTTACATCTTCATTTTGAGCTTTACTGGTGGCTGACTTGTACATTGGTTTAACTGACCTTATTTTGCTCTCTTTTGATATTAAATTATTTTCTTGAAACTTTTCATCAAAAGACTTTTTCATTCTTCGATTATGAAATGATCTTTCATCATTTTTTTGAGAATCTTTATTGTTCAATGGAAATGATTTGTTATTGCCAGTATTTTCCATTCTGCTTGAAATAGTTGATGCTATACAAGTAATAAAACAATGCTATATCATATTCAAACTCCATTTTAAAGTATCTAGATGGAAAAATATATACACGATAATGGTACAATTACCAAAATTGAACACATTTCAAACATAAATCATTAAGTTATACCAATTCAATTGTCAAGTCAAAAAAATTGACCATTTAGAAAAAGAACTGCAAGAGCAGATATATAACACACTATAAACAATAAAACACATTCCCAGCGCACTGTGCTGTTTTTATCACTAAAAAACCAGGGTACTAAAATAAATAAACACTTACAGTAATAGGTTGTCAAATAACAATCACTGATCTTCAAAAGTCCATATTTTTCTGTTATAAACAATGTTTACATTTAATTTAATTTTCAAAAGTAATTCAAAATTTAAATGAGCGTCCCTATGGTCTGACGGTCTGAATCTCCGAAATTCCCGGGAACATGTGCCGAGGGGAGATAATGTCCTTCAATCTTTACCATTTCATTCTTCATCCTTCATTAACTTCTTACCTCCATTGTGTTTTCCGTTTCGTCCGCATATCTTATAATACTGTATTCCAGTCATATTACTAGAGCTTAGTTTTCTGTACATGAAAAGAAAACCATTTGTCTGAATTAAATAATTTAGAATCGAAAGTCTTTTCTGTCTTATCTTGTTTTTGCGCACAATATGACCAAACTTCTGTGAAGCGTTTTTTATTAAATCAACCGTTACGAAATGAATGCAGATAGCGTGCATAACTACATTTACAAAGAACAAAAATAGGACAAGACATAGTAGAAAAATATGATTTATTCATTATGTAAATTATATTATTACAGTGGAAAATAACTACGTTATTGTCAAAAATATTTTACAAACGATCTAGCAATTCGACATAGAAGTTTTTTTATCGATATTTGACAGTCTTTGGCGTTGCTAATATTTGCTAATAATGGCGTTGTTAATATTTTAAGGATAAACATTAAATTACGAAGAATTTAACTTGTCTTGGACACGGAATACCATTGCAAAAACTTCAAATTAAACTATAGAGTGTAATATAGAAGCAAACGTTTATGCTTTCTCCACTTTAATTTTTTTTTGAAGAAAACTAGAATCAACAGAAGTATTTCTCTTCAACAATTGAGACGAAGACTTAGGACCAGCAGCAGTAAGAAAAATATTACAAGTGCGAGTGGGTTGCACAGTTGTACGTTCTACGGCAAAAGAACATGACTGCAAACCAGAGCCTTGTTCTGGATAAATTTCATGTTGCATTGAAGTAGACAAACATGGTTGACCATTTGAACTCGGTATTACTTCATCTGTTGAAACAATGGAGCTGATAAGAGAGGAAGGATCTCGTGCCGTTTGAGGAAAAGTACCTGGTTTGTTTTCATGTATTTTTTTCAATGCCAACAATTTCTTAGTCGCTGGGAAAAGATCACGCGATACAGACTCACAACTTTGAGACAATGATGAAGAAGTAAAAACGTTTGTCTTGTGTCCGGAACTAAGAGCTCTTGTTTGTGTGTTGCACACAGTTACATTGCCAGATCCAAGAATACTTTTATCATATGTTTCATGCGAAGCTTGAATTGTGGAATACTTCGCAATTTCATCAACTTGCATTTTGTTTTGCACAACGGGAACTGGGTCATTATTTTTTGAAGTATTTTCCGTCTTTCCTAAATCACAAGCTTTCCTTAAACTCTCCAGCTCGAACTGTAATTCTTCTGCATATTTGTCGCTGTTTTCTAATGCTTTTTTTAACTGCTGGTTCTCTTTTTCATACGTGTCAATTTTGGCTTTCAAACCAGTTATCATAAACTTTTCATATCTACAAGCAGATGTCGTGGATTGGTTAAAAAGTACAAAAACTCAGGTGTACTTTTATATTATTAATTTTAGACTGTAAGAAAACATGCAAAGTTGAATTTACCGAAGGCAAACAACTTTTTGGTAGGTACGAACCTTTGTGGTGATTTTGTAAACATAGAATCTTCCTTTAACTTGGAAACTTCTTTTTTCAAACAAATATTGTCTCTTTGCAATTGTTCTTTTTCCTGTTGCAAAATTCAATAATATTATTAAAAATGCATGATAAAACATGTTGGATAAAACAACCATATAACAGCATTATTACATTAGAACAGATAATTAAGAAAAAAAGGAAAAAAGTGTGATTCATCCATAGCAATTATTTCCACTTCAATTCATTCTTTGATAAAGAACAGTTTATGGCAGCAGACAAAAAACTTCTGTTGTACATAAAAAAAAACATATTTTTTAATTAACTAGTGGAAATATTTACTTTTTGAAGTTTACTCATAGCAGCAAGGACATCATCATATGTTTTACTTATTTCTTGAAGTTTCTTTGTCAAACTTGTAAGCTCACTGATGTCGCAATTATTTTTTCCGCGACTTGACTCAGTTATTTCCAAAGCTGCTTCTTTGTTTTTTAGGTTTTTTTTCAGTGCTTCGTTTTCAGCAGTCGCAGATTTGAGTTGCTCACTCAAACTTTCAATTTCAGTCTATATAAATAAATTTTGTTAAAAAATCAACATCAACATAAGATCAGGAAAGCAATTTACCAATACTATCTTATTAACAAATGAAATCAAAAATTAAAGGGCAATGAATGTGATATTTTCTGGCCTGGGAACTATTTGGAAAGTAATAGAGCAAGAAAAAAGGTTAGATTTTGCTATATAATCTGCTTTGTGGAGAAAAAAATTCTGGAATTTTCTCCTTTATCTAAAATTTTGAAAACTACTATTTTATTCATGCTTGTTGCAACCAAATCTCTTTACCTCATACTCCATGCTAAGAAGTTTCATTCTTGTCTTCCGAAGTTGCATTTTCATTTCTAGGCTCAGAGATTCTGGGTTGTAATCGTTACTTCCTACAGACATTGACAACTTACTATTTTGTATATTTTTACCAGGCAACTTTAAACAAAATAACACTGTGTTAACATTTTCTTACAACAACTAACAACAAACAAATATTAGATTTGTAACATGTCAATGTAATTTGAACATAATTGTAAATGTGAAAAGTGGGAATGTAAATTTATTTTTTCATCATGTATCCAGTGGAGATACATGATGATAGGAAATTTCCCTTGTTTGTGGTACCATCATTAATTATAAAACAAATGTAAAAGTAAAAACTGTATAAAGTACCACTATCTTCAAGAAGCAAGGATGCATTATGACACTACTCACCTATGACCTTTTTATAAGGTTTTTCCTGACTTATTTCAATTCGACAAGTAGGACAACAGTTGTTTTTTTGCAACCATGTATCAAGACAGGTAATACAAAATGTGTGGTTATTCTGGCACAATACTGGATCTTTTACCTAATGAAATTATCAGAATCCATATCACTGAAATTAATATCTCATCATCATTGTGACAGCAGTTAAAAACTAATAAACGCCAAACGCTAAAGAAATGAAATTTCTGTAAGGGAAATAAACTATCAATAAATTCACATTAGGATAAAAATGTATTTCAATAATATAGTTTTTCCTTTTGTTTTCTGGTTGGTTATATGGATTGTTTTCAAATTTTCGACAAGACTGGTAAAAAAAGAAATATCATCGTTTGCATGCTGACTTTACTAAATCAAAACACCGAACCATTAATACATTTAGCAATTGTAACTTACTTTCCCCAAGCAAATATGACATGATATTGGAAATGTCAAAGACAATGAACTCATCGCTTCTGTATAATTCCACTAAACAGCGCTACATTAAAATATCTTATGTGTCAAAACAAAAAAACAAACAAATTGGAAAATACTTGCATAATATTATAATTATTAGCGATGCGCGACCTTGGAAATATGAACTTAAATTTTTCCTTCCGAACATTCTATTTCGTTGAACTTGAACTCTCTACTGACCTTTGACATTGATTTATGCAGATCATGTGAAGCCACGTGTTGTATAATTATTAAAACGTCAACTGAAAATCATTTTTAACAATAATGCGCATTAAAGTTAATGGTTTGAACCCGGGAGTATCGTTACATGTTTGTAGATGTAGATCGTCCAGGTCTCAGGACTCTACTTGACGATCTACATCAACAAACATGTAATAATGATGCATATGTGCAAGGAGTTCTCGAGAATCGAAGTACTGCTACCCATGCACATTGAAGAAAGAGTTAAAAAAGTTAGATGCCCAAGCGCTATGATGTAGGAGATAAATGACACTTTCATGCTCCTCAAATTTTATCATCAAAATAATTACGTTAGTTAGAGACGTAAGCAATCTTTTGAAAAGTTTCGTGGAAAATAAACTGGGATAATCCATGGCCATGGTAAATTACAATATAATCGCCAAGATGTGACGTCACAGGAATGCAAAATGGCCGACGAAGTAGCAGATGAATGGTTTTTTGGAAAACTTGTTGTTTTTTCAAGTTGTCTGAAGCTTTTCCTCTTACAAACATAGTAAGCAAATCTGCTTTGAAAAATTCTTTGTATAAAGAAATATGTATCAAGTATTTTTTTATCTAAAACCTACAATGAATTATACTTTCCTAAATTTTAGTCGTTCATCTGACTTTGAAGTTCACCGAAACTGGCTTGCTATTACTAACAGCTTACCAATATCAAAATGGTATTATGAGGCAAGTGCAGATTTCAAATACCTATACTGGCTTATAGTCATAACTTTATCTAAGTTGCCGTCATTATGGAACTTTACTGTTCCAGGCGACATGCCAATGGACTCTTGACTACCCTCCGTTCTTTGCTTGGTTTGAATTTCTTCTTTCGCAAGTTGCTACACTTGCAGATGCTGAAATGACTAAGATTAAAAGTTTGGAATATGCCAGCATTCAAACTGTGGTTTTTCAACGTACGAGCGTTATTGTAGCAGATATGATGTTGGTTTATGCCATGTACAAGTATGTTTCTTATTCTTATTGACAATATTTTAAAGTATATAATCCTTTCATCAAAATTGTTTTCATCCATTTTATAGATATTATTGTCATATCACCAATGAAAATTGTTTAAATCAATATCAATCATCAATTTATGTGGTCAAAAATAAAGCTAAATTTATTAGCATTTTTATTTTGTTGAACTTTGGATTGATAGTAGTGGATCGTATCCTTCAAAAAATCATTGTTGAATATTTATTAATGTAAAAACCCAAAAGCATGCTTTCAAAAGCACCATTAAATACAATGATATGACAGATTGTTTGTTAGTTCACACCTGTCTTTATGCCCTGACTATTTTATTTCTTTGTGTTATCCACAGCTTACTTCGAACATCGTTATTTTATTGCAATATGTAAATGTTAAGTTCTAGCATGTAATTTGACCACTCATAACCAACATTTAAGTATTCTACACTACTCATAATTCAATAGTTTTGAATGTTTAAAGAGTTTTGAGATCTTTTCTTATCATATTTAGTCAAAACATGTTTCACAAATAGTTATTCTTTATCACTAGTTTTTATTCATCTAAATTGTCTAGATAGTGTTATTGTAAATGTAATTATTTTTGTCTTTCCTTCATTTATCTCTTAGATATTCACTTTCAGTATAATGGCTTTTTATTTGGAATTCTTCTATTATCTATAACTAGAATGCTCGAGGTGTGTTTTTCATAATTACAGCTAACATTTGCAAATAATTTGGCCACATGAACTTACTTAATGGTTCAAATGTCGTCACTCAACTTTATGCCTTTGTGATTGATGTGGTTACAAAATGTGATGTATCCCCCCCCCATTTTCTTTGTGAATTTTTATAAAAAGTCAGACCCAGAACGTAAACCCATCAAATTTTTGGAATGTCTTCTCCTTGTTGAGATTGTAGTATTTTTTGATAAAGAGAATGATGAACCACTAAAAATAGATGGAGAAATAGCTGGCTCTCATTATTTGATGTATAGAGTCTGTCAGTTATGTGCAAGTACATTAATGTAGACATACGTTTTTCTCGTCTGCGATCTCTGGCTTTGTATTTTTATTTGCCAAGAGCAATTGTAATGAACTTTGTTCAAAGAAGGTTTTTTAGCTATTTATACTTTTATCAAATAAGAAATAATTATAGTCAGTCCTAGTTAATTTTTTTATGTTCATCGATATTTTTATTATGTAGGAAGAATTTTTGTGGTCTGCATTTTGGTTTTCAGTTCTTCTCAACTTCAAACACATCTTTCTATATATAGCTCCAGTTTATTTTGTGTATTTGTTGAAACGTTATTGTTTCAAGCAGAAAGGTATTTGGCTTGTTCATTTTTGACATTACTAATTATGTTGGGTATAATTTTTATCGTTCATAATCATCAATCATGTTAGTAGAATTACTCAAGTTCTTTGTTTGAATTAAAGACAGGAGCTTCCTCCTCCTCTCTCCCAATCAGCCAAAGGATTCTTCTTGTAGAAAAATGAAAACCAAATAGATACGTGAATTGAAAGGAGGGGCGCAATAACTAGTTGACTATCCATGTTACCGTACCGAATTATGCAAGATCTTTCCTCAGATTTTCCGGACTGTTAAAAGCACGTATATAAACTTGTACAATATCTTTTTAAGGTTCAACAAAGTCTGTTTTCCCAGGACTCGATATTTGGGAGTTTTTGCCTTTACAATTCACGAAGCTTGGGTGTCTAGTCGTTTTTGTTTTTTCTCTATCGTTTGGGCCTTTCATTGTGATGGTAATTGATTCTTTTACTTGATAGGGTTTAATATATTTGACTAAGTTTAAAAGTTTAAATAAATCATATGGCAAAAATATAATTACCATTCACCCTGGCAATTGCATTTTTCAAGGCAATATTTTAATGCACATTTAATATGAACGACAAGTTTTTTGAAAATAAACATGTTTCGACATCTCATGATACCATCTTCAGTATGAGTGAAGATGGCATCATGAGATGTCGAAACATGTCTATTTTCAAAAAACTTGTCGTTTATATTAAATGTGCATTGGCAATAGTGCTTTTACGAAATTATGACAATATTTTAAGTTGTCACCACGACAAAGTCTGTTTTATTATGCGTCATTTTTTTAACTATTTACTATCTAGTGCTGTATGCTGGAAAATATGACTAACGAGTCTCTAATCTGTTAAGTGAAGATTATTTTTTATTGCTATCAGATAATAAAGATGATAAGTCTATGATTAAGAGAGATTGGCTAAACTATTTAATTTATAAATTTTCTTGTCATACACTCACAGATTACGTATATATGTATGTATTTTATTATCAATAATATAGTTGTCGTGAAATTTTGCTCTCACGTAAAGTTGGATTCTATTTTTTTAGGGTCAATCGAAACAAGTTCTTAATCGTTTATTTCCGTTCAAACGTGGTTTGTGTCATGCGTACTGGGCGCCCAACTTTTGGGCGTTGTATAACGCATTAGACAAAGCTCTTGCTATCATAGGTATTTTATGTATTCAAAAATAAATTTTTAATTTGTTTGAGTATTTATTTGGTTTTATTTGTTAATATGTGAGGATATTTAAACTGCTTTTTTTTCACTTTATTTGTTTCTTTTACCCTATATTTGATTATTTTTGTTTTAAGGGCGAAGGATGGGTGTTATTGATTCCAAGAACATCCAATCAGCTGTAATGACTGGAGGTCTTGTGGGTAATTACAAACATACTGTGTTACCTTCGGTATCTCCTTTAGCAACTTTAATACTAACAGGAATGTTTATTATGGTACGTTGATGTGTTTTTATCAGTCTTTTGACTTTACACTTTTTTGCCGTCTGAACGTTTGAATCTCACTCACTCACCATGCAGACTTATAGTACCGACCTCGAGTAACATAACTTGACTCGAGAGTATCGAATGGCGAGTGGGCGAGTCACTCGAGAGGGACGAGTTGCGATTGAGCGAGTGACTTGCGATGTAGTTGCGAGTCACTCTCGAGTGTGAGAAGTTTGCGAGTGAATAAATGACTCGCTGTAAACGGACTAGAAAAGTCCTCATAACGGACTAAATATTTTAAACGTATTGATTGTTATATTGTTTATGCTATTTGATTTTTTGTTGTTTGTTATTTGCCCTCGTTTTTGTGCTATTGTATGATGTGAGGTAGAAGTTGTTTTGTGATGAATGTAAGGATTTATTCATGTTGGTCATGTTGGTGAGTGGGTAAGAAAGACGTTTTTTGTTGATGAATGTAGAGTAAATCATGTTGGTGAATGGATAAATCTGACTTTGTTTTTTATGGAGTGATTCGTCATTTATGTAAGTCATTTGGAAGGTGGATAACGAAGACGTTATTTTGTAATGAATTTATTAGTGTTGGTCATTTTGATGAGTGGATAAGACGTTATTTTGTAATGAATTTATTGGTTTCATTCGTTATTTGTAATGAATTTATTAGTGTTGGTCATTTTGATGAGTGGATAACGAAGACGTTATTTTGTAATGAATTTATTAGTGTTGGTCATTTTGATGAGTGGATAAGACGAGAATAACTTCATTGGTTTCTTATCTGATTTTACAGCCTTGTCTTATGCAGCTGTGGATAAAGGCAAACAAGACAAGACAATTTTTGAAAGCCTTAATATTGTGTGCATATGGTTCCTTTCTGTTTGGTTGGCATGTTCACGAGAAAGCTGTTCTTTTGATAACTATACCTTTTAGGTATAAAAAACCTTGATATTTGTTGTTTCATATAATTGTTCATTTAAAACTGTTTTCCTTTTTTTAGTCTGCTGTCGTTTGAAAGTAAACTCTTTTCTCGTATATATATAATTCTATCAGTATCAGGAAGTTTTTCTTTATTTCCATTGTTGTTCCAACCGAACGGTAAGCAACTTTGCTTGACAATTACGACATAATTTTTCGACAGTTTCTTTCTTTTTGCCAGAAACACCGATTAAAGTGATTTTGATGTTGATGTACATGCTGTTTTTGTTTTGGTCTCAATCGAGAATACATAGGTAGGTGGTTAAAATTAGTCAGTTTTTCAATTGTTCCATTAACGTATACATATTTACGTTTTGTAATATTTTTTCACTTAATGATAATAATTTTTGACTTTAATGTTTTACGAAAAATTTTTTAGTTATAATGTGTCTTTACTTCGTGTTTTTATATGTAGAGAGTCGTTTACTATAAGATCGCTATAAGATTATTATGTACATTTCCTAATAATGAATAATGATCTTACTAATTCTTCCTTTTTCATGATGATAGTTTTGTGTGTGTGATTTGCAACCGTTCAATTTTATTTTGTCTGCTATATTCATCCCTATTATTTAAAAACCTTTTCAGATCATAAACTTCTATTTTTTTTAATCTAATTTTTGATAGTGCCACTTGCATTAACAATTTATTTATTGATTTTTCTGCTCGATTAATAGTGACAAAAGTCAGCATCTTCTCAAGTGGTTTGAAAAATTCTATCTTCTTGGATTTGTTCTGTTAGAAATTTATAATTTGTTAATTCACAACGCTTTGCAATATACAAAAAAACTTGAATTTCTTCCATTATTGCTGACATCTGTCTATTGTGCTGTTGGAATTCTCTGGTCTTGGATTTTATTTTATTTTTCTACTTTTATGGAACAGTCCAAAGTAGCTATGGACTGAAAACTAATGTCGAAATTTACCACAACTTCGTCAAAGTACCTGTCTGATTCTATTGACAATGACACTAAAATGTATTACCAATAAAAAAATAATAAGTTGAATATTTTGGCTGAGATGCTCAGTTTCAGCTGGCTCCTATCTTCTCTTTTGGATTTATTTGGACAGGGTTAGATTAATCATTGAGATTATTATTTTCAGGCCAAGAATTAATTTTCAAATGTGGAATAGAAGATTTTAACAAAATTATTCAGAGGACAGGCTTCTGGTCATTCTATAGCCGGGGGGGGGCAGGTTCATTTCAACTCGGAAGCAAAATGTCCGCTTTATCGCGTGGAGCGATGATTGTGTTTGAGGGTTGCGATCGCTGTGGAAAGTCAACTCAGAGTTTAAAACTTGTAGATTATTTACAGTCATTGGGAAGAAGAGTACAATTATTTAGATTTCCTGGTTAGTGAATTATCAATTTTGAGATCTTAATGATGAGGTAAATTCTGAATAACTGTCCATTATGAATATGGATACACCAGAAAATAAGCCTTAACGTTCTTCCAGTTACATTTGACTTAAAAATCGATAGGTAGTATGTAGTTTGTCTGTATAATCTGTCTAATAATCCTATTAACGAAAATTTGTTGTTTAAGTGTGAATTTGTATTTGTGGATGTCTTTATCAATTTTAACTACACAATGACGACATGCGATTTTTAATCATACTCAGTATTATTAGAAATTTATAAACACTGGCATCTTATTGCCTTTAATAGCCCCGTATCAATAAATTTGGATTTTCTTTTGACTGACAGGACATTAGTTTTAGCTGGTCTAATTTTTGTTTAATATCTTCAGGACAATGTCAAATCTGTATTCGGGACAGGTGAACCCACTGGTGAGGGGATTTGTCCTGGGCCTCAACCAATAACAGAGTCCTCAATTTGAAAACAAAACTAGAATGAAGACAATATTATTTATTTTGACTTTCCAGACATGTTGCACACATAACATTCAGTTGTCAATGTTTAAAATTAAGATGTCGCAGGAAACAGGGACATTATTTTGCAAGCAGAAGATTTAATTACAAATTTAAATTTGTTTTTTTAAAAAACAGGGCTAACAAAGGCTCTTGAAATAGTTCTCTTCTCAGCTTTGCTAAAATGTTGTCTTGAATTTCAATATTTTCAAGAAACAGGAAAGAATTAAATTATGTTGCAAAAATAATTATTAACAAGTTTTAGAATTACTATATGCTATTCCTAAAATTATTCCTAAAATAATTTTGAGACTGGTTATCCAAGAATAAGTGTAAGTTTTAACAAAATGTTTTTAGTCAATAATTGTGATTTACAACTTGAGTATAAGTCATCTGAATTTGTTCACTGTGTGACAAATCTGTTCATTTGGGCAGCTCTGTATGAAATAAAGGAAATTAATGGTTGATAAGGTGAACTTTAAAGAAACATATTTACACCACTATTGAGATTTAGCTTTCTAAATTTCAATGGTGGTGCAATTATTTTGTTCTTTCAAAGTAGTTTTTGGTATGCAATTTATTTCAGTTTTCATAGAAATGTCATGTGCTGTAGAATTTGTATTTTCATTACAACTGATACAAATAATTGATGAAATTTTACAAAAGTAAATCGAGTGTTATAAATGTACATAAAATAGTAAATATTTTATTACGATTATTGATGTATTGTGACCTGTACACTACACCAAGTACTGTTGCATTTATGAACATTCAATTGTTTTTTTCTCAACAACACAACTTGCACATTGTTGCTTTAATTTTCCACTAGACTAGAGGCAATGTGATTTGATCACTAATAAGACAAAGGACAGTAAAAAACTGGTTTCCAAGATGTTAAAATAAAATTACGTTGAGTTTGCAAATCAACAATTGCATCGCTGACTGAATGCCTAGAATACACTGCATGCATAGGCAATTGATTACAACTTCAAATATTGTTGACCACAATTTAGTACGACACAAACTCTCTCTTTTCAATCTTTTGTAATTTATCTAAAATTTCAATCCAGACAGAAGCACCGATATTGGAAAAACCATTGACTCCTATCTTCAACGAAAATCAGATCTTGATGATCATGCTGTACATTTGATGTTTTCAGCCAACCGTTGGGAAATGAGGTAAGTGCATGCAAGGCTTTGTGGTACTTAGACAGGACGCTTTAAAAAATTTAATTTAAAGTTTTTGAAAACTAATGTTTGAGTAAGAACGTAAGTTAATGTAGTGATGGAATGAAAAATTTAAAAAGTTTAGATTATTTATATATATTTTTTGATATATTACATTGAATTTTTTTTGTTGCCACAAATTTTATGATTTACTTTCACGTTGAAACGATATTTTCGCCATTCTCGCGGCTCTGTATGGATGAAACTAGGCTATGATACGTTGTAGTTGAATTTTTGCTGAAGATTATAGTTACTTTGCTACAGTGTTATCTTTCATTATTTTAGGTCGAAAATGAAAGCATTGCTTGAAGAAGGAATTACTCTCATTGTTGATAGATATGCTTATTCAGGAGTGGCTTTCACGACCGCAAAACACGTAAGGTCAAACTTTATGTATCAGATTATTTTCTTTCATCGCCATTTATAATAGTTGGTTGTCTAAAGCTGTCGTATGTCAAAAAAAGAAGGATACATTTAAGCAAAATGTTTTAAGAATAACAAATCCTGTCGAAGAGAGATTGAGAATTGCTATTTGTATGAAGCAAAATACGTATATGGATGAAAAAATTTTGATCAATAGCCGATTTTATATTTTAGAATAGTAAATAACATACGGATTATCATTTTATTGAATTAGGAAATAATTTTAGTGATATTTTTTTACTGATCATGTCACATGTCGGTAAATCATTTACATTCTTCAATCCTGTTTTGACGCAAATGCTCAAGCTTTTCGTAAAATTGGATCACGTACTCTGTCAATCATTATTTTAATTAGGAATCATAGATTATACTTGTCATTTGACTCATCTCAGTTTGTTGTGTATATGAAATAATCCTTTTGTATAAAATAAATTACAAGTACAATTTATGAAACATAAAATGGGTTATGTAGTATTATTTATAAAACATGTATAACAGTTTACGTTTAAAACATATAATGTTTACATAGTAAAGTAAAGTTTGTTGCATATAAATAATACAACATATTGAAAAGGTAGCTTTTGCAACGCGTTAAGTGTGCAACATGAAATTTTGAAACAATTACAACATGTTAAGTTTATGGAATATGACATTGACTTGTGCAGATTATAACGTAGATATTATATTGGTCATACACTGGTAAATTACAGATGGTAAATAATCAACATTGTTGTTACATTTTACACATTACTATCACATCAAAAGCATTTACATTACACATTGGCATTAACAATGTATCAGGATTATTAAAATTGTATCAAAATTATATAAAAGTTTTGCAATAACGAATATAGATTTATTCATGCAACTGATCAATTAAAGCAACATTACTATGACTATTTAGCATTTTAATCTTGAATGGTGCAAGATGGCGGATAGTGGTTTAATCGCCCCAGATGTAGTTTTATTTCTTGATTTGCCTCTTGAAGAAGCAGCAAAGCGAGGAAAGTATGGTGATGAAAGATACGAAAACTTAGAATTTCAACGAAAAGTTTCTGATGTTTATTCAAGATTAAAGGAACAAAACTGGAAGGTTTTTTCTATGATTTTTTCTTCGTATATATATTATATTCTACACAATATGTTTTTTTCATATGGTTTACATCACGTTGTGTGTTTAATGGCACTGATTAATGAGACATCTCTGAATAACATTTTCTGTTTTCTTGTTTAGATTTTAAATGCTTCACAGTCTATTGACGATCTTCAGGATGAGATACGGGAAATTGTTGAAGACGTCATGAATAATACAACAGATAAAAAACTACAAACTTTGTGGCCTTTAAACACTGACTTTTAATTTTTTGAATTAGGAAGTTGATTGAACACAATGAAAAAGGTGTTTAAGTTGTTTTTCCTGTGGATATAACAAGGAATTGTTACAATAGATTACTAAAAATAGCTTTTATTCTACGTACCCCATTTTCACGACAACCACTTTCTTTTCTATTGATTATGTTTAAAATATCTCGAACTTTTTCACATGCTAACATGACCAGATCAATTATAGTTCCTTAGTAGCTAGTAACCACGATGAATTTTGCTTCGATTTAGTTATTATATTAAGTAATTATCGACCTTGAATTTAAGTTGTTAAAATTACTATATTTACGGTAGTGCAATAAATAAAATTTTTGTTTGTTTTGCTATATTGTGACCTGCAATACTTGCATTCACTTCACTTCATAACGATAATTCATTTTAAATTGGTTAGTTGAATAGTTTCAAGAGCAATTCCGGATAAACATGAACGAGTGAGTTTTTTAAAGACTGCAAGTTTGTTTAGATTTTACTGCTTTTAAGCGATTTAGGTCATAGTGTTTACGATGAACTTACAAATAAAATACACTGAAACCAATCACAGTCGAGAAATTTCTCATATTCGTGTAAGTTTTTTTTAATATTTGCTATATGAAGTGTATAGTTATGTAAATTTATGTCAATAGTAAAGCTGGTATTCAGGGATTCATTTACAATAAAATTGTCGAGATGACTCGAAGATAACTGTGCCTTTGACTTCAGCTAAATCTGTGAACAAAACCTAATTTAAAGTTCATTGTGAATCACTGTACCACAAGCTTACAGACTTCAGTAGACTTGAATTAAAATCTTTATGACTACTTGCGTTCACGAATGTACAACAAATTATTCTGTTTTCAAATTTGATTGTATAGGAGGTTTCGTCAGTCAGTTGAATACAGACTGTTGATATACTGATAACTTCTTGTTTTACTGTGAAAAGCATGTTTTTGTTTCTTGCCAAATTAGGTGCCTTGCTGTAGGAACATTGTTTGAACGAGTGATAAATGTTTTACTTGTTGTAAATGTAAACAGTCTTTTTTTAAATTTTAACCCTCTCACCTGCTGTGGGTCAAGATTTTACTGGACATAATCCTCTTTTATAGCTTGTTCTCACTCAAAAATTGCAATAACATTTTTACATCCGCTAATGAAAATACACATTCAACAACATATGATGACAAAGGCGACATTTTGAATGTAACAAGCAGACTGCATGAATTTATACTTTATTTTATTTATGTAAAATAATTTTCAAATTGTAATACATTTAAGAATGTTTTCACAAATGGCTGGGGTGATTACATACTTACATTACATGAAATATAAAATTAAAAGTTTGTCAAATGGTATATCGGCAATCTTAAATGGACACAAAGTAAAACCGACAACTGTTTGAAAGGATGTAATGTCATCTATTTTTTGGCGTCGCATTAACGTCTTAAATGAATTATCATATGTAGCTGTACACGCTGTATACGGTTTAAATTACTGGTTGTTTTTTCCTTAAAATTAACTATGTCGGGTATATTTAAGCATTTTATATATTTCTTATCTTAATTTAGTGGATTGTTGAATTTTAATATCGACTAAATTACCTTATATATATATATATATATTTAAACATCGTGTTTTACATGATTCGGTATGAATGAAATAAAAAAGTCGGCTGATGAGACAACTCGGCAATCGTTTGATACGAATGTGATGACAGATAAGAAACATTGCAAGAGAAACTGTAGTTGAATACAGATGGTCTAGAAAGAACGATGCTTTCAATATTATTTTTCCTTGTTTTTCAAATGGTTTTTTAATTACATGAATAGAAATCCTGTATAAAAACCTGACTGAGAAATGCTTAATATCACTGTACATTTGCAATATCACTTTTCAAGTCTCGAACATTCAAATATTTTACTATCAAATATGAAGACAATTCAAAATTGACAAACACTTTCGAACAGGTCACGATAAAGTTTTAATTATTTTAACTGCATACAACTATACAAGAAATGAATTGTTTGATGTTTGAAACATGGTTTATCTTAAACAACCAGTCGATCATTATAAAAATACTGTAAAAATTCTCGTCAGTTCTTCAGCTGCTTTAGCTATATTTTAGTGCTTGTATCGTATAACAGTGTAAAATAAGACTTCAAATTTAGTCTTTTGTAAATTGAGGTTTAAAATATGTTTTGTTTTGTGGTGCACACATGAGCTCAAGAAGTATATGTTCAGTCCTGTATAGGCATGCTTAAACAATGTGTAATTTTTTTTTTGCATCCAGCAACGATAAAAGAAAAACAAAGAAATGCGATGATACAACATAGCATATGCTATATTCTTGTTTTAATTATCCTGTTGGCCTTTCAGTAATTGTTGTTGAATTTTCAGAAATGGATGGAATGAATAACAGGAAAACTTAAATATTCATGATGTTACTATAGTAAGATACGTTTCTCATTTTTCTTTTCGATCGGCGTTTGTTTGAAATATGACGTGACGAGAGATTAAACAAATTTGAACAGACCTGTATTAAGCAATTTTAATTTGTCCTTCAAAATGATATAGTTTGAATTAATTGTTGGCAAAAATTTCTTAGTTTTCATGCATCAACATAAACTTAGTGTCATTTTTCACAATGGGTGGTGCAAAATATAGACCTGTTGTCAAACGTCTGTTATCTTTTGGAGGGAGTTCAGCTGCGAGGATAAACTTTTCACAAATTTGATACAATTCATGACCACTATTGTAAATAAGGTACGACTAAAAAAACTTATTTACATATAATAATGAAACGAAATCAACTATTGGTTTATGAACAAAAAAGGCTGTGTTTTATGTCTTCTTGATTCATGAAATTGGAAGTTTTGCGACGTTATTTCATGTGAGTTGTACCATTATGAAAATAATAGGGTCAAAATCTATTGCAATTTCCACATTGGTTTCATGTTACCGATCTAATGCAGGAGTATGAATTCTACAAAATATAATTTCTCGCTGATTATTGTCTGTTTAGATGGTTCAATGTATGAATTGCTCGCAGTCAATGTAAGTACGCTACTTACCGTACTTTTTCAATGCCATAGCGAAGCATATGATATGCTAAAATATTCAATTATTTTGAAATAGTTGTATCGCAGCAGGGTACCAAGTTCCGGTTAATTTTATTAAACCGTAAAACAAACGTCTGTCTCTTTTGAGGCTGTCATTCAACGACCTTACGTCCAATTAAATTGACTTATTCATACCAAGTGTGAAAGTATTGGCGAAATATTCGCCATTTCAATTTTTCAGTAGACAGTCCAACTAATAAGTTGCTTGCCTAAAGATTGAATTAATCTTTTTTTTCCTAATTTACATCATCATTGTTTGAACTTGTTATTTATAGACTGCGGAAGAATGGCACGATTTGACTATATTGCGCAGCAAAATGTTTACACAAATATGGCTTTTCAGCGCGCAGTAAGCGAAGTTGATGAACAACAATCGTTAAGTTTTCATCCAACATTGTTTGTTGATGGTAGCGCAACTCATCTTCAAGGTTTGAACGTTGTTAGTGGCAGCAGTGGACAAGCAGCAGTACATGGCTACCCCGTTGATCTAAATCATACCACAAGCGCATCTCAAGTGGCATATACCAGCCCACAGTCAAATTACGCAGGAATTCCTCCCTTTTCGTCGCTACTCACTGCAAGAGATCTGTTTCTTAGGAGGGACCATCATCCCGCAGTGAATAACAATCCTGAACAAACGTTTCATCATGCTTTACAAGCGTCAGTTATAACACCTTCATTTCAAAATCATGGTTTAAGTCTTGCTATTGCAAGTCAACTGGCTAATAATGGGAATAGTGGAACTGAAGAAACTCATTCACTTACTGCACTTCGTCCTGTAAATCAAACAGAACATGTTGATGTTACTGTATCAACAGATGGTCATGCTATCCTTTCAAATACCACCACAACAATGGTTTCTAACGTGTTACCATCAACCAATCTAAAATCTGTCGCTAATTCACGAATTGAAACATTAACAAGTGGTGCTTTTACTCCCTATTATAAACAAACCGATATCAAGCAAGAACTTACATGTCAATGGTTACTTAGTAAGGGTAAGCTTGACAATTGCGTATGTGGTTGTAGTTTTACGAGTCTTGTTGATCTTGTCAAACATTTATCTAATGAACACGTTGCAAACCCGGAGACTTCAAGTCATATTTGTCGTTGGGATCAATGCTCTCGTGAAGGCCGTCCATTTAAAGCAAAATATAAACTGATCAATCATTTGCGTGTACATACTGGTGAACGTCCATTTCGTTGTCCATTTGATAATTGTGGTAAGCTTTTTGCGCGCTCCGAAAACCTAAAGATTCACAAAAGAATACACACGGGCGAGAAGCCGTTTGTTTGCGAATTTGAAGGCTGTAATCGACGCTTTGCAAACTCCAGCGATCGTAAAAAGCATTCTCATGTTCACACTTCAGACAAACCTTACATCTGCAAAGTTGGAGGCTGCGATAAAAGCTACACGCATCCAAGTTCTCTTCGTAAACACATGAAGGCACATGCGTCTGCAAAAGAAGTAGTAAGTATGACGACTTCCCTACTCGTTAGTGGCGAGACTGAAGGATTATGTCCGTCGCTGACCACAGGTGGTGGTGATACTACTTGGTATATCAGCGAAAAACTAGCAAACACAGCGGGAAATGTTGAACAATCAAATGGTAATACATCTCCAAAAAACAGACTTAATCCTGTTTTGAAAAATAACGCGTGAAGGAAAGGTTACATAGAACACATGCTCAAATAAACTTTGGCAAAATGATTCAGATTCAAATGATTATGCAGAAGTGCGCACTTTAGCTATAGAAATGAATTCAGCTTGCTACATAAAAGTCAGGCTTTTACTGCGCTGAAACGCCGTACTTTTGAGAGAACAGTAACAGTATGAGTCGAATGATGAGGGGCTTGTTGTTCGATTCATCGCAAGGTCAGGTGAAAATCATATGTTATACTTGATCTTTGGACAAAGATGTCGGCAAAAATTACTTCACAAGACCGTATCACCTGTACTTAAAGGTAAACATTACTACAAGACGCAACACATTTTAAATTCCATTATGAATAACCATTCAACCACGCGCGGGAAATATTTTGATACTAGTGGTAGTATCTCTTCGCGTTTCATACAGTTTGTTTATAAACAAGTATGCATATGTTATTGTAAGTAGAAATTATGAGAATAGATTATATTTTCGTTACGTTTATGTCTGTTTAGAAGATGAAAATATCGCTTTAAAATAGCTATGAACGTCTTTATTATTTGTTCAAAATATATATGTACTTTAATTCTTTTAAAAAATGAAAAACAATTGCTTTTTCTAAATAAAATGTTTAAATTAAGTATTTTTATGATGCCAACAATATACCGTGAAAACCAAACAGCATTAAACAATGCTGTAAATTTATTGCGCACAACATTTTCATTGTCATTCTTTAGTGCGACGAGACATACGGCTATACGCAGGTCATTGTTTAAAATACCGAAATGATTCTGGGTTCATCTACAGCGAGTCGAAATGTGTAAACTGTATAGCTACCCAAAGTGTTAGCTATCCAAAACTACGTTTCAAAGATTCGGAGAGAAGACACGGCATGTAAAATTTTTCCAACAATTTTTGCGAATTCTTGGGGTGTTAAATTTCAATTAAGGTGTTAAAAATACTTCAATGCTAAATTTTATTCGTACCTTTCAGGCACGAGTTTAAAACCCAGAAACATACAAAATATCTTTATTAAAAAATGAAAATTATAGCCAAAAACGCAAAAAATGTAATTGAAAAGCAGTACAAGTTGAAATATAATGTTATTGGTATATTGATGATCGTTTTGCTCTTTTTGATAAAAAAAGTGAACTGTAAACAATCAGTTTTATAAATATCTATAGAATGGTGGTAGAACTGCAGATATTTATTCGAAAAACCCAGTAGTTTTCTTGGTTGCGATGAAGGTAGTTACTAAGCTCTTAAATAACCGAGCTCGAGGTCTCTATGGAAATATCGGACCGACGTCTTTTTGTACATACCGATCCCATAGGGCGAAGTTTGTACAAAAAGACAGAGGTCCGATATTTCTCAGTAAAAACTGATAAAGCGAGGCTATTAAAAGGTTTATTATATGGCATTATTTGACCTGAAACAAAGCTTGCTTTCTTTCTCGTCCTTGCTGTTTTGTACGGATTGCCTTTCACTTTTCCAGTTTTCGTCAGTAAAAAATAAATCGTTTCAAATTGTATCGTTTTTGGGCGTCTAAGTTGGCTTTTTTGTGTCTGACCGTGAGGTGCTGTGACTGGGTTTAGTTCTGCTAACGTATCGTACATTGGAGAACACGCTGCTGTACTTTATACTGATATTTGTAGAAAAGTCGAGGAATGTATTCCTATTAAACTTTTGTTGTATTGTGCGCTTTGTTATTTAATCACATTGTAATCTTTCGGCGTTAAAAAGCAGCGTTCATATGTCGTTCGGTGAACTAGACTGGACTGCCCTGTCACAGCGCTTCAAGGTCAAACAGTGAAGGAGGATAAAATTTTCGTCTTATAAAATGTATTGCAAATGTTTTTAAAATAATCAACTCTATCCAAATAGATTATTTCCCTGAGGATGATAAATAATGACACAATAAAATAAGCAACTTGACAATGATTTTGTTTCCCAATACTAAACATAGAGTACACCGCACTGCATAAAAACATTCTTTCATAAAACATAGAGTACATTAATTATATATATCAATGCTCATTTTAAGTACACAAAGGAGAAGTTAAACCAAGATCGTCCAATGTTAAATCTTGACTCCATTCATACAGTTCATCTGCTTCATCTTCCCAATCTGAATCTTCAGTATTTTGAGAAAGTTTTCATTGTTTGTGATACTGTCTCTTTCATGGTCTTCACACTATTTAAAACAATGCAACTGATATTTGAATATAACTGATTTTACAATATATTATAAGAAATTCACAAAAATATTACCAGTGGACAATTTTTCTCATAACCATAGACATAATTCTTCTTCATTTTTTCAACACGTTTTTTCGCTCCTTGAGATCGACGTCCGGTGGACTTGCTACTATTTAGACATGGTTGTCTTGTATGCCGTCTGCCACCAGGACTGTTAAAATAAACATTTATTTTATGACAAGACAGATGAATAAATAAGACAAAAATCATAAAATTCACGAACAACATCCGTTCTATTAAAAGCCAAAATGAATTGTAAACGTCGTGGAAAAGGAAATATTTTCAATTTAGCGATGTTTTAATCGTTTACAGACCACTATGGTAATGAAAATCGACGGCCTATACTCTTGCACTATGAAAAAATATGAGAACTGATTTTTGAAAATTTTATTTTGTTTTGTTGGTTGAGATAAGGATGAATTAAAATAATACAAAGTTTAAATTATTATATGTATGTAACACAAAGTCCAAATCAAGGTAGCTTATTTTAGAAAATTTACAATTGAGTTTGTTTGATTTTTCAACCTGTCATTTATGATGCTGAAGAAGGTTTCCACTTTGTCTCTTTGTGCCATAAGATGTGAAAATAATCTTTCAGAAACTTTTCCACTATTTATGTAAGTTATGACATCATGCACAATGTTGTGACGAGGAACATCTTTCAAAAAAATCACAAAAAAAAATGTTAAAGAATGTGATGATAAGATATACTAGAGAAATTTTAAATTACCTTCTAAAGTCAACTGTCTCCAAAGATTAGATCTTCCACCTTTTTCTGGTGGGCATTCATCTAAATAACTCAAATACTGAAACAGAAACGAATGTAGAACAGTAGGTACATCATGACTATATTATTCAATTATATTTGTACAGTTAGCATAACTTGTTCCACATGTAAATAGTGAATCAATAATTTTTTCTCACCTGCATAACATCCTTCATTGTATTTATATCAAGTACATCTGTAATTTTATCTTGATGATGTTGGCAAGAATCAACAATAATTTGGTCATAAAATTGTCGACTCCCCATTAACCTACAAGAATCTTCGGCAGCCTAGGGCACAGAAACATTGCAGAAGTAGTGTAACCTTGATTATCGATTCTTAAAAATAAACAAAAAACACCTTTGATGCAGGCTGAATCATTTTCTTTCCACTGTAATATTTAACACCATTTTTCCACATTTTATGAAGACTTTGAAAAGTATCAAGGGAGGAAACTCAGAGCCTCCAAACCTAAATAAATTTTATGCAAGAATAAATTAAAATAACCTTTATTTCCAGAAAAATAGCTATTTTTCACTTCATTGTTTGGAATATTGTTCAACTTGTTTCTTTCATCACTTTGAAAGAGTCAAATATCACTGAACACTTGTACACTGAAGAACATACCTGAAACGAATTTTTGAATTACATGTAGGATCATTTAAAATTGCAGCTTCACAAGGTGAAAGTTTTCTCATGACTTCCTTTGTCAAAGAATGCTCCTATTAAAAAAATTAATGTATCATAAATTTCTTTACAATGTGCCCGTAGTTTAGGGAAAGTCCCAGTTATAAGGTAACATAAGCAAAAAATAGCTTTTTATGCAATGATATACACGTATGATTCAATTTCAACATTTATAACCCCACATACCGCTGCACAGATGGCATATTTAAGCAATTTAAATATCTGCTTATTTCTGTAAGAACACCAACACCTCTCAATGGTTTTTACAGCATTCACCATTTTTTCTTGACCACCACTAAGAAAATTTATAATCTTGGTTGTATTAAAAAGTTTTACATCGTACTATTTGATATGTTAACATGGCTGTGAAAGTGGAAAGTACAAACGTAAAATATTCATGGATATCTATAAAGTATGTTCGTGCTTGGTTTCAAAGAGAAACATTTAAATTTATTTATTCTGTGTCTTTCAGGTGTGCAAGAAAGATTTTTCATGCAACGAATAAGCTGTAAAAATTTTTTCCCAAAACTGTTTATCTTAATTAGATTAGAATGAGTCAAAACGTAAAAACAAAACAAAATATCCCGAGAAAAATGATAAAAATAAGTTCTTACCTATTGGCCTCCATGAACATGCATGTAAATGATGCGTTAAAAAGTTGAAATTCTTAAAGGTTTTCTTCATTTTTAAACATATCTTTTATTTGTATTGTACGCTCGTTTTTGTTGTTACAATGTTGCTATGCATGATTGCGGGCTCTTTCTGGGAGGTGCAAATTCAACAACAATAAATTTAATTAGTGGTGACTGACGGCTCTCATTTTACATCACACAAATATTTCAAATCATATTTTAAAGCTTATACTGCAGCCTTATCTCAAAATTGCTTTGTGTTTTTTTGCTTTATTCAACAAAATGCGATATAATATCAAATCTTTTTGTAAGATAACGTAACAATGGCGTTCAGCGGTATTACAACTAAATTCACGAGATCATTAGTTATAAAAATGGCGGCAATTCTCAAAGATCGATGTTTGAGAAGAATTTTTAAAAAGTTTGTTATTTTGTTGAATTATTGTCTTGTTTAATCATCATTCAATATTTCATATTCTTAACTTTAGAATAGACTTTGTAAGAAAACCTCTGCGACTTAACTTTGTGACCGGTTTGTTTAAATTTCTTATTATTTTAAATTGAATGTTCTGAATTTTCTGATTGTGCTAAAAGTTCATAAATGTATAAATAGACAATTGCTTTATGAAATTTCTTCATACAGTTTCTGGTGCTCATAATTAATATGTATTAATTAAATTTCTAGTTTGTGCCATGTTTTTAATCTTATGCTACATTTGTACCAAACATGTTTTCAAGGATACACAGTCTCCCTTCACGAACCGACTACTTACACTTGACTGTACTTTTTTTGCGCAAATTTGTTCTAGCAAAAGCTGTGATGTTTCTATCATTTTTAGATAATGGCCAACACTCTATCGACAAACTTCTTGTGGCAAATCGAGGGGAAATTGCTTGCCGCGTTATGGAGACTGCAAAAAAATTGGGAATTAGGACTGTGGCTGTTTTCAGTGATGTTGATGAACAATCAAAACATGTTAAAATGGTTAGATATGAAGAAAAAAATTATGTATGATAATTCTATAATTTAATCTCTTATTTAAGAAGCACTTTTGGTAAAGCATAATACATATCCACTCATCAGTTGTCTTAATTTTTGTGAAAAGCAGTCATTGTTTTACTTGACTATCTGAAACATCAACATACTAAGATATCAATATTGATTTTTGGTTTTATTTATTTGTATTTGGTTCCTAAACTGTCTGCTTACTATGGTTATAAATGTATTGATATATGTAGAAGTTAGGAACTGTTGATGACATTTGAAATGTTTCAAAATGTGGAAAAACATTTTCCAATAAGAAATTATGAAATTTGTTTTTTTTGAAGGCAGATGAAGCATACCACATTGGACCTGCCCTTGCAAGAGAAAGTTACCTTAAAATGGATAAAATAATTGATGTTGCTAAAAGAAGTCAAGCACAAGTAAAATACCATTTTTTCCTTTCAATATTTTTTTGAATATCAATGTTTTTCAAATTGTGTGTGCTATAAATAAACTATGAAATAAATGAAATAATTGTTACCATCAATTACAGGCTATCCATCCTGGCTATGGATTTCTTTCAGAAAAGCCAGAATTTGCTGAACTTTGCTTTAAAGAGAATGTGATATTTGTGGGGCCTCCTTCATCTGCCATAAGAGATATGGGAATTAAAAGGTTAGGGTTGATTATAATTGTTTTATTTACACAGGATGTTAATTTTTCTCAGAAACGTCAGGATGTTAATTTTTTTCTTTCTGTTGATTTAACAAATATTCTATGTCACCTACTTTGTAGCGACATGTATTATCAATGGTAATTATTGGGGGGCTAGTAATTTAAACTCTTCTATTGGTGTTCGAGTCAACCCCCGGGATTAATACTGGCCGGTATACAAATGTTGTTTGTTTGTTTGTTTGTTTGGTGTTCCAGTCACTGCAAACTTGCCTAAACGGTCAAAACAGCTGAATGGTCAAATAATTCTAATATTTTGTTCATTTCATATTCACTCTAGTACATCAAAGAAAATAATGAGTGACGCTGGAGTGCCTATCATTAAAGGTTACATGTTTGTAAATGATGATCGTCCAGGTTAATAACGATACTCCCGGGTTCAAACCATTTACTTTATTAAAGGTTACCATGGAAATGATCAATCAAATGAAAGGTTGAAAGCTGAAGCTGAAAAGATTGGGTGAGATTCAATAATGTGACACGAAGTATTGATTTTTTTAGTATTTTTAATTCTGACTATCTCGTGATTTGTAGGTATCCAATTATGTTAAAAGCAGTTAGAGGCGGTGGGGGTAAAGTAAGAATTTGAAAAATCATTGATATTGTAAGATTCATAAATTGAAACTTACAACATTGTTTTAAGGGAATGAGAATAGTATGGAAAGCTGAAGATTTTGATGATGCACTTGAGTCAGCTAGAAGAGAATCATTAAAATCATTTAATGATGACATCATGCTTGTTGAGAAATTTGTTGAATCTCCCAGGTACTTATTTAGATCTTTACCAATTAATTAATCACCAAAACTTCGTTTCTAAGCAATGTGCTTTATACGCATTAAGAGTATTGAGTAATTTCCCTTTGAGTTATGTGACGTTACTTTCGTTGTAATTAATAACATGCACAAAAGACAAGTGGTATGAAACGAATCTTTTATGTTGGCTTCACGTTTTTTGTTGTGATAAACATTTTGTTGTTTCTTGTTTTTCTTTTATAAACTTTTATTATGAATGTAAAAGTTTGTTTTATGCTGTTTTCAGACATGTTGAAGTTCAAGTGTTTGGAGATACGTTCGGAAATACAGTTTATTTGTTTGAAAGAGATTGTAGCGTTCAGAGACGCCATCAAAAAATCATCGAAGAAGCTCCAGCTCCTGGAATATCATCTGAGGTTCGTAGGAAACTGGGGGAAGCTGCTGTAAAAGCTGCAAAGGCTGTTGGTTATACTGGTGCAGGTTGTTTAATGTTTTCTTTTTAACTTCTTGTACTTACGTATTCTTGTAAAATTTACTAGAAATAATTCTTTTGCAAGAAATAAAAACTTATGAAAAATTTTATAAAATAAACACAATGAAACGCGTGCACTGATTGGTCTATAGCTGTGTTTGCATAAGCCTGTGCAAACACACTTAAGATCTTTTATTTCTTAAATATTTATATAAACATTTTTATGAATCAATTATCATTTTACAATAATTTTCCATAGGTACAGTGGAGTTTATAATGGATAAAACTCACGATTTCTATTTTATGGAAATGAATACAAGGCTCCAAGTTGAACATCCGGTGACTGAAATGATAACTGGAGTAGATCTTGTTGAGTGGCAGTTGAGAATTGCGGCTGGAGAAAGATTACCACTACTGCAATCTGAAATCATCTTGAATGGTTATTCATTTGAAGCGAGAATATATGCAGAGGACCCAGACAAGTAAGATGAGATTTTCCTGATCGTTATTTTTCCAGAACAAATTTCACATACCTCATTAAACTATCGATGAAAGATGAGAATGTTACCTATTCTTAAACACTCAATGACTACAACATATGTTTCTAAATTTGTATTTCTTGTTTTACAGTGATTTCCTTCCAGGAGCAGGACCATTAGTTAGTTTAACTACTCCTTTACCATCACGACTTGTAAGAATTGAGACTGGAGTTGTTCAAGGTTTGCTTTTCAAAACTGTAGTTTCAAGTTGCTTATCTTAAGCGTTTTGTTAATTAACTTGTATCTATTATTTAACTGACATTTATATTTGTATTATTGATCAGGTGACGATGTTTCTGTTCATTATGATCCCATGATAGCAAAACTGGTTGTCTGGTCTAAAGATCGTTCGTCAGCATTACGATTGTTAACTCATTCATTACGTCAATATAACGTACGTGTATTATAAATATCCTTATCTATATCAATGCAAAACTTTATCGTTACTAACTTTTATCAGATTTCTCACAATAACCACAGATTCGACGCGACATTATTTTCCACGACAAGTTGCTTCTCTTGTCTCGCTACTCTGAATCTTTTTCATTTAAATAAATGTTTCATGTTTTCATTGCTTTCGAGCGAAGATGAATAGATCGACTCTTTTTGTGTTGTCGGCATTCATCCAATTATTTAATGACAGACGTGTATTTTATTTTAGATTGTTGGCCTTAGTACGAATCTTGATTTTCTAATAAATCTTTCAAATCACCAAGAATTTCGAAATGGAAATGTTAACACTGACTTTATTCAGGTAATAATGACATTCATATTTATTTATTTCATTTAGTTTTTCATCCAATTTTATATGAATCATTTTTCTATCCAAAATTAATTAAAATTTGATAACATGGGTGTTGAATGTGAGGTTCATGCTGGACTATATAAATGGACTAATTAGTTAATTGTTGTAAGTGTAAAAACTAAAATCAATTATTTTAATTGAACATTAAATGAGACAAGGAAAGAAGATAATCCTTGTTTGTCATGACGTCCATGGATGGTTTTTCATGGTGAAAGATAACAGTAAATAAGTTAAATCATTAAAATAGAAACCTATCAAAAATTTATAAAACATTTTTAAGGTTGCCTTAAAGATTAAGTAAAAAAGATAGAAGCTTTTTGAGACTTTGTACTATCCTTGTATATCTTATTTTGAAACTTTTACTCCTGCAGTTGAACAGAAAAAAACCCCAAAATTTTCGGTTTTTGGTCTATAAAGTTTTGGTGCATGAATAACTAAAATATACGGTCTTTTCTGTTAACTTCAAATCTCTATTAGTAAGTTATTGGGTACAAATTCTCCCTTTGAGGGATGTTCGAATGCATTTCATAGTACATAACGTTATTTTTACGTCTACTTAACGTTGTTATTGAATATTTTAGGATTATTATAATGATTTATTTCCTGAGAAGAAATCTTTGTCTCCCGACCTGCTGGCTAGAGCTTCCGTTTATCTTATTTTATTGGAAAAAAGAAAACAACGAAAGTCATTTGATGGTACGGACGATATTGTTGATATTTTTTGCTTTATTTTGCTTATTAATGATCAATTACTTACCATTTTATGACACAGGATGAGTCGTCTATATTTTATTTTGTTTTGAGATGTTGTTTCATCATTCTGCGTAACTTTACCAACTTGCTTTCTCGCTATGTATTCAGTTGAATCACCAAATATCCTTTCGAATACTACTGGATTCTTCACTTACACACTGTCTTTCTCTTATTTTCTCTGCCACTTATCATCTCATTGTACAACTGTTTTGGTTATTCTTAAAAGAAGGAAATGGTTCCATGTGAAAATATATTACCACAGAGTCACATTTTTACTGATCATGATAGCAAATACTGATAAAGCATTTCCTCAAACAAATGTTTCTTTCCGATCAAAGATTCGCCTCTCTTGTCGCCCTCATACCACCTACTAAATATGCTACCGGAAGAAAATGATAACTTCTACCTTATTTCTCTGACTCGTTAATCAAACGCTCATCTCTTTTAAGTTTACTACTATCGATGAAAATCGCGCCCCCAAAGAAGTTTCAGCTACGATTTGAGTTGAGCGATATCTTTATTTGTTGATCTATTTATATGTAAAAACACTTGTTTCCCATCAACTCCACACGACAAACTTCAGTCAAAAATTCAGCAATATTAGTTTTTATTTCATTACGCGAAACTGAGGGAAAACTTCATCGTCAACAAATTAATGCATGTTACAGTACACATAGAGGTCCATCCACATCTCAAATCTGTCATAGATTATGGCTTTACCCTTCATAATGCATTCTTTATATTCTTCACAAAATATTTGGGGATTGATGAGGATAGTGAGAAATATACCTTTATACCACCGGATGGTGTTTAATATCCAGATAGACATGTATTGTTTAGAAACGAGACACCTAAAAATGCAATACAACGAAGTACATATTATTGAGATGGATTATTTTTACTTTATAGACATAATTTCTCCTTGGAATTTATCATCTTGTTTTCGTGTGAACAGTGATTTGTCAAGGAAAATTAGTTTGAATGATGGATATTCAGGTACATAAGTGTATTTCTGTATTCTTCTATTCTGTATACTTCTATATTTGAACTAAAGCAATGCTAACATTTGTCGTAAACAGATGTCGAGATTTTACTTTCCTTTGAAAACGACGATTCTTTTAAAATCCAGGTATTACGTATGCAATATAGAGTTATGATAAAAGTCATGCTTTTCATAAAAGTCTTCTACTTTTATAAACATGCAGTTTGTCGATAGTATTTTATCCCTCCTTACTGGTCTACTTAAATTGGCATTCAAATACATTTTATCGCTTTTGAATTTCTGGTCTACTTAAATGTATAATTATGATTTTAGAATCTTTTATCTTTTTATGGCTCGAAAAACATTAAATACTTTTGCTGTTTTAACATTTCTATGTTTTCATGATAAACACGATGTTACCTTTGCCATCTTGACATATTCACTCTGTCTATGGCTGCATATAGTGAAGTGAACAATAAAGAATATCAAAAATTAGATCACTCGTTTAATGTCACATGCAAGTTATAAATATAAATTTTACCAACTAAACGAAGCATATTTTTTGGGAGAGGGGTGGGAGGGGAGAAACGCTTTTTCTTTACCTCGTGATATTTCTTTCCTAGTAATTCATGGACTACTATTGCTGATGTAAACGAGCGCTTGTTGAGATTAATTTAATAATCGTAGTTTTATCATTCTTTATAAAATTTTGCCTCCAGTTATCTACAAAGTTGAAAACGTGGATCGTTTTTGATAGGTCGTTTTCATGGTTTACGATGTGTCCTGGTTTTTCTGTTTTCGTTAAAACAAAAATCACTGAATAAAACCTTTATGTCTAATGTGCATAAAGAAAAGCTTCCAATAACAAATTATATATTGTTGTATTATTTATATCATTTTTGCGTTTCTTTATATATTTGAAGATAGGAGACAACGTTATGAAAGGATTTGGTAATCTTGAAATAAATGGTTCACAAAAGTTGTTAAAAGTCACAATTGATGGCGTTGTTTCAAAGTTAAATGTAGTTGAACACAATAATACAATTTATTGTTTTTCTATGGTAAGAAAATGTTTATAAATTTCCAAAATGTTAAAAATTGTTGTTTGAAAATGTTAAATTTCCAAAATACATTAATTGCATTTATAATGATGATAAATTTATAATCATTTATTTACATCATTTTAACGAAACATTTTAGGAGGGAAATTATAAAGTTCATCGACTCATTCCTAGTTTTATAAAAAGTAAATGTGAAGCAATGAATTTGGGTGATGCTATTGCCCCAATGACGGGAACAATCGTCAAGGTTTGTTTTTTCTTAGTGACATGTTAGTACTTTGACTGTATAGGCAATAAAAGTTTTCTTCAAATGCAATTTATCTAGGTGAACATTAACAATGGACAAACTGTGAAGGAAGGTGATATTGTTATGATAATGGAGGCAATGAAAATGGAGGTAAGGAGATTTTAGTTGGGAAATGTTTTAACTTGCAAAGTTATAATTCAAAGTCATTAAAAATGTATTTGTAAAAAGTGTGCATTTCCAAAACTGCATCTCATGCATACATTAATTGGGTATAAAAGAAAAGTAATATCTCAAATTCTGAATTTACTATTTATGCAGCATGTAATCTGCGCTCCTAAAGATGGCCTCGTAGAAAATGTTTATTATGCCGTGGGTGACACAGTTGAAAGAAACTCAGTACTAATCTCATACCTAAAGGAAGACGAGAAAAACTAAAAAACATTTAATGTTACAAATATTCAATTTATTATAACGACAAGATAGTCATTCGCACTCATTATAGAATTTACTATGGTGCTATGGTGTGGAGATAATAGTTGACTGTGTGAATGTGCAAGTTTGCCCTAATTTTTGAGGAATATTTATGTTTTAGTAACATTGTTGGATGCTTGACTTAAGTTTCTTTAACAAATCTGCTACTATATAGAATTGAGATGATAGAATTTGTCTTTTTCTTGCTATTTAAAATTTTATTATGACTCAAGCGAGACTTTTCATACTAGATGTATACACCTAAATATATTGACCTATATTTAACGATTACTGTCGCAAATTTCATTCCCGAACAGATTTTTAGCCGGCTTTCGTTGCTGCAAAAATTGGAAGGGGGCTTAACGTTACAACTAAAAGGAATATCTGGTTTGTTTTTCATTGCAATAAACGTTAACGTCTTTGAGCTTTTCCGTGAAAAAATGATATTTTGTTTATAATGTTCAAAAAACTTGAAAATAAAAATGTCGATGGTGTTATGTAAACTCCGATGGCGACCGTTGAATGCAGAACTTGATACATCCATTTGTATAATCCTTAGAGAGAGTTGCTATAGTAACGTTTATGTAATATATGTTCAAGCATTAAGGTATGTTGTATATACATCAATTTATAGATTTTACCATAGAAAGCAATTCTGGTGACTAGTCCAATATATACAATATTTTTGTATTTTTTGTACATTATCTTACAGATAAATTGTTTTGTTTCACTTTTTATAGGTCAGCACTATAACCAATAAAGAATTATTAAAGAACTTCATAAAAGGAGTATCTCTCAAATAACAAATAAAGAACTACAATGGAATATTTCGTAGGAATATCCAGTAAGTAAACTAGCTTATTTTTGAATAATCACACAGGCGCACGAAATCATTGACCAAGCATAAACTACGTAGAAGTGATTTTAAATGAAATTTTATTACTGTTCTCATTTAACGTTATGAACACCTCCATTTCCAGATTGACGTGAGCCTTTCTCTATTTCACTTTTCTTGTCTTCATGTTTGTGGTTTCGTTTCATGTTCCCTCTATTGTTTGTTCCATAATAATTAGTTTTTTTATTATAACTTTGACTTGAATCTCCAACATTTTTATTTTCACGTAATATCTCATTCTCTTGTGTTTCCAAATCATTTAAAACAACTGTACAGTTTTGATCCTTTTCTTCACTAGACTGTCGCCAATTTTCATTGATTCCTTTTCTTTCTTGACGAATTTTCTTCTTCACAAGTCCTGCTCCTCCGTCACTAGAAGAGCGATCTCTTTGATTGTTTTGACAATTATTCCGTTCAAGGTTTGGCGGCAAACAATCTTGGAGAAAAAAATAATATTTGCAACTTTTTCGCTTTACTAATCATGCAAGTTAATTTTGGTGGATCTCTCTCTTAAATAATCTCTCCTAATCGTCTTTTTTTCCTCCCAAAACAACTTGTAAACATACCAGTAGTGGCTCGTGCTCTATTGTGAACAGATTGAACGTGTCTGTCGTCTTCTCTTTCCTCCTTAATCCCTCGTAATGCTCCAGTGACAGTCTATAGATGCATTAAATACAAAATGATTTGAACAATTTAAGTAAATCTTGACTAAATATCAAGAGGGTTATCATGGGAACCATCTTGTCATTGAACATTTATACCTTTAAATCCCTCGTTTCTACTCCTGCTTCATTCATACTACTTGTACGAATCCTTGGTCCCAGGTCAACTTCGTCGCTTCTATTACTGGTGAATTCAGGCGCTTTGTTCAAGTCTCCAGCATAACTTTCTGTAGTGAATGATCGATCACGTGATGATTCAAATCCTGACATAGCAATATTTGTTCCAGTTCTCATTTCGGCCAGTGAAGGTAAATATGAAGGTCCTGCTTGTGGAGAAAGTCCCATGTTCTTTAACTTTTGTTCAAGATTTTCTTTTTCTTTCTTTATTTTTGCTACTTCCTAAGAAAAGAACTGTAATAAAAATGCGTAACGCATTCGACATCTTTCACAACAAACTATCGCATTGTCGCTTCATCACTAATAGACAATGATGTGAAAATTGTGCACCGTAAGAAAATAAAATATTTACCTCCAAATGACTTAGATGGTAATTCAGCATCATTTTTGCATTGTCGATACTGTCACGTGTACCAACAAACAGGAAATTAACTTCTTTCTAAAAACATAAGCAAAAATCACTTTTCCAATGGGTATTAAATTCTCAAATATAGTAGTTTATAAGCAATGTACATACTTTAACAGACTTCTGAGGATCTTCTTCATTTACAACGTTACACTTGTTCTCGGGAGGTTCAATTCGCACACGAAAAACACCAGAGCGATCAACAATGTCCTGTACAATTTTACCATTTCGACCGATAACTTTCCCTGACGTTCACGCGATAAAATTTGTCATACGTACAGCATAAACAGTAATTTTCAATAATACTTGCTTACCTACAAACGTCTTTGGGACAGAAACGACTTCTTCAGCGAAATCCAAAAGACTTATTGCTTGACTGATGCAACTTTCATTCTGAAACGCACAATGATTACTGACATTTTCATTTCCTTAGTCAATTATTCACCTCAAGAATTCCAGAGTGAATATGTGGCGCAAGAATACCACAGAACGTTTGAATTTCATTTAATCCAAAGATATAATTTTACCCTTTCCCTTTCAGTAAATGTAAGCTTTATTATTTACTTCGCCTGTAATGTGTAGCGAACATTTTTCTTCGTCGACTTCTATTGATCGAATACCAGGAAGTTTTCTAGCTTTCTGAATATTTGCTCCCTGTGCACCAATAGCCAGACCCATTAAATTCTCTGGAAGTTTCAACACTTCAGTAATACCAAATTGAGTTTGGGCATGCTAAAAAATAATAATTTATCCCTCTTATACTTAGATATGCGTTGAATCACAGCTTCTCCATTCAACAACTTAGACAAAAAAAACTAAAAATGACATCACGTCTATTTTTAATCGTTGTCAAACCTGTAGTTGAACAGCTGTATCGTTTATCCAGCTGTACAGCAGTAACCTCGTTCTCAAACTACGGAAATGCATTTCGCTAAGTATTGCGGCTTTCTTCACTGCCTTTTCTGATCGCGACTAAAAAATGCCAGCATAGAAATAACACATGATTACTGCAAACTATGAATACGTTGAATCCACGAGGTAAAAAATAGCTATTTCACTACAGACAAACTTATTTCAAAAGTTCAGAAACAAAAGTTGTGAAAATCTCATCAATGCAAATGAAATGTTGGAGTTAAAGATTTGGTCTGATTTCGTCAAATATTAGATGCAAAAAAAAAACATCAAGTTTTCATGCAAACACTTTCAAAAAAAATGAGGAGGACCGCTGAAATTTCTGTTGTAACATCGTAAAATATGACAAGGGTACTGTAAAAGACTATAAACTAACTAAACATATAAGATTAGCAAGTTCAGCACTGTAGTCCACCAATGCTACTCCGCTCTGAAGTTTGAATTCGCGGTGAACGTTTGCATCCTTGCATCTAAAAAAAAAGAAAAATCGCATTTGTAAAGTTTCAAAGCAGCAACGTACCAGTATATATCACCACCTTACATTTGCTGCAAATCTTGAGGAACATCAATTATACATTTACTATACATAGACCGCGTGATCGCTTCACTAGAAAATAGGCAACTTATTAAAATCGTTTAAATAGAGATAAATAAAGTTTGTGAAACCTACTTAGTGTTGACAGGACGCATTTTTTCACGGGGTACAATCTCGTTAAAGGACGACTCCCAACCAACATATTGTACAATGTAAAACTAAATGGGATAAAAATAAAATAAATTAACTGTGAAATGTGTTTGCTTCAACAAAACATCATGCAGAGGCCTACATATTTTCTCAGTGTGATGAGTGAAATCAAATTTACAAATTTATAATAAATGAAAGGCGTGGTCTACTGGTCTTTAGATAGTTAATTTATTTCAACTTTGTTTCACAATTAATGTTTGTTGATTTTGCATCTCAAGATATAACAAGCTTAACAAATTAAAAGGACCACAACTCTTGTCATTTTATGATATATTTAATTGATAATGTACAGAATATACTCATGTACAACATGCATTGGCCAGACCATTTTAATAAACAAGCAAATTTTCTGCATTATCTAAGCCAGCCAAAGATACTGAGCATGAAAACATGTTATTTTAATCACTTATGGAAAAGGTTAATTGCTTATAACACTGTTATGTCAGATAATGAGTACCAAAATTCAAATGCTGATGGTGTTTTTAATGAAAGATTTCTCAATAAATCTAAAATAAAAATGCAAATGCTTTGTATCAGCCAGAACAACATCTTTATAGACTTTACTTTGGTGAAGTTGAAAACTTGGTCTGAAAGCAATTTGCAAAAAAATGGAAAATTGTCTGCTACATACAAATTATGGAAAATACAAGGTATGAAATAAAATTTTGCAAACTTTCTTTCACTTGTAATTGTAAATAAGACTGTTACACTATTTCGGAATGAATGAAAGAAAGAATGAACAAATGTTTCTGATTGTAACAGAAATTCAACCTTTGTACAGCTATTTTTTACACAGTTTATTACAATTCACAATTAAATATTTAACACCTAAAATAATGAAAGAATTTATACAAATAAATCCCAAGATATTGATATTATTTTACAACCACATTGAGTAACATATAAGACCACTACCTCGCCTTTCTTTGAGATAATTCGAGCAAGCCACCAACAAGGTGGATCTTTCTCTTCAACTTTTGACAGGACCTTGTTATGAAGAAGAAATCTTTACATAAATTCATACTTTATCATCACAAATTAGTTCCTATTCAATCTCTGTGATAATTTTCTTCATTCATATTATAACTCAATTTTTTTGTAAAGTATTTCAGTTAATAGAAAATTCAAGTCAGTCTACTGAACATACATGAGATTATACAACATATTTGTGTGCAACATTTCCATGAGTTCATAACAATTTTATAAAATGAATATCAAATTTAAAACGCAAAGTTGGAAAGTTAAAGGTTAATGTTCAGGCACGCGGTTACTTGCATAATTAAAGAAATAAATTACTTGAATTGCGAAATACGTTAAGTACTGTTAATATATTAGTTTATTGATAAAAACATACGTTAAATCTCCGCAAAAATAATCAAAATTCTTATAGAATACAAATAGTGATTTTACCTCTATCATATCATCGACATAGAGATCGCGGCGTAAGTTTGACACCGGTGGTAAGCGCACTTTGGCAAACTCTACACGAGTAGCGTTTGTCCAACTAAATATTTAATATAACAATAAATTTAATTAAACATGTGTATACAGTAAAAATTAGCTTTATTCACACCATTTGACAAAGAAAATGAGAATTTCCCCATAGAAGACAAGTAAATAAATACTATACGTTAAAATGTTGACATTTTCCGTACTTATCTTGACGGGCAACAGTCACTTCTTCAACATGAATATTTTTCACATATGCCTAAAATGAATGATACACTAACTTAAGAAAATTAGTGTATTCATTTTTTCTATAAAATGAATAAGTTTTAAAAAGGCGCAATACCTTGTAATACCCTCCATTATTGGACAGGACCTCTACAGCGAGCTCCTCCATGTTTCATACTTCCTAAAAATTTGGTTGCAACATTTCCAAATTATATTCAAGAATATTTCGACTAAATGAAATGTGTCGTAGAAATTTATCTGACCAGATATCGTTGGCTCATACAAAGCAAGCCGTTAAGGATATTGATGACAACATGATATATGATAATAATTTTTCCAGGATGGTACATTGGTAGTTTAGTACTTACATAAAGTAAAGATAAAGTTCAACAAAAATTTTGGTCGTACTAAGTACGCGCTTATTTTCTTTTTACCGTATTAGTGTTTTGCTGTTACTAAAAAGTCAGCGTATTATAAACTAGCTGGCCGTACATTTGGTATTTATGAATTGACGACACCCTGGAATAATTTTTTCTCTAACGACTTATTTATCGCTGAAATGACATTATGAACAAATAATTTCAAAAAGTCTATTAGAGACCTCGAAATTGAATTTGTTTTTCTTACTGAAAATAATGATTAATTATTCACTGAGGATAGAGTTGTATAGAAATATAAACGTTGAATTTCGTTCATTTACTGTTGTAAAGTTTGTATAATAGATCCATCTTGCTATTTAGGCTGCACTCAGTGGCAGTACAAAGGTATAAATTTCACAGTAAGAGAACTACTTTCTTTAAGGGTGTACACTTCTTCCTGGTTCTTTCCCTTTCCATATTTCATACAGCGCAATTTTCACAAGCCACAAAATGCATTCTTTCATTTTAGTGGAATTCCACTAAGACTGGAAAATAATAATATGTTACTCTTATAGTCTTGACTTTAGACTACTTGCTCTCAGGATACTTCCATGGAGATGAAGACAAATAAATTGTACAGCTCATCTGCTGTACTTCCATGTATAGTGTTTTTTACTGCACGATGATTGAAATATGTTTGTCAAACAGTCTCTCGCGAAACTCATCCTGGGTGAAAAAGTTTCATGATTCAGATCACATTGCTTGATGTATTTTGTTGTGTCATAATATTATTTTCTTTCCATCAATTCTATAGGTGAAAGAAGGCCAAGTTATTCCCATTGTCTCGAATGTTTTTCCTAACAATAAACAAATATTTAAAGTATGATGGAAACCATGATTGCACTTTCTAGTAAAGAGCGGGAATCCACGCTGTTGCTGCGTCACTATACGTCAGCTTTTCAGGATTTTTGAAGCAAGACAACTGGTGGGCCTAGAGATCTAGATATGGCACATACACACACACGGGGTTAACAGGTGACGTCATACACGTTAATGACGTCATACACGTTAATGACGTCATACACATAAGTGACGTCATGCCTAGAAAGTATTTGACCTTTTGCAAAACTTCTGCGTATGAACATACAACATCACATCGTGAAATATATTTGTGCTGCCATCACTGTCTGTATGTTTGTGAATTCTGTAGATTTTGAGCAGGTAAATTATTTGAGTTTCCGGCATGAATATTTTTGAAAAAATGTGAATAAAATCTTAAAGAGCCACTTGCAATGATGATGACGTCGTAACTCACAAATTTACAATCTAAATGACTGACAAATTGTTAAATTTTGAATTTTCATTTTGATGATGGTTCTTAGTGTCTGTAATAGAAAAACACAGTTTGGAAAATTTTGCAGATTGTCACCGGATAACAGTAATCAGATTTGGACTGTTTAATCATCATATATGTATCATCATATATTTTCTTTTATTTCACTAGATATGTTTAAATCTTTGGTGAACTTTCATTGGTCTGTTAATTTTACTTTGATGTTGGTGATTGTCGCATATATCATTAAGACAGATGCCTCTTTAGGAATTGATTTCTCTGATCCTATAAGTGTGGCGTCCCTCGCTTGTTTAAAGGAGAGCGGTTACGATTTTACTATTGTAAGAGCTTTTCGTTCAAGTGGTATTCCTGATGAAAATGCTCCTGCCAGTATACGCAACGCTCGTTTAGCAAACATATCTTCAGTCGAAGTCTATATGTTTCCATGCCCAAAATGTGGTAATGCCCAAAAACAGGTAGAACTGTAGAAGAGTAATGGCATTTATTTTTAAGTGTATTGTTCATTCTGATATTTGAATATGCAACGTAATGTTTAATTATTTGTGCGTTTTAGGTTGATGATATGTTAAGCTTGAATCTGAGTGTTGATATAATATGGATTGATGTTGAGATTTACAATTGGTTTGCCAGCAAGGCCAAAAATCGTGAATTTTTTGAAGAATTAATAAAGGCAAGGTTTGGATCGAATCGCATTGGTATTTATACAAGTTATCACAGTTGGGAAACCCTGATGGGACTTGATTACACTTTTGGCTCGAGGTTGCCACTTTGGTATGCTCATTATAATTATGAAGAAAACTTTGATGACTTCCGTTCATTTGGTGGCTGGGTATATCCAGTTATGAAACAATTTGCTCCAGATGAGTCTCGTTGCGGAGCTAATGTCGATTTGAATTACAGAGAATTGTCTGTGCTGAATTAGATGTTATAAGACTTACAGAATTTCATATTTTTTTACATGGCATATATTAATTTAACCTCGGATTTAACAACATTAGGTAACAGTATATAAATTTTGTTACTTGTTAGACGGACGGTCAAAGTGCTTATTGGTACTTATAGATATAGTTTTATTTCATTTGATTTGACTTATTTGTATTTTTCATTTCGAGAAAAGTAATTCGATAATTAATGAATGATGTGTGATAAAACCAAAAAAAATTATAAAAGGCATTATTGAGAAATTGTCCGGGCAATATTGACCCATTTTAATTTATTTTTTGTAACATTTGCAATTTAAGAGAAGTTTTTTACCGACACGCTTATCTTTAGTCAAAAGCGCTCGACTTTTGAGAATGAAATTTTTTTAATGCCGTAATCTTTGCAATCGTTGGTGTATCCGGCTTTCGCCGAGGATACTAAAGGCCCAAAATCACAGCAAAAAACAAGTTAAAAACTATGATGCAAATTTTTTTTAAAAGGTAATTTCAATTTCAAAAATGTAATTAGCAAAAACAAGTTGTAATAAGATTGTTGATTTTTCTTTGAAGTTCATCCGATCCGTTTTGAGCTTATTGTAGTCCATTCTTGTAGATTGCCTTTTTCCTTTACGTTCACCAAACAAGCGATTTGTTCATGTTAATTCTACACGATCTTTTCCCTAGATCTCATCTCTGCTATTAGCGTTGCATTTAGGTATGTTCTCGGGGACAGTTACACGAAGACTGGATAGCAATGTTTTGAACTCTTCAAGAATTGGTTAAAAATGAAAATGTACAATTTGAACTGAACATTCATTGAAATACAATAGTTCTAGAACCACAAAGTTTCATAATCATAATGGAAATATAACCAATTTTTTTACAAGTTTGAAAAATTACTATTTAATGAACAAGGCTATCCAGGTTTTGAGCAACCGGCCCTGCTATTTTCGTTGAGAGCAATTAGCTCACGAACATAACAACATGTAAAACTATTTTGCATTTTACAACTTGATAAATAGTTATTTTGGTTATGTTTTTACACGTCTACCACAGACGCTGAAATATTTTGACCAGTTACAGTGATGTTGGATTTTCCACTCCCTCCTACAACATTTGTTGCTAAATCGGTCTGTTGCAACGCTTGCGTTGGACAGGACAACATTGTTAACAGTTTGTCTGATTGAACATATTGAAGAGATACTCCTGTAGAAACCAATTGATTGCTATTTGAGACAACAGTTATTGGCAGACCATCATCTTTCAATTCATTGGTCGATATAAGGTGCACAGCTTGTTGCACTGGCTGCAACAAAATTGGATTTGTAACACCATTTTGTATGGTCTGAACCAACGACTCAGGCCAAAATCTTTGTGCTAAACGTGCTTGATTTGGCTTGGTTTTTTTTGTTCTACATGAGTTGTCTGAGTTGCTAGAATCAAGCATTGGTTGAAGGATTCTTCGCCGAGCATTGATAAACCTAAAGTAAAATTTGATCTTTCTGTCATGCATGAATTTTAATTTAAGTTAACAAAGAGGTAGATGCAAATACCAGTTGTTAACTTGTAACAAAGATAGATCTGTCTGATGAGCTAAAATCCTTTTCTCTTCTTCCGAGGGATATGGATGCTTTAGAAAAACATATGAACTACATAAATTTATAATAAATGGTACAGAAGTTCAATTGATTTCTATGAATATGTAACTTACAGCTATGTGCTGAAACAACCAAGCTTTCATTGTGTTTGTGGCATGTTTGGGTAATATGCTTCGTTTAGACTTTTTATTGGGAAGTGATGGTGATGTGGAAGCCAGTGGTACAGTACGAAGACAAGAATTTGTTGTCCCTGTGGTAGAATACAAAAAATTAACAAAAATTCAACAGCCAAACAGTGGTGTAGCCAGCCCAACTTTTTACTCCACACAATGCAAATATTTTTATGTTCATTGACAATGAGAACTAAAGATTTCTAAAGAAGTCAACAATGGCAATCCTTCAGAATTTAAAGAATGGGAGTAAATCTGCAGGCTTGCATCGCTACTGCTGCCAATATACCATCTCATTGTTTTATTTGATGGTTACTATTACCATCATGTACATCTGTCAAGAAAAAATGCAGTAAAAAAGACTTACCAGAGATAGGGGATTTATAAGGTATATCCAATGACCCAAAGACATTAGTTGAATCACTTGGATTACTGTCAGTTGACATGGTCATTGTAGTCAAGTTAGAAACATCTGTGGAATTTTGTGTTGATGATGATGTTTTAACACATGAAACACTTGGCGAAGATTGACCAAGAATAGCCAAACTACCTTGAAGTTGATTCAGTTGGGAGTCATTTGATATTGCAGTCAGTACATCTTCACATCCTGAGGAAAATATACCCAACATATTTTCTGTTTGTAGTTTTCCTTTTAGACATGCAATATAACGTTGACAGAAGTCTTTACAAAGTTCATTTACTTTCTCAATCTCCAGAAGATGAATTTTTAACACTAGAATTGCTTTAACCATCTAAAAACAAATAATGAACTTGACATTTCATTAAACAATTCGCCAGAAGTCATTTCTAGGACCATGCGGTTTTAGCTATGAGCATGCTACTGTTTACGTTTGTTTATAATACAATATATCAACGAATATTCTCATTGAATCTCCATAAAAATGTCACAATTTACATTTCGATTCTATCTCACTTTATTCTCTAAACATTATTCATAGTGTGTTTTTGAGCATTTAAAAAACCCCAGCACAAACTTTGAAAACTTACCAAGCTATCTACATCATCAATGCCTGACAGTAAAGATTTCCCGTCTTGTCCAAGATGTAGCAAGAATGATCTAATTTCATTCTGAAATATTTGACTGTTTGGACCTTCATGGCTGCAAGTAGCCCATTCACATTTATCAAGCAACATTGCAAGCAACGGAAAAAGAGGATGACGATATATTGCTAGTTTGTCTGATTCACATGCATCTCCAGCATCAACTTGACTGCCAAGTTGTTGTTGTTGTTGTCGAGAATCTTCGAAGCTTTCTGGCGGTTTATCCTCATTAACAATAAGTTGTGAGTTCGACAATTCTGAAGGGGTTTTCCCTTGAACGATATTTCTTGCATGTTCATTTCCAATTCTTTCCAAATTCATTACAAATGAAATTGTAACCTTGGAACAATTTAATAATTTTGAAACTTTGACTAAGTTGTCTATGAAACAGGGCATGTTCTATTATTATACGCAAGTTAAACAAAATGCGCAACATTTACTCCGCTAAATTTCTTTTCATCGCATACACAATCCAAATGTAATACGGAAAAACAAGCATAAGATAAAAGCTTATTTTATATTCAAGAAACCAATTATTTCTTTATAAATAAAGAACAGAATTAGACATTGACTGGCAGCTTACCTCTGTCACTCTTCGTCAAATACTGATGCCCTTTGTCCTCAAACACTGCCAATCTTGAGTTAGCCCTGCCCATATCCGGCGTTGCTTATGTATTTTTATGCATATTTATGTCAAAACCAATAGGCAATAGCTTTATTTTATTTGCATTTTACAATTTACATTGTATTTTTACTTTCATTTCTTTTGAAAATGACAACTCTCCTGATAAGTCCTTTGAAAGTAACGATGTACCATGAACGAAGAAAGTGCATTTTAAAAACTTTTTAACAAATTTTTGACGTATGTGTAGCGTAATGTCATTACACAAAACCCAGACAGAATTAGAGCTGTCTAATGGCAATAGATAAAGTGATTGTGTATTTTTGTTATGTTGAAAAAGTTGTTGTCTCCTTTACTCAAATAAAACTTTTGAATAACGTTTTATTGGCAAATTAATTGCAGCATTTATCATTTAAAAAAAATTTAAACAGCTATAAAAATTACTATGCACTAAGCGTCGTAAATCGTATATTATTATTGATATATAATTACTTTATATACTTATAATTCTTTACTTTACCGAGTTTATTTTGTCAATTGAGTTTTAGCTATATAGATCATTTCGTTGTGGTTGCTATATGACAACTGTGGGAAAGACAGGGTTAATTTTTCTTGAGTGTAAAGTTTGTAAACAATTCTTGTGTTTTGAAAAAAAGAGAGAAAAACCTTACTTTATGGGTCTTTGTTGAGAACCATAGTGAAGGAGTATTTTCATATACCATGGAAGAAAATTCTTTGTATGACAAAGCCTTCATGTTCGGAATATTCATATCTGGGTCCAGAAAAGGCAAAACAGAAACTTAATATAATTTGTGAAGAACTTTTGGTCAAAAAAACTGCTTGAAGAATGAATCTTGTTGGCGGAGTTGGAGCAATCTTATTGGATGTTTACTTCATTAGTGACGTCAGAATAGCCTTACGTCATCATAAGTATAAATGTTTTTCGCTTAGATAATCGTTGGACTGTTTTCTAGTTCTACGTTGGCATATTTACTATTTTAAATAGATCTGTGATAAAGTTTTTAGAGTCGAAATGATTTGTGTCACCTGGTCTTATTTTCCTTAAACAGCAAACTTAAAATCATATATGGTAAGTTGATCGCTAGAGTAGTGGCATCAATTTCATTTCGAATTACATAAAAGTATTTCACCAAAAAGGGACATTTATAAAAGAAATATTTCCTCTTTGGACTCATAATATTTGTCTATTTGGAGTTGAAAAATTCTCTGTTCGATTTTCTTCAACAACATTTAAAATTTTGAACGTTAGTGACTCTTTATTGAAAAACTGATGGACGTTTCAAATCCTATTCTTTCTTGTCATGATTTGTCTTATGCGATTTATTATTGGTTCAAAATACCCAAAAATATATAAATTATAAGCGGAAAATAATTTTTTGCTTAAATTGTCAACAGAAACTACAAAACAAATATCGGAAAACAAAAATAATGCAATTTTTCATAAAATCGTCTCCTTTCAAAAATACGAAGTCGCGTTACTATAGTAACCGTTATAACAAATTTGCACTCTGCTACAAACATGTCGGACAAAAGTAATACGAAGAATTCCTTGGAAGATGAGCGAGATCAAGAGGCTTGTAATAGTGAAACCAAGCAATCTCTAATAAGTGTTACTCATAAACTAAAAACAGAAGCACTTCGTAGATTTAAACTAAAAGAAAGAAATTCTGATGTTGAACCAAATGAGACTTTGGTCGATTTCAAAGAACAATCAAAGTCCAAAAATTTTGATGTCGACATAAAATTGGATGAATTGAAAAGTATGTCTAATGATAGACAGACATTCAAAAGTATGTCTGGATAAACACGATGCAGTTCAATCGTGATAAGGGCGAATAAAAATAGATCGTCAAATCAAGTGCTGAATTAAAAGAAAATTTAAATAAGAATAAAACTGTATGATGTTAGAAACATAGCATTTAGCAAATTATTTGCCTTTAAATTTTTATAGCTTCGAAGCTAGTTGACTAAAGAATTAAATGTTCAGTGAGAAAATGTTAATAACATTGACAGACACTAAATTTTAAAAGAAGAACATGTTATTTGTTGTGGTAGCATGCATAACATAAAAAAACTTACTGTTCTTGAAAAATTAAATTATATTGATGTATAGTCGAGTTAAAGGGCACTAGATTTTTTGAATACCAGATTTTTTAAAACTTAATTCAAGATAAGTTACCAGCTATTTAGAAAGTCTTTTTTTTCCAGGTGAAGTTATAGAGCAAAAAAATGAACAAGAAGGCTCTACCATCAATTATCCAGTTGAGGAAAATTCTTCCGGGGAATTTGATCTAAGCGCCATCATTCCATCCCAACTTGAAATGGATGATGCAAATGAGGCAAGTCCATCCACATCTCAAGGATTGGGAGATGCTAAAGACACAAATCCATCTCAAATTGATGGAGTTGATGATATGAAAGACACAAATCCATCTCAACCTGCTGAAGTTCATGATATGAAAGACACAAATCCATCTCAACCTGCAGAAGTTGGTGATATGAAAGACACGAATCCATCTCAACCTGCAGAAGTTGGTGATATGAAAGACATGAATCCATCTCAACCTGCAGAAGCTGGTGATATGAAAGACACAAATCCATCTCAACCTGCAGAAGTTGGTGATATGAAAGGCACGAATCCACCTCAACCTGCAGAAGTTGGTGATATGAAAGACACAAATCCATCTCAAATTGATGGAGTTGACGATATGAAAGACACGAATCCATCTCAACCTGCAGAAGTTGGTGATATGAAAGACACAAATCAATCTCAAATTGATGGAGTTGATGATATGAAAGACACGAATCCATCTCAAATTGATGGAGTTGATGATATGAAAGACACGAATCCATCTCAAATTGATGGAGTTGATGATATGAAAGACACAAATCCATCTCAACCTGCAGAAGTTGGTGATATGAAAGACACAAATCCATCTCAACCTGCAGAAGTTGGTGATATGAAAGACACAAATCCATCTCAACCTGTTGAAGTTGATGATATGAAAGACACAAATCCATCTCAACTTTCTGAAGCTGGTGATATGAAAGACACGAATCCATCTCAAATTGATGGAGTTGATGATATGAAAGACACAAATCCATCTCAACTTGCTGAAGCTGGTGATATGAAAGACACGAATCCATCTCAAATTGATGGAGTTGATGATATGAAAGACACAAATCCATCTCAACTTGCTGAAGCTGGTGATATGAAAGACACAAATCCATCTCAACCTGCAGAAGTTGGTGATATGAAAGACACAAATCCATCTCAACCTGCAGAAGTTGGTGATATGAAAGACACAAATCCATCTCAACCTGCTAAAGTTGGTGATATGAAAGACACGAATCCATCTCAACCTGCAGAAGTTGGTGATATGAAAGACACAAATCCATCTCAACCTGCTGAAGCTGGTGATATGAAAGACACAAATCCATCTCAACCTGCAGAAGTTGGTGATATGAAAGACACAAATCCATCTCAACCTGCAGAAGTTGGTGATATGAAAGACACAAATCCATCTCAACCTGCAGAAGTTGGTGATATGAAAGACACAAATCTACCTCAACTTGATACAGTGGATGATGAGAACAAGACAATAACACAAGAAAATGTTAAAGAAATTGTTGATGAACCAAACAAAGTTATTGAAGATGGATCCAAGCCCGTGGAAAATATTTGTGATGGTATTGTGCATATTTTTTATACCTTTTTATGGAAGGGATAAGTTTGACAATCAAAGTAAATATAGCAATAAAGGGAGGATGACTTACATAAAGTTATTTCAAAAATTAATTTTTCCATTTAGTGCACTGTGTTTCCTACTAAAGTTGACTATTCCACAAAATTTTTGAAAAATATATTTTATTTAGATAATGAAGAACAAAGCTTGAATTATTTAACAGATGATTTCTATTATGAAAGATCATTATCACTATTTAATCCTTTGAAGACGGATGATATTCCACAAGATCTTCTTACATTACAGTATCCTTTCACTATATACATTAAACATCAACTTATGCATTTTGTTCTTACTATATGTATGTAAATATCAGAACATCATCTGTTGAAATTTTTTTTACAATTAATAAACACATATTTAAGAATTTTCAAAGCAAGACAAACATTATGTTACTGGATGCCAGCCTTATAGAGCTTTTCTTTTACCACATGAGTTGACATGCATGAATATGCTTTTATCCTGAGGTCATAAATCTTTATTCTCAAAAGTGATTGATAACATATCTTTCCTCAAGTTCTACTACAATTGCACTGTAACTTTTCATTATAACCATGTTTTGATTCCTTATCATCAGTCATTCATTTGGTTTTGAATGTACAAAGAGAGAGAATCTACACATTTTGGACCAAAACACTGTGGTATTTTCAGTGGGGAACTTAGTCCAGATACTAAATCTCTACTCAATGGAACAAAATTATATTGGTGGCACTAATTTTGGTGGTATTGGTGCAATTACAGTGAGTGTTAACATGAAGTCTTTTGTTAGTTTTTACTTCTTTGTTCGTCACTGCTTATGTGTCTTTTTAGGTGCATCCCAGTCGTAAATATTTTGCTGTTGCTGAAAAGGGAGAGATGCCAAATATAAATATATATGAATATCCTTCTTTAAAGTTATATCGTGTTTTGAAAGAAGGAACCTTACAGTCTTACGCTCATCTCAATTTTTCTTCAAACGGAACAAAATTGGCCTCGCTTGGATGTTCACCAGATTTTATGTTAACTGTGTGGGATTGGAAAAATGAGAAAGTCATCCTAAGATCAAAGGCATTCTCACAAGATGTCTATAAAGTTGCGTTCTCTCCCGAAAATGAAGGACATTTGTGTACAAGTGGGAATGGACATATCAGGTTAGGATCTTTAGTGTTCTTTATCATTCATGATTTCCTTTTACCTAGTTCTTAAATGAGACAACCCTCAAGCTCACTTTTACTAATGTTTGGTGAGATCATTTTATCCATTGTCTGATATGAAACATTTTTTTTGAAATTGAGCTCAACTCACATCATTAAACAAAAATACTCAACCAGTCAATTCGCCAAACTATTGCCTTTTTTAACTTACAATCCTTAGCAATACTAGTTATTGTTCTTGCCTATTTGACATGTGAACTGAATATAGTGATTTTATAGATTTTGGACTATGGCAAATACATTTACTGGACTTAAATTGCAAGGTGAATTGGGAAGGTTTGGTACAACTGAACTTACTGATATTGAAGGTAATTTCTTACTGAAGAAACTTACAATTAATGATCTTAGCATAAGTTTATTGCTTCCTTAAATTACAATGATTTAATCATCATCATTGTATTGTTTTAGGATTTGTTGCGCTACCAGATGGTAAAGTACTTTCTGGTTCAGAATGGGGAAACATGTTATTGTGGGATGGTGGATTGATTAAAGTTGAAATATGTAAGAAAGGGAATAAATTTTGTCATAATGGAATGATTGAACAATTTTTTATGGATGAAGGAGAATTAATGACGATTGGAACAGATGGATTCGTAAAGGTACATATACAAATAATTGTTCTGTTAAGAAATGGTTTTATAAGTAAGTAGTTTCATCATGCTATTTTATTCAGGTGTGGGATTTTGAAGCTGTTGATAGTGCCGATATAACAGACGAAAAAAACCTTATGTTTGAAATGGATCCAATGTATGAACTCAAAGTAAGTTTTACGATGTTTTATTCCGTGATTAGGGAAATTCACTTAAAAAGCGGCAACTCTCTCTCATTTGTAAAATTTGTAAAACTGTTTTTGCGTTACTTAAAAATAATTCAAATACATTTTTTTGACGTCTTTTAAGTGCGCTTGTATCTTGTTTTATCTTGATGTATTTTCTGGATTGTCTTGATAATCGACAGTCGGTTTTACAATTTTGTGTAAAATATAAACAAACTTTGACTTGTATATGAAGATTGGTTCATAAAGGGATAACTCGTTTAGAAAATGACTCATGTACATTGTTCACAAAATTCATAATAATCTTGTACCGTTTGACATGTGTTTGTATTAGAGATAACATGTCAAAGTAAGCACTAATTTAACCTCTGCGTATCTGCAACTGTAAACTGCGACTATAAATTTTAGCTGGTCTACATTTTCTTGAAAAATATCTAAATGCAACGCTTTGTTGGAAATTACAGTCGTTTCCTCGGGTTAGCGACGTGCGCGTTTTGCGTACCTGATGAAATTTCATTTATAACGAAACAACGTAACCATATTTTAGGTAGGACCAGATGTAAATTTAAAATCGATGGTGAAGTCGGTTAATCCAAATACACCAACAGTATGGTATGGACAGGTACGAAAATCATTGAATTGTACTTAGTTTAATCTCTCTGTGATGTTGCATCATACATGTGGGGATCTTGCATCATACACGTGGGGATCTTGCATCATACATGTGGGGTCAGTGATGAGGATCTTGCATTATACATGTGGGATCTTGCATCATACATGTGGGGATCTTTCGTCACACATGTGTGGATCAATGATGGGGATCTTGCATCACACATGTGTGGATCATTGATGGGGATCTTGCATCACACATGTGTGGATCATTGATGGGGATCTTGCATCACACATGTGTGGATCATTGATGGGGATCTTGCATCACACATGTGTGGATCATTGATGGGGATCTTGCATCACACATGTGTGGATCATTGATGGGGATCTTGCATCACACATGTGTGATCATTGATGGGGATCTTGCACACATGTGGATCATTGATGGGGATCTTGCATCACACATGTGTGGATCATTGATGGGGATCTTGCATCACACATGTGTGGATCATTGATGGGGATCTTGCATCACACATGTGTGGATCATTGATGGGGATCTTGCATCACACATGTGTGGATCATTGATGGGGATCTTGCATCACACATGTGTGGATCATTGATGGGGATCTTGCATCACACATGTGTGGATCATTGATGGGGATCTTGCATCACACATGTGTGGATCATTGATGGGGATCTTGCATCACACATGTGTGGATCATTGATGGGGATCTTGCATCACACATGTGTGGATCATTGATGGGGATCTTGCATCACACATGTGTGGATCATTGATGGGGATCTTGCATCACACATGTGAGGATCATTGATGGGGATCTTTCATCACACATGTGTGGATCATTGATGGGGATCTTGCATCACACATGTGGATCATTGATGGGGATCTTGCATCACACATGTGTGGATCATTGATGGGGATCTTGCATCACACATGTGTGGATCATTGATGGGGATCTTGCATCACACATGTGTGGATCATTGATGGGGATCTTGCATCACACATGTGTGGATCATTGATGGGGATCTTGCATCACCATGTGTGGATCATTGATGGGGATCTTGCATCACACATGTGGATCATTGATGGGGATCTTGCATCACTCATGTGTGGATCATTGATGGGGATCTTGCATCACACATGTGTGGATCATTGATGGGGATCTTGCATCACACATGTGTGGAGATCTTGCATCACACATGTGTGGATCATTGATGGGGATCTTGCATCACACATGTGTGGATCATTGATGGGGATCTTGCATCACTCATGTGAGGATCATTGATGGGGATCTTGCATCACTCATGTGTGGATCATTGATGGGGATCTTGCATCACTCATGATCATTGATGGGGATCTTGCATCACACATGTTTGAATCATTGATGGGGATCTTGCACTTTCTCTTGTATCAACTGCCTTATTGCAAGTAGAAATTGATGATGAAAAATACAAATAAAAATGCTGGATTTATTCAAATAATTTATTAAATATACATTCAATTATTTGATACATTAAAATATTTTAGTCGATGTAGACTTATTTCCCTCCAAAATTCATGGTCACTTGCGTTATATCCCGTATGTTTCTCATTTGTTTTAAAGGATGCATCTGGGGCAATTTGGAAATTGATCTATCTTTTACGCACACGGTACTCGCTTATTTTCTTTGATATATTCTAGTTTAAAATACATTGTGGTCACTACTTCTTTGTACATAAAAATTTTTCCATCGATGTTTTTAGAGTCATGCGCCTGAAAAACTTTTCTCTTATCATTCTGGTAGTGTCACAGGCGTTGATGCATCACCCATCAATCACATGGTTGCCACATGTGGTTCAGATTGTAAGTAAAAAAATCTACACACTCAGAACATGATTTGGGATATTAATGTAATATTTAATGATTTCATTTCTCATATAAGGCACTGTTCGTCTCTACGATTACGTTGCAAAAACAAATCTGTGTTGTTCAAAATATTCCCGTCCTGCAACAACTCTTATATGGCTTCCTAAAGAAGTAAGTTTTAAGATTTGATAAGCCATACCAATGAATATTTTTGAGCTAAAAATTACATTATGTATAATTCATAGTAAATATTTAATGTATGTATGGTTATCCTTTGCAGTTTATTTGATATAAGAAGAAACTTGACGTGGCTATAAGTCTTCATTCTACACATTATTTCATTCTGTATAATATTAGGTCGATGCAAAATGTTCATCGTTACTTTGTGGTTTTTCTGATGGTGTCGTACGTTATTTATCTGTAACAAAAGATGAAAGCTCGTCATCGCAAAATGAAAACTCCAATCTCAACTTTCAACTTCTTCAAGTGTTTAAACCTCACACAAAGAATGTCACCTGCATTGTCGTCGACAAACATGGAAAGTTGATAACAACTGGAGTATGTTCTTGTGTGTCTTTCCCACTTAACTGTTAAGCTTTTAAATTTTTTACTATGCTAAACAATGCACTTTTTTAGAGTGAAGATAGTACTGTGTTTTTCTTTATGATTGGCGATAACAGTTGTCAACCTGTTGCTTTTATTGAAACTGCTTCCCCCGTTGTTTCTATGTCGTGGATGGATAATATCAAGGTTTGTTATTGAATGTCATATAATATGACAATTGTGAACCATTGCCAACAACATTGATAGCATACAAAAACATACACCTTTTTCTGATCCTATTAGGATAAAACTTTTATTTGCCGTTAAGATTGGATTGTGAGAATTCTGTAGCTTTTTATTTTTTAGGATTCTGGGGGGTTGTTGGTATTTTGTAAAGATGGTACAGTTTTTGATGTAGAAGCTCCACGAGTAGATAATATTGACACGTCAAAGACATTTCGAATTCCTTGTCAAAGTTTGGTGAAACGACATTATATGTTTTCAAGGATCAAAGAAAAACTTCTGGTACAAATATTTTTTTCGAAGAATGTTTGAACAGACTGTTGTGACGCAATGTTCTTTTTTAGAAAGCAGAAGACGATAAACGTAAAGCTGATATAAAAGCAGAAAAAGAGAAACAAAAAGAAGAGGAACGAAAGAGGCGTCGGGCTCGTGGTATTGAAGAAGATGAAGAGGAAAGTGAGGATGATGAAAAAGAAGAAGAAGAAGAAATGGTAGCCGATGAAGAACAGGAGGAACATGGACCTCCTTGCACTTTGCATGGTTTCCCTTCTGTAAACACTGACAGATTTTGGATGCTTATGGTAATGTATAACTGCATAGAAGTGCTTTGCTACATGAATGAACACTTGACAAATCGAAGTTTGATTTGCAAATAAGCCTTCATTTCATTGAAAATTTTTTTGCTTTTAATACAAAGCATTGTTTGCAATTTGATTCCCCAAGATGTCTGTGAAAAGGGATATGAAAATTATCTTAAGATAATTTTCCAAACCACATAAGGCTTCTTTTTTCCAATAACTGGCTGACAATGAATTATCTCCAACAAAAAGACATATTTTATAGGTCACAATCATTACTTAGTTTTTCATTTTCACTTCAAGGATGGTTGGGATGCTAACTACATCTACGAGTGTGAATTTCCTCCCAATACTAAGACTGAAGAGACATTGGAAGCTACAGAACCAATCAATGCTATTAAATTACTGGAATGTGATAGTTCTATACGATCATTTACATACAGGTAATGCTCAAACTCTTCTTATTTAGACTTTTATTTCTGTGTTGAGACTTTCTTCGTCCTCATATACATAGTTAGTGTTTGTACTCACCTTGCAAGATAATTCATAACTGTCTATTTTGCCTAGTTATGATTTCGAAAGTCACATGCATCTTGTTTTTTTCTTTTCATGATTTTCAAGTTTGTTTTTTATGACTACTGAATTTCACGAGTCCTACAGCATTATGTCATAAATTATTTCACCATCACATTTGCTTCACTTGTGATGACTTGTGTAAACATGACAGAAATTATAACTAATAAAAACTATACAGTACACAAGTGTTATTGTTCATTTTAATTTATTGTTTTATTTCATGTAGTCATTCTGGAGCGTTTGTGTTGTTTGGTATGGACAATGGAGCTGTCAGGATCCATCCTGCTCATGGTAAAAATGTTCTGGATTCACTCAACACATATTGGATACTTCATGTACATAACAGTCAACATGGTGCTATAAACGCTATACGAACAAGTTTTGATGATAAATATGTCTTCACAGTTGGCGAGGATGGAAATTTTTTTGTTTATAACTTTATGAGTGACGCAACATTGAAAGAATCAAAACCTATGCAACCAATCGCAGTGCCTAAAATGCAGGTATGATTGATGATTGATAGAGCACAAGGAAAGATTTTTTAAATAAAAAGAACTTTATTTTGCAGCTTTCAAATAAGTAGTATTTTAGATTTATTATCATAGCTGTCTTTTCTTTGTTTGAATGTATTTTAATCAAAACAACTTTTGCTTTTTAGACTGTTCTGAGTGAAGATGGAATTGAGGTTCCAAAGACCATTGATGACATTAGTGATCCTAATCATTATAGGTGCAGAAAGTTTTGATTGATTAACACGATAATTGAATTGATTTAAAGCGTAAACTTAATCTTGTGTTTTCATTGCAGTATTGAACTTGAAAAGCAAAAAGCAGAGCATGACAGAAAGATTAAAATAGCTGAAGAGAAAAAACAGGTATTTTTATGTTTAGTATATTTTATCAATCAAAAGAGCTGTTATGTAGTCATGCAATTTATATTTTGAATTTATCGTTTGTATTATTCATAGAATGTTCGCCGTGGCATTGCAATATTAAGACGATCATTTAAGTCGTTACTTCTAAAAAATAAAAGTCTTCCAGATTATCTTCGTATTAAACCAATGGTAATTTTTTTTTTTTGAAAAATTTCCAATGTTCAAAACTTTGTTTTGCTCGTGTTTCAATGATCTGGATGCATGAACTGTATTTAGAATTTCATCAACAGGTGACAACAACAACATATTTTTATGCGCTTTTATAGGAACTTGAAATTGATCCAGAAATACGTAAACAAGAAGAAATTGCAGCGGCTGAGAAGGTTTGCCATCTATTTTGTTAATATGCACTCTTAATTGGCTGTCTTATCATATGCAGTGTTGTTGATGTTGCTAGTTCACCATTGGTATTTTTTTCATACGTCGAAGATTCTCTGCTCAACATTCAACAAGATTCAACATTTTACAACAAAGATTCCAGTTGCCACAATTTATAATGACCATGCAAACTTTTTATGTATGGTTGGTTTTTGGTAAAAAAAATATGAAGGAAGTGGGTTGAAAAATATTGGAGAAAATAAAGTCTCCAACCTAAAAGTTGATGTTTATGAATACGTTAAAATACATCCCTTTGTGCCCACGATCAAAGAGTGTCGTCCACCACCCCACCACCTTCATGATTGTAGCTTTTGACTAGATCAAAAATGAGTGAGACATATTTTTTTCCTTGCAGATTGAAGTTGTCAGGAAAGAGTTATCATGGGAGGTCGAAAAACATAACATTGGACTGCGGAAACTTAAAGATAGGTTAGTACAAAATTAACCACACATTTTTTGCTATTTATATCTCTTTCAACTCAATTTTCTTGGTGTTCAAGGTTCAAAAGCATGATGGAATGCGAGCGTATTATATTGTATGCTTGTCAGACTCCATACAAAGTCTCGAGTTTTCGTTCAGCAAAATTACCTGAAATTTATGAATACTTAAAACGAACGCTTGAGGAAGCAACTCAAGAAGGATTGCCTGCAGCGAATGTAAAGAAAATCAGTGTTAATAAAGGAACAACGCCATTTGCTAAACGGCGTTCAACTCAAACAGATGCAAGAAGCAAAAGTCTGCAACATGCTGAAGTTGTTGCAACTGTTACCCCTCAAACTGCGGGAACTGCAGCTCAGGTGGGAGGAAAAGTTGCGAAGGCGTTAGAGAAAGCTGAACTTAGACGAATGAAGCGAAAGTTAAGACAAGCTGAGGTGAAGTTAGCTGAATCACAACCTGAAACTTTTTACTTAAAAAGCTCTTTGTTTTCATTTCGTAGTTTCCTAACTGCTACCTTGTATTGTGTTGTTTCATATGGTAATATTATAATCAAGACATATATGAAATGAAGAACAATAAGCAACACACTATGGTTTACTTTTCTTTTTGTCATTGTAACATAATTTGCAATATTACATCTCGTGTTCAAATGAATCAACAACAAACTTAACATTTCAATTTCGTTATGAGTTTATAAAACGTTTCAAAATTTTGTCTTTCAGTGGGATACACTGTACAAAAATAAACCCGATGAGAATTATCAAGATCCTAAAGATGTCAATGCAATCAATGAAGCTAAAGATAATATTGGCGATTATAAACTGAAAACTGCAGATGATTATGTAGTGCCTGAAGACCAACGTGTTAATGCCGAGATTAAGCTCTGGGAATTGCTTCATCTTTTGGACCAGGTTTGTAATGTGTTTATATCACCATGTTGTGTTTTTATTTCGTTATTTTATCACCATGTTGAGTTTGTATTTCGTTGTTTTTTCACCATGTTTTGTTTGCACGTCGTTGTTTTTTTCACCATGTTGAGTTTGTATTTCGTTGTTTTTTCACCTTGTTTTGTTTGTATTTCGTTGTTTTTTCACCATGTTTTGTTTGTATTTCGTTGTTTTTTCACCATGTTTTGTTTGCATGTCGTTGTTTTTTCACCATGTTTTGTTTGCATGTCGTTGTTTTTTCACCTTGTTTTGTTTCGTTGTTTTTCACCATGTTGTGTTTGCGTTGTTTTTTCACCATGTTTTGTTTGCATGTCGTTGTTTTTTCACCTTGTTTTGTTTGCATGTCGTTGTTTTTTCACCTTGTTTTGTTTGCATGTCGTTCTTTTAACACCATATTGTGTTTGCATGTCGTTCTTTTAACACCATATTGTGTTTGCATGTCGTTGTTTTATCACCATGTTGTGCTTGCCTGTACTCAAATTACCATCTTGTGTTTGTTTGTCTTCATTATACCAACTTGTGTTTGTATATGGTCATATTCATGTGCTTCAATGTCGTTGTATAGCTAGCTTGTGCTTTCATTTGTTGGTTAACTGAAGACAACAGCCCTTGCGTTTGTGCTTGTGAATTGAACGAGACTCAACTTTGAATTTAAGACGTCATAAATACAATACTGTAACAACTGATCTTATTATTGCTGAATGTATAAATATTTCATTTCACCTTCCAAGTCATATTTTCAGGTAAAATTGTTTTTATTCTTTAATGTTTTCATTAATTCCAATAGATTCATTACTACAAGACAAACTTTAACCGCAGACTTATTGCTCTTCGAGATAGGAAGATTAAAATTATTAACGAGGTATTTATATTTTGAATAATGAATCCAAATTTTCACTACGAAATACATGAATTATTTTGAGAAAATGTTTAATAGGTTCAAGATTATATCAACCAATTGAAGTACGTTCAATCCAAGCTTGATGGATCACTTCACAGACCATGTCCTGATGTACCCAAGATGAAACCTGAAGAAATTCCAGAAAGGTTTGAATAATTATTTCTTTTATATTTGCGTTATATCTGCTGTCCATTTGCTGTTCTGCACGACCATATTTTGAAATATATTAATGAATAGACTTTAACTATCATCTTTTGTTATTCACTTATCTTCTTTGGTTCTCTATAATGAAAGATAAAGCTACATTGACATGTATTGAATGTAGATTTGAGTCGTTTACAATGTTTGTTTTCAGCATCACACATTTAGTTATTATTTTCATTGATTGGATTGCATTTTCTTACATGTTTTTTTCTACATGTTTTATGGTTATGTCCTATTTTGTTGTTTAGAAAAATGGAGTACACCAGAGAAACGTTGCTCGCGTTTAAGATGAAGTTAAATAATAAAGTTGATATCAAAGCTGACGAGAGTTCAGGTGGAAAATTTGGAGGTTTTGGTGTTTCTGAGGTAATTGTCCCTCTTTATAATAAAATGATTTAGCAAACACGACGTTTCGTCTAAGACATTGTGAAAATGACGTGGGCATGTGCATTTTACTTCCGGTTCAATCTACGAAGGCAGTCGTGTTGACGAGTACGACGTGAAAACATACAATTTAAAGTTGTATCGACGACGGCTGAAACAAATTCAACTTTTGGACAGATATAAGGTTATATTTTTAATATTTGCATCTCAAACATTTAGGCTGACATACATTTATTTAAGTAAAAACTGCGAATGTTTTGTTTCCGTTTGACCGTAAAAAACAAAGAAATGAACAACGCAGGTCTAATTTCGGTGGTTTCCTCAAAGTAAAAGCAAGTTTAGTCACAAAGCCGACTGTCGATTATTTTGCTTTTAGTTACGTTTTTATTGAAATAAATATACTGCAGTATATTTTTTAATATCAAAAAATTACTTTTAAAAATGCCGAAATGGATGAAACTTGTTTCATGTTACTCTTTGGCAAAGTCTTGCAAAAGATTTGCTAAATTACAACGTGTTGGTGTCCTAGACCCAGATCCCTCGCGAAAATTTGACGACGTCTTAAACGAAACGTCGTCTTTGCTAAATTACTCTAATATGACCTATTGGTGGACTTTTTCATTCGCTGTCGAAACATATCGTATTTAAATAACTTTATTATTAACAACCCCCTCAGATTTTGTCTTGTCGGAATGCTCTGTAGACATTGATTTTCAACCGTTGTTGGTATACTTTCATCTTTCTATTTGATTATTTTTAATGCTCCTTACTTAGCTGAAACCCCGGCAGTCGACTGCTGACAATCGTGATCGTACATTCTCTAATGTATCTGTATTGTCTGGTGGTCGGCCACGTTCCAATTTAAGTACAAAGACTGATGCTCCAACCACTATATCAGAATTAACTGAAGAATCTCTTTCACCGCTTGAATTAGAATTGAAGCAGCAGGAACAAATTCGGTAAATGTAAATATTGGCTTTTTCTCTTTCTTTTCTCCGTTCCCTTTAAAATTGAATCTTCTCATATTTTCAACATACTGAAAATCTTAATGTACACCACTTTTTCATTTTGCGATTTGTTATCGGTTTAGAATGCAATATGAACAAGATTATCTTCTCAAAAAAATACAATGTCTTTTGACAAATTTTGATGGTGAAATAAAAACATTACGTCACGAAAAAAGTCAATATGACGTAGCTTTAAAGAATGCCGAGCTTAGGTATGTAGAGAACTTTTTACGTCAACGTTTAGCATTTAGATGGCATCATTTTTCTTTATTTAATTATCTTTTTTGTTCACTTTTAGACATGTAACTTTATTTGAAGAACTCGTGTTACTAAAGGAGTTTGAAAAACGAGAATATACTTTGGCAACTCGAGTGATCACAAAAACAGATGAAAAGGAAGAAATAGAAGACAAGGTAAAATTGTGAGAAAATGATGCTGAAAACGATGTTAGAAAGACAATGGGCATGATTTTCATTTTTCACTGGTGAAGTCTTTAGTTATGTTTCACCTTATCATGTTTCTTATGAACAGGTTGATGATTGCCAAATGAAACTGGAAGCGAAGAAAGATGAGATAGAAAAAATTCAACTACGGGAAAAATCGCTGTATTCAACATTTTCTTCCAAGTTGGGGGAGAGTAATAAGTTTGAAAGTTTTTTGACTCATGTGTTTAAGAAGAAAATAAAAAGAGCGAAGAAACCAAACGAGACACGTGATGGTTCTAATGACGACAGTGATGAAGAAGATAGTGACGAAGAGTTTTCATCAAGTGAAGAAAGTAATTCTGATGAAGAAGTATTGGATGATAGCACCTGTCCACCAGGATGTGATCAGGTACATGTTTATGTTAATATTATTCATTTTTTAAGTAAAGATGATAATCTTTCTCCACGTTTTTTATGAAACATAATGTCTTAAAACTTTGAAATTTTAAAAACTACAAGGCAAATAAATAATAATATTGAAGGCAATTTGTGAATCCTTGGAAATAATTTGTTATAGTGAAGAGCGTTTGTTGGTCCTTTAATAATTAGGGTTAAGGGAATTTATGGATCCTTGTCTGAATATGTTGTGATTTGATTTTGTTGTAGAACGATATGAATTTTCATGTTCAAAATAACTTTCTGGGTCATTTTTTGGTTTTTCATTTTGAAAACAACCTGTTTTTTCTAGTAGTTTATACGTATATTTCTTTAGATCTATTTTTATTTTGTTCAGGCATTGTTTGACAGCGTTTGTCAGCTCCGAGAAACACGTTTGGACGTTGAGGAACGTTTGAGCGAGGAAAAGAAGTTATTTGAAGCCTTGAAGAAAGAACATGAAGCATTATCTAGAAAATGCAAAGTTGTTGCGTCTGCTCTTACAACAGCCACCTCAGAGTTGGAAGCTTTTCAGGTTTATTTTTGTTATCAGTGTTTAACTTTCCTCGCGCATGTTATAAATTGTATCAGTGTTGTATGTTTTTAATTCATTTTTTTACATCATCTTTCACAACATAGCGTGAAAAGCAACAGAAATTGAATGAATTAGACGTTGTGGTAACGATAAAATTTCATCAAATACAATACATCATTAATAAATCTTTACCGCAAGATCTTTCATCGTCTCTTGTCTTTGTCACCTCTGATCAACGACGTTTACAAAAGAGAATAAAAGAACTGGAGCTGGAGAAAGCGGAACAAAAAAGACTTTTCAGGTACTACAGAAATATGTTTGCCATCCTCTAGTTTACGTACGTGTTTAGATTAGATAAAAAGCTAATCTTGAAAAATTTATATCTTGGGGTGTTTATTTTTCATTTATTTTTCAAGAGAAAATCGTCAAATGCATGTCCAGTTGAAAAGAGATAAAAAAGCACAAGAAATCGAGGTATTAAATACAGAAATATTCTTTGACAAACATATTACTAATGCATTAAACCGTATCTCTATAACTTAAATTAATGCTACTTCCATCAAAGTTACAGGTTTTAAAATGTCATTTTATCTCTATTCAGATTGGTCAACTTGAAGAAAAAGTGAAGAATATGCAATTGTTAAAGTTTGGTCGTCTAGTGGATTTGGAACGTCTTGAAAATGTGACTGTAAACAGAACTGCTGAAGAATTAAAAGAAAGATTACGAAAGCAAGAGTTAAAGAACGCCAATGAATTGCTCAAATGGGAGGTACATAAGATCTTTATTTCAACTCTATTCACAATTTTCTAATTTATTAAGATGATGAAAATATTTCAAAAAATGTTATTTATTGTGTTTATAACTATATATAAATATTTGTTTGTGGATGTAGATTGTCCAGGTTAGTAGAGTCCTGGGAAGGACTGTTGTTGATGATGTTGACTGACGTTTCGACAACCTTAGTGGATGATGAGGATGACTACCGTTAAGGTTTTAGAAACGTCAGTCATCATCAACAACACCAGTCCTTCTCAGGACTCTACTAACCTGGACAATCTACTTCTACAAACATGTAACGATACTCCCGAGTTCAAACCATTTACTTTATATATAAATAATACAATATAAACACAAAAGTTTTCATCGAAAAATGTTTCGTTCTTTCTACCTACAATGACTGTTTAGTTAAAACATACCAATTGAATGAATTTGACGTAAATTTGTTGTCTTGATCAGAGAACTATTGAAGAACACAAACAAGAATTAACGAGGAAAACACGTGATAACACCTACAGAATTAATACTTCAAACATGCTGTATAAAGAAAGAGAAACGTTAGAAGGAAAACTTGACAGCAAACTAAAATCTTTGGTATGTTTAGCATACATACCTCCTGCTTGGTTTGGTTCTTTAGTGATTTTGACTGGTTTGTGAAGTTTTTATTGATATTAGTTGAATTGGTTATGTTGTTTTACATATTGGTTAGTTTAGTAATGAAGTGATAGATATTGGTTAGTTTAGTAATGAAGTGATAGATATTGGTTAGTTTAGTAATGAAGTGATAGATATTGGTTAGTTTAGTAATGAAGTGATAAAGATTGATTGGTTTGCTTTCATAGTAATAAAAAAGAAAGAGAGTTGCGCAATTTTATCAGTAACCCTATCCTTTATAATTTATATCTTTGTACGTTTTGAGACCTTAGTGTTAGCAGAGGAAAAATAAAACATGTTTTTCATAGCGTTGACGTGTTTTTGTTTATAATCACTCGATGATCTTTGATATTTTGTTGTTCCTTTTAGGGAGCTGAGTACGGAGGTAATAGAAAAACTGATGTTACACAGCGTCGTAATTTGGTACATGTTGTTCAAGTTCAAGCTCACGAAATTGATGCTTTGAAATATGAAATTATGGTTTTGTCTCGCAAAGGTGGTCACATTTTACCACCTTCTCAGCCACCATTACCGTCAGTTCAAACAGCGATACCAAACATTTAGGCATTCTGTACAACAAAAGAATTTTATTTCGCTTAAGTAAGGTATTGTTGTCTTTTCAACGTTTCATTTATTATTTTCGCTGTATTTCGTTTAAATTTGTATGAACAAAACACGATATAAATATGTCGTTTTAACTTCACTTTTAAAGTAAATTGGCAACCTTATGAATTTTGAAATGAACGTCTATTTAATGTTTATACTTCCATATTCGAAAGACTTGTCTTATACATTCCGGCATGATCTTATCCACAATGATACCACTGTGACTCAGACTTTGACCTACTCGTTCCAGCCCTCAGCACTGTTCAGTAATCACTGGACACAAACATGACACACTATACCATACCTAGGGTAGATCAAAATAAATTATGCATCTCGTTCTATCATAGATTTACATTTCTAAACATCTTAGAGGCAAATTCATTGGTAAATTTTTATTCTTTAGAAGTTCATAACCAATAGTGTTGTTCTAAAGATACTTTGAATTTAAACTTGAAAAGCCATAGTTTATTTTTACTAACGCTGCATAGAGACATGAATGAAAATTAACGGTTTTAACGAATTTTCTTTCTCCGCCAATGTTTACTTAATTTATTTGATAATCTTGTTTAATGTCATGATCTTGTTATAATTTAAATATATTATCTAAACGTAATCTTTAACGTAACATTGTATCAAAGTTATTTTTATTTATATTAATGCAGAGTTTGTTACTTAAGTGTCAACATACTATATATGGAAAATTTAGGTAAAATATATCTTGTGAAAATTTCACAAAAAGAATGTTAAATCATAAAGATCTTTGTCACAGGTCAAACTCACTTTTACAAATATCAACGTTAACCTTGACCTGCGACGTCATTCCATTTTTAATTTAAAAGTAAGTATCTCTTGAAAACAACTGCCTTTTTAAAGAGCATATTTAATAGTAATTGATAGAGCTTTCCTCACTTAACCTTGCAGTGCTGCAGGCATAAAATTATTTTCCAACTATAATGTGGCTTTTCGGCTGTATACATTCATTCATTATCTTTATGCAAAGAGATTTCTTTCTAAACGCAAAAATATTAAAGTAAAGTTATCGAGATTTTTTATCTTTATGACTACTATTCTACAAAGGAATGAAATTGCTTCTACGAAGAATATTTATAAACACATCACAAACGACAAACGAGAATTTTATGTTGGACTATATCCTAAGGCAATAGCGTCGAATGCATAATAGCGTCTAGCTGTGAGTTACAATGCAAACTTTGAATATGGAAATTCATCACGAGTTTATTTGTTATTGCAAACTTTGTGATTTTCCAAGAAGCGAAAGGCAAAACTAAATATATACATATACATTTGGAACATATTGAAACAAACAGCCATTAAAATCTTTAAGGTAAAACATCGTGCAAAGATTGTGCGAAAAATAGTTCCTTTTCATGTTTGACTGCATGATCAGTGAAGCACAACAAGCAACTGAATATATGTTTATAACACATTGTTTCTATGTCATTGTCCATACTTCGCTAATCATTTTGAAGATTTGAATAAAATTGTCAAACATAAAAACACATCATATTCTTGAAACTTGCCAGTCATTGCCAAACCGTTTGTGTAGGTTGAAAATAACTGATCAGAAAAGTTGTTATCAAAAAATACTCTACGGCCAAGATATGAAGTTTTATATTTTAGCAATACTTACTTTAGTTGTTCAAGCGAATATACTGGAAGCTGTTCCAATGAACCGTTGGCACAACGAGGGTAAGTACAAATGAACATTTTCTTTAAAAGCAGAGCAGCAAAGGTTTTGTAGATCGAACGTAGCTATCTATGTGTTCCAAAACTTTTAATTAAGTAATCAAGCTTTTCTTTCAATCATTCATAATTTCATTTACTGTTAGTAGTGTGATGCATTGATGCTTTCTGGAAGATTTTGGTTGTTATATGACCATTTTATGATTAGATTTTTTAATTTCTCCAATTCCATGCAGTTTTTGAAATCCAAACCGCTAAAACAAGGAATTAGTTCAAAAGTTCTTCGTTGAAACCAAGATACTCAAATTTTTAAAAGATCAGTCGCGTAAATCACCACGTTTTTGAATTCCAAATACATGTTTTTCTGGCAGACGAAGCTTGTGTAGACAAATACCCAGAAGAAGAGTGCAAAAAGCACGCGGCACACGAAGGATATTGTGATTATGAAAAAGAGTTTATGGAAAAGAATTGTAAAAAAACCTGTGGTTATTGTTTACGTTAGTATCTAATCTTTGTCATAGCTGTACAATGTTAGAGGCTTACAATTTAGCCATTTAATGAAATTTTATTTTATATAATGCTTCTCCAATTATTAAACAGTTCATGTATTCTCACGAAACTTTTATAATTATTCAAAGCTCAAGCACCCGTTGCTGGCATTGGCGCTGCTTGTGAAGATAAGTTACCAGGATGTAAGAACCACTCGGCCATTGACGGATATTGTGACTATCATGCTGAATTTATGAGGAAAAATTGCCCAAGAAGCTGCGGTTTCTGTCGACGTAAGAGTCATTGTAATTGTTACCCCTTCTTTGCGATAGCTATAACAATGCTTCACAATGCTTGCCATGTGGCTGAATAACACGCAGAATGTGCCACGTTGTATGCAGTATGAGGGTAAATTAACCATGCTACATATGTTGTCAAAGAAAGTAATTTAGATATTTGAGAACTTTATTTATAGTCAATTTGAATTCAATCTTGAAGTATAGATTCTTTGTACAGTTTTGTGTTTTTCGAAAGATTGCAATTGAAATCCAACGGGATTCTATTTGTGTGTGTGGGGGAGATCATTAATTAAAATCGAAAATTAGCTTCGATTTAAGTCTATTGCATCTATTGAAGTGGAACCATGAGTGGACAAGTCGCTTTTAACGTAAAATTTATCCGTATGCTTCAAAAATAGGTAAGTGCGTACATGTGGCTGGGTAGCCTATTGCATTTAATGTAATAAAATAAAATAGATTTATAAAACTTTAGTTCATTTATGCTGCATATTTAATATTATTCACAGAGGACTTGAGATACAAAAATGTGTTTTGTTCTCACTGCTTATAATAAAATGACGTGGTAGTTGTAAAACTCTTTATGCATTTACCGAGCGCCTTTACTTAGATTGTATTTCACGGGATTGTACTTTAATCGTAAAATGATTGTACTTTAAAAGTGAATTTTTTAAGAGTTCCCACAATTTATTTAACAATAAACACACCATTATTTGTTGCCATGGAAACTATATTGTCATCAACTTATGCTTTAAACAGTTTTCTGTCATGTATGTGTAGTTCGCTGAACAGATAAATCAACACGCTTATTACTTGTTTTAATTTATAAACACACGATTTGAATAACTATATTTCCGACAATTCTACGCAAAACAGGCTTGATCTTTGAAAGGGAAGGTTCCCCACGTTACAAGCGATTGCAAGAATTTAATTGTATTTCCTGGTCATATTATTTTAGTCGTATGTTTCACAATGTTTTTGACGTTAACACAGATAATATTTTTATTTTGCCTTCCATAGCAAAGTACTGTAATGAATAATCATAGAGACCGAGCAATATGTAAACAACGCAATTACATTTCAATGTTGAAATGGACAAAATACAAATAATGTGTAAAATAAAGTTTTGTGAAGACTACGATGATTGAATCTAGCTAACAAGTCAAGCTCGTGTTTACTTCTATATAAACAGGTCCGACTTTTCGTCCGACTATTCTGTGCCAATTGCAAATAAATTATGTTTAATCTTTATACGTGCATGGACAATTCACACATTGAAAACATTTCATTGTTGTATGTATTAGTTCGTTATCTAGGGCATATAAAGAAGACAGCCAAGTAGAAAATTAATTTGATTGGGGAAGGTGATACTGATGGCTGATGGCATAAGGCGTTTTAGAGGCAACATGATAGTTTAGTAGCAAATTTTTTGGGGAGAGGAGATTCTTCGGGCCTGAGAAATGAAACAGTTTTAGAACCTCCTCAAAAGTTACTATCACAATTATATTTTGCGATGCACAGTCCTTGTATCTACTATTTACTAACCTATAGATTCTTCATTAAATTTAGAACTAGCTCCTCCCGTCAATACTAAAATATTGTATTGGAAGACCACACCCTGGAATGAGGTAATGGATCGATGTATAACTTTTAATACAATTTTGCAATATTTTTAACCTATGTTTGTTTAGCTGTTAAGTAGAGAGTAACTCTTTTTTTCATTAATTTTTCAAGTCATATTTACCTTTTTCGTATTTATATGATTTAAATCAAGAAATTGTTGATCAAACACGGTATAAGTTTATTATGAATAAAACAATACAAATTTGTTTTTCTTCGTAGTGCATAAACGGCAAACAAAGTCGTGGAGTTCAATGTTTTCATGTGTATCAAGGCAAAGATTATCAAGTTGATCTGAAATATTGTCGAGAAGCGATAAAGAACGAAGCTGAACCAGCTGACGAAAGAAGTTGTTAACAATGGTTGATTCAACTGGCATTCTAACTTAATTTTAAGTTCTGCAATTGTTTTTGAGTTTATTTTCTGTTGAGGATATAAATGGAAATAAAGATTTTTGCCTTTTTTTTGTGGCACTTAGTCGCAAATTCTCAAAGAAATCATATGAGCATGCGCTCATTTGATGCATCAGTAACGATCAATTATACCACAACTTTCGTAAGCCTTTGAATTTATGTATATATATAGGGAGCTAAAACTTCATATAGTAGATGTCAACTAGCAGTGGAAGCTGGATGCGATATAGTATGCAGTGGCTTAGGGGCCACACTTCGGTGGCGACCGCACTCGCCCTGCGTACCCTGAGCAAAGCCTATCGCAGGTGATCTCAGGGTCTGATGGGCGGAAGCTTGCTATTGGCATCTCCCAAGTAGGATAGCGTGGAGGGGCCGAAACCTTCTACCGAAACGTTAACATGCGGCGTTCTAGTGCCGCGTTCTAGTTCTAGTTCTAGTGCTTAAGAAGGTATCGGGAAGCATGGACCGAAAACGGGGTTTCTTTGCTTTCGAATTTTATCTTTTGTTTTACAAGAGTTCTTTTCATGAGAATAGAATATCCAAGGATACTTCAAAGGTTCAAACAACTTCTGCCTTTTTGACTTATAAGTTAAACCAACTCTAAACATTTTATACGTTTTTTACTTCTTACCTTTTACAATGTAACTTTCTCATACCTCTCTCGTGATGAACGAGAACCTCCTCATACAGTATGTAACTCTCTCATCATTAACGAAAGCATCCATGAGCTTCATGAGAGAAGAAATAATCTACTTTTTTATAATGGTTTTTACAAAGTTAATAGTTAATGTTCAGCAAGCACCATAAACCGGTATAGAACGTTTTGACATCGATCAAGCTTGTTTTAGCCCCCCAATATCCGGTTTTCTTCAGAGTTCTTGTTAAGACATTATATAAAAAGAAGTAATTTCAATTCACTGAGCCACTTCTAGCTATTTTATTACTCTTTATACCGAAATATACGATATTTTACTTCCCACACTGATATACCACACCTTCAAGACACGCCCATGGAGATCAACTTCAGTTATACTAAGATCAGTAGTAAACAAGACGAAACGAAGACTTTGACCCTGCAACTTCAAGTCTTAAACTGGTTGATTTTGATAAAATTATAAAATTTCCTATAGACCATAGCTGTTGGTATAGGTTGTTGCATAAAAAGAAAACTATCTTCTTTTACTGAGAACTTCTCATTCTTTATGAATATACTGGCCTGTCAGCACACTTTGAGAGGAAAATGTTTTGGTCGCCCTGTCACATTTCGTGCCTTAGCTGGAAATCAAATTTCAAACATACTTAATAATGTGAAAGCTGTTTTGTTGCAACCATTTTCAGGTATGTTTTTATTAAATTACTTTACATACTTCATAAAGGATAATTTGAATTAGAAAATTCCAAGCAGAATTATTGCATGATTTACTAGGTTCTGGGCCATATGCCTTATCTAGCAGAGAGGGGGAGGCTGTGGTATTTGTTGAAGGAAAATAGAGTAAATTAGTTTATTCAACATGTACCGGCTGCATTTCTTTGCCAATTTGGTTTTGCCATTTTATGATTGTGGTTGTAATAATTTCAACTTGCTTTTGAACATCAGCTGTGATGAACATTTGTATTGTCCTTCTAATGTTCAAACAAGTGTTCAAATATTTCATTGAACAGTAGAGAAAAATTTGATCTTTATCCATATTTGTTATGTGCTGTCTTTTGCTTTCATCAATGTTGTACATGTTTATTAAAATTTTTATAAGAAAATATGACATTGTTGAAACTCAAACTTTTTGAGTCATTTTCAAATAAATCTATGAATAAGTGTTTGAAGTCATTGAGAAGAATTTTTCCTTGAAAGTTTTTTGTAATATTTCATTTATTTTTTTGTTATATTTTTATGAATTAGGTGAAGCTGTTTGTATTGGCAATGCTAAGATTACATTGAACACTCCAAAATATCATGAAAAAGTTCCTATAAATTATTGTAAGTCTTTCATACCATTGAAAACCAAAGATGTTCAAAATGTAATCTCATGAGTATTTACTTAAGATAAGAATTCACATCAATCTAAGGAAATTCTTCAGCATTTGAAATGGATGATGCAAAAGGTGTGTTCTATTTTTTCAATCAACATTTATCATTGAAAAGTTAAATAACATTTCATTATATTTTTTCTATCAGGATCATTTATGTCAAGATATTTTTCTCATTGGCCCTCCGGGATGTTTTCGACGGAATTTGGTCATGCAATATGCTGTAAGAGGTTTCTTTAGTGTTTTTTACTCTAACCATTTTGAACATCTGGGTGAGTGAGATGAGCTTTTGAGAAGGAAGATGTGTTTTATTATAGAAATTTTAGTGCCTTAGTTGTGTTAAAGTTAGGTTGCTTGGAACAGGTATATTTGATTCATCAAACGTTCAAAAAAATGGCCGAAATATGTTTGGTAACTAATATTCATAATTTGCACTAGAAAAAAGACATTTTTGTGGCTACTAAATCTCATGTTTGACGCTCCAAGTGTTTATGACATCATCACAGATTGTCTCACTCGACAACTTTTGGGGCAAATCTACTTATTTCAAAAGACCATTGAAATGAACATTGATTAATTATTGTGGCCAGTGAATATGACTGGCTAGGTAAAAAATTAGTCGCTCTTTGTACGTTCACCGCCGTTATTTTAAGTCCTGTTCACTTATCATTCTATTCTTTTATTGTGACAGTGAGATACTGTTAAGTGCTTACATTTTTACGCTCTAAATTGTTGGTTTCTTCTGTTTTGACTGTTAAAAATTGTTTTCATTTAAGGAATTGACCCAACGCGAAATTGAATACGTATCTTTAAGTCGTGATACCACTGAATCAGATCTTAAGCAAAGACGAGAAATTAACTTTGGTAGTTCTCATTATATTAATCAGGTAAAATGAAGCATTTAACTGTCAACTTTGACACATTTCCATCGCCAGTAATTTGTTACTCTAGAGTTCTGTTCGAGCTGCTATAGAAGGGCGAGTTCTTATTCTAGATGGTATTGAAAAAACAGAGCGAAATGTTTTACCAGTTTTAAATAATCTTTTGGAAAACAGGTGACAAATGTCGTGTTTTTCCATATTCACCAACTTTTTATTTCCAAAAACATCACTTCAATTACATTCAATTGAAATCTTTTTTAGAGAAATGCAACTTGATGATGGTAGATTTTTGGTGTCAGCTGAAAGATACGATTCTCTATTGAAGGTGATTTCATGAATTTGCTGTTTATTTCAATCGTTATGTATGCAATTATGTATGGTATGATTGCTGCCTTGAATGTGTTCCTTGTCTTTCATGTAAATGTTCATGTTGCAAAATGCGTGTGAAAAGTATGTCAATTACTAAACCTCATCAGTGTAGTAGACATTAATATTTATGACTTAATATTTCAATGTTCATTTATGATTGATAAGAATTGGGTATGTTGACTAGAAATACGTTAAAACATTAGAGGTAGTTAGGAAATAACATGAAAACGAAAAAAAAACTTATCTACGTAAAGGATAACGTTTTGATATTTCTTGCATTGAAATTAAAAGATTACAATATTTTTCAGCATCATAGTAGAGAGGAGCTAGATAACTGGAAGTTGCTGCGTGTCAGTGAGAATTTTCGTGTGTTTGCTCTTGGTGTACCTGTTCCTAGATACCCAGGCAATCCTCTGGATCCCCCACTTCGATCACGCTTTCAATGCAGAAATATCCCCATGATTTCATATAAGGTATAAAATATTTCGTTTTGATAAAATTTGTCTATGAACCTCATTCTTATTAATACGATCAAAAATTGTAACTCAATGTTCTTATTAAGTAGTTTAAGATACTGAATAGTTTTTTTTTTGGGGGGGGGAGGGGGAGAGTAGTTATGTCATAATTATGAATTGTGACTTGCGTTACTTATTGACAAAAACGAAAATTGTTATTCTTAGAAGTCTCCTATCGTTTGTTATTATATGAAATGATTTTTAGTAAACTATTCTGTAGGAGTTGATGAAGAATCTGAGATCCTTACAAAAAGTTGATTTTCCTAAGAAAAGGTCTGTTGCTTGAGCCTTGAGGGGAATAGATTATTGAAATGAAAACAAATGAATGTTCTTATTAAATTTTTTCAATTGGTATGTTTTCTGATGTATTTCACGAGATTCAAAAGTGAAAATATATTTATATTTCCAGATTATCCAACCTTGCCAACTTCGTATACACTCTACATTCTTCAGAGTTGCTTCCACTTGGGATGCCGGACTTTCCTATAGAAAATATGGATTGTCTCATTGAAATTATGGTAAATTACGTTTTAGAGTAGATGTTTCAGAAATGATTGTTTTTCATATTGTACTTCCGTGATGTTTGAAAAACTTAAAAGAAATTATTCTGTTTTTATGGTTTTAATGTTCATTTTTATGCACAGTCGTAACCTACTCATTTTCTTATAAATCGAAGTAACCGTAGGACAGAAATATAAAAATTACAAAAGTACATTAAGACGGATTTTCTTGTTTTCACGCATGTACCAGTGCATCAAGGAATATATGGCTAATATGAACATATGACTGTATTTTTATCTTTTTATATAATTTTTTGATATTCAGAATCATTTACCTCATGTTTCCTGTGAAAATCTTGTTAAACTTCTGTATCCATACCAGTTGATTTTTGGAGAAGAAGGACAAAATATTATTAATGACGTTATTCAGGTGTTTTATCTCGTAATATATCGATGATTTTTATAGCTCTAGTTTTAATCTTTGTAAAACAGATGTCATTATTATTTGTTTTTTTGTCAATTATGGTTGAGCGACATCTTTCTTATACAGAGATTTCATATGAACGATCCTTCTTCTGTCAAACCATATTGTTTGAAAAATGTGATTTGCTCGAAAGATCAGAAAGCATTGGTTACTTTGGAGAGTGAGAATGTTGAAGTTGTGTTTGATGTCCCTTCTGGAAACATTGAAGGCATTGCAACTCAGCTTGTGAAGGAAAATGTAATTATGAAGAAATGAAGTCAGGCAATACTTTAGTTGAAATACTGAAGACGATCGTGTAGAAAATTCATGTTTCTATCTTTTTTAGAATTTTGTTATGACTTCGTATCATTCCAAACTTTTATCTGAAATGCTACAAACTCATCTTGTGAAAGACTTTTGTTTGATTGGTCCCAAGGTAAAATTTTTATTATAATTAACGAATTAAATAATGTTGACCTGCTACATGTTAATATAAAAGTCACATTGTGCTAGAAAAATAATCTTGAAGTCGATACGTTTTAAAATTAATTTGATTCTAAAGGGTTGCGGTAAAAGTGCTCTGATTCACCAATTTGCGAAAGTTCTTGGTTATCAAATGGAACCGATTCATCTGCACGAGGTAGCGATGTGTGATAATGGATCTAGTTTGTTCATATTTATTGTAGTATACTCCCGATAAACTAATATAACACAATGTCCTTTATTGAACCATAATTTCTACTACCAAAGATAAAAATTTTGTCATTATTTAGGATATGACTTCAAGAGATCTCCTTCAACAACGTATGATGTCAACCAATGGGGATTCAATATGGCAGCCTTCACCATTGATTATTGCTGCTATAAAGGGCCATCTTGCTGTTCTCGATGGAATACATCGAATTAATCCTGGAACGTTATCTGTGCTACAAAGGCATGTTACAAAATCTTCTTTTTATAAAGTAGTAAGACAATTTGAGTTGCTATGTTAACATTTTAGCTTCGTGTATAGCTTTAGCAAAAATGATTTTTAATTTCTAGCTTTGCTGAAGCTTCTATGCTCAAGGTTCAATTGATTTTTCAAGATCACTATTACGCATTTTTAACAACATTCAGTCAATTTAGTTTCTATACTTAAATAGATTTTAGGTTTTTTTGGGAAGTCATTTTACCATTTTGTTCTTTGTAGCATAACTACGTCATATTACGTACTAAATGTAATGATCACGTAATATGTTTTGAGGTGAACCGTAGCAAACGATTTTCGACCAACTACTGAGTTATGTGATCAAGCAGTGTAAACATTTTTAGTCAAAAATTAAATTTGAAAAAAGGACAGTAGTATTTTTATTTTGATGACTTTGTGGTATTTGACGCTCCTATTTGAACCTTTTTTTAATAAAGGTATATTACCTTTTGTAAAACAAAAAGAAATGACTTTTAGAGTTTGCCCTGCGAGAATGTGCTCTGCGCAAGTCTGCCTTGCGAGAATGTGCCCTGCGAGGATCTGCCTCGTATATTCTGTATGTGAACCGATTGTCTTTACTTTTGTCATCATGTCCCAGGATGAACTCTGAACTAAACTGGACTACCAACACGCATGTGTGTTGCCTACATTTATTCAATATAAAAATATTTTGTTGACAGGCTTCTCATTGATCGCGAAATATCTTTATATGATGGTACTCATTTACTCCGTAAAGATCGCTATGAAATTCTTAAGGAAAAATCTGGACTTTCTGATGAACAACTATCTATAAAGTGAGTTTGCCTTTGTGCAGAAACATACTTCGGTGTAATGATGTATCATTAGATTCTTTCTTTTTACTGTTCTTCGTTTAATGAAATGATCTTTAATGTAGACAATTGTACCCTATACATCCCTCATTTCGTGTAATTGGTGTTGCTGAGCATCCGATGATAAAGAGTGGTGAAGGCCAGTGGTTAAATTCAGAGCTGCTTCCTTTGTTTCTATATCATCATGTCGAGGCTTTTGATTGTAGAAAGGAAGCTGATATTGTTTATAACATGGTAAATTGTTCAGCAGAGACCAAAATAAAGTGGGGGGGGGGAATGATTTATTAAAACCTTTAAAATTAAAAGATAAAAATCTCATGATAAATGTTATTTTGGGTTGATAATTTTGTTTTGGTAAGGTTCCCGAAGTTCCAAAAAATAAGATGCAAGTTGTTCTCAAAATGGTCGACAAATTACGTAACTCCGATAATTCTTTGGTAAATTATCAAGTTTTCTAATCTTGCATTTCAACATCTTTATCATATTTATCGTATTTTTCAGCTTTCCTCAATCACACCATCATTTTCAACGAGACAACTTCTTCGTATTGCCAAGCGTCTTGCTCGATACCCGAACGAAGATCTTTATGAAATAATTACTGCTTCTTGTCTTGCTGAGTATGTTTATTTTAACGGTTGCTTTAAGATTAAAGATTTGAATGATTGTGAATTAGCAAACAGTTGCGTATAGGGGGACGTAGGTTCAAGTAAAATTACTTCATAAATTTCCAGATTTCTGCCCTCACTTGCAAAGAGTGCTTTGGAAGACGTAATGCAAGAAATGGATATTTTTAAGACAACTGTAAATGGAGATGGAAACACGATCAAGATTTTAGGTATTTAGTAATTTTAAAGTTTGATGTACGAGAGTTTATGTGAGATTAAGCATAAAAATTATTTTAGATAAAGATGGTTACATTCATATTGATGAAGTACAACATAAAATCTACGATTCTCATAACAAAACTAAAGTTCCTGATACAACATTTTATTGGAATCACCAAGTAAATGTCACACCTATAGTAATCTACAGACATAAAGTATTTAAAATTTAAAATTGTCTCGTTTTGATTTTGCATTGTTTCGTCGTTATCTTTTTATTGCTGATGACATGTAGTATTGTCGTCTTTGGACGGTTGCTAGTTTTCAATTTATTTTTTTAGCATTTGCAAGTGTTGAAAAACATGTTGAAAGATTTTAGTATTGGTGAGCATTTGTTACTTGTTGGAAATCAGGTAAAGTTCAATCATATTTTTCATTGTTTTGATGCGAATCGTAGCAATTTCATTTCATTAATGTTAGGGAGTTGGTAAAAACAAGTTAGTGGATAAATTTCTTCAGTTACTTAACAAACCCAGAGAGTATGTTCAATTGCACAGGTTAGTAAATGATGAGAGTACGTTATTCACTTTTTTCATCTTTATTGCAGTATTTTTATCAGCCATGAAGGCAATATGCCATGTATTTTAAGAAACGTGCAATAATTTAACAAGCTGTGTTCCTGTAATGAAACATTTAGACAATTTTTATGTTCTGTTTTCATAAAACAACACCTGAAAATATTTTCTTGCAATATATGTAAATATCTCGATGGCATTTAATTGGCCACTCTATTTATTATTTAGAGACACAATAGGAAAAAATTTATGTTTTCGCTATTTTTAATTATTTTTACGTCATTTAGGGATACGACTGTACAGACATTGACATTGCAACCAACCGTTGATAATGGCGTCATTGTTTATGAAGATTCACCTTTGGTACGTATTTTATAGCGTAGCTTTGACATATTGTCTTGTCTGTGTCCCATTTTACGTTTTCATTAGTTGATATTTGTGAACTTCAATATTTTATTTTATATTCCTTTTTATGGATTCACCATTATAAACAAACACAAAATATACAACAGTTATGAAAATATTAATTTAAGGTTCAAGCTCTTCAGCTTGGTCATGTATTAGTTATTGACGAAGCAGACAAGGCTCCTGTCAACGTCACGTGTATTTTGAAAACTCTTGTTGAAAATGGTGAAATGTTTCTTGGTGATGGAAGACGTGTTGTACCATGTACGTAATTATAATGAGGATTTTATTGCAACTGAAAAAGATGGCTGGCATGCCTTAGTTTGGATTGGTTTCGATGACTGTTTGTTGCCGTAGCATTTCAGACTTTTTCCAGTGGCTTAGCCAGCCCTCAAGTTTGTTCGTGTGATGAAAATATTTAGGTGTTCACTCAATGTAAAAACAATAAATTTCTAAAGAAATGAATAATGGCAATAATGAAAAATTTACATAGCACAGCTCAAACTTGCAGGCTGGTTACGCCACTAGTTTTCTTTTTGTGAAATTCTGTTTTATTTTTTTAGTATTGGGATATTTTTGGAAGTGTGTTTTGCTTGATTGTTTAGTTTTTTTTTTATTTTGTAGGGAAATTATCACCCGTCAAGCACTCTCTCGACGGACCCTAAACCTCTTGCACTCTCCCCGCACCCTACACTTCTTGCACTCTTTTCTTGCAGCAGACACCTCATTTTAGCCCATCTCTGTTTTTTAGATGAAATATGAAAACAACTTCTGTTTTTTTACTGTTAAATTTGCTGCAACCAAGCACTTAAAAAGCTTATGTTGAATTTAGACATTACTTTAGGATGGAAATGAAAAAAATTCATTGCTTTAAGACTCGAAACTTTAAGATACATATTTTTTAGTAGGTTTTACATGAAATTAATCTGAATTTGTTGATCAATTTTTTGACGAGTTCTGACTGTATTGCAGAAAATAATGTTCAAAAGTCAGAACACGATAAAAACATTACGGAGACTAACTTTGTGACAAAAGTTTTGCATTTTTCATTTTTTAGCTGGAAGCAAAAAAATTGGGGACAACATTATTGTGACACATCCAGATTTTCGAGTTATTGTTTTGGCGAACAGACCTGGTTTCCCTTTCCTAGGAAATGATTTCTTTGGTTCAATGGGTAAAAATACATTTCTTTGTCATAATGATTATCACTTAAGAAATAAAAGATGTTTACTGTGTTTGCACGGGCTTATGCAAACCGAGGAGACGTTTGGGAGAACTCGAGAGCAGATCAGTGCAAGCCTGAGACCTAAGGTCGAAAGTTGCATATGCTCGAGAGTTCTCACAAACGTCTCCGAGGTTTGCATAAGCCAGTGCAAACACGAAAAACATCTTTTATTTCTTTTATGAAATAACAATCATGCGAAACAGACAAATATTTTCATTTTTCTTCTAAAATGTATTCATGATCGATTTGCAAATTCTCTTTGACTGATTGACTGTTATGATTGATTTGATTGGTCGAGCTCAGATGTGTTTTGCACAGGCTAATACAAACACAGCTCTAGACCAATCAGCGCACGCGTTTCATTTTGTTTATTTTATAAAATAAGATCATGGTAATTTATTTTTACAACAAGGAATACATAGATTAGATATTCTGTTTTCTTTTTCTAGGTGATGTTTTCAGCTGTCATGCGATAAATAATCCTGAAAAAGAATCTGAAATGGTAAAACTGTATTGGAAAGCGTTAAACTCAAAATATGTGAAAGGAATGTATTTAGATTCAGATATCCACTTTGGATGAACGAGAGGGATAAAAACAGAGATTACTGAATGCTTACATGTGCTAGAAACTTGAATATTAAAAAATTACTTCAATTTTTTAGGAAATGCTGAAACAATATGGACCAAATGTTCCTCAACATATTTTAACAATGTTGGTGGATGCATTCGCAGAATTGCGTTGCTTGGTTGATGTCGGTCAGATAGCTTATCCTTACTCTACACGTGAGGTGGTAAATGTTGTAAAACATTTACAGGTACATAAAAAATTGAATTTTTATGTTGCTACCAATTCTCGAATTTTTGTGACTTTGTTATCGGATTTTACCTTCTTTGATTTTAAATGCCTTAAATTAAGGATGTATCCATTATTCAAACTTGTTTCATACCTCATTTTCATGTCTCATTTGTTATCAATTGTTGCATACTTCTTGTCTCACTCTTCTGTCAATTTTTGCTGTTTTATCAGGTTTATCCTGAAGATGGTCTAGGTGAAGTTCTTCGTAATGTGTTTGATTTTGACAGTTATCACACTGATGTACAAAAAACAGTTGTTTCAATCCTACGTAAACATGGTATTCCTTATGCTGTAAATTCTCAAGATATAAAGTTAAGTAAAAAGTAAGAATTTTTATACCGTTATAGACTATTCTGTCAATGTTTACTTGTAGCTACAACAGACTGTGAGTTGTATTGATGACCTAACTTAATGTATAGTTATAATTTTTAAAGTTTGTTAACTTAATATGTATTTTTTTTATTGAATCAATGTACGTAGTATCTGAGCGCTTATTTTAGGTGATTGCTTTATTGGATGTATTCAAAAAAGTACATTGCTGCAATGCGTGTATTTTATTTTTGTCTATAAAGGTTCCCGCTACCCAAGCCAAACGTATTTTACAAATGGAGTTTAGGCGATGACGAAACTCGTATTTGCTCTGTCAAAGAAAGTGCTCTTGTTTTTAAGGTTTGTATTTCTTAAGAATGTTTTTGAATATTTGGTTACAAAGTTTTGTGATTAAACTGCTTTTATGTATTTAGAAACCCGTTGACATTAAATGTTCTCATTTTGGTGTGGAAAGATTAAACGCCAGATCAACTGGTTTTACAGAATTGTTAAATGAATGGATTTTTCCTTTGTATGAGTCTAGCGTCGTTTTCGATCTTTCTGCTGCTCAAGGTTTATAAATCGCATCCATTTGTGTTAAATGTCTGTCAAGAGTTGTCTTTCTACTTGGGCTAAACAAATATTGTAAATGCACTGTACATGCACTGTAAATGCACTGTACATGCACTGCAAATGCACTGTACATGCACTGTAAATGCACTGTACATGCACTGTAAATGCACTGTACATGCACTGTAAATGCACTGTACATGCACTGTAAATGCACTGTACATGCACTGTAAATGCACTGTAAATGCACTGTACATGCACTGTAAATGCACTGTACATGCACTGTAAATGCACTGTACATGCACTGTAAATGCACTGTAAATGCACTGTACATGTTTTAATGATGTACGTCGGTTGTTTTAACTGCTACAGCTATGAATATTATGTTTGATTACCTACAGTAGTCTCTGAAACCATACACCCAATTATTATATATAAACTTTTTCGTTTAATGTTTAACTTTTTCGTTTAATGTTAGATTCACCAAGAGCTTGTGTGTATTTTGTTGAAAGCATTATTCCTAATTATTCATTAACACTTTTGTTGAACGAGATTTAAATTTTCTAGGTGTAAATGTTGTGGATGGCAATTGGCTTCATGTTGTAACCGCCAATCCTCTTGTCATTTATTCTATGCAAACCAATAAGGATTTTGTGATTTGTACAAATCTGTATCCTTTTTTTCCTAACAATTATTTCAACCACTCTCCTCACGTCAAGATCGCTGCGTTAAATGCAGATGGATATTATGGACAAATAATTGTCCACGAACAGTTATCCAACGTAATGTTATTACTTAATCCCTGTCGACATGAAATGCAGGAAATTGTTATTAATGATTATTTATCCACATCAAGAATTTCGCGATCATTTACAAAGTCAAAACATATCATGCATTATGACAAAGCATTTCCCAACTGGCTCATTACTTGGAGAGATGGTGAAAATGATATTCGGATACTGAATTTTTCTACTGCCAAAGTTTTTCATGTGTCGTTGTCATTCCCACTTGAGCAAGTGCGTTTTTTATCTGAAGAAAAATGGATTTTAAAACAAAAGGAATCGAGATCTTATTACCTTTATAGCTTCTCCGAAAAGTCGGTTGTCCCAAACATTTTATCAAAGATTCACCAAAATTCTGAAAACCGATTATTACAAACGATATTCATCAGCAAACTGTCGCAAGAATCTTATAGTAAATGTGAAAAATATCTTCCTGATGTACTTCAAAGTGATGGAACATTAAATGCAGTTCATCTGGTTGCTGATGATGATCATCTTGCTGGTTTAGCTGTCACTACTGGGTCTAAAGTTTATCAATCACAACCAAATATACTCAGATTTTATTTCTATCCTCGAGAAAATAAAAGTATGTATTTCTAAGTCGAGTGCACGAATACAATTTTATGGTTAATTGTTGTCAAAATGTACTGTCTTAAAATGTGTTCCATTTTCATTGAAGCATTGAAGCATTTTACTTGACCTCGAAAATGCCGTTTCAAATTTATCATATTTCTTCATCATTCGTCAAAAATTTATTGATGCTCTTACTGGGAACATTTTAGTTGACAGAGCGCAAAAACCAAGGTGGAAAGAATTCTATCCGGATCCATTATGTCTTTCTGGTTCATGTCAAGTGGTTAGAGTTGTTCCATCTTCACTTGTTCCAACAGATGACTACAAGGAAAAAAATGAAAAAGTGAACTTTTCAAATTATTTAGAAGTTGTTGACATAAGTGAGAATTCTGTTTGTTACCTACCGTTACCATATGTGAAACAAAAGAATCTTTATACACAAAAGAACACTAGTACAGCTTTAATCTGTTCTTTATCCAATGACATCCTTGTTTCTGTCAGTCTGGATGGCTTGGTGCGTCTATGGGAAACTGGTGCGAATGATTTGAAAAAATCTTTTTCTCAATGGAAAAGTTTAGTTGGAAGTAACATTTACTCTGATGATGTACAGGTTAGTTTTGTAAAGAAACAATTTTTAATTTAATTGATATTTGTCCAAAGTTGAGTTTTTTGTATTTGAATTTGTGTTTCATGATTGTTAAAAAGGTATTTCTTTGAAGATAGGTATAAGCATGTGATATTAACATTGTTTAGTTTGTTGAACTTACAAAGATCTTTTAATTTAACTTGACCATGAAAATGAGACTTTGAAATTTTAAGGTAACTCATGAAAAAAACAGTGGCCTTGATGTTTCGCAGCCAAAACATGGAAAGGTGAGCTTCATCACACGTCTTTCAAGATCAGTGAACTATCGGTGAAGAATAAAATGCTTGGCGGGTGCAGGATTTCTGCAAGGGTGGTACTGAATTATCTCGTTTGGAGAGGTTTTGGACAACACTTACCTCTCTTATTAATTTGAAATTCCATTAAGTTTGGGCATTGGAAAAAGAAGCGTAGGTTTAATGAGCTGTTTGTTTACTTGATTTTTTTTTCTTCTTGACCATCTTTACAAGTTTTCTTAACAAAACTCTCTAATGTGTTCTGTTTACACTAGTATAGTAAGCCTGCTTGTTTAGTCGAGCTATTTTTTTCTGTTTTCAATCACTGTAAAAACGAATTTTATAAAGAAATGAAATATGATGTTTTGAAATTTACGTAGCAAGACCAAACTATGCAGGCTAGGTACGCCACTATCTACATTTCATATACATTTACATAGCTTTATCACCATTTATGCTTATCACCTAATAAAAATCCCCTTACGTTTTTATGCCTCCATATTTTGACGTTAGTGAATTCACTTGGTCAGAGTTGACAGACTTCGTATTTAATATCTTATCTAAATTACTTTTACTGAAAATGCGAATTCAGTAATTTTAATAATAAAACACAAACAACATTTAATGCTTTATTTAAGAATTTTGACTAAAGAAAGGGGGGGTGACTTGTTACCCTGTCCCCCCCCCTAAATCCGCCCATTGAAATGTTAGAAAATATCCTTAAACCAAAGCAGCTTAACCCTTGAAACGAAACACTTTTCTGTTAGTAGAACTATTCTGATTGACTTTTAATTCATATAAAAGAGAGTATTTTATTTTAATTGCCAAACACTGAACAAAGTCATTGAGTGTTTTTATAGTTTCTTGGATCATTAATACATTATATGGTGTGAAAATTGCAGAATATGAAAATTGTCTTTTAGATTGATTTTGACAATGCACCTCACGTTGGAGGCAACACTTGGGCTGGTGGCACTGGAGGTAGAGATACTGCCGGACTTGGTGGTAAAGGAGGTCCATATAGGTTGGATAGTGGGCACGATGTTTATCAAATTTCTGATAAAGAAAAGGATTCAGTTCCTGATGAAGTAAAGATAGCTGCAAGGGAAATGGGACGAAAAACTTTTAAACAAAGGTGAAGACCGTTTTGTCATTTATACTGTTTCTATACTTTGAAAACTTTGAAGCTCTTTCTTGTCCTTTTTTAATTGGACCATTTATTTGTTTTGTTTATCTTCCAACATTTTACGATGCTCAAGTTTTGGAAAGAGATATTTACGAAGTTTTTATTCGACAAAAAATCCTTAAATGTTTTTAGATGTTGATCGTTTCGGTTAGTGTAGTCATGAGAAATCTGTGGCTATTGGTGTTTTCTAATGTTTCAACTTCATTAGTAGTAATGATTGTCAGAGTTCAGTATCTTTCTTTGTTCTTCTAAGGACTGCAGATGGACAATCTACATGTACAAACATGTAGTGATACTTTCGGGTTCAAACAATGTACTTTAAATAAATCTTTTATGAAAACTTTTATTGCGAGAATTAGGAAAGAAACGATCATTTTTCATAAAAAAATTTATCACATTTATGTTTTTGTCATTTGCGTAGATTGAAGGACATCGAAATGAATGAATACGAAGCGGAAAAATACGAAATGTTTTCATCACGTGTTAAACATCAAGTACAGTCTTTGCGTGTTCTCGTAGAAAGTTTACAATCTAAAAGAAAGGAAAGGCAATGGATTCGTCATCAGACTTTAGGTGATCTTGATGACAGTAAATTGATCGAAGGTTTGACTGGAGAAAAGACTATTTACAAGAAAAGAATAAACCAGCATCCAGAAGTATGTTAACTTCGATTCTTTCACCACCATTTAAACTGAAATATTTTAGTTGACTAATATATTTATAGCCTGGATCAGTGCAAGATTTACCAAAGCAGATGCGTCTTGTTGTTGACGTCAGCGGTAGTATGTATCGATTTAACGGTTTGGATGGGAGACTGGAACGAATGATGGAGGCTGCGTGTCTCGTAATGGAATCATTTGATCAATACCAACAGCGTTTTAAGGTAAATTGCGTCAATAAATTCAATAAAAACACCCTACTTATAGCTTTCCCAAATATTGTTGAATTTTTATGTCATATTAAGAGCATATAAATCATGAAATCATTATAATATTCTTTCTTTTATATCAACACGGTCCTAGAAATATATAAAGTTCCTTACGATTTATGTATATTTTTTCTTAAACTAAAAGTTAAAAACATTTAGTTCGACATCGTTGGTCATTCGGGAGAAAACCCTGAAATAATGTTTGTATCTCAAGACAAGCCTGTCGTAAACAATAAACAACGTCTCCAAGTATTAGAAACAATGTATGCTCATGCTCAGTTTTGCATGACTGGTGACAACACATTAGAGGCAAGCAAGAGAGCCATTAACGAGGTTTTTCAACGTAAAGCAGACGATTATTACGTAATTATTTTCAGTGATGCAAACCTTCAAAGATACGGCATATCTCCTACAGAGTTAACTAAAACTTTATTCTCCAATACAAAAGTTAATACGTTTATTATTTTTATTGGATCTCTGGGAAATGAAGCTGAAAGGTGATTTATTATTTTATTTTTCGTGTGAATATAGGCATATTTGTTAAATGTTTGGAGTAGCTTTACAACTCCATAGAGATTAATAAACATTTATTAATATCTATTGTTTGCCTTGAATGAACATCCATTGTTCAATAATAATAGCCAATCATCGAACAGTATTTTTAAATAGTCATTTAGTGAATAATGATTTTTACATAATGACGACTGTCTTTCAGATTGTCAAAGAAACTTCCGCATGGCCGATCCTTCGTTTGTATGGACACAAAAGACATTCCAGAAATACTGCAGCATATATTTTCAACTGTTATATCATCTTCATAATACACCTATGTCACTGATGTTGCACTACCTGAGGACAAGATGAAAGAGTTCTTGACATATTGCTAATACATGGGATTGTCAATGAATGAAGATGTTTCAACTTATAGTTTGCTATAAACATTGTCGAATGTTTTTTTTCAATGAAGTTCTTATATAGTATTACGTTAGGTCAAAGGAAATTTAGTAAATCGAAATTTTTCGTTTAGTCCAAACGTCGCAAAACAGAGCAACAAAAAAACGTTTAATGTGTTAATTGTGAAACTATTCTCTCCGTAAAACCTATTTGTGTACATATAGAATTATTCATAAAAAACAACTGTTTTTTTTTGCGTTTGAAAATGTTCTTTTTACGGAAAGTATTCAAAGCTTAACACTTGATAAAAAGGTTCACATTTGTGGTATGCAATAATAGTTACTTTGCAATAATAATCTTTTTATTTAACTGGAGACGTTGCATGTTTTTTCTTTATGATTCTTGACTCAGTTGGTTAAAGTAGTTTTGTCTTTTTCTCTTTGATGGTTATAGACTTTTAAGGATAAATTTACTTTTGAAGGTGAAGTCTCCCTTAATGTCAATCTTTTTGTACACCATTCTATCTACCTTTTTGTCCATAATTTTCTACTTTTTTGTCTGAATCAATTTTATACATACTCCAAGTAATTTGTCTTTGTAAAACTGAAGACGTTTGAATAGGAAGGACGATTTCAATCAAAATATATTTTGAAGTCATGCTGGTAAATAGCCATTTATTAATCAATTTGTAACATTTTTCAAATAACACGATATGAAATCTATTTGAAAAAGTCGTTAATTCATGTAATTAATGTAGTCAATGTAATCATGTAATCATAAAATGCAGAGTACATGAACGACATATGGTGAAGTTGTTGTTTCATGTAATCAATGTAATCATACAAAAAGACGACATAAAACTCATTTGAAAAAGTCGTTATTTCATGTAATCGCATAAAGGCAACTTGAACGACATTACAATGAGTCGTTTCATGTAATCAATTCAATCATGTAATCGTAAAAAAAGAAGACATAAAAACAATAGAAGCCGTCGTAATTTCATGTAGTTCATATAGATAAATTCTCCAGCGTAGCAACATGTGGCTTGAAAGCCTAGGTGTTCGAAAACATAAAACTTTTTGTGTGGATGTTTCTTATACGAAAGAGATGCAGAAATTTAGCGTCATGCTTCAGATGCTTTGATGTTTCGCAATCTTTCAAAGTGTACAAATTTTTTACGTCATAAAACAGATCTGTCACAAAAAACAGATGTGAAAACTCCCTCGAACTTTTCAAAGATTCCAAAGCCCCTATTGCTAACTGTAACTTTGTAATGCAAAAATTCCTACTGTGTAAATTATAGTTTTTGTGTCAAAATGTGTGAAAATGCATGAACTATAGTCTATGAGATGCAAATGTGTGAAAAGGATTGAACTATATTCTTTAACATAAAATGTGTGAAAATTCATGAACTATAGCCTTTGGCATGAAAACGCGTGAACTATAGTCTTCCCATGAAAATGTATGAAAATTCGTGAACTATGGTCTTTTGTATGAAAATTCGAGAACTATAGTCTTTTGCATGAAAAATCGTGATCTATAGTCTTTTGCATGAACAATCGTGATCTATAGTCTTTTGCATGAACAATCGTGAACTATAGTCTTTTGCATGAAAAATCGTGATCTATAGTCTTTAGTATGAAAAATCGTGAACTATATATAGTCTTTTCATAAAAATCGTAATCTATACTATGGTCTTTTCCATGAAAAATCGTGAATTATAGTCTTTTGCATGAAAATTCGTGATCTACAGTCTTGCATGAAAAATCGTGATCTATAGTCTTTTGCATGAAAAATCGTGATCTATAGTCTTTTGCATGAAAATTCGTGATCTATAGTCTTTTGCATGAAAATTCGTGAACTATAGTCTTTTGCATGAAAATTCGTGATCTATAGTCTTTTGCATGAAAATTCGTGATCTATAGTCTTTTGCATGAAAAATCATGATCTATAGTCTTTTGCATGAAAAATCGTGAACTATAGTCTTTTGCATGAAAAATCGTGATCTATAGTCTTTTGCATGAAAAATCGTGATCTATAGTCTTTTGCATGAAAATCGTGATCTATAGTCTTTTGCATGAAAATTCGTGATCTATAGTCTTTTGCATGAAAATTCGTGATTTATAGTCTTTTGCACGAAAATCGTGATCTATATATAGTCTTTGGCATGAAAATTCGTGATCTACAGTCTTGCATGAAAAATCGTGATCTATAGTCTTTTGCATGAAAATTCGTGATCTATAGTCTTTTGCATGAAAAATCGTGATCTATAGTCTTTTGCATGAAAATTCGTGAACTATAGTCTTTTGCATGAAAATTCGTGATCTATAGTCTTTTGCATGAAAATTCGTGATCTATATATAGTCTTTTGCATGAAAATTCGTGATTTATAGTCTTTTGCACGAAAATTCGTGATCTATAGTCTTTGCATGAAAATCGTGATCTATAGTCTTTGCATGAAAATTCGTGAACTATAGTCTTTGCATGAAAATTCGTGATCTATAGTCTTTTGCATGAAAATTCGTGATCTATAGTCTTTGCATGAAAAATCGTGATCTATAGTCTTTTGCATGAAAAATCGTGAACTATAGTCTTTGCATGAAAATCGTGATCTATAGTCTTTTGCATGAAAATCGTGATCTATAGTCTTTTGCATGAAAATCGTGATCTATAGTCTTTTGCATGAAAATTCGTGATCTATAGTCTTTTGCATGAAAATTCGTGATTTATAGTCTTTTGCACGAAAATTCGTGATCTATATATAGTCTTTTGCATGAAAATTCGTGATTTATAGTCTTTTGCATGAAAATTCGTGATCTATAGTCTTTTGCATGAAAAATCGTGATCTATAGTCTTTTGCATGAAAATTCGTGAACTATAGTCTTTTGCATGAAAATTCGTGATCTATAGTCTTTTGCATGAAAATTCGTGTTTATTGTCTTTGTATGAAAAATTGTGAAAATTTGTGAAAATGCGTGAATTATAGTCTTTTGTATGAAAATTCGTGAAATAGTCTTTTGAAAATGCGTGAATTATAGTCTTTTGCATGAAAATTGTGAAAAGTTTTGCATGAAAATCGTGAATATAGTCTTTGCATGAAAATTGTGAAATAGTCTTTTGCATGAAAATCGTGAATTATAGTCTTTTGCATGAAAAATTATGAAAATTTCTTAAAATCGTGATTATAGTCTTTGCATGAAAAATCGTGAATAGTCTTTGAAAATGTGTGAATTATAGTCTTTTTGTGAAAAATTGTGATCTATAGTCTTTTGCATGAAAATTTGTGATCTATAGTCTTTTGCATGAAAATTCCTGTTTATTGTCTTTGTATGAAAAATTGTGATCTATAGTCTTTTGCATGAAAATCGTGAATTATAGTCTTTGCATGAAAATTGTGATCTATAGTCTTTGCATGAAAATCGTGAATTATAGTCTTTTGCATGAAAAATCGTGATCTATAGTCTTTGCATGAAAATCGTGAATCTATAGTCTTTTGCATGAAAAATTCGTGAAATAGTCTTTGCATGAAAATTCGTGAATTATAGTCTTTTGCATGAAAATTCGTGAAATAGTCTTTTGATGAATTGTGAACTATAGTCTTTGCATGAAAAATTCGTGATCTATAGTCTTTTGCATGAAAATTCGTGAATTATAGTCTTTTGTGAAAATTGTGAATAGTCTTTGCATGAAAATCGTGAATATAGTCTTTGCATGAAAATCGTGAAATAGTCTTTGCATGAAAATTCGTGAACTATAGTCTTTGCATGAAAATTGAAAATAGTCTTTGAAAAATTCGTGAACTATAGTCTTTGCATGAAAAATTATGAAATAGTCTTTGCAAAAAAGTGAATTATAGTCTTTGCATGAAAAATTGTGAACTATAGTCTTTGCATGAAAATCGTGATCTATAGTCTTTTGCATGAAAATTCGTGAAATAGTCTTTTGCATGAAAATGCGTGAATTATAGTCTTTGCATGAAAAATTCGTGAAAATGCGTGAATTATAGTCTTTGCATGAAAAATTCGTGAACTATAGTCTTGCATGAAAATTCGTGAATTATAGTCTTTTGCATGAAAATTGTGAACTATAGTCTTTGCATGAAAATGTGATCTATAGTCTTTGCATGAAAAATCGTGAATAGTCTTTGCATGAAAATCGTGAATTATAGTCTTTGCATGAAAAATCGTGAAATAGTCTTGTGAAAAATCGTGAATCTATAGTCTTTTTATGAAAATTCGTGAAATAGTTTTGAAAATTCGTGATCTATAGTCTTTTGCATGAAAAATCGTGAACTATAGTCTTTGAAAATTCGTGAACTATAGTCTTTGCATGAAAAATCGTGAACTATAGTCTTTGCATGAAAAATCGTGAATTATAGTCTTTGTATGAAAAATGTGAACTATAGTCTTGCATGAAAATCGTGATCTATAGTCTTTTGCAAAAATTGTGATCTATAGTCTTTTTGAAAATTCGTGAATTATAGTCTTTGCATGAAAATTCGTGATCTATAGTCTTTGCATGAAAATCGTGAACTATAGTCTTTTGTGAAAATTCGTGAACTATAGTCTTTGCATGAAAATCGTGAACTATAGTCTTTGAATGAAAATTGTGAACTATAGTCTTTGCATGAAAATTCGTGAATTATAGTCTTTGCATGAAAATTGTGAAATAGTCTTTGCATGAAAATTCGTGAATTATAGTCTTTTGCATGAAAATTCGTGAATGTCTTTGCATGAAAATCGTGAACTATAGTCTTTTGCATGAAAAATTGTGAAATAGTCTTTGAAAAATCGTGATCTATAGTCTTTGCATGAAAATTCGTGAACTATAGTCTTGCATGAAAATTCGTGAATTATAGTCTTTGCATGAAAATTCGTGAAATAGTCTTTGCATGAAAATCGTGAATTATAGTCTTTTGCATGAAAATTGTGAACTATAGTCTTTGCATGAAAATGCGTGAACTATAGTCTTTTGTGAAAAATTGTGAAATATTTGTATGCGTGAATTATAGTCTTTTGCATGAAATAATTGTGAAATATTTTGCATGAAAATCGTGAATTATAGTCTTTTGCATGAAAAATCGTGTATAGTCTTGTGAAAATCGTGAATTATAGTCTTTGCATGAAAAATCGTGAACTATAGTCTTTGCATGAAAATCGTGAACTATAGTCTTTTGCATGAAAAATTCGTGAACTATAGTCTTTGTGAAAATCGTGATTATAGTCTTTTGCATGAAAAATCGTGATCTATAGTCTTTGTGAAAATCGAAATTATAGTCTTTTGCATGAAAAATTCGTGAACTATAGTCTTTTGAAAATTCGTGAATTATAGTCTTTGCATGAAAATTCGTGAACTATAGTCTTTTGCATGAAAA